AATGAGGTCTTCCAATTCGCGTTGTGAGAAAGGGCCCATGTATCTCCGTTTTTGGATCTCGTCTTGGACGATGCGCAAGAAAGTGTCTGTGTTCTGCTCAATTGTGAGGCTATTATTAGGGGCTTTAGTGACGTGAATGCGCGGGATTCCGATGATAAAGCCGGATCGTAGAGAAGACACCAAAGAAGGGTATTTATCAAGAAGGTCTGCGTCTCGTAACGTTCTATGCCAAGCGTCAGGGTGGTATGGGGTGAGGGGGTTACTTCTTCTGTGCAAGATTGCACGACGAAGCTCCGTGGTTCCGCCCCCCACATCCCGAACACTGATGGATGTGTTTGGGGCTGGTGGAGCGACAACCTCCCACTCGTTGCCAGTCGAGACAGATCGTCTCTCCATCCTTGTTGATAATCTGTCCCGAGGAGTTTCTTCCACACAAGGCTGGCTGTCCGTTCCACAAAGAACTCGATCGACACTTTCCGATCTCCTCTGAGGGGTGGCAGCCCAAGCATATGGCGCAAATCGCGAGGGCCGTGCGAGATGCGCCCCTCTGAAAAGACCCTCTTGCATTACGCGAAGCGGACTCTCGGTCTCGCGAATGATGGCCGTACGGCTCTGCATCGTCTCTTCGACTACTACGACCCTGCTGCCCCGAACCACGAGCACCACCTCGCTGCTGATTTCTCGGAGACGGTGAGCGTCGTCACCCCGACGCTTGACCTGATGAGCTTCCCCCTCGCTGGGATTCAAAGCTATCATTCAATTTTTGCATCTGAAAGTTTGTCCGGTCATGTACAGAGCGCGGGAATGGTGACCACGCCGGTTCACGAAGGATGACCACGCCGGTCCGCATAAGATGACCACGCCGGTCCGCAGAAGATGACCACGCCGGTCCAAGGAGATGACCACGCCGGTCCGCAGAGTGACCACGCCGGTCAAGAGATAGAGACCACGCCGGTCAAGATATAGAGACCACGCCGGTCCAGAACAGCACGACCACGCCGGTCCAGAACAGCACGACCACGCCGGTACGTGAAAGTATGACCACGCCGGTCGATTGAGTGAAGCCACGCCGGCCACCGAAGGTAACGACCACGCCGGTCAAAGAACAAGGGACCACGCCGGTCAAGAGAATAACAACCACGCCGGTTGAATGAACGCCGATGATAAATCCGCCAGCCGAAAATTTTAGGGGGGGGTAGGGACGTGATAGAAAACGACCGCGCCGGCCGGTCCCGACAAGGAGAGACATGACCACGCCGGTCAAGAAGAAAACGCGCGACCAAAGCCCCACGGAGCGTAGAAGATGAAGTTGTAAATACCCGCGAAAATGAGGACGCGATCCCCATGGGAGACGAATATGTACGCATTTGAGACGACGATGGTTTCGCGTGGGGGCGTACCGGTGCCGATACGTCGAGGGTGTTCCGTGGTGTCGGGGGAGAAAACGGAAGATGGGAAGTTCAAGATCACGCCTGGTCAGCGGAGATTCGACGAATTAAACAAACAGAGGGGAAGACGCACCCGTTGAATCTGCAGCCTTGCCGACGTAGACTGGATTTCGGCTTTGCACTGCTCGTACAGTTTTGGTTCGAAGACGCCGATATTGTACGTCTGATCCGAGACGTTCCTGGCGATGATCTTCTCGTGCCAGTCTGTGCGCACCTCCTCCATGTAGCGCATGAGGGCCGGCTGACCGATCGGGTCTTGGCTATCCTGGTGCCCCACGATCTGTAGGAAGAACCGAAGGTACTGCTGTACTATAGGTTGCGGCCAGATCTCCGGGAGGTCCGTGATCTCCTGTATGAAGACGGGCCAGGCGGTCGTCATCTCCTCGAAGGGAAGATCCGCATCGCGGCGGACTCCTTTGATAGCTTTGAGGGACGACGCTGGGGTCAGGCTTAGACCCGTGTCTCCGGAGACTAGGGTATAAGTCTCGTTGACGACGCTCTTCGCTTGACTCTCTGCCAGCTGACGTGTTTTAGCCGTGAAATAGTCGAGTTCGACGTACGCTAGCTTCATGAGCTTCTCGTGCGCGTACTCCGCTACCCTCTGCCGAAGTTGGGTAGGGGGCCTTCGAGACGGATCTACCGTCGCGAGCTTGGGCTTTTTCTTGTCTAGCGTCTTCTGTTCTTCTGCCGCTGCACGCTGCTCTTCCGCCCGAAGCGCCTCTTCCTCTTCGCGCGCCCGCTGCTCTTCCTCTTCCGCTAGACGACGGTCCTCTAGGGACTGAACCTGCCAAGCTTGGATTTGCGCGTTGTGATGGGTTTGCCAACTCTCTCGAAGAGCCTGGACTGCTTGCTCGTCGTTCATGTTGCCGTTGGCCGTCATAGCCTGCCTGATCGCTGCAAACGCGACTAACTCGTAATCCGGGCACCGCTCACCGGATGGGTCGAGGACGCGGGGTCGGTTACCATTTTGACCGAGAGGATCCATCGACTGAGTTATGTAGGGAGTGTCTACCGCAAGTCGAGAGTGAACGAGTCTCGAAAACAGGCAGTGCCGAACAGACTGTCGGCCAACGGTGGCGGCGAGACGCAAGAGGTTCGAGCGCTCGCTGCCACGCGTGCATAGACTCAGTTTGAAGGAAGCGCTCGACTTGAGGTTAATGTCCCACCGGGTTTGCAGGGCCTTTCACACTCCGCTGTGGCGGCTGTGGCGCGAGTCGCCGCGCGACCTCCCCGGCCTTGCGTTTGAGTCGCGTTCGCGCCGTCTTAGAGTACAAGTAACATAGAGTCTACTATACCGTTCAATACATTTGTCACTGCCACAGATTGACTCGATCAAGGCTCCACTGTGGTCGATAACAACATATCAATCAACATTACTGTACCTCCTAGTATGACTCGCCGTCAGGCACCTCAGGCTCCTGAGTCCGCATGCTATGGCTGCCGCTGTCGGTGCCCTCTGCTACGTCCCCCTACATCCCCTCCTGCAAGTCTCTTGTGCTGGTGCTCTCCCAGCTGATGTCAACAAAAAAATGCAAAGATTGCCACAAGACGTTACCAGAATCCCAATTTCCTGCTCGGGTCAAGGACTCGGCTCACGGAAAAAAGGGGGAGCCCACGTCCTCATGTCAATCCTGCATGGACAAGGCCAATGAGCGACGACGTAACAATTTGAAGAAGCGACAGCAGCCACAGGACGAAGATGAAGAAGCAGAGGACTTACTTGATGTGATGTCTCTCACGGATTTCCTTGATGTCGCTGTCGAAGGAATGGAGGAGCCAAATTTTCAGATGAAGGCTTGTGTAGATGTTGGGAGCCATGCCCCGGTACATCTAGATGCACGGAAGCGAGCAGATTTGGTTGCGGAGATAGCGGGCGAGCGTATGATGCTACATTGGACGTGAGTTTGCATATATGCCATTGCGATGAGTACAATAATCATCTCACCGTGTGCAAAAGCTACGAGGTTAAGCGTGAGCGCGTCCGCACCGCTGATACCGTGTACCGCTTCAGCTGTGCACAGTCAAGTGAGCGAGAACAGAAGAAGAAGGCTCCGAAGACATCAAAGCCTCGAGCGGCACGCCGCATGGAGCGCTTTCCGTGTGACGGATGGTTGCACATTACCGTTACGAATGACTCTACGGAGATGATCTTGTCGGTCAAGCATGCAGTGCAGCACCTTGCTTACGTCGACATTGATCTCCCGGATCGCTGGAAGCAGTACATCAATAAACATGCTCGGAACCAGACCCCTGGCGAAGTACGTACTCACGCAATTCACACCTGTCTAATAGCACATGAAGCACTGACACGGGACATACAATTTGGCCAGATCTGGCGACACATTGTCCGGGAGGAGCTTCGTGGACAGTCCGTCATGGAGGTTGATCTGCCGTACCGGTCAAAGGCTGTATACTATTATTGGCATTTAGTCAGCAGAGGAGAGTGGAAGCTTGCAGATAACCCACTTGATTCGGCGAGGGCATACATCGACAAGGCTGCCACAGAGCATCACGTCAGGCTGTTGGACGTGAAGGCAGAGCCGGGTACAGACATTGTTGCGTTTCAAGTTACCGATTTTGTGCGCGAATGGGCGGCAAATACCCAAGAACTCGCAATGGACTCGACGTGTGAGTACCCGGGTTATCCCCAAACGGAAGCAAACCTTAATCTTGACGTTGACAGGGAACACGAATGGGACCAATTTCGAACTCTTCGCAGCAGTTGCAGATGCCAAGGGTTCGGGTATCCCCCTTGCCTTCCTACTCATCTCGACCACTAAGGATGCAGCCAAACACGCAAAGGAGACGGTGCTTACCGGGTTCCTGGCTCAGCTCAAGAAACTCGGCGTGGATCCCGAGTATACGCTCACCGACAAAGATTGGTCAGAGATCAATGCGATGCGTACCACATGGCCGAGATCGAAGCACCAACTCTGCTTCTGGCACGCACTGCGAGCGCTCAAGCAGCGCCTTGCGAAGAACAAGGATACACCAGCTCCTTATGACATTGACGGAGCCCGCCGCGAGTTTGAATTCATCAAGCCTGAATTTGTCCCTTACATGCAGCAGTCCGTATCAGCACCGGTACGTCATGACTGCTATGGCTCACCAAGCACAGGCAATACTGACCTTGGATCACAGATTCCAGACCCGCCGGCAAACCCTCGGAAGCGTGTACGCCTCCTTATCAACGGTCGTCCATCTGTGATCACACCATCCCTCCCGAGGATCATCTTACCAGCACTCTCGCAAGCCCGGCAGCAGGCCCGGACCGTACCGGACTCGGAAGCGTTCGATATCGAAGCAAGCGTGGGACAGGGTTTGCATCCCGGGATGGAACAACCAAATGCGCGTCACAATGATGACTCAGATCAAAGTGACAATGGTACATACTGGGGTGACCGGGCTGAGAGACAGGAATCGGGCGAGGACGGTGATGGCTGGGACGGAGAGGATGATTGGGAAAGCGTTGAGGACGATCTTAGGCGGCAGGTAGATGAGTTCGCAGAGGATGAGAGCAATGTTGATGAAAACGCACCGAGCGACGAGACCGAGATTGGACAGAAGACCAAGAAGGCCAATTACCAGTTCTGTCCACCGGTGCACCGGATTTCGATCCTCAGGCTCTTCGCCAAGCATGCATCGCAACATCCCCTTCTCCCCGAGCGTCACGGCGAGAAGCGAACAAGGGAAGACATTCGCCGTGACGCAGTCGAGGAGATGTACCGGCACTGCGAAGTGAATAACCTATGTGAGGTTTGGGCTTACCTTTGGACGTCCTGGTACTCACGGAAACGATGGCCACTGTGGGCACGCGGCGCCTACGCAACAAGTATCCCTTGCAAGCGCACGACCATGATGGTCGAAGCCCTCTGGCGCAATCTCAAGCGACTCGTCCTCCACATGTACAACCGCCCACCTGTCGATCTCGCTGTTCACGCCATCATTACAAAGGCACTCCCACCCTACAGACTCACGCTCCGACGACTCTTGGGGAGCCATCGCGGAGGCCGAGCGCAGGCGCTGACAACGATGCAAGAAGCATTCAAGCGTTCTTGGGAGCGGCTTGCGAAAGTCCCCATCAAAGGCGCTGATGTGACCGAAAGCACCACAAAGGCTACACACAACACACCCGACGAAGGGCGAGCAACGATATGCGAGACCTAGTGGCTAGGAGGGTGTACCGAGATGGTACGATGGTCGATAGTGGAAGGAGCGAGGTCGGCAAGACTCCGCGCAAGCCCGATCTGCTTCTACGACAAAGTAGCGGACGCTTCGAGACGAGTAGACCGCGGTCACGAACCGAACGAATCGAGGACTTGACGACGAGACGAGGGACTAGACGAGGCAAGCGATGGCAGGACAAGATGTAGAGACACCACTCGGGGCGTTGACGAACTCTGACGGACTGACGATCGTACTGACTGACTTCTTGCGTACGGACTGACTGCTGACGGACGTACGACGAACGGACAAGTTGAGAGGGTAAGGGTATCTGGTATTCGAGGGGGCTCGCCCCGCAGTATATACAGGATAGAACAATGCCTGCACAAACAGGAAAACACGTGCATATAAATGATCCGAGTCGAACGATACGAGCGCTGTCCAATCGTAGAGGCCAGCACACCGGCTATCGAATTGCCCGGCGAGCACACACAGAATGCGCCAGAATGGCGTAAGACCTCGGCCCTGTTGAACGTGATTAGCTCCGGGCAACCGCCCGAACGGTACTTGGTTAGCCGTAGCACCGCGACCATACGACCGAGGCTGTCTTGCAGATTCTTCCCCAACACCACCATGCCCAACGTACGCGTCGAACCGACCGCGGAAGCTCACATCGCCCGCTACTACCGCTTGATCGAAGTCATCAAGGGTGAGGCCGCCGTAGAACCACGTCTCCTGCCCGTATCTCGGGGCGAATGGCTGTCGTGGGCCAACTGCGTTCGTTGGATGCTCGTAGGTGTTCTGTCGCCTTCGTCGGCCAGGGATAGATCCTCACCGGCTTTTCCAGCGCGGTCTCTTCGAGTCCTACTGCAAGGCGGTCACCGATGATCCGAACTCCGTCCCATCGCCGTACTCCTTCAACGACGTCGTCGAGGTCATGAACTACATCGACGAGATCTTCCAACGTTACAAGCTGCCTCACGACTCGCTGGGCGCACCCTATCCGACCATCGCCTGGTCCGAGGAGTCCGTCCTGCATCGCGAGGCTATTGACGAGCCTCTGGCTCCGGTCTCCTACCAACTCGACCCACTGTATGTGCTGGAGTATCGCCGCTTGCCCGACAACTTCAATCACTTGGCTAACGCCGTCCACCGCCTGAGCGAGGACCAGCAGGAGATTCGTAGGATTCTCGGGTCGCTCTCTACGAGCGTCGCCGAACTGGGAGGGCGCGAGCGAGGCATTAACGTCGGCGAGCCTGTTCGAGACGCAGCCGGTCGTAGGGGAGGTTTCCGAGGTCGTGGTCGTAACACTGGGCCCTTCGGTGGACGGGACTTCCGCTAGAGTCTTCTTAGTGTAGTCGTAGCATGCTGGCCAATGTCGAGCAATGCCTAAGTCGGTGAACTGCGCGCGTGAGCTCGATACCTCACGAATCGGGGTGTAGTCCAGATGGGAGCGTATCAGCGCGTACATCACGAACATCAACAAGTGGACATGCGACTGCTGTTAAAGAAAGAGGTTTTAGGCTTAGTAAGCCAAGTGGCAGTGAAGGACTAAAGAGTGAGTGAACAGACCAGTCCCAAAGGGAAGATCCTATGCTGGCAGGCAGAGGAGAGGACGAAGGATCGTTTTTATTACAGGGCAAACCAGCCCAGTATATATACACATTTGATACAGGTCACATGCTGTATCAGTGGTTCATCAGTAAGCACTAAGTCCGAGGTTTTGGGGATATGAGTAAGCTGATAAGCAGCATGAGTAAGCCAAAACTCGGAGTTTGATGTGGAGAGATATATGAAACGTGATGGAACATCAGGAATAATATGAGACATGATGGAACATCAAAGAGTAATATAAGACGTGATGGGACATCAAGGAATGATATGGAACGTCATGGAACATCAAGGAATGTCGTGGAATATCATGGAATGATCCAGACTAAAGTCACATGATGTGATCTAGGCAAAGTCCATCAAAGAACGTATGTAATCTGACATCGCAGAATATAAGTCCATATCCGTACATAACTGATAAGATAAGAACACTGAAAACTCGGAAGTTCAACACTCCCACTTGTTCAAGATGTCGAGTATCTCATCATGCCAACCGAAGACCTGAATTTCTCGATTCCGCTGAAGGGAACATTCTTGGTCAAGGCATCAGCAAGTTGGTCTTCACTTGCGACAAAATAGATGTCCATCTCCCCACGTTCGTAGAACTCTCGAATGTAGTGATACCGGATTTCTATGTGCTTGGTGCGGCGATCCACGGCGGGGTTCACTGCAAGGAAAATGTTGCCTTGGTTGTCAAGACAAAGTGGAGTTGGATGAGACATGTTGTCTCCCAGTTCTTCTCCAAAATGACGCAGCCAAGCCATCTGACGACAGCAGTCGGAGCTGGCCTTATACTCTGCTTCGGTTGAAGACAAAGATACCGTTGGTTGGCGTCTTGACACCCAAGAAACGACACAATTGGCCATGAGGAAAACAAAGCCAGATGTAGAGTGCCTATCATCACGGTCTTCAGCCCAGTCTGAGTCTGAGTAGGCGATCAGACCAGAGTTTGAGCCTCCATCGTAGCAAAGTGCAAGTTCCTTTGTCCCTTGAAGATATCTCAGGACATAGTACGTAAACTTCATATGCTCTTTAGACGGATTTGAAGAAAACTTCGCCAGACGCGTGACCGCGAACGAGATGTCTGGGCGAGTACCAAGCATAGCATACATGATGCTGCCAATAATGCTCTGGTAACGGGTTCGGAAAATTTCAGATGCAGTGTCGGTGTTCTTCTCTAATACTGCTCCAGCGGGAAGAGGTGTCCTTGCAGACTTGCAGTTGGACATTTGGAACCTCTCCAAAACAGACTGAATATAGTCTTCCTGGTCAACGAAGATACGACGTGCAAGACGTTCTCGACGAATGTGTAGACCAAGGAAACGCTGGACAGCTCCCAGATCAGTCATCTGGTATTCCAAAGACAGTCTCTGCTTGATGTTGTCGATGAACAATTTCGAGTCGCCCATGAGGAGCAAGTCGTCGACATACAAAATGATTAAGCAGGTGTGTCCTTCAGATTCACGAGAGAAGACATAAATTCCGGCATCCGAATACGTCCGTTTAAACCCTAAGTCGAGGAGAGACTTGTGGATCTTAGCGTTCCATTGACGAGACGCTTGCTTCAAGCCATAAATGGCCTTCTTGAGCAGACAGACCCAGTTCTCCTTCCCAGGTACAGCCCATCCTTCGGGCTGTTCCATGTAGATTTCCTCGTCAAGGTCACCGTTAAGGAATGCCGTCTTGACATCCATAGACTCAATCTCCCAATCTTCAAGTGCTGCATGCGCCAATAGATAGCGTACGGATTCAAACCGTGCAACAGGAGAAAAAGTCTCGGTATAGTCTTGACCCCATACTTGGGTAAATCCCTTTGCAACAACACGCGCTTTGTAGCGACCATCGTGTTTAATTGCATAAACCCACCGGCACTTGATAACCTTTCGGTTTTTAGGCCGTGGAACTAGAACCCAAGTCTTGTTGTCCATAAGCGACTTGTATTCAGAACCTTCAGATGCATGCCATTTAGCCTTGTCTTGAGACTCCATAGCTTCCCTGTGACTCTGGGGAACGCCATGGTTTGCTTCTGCTAGCATCCGCACAAACATGAGAGTTTCAGCCTCAGATTGTTGACGGCCTTGAGCATCGGTACGACGATCAATATTCACAGGTGGCTCGTCACCATAGGCATTGTCCTTGTTCCTCTTAGGATTTTGTCCAGCACCTTGACGACGTGGACGTTCGTACTGAGGTTGTGGAGGAGGTACAGGATCAGGTTGTGGTTGTGGAATGTCTCCCACTGGCTCTGGATGGTCTTCAGGTTCAGGTTCATGTTCCGGGATAGGAACGGGAATAGGTAAATCCTCAGAATCAGAATCCTCCGAGTTCGCATCCTCAGGAGGTTCATCAAACGGCTTATCCAGGGATTTCGGATTATTGCCTAAATCTTTACGTGCAGGAAATGTCTCTTCATCGAAGGTCACATCACGAGACACAACGATACTTCGAGTGGCCGGGTTCCAGAAACGATACCCTTTGGAACCTAACTCATAGCCAACAAAGATCATCTCGACAGCCTTCTTGTCGAGCTTCCCAGCTCTTTGTTCCTTCTGCACATGCACATATGCCTTGCACCCAAATACCCTAAAATACGAAATGTCCGGGACTGTGCTATCCCAGAGGGTAATGGGGCATTGCCAGTTAAGGCGTCGCATTGGTTGCCGATTATAAATGTGAACCGCAGTGTCAACAGCCAATTGCCAGAAACCATGGCTTAGTCCAGCATGATGAAGCATAGACATAGCCTTCTCGACAATGGTCCGATTCCAGCGCTCAGCTCTCCCATTCTGTTGAGGAGAGTATGGCATCGTCTTCTGATGTTCAATGCCAAATTTGCGCAAATGTTCGGTAAATTCTGCAGAGGTATATTCTCCCCCTCGATCCGAGCGTACAGCTTTGATTTTCTCGTTGGTTTGGTTCTCAGCCCATGCCTTGAAATCATCGAACGCTTGGGTCGAATCATTCTTATGTTTGAGGAAATAGGCGCGGCCAAGACCGGAGTAGTCGTCGAGAAAGCTGATGAAGTAGCGCCATCCACCAATAGCGGTGGTACGCATAGGACCGTCTTCGTCGGTATGAACAATTTCAAGAGGTTTTGAAGCTCTCTTGTCCGACGCGGGAAATGGAGCACGATGAGACTTGCCCCATTGACAACCTGCACAAGGAGACTTGTCCTTGTCACCGATAGAATCCACACCCTTGGTGTGCTTGGGTAGTTGACGGATAACTTCTTCAGATGAATGTCCGAAGCGTTGATGCCAAAGGCGAAAATTTGACTTGTCCGCAGACTTAGCCAATTGCGGTTTCATAATTTCCATGTGCAACATATAGAGATTGTTGAAGGGCGTGTGATGCGCCTCCATGATCTTGTTACCACGGATTCGGTCAGAACCATGCAAAATAGGTTGGTCAAAAATGACCATACGGCCTCCACCTTGAACAAGGGTGAAACCTGAACGTTCAATAACTCCAGTTGAAAATAGGCGACTAGACGCGGCAGGGATATATGCGACATTGGTGATAGTCGACACAATATGTTTCCCTTCAACATGCACAACGCCTTTGATAGTGCCTTCACCATAAGCTGCAATCTTACTCTTGCCGGCTGTGCTGAAAACCATGGGCTCCTCGTAAGGAGTGTAATCCCAGAAATCAGCCATGTCGTTGGTGATCGTCTTGGATGCACCAGAATCCATAATCCAATCAGTCGTTCTTCCTGATGCGGTGTGAGCCGCAGTATACCAAGAAGCAGTCATAGTATTCGCAGACGACGAGGAGGATTCTACAGTTACAACATTCGAAGAGTCCGACGCAGATGCAGTGTTAGAAGTACCAGAACTAGATTGACCATTTCCTCCGCTCTTTCCCTTTCCTTTGCCCTTGCCCTTGCCCTTGTTGTTCTTCCCCTTTCCGCCACCTTTATTCTGAGGGCGGAGATGCGGGTACTTGGTCCAACAATTCTCGCTACCATGAGCCCCACCGCAGTGATCGCAGGGGTCCTTGGATTTATGCTTGACCTGGGATGTCTTTGACGCAGACTGTCCCATACCGGACCGGCGAAGTGATTCCTCGGCGAGAATTTTGCTCTGGACTGAGTCGACCTTTAGATCTTTGAGGGTCTGCGTCGCTAGGAGCGCAGAGATCATTGACTGGTATGACTCTGGCAGCTTCGACAGAAGGAGAAGAGCCTGAGTCGAGTCACCGAGCGTAATTCCGCCACCACTAATCTCCTTAAGCCGGGTAACCAGCTTGTTGATCTGATCCTGCATTGGCTTGGAGTCAGACATTTCCGGAGATTTGATTAACGACTGGAAGAGAGACCAGACGTATGCCGTGTCGGGGGTGCCAAAAGCGGTTTTGAGCGAGTTCCACATGTCCTTCGCATCCTTGAGATCACCGGTGTCTTTCTCGAGCAGATGATGCATCGAGCGATCGGTCCTCATAAATAGAACACCCTGGGCACGGGCATTCTGAGTGGCGAAGTCCGCTGCGGGTGTGCCAGTTGCAGTAACGGCGGGCCAGGCTTGGATAAAAACCAAATAGCCGCGCATGGCGGCTGACCAATCAGCGTATTGGGACGCTGAGGAAAGCTTGGGGACATTGTCAGGCTTGACGTCACCCATGGTTGCGGATAGGAGGATAAATTCGTCTTGTGAGACGGATGGTAGTTCTGGGGTAAAAACTTCGAAGGGTAATTCCTCGAAGAATGGAGATTGAGGTCTCGACTCAGGGAGCGGGACTAGGTGTTCAGGATATGGAGGTAACTCCGAAAATTCACTAGCAAATAGGAAATTCTCCTGCCAAGGAGCGACCGATATTCCAGTTGAAAATCCTTCTGGAACTGGACCTAGAGGTTGATCGTAGCGATGTGGACAACTAGCGTCGTCACAGTTAATCCACTGATCTTCTTCGACGTCGAAATGATAATCGAAGTTCTCCTCGTAGTCGTAGAGATGATGATGGTCGGTGCAATCGTACGGTGGAATTACTCCGTTCGATGCTTCACTATTTGAGTCTCGGTCAAATGTCTCTTCTTGAGACGAAGCCACAGTGTGATGCTTAAATTCTAGGGACGAAGATATACAGAAAAAATGCGACTACAATCGCTTATCTACCCAGTACAAGTAGTTGTTCTTGTACAAGTCCCCTACGTCCTTGATAATGCGGCCAAAATTCTGGCTAAGATTTATGAAGGAAATCTTCGCAATCAGCTCGCAGACAGAACAGATGTCGTTCAATTCGACTGCAGACCACGTGGTTCCTTCCTCCTCGATATTCGTCAGCACCCAGTTGAAACGCCTGCCAAAATCGTCCAAGTTATCCAACAAGGGAAGACGGGCGTAGAGGCGGTTACGGTGGCGATAGAGGGGCTGAAGGCGCTTCTGGACGGCAAGGAGACGCTTGCACAGGATCTCGACTTTGTCAGCGGTGGACTTCTTGCGGAAGTCGGACAGGAAGATAGGCTTTAGAGCCGTGGGAACGATGGGAGTTTCTCCGCTAAGACGCTCAATGAGCGAAGCCTTGGTCTCGGCAGCAGCGGCACTAGCGGCACGAGCAGCAGCGAGTTCGGCTCGGCGAGAGCTTCGGCAACGTCCGCTTTCTTCTGCAAATACAAGAGGTGCTGCTCCGGCGAGGTGCGGCAGGACTCCTTGGGAGGAATGGACGTGTCTACGCGGCCAGAGGCTTGGCGGCGGCGACGAGGGGTAGGAGCGAGGATGATGTCGATCTGGCGACGGACGGGTAGATGACCGTACAAATGCCGATGACGTACGGCGATGACGTTAGAGTCGTCTTCGTCAACGTCGTTTCTCTCACGACGAGACGGATGATAAATTTCGTAATTGCCTTTTCGGGCTGCCCTAGAGATGCGCTCAGACAAGGCCTTCGGCACTATGTCACGCAGCGACTTAAAAATAGTCCAACAAAGGACAAAAAATGCCAACTCACTCTTTCAAGAGTTGGGCTTTGGAGCGCGCAAAGAGGGGTGCAGGTGATTAAAGAATCAGAGCGCAGGGCTCATAACCTGTTAAAGAAAGAGGTTTTAGGCTTAGTAAGCCAAGTGGCAGTGAAGGACTAAAGAGTGAGTGAACAGACCAGTCCCAAAGGGAAGATCCTATGCTGGCAGGCAGAGGAGAGGACGAAGGATCGTTTTTATTACAGGGCAAACCAGCCCAGTATATATACACATTTGATACAGGTCACATGCTGTATCAGTGGTTCATCAGTAAGCACTAAGTCCGAGGTTTTGGGGATATGAGTAAGCTGATAAGCAGCATGAGTAAGCCAAAACTCGGAGTTTGATGTGGAGAGATATATGAAACGTGATGGAACATCAGGAATAATATGAGACATGATGGAACATCAAAGAGTAATATAAGACGTGATGGGACATCAAGGAATGATATGGAACGTCATGGAACATCAAGGAATGTCGTGGAATATCATGGAATGATCCAGACTAAAGTCACATGATGTGATCTAGGCAAAGTCCATCAAAGAACGTATGTAATCTGACATCGCAGAATATAAGTCCATATCCGTACATAACTGATAAGATAAGAACACTGAAAACTCGGAAGTTCAACAACTGCGGCGCGCAGAAGTACCATGCGTACCTCCTCTGCAAGCATCTGGTCCACGCAACCGGGGATCTTCCGGCATCGTGGTGGGTACAAGTACAACGGTTTCATGTCCCGCCGTTCTACACAGTGCCCATCAACGGGATGATCGCCTCTCCCCCGGAGTCAAACACGAAGCACGCCTGGCTTGATAGAATGCCAAACACAGCGGCCGCAGAACCAAAGACGCCGAGCCCGGTCAAGAGCTCAAACTCGAAGTTGGTGCATGCCAACGGCACGGAGTCGGAGACGGAGATAGAGGAGTCCGCGTTACCGTCGGTGAGTTGCACTGTTGCGGAAAACCGTTCTACAGACAGTTAATTACATCGCACCCACTCGTTAGATCGACTCGTCACCTAACAAAGCGCCGCCAACCGGGCGCGACGGCCTCTTGCGCACACGCGCAGGCGGGAGCGGGGGCTTCGCGGTACGTAACAACTTACTGAATGTGAGTGTCGACACTGACTATGCCTCATGATGCCAGCTTGATGACGAGGACGCTGGTGACGTGCACGAGCAGGTGCGACTGCTGCGCCGTGCAGCCGACATACTGGAGGAGCAACAAGACTTAGCGGAACCGCGCTTCATCAAGAACGCGATGCGCGCGACGCATGGGGCTGTGAAGTGGGCGCAGGACATCGAGAAGCACGAGCGTCGCCGCACCATGCCCATTACGAACACCACAGAACGCGGACAAGCACTCCCTTCGAATGTTATTGGCTACAAATACATCGCGCGACGCTGACTGGGAGTAGTAGTACAGCGCGACTCTAATCTAATAACAACACTTAACAAATGTATTGAACGGTATAGTAGACTCTATGTTACTTGTACTCTAAGACGGCGCGAACGCGACTCAAACGCAAGGCCGGGGAGGTCGCACGGCGACTCGCGCCACAGCCGCCACAGCGGAGTGTGAAAGGCCCTGCAAACCCGGTGGGACATTAACCTCAAGTGAAGCGCTCGTACCTCGCGCTTCCTTCAAACACTCAAACAGTGGACACATGATTCAATTCCCAACTTCACAACACACTAGCGGCGTAGTACTCGACAAGCCGTAACTAGTGAGTCTACGACACGATACTAACTACATAGTAGCTACCTACATACGGGTAGAGTTCCTGATCGGTCAGTTTAACGTCTACTTGCACAGCATTGAAATAGCTGAATCTCGGAGGTTTCAGCGACGATGGTTGACTCGGACTCGGATGAAGCGATTTGGAACGAGGTAGGAATGCCGGACAATATCATCGAGTTCCTCGTCAACGACGAACCCACGACGGAGACTTCGACTCAGCCAGTAACAGAGGACCCTACTGAGCTTGCATCCGAGCGCTCCCCAGGAATTGAGCTGTCTGCAGAACAGCGTGCAGTCCTTGGATATGTAAAGTCGGGAAAGAGCATCTTCTTCACAGGCTCCGCTGGTATGTAGTCACGATCATACTGGGTATGTGAATGCAGAAGCTCACCATCACAAGGAACTGGAAAGTCCGTCCTTCTACGAGCAATCATTGAGTACTTTCGCGACGAATTTCGGAGAGACCCTCTGGACGCAGACGACTGGGATGATGAAACGGAGCCGCCTGACTTACGTCTGGCCATTACAGCTGCGACAGGGATTGCTTCTATAAACATAGATGGGTGTACCTTGCACTCGTGGGCTGGGATTGGCCTAGGGAAGGAAGATGCGAGACAACTAGCTGAGAAGATATTTTTCATCGACAAGAAGGTGAAGAATGAGGAATACCTCAAACGCGTACCTCGCTCGGAGAAAAAGATCACTGCTGCCGATAGGTGGAAAGAGGTCAAGATTCTGATCGTTGATGAGAGTGAGTGTGCTTAGATCTACTGCGCGTTGTACTAGACTCACGAGCGGCTAGTTTCCATGATCGACGGTGTCTTATTTGACAAACTTGTAAGTCCAAACAGGGGTTGTACCACACTTACTGATATAGCCAAAGGAGTACATTGCTCGGTTCATCCGTCGAAGCAAGCAGCCATTTGGCGGCATACAGGTACGACATGCACGTTTCCCCCAGAGTCTATCCCTCACGGCGATGATCCCAGTTGATCATTTCTGGAGACTTCTGTCAACTTCCTCCGGTGACTGAGAAGATCAGCGGCGTGTCAGAGCCTTGTGTATTTGCCTTTGAGGCGAATTCATGGCCAGATTGCATCGGACAATTAGTCGTCCTTCAACATGTGTTCCGACAAAGTGATCAAGGTAGGTCAATCTGGTGTTCAATTGTACGTGTGTACATTCTTGAGATCCCATGCAGCGTTTGTGGACATGCTCAACAAGATACGATTCGGTGACGTCAGCACAGAAATATGTCTGAAGTTCAAGAGTCTGTCAAGACCCGTGGTATATGAAGACGGGATCGAACCGACTGAGCTGTATGTCTACACATCCCTTGCGAAGATCCAAGTGGGTTGATTACAGCAATACGAAGATATCCTACCCGTGCACAAGTAGGAGCAGCTAACAGCGAGCGCCTCAACCAGCTGGCTGGGCCGTCACGACGATATGCTGCGAGAGATTACGCTTGTTCCGAAGAAGTGTTGTACAATCCCACTGCGATGGGGCACGTTGAGAGCGCATTGGAACGTCTCATTGCTCCGAAGGACATTACTCTGAAGGTGCCCTAGTAAAACTATTCTATTTAACATAGTGCTGACTTTTAACGTGATTGAGCAGGTCGGCGCTCAGGTAATGCTGATCAGAGTCGGTAGAATTTCTAGGATCAAGGAGCTTGACTGATAATAATGCATCAGAACCTCGTCCAAGGAGTTCTGGTGAATGGGACTAGGGGAAGAATTGAAGAGTTCATCACGGAGGAAGAAGCGGAGACTCGTTCCATCAAGAGCGCTCGTCTACCACCACCACCACCACCACCACCGCCTTCACCGACGCCCTCAGCGGAAGAGGTGGATTATACACCGCCGAATCGGAAACCACATATCGTACTGCGCCATGGATCATTCGACGCCTTAGATGGTCTGTGGCCTTTGGTCAAATTTGAGACGGGCGATATGTTGTTGTGTGATGATTGCAGCTTTGATGTCAAGAATACGGAGGGCAAGACGGAAGCTGTGCGGGATCAGGTAAGCCATATATTGAGTTTCAATCTGTCTTACTCATGAGGGCATGTGTAAGGTACCTCTGATCTTGGCATGGGCACTGAGCGTACATAAATCCCAGGGTCAAACGTTGCAGCGCGTACGAGTCAATCTAGGGCGTGCGTTTGAGGATGGTCAAGGTCTGTTCCACTACTTCCACACGTTTCGGTCCTGACAGTTGTACACCCCCAGCATATGTAGCGTTATCGCGGGCGACGAGTATGGATACACTCGAAGTACTGGAGTTTGATCCTTCAAGGTAAGACGTGTATTCGACTTGATGCAATGTGCCAGAGCTCAAGACCATGGGCGACAGAGTCACTGCGCATCCCAGAGCATTGAAATGGAACAGCCAGCTTCAACCCGCTGAACTGATTCTTCCTCGCATTACTGCCCACGACAGCGCACCACTTACGGTAGAAGATGGCCATGATGACGATGAAAGAGATTATTGGGCGGCGCTTGGTGAATGAGCCTTTCGTGTTCGAAATAGTTATCCAAAGGCCTCAACGTGGAACCCACTGGCATCATCGGCCCGATACTAGTATATCTCCAACATTTACAGCGGCGGTGTTGCGTTCATTGAGTAGCTCCGCTGATGAATTGGTATCATCCCTCAGAGTCCACGAATGGATGCCTTCCTGTGAGCCCGCACTAGCTCGTAGCCTTGCAATACATTACAACCTATCAATTCGCAGACGTCAAGCTTGTCTCGTCCTCCTCATATTCTCTGTTCCTTCGCGTCGTCTTGCACTCCTACTTGGTCTCGTTGAATTCGGAGAGCTGTCTTTACGCCATTATTGCACAAACTACATCATAAATCGGCCATACGAGTGTTAAGCCACTACTCAACAGATGTGTACTACTGTGGCAATCATAGGTACTAAGCATGTCCTCTGCGTCGCAACTGGAAAGATACGTCTTGCACAAACATGCCGTACATGAAGGCATTGTACATCTCAATCGTTTATGCCACAGGGTGCGTTTCGCTGGATGTTACAGCTCCCCCAGCTTGCACCGGATCATTCGCCTGGGTATCCGGTAGAGCCTGTTGTGTTACTACTGGCGACCTCTGCGTCTCTACCGACGGTCCTGACAATGATCTCCTGGCAGACTGCCTTGAATCCGGCCTTAGGCTGGCCAACTGACTCCTCGGCGACGCTGATGCCGACGCCGGGAGTGTCTCATGCTCATGCAATTCGAGGTTGCTCCCCCACGGTGCGAGATGTGGCTGCTCACGCACTTCGTGTCCTTCCCGCTCTTCCTGGACGCTCGACCCCCCTGTGCGAATGGAGACCGCAGGGGACAGCGGGCGAGGCGGTAAGCGAGGCGAGAGCAGCCAGTCTCTCCGCGGCGAAATTGGTTCCTCGGCATCCAGTTCACGCTGCTGCAGCAGCGGCGTCGTCTTTGGCGCGCGTCGCTCCCTGCTGACCTCTCGTGACCTAGATATACCCGGTGGAGAATCTTGCATTTGCGCTCGTGGCTGGACGGGAAGCGACTGCCGGTTTGGTCGCTGCGACATGGGTATGAGTGGTGCTGGCGGCGGCATGCCTGCAGACCGCTGTGATGGGTGGATGCTGCCTGTCGGTCGCGGCGGTAATTGCGGCCGGAAGTCTTCTGGCGGAGGCCCCCGCGCACTGACAAGCGCTGGGGAGTACGGAGGCGAGCGTTGTGGAGGGAGAGACGGAGAACGTCCGAGTCGCGGGCTACGTGATAATGAGCCGGATGGAAGCACGGGCGGTCCCATTGGGCCCAGAATGGATGCTTGGGATGATGCTCTGACCCGTGGAGATCCAGAAGTTGGTGAGCCAGGGGATGGGAGGGGTGAAGAGGCCGGGGCAATGGACAGAAGCTGAGGCGAACCCGTAGGCTGAAACAGGATATGCGCATTACTGATGAGGTCTTCGCACAGCGTATCCTGTTGTTGTAAGATCAGGCAAGCTCATGTGTCTCATAAAAATTGAGATAGATACCTTCCAAGAGTGCACGGCGAGCAGGTCGCCACCAGACTTTGGCATCTCATCCTCGCCGAAAATGACCGTGCCGAAGACAATCGCGAGGTTCTTAGCATCCATCTTGGTCCTCTCTGCATGTGCGACTACACGTGCGAGGTGCTCGACAAGGACCTTCAGTGTTTGCTGATGCACCATGGGCAATCTGCGAATCTTGCCCCGGATGACTTGGAAGTCATTCCCTCGGTGCTCCTCTGCAGCGGCATGAGAACCCACACAGCAGGTAGGTTGTATGTGACGGACGTACCGAGTTCCTCGCTATGAGCTAGCCGTTCGTGCAGTGGAAATCTGAACAGAGGCTCAGGAAGCTCACGAAGGTACATCTGTGTTGGCCGTCAGAGCTGGTGCGGTATATTATGGCATCACGGCCGCACCTTCAGAAGAGATGCTACAGCATATACATCGTCAATAGCGGGATTGAACTGGAAGGCCGATTCGTTCCGCTCGACCTTGTGTTGGAGCTGATCAATCATTCGCGTCAATCACATTGACACACGCAGATAAGACTCCTCTACATACCTCCCGCACGCTCGCATGTTTGCCAGACACCTTTTGGGCGGCTCCATATCAGCTCACGACACGGTAACCAATTGCAAACCAACGCACTCGATAGATCCCCTCGCACTCTAAGCCCCTCTTATCAATTTCCTTAACACAGATCCGCACGATCTTCGGCACTCCCTGTTCACCCTCGGCGCCCTGCAGATTCCTCGCCGTGGCGTAGTCCACGAGGCTCACGCCGAAGATCAAGTCCTTACACTCTCCGACGTTATAGTTGTAGTAATACACGGGCTTGGGAATAGCCGCGGCGAGCAGGCGCGGGATGTTGTATCCGACGATGGCGCTGTCGCGTGCGGAAGATATACGTTGGACCGAGCGTCGGCCGTGTTCGCAGATTTGGGACTGCGTTGCGCAAGTGGCACTGCGCAGAATACACAGTCAACGGGTGTCGCTGAGACATCAGATGTGACGGCGTACACCATGTTGTCGGTATACCTCTGAAGCACAGACTTCACTGTCTCCGCATTCTCGTGGACGAAGGTTTCCAAGCTCTACAAGTGCGACACTGAGTATCGTTCAACAGTCCAGAAGAATTTGGACTGACATTGTACCCCGACTCAAGTATCTTGACTCTCCGGAGACGGAGTGTCTCTTGCCAGTGCACGCCTTTCCGATATTCCCGGTCTTGATCCCAGCGGCTCAGTGTCACCCACACGCACGCATACGTCAGGGAAAAGCGCACCTGCTTCATCTGCATCCCGCTTCGCTCTCACGCTCTTCAACGCATTGTCCGACCGTCCCGCAAGGTCCTTCATGTTTCCTCCCTTGTCCAGGAAAGTCATCAACTGGTTGAGCTGCTTCTTTCCTACAATGCTCTGTCTCGCGTCATATCGACAAACGCGGGGAAGATAGCTAAGCACCTTGGTGAGCCAGGTCCTGCAATGCTGATGATGTACTCGTGGATGGAGAGCGGACATGGTTAGACGTTCCGCCGACTGACGGCCTTCGGTCGAGGGGACGCAGCGGCTGTGGGGCGGTGATTATCGCGGGGCGCGCCGAGAGGCCGGGGTTTGGCTTAACACCCGCAGAGTGCGGGGGTACAGCAAAGTGACCCTCTGTAGGTGAAAGAGGAGATTGGGTATTGAGCTGGATTGCGGCTTTGTATTCCTGTTTCGCCGTAGTTTCAGTGAAACAGGCGTAACTGAGACTCAGCGGAAGTGCTAACCTCTGCCTCTTGGCATTTCCTGAGGTAGTTCCGTTTGAGACGGGGAAGCACGTTCTCTGAATAATCGGTATGTGCTGTCACAGCGTCCTTGAGATCCTCCTTGATACGCTTCCGGATGCGGTCTTGGGTTTCCTGTGCTAGTGTGCATACGGTTTCTGGTACGATGAATAGCTTGTGAACTGACCCTAAGTGTCATGAGAGGGTTGATAACGTCGGCCGTCAATGCACCAAGGAACGCCACGCGCGTATCGGCCTCTGTAGCAACGATGCTTCAATTACTGTGCAACCGAACATCGCTCCGGGACGCACCTCTCGCCACATTGTCCCTGATCTCGTTCCATGCAGCCCTTGTCGTGCTGGAGTCTCCACGCCCTGGGTCGTCTAGAACTGTATCCGCCGCCTTGACCTTTCGGTGTAGCCGAAGCAACGCCTCCACACTAGACATCTCGTTTAAACCAAACGGCGTCGTCGTCTCACAGACAGACTCACTAATGCTCCTCGACCCTCCGTCTGCAAAGCATATATCAGTTCTAATCATGGGTATAGGTTTCTACATGCGTACCGTTCCAGAAAGAAGCTGAGGTATGACTCGGACAGGAACTTGAGATGGAGGTCGAAGAGGGCTATCGCGTCTTGCTGGGGCGGATCAGACGTTGACGGTCGGCTAGAAGCTTGGCTTTCTTGTGATCCAGACATAAAACTAGACTGGGCATGCACGCAGAAGTTGGGTAGGGGATGCGGAGGAGAGGGAGAGGGAGGGCACACGAACGCGAAACTGGAACTGGAAGCGGAGAACGACCACGTGCACCATATATGTATGGCACCGCAAGCGGGTGACGCACTCCGATCGCCCACCACACGCGTCTCCGAATCCCGAGAACGCGTTGATGCAGTGCAATTGAGTGCAATACTTGCTTGTTTGCAACGACTCAGACGACCTTGGGTTCTACCGAGAAACTGTAAGGTTCGACTCCATGCATCATACTTATGTAGTACGCTTCTGAAGTTGTGTCCGACGTCTGTAAGTATATTATGGGGAACGTACTAGTACTGACAAGAGATACGGTGTACTACGTATACGAGTAGTGCAAGAATCAGACCGACATCTGCGGGTCTATAACTATCCGTTACGTTCGGACCAAATTTCGAAACGATATGCGCCACACAGGGTCATCCACGTTGTTATGACAGACTCTGTAAGTCTGCACGAGCAAGCTATAGAGAATACCAGTCCGTGAGCATAGTTTACCGAGGTCACAGATACTCACAAGTGCCTATACGAAACTCAGCAGACCTCTCGGCTATCTTGGTTACAGCCAGTGATGCTCCTCAGGTTCAATCGTGAATCCCATCGAGAGCGGCTCGAGCGGCCCGATGCTGTCGTCGTCTAGCGGACGGATCACCATTGTGGAGGATACCACCCCGACGCGCATCCCCGCCGTCAGTGTTCGCACCAGTCGCGTCTTCAGAGGCTGAATGAAATCAGGTTTCCCTCTGCCCGCAGGCATGACGATGCTGTAGAAGTGGAAGGTGATAGTCAACAAGGGACACCCCTTGTGAACAGACGCAAGGGCCTGGTCGAGACGAGGCCAATCAACGTAATTCCAATCATCAGAAGTGTCATCGATTTCGAAATGCAGGTGAATGTCGCGCAGCTGGCCGGAAGGAAGCCCAGAAACGAAGGTGGGCAACGCGGCGAAAAATGGTTCATCGACCTCCCAGCGGAAGACAAAGGTCAAGGTCGTGAGTCGGTGATAACGTGAGAGATCGAGGTCCACCAGCCATGCTAGCATTCCAGCAATACAGGTCAATCGAGTTGCCTCACATGAAAGGCAACGACTCACTGTCTTCTGGGCATTGCACCTTCAGGGATTCCAAAGCCGTCTCCGACCTCCCCAAGACCTCCTTCAGAAGGGACGTATCGTCGATTTGTCGTCGCTCGATTATACAGCTGTCCCATGTGATTCGACTGAAGCTGACTTCGAACGGAGGCAACAGCAAGGAGCCCACGATTTGGCCGAGAATTGCTGGCGAGCTAGTATTGAAGTCCGCTACCAACGTCCGAATGCCTGTGCCGAGTGCACCGACGCAATGCCGCAGGTCCTCGATTTCATCGCTGGGCTCCGTCCTAGAGTCCTCGGGTACCATAGGCTGTATGATCATCTGCAAGTCCAGCCGGGAGAGTCGCGGAAAGAGGGATATGAGTAGCGTGAGTTCTTGCGACGAACGTAAGACAAGGTTGTCGATGAGGAGCTCCCTGAGGTCCGGGAATGGAAAGAACGCAGCCAATGCCTCGCGCAAGCTCCCAACGCCTGTCTCCGCGCGCAGCAGGTCGATGAAACCCATCCATTCGAAGGCGTACACCCGCAGGCAAGTGAGGTTGCGCAGGCCGCGCAGTATATGGCGCACCAGCTCCAAACGCTGCCCTTTCCGTTCGCCTCGGTTCCCGCTCACGAACGCCATGCCGGGCAGTCGGAGGTCCCGTACGTAGTCAGCGATTCTGGTGTGAGTGAACGCGGAGGTCTCCAGGGCATTGAGGAAGCGGAGGCAGTCCGGTACCCGCCTGAGGCAGATACACCCGAAGAGGTGCAGTCTGGTGACGGGAAGCCAGCTTTGGGATGTAAGACTGCAAGCTCTGAGAGCGACACGGTCATCGTGGAGATAGTCGACTATGTATTCGTGTAGCTCAAGCGGCAGTTGCAAGTGCAGTGGTGGTAATGACATGAGACAAAATGGCGTTGTCCGGTGGCGCGCGCGACGACCGTACGCCCGTACCTACTTATATAGTCGACCCTGAGTCGACCGCGACTACAGTAACATAGTACTTACGTACCCGTGCGCCGCGCGTGGCTAATTGAAATATCATATATCATGATTGAGAAGCTTCCGACGACTCAGTTGACCGCTGGCGAGCTGGGAACGACAAACTCAGCTCACAATCGACGATACCACGATACCATGAAGAAGACTCGAAAGATGAAGTTGTTGCCAGTGCATATTACTTGATGTCCCATTGACTGTGGTACCGCTTGAAATAGATCTTTATATTGAATGGAATAATCATATTCGATATCTGCATTGTAACGGATTATGACCGTCACTTTTGACGGTTCGTACGATGGGCATTCTTCTGCAGGTTGGTCATAGAGCATATGGTACTGCGCAGGCAGCTCCTCGACGTCAGACATGACCCAGCGCGAGCCTCGGATATACCTCCACGCTAACCGGCACTGCGCTGGCCACCGAGTCGGGAGCTGATCAACGAGCATCTGGAACACATCAAGTACCTCGTATGGCCGTAGCATTACTTGGACCCGAAGACTAAGCTCGAGGGTCGGGTATCTCTTGTGTAATGAGATGAGGGCGTTGTCGAGCTGTGGCCAAGGGAAGTTTAGCAAACTCGACCGAGGCTCGAAGGTCATAAGGGAAAATAACAATTGTAGTCGACGTAGGTGAGGAGCGTCGAGCGTGGCAAGGAATTCCGGGAGATAATCGAATTTGTTCGGGTAGTCGGGATGATCGATGTTGCAGGTGGATAGACCGAGGGTCAGACTAGCCAACCGTGTAAGAGACGATATGTTGAGGTGATGAAGCCAGTCTGCAATATTTCGCATGAGATGTGTTGAAGTCGAAGAGATAGGAGACTTACTGGCATGGTCGAAGTTGATCTCACACGCTTCCAAAACGTCGCTCGAGACGCGGATCGAGTCCAGCAGGACGGCGACATCAGACACCGCGTGCGGGTACCCAGGGTTGAGTTTAGTATCGAGGTCCCAACTGATCCTTCGAAGACGCAGTTTGATAGGGGGGGGGGGGGGGGGGGCAGCAGCCTCCGCACAAATTGCATGAAAGAAGGAACATAGTCATAGCAATCGACGTGTAGACTTTCAATACGTGTGCGGTATGCTTCGTCACCGATGGCTGAGATATCCTGAGTTATCTCCATGCCCTCCAGTCGGACGTCGGAGAGCTTGGGAAAGGCGGCGAGCAGGTGTAAGAGATCGTCTTCAGATTTGAAGGTGATGCCGTCAAGCCATAGTTTCCTGAGAGTCGGGGCTGGGGAGAGGGAAGCGACGGCGGCGCAGAGAGACGCGCTCGCAGTTTGCTGGGGTGACCGTGCTGCGACATCATCCACACTTTGCCACTCACAGTTCGCGAATCGAATTTTCAAGGACTTGATATTGACGAAACCTCGAAGGAGTTGATTGGCTGGGGGCCAATTCGCATGGCCGTTGTCGAAGAGTCGCAAGGTCAACTCGCGGACATGCATTGCGATTCCAATGGACGACAATGCCTCTATAGCCGCCGATAGCCTTGCAATGTTGTCCGATTGCCATCAGAGGGTGAGCTTGCGAAAGAGGTGGCGACGCGCGAGCGGGACCCATGCACGGCAGACCAAGCTACACATCCGAAGGCTTTGTCGCCGTGGTTCGTCTCCCAAGTGTTCGAGTATGCGGCTATGCAGTTCGAGCGGTAGTTGGCGGGGCATGCTGCACCAGGACAAGTCGAATGTCAGGAACAAATGTGCGCAAGCCAACCGTGGACCTACTTTCGTATCACACAACTCGGGAGGACGCTGGTGACAGTGGTAGTGGCAATGCCAGTGGCAAAGATGACCGTGTGGGACGAGTGCTGCGTGCAGACGAGTGCGACTCCGCAGGAACGCGCACATGTGGCGATCGGGCCACTAGATCTGGTTGGTTCTCCGAGAAAGTCGGATACGCTGAGGTCAATCTGCAAATCACTGGCAGCCAGCGTCCGCATGAGGGCTGCGACCCATCTCCCCCTCCAAAATCCAGGAATTGTCTACGATGATATACAGTATGCAATCTTGCCATTCTTACAATTCAGGTGCACGTCCGGCATCACAACGATTATTTAACCCGTTGCGATAATGAGCCGCGTGCAGCTGCCAGGATCATCGTTTACTCCGAGACTGATCAGGGCGCCCGACGTTGGCCCGACGCTGACTCGAAGCGCTCATCTATATAGCCTCTACCCCACTTGGGTCCGGGACGCAAGCTCGTCTGCTATTCTCTGGTGGCTGTATTCCTCTCGTAGGCCGGCGATGGAAAGTCAGGGCTATCTGGCCAGCCTCTGGCAGTCGACCTGGGATACGTCTCAATTCTATCTAGGACAAGCCCCGAGTTCCGCCAGGCCGTTCACTCCGTCGAGTGTGTCGCAGCTAGCGGGTGCAACGTACGTCGCCCCATGTCGTCGCGAAAGATGTCTCACCCCCCTCTCCGCACAGTACTGTCTTCACAGATAGTCTTGTATTCCCTGGGTATGCGGCAACAGCTTCGCTGCTCGTGTTGTTCGCACAGCTCGTCGCGCGTTCGGAACCAGCGAAGACGTTATACAAGAAACTTGCGACCTCGGACGCGGACTCGGTGGATGGGACAGAGGAAGAGGACACAGCCGATGTCGCGACGGAGCCGCAGCATTCATCTGTCGTTACACGATACACAGCTCAGTATGGTGGTCCGGTCATCTTCGCCTATCGTGTTCTCCGCCTCCTGTGCACACTTGGCCTCCTTGCCTTGTCCATCTTCACTGCAGTCGTCAGTGCTCACGAAGGCTCTGCACCTCTTGGCTCTCTCACCCTGCCGCACGTTGCACTTTGTCTGGCCTATGTGAGTAGACTCGGCGGGGGCGGACGTTTTTCCTGCTGACGCTTCTCCCCTCCCCCCCCCCCCCCTTCATAGGCATATGCGTCAATTCTCGGTGTGATCTCTGTCATAGTGAACGCGAACGCCGCTAAACTCGCGACGCACCACCTGGCTCTGGTGCTTGCGTTCACTTGGGCTATCTTCGTCTACCGCGACGTCTGGCCGCTTGCCACCTTCACTCTTCAGCCAGTAGATCGCGCAGAAGGCGGGCTGCTGTGGGCGAAGTTTGCTCTCCTCACGGTTGCCGGTGTGGCGGTGCCCTTGCTTGTTCCTCGCCAGTACACACCCGCTGACCCCAAGGACCCATGGAAGCCGATTCCAGAGCAGACGTCGTCACTGCTCTCGATGATGCTGTTCCTCTGGATGGATCCGACTGTCATCGAGGCGTACAAGGTCCCACACCTACCACTCGACAGGCTCCCGCCGCTCGCCGACTACGACAGCGCGAAGCACCTCGTCAAGCGCAGCTTCAAGCGCCTCGACCCGTTCCAAGTGAAGAACCAGCGGCACCTGTTCTTCGGGCTGATGTCCGTGTTCCGCACGGAGTACATAGTGCTCGCGATCACGTTGTCCATCCAGGTTATCACGGCCTTCGCGAGTCCGCTCGGGATCAGGAATCTCTTGCGCTACCTCGAGGCGGACGGCGAGGGCGCGGTCGTACGGCCGTGGGTGTGGATTTCGTGGCTGTTCATTGGGCCGATGGTTGGCTCGGTCGCGCTGCAGTGTTACATCTTCACGACTACCCGCATGCTCGTGCGCACGACGAGCATCATCACGCAGCTTCTCTTCGAGCACTCCCTGCGCATCCGCATGAAGGCTGAGGTGCCCGACTCGCCTGCGAGCAGCACTGTCACCACGGCCGTCGGGACGCCAGACAACGCGTCCATCGCGGAGACTGAGGGTGTGCCCTCGCAGAGCCCCACTGAAGGCGAGAACCACAGTCCGGCGGGCAGCGAAGACGAGACGGTACGCGCTAGCACCATCAGCGTCACTTCGACTTCAACTACTGCCAAGGGCAAGAGAAAGTCCAAGGCACTCTCCCAGGCGGGGGAAGGTAAGACGGAGGGGCCGAAGAAGAGCGAAGAGGCGAAGGGCGGAAATCTTGTTGGCAAGATAAACAACCTGGTCACAACGGATCTGGACAATCTTATCAATGGACGCGACTTCTTGTTCATCGGTGAGTTTACTTTGACATGGCGCGCTTGATTGGCTCGGCTCACCGCCCGAAAGTGATCGAAATCCCATTACAGCTTTCCCTCTGCATATGGTTCTTGTATTCCATTCTCGGCTGGAGGTGAGGCTTCATCCAGGTTCGTTATAAGATACTGTACTGAGCCTACCGACGCAGCGCATTCGCCGGTATGGCGACGATGGTGCTACTGTTCCCGCTCCCCGGCTACGTCGCCGGCAAGATTCAGACCGTCCAGGTGGAGAAAATGAAGACAACGGATCATCGCGTACAGAGCGTCACGGAGTGTGAGTGACCTCCCCTTCCATAACAGCAGGAGCGCCTCGAACCCTTGATCCTATAGCAATGAACGTAATTCGCATGATCAAGCTATTCGGATGGGAGCCTCGTGTCGTACAACAGCTCTCAGACAAGCGCGAGCACGAGCTGTTCTACCAATGGAGGTATAGGATGCTAGGGCTCATCAACGCAAATCTCAAGTGCGTCTTTTGGCTACGCCCCCTGCTGATTGCGAGCTGATTTGCGCTCAGCTATATCATTCCATTGATAACGATGATAGTCACGTTCATAACATATGTCAGTGAAGTGCGGGCTCCTAGCTGACAACCATATTGACGTAGTATTCTCAGTCTCTGGTCATGAAGAGGGAGCTGACAGCGTCGACGGTGTTCTCAACCATGTCAGGTACGATTCTGCGTCATGTCTATATGATCTCGCTCACCGGTCTACAGTCTTTGATATGCTCAGGCAGACTCTGCAAGGCGTTTTTGCCCTCGTCCCTGCCATCATCCGAGGTACTGAAAATCGTGATGTCTCAAGGCCTTGTCTGACTCCACTCAACAGCGAAGGTGTCTCTCGACCGTGTGGATGAGTTCCTCAAAAAGGTAAGATCACAATTTCACTCCCACAAAACGACCGCATTCATAGTTGCGTTCTTTTCTCAGACCGAGCTGCTCGATGAATTCTCTGCGGACTCTCATGAAGCCGAAGCCCTGATCCCCAAGACACTCGTCACTCATGACATCATCGGTGTTCGCAACGCTGCGTTCACTTGGACGAACGAGAGCCACGGATTGTCAACGCCAGCGTCGCCGGGTACACCTGGCCGGTCGCGGAGGAACTTCGTGCTTCGTATCGATGACGAAGTACAGTTGAAGCGCGGACACGTCAACCTCATCGTTGGACCTACGGGATCGGGAAAGACCTCGTTCTTGATGGCTCTGCTCGGTGAGTCCAATAAGGGATCGGAGTTCCGAGAATGAAAAGCTAACATGGGTATAGGTGAGATGCACTACATCCCATCGGGGCCTGACTCGTACTACCACCTGCCTCGCACTGGTGGCGTTGCGTATGCAGCGCAAGAGTCGTGGGTGCAGAATGAAACCATCAAGGTAGGATGCACGCTTCCATAGGCGTTTGGCCGTGCTCATCATCTCAAAGGATAACATCTTGTTTGGTGCCCCGTATGATGAGGAGCGGTACAACAAAGGTAAGGCACTTCAACTCGCTGTTCCGGAGGAGCGACTCAACGGAGGACAGTCATTGATCAATGTGGCCTGTCACGTGATCTCACTCTCTTTGAGGCCGGAGATCAGACTGAAGTTGGCGAGAAGGGGTTGACTCTGAGGTAACGTCGCCCATCCAGCTAATTTGCCTCTATGCTCACCGTAGACTATCATTCAGTGGTGGCCAGAAGGTAATCGAATTCTTGACTTCCCCCCATACACAACTGATCCACATCTAGGCTCGTATCACGCTCGCTCGTGCTGTATACTCATCCGCGGAGATTCTTCTCCTTGACGACGTGTTGGCCGCTCTTGACGTCCATACTGCTAAGTGGATAGTGGACAAATGTTTCAAAGGAGACCTCATTCGTGGCCGGACTGTGCTATTGGTGGTACGCATCACAACCCTCCTCTGAACATGTCACGCTGAGCGATGTATCCAGACACACAATGTGGCGATGGCCAGTCCAATTGCCGATTTCGTTGTGTCCCTCGGTACGGACGGCCGGGTCGCCGGTCAGGGAACCCTGTCAAAGGTGTTGGCAAAAGATAAGGAACTATCCAAGGAACTCGACGAGGAGACCAAGGGTATCGAGAAAGCCGAGCACACCGTCGACGATCAGCAACCGAACGACGAGCCAGAGAAGTCGGACGGCAAGTTAATTATGTCCGAGGAAGTCTCCGTCGGGCATGTCAGCTGGCCAGCGTGTGCGTATCTTTGTTTCTCGTCGTCGATAGCGACGTTGCTTACGACGGAGCAGTGAAGATGTTCTTCTCCAGTCTCGGAGGCGCGCACCAGTTCACTTTCTGGCTGCTATGCATAGGTACTCTCGTGTTGTCCCAGCTATTCGACACACTTGAGACGTGGTTCCTTGGCCAATGGGCTCGTCAGTACGAGGAGCATGATCCTTCTGAGGTCAACGTGCCCTTGTGAGTAACTATCTCTTTCGGGATATGCGAAGTTCAACCCTGACATCGTGTGACCAATAGCTACTTAGCTGGGTATGGCATCCTGCTGCTGTGCTCGGCGACCACCTACTGTATCGGTTACATGGTTTACGTTTACGGTGCTTTGAGGGCTTCACGCTCTATACATGTATCGCTCGTCCAATCTGTCCTTGGAACCACTCTCAGGTCAGTGATAGCCTGCCTTAGACTTGTCTTCGACTAATGGCCGGACTTACCAGGTGGCTGGATATGACGCCGACATCTCGTATCATCACTCGGTGTACACAAGATATAGCAGCAGGTCATCATCTTAACCTATCAGACATAGGCTGCGTGTACTTACTACAATCACAGTCGATGGACCTATCACTGACTACTTCCGGTCGGTCGTGGAATTGACTGCGGCGATGGCGTGCAAGCTCGCCGCCGTCGTTGTCATGTCCCCGATTTTCCTCTTCCCTGGTGCATTTGTAGCGATCGCTGGCGGGTGGCTTGGACAGGTCTACATGAAGGCGCAGCTGTCGGTGAAGCGTGAAATGAGTAACGCACGATCTCCCGTTCTGGGGCACTTCGGTGCTGCTATTGCCGGACTGAGTGCGTGATTTTTTAACTGCCGAGCATTATTCCAGTTGACTCCCCCTTTAGCTTCGATTCGGGCATATGGGGCGCAGGATGCGTTCAGGACAGAGTCGTACGCGCGTAGCGATCGATGGACCATTGCTGCTCGTACCTTTTACAACCTAAACCGGTGCGTACGAGTTGATAAAGGCTACGTGTCGGCTGACTCAGATGAAACGGCAGGTGGATTTGCATCCGTATAGATGCTTTGGGGGCCCTGTTTTCTACCGGTCTTGCTGCTTACCTTGTGTACGGAGGCACATTTAATGCATCCAACACCGGGTTTTCTCTCAACATGGCAGGTCAGTGCTCTGTCGTATCGGAAGTCGCTCAGCTTCGCTGAATATCGCATCAGTTGGTTTCAGCGGCATGATTCTGTGGTGGGTCCGTATCTTCAACGAGTTCGAGGTGTCAGGTGAGTAGCATATCCTGCCGTCAGCTTTTTTGTCTGTACTGACACGTCTCCACAGGCAACAGGTAAGTCTTGAGCACCATGTGCATGTCTTTGCCTCTCACATCTACCCAGCTTGGAGCGTATCGAGCAATACGTCCACATTGAGCGAGAGCCAAAGCCGACGGTTGATGGTATTCCCCCCGCATACTGGCCTGCAAGTGGTGATTTGAAAGTGACCAAGTTGTCTGCTCGTTACTCTCCGGTGAGTTCGGTGAATTCTCAGACGAATATCGTCTCACTTTCGACATAGGATGGTCCTCGTGTCCTGCACGAGCTGTGTTTCGAAGTCAAGTCAGGCGAGCGTGTTGGAATCGGTACGTGTAGAACCTCATTAAGGACCCGTGCAAAGCGCTTACGCTGTGTCGCAGTGGGTCGGACGGGTAGCGGCAAGGTCAATGGACCAAGTTAGCCAATATGTGCATCCACTGATACGTGACCATACAGAGTTCGCTGACACTTTCGCTGCTGCGATGTATCCTCACGGAAGGCAAAGTATACTATGATGGGCTGGCTACCGACGAGATCAATCTCGACGCCTTGCGTTCAAATATTACGATCATACCTCAAGTGGTATGTACAGTCCAGTTCCGCGCGCAACTATCAAGCTCACGCCGTTGGGGTTCACTAGCCTGAGCTACTCAGTGGTACACTTCGCCAAAATCTCGATCCATTCGAACAACATGATGATGCTGTGCTAAACGACGCACTGCGCGCCGCCGGGCTCTTCAACTTGCAAAGTGAGATGGACGAAGGACGAATCACCCTTGACAGTCAAATCTCGAGTGGCGGGGGCAACCTATCAGTCGGTCAACGACAAATCCTTGCGTTGGCGAGAGCCATTGTTCGCCAAAGCAAGCTGTTGATCCTCGATGAAGGTCCGTTTTCCTGCGCTATCTCAGTCCTTGTTTACTGACTGAGGTCATTCAGCAACGTCTGCGATTGGTGCATTTGTTTACTAAGAAGAAGAGAGGTACAATCTACTGACACTTGCATCAGATTATGCAACGGATACCGTGATTCAAGAATCTCTACGAAGAGAACTGGATAAGGGTGTCACGCTGCTCACGATTGCTCATCGTTTACAGACGATCATGGACGCAGACAAGATTGTGAGTGACATGTATACAGTTCTGTGTTCCATGCGACTAACTCGTACGCAGATGGTTTTGGATGCTGGCCGTATTGTAAGTCATGAAATCGACCCCTTTACCGATGACCCGTTTGAATGAGCTTCCTAGGTCGAATTTGGCAGTCCTAGCGAGCTGCTCAAGGAACCAAAAGGCATGCTCAAAGCGCTGGTAGACGAAAGCGGAGACAAAGACACGCTTTATGCCATGGCAAACAAGGCTGCATCCACTTCATGAAAAGAGTGCTAATTCGATTAATGGCTCACTTACTTAGTCTAGTTTTGAGAGCGGTCGCTCGGGACACGGACAGAATCTGTATCTTTATATGACGATAGATGAAGGAGACATACAGTCCGATATATAAGTACGAGTATAAAGTACAGTGTCAGAAGCGATTGGTCCAAGACGGTAGTAGGCCAACAACGATTATGACATTATCAAGTCATCATCCGTGGAAGACCCGTTCAGGAGAAAGCCCGGACGCATGTCATGAGCACAGTTGAACACGACATCACGACCCGGGGCCGCGATCTGTCTTCTGTACTCGAGATGCTTGGAATGGCTCACGGCCGGGTGGTCAATTGTAATCGAACTCGTCCCAGTATTCCCTGTCTTCTTCAGGCTCCTCCTCCTCCTGTAGCCGCGGGTCAACCCCCGTCATCTGGCTCATCCACTGGAGTACTCTTGGATGGGCAACGACCCTGCGACATCGTTAGTTCGCCTGCCAACGCCCTAGACAACCAGGACACAGCGTGTGTACATACTTGGTTGGATCGAAGCCGTGTACCTCGAGTGTGTTCATGCTCGTCGCTCTGGACAGTGCAACGTACGCTGCAAATGGCCGAGTTCATTGATGAGTGACGAGAAATGGCGTCATGACGGACCTTGTCCCTTCTCGAAGACACGCCCGAGATTGACGCGAACACGTTCCAATGTCTGCCCCTGAGACTTGTGAATGCTGAGTGCCCAAGCCAAAATGAGCGGTATCTGTGCCAATGGAGCCATGAGTCAATGTCATGAGTGGATTCGCCTGCAGGCTGCACGTTCGCACCTGATCGCGCGCCGCCTCCACTCTACCCTCCCCATTGATGACTTCGAAGGAAGCAGGGATACACAGCGTGCGCCTTTTGGCAGGAAAATCGACTATGGGGAACTGGTAGTCAATCTCAAGCACGTCTTCAGAAATCTTCTCGCGGCTCCCGTCGGCGAGCTGTGTCCGAGCGATGTCCACTCCACGGGCATGTGCATCGCGGGGGGTGCTAAAGGCGACTACCCGCCCTACGGAGCCGTTTACGAGCTCGCCTTGGACGAGGTTCTGACAGGCCGAGGATTCAGTAAGCCCAACACCGACGCATGCAAGCCGACTGACCTTGATGAGCATGACCTGAGCACCGGTCTAGAACAATCAGCGGGGCCTACATCACAGCAATCACATCGAGATGTTACCTTTAGTACAAGCTCTTTGGGCGCGACCAGCCGGTCCAGCAGATTTCGAGCCCTCTCCGCAGTGATCTCATTGCCATTACCATCCCTCCCTGACCTATCGATGGCAAGATACCTGTGCGGTGAGTCGGGGAGCTGTGCAAGACGCGCGTTATTGGCGATTTCAACTTCTCGCCGCGTCGGAAACCTGGAGTTCAGTGTTTGAATGCCACCTCAACGATGCGGAATATTTAACGCACAGGTCAGTGGGGTCAATACCGTCATCGTAGGTCACTTTGCGAGAGAGCTTCTTGAATTCAACGATTGTTTCTGGAGTAAGGTGTCCGAACCGCATAGAGTTCAGCATGTCGACGAAAGCTATGATGAGTGTGCGTTAGCGAGCGTGAAATCGAGTACAGACGTATTCCTTGCCTTGGTCTTTCTGTCGGAACACACGACGGAGGACGACCGGCCGCCCAACGCAAGCACCCCACGAATCCGCATCGAAGGCAAACTTGGCTGATTGCTGACCACTGTCCGGTACAGGTGGTAATTGGCAGAAATCGCCAGACAAAACGAGCTATTGCAGTCTAGAGCATGAGTCCGCGTTCGTATCAGGGACGCGAGCGTACCTGTATACCGCCAAAAGGACGAGGGTTACTCCGTATTCCACGACCGATGAATTCCTGAAATTGATGTCATGCGTATGCAGTGAGATGAAGGCATAACACCCACTAGTTTGTCGAAGAGATCACCATCGATCATCGAGACTACAACCGAGGATCATTGGTGAATCAAAGTCAGTTCGTCACGACTTCGACACTCACTCTCGTCAACTATAAGCGTCTTTACTTGTTTCCACCTTGAGACGACTCTGGTATCAGTCTTCTGCCCATCGGGCATGAACCGCTCTTTGTGTCTTAAGTACTTGTCATGACCGAGGAGTTTCCCAATAATCTGTTCTTTACTCTCCTTTCCGAGCCCAATTCCGGCCCAGGAATGCAACGTGCATCCGCCAATGTTGACAGCCGCAATCCCCGTGGCGGCAGTAATCGCCAACGAGTTTGAGTGGCGGCCACCGCAATGTTGGATAATCTCGCGCAGAAGGACAGATTTCCCCGTACCTGGTTAAAGCTCAACATGATAGGCTGTAGGACACTGTTCCCGGAATCCCTGCACGTACCAGCAGATCCGGTGAAGAAGACATTCTGCCCAGACTTGACCAGATTCAGTACGGCATGCTGCTCGGGCGATAGAGTGATTTTAGGTTCGGACATGTCCTTGACCATGGATGCCGTCGTCACTGAGCCGACTGTCGCCGATGGTTCATCCTGGATCTTTGGGGCCCTAGCAGTTCGTCCGTTATCCCTGGTCGAGGAGAGGGCATGACCCGGCCTCGGTTGCGCAGCCTCCTCGTTGACATGTTCTTCATGTGAAATTATGAGGCTCATATCTGCCGAACGTAAATCATCTTACCCGTATCATGATGAATAAGGGTCGTTCCGAGCCATGACTGCGCCTCAGACAGACTGTTGAAGCTCTTGTGTACTGCCCCAGGATACCTAGAGACCTTTCGCAGCGCTGTTTCACCAGCCATCCATAGCTTCACGGAGGAGACCTCTCACGTTCTGCTTCGCCTACATGCAGGATAAGGAAGTTCAGCGAGGAAGTTCAGCGATGGTGTCGGATAACGTGCATCTACCACCGACCTCTTCCCAGGACGTGTAAACTTGAGGGCCCTGCCTGCCTATCTTCACTGCGTAAAACTTATTCTTAGACCCCTTTGCCATGAGATGAACTCGGTCGAAGGTGCGACCTTGTTCTGTGCGTTGTGTGGTGGCATGCTGCCACAGCATGCCGCAAGACGCGACAGGAGGACGCGTCGCGTTGAGTTCACGTGATGGTGATCCCGATCCCTGGCTGCCTTGTATGGTAGCATCGTGAGTTACTGAAACCTACAGCTGCAGGCTCTTCCAACTGCAGAGGCAATATGTAGACCACATAGCATCGGTTACGACAACAGAAGAGCTATGTACAATTGGGAAGAGGTACCGGTTTGTATCTGACGCCATTCATCCATGCAGGTCAAGGCTGAACCTTTTGATTGGATCGCCCGGGCCCGGGTTACACTGCCAGCAGTACCTCTGTTCTCTAGTGGCCTCACAATTAACGCATTCTTGAGTCCGCCTCTCGTTGATATAACCGTCAGAATGAAATTTCAAATGCTCTTGCAACAGGGTTCTTCCCGCGTCAAGGGGCAGATGTTCTGTTCAGTACTGCTTCGTATCGTCCGGTAGATGGTTTGAATAATCGCGACTTCATCGTTATCACAGCCCTGTAACGTCAGTGTGCGTTTTGTTGGTATTCTGTGCTGAAGGTGGCGCCTGACATAATCTTAAACAGCTCACTCATCATCATGAAGGTATAAGTGTATCTGTGTGCCATGGGACGCGTGAGACTAGCTAAACTGACTCTTCAATAGTACTTGAATATGCCAACGCATTCGAATTCCTCACGAACCTCACCAGTAGAGCGCGTGTGTAAGAGGGCCTTCCTAAGGTGTCATTGAGTCGCATGGAGGGCTCAGCGCTCAGGCCTCAGGATCGGGCACCCTCGCGACAATCAATGGCACCGTCACTCGCCCGAGTGCATCGTACGAAGTGCCTTCATAACACAGAAGTTACGAAGTCAATTCGTTCAACGGGGTACAGGTATGTGACAGCCCCGGGCTCTCGTACGTACTCTTCTGATCCCTTGGCTACAGAAATGGAACGGACACCTTCTGGCAACTTGAATTCCCTCCACGCACGCTGTGCCGTAAGGCATACTATTTGAATCATTCAGCTCTTTGGAGCGTAGCCATGATGCCTTCACCGCAGGACATCACCGTTTTCGTACATGGACACTATGGATGCGAAGTTGACGTTATCGGCCTTACTATGATATAGCACTGGTGGTCAGGGTTACGCCGGTCACCGTTACCGTCTGAGCCGGAAGCGTGGACAGAGCAACAGAGTATTGTGGGAGCACTTAATATACCTGCAGCAATTCATCTATAGGATAGAATCGTGCGCGCATTAGCCTTGCATGCGAGTCGCGGCTTGGTCGCGGCTTCGAAGTGGGGATGGGCGTCTGAGACGCGGCTTGCGGCTGCCCGAGTCTAGCCTCGTGACTGTTATGTACTGTTGTCCAACACTTTGGAATGGGTGGACTCTGCCACCTGCGTCCTTCACCTCGAGCTAAGTAGGGCACCGTTACCGCTGCACGTCTGCATCGACCAGCGGATCAAGAACGTTGCCTCTTTTCAAGTTCCACTGCGTGTATGCCAGGCGGCGAATCTGTGGTCGCCGCAGCAGCAAGCAGACTAGTCGCAAATATCCCTCGCCGCAAAGCACAGTGGCAGACATCCATCCCACCGCCTACAGGCATCGTACAGATATTGTCATACATCTTAGCCTCTACCGATAGGGCGTCCACAGACAATAGCGATAGCTTCCCGGGATCCGACAGGCAGAACGATACGTCCAAGACCTCCATCCCAGTCACCTCGACCCTCCGCCCGATCCTGCTGCGGAACTCGCAGCTTGCTCTTAAGTGGACGGCGGACGCGGAAACCAGACGCGGAAGAAACAGACGACTCACCTTTGCCTACTGGTCTTGTTCCCTTACGCTGCTGAAATCATCGCTTATGGCTGCTACGCTGAACCTGCAAGCCAAGTCTACGGTGAAGACCGTCACGGCCCCGCAATGGCCTTTGTACTCATGGAGGACGAAGTCTCCGAATGCACGCCTTGTCTACATACGGGACGTCGACGAGGCAAACATTGAAATCTCCAAGCTTCGCCCAGGCCCTCTTGGGCTCGATATGGAGTGGAAGCCATGTTTCTTTGCCGGCGAGAGGGAACACCCTGTCGCTCTCGTCCAGCTGGCGAATGATGAAGTGGTCTTGCTCATTCAAGTGAGCGCCATGAGTTGTGAGTTGTGTCACTCTAGGTAGTCGCGCGCTTATAGAGCGCCGTGTAACGTCTAGCGTTCCCGGAGAAGTTATCAGAGGTGTTGGGCAGCCCCCAGTATGTGAAGGCTGGTGTCGCTATCAAGGGTAAGTGACCGCTGTGCTCGGAAGATCTGTGTAAGTGACGGGCATACACCGTTGTAGGGGACTGCACAAAGCTATACAGAGACTTCTCGGTCATATGCCGCAACTGCGTAGATCTGTCTCTTCTTTCACGGACTGTGGACAATCCCCGCTGGAAGGGACCATACAAACAGAGCATCGGTCTAAACCGTCTCTGCGAGGCGTATGAAGAATTGTCCTTGCAGAAGGGGAAAATAACCCGGAGTAACTGGGAGCTTGTGCTGTCGGTGCCCCAACAGGAGTGTAAGTTGTCCATCATACCCCAACAGAGACGCCTGCTGATCAATGTATCCTCCAACAAGATGCCGCCAACGATAGTCACTCGGGCTACATACTGTACTGCAGGCTCGCGGCGATGGCGGCTGCTATGTTCCCCCCGCCGCTGATTCCTTGGTACACCTTCGACTTCATCGGGAGAGCATTGAATCCAGAGAGTGGAATGGAGTGGGTCATGGCGAACCCAAACTACGACCCCGGCCCACCCCCTCCGGTTCCAATACCTCCACAAGACTGGGATCCAGAGACCTCTCGCAGCAAGCGCCGAAACCGTCGTCGGGAGAACGACGACCTTCCGCATGCGTCCAACGTCTCCGTAGTGCACTCGCAGTCATCATCGTTCTCGGGAGGCAATTTCAGACACGGCTCTGGCATGCCACTGCCGAATCCAGTACTACCGCACGGTGGTCCATCTAGGCACGTGGCAGCATTAGGTTCGTTTGCGCGACACCCAGCGGATGTCCCTGCATTCGTGCCGCGCGGCTCTGCCAACTATCACACCTATCACAACCAAGGGCAGTACCCTAGGCAGCAAAGTCGTGGGTACCCCAATGTGCAGTATGCCCAGCACACTCGAGGACCACCCTCTGGGCATCATAATCATCATCCGAACGTCCGGGGCGACGAAGGAGAGATCGTCTTTGCGTCTTACGGTATGTCAATTGTACCGGACCCGGAGGATGAGCAGCGCGGTCAAGGACAACCAAACGCCCATCATGCACCAACCGCATCAGGCTCAGGCTCACAACACGCTCGTGCTCAAATGCCTCGACAGCACGGGCGTGGGCGTGGGCGCGGAGGTTCAAGGACCCCTGAACGCCGTGGGGACAGGGAAGGCGAACAGCAGCAGCGCGATAGGCAACCATGGGCACAGAGAGGGGGGGCGCCGCAGAGGACCGGCGTCGCGGACTGAGCTGATCTAGTTGTAGGAGGGAACATCTACGGACACACGTACTTAGCCTCATCTCTGTGTTCGGTTGTTGCACCCAGTCTGTACTATACTCGGAAGCATCGCATCACCATATGACACCACCCTCTGCTCTCTCGAAAAGGATGTCGGTTGTTGTTGGGTTGTTACAGGCAGATCACAGGTACTACTAGCATAGCCCATACACAACTCCACTCCGCGTTTCGCCGCTCCGTATATCCTGAGACCGTCGGACCGATGGGCGCATTGACCCAGATTGACCCGTTGCTTTCCAGCGTCTCGCCGAATGTCGATGTAACAGCCGTCGATCGAAACGCTGCGGGCTGCGCACTGGAGCGGTGCCGGCGTCAGCGCGTCAGCCAATGCCCCTGATTAGATGGAGGGGACAGGTACGGGCAGGGATCAAGCTGCGACACAGTGGACGAAGGCACCGATGGGGGAGGGCTTCCAGCCCTCGTCCCTCGAGAGCTTTCTCCATCCAGGCGGCAGCCGAGAGGCGGGGTCCGTATTGGTTTCAGGCGTCGCGTCGACGTCCTCAGTAGCGTCGTTCGTTCCGACGGCTGATGGGCCTGTGTGGAGAGATAGCAATTGAGAGAGGCGGCCGTGCATGAGCTGGATGTCAGCTTCTTGCCAGGTCTGCAAACGAAGAAGTCGGTCAGCCAGGGGAACTCAGGTATACACGAGAGACATACGCTAGACGAAGTTGGCGTTGGCAGGCTCAGCACGAGCGAGGATGCCGTTTCAAGTGCATGATGACCCTTACTCAATGCTCGTAGGAGCTCCTGGGCGCTGTCGATCACGTCGGATGAGCAACAAATCTGACCGAGAATTGTGTCGCTAACTCACATTTTTTCCCTCGTACCTGAGACAGTTCTCGTCGGTCCGAGGGCTGCGACCAGCTTCGAGACGACGTCCGCCCTGTTCAGGTCCGTATCACCGTCCTCGAAGTCGTCATCGATCTTACTGCCGTAGGTATCGACGAGCCATTTTGCCCAGCCGGCGACGCAGCGGTCGTACGACGCATCTCTCCTCTGTTTGTCCTCCTCTGCATCCAGCATGACCACGTCTGCATCGGTCGTCTGTGTTATTTGCTCCTCGCTAGTCAGATGCGATACGGCTTTGGTGACCAGGACTGCGGCGAGATTTGGGTGGAGTGACTGCAGATGGGCTAGAAGCGGCGTCCAGATGTTGAGAATGAATGGAGAAGGGTGGAGCGGCTCATTGGATAAAATCCGCTTCCTGAGAGAGTGACGGTTAGCATCCTGCAGCCATACAATGAATAAGGCAAGTCGCACTTCTTGGATAGCGGCACCAACGCCCCTTTTCCCAGCAAGGCGTCAGCAAACCGCTCCAGCGCCCAGCGTTCTCTGGCGTCGCCCTCGTCGCCCTCGTCACTATCGATGTCGTCCCAAGCAGTAGCTGCAACAGGCGCCGCGACCTTCGCTTCGGCGATCCACCGTTCCACTTCTCTGAGTATACGTGCTATATCATGTTTGTATTTTATAGCAAGACTCGCATCCCGCGCAGTAGCTTTCGCCAGGGCCTTGTACTGTTTGAGGAAAGGGGAGGGCGATCGGAGTGCCGGTCGCTGCAGCTGAGACGCAGAGGGCACAGACGGGTTGAGCGTGGGCAGGAAATAATTATGCAGAAGCCACGTCATTGCCTGTCGCGCTGCCTCTCTGAGAACATCAATGCTAGGCAAATCTTCGTGCGTAGCAGCGTGCCGGAGTTCGACGAGCCATGCGGGCAGTCCCAGCTGCGCTGCGATGCTGTTGATCGAGCGCGCGTATGCGCCTAGTTGCAACGGGTCGACGAGACCGTTCACGAGTCGGATGACCGCGGTGGCATAGCTCTGTCTGAGTGAAAGGTAAGACGAGGACCCTTGCCCTTGCAAAGCTGTCTCCTGTAGCATCGCCGTGAGTAGAGCATGGGTAGACTCTAGGGCGTGTGGGAGCGAGGTTATCGCTCTCCATGACGCTAGCTTTCAGAACATCAGGAACATATAGGCTGTATGTTACTTTAGCACGCACTCTGTTGACTGCGAGCACCTTCGCGTCGATGTCATTTTCGTCCGCGTATATCCACGAGCAAACTTGATCGAGCTCGCCGACGTGTGCCCACGGTACACGGCGCGGAAGTCTCATCCTGGTATATCACTGCCGTGTGGCGTCAGAAGTAGGTCAGTGTCCTCTAGATGGGCCTGAAGCACGCTTGTTTAGTCTAGAGGAGAAGATGGTGTTCTGCGTTCTACTTTAAAACGCGCTGGGCGCCTAACGCTGGTTTCTGATGGCCGAACAAAGCCGGTGGCAACTCTGATCAAGATCCATCCACCGCAACTTGAACTGGTCCGCAAGATCATGGCATGCACACAACGTCGAATCCCTCACACAAAGCCTATCGAATCAGTCTCTCGCGTCCCCAAGTAGAGCATGGATATCACATCTAGCGCGTTGCGCAGATGAAGGGCTGTTACGACATCGCCACGAACAGTACTAGGACCCTCGTTTTCCACTGAAGCAGAGATATGCGCGCATTGTAACAGCCACTACGCCGCGTGTGTCCGTGATTGAAGGGCATGTATTCAGTAGTGTTACGCTGTATAGATCCGCCGCCGCTCAAAATGATCGCCTGAGGGCGCGTCGTTGACCTCCGGTAATCCACGCCCGTTTGCAGTGGCAGTTTGACAGGCCCCGCGCTCGAGATGCGACGCTTGAGGAGGCTCGTGGAGCACATCGCAGTAGACATTAGCTATGAAGAAAGGTTCGTGCAGTATCTGTAGGACAGGAGCGGAGCATCGTCATGCCTCAAAGAGCCTGCAGCTGCCTCGGTAAGCATGAATGATTGTAAAGTACAGTCTTACTCACTCGGAGGCCTTGAACAACAACGTCGTCCAGTTGAGTGCAGTCGAGCGGCCAATAGGAACGACTTGGTGATAGGCGGGCACAGCAGCGCATCAGACGCCCTCGCGAACCGCTGCACTACATTCGGCGGAGACAACCTCAAGCGATGCAGCCGATATAAAACGAGAAGGAAATTTGGGTCAGATTGATCAGTCCCCCTCTCACATTCAACTTCATCCGGGAAGACCAGAGCCTTTATCTAATTTTTGTGTCCTTGAATTCTTCAAAGCCGTCTCTCCGTCTTCGCCCGTTCTCGCACGTAGTCATGACTATCCACTTGAACCCCCGCGGCGACATCGCTGTAGGGCAAATCGTTGCGTACCTTCCTGTGCTCGCCGTCGCAGGCTTTCTCGTTGCCAGGCATGGCATTTCCCGGAAGTCGGGGTGGATCTTCCTGGTCATTGTTTCCCTTGGTACGTCTGGTCAGACCAGGGGAAGATGATATCGCACTCACCTCATGGTGGGTCTTCAGTCCGCATCGTCGGAGGGGCTACGGAAGTCGCCTCCCAACAGAACCCATCCGACGTAACATTGGCCACCGTGTCTTCCACGCTCACTTCCGCTGGCGTGTCGCCTCTCCTGCTCGCAACCATTGGGTTTCTGACAACAGTGTCAGTTCTCTATTTTAATGTACAGTGAAAATCTTCATGCCCACCTCTACTTCTAGGTGCGAGAACACACTCAGCGAGGACGCCCTTATCGGAACGGGCCTCAGGCTCCTGTCGCTGCTCTATACGCTCGCCCTGGCCATCATCATCTTTGGAGGCGTCAAGATGGGCAATGCAAAATCGCAATCTGAACTGAACACCGGAACGACTCTTCGGCACGTTGGTGCTGTCGTCATGGCAGTACTCTTTGTTGCGATGTTCCTACTGCACCTGGTTTGCTGGAGCAACATTAGTAGGATCACGAAAGCCAGGAGGACGGTGAGGAAAAGGAGCTCTCTTTATGTATCATTATCTGAGACATGCAATCGTTAGCTGCTGGCGGGCATCAGCGCCGCGCTCCCCTTCCTCCTGGTACGAATCGCGTATACCGTGCTCTCCGCCTTCGCACCATACCCGCGTTCCTTCTCTGCCACAGGCCAGGTCATCACCACAACATCCGAATCGCCGCTTGCGAAATTCAACACGTCCACCGGCAGCTGGCAAATATATCTGCTCATGAGCGTCCTCACCGAGTACGCCACGGTCGTGATATACTCGATCGCAGGGACGCGGATCCGGATGGATGACGATCGACCGGATTATGTCAAGAGCGCGACGGTTGAGTATGACGACGAACGCTACAGGATGGGGAGGGAGCAATGGCCTGGGGCCAGGGGTCAGTGGGGACGATAGGCGAGTCGCCGCTATACTATCTCGCAACGCATGCCAGACTTTGTAACTTGTTCGAGCCCGTCGATGTGTGCCCACGCTACACGGACGGTATTCTCATTCTATTAATAAATTCGCCGTGAAGCTTCAGATGCGAGCGCGGTGCAGGACTCACTGCGCCGGGAGTGTTTTCCTGCGAGAATGAATGAGGCGTTCATATGTGCGCTGCGAGTCAGCCACCGCCAAACGGTGATCTGTTCGGGGGCGCATCGGTTGCATTGTGTCTCAGTCTGCAGTGTGTCTGATTGACAGGTCGTTGACAGGCCAAACTTGGGCGAAGCGCACTGCAAGGCTGGCAGTCGGCGGCAGGGCTTAGGGTCAGCCGTCCTGAACATCCTAACGTCGTGATTGACACTGACCTCGTAAGACAGATGAAGTGCAGGATCTGCATGACAAGGCGAGACTAGAGGGACCCTGCCAATTGGGCGAACATGGACTCCGAGTCGCCTTCTGTGCCGAGGCAAGATTTGTGCCATGGTACCAACAGCAGCAAATGAGAATATCATCGAGGACCAGCGCCGGCGAATGGGTGAATGCCGGCCAGACAGCGGCAGAGAGGCACAGCATTCCGCTGTCGCGAACGCCCTCGCTAAACGCCTTCTAGACAATGATACTACGGCGATTTAAAAGCGCAAGGGCTGATAGTATAAGATGAGGCGGAAGCCTGAGTCGACAGAGCCAGTTCCCCCTCCTATCTTCATCTTCATTCGGGTCCGGGCTCATCAGCCTTTATTCATTCTCGCGTCGCTTGTTTCTTCTAAGTTCACTTCTTTCCAACTTCTTTGTGTTCCTACCCGCAGCCATGACTATCCACTTGGACCCCCGTGGAGACATCGCTATAGCGGAGATTATTGTGTACTTACCTGTGCTCGTCGTGTCGGGGATTCTCGTAGCAAGACACGGCGTTGCCAGGAAAGCAGGGTGGATCTTCCTTCTTATTCTATCTCTTGGTGCGTGATGTCTGATGTCAGGCCATCGGAGGTCGGTACCATACTTACTCGATAGCGAATACTCAGTCCGCATCATTGGAGGCGCCACAGCAGTCGCAGCAGAACAGAACCCGTCGGACAAAACATTGGACATTGTGTCCGCCACGCTGACATCGGCAGGCGTATCACCGCTCCTCCTCGCGACTATCGGATTCCTCGGAACAGTGTCAGTACCACCCCTTCGTTCCCAATAGGATGGTTGCTTACCTGCCTCCATTGGCAGATGCTATCGTACACTCGGCGACGAGCCACTCATCTGGCGGGGCCTCAGGATCATGTCCCTCCTTTGCAGCGTCGCCCTGCTCCTCGCAATCGTTGGTGGCGTTAAGATGGGCAATGCAAAGACAATAGCAGATCTCAACAGTGCGAATACTCTCCGGCACGCCGGTGCTGCCATGTTCGCGGTACTATTCGTCCTCATCTTCCTGCTGCACATGTATTGCTGGGTCAGCAGGAGTAGGATCACGAAGGCAAGGAGGACGGTGAGTCGACAAGGCGCTGTCGTTATATGCCATCTGACTGAGAGGGCCGCGCATATCAGCTACTCGCGAGCATTAGTCTCGCTCTCCCCTTCCTCTTGATCCGGGTGGTGTACACAGTGTTGTCGTCAGCCGCACCATACACAACCTCTCTCTCCTCCGCCGGTGGGAGCTCCACGACGTCCAACTCGCCTCTGTCGAAGTTCAACTCGTCCACGGGCAGCTGGATCATCTACCTGTTGATGAGCGTCCTCGCCGAGTACGCTGCAGTTGTGGTATACTGTGTCGCGGGGACGCGGATCCGGCTACAAGACGATGTGCCGGATTATATCAACAGCGCGACCGCGGACTATGACGACGATCGTTATAAGTTTGCAAGGGCGCAGGGGCCTATGGGTGCGAACTGGGGGCGTTGAGACCTGCTGTATTTATTTGTTGTTATGTCATTACTTTCCGTTTCAAGATGACCGGCGATTAGACGACTTACAATACGGGACGACAAACATACCAAAAGATGGCCACGCGTCCAGACCGTAGTCACGGCGGATGGTGCACAAGTAGCATCCCGCATCCGCAGAGATGTGCGCGACGGAGTCCTACATGTGCCACGGGATCCACGCGTCAACGTAGATTACCCTTGCATCCATGCATATCGAAGGGGAACTTACTAGTAGACTGGTTGGGTGGGTGGGCTGATCTCGTTGATTAGTGCCGTGCCAACGACCGTCACATCCACGAGAATGCCCTAAATTCGATCATCACCTTGCATGCGGTGAAGGTGAAGCCTGAGGATTTGGCTTCAGAAAGTCTGCTCATCGGTGAGAGCATATGGCAGACGAATGGCTGCTCGGAAGAGTATCACCGGTAGTACAGTGCGAGACACTCGACGCCGCGAAGGAATTCAAGGCTCACTCCCCAGGAAAGCCGCACAAAGGACCGAGTCTGATACAGTGATAGTGTCAAGGAAAATGGAGAGTGCCTTGCACGCACCGATGCCTTGTCACGCATTCTCGGATACCATGACATTTGAGAGGAGAGAGCCTGACAAGATCAAGAGAATAAGTGAATGTCATCTCATTGCAAACGTGATACAGAGGCAGAGAGCTAGGAGCGAACAAAGGACGAAAAACAGAAGAGATGTCTGAGCCTCATAGTCAAGCACATCCCATCCCGTCCGAAGACGACTAGGATGCGCTCCGGCTTAATTGGGCCCCATATTGAGCTTTACTCTTCCCTCGTCATGTCCAGTACCCCAGGCCATTGCAGACGCGAGACGGAGAGTTGCTGAACGATGAACGAGCAGCGATAATGAGGGTTCGTGTTGAGGAAAGAGAAGGCGAAGTCGGGCGTTTATACGGGAGCGGAAAATGCCGACAGAGAGGCGCTCATGACCACAGCTCCCGCAAAGTCGTCCGGCTCTCCATTCAGACTTGCCCAAGACTTGCCAGAGAACCGTCGATACGTCCTCTTCGACGACCACAATATCATATATCGTACCATTGAACATACCTTCCTCCCTTGACACACGCGCGCGATGGGGAAACTAAACATTGCACACCACAAATCCTACCACCCTTACCGACGAGACAACATCGAACGGGTCCGACGCGATGAAGAGGATGCCCGTCTTCAGGACGCTGCCGAAGAGGGTAGAATGATGCTGGCAGTGTGTAAATTTCATCCACTTTATACACCTCTTGTGAACGATGATGCGATGTGATTCTACAGGACTCCGAGGCGCGGATAGACTTGCTCAGGCAGCGGGCAGGTTTGGCGAATCAGCACAAGAAGAGAAAGCCACAAGACGAGGAGGAAGGCGGAGAAGTGGAGAAAACTGAGGCTGGGCCGTCGAGCATCACCTCCGGAGGGCATATCAATCTGTTCGAGGATATTGAGCGGGTGAGTAAGTCGAAGGTTGCGCTGCCATTCCGAAGCTCATTACTTTGCACCCACAACAGCAAATGATACCAGTCTACGGACGATCCACCAATAAGGCTGCGCCAGAGACAGAAAAGGGGATACCACTAGCACCTTCTGAGAAAGACCTCAAGCCATGGTACTCCGATCGTCATGATGGCAAGGGCAAAGATCGAGATGAAGCGCGAGAGTATGTCAACTCTGTTACAGTTTCTCGCGCGTGTTCATTGAGCACTTCAACAGAACTCGGGAGCTCGCGCGCAAGTCCGTGAACGACCCTCTGACGTCCATCAACCACAAGCTTTCTGCGCGCTCATCAGGCACACCTACGAACCCCTCCTCTCGCTCCCGTCCGTCGCATCCCGACAGACCACCTCCAACCTCGTCTTCTGAACCCCGCAGTGCAGAAGCAGCGCGTCTCAACCGCGAGTCTGCCGAGAGGCAAAGAGCCCTCGAACTGATCCGGCGGAAGAAACGCGAGATGGCTGGCAGCGAGACGCCGAGCACCGTGCATGGTGGGGCAGGCGAAGGTTACCGTGATGTGTTCAACAGAAGAGAAGTCGAAGAGGCACGAAGGTTTCGGGAGCGGAGGTGGGATGAGAGGGACAGGAGAGATAGGAGAGACGACTATCGTGCGCGGTGGTAGCTGTCACTAGTACTGAGTAGGACTGACTGACTTCTGCTGGTTTGTGCGTGTATAGTTGTGTGTACAACAGGCTTCGGACGTGCTCTTCGTATGTCGAAATGCGGTTGCTCATCGGAGTCGATAACAGAGGTCGCATAACCCCCGATAACAAAGTTCGATGAAGGGACATTAGATTGGTGACACTCATTGCTGACATCATGCCTCACGGACTTCCGACGAGCATGGCGGCCATATATATCCCCATGCAATCCTGTCTCTATCCGTCTTTCCCATCCCGATGTCCCCCTCACCGTTCGACACCCTCCCCCCTGAGATTATCGAGCGCATACTACTCTTCTGCGATGTGTACGACGTCGCGGTAAGTCGCGATTTCGAGGTATCCTGGACTCGATTGCTAACGCCCAGCGGCCCCTTCAGATCATCGCACAGACAGGCCGCAGGGCCCGCAGCATTATATACCAGTCGGAGGACCAGTACTTCTGGCGCGAGCTGTTCCTGAGCAAGCCCTTCGACGATCTCCGCAAGGCGCTCCCGCCACTCACCGCCCAGAAGCCGAGCGTGCAGCCCGACTGGAAGACGGAGCTGCAGCGCAGGGTCTCCGCAGAGTCGGCCGTGATGGGCGCAGCCACTGGGCCGCGCTTGGAACGCGCACTCGCGACGCTCGTGAGCGTCGTGGAGACCGCCCTTCCCTTCAGCGATGGCCCGGAGATGGAGGAGTCGGAGAACCTGCGGTGGCTCGAGGGTCTCCTGCGCTTCTCCACGATCGACGAGGAATCCCTGCCCAAACACGAACAGCAGCATCTCGGCCGACTCATGACATACCTCGCGCTCACCTACGAGTCGAGCCCCGACGGCGACAGCCCGAAGAAGCTGCTTCACGAGAAGCTGCTCAACGAGAAGCGGCGCATGAGCCGGTGCTATGTATACGACCTGCGCCGGTACAAGGAGGACACGCTCTGGGGCCCGTTCTCGCGCGGCGAGAAGGGCGAGCTGCGCGCGAACTGGGTGCACGTGCAACACATTGTGAACGTCGTGGCGATGAAGCTGCGTGAGCTGCCGCCGCTCGCACTGCAGTTGTATAGCAAGCCCCGCGCGGGCCTCAGCGCGACCCAAGCCTACAGTGCGCCTTTCGCGCACGATCGCAAGCCGCATGACTGGGCCGGCGTCGCTGGGACGTGGCGGCGCTTCGTATGCTTCATGGACTATCGGTGCGTGGTGAAGTACTGTTCTCGGCGCATCCAGGGACTCACGAGTCGACAGGGATCTATTCGGTACGTATCCATACGTGCTATATCCGCGTGCCTAATCGTGTCTGCTCGGTCCAGCCTTCAACGTAAGTCTCCGCGTCCATTCCTCCGTCCCCGCTCACCCGCCGCAGTTCTCCGTCTCAGGCACGGGTCCGCGCGACCGCGACTTCTTCGACGACGACTACCAGGAGGCGATCCGCCCCGTCGAGCTGCACCTCGACGTGCTCGATCCCACGCCCGAGCAGTCCACGGAGTCCGCGGAGTCGCCTCCCCCGCACCCCGTACGGTATCCGCCCATCTTCTTCAAGGGCCTCTCGCGCGGCGCACACAGCGCTGACGCGGCCGTCGAGGGTTCCGTGCGCGTGCTCGCCGACGGCAGTATCCGATGGAGTTTCGTGAGTCGGAATGGGCCTGTCGCGGTTCGTGTTCCGTTTCCTTCATGCTGATGCCTCGGGAAAGGTCACGAAATATGATGGGCTTACGCAGTGGAGGTACGTCTTTCTGCCCGTCTCCCCGATGGAAGTGCGGCGGCTCATCGACATCGGGCCTCGCAGTGCGGAAGGCCTTCAGATCGGGAACATATGCAGCGCCGCCGGCGTCGGCGGCATCTGGACGGGTGCGTTCCATGAAGACGGTGAGTATGCGCGGTCTCACCCCCTGCCATGCCAGTCTCACGCCATTTTGACATAGCGGATCCGGCCGGTGCGTAGCTCGTCTTCTGCGGTCCGCAGATAGTAGTGGACTGACTTCGCGACGGTCTAGGTCCGTTCTGGATGTGGAAGGTGCCGGCAGCTCTCACCGAGGGCCTTCAGTTCTGACAAACATAGTAGGTGCACCGTCCATTCTGGCAATGAAACGCATTGAATGTAGGCGCGAAGGACGGGGTGGGTTTGAGCCCAGCCCCTTCCGTGGAGACTCAGGGTGCGAACATCTCTCGTGGATCAGCAAGGAACGATTATGGTTCGTGGGCTGTTGTACATCATTTGTAGTCATAAATGCTTCCATCCTATCCGTTGTCCTCTCTTTTCTCGATCTCAGTGCACGTGCGTGCCGCTGGCCTTACCGAAGAAAGCCACGAGCCTGGCGTACAAGTCCTGGAAGCTGAAGAAGGGATGTCAGTATGTGACGGCGTTCAGCAGGGTCGAGTACTTACTCCTTTTGCTGCTTTGGATCAGTCAAATCGGCCCGAGCGGCGGCAAATCCATGGAAGCTAGATATTCACGGTTAGCTCTCAACCATCTCCATGTACATCTTCCTGACTCACGAGTCGTAAAACTTATCGTCGTTCTTGTCAGCGAATGGCTTCTTGGAGATAATTTCCACGATCTTCTTGTACTGCGTCACGCGATGAAGATTAGAATGAGCGACATTCACTGTTTGGCATACTTGGGGCCTTACCTCATCCTGAGGCTCATCCTGGCTTGGGTAGAGGCCAAGGGGGACCTTGAGCTCGGTGACATCGGCTGACGAGAGCATACTGCATGCAAGAAGATTCAGCTAGAGCTCCGTGATCTGAGCAAGTGTCGCACTCACGCAGGGTGCGTAGCAGTCACAGCATCCAGAGTCGTTGACGGTGCCGAACCAGCCAAAATCGTGACCTTGCCACCTACACGTCACCATCAGCTCGCCGTCACCACCTGACGATACGCACTGCGCCGCTCACCCCAGCAGAAGCCGAACGCGCCCACGAATGTTGCCCCGTCCTGCTTGAGTGTCTCGCCGACCTTGAGCAGCTTCGCGACGTTGTTCGGCGGGTTCGCCGGGCCGCCGAAGAACTGCTGGAGCTTCGCCTTCTCCTCGTCCGTCTGCGGCGGGAACTGGTCGACGGGCCACGCGTCCGCGGGCTCGAAGAAGTCGGGCATGATGACGTGCGCGTTCAGCTTGTCGGCGAGGATGTCGGCGCCTTGCTGCGTCTGCGGCTTGAAGCTGTGATGGTTGGTGAAGTTAGACGTTTGTAGTGTAGAGTAAGGGAGAGCGCACCCGAAGATGTCGTAGACGCAGATGAGCGCGAGGTTACCGCTGGCCGGCTGGCCGGTGACATAGACCTATAGATGTGTTCTGAGTCTTTGTTCCGTCTATGCATGTCGAAGACGAGATGTGTGGAGTATATGCATAGCGGTCGTGCGAGAGACAGACTGCATGCATACAGCTGCTGAGTTCACCTCGACCGTCGGGACAACATCGACGTAGCCAGTTCCCCTCCGTCGACGCGACGCACATTAAGAAGAATCTACAAGTCCGAATATGTCGAGTAACACGAAAATGAGGGAAATGGGCAGAGACAGGTCGCCGGGTGCTCAAAGCTGTCTACACGCACCTTGTTGAATCCGGCGTAGGACTTGAACGAGCCCTTGGGCGTGTAGTCGGACTTGACGGGCGGGATGCTGCAGCAGGCAGCGCTGTCGTTGTGGACGACGGTGGACATTCTCGCGGGGGCTAGGCTGTAGGAGGGGGCGAGATGGTGGGCGATAGCACGGAGGCGGGCGAACATGGCGGACGCTAGCCAGGCGGCTTTGAGCGTTGACGCTGCCCAGATACTATCACGATGACGTCGTGGGCTACATCCTGGACACCATGCGGGCCAGCCAGGCGCGTGCACATCGCTCCCATCCAGGAAGGCGACTGTTTCTCGAGCTCGCAGGGCTCTACTCGAGTCTTGAGACCTTCATGGGGCTCTTCAGGTTGAGGGTCCTCGAGTGTATAAGCACAGAGCACGTACACCGAATAACATGGCTCGTAGCCACTGCTGTCGCGGGATTGATCGACTTCTATGCATCAAATTCAAGAACCATCTATCCAAAATCGATAACGCGAATTACAGGGTATCGGCAACTGCTGCGACCCATAGACTACGATACAAGAGACTCGGAGCTATATGCGTGTGTAGATGAGTTGTGATACAGTACTGTTGTACTTACTTTTACAAGCAGCTAGACTTCAACGTGTCGTGGAGACCAAGGGTCCTGCAAGTAGGTCCAGCATCCGACACTCGTGCAGCTCTTCTTCGTGAGATTCGTCACGACACCATCGACGCTTCCTGTCATTCGTGCTTCTCCGCCTCCCCATGTTCCTTCTCGTTGATCGACGCAAGTTCTGGGGCCCTTCCTCGACTCCGACTCCTGTTGCCGTCGCGCGGTGCGAGTTCTGTCCCCCCATGGCGGTCGCCCGCGGTGAAGTGGGCCCGTCCCTCGTCAGAGCTCGTCCGGCCCCAGCGCAGGCCCCTCTCCGCACTTCGCTCCCGCGACGTCGACGGCGTATGGCTCCTCCCGCCGTCCTTGGGCCCCTCCGCGGACAGGTCCGGGCGCCCATGCCGGTCGCCCGCAGCGAATGGCGTGCGTGAGTCCGTCTCGGACACCTTCGTGTCGGAGGCCTTCCGGTCGCCCGACGGCGTCCAGTCCGAGTAGTGCCGGCGCACCTCAATGTAATCCGTCGCGAACTCCCCAATCTGCAATTCGAGGTCGCGTGAGTAGGGTTTGTATGGAGGGGCTGCCGTAAGGAAGGTCAGAAGGCAAGCGCACCTGGGCGTCATCCATACCGATCGCCTCCATCTCTGGGGGCGTGCGCAGGGCGAGACCAGGGATAAGATCGATGACCTTGGCGATGAGGGCGGTCACGACGAAAGAGTAGCCGCATGTTGCGAAGATGTAGGCCACCTGGATGTAGAGCTGCTTCCAGTTGCCCTCGATCCATCCGCCTGGAACAGAGGTGTTGACGCCGTCGAGGGCGATGAGCTCGCTGTCGGCGAAGAGAGCATTGAAAACGAGGCCGATGACACCGCCAATGGCATGCTCAGCGTAGAGATCTATAATTGCTGGTGTTAGCCCAAAGTCGTGTGAGTAAGAGGGGACACATACCAAGAGCATCATCGATACGGAGGAGAAACTTGACTGCCAAGTCGATTCAGTACGATGCGAACGACTGATAGAACCAAGAGCGTACTCTTCGTAGCATAGTTGGCCACAGCGCCGACAACAATACCCATGACGACCGCAGCCCACTGTGGGATGTACCCCGAGGCCGGAGTAGCCGCAACCAGTCCCGCGATTGTCCCGGAGCAGAACCCGACCATTGTATACTTGCGCTCGAGGCGAAAATCCAGAGCGCACCACACGATGCCCGCCATCGCCGCCGCGAGCATCGAGTTCCAAATCGCCAGGATAGCGCGGAGGTTCGCGCCGAACGCGCTGCCGCCGTTGAAGCCCAGCCAGCCGAACCAGAGCATCGCCGTGCCGAGGTAGACGAACGAGACGTTGTGGGGTCGGAAGTTGAGCAGCTCGCGTTCGCTGCGCCGGCCGAGCACCCACGCGTAGGCGAGCCCTGAGACACCACTACCAATCTCGACGGGCCCTCCACCTGCGTAGCGTAAGATCCGGTGGACATGAGAGCCGGTGAGGTAGACGGTACGGAGATAGACGTACCGGCGTAGTCGAGGACACCCCAGGTGTATCCCCAGCCATTCGGATTCCACGCCCAGCAGGCGAGTGGGCAGTATACGAGAGTCATCCAGACGAACGTGAAGATCATCGCGGGCATCACACGACCACGGTCGACGAGCGCACCCATGAGAATGCCTACCGTGACGCACGCGAATTCCATCTGGTAGAAGCTGTACAGCAGCTCTGGAATGAGCGGCGAGCCGGGGCTCGGGTCGCTCAAGACCTTCCGGAGGGCGAAGCTCCGCAGGTTGCCGATGAACCCGTTCGTCGCGGTGGGGGAGAACGCTAGCGAGTAGCCCCAGAACCACCACTGGAAGATGACCACAGCGTTGCTCGCTGCTACTGCCCATACCAGAGTCAAGGCACTCTTTCGCCTAGCCAAACCCGAATACAGGAAGGCTGAATCAGAAGAGTCGAATCAGTGTTCTGACTGACGGCCTATGTGGCTTCACGTACCCAAACCTGGTACCATCAAAAATACCAGGATACCAGCTACTGCTATGAACGCTATGTCCCCGCCATCGAACCTAAAATTTGGCGGTCAAGATCGGTTGTCTTCGAGGGGAGGTGCGCGGGCGGGATGGCTTCACCGCGTACTACTTACGAGCTGGAGGCACCTATGAAGGCACATGAGCACGACAAACTCACGATGAGAAGCCGGGCAACTCACGTCCAAAGAGATCGCCTCGCCGCAAATGGGACGCGAGGCCGCCCTGCACGTTCTCAGGGACAGCAGCGTCAACTACGGCGGGCATGTCGTTATGGCTGATAAGAAAAGAGCTCGCGGTCGCGCGCGGGCGAGACATATATATAAAGGGATCCAGACGGGCAAATACGTCAGGCTACCGCGGCTGGCAGAACCTGCGGAGACCGTCCCACGGGCGGTTCCAAACATCGCCGGGCTCCAACTCTCCAATCGTCGCCCGTGTCTTCGAAATCCGGGCGTTTGCTGCTCGAGCCAGGCTCAGGATTTTCCTGGTGCCCGCTCGTCCCGGCTTCCGCCCCAGCCTCAGGAGGCCGGTCCAATAGCTTAGGCGGTCCGAGTCAGTCCGTCCACAGGTGAACTAGTTAACTGAGAGCATCCCAACGCGCGTTTCTTGTCGTTCTGGGACATGGATGCCTTATCACGAGAGCCAGCGTCACACGAGTGCGGTGAGAGACGGTGAGAACTTGAAGAACCAGGGAAGGGAACGAAGAGTCCTGGCTCCTTCGTGATACACTCAAGTTCTACCATTCCAAATCAGGGAAGTGCTGTAGAGCTCTGGGTCGGGGATCGCCGGTGCACGCGCCACCTCCTGGTCACTGGCAGCCATGACGGTCGCCACACGCGCGACCGCGATGCTATTCTAGCAGATCTTTCAAAATAATGTATGTAGACTCCTCTTCATGCAACATCATTGACTATTTCTCTCAGTTCAGTCATAACAATGACAACACGGTTTTTGTCCGACGCTCCGCAAAAGTATGCTGGCAGCTCCGTGCATCACGACTTCGTTGGTGGCGCCGTGCTCGCGGCAAAACACGTAACTGGGTCGTAAGCGAAGTACTGCATTGTCCTCGTGCGGAATCGAATCGTGACTCCGTTATCTCGCACATGCGTGTAAAATCAAGCCTTTTGCTAGGTATATTTAATGCAGAGCTCGAACTGCCACGCGGAGTGATCTGAACACGGACGTCGATAACGCGTTCAACTTGAAGTTGCTCTGACCAGTGACCGTACTACAGAGACCACGAGCTCGTGTCAACAATGGCCGATCCTGCAAGAGCGCAAGAGCTCAAAGCCGAAGGCAACGCGCTGTTCGCGAAGGGCGAGTACGCTGCCGCGCACCAGAAGTACGAGGATGCCATTCAGTACGATGACCGGAACGCGATACTGTACGCGAATCGGGCGGCATGCTCGATTCACTTGGACAAGTAAGTAACGACGTCGAGAGTGTGCTGGGCATTTATCTAATTCTCATTGACACAGATTCTCTGAAGCCAAGGCCGATGCTAAGCAGGTTGTGCTGGATTCTGTGACCGATGAAACAAGCTGACTCAGAAGGTGATTATAGGCTGTTGAACTGGACCCGGCGTATGCGAAGGGATGGGCACGTATGGCTACAGCCTGCGATGTACGTTTTTACTTTCACAAAGTTCGTGGCTTCTCTCATTGAAAGCGTTGGTCAAGGGTCTCGGCGAATATGGGGAGAGTGTTAAATGCTGGAGGAAGGCTATGGCTGCCTTGCCGAAGGATAACCTCACTGCTTCGGACGCGAGACAAAAGAAGCAATGTGAAGATGGCTTGAGAACCGCGGCCGTCAATATAGCGAAGGCTGCCGGTCTCGTTGACATGGGGCAGATGAGAGGGAAGTTTCCGTGGGATCGCGTCAAAGCGATAGAAAATGAATTGCACGCCGGTTTGCCTGCGAACGCTGGCAGCAGTGTGAGTAGTAGTTTGTATATGTGTTATGTCGGACGCTAATTCATTTTGACCGTTGAGGCCTGGCTCATGCTGCGTGCTGCGAAGGTGCGTCGTGATGTATGATATGGCATGGGGGTCGCCGAGCTCACGGAGCCTCTCGCTAGTTATGGGATCGAGGTATGCAGGCTATGATGCAGCAGAGAACGCGAATCGGCCCTACTGGAGAAGAATTCGGGGGCTGCCCTGGTGTACGTCATCCAAAACTGTTCAGATGATGGGTTTGCTCACAAGATCCAGGCCCTGACTGACCTCACGGATGCGATTCTCACCGACTCGCGGATCTTCCGCATGGAGGGATCATGGATGGACATGTACAATAAACAAGGTAAATCGCTACGATCGTTAGAGTTGTCAAACATCAAGTTCTAACAAATTGCTTTCGAATAGTGATGTTGGAAACGATGAACTCGGGCGCGTGGCCTGCACTTCCAATGGCAAAAATTCAAGAAGAGGCAATGATGCGGCAGCAAGAACATGGGTGGGATGCAGCTCGTCTTGCCGTCGATGTTACTATCCGGTATGACACGTACTCGGAAGTATTGCTTGATCACTCGCTGAGACCCTGTTTCTCTAGCATATGGCTGATGCAAGGATTTGTCGCTAGCAATACCGGGACAGACACACAGACATCCTTGCGTCCCTTCAATTTGATTTTGGAACTACTCAACTGGGGGCAGACATCGTCGTGGGGAAACAGCTCTACAAAGGACAAGGGCAACGTCTTTGAGGATTACTTTGTCCGTGGCGTCCGCAAGCTGAGGATGGAAGCGATGATGGCTGTGAGTCAATGAGATACAGTGCTACAGCCCATAGACATGTACCTGATTAACTGATGTGGGCTTTGCCTTGCAGCATTGTGCGAAAAGTCCACCCCAGGGTCTAGAAGCAGCCTTGAAAGCCTTGTATGAAGAGGCACAGATTGTGATGCAAGAGGTTGGGCCGTCCTTGCCCGAAGGCGAACATGAACCAGGCTTTGTATCGGCGTTTGGCATCTACCCCAAGGCCCACGCATATACGTAGGCTGTTCTGTGTCTCTATCAAAGGCTCGAGACCCTCACCTGCATAAGTGCGATTGGGTTTTATCACCAGCAGACAGTCTATCGTTACAAGTCGCAAAGTGACTACGAGATCGTGTGCGAACACTCCTTCAAGGCATACCAGGCTTACCGGGAGGCAGCCATGCTCTTCCCCAAGGATGATGAATCACGCGCCTGTACGTTTTGCACCACACACTACTTCGCGCATTACAGCTGATCATTGTACACATCCTGCAAGGGTTCATCGTCATTGCATTCCAATCGCTGCAGCAGGCTAGAAGTACATTCAAAGTGGCCCTGCATGTTATGGAGGAACTTCGACTCGCTCTTCCGGAAACCCACAAGATCTGGGAATTCTCGCAAATTGCTGTACGAGGTAAAGACAAAGCATGTAAGGACATCTTGCAGCTGGAGCAGAAGATGAGGAAGGATCTGGGCGACGGTAGAATTACGCTTGAGGACCACATGCCTGCAGGCTACTCCCTCACGTCGTGATTGAATGTTGTCACACAGTAAACGAGATTTATTGCATGGGTCACATCTGCCACTAGATTTGAGTACCCACTGAGCCCGATCGAGCGACGTCCGAGTCTCGATTAGTATAGCCATCGACGACGTGGTCTGTTGGGAGCTTGGCGGTGGGCGGGCGAGAGAGTGGTTGGGACAGCAGGCAAGAGAGAATGAGCATGAGAGAACAGGCGAGAGGCGCTAGAGGGAAGGCCCGCAGGGAGCGCGTACGAATGAGGGCAGGTAGTGCTTCACCGCGACAACGCCTCGACAAGGTCACGGTTGATCGCGAGTTCTCTCTCTCGATGGCTATGCGCTCCTTGCACCGCCCGAGTGTAAACCGGTGGTATGCTATGTTGGGCATCACCTCCGGGACGTGGAAGTTGAGCCCGACAGTTCGCGAGAACGTCTGCCAGTGTACGTGCATAGCGGCCATCACTTCGGAGAGTACATCATACCTGGCTCATGCACGTTTTACTCCGTTTTCTAGGCTTGCGAAGCAAACCGCCTGCATGGCTCCGAAGCTAATTTACGACGTCTGCATGAAGAGGCGCAGAGCATCATTCACGAGGTTGAACACATAGCGCTTCCGACTCAAATTCTGCGCCAAGAGCTCGAATACCCTGGAATGAAGTCAGCAATCTGTGTCTATCCAAAGGCTCGCGCATTGATGTAGGCTCCTCAATGCCATGATGTACGCTCCCTCATGTTCACACTTGTTTAAAAGCGTGCTCGGTACCTACCATACCATCATGGCAATTCGGAGCCCAGAGGACGACCTCATTGCCGCAGCAGATCATTTCACTCAATCTTACCGAGTGACACGTCAGGAAGCCGAGCTACTCCCACAGGATGACGAGTTACACGTCTGTGAGTCGTCTGTTGATACCGCCTGCATGATAGCAAGTTTGCGATCGTTCATTACCATGAAAGGCTATTTAGATATTGCACTCCAAAGACTGCGAATGGTGTGTCTGGGTCATATCAAGGATGCCCTCCAAATCTTGGAACAGATGCGGATTTCTCTGCCACAAGCGATGAAGATATATCATATGGGAGCTTTCGCTTACGCAGCCTCAGAGCGATTCGGTGAGAATAACCTGGAAGGAGACGATAGAGGAGCACCTGCGGTTCGAGCGGAAGATTCGAGCGGACATAGCGCGCGGGGTGATCACTCCGTTTGACCTCGTATCACTGGCAGAATCAGGCCGTTATTTGCCAGTGTCAATATTGCGATGAAGGGCAGCTCGCGTACTACTCCTCCATGCTTGTACAGTAGTCAGCTTGTCACTCTCGAATGTATATGCCAACCGACCGTTGCATATCACAGCAGTGGTACAACTTTAAGTACTAGCTTGGCCCATGCGCCCGCGACCACTGGCATCCGAGTCTTTTTTAAAGTCAAAATTCTTCGGGGTGCGTCGACGCGTCGGCATTCGCCGAAGACGTATATGAGCCACTTGCGCGTCGTTGAATTTTCCCTTCACCGCGCTCTCTTGTCCTGCCTCGCTGGTCTCTATGATCAACCTACGGGCGGTCGAGGTTTGCGACAGGATACTTTCCCCGTCAGAAGAGTGCCCTCTACGGGTGCTCGAGGAGATGAGGGGGTGGTTTGACGCATGAGAACGAGACGCACGTCTTGGTGCTGGGTTGTCAACTCTCTCGCTCCCTTGCTGAGCTTGTAGAGCTAGTCTAGACGGTACCAAACATATCGCTTTCGAGCTCGAGAAAGCTTGATACGCAATTCGTTACGCGCATCCTCTCCACCGTGAAGGTACTGTACAGTGCTGGGTTTACAATGCTCCTGTCTACGCTTAGACTAGTACGTACGACCTCGACCCGCTTGAATGCATTCAGAATCACAGACACAACACATGCACCACTGGACAATGATAACTCGTAGGATTATTGGGCCCGAGGTCCATAGCTTCCATTACTAACGTACCAAACTGCAAACAAGGAAAATACTGTCACCGTGCCGCGGGCGTCGTAGGCTGATAATTGCCATAGTACGAGTACGGCGTGCTTGAGCCAGGAGTACCGGGCTGACTGCCCCCAGCGCCAGCCGCCGTGCTGCGAAGGTGGGCAGGTAGCGGAGCGATGTGCCCCGAGGTACCCTGCGCGCCAGTCCAGGTCCCAGCTTGATATGGCTTTGCAGCTGACCCGGTGACCGTGTTTGCGACGGCACGTTGGGGCTGCTGCGCCTGAGCCTGAGCGGACGATGCGAAGAAACTGGCGTAGTTCGTCGCCATCGTCGTCGGTGTGGCACCAGGCTGCGGCGTCGTCTGTCCTGGCGTCACCCCTCCGGAGGTGGAAGCTTGCACTTGGCCCGGGGCGGTCTGCTGGTACTGATAATACGATGGGTAGGCGTACTGGCCTTGCGTGCCATACTGCGACCCGGGGTAGTAGCTGCTCGTAGCTGTGCCGGAAGGATTTGGATAGTAGGACCCGCCTTGCCCTGGAGTGTATTGATAGGCACCGCGGTACTGGGACGTCTGATAGTTGTAGCTGTACGGCGTGTACGGCGTAGTGGGAGTCGCAGCAGGTTTTGCTGGGGTAACGGGGACAGCCACTGTGGTCGTGGTAGTTGGAGCTGCGGTTGCTTCGGCACCCGGTTTGATGTGTACAGTCGTATCGTCCCTGAGTGCAGTAGCGCGGGTAGCAGGCAACGTCCCATACCAGCCCTCTGTGCCCTCGAGCGGTAGACTACGTTGAAGGGTGCGCAAAACGGACGCTGGAGGAACGAGCGGAGGATTCGAGTCCGGGTCAGAAGAAGACCGTGGTCTCAAGGAGGCCAACAACGATAGAGAATCCAGGATGGCCTGGGCTGTTGCAGCAGTTCAGCGCGTAACAAAAATGGGTGGAAAAATGTGCAACGTACCTGTGTCCCACTCCTCGGATCCCTCTTCCACCGTGCTCGATCCACCGCCCTCCGCCCCGAGTCGCAAACGTTGTAGTCGTTGTAATCTGAGCATCGCCCTTGCATTCTTGTCCAGTAGCTCTTGCACGGCTTGCTCCATCTCCAGACTTCCAAGTGCAGCCTTGATCCTCGCTACTTCTTCAGCAGATACCAGGCTCTCCAATGCCTTGTCCAGCTCTTCCGCGTCCTCGTCCTCGTCATGCTGCCCTGACGCCCTAACGCTCCGCGCAGTCTCTTCACCCATGATAATCGCATTGTCGGCGTCCGCGGCTCGCAAGGCCTCGATGGCTTTCCGCTTGCCCCTCGCCTTCTCCTTGAGAGTCGCTTCTTGGCGTTGTCTCCATATGAGGTCACCGAGGGCATACCTCCCGACCTCTGTCCCGTCTTGATCAAAGGTCGGAGCGAAACTGGCATAGGGCCCGTAGTCGAGGAACTTGCCGCAGCTGACGCGTCGCAGCCCCGGCAACTGCAGTGTGGCGGAGGCGGTATTCGGCCTGACATACTCGGCAAGGGTCTTCGTCCTGGCAGACGAGGACGTTGATGCTGATGGCAGGATAGCGGCGAGTTCCGCGTGGCCAGTAGGCAGATCCGTCAACGCTTTGCCTTCGGAGGGTAATGTGAAGTCGGAGTTGAGCGACGACCACCAGTCGCCCGTGGGTAGATGTTGCACAAGGGCGTACTTTCGTTTTCGGCTCGCAATGGTGGTGAGAGGAGCCGGCTTGTCTTCTTCTTCTACGGCTTCTCCATCAGCGGAGGGAGGCTGGAAGAGCGTTGGGAAGATGCTTTGCGCTTCTAGGGGCGTAGGGACTGAGTGGAAGGAGGCTTGGTCGAGGAGGGCGAGGGCAAGTCTGCAGAAGCGTAGCTGCTGTGCAGCGGGTTCTGAAGGGCGGGATCGTGGATGTGAAGAGATAGGGAACAGATGCTGGACTGCACTCTGTACATATGACGTATCAACACGCCGTATTGCCCAATGCAACAACACACGCAGAAACTCACCCGAAGAACGCGTAGGGGATACTGAGAAGAGTCTTTGAGAAGCGTACGGAATGAGTAGGTTTGGGTAGAACTCGATGGTGTCGGAGTGGATGTAGTTTCGCCTGACGTCGGTTCCGCGGACTCAGTTGAGAGCGGAAATACACGGTCGAGCAGACCTTGGGTGTCAATGCTACGAAGGACCACTTTCAGCGCAATTCAACGACTGGGAGCAGAATGAGGCGCACGATTCGAGTACAAGTAGGATGTTTTCCGCGTCTGCAGAGTCAATTGGCACATCACCGCTCCCCAGTGCGTCGGTCGGTTCGGTGTCTAGTTGTTCTGACGCAAGCTCTGGGGGCTCCTGGCTCTCGGATGTGCGCTGCTGCTTGGTAGCGGGCTGTTCACCATTGTCGGCGTTCGAGATGCGTTTGCGCTTTTTAGAGCCGCCCTTGCGCGGTGCGGGGGCGGTGTCCTGGGCCTTGTCCTTGTCCGGCTGGCCCGCTGAGCGAGTTGCGCGGGCCATTGGGGGTGTTGTGGAAGAGACGCTGAGGGAGGGTGTAAGACGCGCCTGTGGCGAGAGCAGGAGAGCTTGAGTCGCGTCCGCTCGACGCGTCCCGTGGCGAATGACCAGAGTCGTCTCCTCGACGCTTGCCCGATGGGAGCAGCTGCAGAAAGTCTCAGCCACTCAGCCACTCCCCTTCCAGCTCTCTTACTCATTTCGCACTCAGATAACACTGCGTTCAGACTCCGACCCTCCCTGTCCGGCAACGACTCCGATCGTCTGCGCTGTCTTCGCCATGGCCACCAGCTTCAGACTTCCTCCCGCTACCCGCCCGCTGCTGCGAGGGCAGCTCGCGTCCCGGCCGGCGAACGGACACGTCGCCTTCATTCCCCAAGTGCGGAAGGTCGTCTTCGAGTTCTGCGACAAATGGCCATCATCCGGCAATACGCGGACATACGTCCACAACCACCTCGAGGAGCTTGCTCGTTCAAATCCGCACGTCGAATTCGTCGTGAAGCAGCGGACGCAGAGGGAGCCTATCATTCGAGGATTCTACAGTGCGTACACTGCTATATCTTGCCTTCACATATCGCTTATCGTTGCTCAGTCAACGACCGAGACAAGGTCATTCCATTGAAGGGCTTTGAGGTCACCGGTATCCAGCAAAAAGTGAAACTCCTACTCGACTCATCAGGCGCGAAGATCAAGCCCCTCAAGAGACGTACTGTCGAGAGTACGACGGAGGCAGCGAGGGGCATCTGGAGCGGTCTACATGGCGAACCGTTCAAGATATAACAGCGGGTAGCTTTTGGGGTCAGTCGGGAACGGATCACACTGCAGTGCACCTCCACGCACGCACGAGACGGTGATCGGTATGTAGTGTTCCTCACTCCTGGGCTCCGTTCCCTAGTGCCGTGTGTCGATGCAATGCAGATAGGCTGATTGGGATGACCTGTAGATGTGTGTAACTTACTATCAATATATTACGCCCACGCTCTAGACATAAATCCCATCCATCGTCGATGTGATGTCTAGGGATGGAGTTCAGCCTCAGACACGAGTGTCCCTCGGGCTCTGTACCTTTGGGAAATGAACGGCTCACGGTTGGTGTATCCGCACCCTCGAATAACGGTGTTCAGTAGCTTTCAGCCGCTGTCGGGCCCGCGTCGGAAGCTTCCTTATAGGAAGTCCCAATTCTGGAAAGCGTGCCTCATGTCCGGGTGATACACGCTTCCTGCATGCTGCCCTGAGGCATCAGTCCTCAGGATTATCTACTGACTCAATCGTGACGCGCGGTAAACGTAGGCTCTAACACGTGTAGAAAAGTAGACTCGCGGGGCGCATGCGCCTATGCTCGCCCTCCCCTTGGACCCGTCCCATATCCTTCCATCAGCTTCGTGAGTGTCATTCCCGCTCTTTCTGCCGTGGCAAGACTGACCATCTATGATATCGACCGCAGACGATGCAGAGACCGAGCTCTTATCACGCTTTCTCGAGGTGCGACAGCCAAGTATGGACCGACTGGCTGCACTCCGAGCGCCAAGCCAACGTATGTGGCGACCCCTTTGTGCCTGGATGACCGTCTCATATTCTGCTAGTCATCATTGAGTAGCTCAGAGTCTGCAACGATTGAAGATGATATTGTGAGTCGATTGCTGAGGATCGCATCCGTACACTCCTCAACGTCCTTTGCAGAACCGCCATCAATCGAAAGACGATATCGACGACGCAATGCCTCTATGTTATGCTTCATTCGTGAGTACTCTACACAATCTCCAGGCAACGCAAGAAGCTCATTCTGTGACAGTTGCCTTCTCCGCCAGACTCGCCGCTGAGTGCGTCCTCGTCGTCTCAGCTGTCCGTAGTCTCGGCGGCGGATTCCGGCTATGATGAGCTACCGGAGATCCCATTCGTGTCGTCTTCTCCGTCACGATTTGACAGCGGTTGGAATCCGATGGAGGGCTGTTCAAGCCGGGGGAGCGACGACAGCCACTGCGAGCGGACCTTCTGGGCCTCGGTCATCCGGCCCACAGCCTCGCGGTCGTCAGAGAAGAGCGTCCCCGTCCTCGGGCAGATGAGCGAGCGCAGCCTGGCGCCCAGCCGTCACCGCGCTCCTTCCATCTCTTCGACAGCGTCGTCCCGGACACGGCCTGCACCCGCCAAGTCCATTTTGTCCTCCAGCTCGTCCACGAGGACACGAACAACGACACGGTCTCCGCCGTCTGTCAAATTTCTTGATATGCCCACGATCCATTACGAAGAGGAAGATGTATTTGAGCACACCCATAGCCACGCTCGGTCCGTTTCTGAGGACAGCGGAAAGCGGAGCTTTCTGAAGTGGTTCCGGGGTGCAAGCAAGAAGGCTCAAGCGGCGCAAGAGCGACCGACGATCTCTGGACCGTTCCCACTGTGGGAGACGCCACCGCGCCGTACGCCAAGCGGCGGGACGCCGAGCGTTCGTTCGACGAAGTCTGGAGCGCCGAGTTTGCGCTCGATGAAGTCGAACAACAGCCTCCGGTCCGTACGATCGTGCAGCAGCAGGCTGCAAACGTATTGGGGTAGGGTGACGGGAAGGGAACTATGAACTAGCTTCATGGTCGTGAGTGTTCCTTCGGCCCGTGGCGGCTTTCATGGATTTTACTAACGGATTGTGGGATGTAGGGTACCTTCTGCGCCCCCCTTCCATGCTTGGCTTCATTATGTCTCTCAGTCCATTGCTATGCCCATGCAGGACTCTTTTGCTTTCGTTGGACTACCTATGCCCAGGTGCATTCTAGCCTCTCTTCACATGGCCTCTCGGATTCGATATCGCAGATTGAGCATTGGTTGAAGATTAGGACAGTGGTTTTGTACAGCACAGTAGTAACGCGACAGCTCACGGGACTATGGAAGCCTATTCGCACTGACGTATGATGACCAATTCGTAGTGAGCACCCTGCCGCACATCTCCAAGCAGCACTACATATTGCATACCCTTGTTGCATGGTAAGTAGCACGGTAGCGAAGCCCAGCCGTGACACCGTGAGGGCATCAATGCTGTTCACGTCTCCTCTCGGCATCCCATCGACTTCTCATAAGGGTGAGGCCGTCTGCCCTGGTACGCAGCATAGGTGACGCCATCTGCAGTCGTGCGGCTTCGAGGTGCGGCGAGAGATGGCTGTCGTTGCGGATCACCTGCGGAGGCTCTCAGTACCCTCGTCTGGGTTGCAGCATGCGCACTTACTGAGCCAATAGCAAGGAAGAAACCAAATGTAGCTGCACTACTTAGCATGTACTGCGAGAGGGTGGGCAGGACGCCTCGAGGACCAGCGCCGCCTCTAGAACAAGAATGAGTCTCGCAGGTATGTATGAGGCGAGTGAGCGCACCTCAGGATGCTGTATCCGCCGAATATGAACCCAATTGTAAGCCCGACACCGCAGCCCATTGCTGCACCCATCCTAGATTGGACACAGGTCTTCAGCGTGCTCTGCGAGGAACATCTGCACGAAACGGCCTACTTCACTGTGTACCGTCAAAGCTGAACATTCATTACACAGTCCTGTGGAACTTACATTTCTGCCATACCGTGGGTCCTTGAGGAGTCCGCTGCATCGAGGCCATGATAGAGGCAAATGGAAAGCAGGTTAAAGTTTGGCGTGCGCCGGGTGGCGAGGTGGTCGTCTGAATGAAAGCGAACGGCACGCGCTAGCGCCGGCGAACGTCGGAATAGTACACAACGGCCATGCCTCTCGAGCTACCCTCGTTCCCTCCTGCTCAGCAGCCTCAGATCAGTGTGTACCAATCCTTTGTCGTGGCGATTAAATCATGATTGTGCAACTGCTTAGTCCGCTCGCATCAACGCGACTTCTTCCAGGTCTCGGCGTTGCGAGAGCAAGCGGATGGTGTGCTGAGAGCTTGGTTGGGTGCGTAGGCCGAGAGTCTGCAAATTTGCCCTGCTCAACTGTCTCAAGGCACGAGATGGCTGTCTCGGTGGGACAAAGAGTTCGAGTTATGTACCAAGCTGCTGTACCTTGGATTGACGGTCGGGCGCGGTGGGTCCCCTTTACGATGCCACTCGCGGTTCTGCTGAAGTGTTCTGCACGCTATAGCTACCCAGACACTCGGAGAAGAATACACTGACATATGGATACATCCCACGCATTCTGGAGGTGTGCCAGCCTGGCGTGCCAGAGCTGCTCTTGTCCTCTTGCCGACGCTGCCCTCCTATATGCTTTCAAGATGGGGTTCGCACCTACCGCCGACGTCTAAGTTGACTTCGCTCGTGCGCAGACTACCAGCGCTGCTGGAGATATTGTCCGAAGTCAACCTGGCCGTCTTCTACTTCCGAGGCACATACTATGATCTAGTCAAGAGGATGCTCGGGATCCGCTATGTGAGTACGTCCCGTTTTACGAGTGACCTCATACTGAGCCATGCCAGATTTCCGCTACTCCTCATGACCCAAACACGAGGCCGCCTTCATACTCGCTCCTAGGTGTTCTTCTGGTTGTCAGGCTGATACACCGTCTTGTCAGCTTTATCCGGTCGTCTGCCAAGGCAGACGCAGGAGGCTCTGTGGAATTGAAGGGGAAACGACCAGTTGATGACCACGAGGAGATCTACATTGATGACCGGCCTGTATCCATCATGATAGGCCGCGCTAACTCGGACGAGACACTTCAATTGACCACTGAAGAGGACGAGCGGACGGTCCTTGACTTCTCCCAGATACCGCCTGTTGCACGGGGAAGTCGGAATTGCTCACTTTGTCTGGACGAACGGACAGCGACGACGTCTACGGAATGCGGGCATCTGTTCTGCTGGGATTGCATCGTAGGCTGGGGCAGGGAGAAGGTGCGTGTTGGCATTGTACTGGAAGCAAACGAGCTGACACAGGCTAGGCCGAGTGTCCCCTCTGTCGCCAGTCCCTGAAGTTGACGTCTTTGCTCCCTATCTACAACTTGTAGCATCGTGATTTTATGATACACTATACATACACTCCGTATGCAGGCCCGGCCACCCAAGCGGTCTCTGCACCCATACAAGACTTACGATTGGGTGCTTTTGTATACAACATCGGCCCATGCGCAAGAAGTCACTATACCACTGGTTGGATGAGAGTGATGTTATCGCCCTTGAGCAATATACGGCCTGGAAATCGTGATGAGACGTGCACGGAAGAGCAAACAACATGGATATGCACCTAGTTCCCTTCGTGGCTTCGCATCCTTCACGTATACTTCAGCGGCCTCATCCACGACAACATTCATGAACTCATCGAAACCCTGAGGACAAAAACCAATTGTGAGCAACAATTCCGAACATAGGAATAGCGATGAAGAGGACGTAAGGAACAGATCAGTAAAGGTTCAGTCCTGGACAGCAAAGTCAACAGGAGGCGGACGCCTTATTGAGGTCGTATATTCAACGCGAAGTGTGTCCCAAGAGACGTTGGGAACACGCACAATGATTCTCCCCTCAATACGCATGTCGACATTATCGTACAGCCAAATCACAATTTTTGTTCGCTACGAAGGACGTCAGTCGGCGTTGAACTATTTCCAGAAGTGCGGCATACCTGTTGCAGGTTTTTGAAGATGACATTCTGGGGTACCTGAGCTCAACTGCGAACCGATCAAAAATGGGATAGTGACTTACGATGGGCTGAACCATCACACGCTGCTGACGACCGGACATCTTTGCGAGGATTTCTTGTCAAGTTCAGGTATTCGGGTCGTAGAGGGGGTGGTGCGAAAGCAATACTCGAGTCTGGTGGCGGACAAGACGATCTGAGGATTGGGATGCAATAGAGTGCGTGCCTTCGGCGAATGCCGACACGCTGCAACAGGGAGACGCGACGCGTCGCGGGCGCTTTTTTCTATAACTTGGACTGGATCCAGCGAGGATGGAGGTAGGTTATTACCAGGTCGTCTGCACGTTTCAGGAATGCTGAATGCGCCTCAAGCTGCTGGTATCGTCCAACTCGTCGACAGCAGCTGCTGTCACATTCATCACCTTCGTACAAGACCTCAAGAAGAAGACGAAACAATGGGGACCTATGATCGAGCTGTGCGCCAGCGGCGAGAAGACACTGGAACGATTCCGCTTCCAGTTCCCGGATGACTGGCTGTACAGCGACCAACTACAAGGAGAATGGAGCGCATTCAACGAGATACTGAAGCGGAAGAACGACTCCATCCAGGAGCAACTTGGTGAGTCTGCTCACCTTCGGTTGGTAAGACGCGCATGGGTACGATGACTTCCTGCAGCCGGCCTCCAATTGAAGATTGTTGCGGAGGACAAGATCGTCGAGAACAAGATTAACGACATCATTCAGGAGTGGGAGCAGACGCGGCCGGTGCAGGGCAGCATGCGTGCCGATACTGCGCTAAACACCATCAACGTGTTCGAGGGCAAGCTCAACCGGATACAGGAGGAGTACGACCTCGTTTGCAAAGCCAAGGAAGCACTCGACCTTGAGCTCATCCGTCACACGCGTCTCGACCCAATCTTCGAGGAGTTGCGCGATTTGAAGGCAGTCTGGACCGCGCTGTCCGGAATATGGAACCAGATTGGCGAGTTGAAGGAGATGGCGTGGGCGACTGTGCAGCCGAGGAAGCTGCGCCAGCATATTGACGGGCTCTTGTCGTCGACGAAGGATATGCCGACGAGGATGAGGCAGTACGCCGCATTCGAATACGTGCAGGACGTCCTGCGAGGACTTCTGAAAGCGAACACGCTCATTTCCGAGCTCAAGTCGGAGGCCTTGAAGGATAGACATTGGAAGCAACTCTTCAAGGTGCTGCGCGTACCAACACAAGTCAGCCTACCTCTGTGCGTGTCTACGCCATCTCGTTGTGCTTTCTCTGACCACTTGTGTGAAGGCTGACCCTGGGACATGTCTACGACATGGACCTGCGGAGGAACGAGAACGTCATCAAGGAGGTCATCATCCAGGCGCAGGGTGAGATGGCCTTAGAAGAGTACATTCGTCAGGTCAAGGAGGTCTGGACGAACTACACCCTCGACCTCGTCAACTACCAGAACAAGTGCCGTCTCATTCGTGGCTGGGACGATCTCTTCAACAAGTGCAGCGAGAATATGAACTCGCTAACCGCCATGAAGTTGTCGCCTTACTACAAGGTCTTCGAAGAGGAGGCTGGCTCTTGGGAGGAGAAGCTGAACCGGATTCACGTCCTCTTCGACGTCTGGATCGACGTGCAGCGCCAGTGGGTCTACCTAGAAGGTATCTTCTCCGGTAGCGCAGACATCAAACACCTCTTGCCCGTCGAGACTGCTCGTTTCCAGAACATCAACACCGAGTTCTTGGCAGTCATGAAAAAGGTGTACAAGTCGCCGTTCGTCCTCGATGTGATGAACATTCCTGGTATCCAGAAGAGTCTTGAGCGTCTCGCAGACCTGCTCAACAAGATTCAGAAGGCCCTCGGAGAGTACCTAGAACGCGAGCGTGCATCGTTCCCCCGGTTCTACTTCGTCGGTGACGAAGACCTCCTGGAGATCATCGGTAACAGCAAGGAGATCCTCCGTATCATGAAGCACCTTAAGAAGATGTTCGCCGGTATCTCGACGATCATGCTGGATGAGCAGCTAACGCAAATCGAGGGTATGGCCTCTCGAGAGGGCGAGGAAGTGCAATTCAAGACGCCCATCCTCCTCAAGGACTTCCCGAAGATCAACGATTGGCTTACCAAGTTGGAGTCGGAGATGCGCGTGTCGTTGTCTCTTCTACTATGCGACGCTGTCACGGAGCTGCAGTCCTTCTACGGCTCGACCTCTCCGCTACCCAAGGACCAGTTCATGGCGTGGTTGGAGAAGTATCCCGCGCAGCTCGTGACGCTTGCTATTCAAGTCGCGTGGACCGCCTCCATCGAGTCCGCGCTGGAGGCTCAGGGCAGCCTCGAGAGCCCTCTGGACACCGTACGGCAGGGTTTGGACCTCCTCGCCGACGTTGTGCTGACCGAGCTCCTCCCTGTGACGCGGCGCAAATGCGAGCATCTCATCACTGAGCTCGTCCATCAACGAGATGTCATCCGAGACTTGATTCAGAAGAAGGTCGTCGATAATCGTGCGTTCTCGTGGCTGTACCAGATGCGGTTCTACCTCGACCAGGGCCTCGAGAACCCCCTAGACAGGCTCGCCATCCGAGTCGCGGACGCGTCCTTCCCGTATGGATGGGAGTACCTCGGTGTACCCGACCGTCTCGTCCAGACGCCGTTGACGGATAGGTGTTACCTCACGTTGATGCAGGCTCTGGACAACCAGTTGGGTGGATCTCCGTTCGGACCCGCTGGAACCGGCAAGACCGAGTCCGTCAAGGCGTTGGGCGTGCAGCTCGGCCGTTTCGTCCTTGTCTTCTGTTGCGACGAGACGTTCGACTTCCAGGCGATGGGACGTATTTTCGTCGGTCTTTGTCAAGTCGGCGCGTGGGGATGCTTCGACGAGTTCAATCGTCTCGAGGAGCGTATCCTCAGTGCCGTTTCGCAGCAAGTACAGAGCATCCAGCAGGGTCTCGCAACTCTTGTCAAGAACCCTAACACCGAGATCGAGCTGGTTGGGAAGAACGTCAAGCTCAACAGTAACATGGGTTGGTATTCATGATGGTAGCCTAGTGCGTTCGCTTATCATTGTCTAGGTATCTTCATCACCACCAACCCTAACTATGCCGGACGATCTCAGCTTCCTCCTAACCTCACAAAGCTGTTCAGACCGTACGTGCCCCCACCATGCTGTCACTTTTCTCTGACCACTCAACCGCATACAGAATGGCGATGACCCGCCCCGATCGTGAACTCATTGCCCAAGTCATGTTGTTCTCCCAAGGTTTCCGCACAGCCGAATCCCTGGCCTCGAAGATCGTACCATTCTTCAATCTCTGTGACGAGCAGCTGTCCCCTCAGCCTCACTATGACTTTGGTCTTCGGGCGCTGAAAGCGGTGCTAGCAAGTGCCGGTATTCTCAAGCGTGAGCGGATGCAGAATGCGGGCGAGGGCGAGGACGCCATAGGGCTGTCCGATGCTGTCTCTGAACAAGTCATCTTGATCCAGAGTGTCACCGAAACCATCGTGCCGAAGCTGGTCGCCGAAGATGTACCACTCTTGACGAGGTGCGCAGATTTCGTACTCTATGTTGTTCCTTCAGCGTACTGATATTCCGTGCAAAGCCTTCTCGCAGACGTATTCCCGGGTACAGAGTACGTCCCCGTCAATCTTGACGCGCTCCGAGAGCAGATAAGCAAAGTCTGCGCCGAGCGGCGCTTGGTGGAAGGCGAGAGGTGGATCAACAAGATTCTCCAGCTTTACCAGATCCAGAAGATTCAGCACGGTTTGATGATGGTCGGGTCGTCTGGTAGCGGCAAGACGAACGCCTGGCAGGTGCTGTTGGCCGCTCTCGAAAGGCTCGACGGAGTCGAAGGTGTCGCATACGTGATCGACCCCAAGGCCATGCACAAGGACGCCTTGTACGGTACCCTCGATCCTACCACTCGCGAATGGAACGATGGCCTCTTCACCCACACGCTGCGTAAGATCGTGGATGATGTGCGTGGCGAGAGTGGCAAGCGGCACTGGATTATCTTTGATGGTGACGTCGATCCGGAATGGGTTGAGAACTTGAACAGGTTAGTTATTTGCCTCCGTTCACGGAGTCGTTCTAAACTTTCCGTAGTGTCCTCGACGACAACAAACTACTCACGCTGCCGAATGGAGAGCGTCTAAACTTGCCATCGAACGTGCGCATCATGTTCGAGGTCGAGCACCTTCGTTACGCGACACTCGCGACGGTCAGTCGCTGCGGTATGATCTGGTTCAGCGAGGACATCGTCGAGCCGAGCATGGTGTTCAGGCACTACTTGGAGACCCTTTCGACCATCGCTGTGGATGCAGAGGACGAGGAAGTCGAGATACCGGGTCGTCGTGTAGATGCGCTTGCCGCAGAAGCGACGACATCTCCTCATCTTGCCACTCAGAAGCAGGTCGCAGGCGTTCTGGAGAATTACTTCGCAGAAGATGGGCTGGTTCTCAGTGCTCTCAGCTTCGCGGAGTCCCTCGAGCACATCATGGACTTCACCAACACTCGTGCGCTGAACACCCTGTTCTCACTGATCAACAAGACCGTTCGCAACATCATTGAGTACAACATCCAGCACTCTGACTTCCCTCTGGCGCCCGAGCGTGTCGAGCAATACGTTGAGAAACGACTCTTGGTCAGCATCATTTGGGCGTTTTCTGGCGATGCACGCCTGGAGTTGCGTTCCGAGTTGGGCGAGTTCCTGCGCAAGCAGACCGGGGTGGATCTGCCGCCGTTGGGTCCTGGAAGCACCCTCCTCGACTATGATGTGCAAGTAGCGAACGGCGACTGGTTCCCATGGGCTTCTCGAGTACCAGTCATCGATATCGAGTCTCACGCGGTCACAGCGTCGGATGTCGTCGTCCCGACGATCGACACTGTCCGGCATGAAGAAGTCCTCTACTCGTGGCTCTCGGAGCACAAGCCCCTCATGTTGTGCGGTCCTCCTGGATCCGGAAAGACCATGACACTCTTCAGTGCACTGCGGAAGCTCCCCGACATGGAAGTCGTCGGCCTGAACTTCTCGAGTGCTACTACGCCGGAGCTCATTCTGAAGACATTCGAGCAGTACTGCGAGTACCGAAAGACACCCAATGGTGTCATCCTGGCGCCTGCCCAGATTGGCCGATGGCTTGTAGTTTTCTGTGACGAAATCAATCTGCCCGCAACCGACAAGTACGGTACGCAGCGGGTCATCTCGTTCATCCGCCAGCTCGTGGAAGCGAATGGTTATTGGAGGACCACTGACATGGCATGGGTCAAGCTCGAGCGTATCCAGTTCGTTGGCGCTTGCAATCCTCCTACGGATCCTGGTCGTGTCCCGCTCAGCCATCGATTCCTTCGTCATGCTCCGTTGGTCATGGTAGATTACCCGGGTGAACTGTCCTTGAAGCAGATCTACGGCACCTACAACCGCGCCGCGCTCAAGGTCCTTCCCAACCTCCGGACGTACGCCGAGCCACTCACGGATGCTATGGTAGCGCTCTACCTAGCATCGCAGAAACGATTCACCACCGATATCCAGGCTCACTATGTCTACAGTCCGCGTGAATTGACCCGTTGGGTGCGTGGTTTATACGAGGCCATCAAACCATTGGAGACCTTGACCGTGGAAGGCCTCGTACGAGTATGGGCTCACGAAGCTCTTCGCCTATTCTCTGACCGTCTTGTCACTGAAGAGGAGAAGCAGTGGACAGACGAGAGTATCGACAACGTCGCGATGGAAAACTTCCCCACTATCAACCGCGACGAGGCGTTGGCGCGTCCTATCCTGTTTTCCAACTGGACATCCAAGAACTATGTCTCCGTCGATCGTGAAGTCTTGCGCGAATACACCAAAGCACGGCTTCGCGTGTTCTACGAAGAAGAGCTCGATGTGCCCCTAGTGCTGTTCAACGACGTCGTCGACCATGTGCTGCGTATCGATCGAGTGTTCCGTCAGATCCAAGGTCACTTGCTCCTGATTGGAGTTAGTGGTAGTGGCAAGGTAGGACTCGTCGCTTCTCTTATCCGCTTGTATATGCTGATCATGTTTTTAGACGACGTTGTCGCGATTCGTCGCCTGGATGAATGGGTTGAACATCTTCCAAATCAAAGTCTCGAACAAGTACACCGGCGATGATTTCGATGAGGACCTTAGAACGGTATTGCGCCGTGCCGGATGCAAAGGCGAGAAGATATGCTTCATCATGGACGAGTCGAATGTCCTCGACTCTGGCTTCCTGGAGAGAATGAACACTCTTCTAGCCAACGCTGAGGTCCCCGGTCTGTTTGAGGGTGACGAGCACGCTGCTCTCATGACCGCTTGCAAGGAAGGTTCACAGCGCGATGGTTTGATGCTGGACTCGCACGAAGAACTGTATCGTTGGTTCACGCAGCAAGTAGCCAAGAATTTGCATGTCGTCTTCACCATGAATCCTCCCGAGAACGGACTTGCCTCGCGAGCTGCCACCTCCCCGGCTTTGTTCAATCGTTGCGTCCTGGATTGGTTCGGAGACTGGTCTGACCAAGCATTCTACCAAGTTGGCATGGAGTTCACGAATACGCTGGATCTTGATGTGCCCTCGTACAGTCCACCGGCCCTATTCCCCATCGCATACCGAGAACTATCAATGCCTCCGATCCACCGTGCCGCGGTAGTCAATGCTCTGGTGTATGTTCATCAATCGCTGCATCAAATCAACTTGCGCCTCAGTCGCCGGCAAGGGCGGTATAACTACGTCACGCCGCGTCACTACCTCGACTTGTGAGTCTTCACTTTCATTTCAGTTCATGGTAATTGACTTACACTACTTCAGTATCAACCACTACGTCCGGCTGCACAACGAAAAACGTGAGGAGTTGGAAGAACAACAACGCCATCTCCATGTGGGTCTGGACAAGCTGCGTGAGACCGTCACGCAGGTTGAGGAGCTGCGCAAGAGCCTTGCCATCAAACGCACCCAGCTCGAGGCGAAGAATGAGGAGGCCGATAGGAAGTTGAAGCGTATGGTTGCGGACCAACAAGAAGCCGAGCAGAAGAAGGCGGCATCGATAGAGATTCAGGCTGAGCTGGCCGTACAAGACAAGCACATCGAACAACGTCGCGCTGTCGTTATGGCCGACCTAGCAGATGCTGAGCCAGCCGTCCTGGATGCCCAAGCAGCCGTGAGCAACATCAAGAGGCAGCACTTGCAGGAAGTTCGTACCATGGCCAATCCTCCAGAGGCTGTCAAGCTGGCCATGGAGTCCGTATGTACTATCCTTGGGCACAAGATCGACAGCTGGCGTACGGTGCAGGGTATCATTCGTCGTGATGACTTCATTCAGCGAATCGTCAACTTCGACACAACGACCCAGATGACGAAACATCTACGTGACGCCATGAAGAGGGATTTCGTTAGCCGGCCCTCTTTCAACTTCGAGACCGTGAATCGTGCCAGTAAAGCTTGCGGACCTCTCGTCAAGTGGGCTATCGCTCAAGTCCGCTTCTCCGAGATCCTGGATAAGGTGGAGCCTCTACGCAACGAAGTGCAGTCTCTGGAGGATCAGGCGGGACGCACGAAGGAGCAGGCGAGGATGATGGTGACAATGGTAGCCGAGCTCGAGGCCAGCATTGAGCGATACAAGCAGGAGTACGCAGCCCTGATTCGAGAGACTGAAGCTATCAAGGGCGAGATGGAGCGCGTGGAGAGCAAGGTGAATCGCAGCATGACGCTCCTGGACAGTCTATCGTCCGAGAAGACTCGATGGGAATCTGGCAGTCGTACCTTCGACGCGGAGATGAGTACCATCGTGGGCGACGTGTTGCTTTCCGCCGCATTCCTGGCGTACGGTGGATTCTTCGATCAATCGTACCGCGAGCAAATGTGGCAGGAGTGGTCGTCGCATCTCGCAGAGGCGAACGTCAAGTTCAAGACGGAGCTGTCCATGCCAGACTATTTGTCAACTGCGGACGACCGTCTCAGCTGGCAGTCCAAGGGATTGCCTTCCGACAATCTTTGCACCGAGAACGCCATCATGATCAAACGTTTCAGTCGGTACCCGTTGATCATCGACCCGACCGGGCAAGCTACCAACTTCTTGCTGAAGGAGTACAAGGACCGCAAGATTACCGTGACGAGTTTCTTGGACGAAGCCTTCCTGAAGGTCTTGGAGAGCGCCCTGCGATTCGGCAATACCCTCCTCATTCAGGATGTCGAACACCTTGACCCCATTTTGAATCCTGTGCTCAACAAAGAAATTCGTCGTACCGGTGGCCGAGTCCTCATCCGTCTCGGAAGCCAGGACATCGACTTCTCGCCTTCGTTCACAATGTTCCTGGCTACACGCGATCCCTCCGTCGAGTTCTCCCCCGATATTTGCAGTCGTGTTACCTTCGTCAACTTCACGATGACTAGGAGCAGTCTGCAGAGTCAATCCCTCGACCAGGTTCTCAAAGTCGAGCGATCAGACACGGAGAAGAAGCGGACTGACTTGATGAAGATGCAGGGCGAGTTCCGCCTGCGGCTACGGACGCTGGAGAAGCTGCTATTGCAAGCGCTGAACGAGTCGAGTGGAAACATCCTGGACGACGACAAGGTCATCAACACTCTGGAGACTCTGAAGCGCGAAGCAGCAGAGATCACGAGTAAAGTGGAGGAGACAGACTTGGTCATGCGGGAAGTCGAGCAGGTCACCGCTGAATATCTGCCTCTGGCACAAGCGTGCAGCGCTGTGTTCTTCATTCTCGAGCAGCTCAATCTCGTCAACCACTTCTACCAATTCTCCTTGCGCTTCTTCCTCGACATATTCGACTACGTCCTCCATCAGAATCCGAACCTGAAGGGCGTATCCGACTATCATCGCCGCAGAGAGATCCTGCTTAACGACCTGTTCCTCATGGCATACAAGCGGACGTCTCGCGCACTCCTTCACCGGGACCATGTCATGCTTGCTGTTCTCCTAGCACAGGTGAAACTTCGAGGCATTGAGGAGATCGCCGACGAGCTCGAGTTCCTCCTGGAGAGCGGTGACAGTGCCGTGACTGTGGGCGGCGGTAACGCTGATATCCAGAGCCTCGCCTTCCTGTCTGTCGACCAGAAACAACGCCTGGAGAGTTATGGGAGACAGCCGATATTCAAGCCTGTTCTAGAACACCTCTTGCAGCATCAAAGCGAGTGGGCTGCATTCCTGGAGTCGAGTGCCCCTGAACAGTCAGTTCCCTCTCCATGGGATCCCAGCACGCGTGAGTTCTATATGAGCAGCCTCTCTTGCTTCACACACTGACCGGATTTATCGCAGCCGCTCTGGAGGGTGTCCGCCGGATGCTCGTCATCAAGTGTCTCCGGCCAGACCGATTGTTACAAGCCACGGCCGCCTTCGTGCGCACTGTCTTCCAGGCAGATTTGAACGCCGAGTCCGCGTACAACCTCGGGACGTTGGTCACTGATGAGATCCTCCCCGCAACACCCTTGTCGCTGGTATCTGTCACTGGGTATGATGCCAGTTATCGAGTAGAGAACCTGGTTCGCGACATGAGTGCCCGTTGCGCCTCAGTTGCGATGGGTTCGCAGGAAGGCTTCACCCTCGCGGATCAAACTATCGCTTTGGCAGCACGCCAGGGTACATGGGTTTTGCTGAAGAACGTCCACCTGGCCCCGTCATGGCTTGGACAACTCGAGAAGAAACTACAAACCCTCAATCCCCACCGCAACTTCCGTCTTTTCCTCACCATGGAAGCTAACCCAAGCATTCCTGTGAACATCCTACGTCAATCGAGAATCCTCATGAACGAGCCGCCACCGGGTATCAAGGCCAACCTCACCGATTCGCTCCGCGGTATCTCGAACTCGCGTCTGTCGCAAGGGCCCGCTGAGAAGGCCCGATTGTACTTCCTGTTGGCCTGGCTCCACGCTGTTGTTCAGGAGCGTCTGCGCTATGTTCCGCTGGGCTGGAGTAAGTTGTACGACTTCAACGACTCCGATATGGCTTCCGCATTCACCACGATCGACACCTGGATCAACTCCGTGGCCAAGGGCCGTGCGAACATCGACCCCGCAGTGATTCCATGGGATGCCCTCCGAACGCTCGTCAAGCAGTGCGTATACGGTGGACGCGTCGACAGTGACTTCGACCAAAAGATCATCGATGCCTTCGTTGACGGATTGTTCACCCCGGCGGCGTACAACGTTGACTTCGACCTCGTACCCAGTGCCACTGGTTCTAGAGTGCTCGGCGTGCCAGACGGAACGAAGCTCGACCACTTCCTGACATGGGTGCATGGTCTACCAGAGCGGGAACCGCCAGCTTGGCTCAGCCTCCCTCCTACAGCGGAGCGTGTCATTGCTGTCGCACAAGGTACGCCGGTTGTCAGACTAGTTTGCTGAAGTACATACTAATGACGTGCAGGAAACGAGCTTCTCGGCAAACTCAGGAAGATGCGTATGCTCGCTGACGACGACGACGCAGCAGCGGCTAGCGCGGGTCCATCGAAGGCGCAGGCATCGCAGCAACCTGCGTGGATGAGGCAATTACATGAGCGTTGCAAGGAGTGGCTTGAGCTGCTCCCATCGGTGAGTGCAGTTTGCGGCGCGCGTGGTCACACCAACTGATTTCTTCGCAGACGTTCCACACACTCGAGAAGCAGAGTAGCGACAACCAGGATCCGCTGTATCGTCTGTTCTACCGCGAAGGTACCATCGGCAGCAAGCTCCTCTCGCAAGTCCGCAGAGACCTCGCAGACGTCGTCAAGGTCTGTGAGGGCGCCCTCAAGCAAACCAACCACCTGCGAACCCTCATGAGCTCGCTCACGAAGGGTACGCGCCTCGCAGCCTCTCACCCTCACCCTCACTGACCCCGCCCGTTTGCAGGCACGATCCCCGACCACTGGCGGCGGTACAAGGTGCACAAGGCGCTCGCCGTGTCGGGCTGGATCTCGGACCTTGCGCGGCGGCTCGCGCAGCTCGACCAGATCGCGGGCCTGGACAACCTGAACAACGTCGAGGTGTGGCTCGGCGGGCTGTTCTTCCCCGAGGCGTACATCACCGCGACGCGCCAGGCGGTCGCGCACCGCAAGAAGTGGTCCCTCGAGACGCTCAACCTGAAGCTCGACATCGATCGCGTCAATGACCCGAGCGCCTTCATTGTGGACGGTGCGTGCTCTCCCCGTTGACTCCTGACTGCGTGTCCGTGCTGATTGCCGTGCGGTTGCAGGCCTCGTCCTGGAGGGTGCGAAGTGGGACACGGACAAGCTCACGCTGAACAACGGGGAGACCGTCCGGCTGAACCCGTCACAGATCCGGTGGGTCCAGGCGGAGGACGTGTCCACGGAGGGCACGGTCAACCTGCCTGTGTACCTGAACAGCGACAGGAGCCACGTCCTCTTCACCGTCGACCTGCCGTTCGACAGCACCGCGGGCGCGCTGGTTGCGACCCGCGCGGTGTGTCTCACTGCTGGGGGCTAGATGCGTGCGTAGACGGACATAGAGGATAGAGTGCATTGGTTCGTTGGATGGGTTGTTGGATGATACCCGCGTACGCCTACGATATGATATGATGATACCTTACGACGATGTTATTGCGTACTGAGTCGCTGCAGATGTAGCTTGCTATCTAATGATACTTACGATTTCACGGACATCTGCTGTGCGCGGCCTGGAGTGACAATCAACACCGGCTCGGAAATGCTTGGAGGTGTCTCAGTCTAGGCACCTCGTTCTATGCATCGTCCCCCTCAACTACACTACCACCTACTACCGACAACAGCTTCCAGTCCACCTCTACACCTTTCTCCCTGAAGATCGCGCGTGCATCCTCCGCGATAGACTCGAAGCCGCTCGTCGCGAGAGCGAGGATAGTGGGCCCTGCGCCCGACAGGCAGATACCCAGCAACCCGGGATGGCTTGATGGCGTCATTCGCGAGGTGACTTCGGGGAGACCGGGGATCTGGGGAGTGAGAGGTTAGAGGTGAACATAACTACGATGACTGAGTTGAAGAGGGGGAACTCACGAGCTCTTTGCGGTAGGGCTGGTGTATCCTGTCCTTCATGGCCTCGTATATGAGCTCCGGGTCGGGTGGTGATTGTGCGAGCGCGGTGGTCAGTACGGCTAGTCTTTGGAGGTTAAACACCTGCGACGAACCCGCTCAGACACGACACCAGCGAATGGGCGCAACAAGCGACGCACCACATCCTTCCTGGAGTAACTCGTCGGCAGCACCTCCCGCGCCCTCGCCGTGCTCAGCTCAAACCTGGGGATGATCGCGACCGCCTTGATGCTCTGCGACCACCCAAAGCACACAAAGTGGCCAATCCCCAGCGGGGGCTGCGGCGGGTCCCTGCCCCAGTGCTCGCCCGCGTCGGGCGGGTACTCCGGGAGGACCTCGCTCAGGGGCACGCTCGCGGCCTCCGTCGCGGCGGCGTCCAGCTCGCGCAGGTAGCTCCCGACGAACCCGCCGACGAGCGCGGCGGTGACGTTGTCGGGGTGGCGCTCGACCATGAGCGCGAAGTCGAGGACGCGCGCGCGGGGCAGGCGCAGGCCGCCGAGGGCAGAGCCGAGCAGGACGCCCGCGACGACGGCGGCGCCGGACGAGCCGAGCCCGCGGCCGAACGGGATCTCGTTGTGTGCGTGGATGGAGAGGGCGGAGGGGAAGGAGGAGATGCCGTGGCAGCGCAGGACGTAGAGCGCGACGCGCGTGGTGAGGTTTTTGTACGCGTCGAGGGGGACTTCGTCTGCGCCCTCGCCGGTGTACCGGATGGATGGCGGCGTGTGTGCGGAGGGCGAGGAGGGGGCGGTGATTGTCACGGAGAGGGTGAGGTAGAGCGAGAGCGAGAGGCCGACGACGTCGAAGCCGGGCCCGATGTTGGCGGACGTCGCGGGGACGCGGATGGTGAAGGATCGCGACATGCTTGTTGCGGGCTGCACGACGAGTCTAGAGCCCCTTCAGAAGCAGCCGGAGCGTGTGCTAGCTGTTGCAGACGGTGGTCGATGGCGAGGAGGGCGCTGAGCGTGCATCTTGAAGGAAGTGACTCACACCAGTCAGGCTGCCGACATCCTGGCGACAGCGGGACGCTGCCTTCCTACACTGATTGCTCGTCCAGGGCTGGTCATGCTGGTCAACAAAGTGCGCTCTCGGTGGAACGTAGACATGGGAGTGGTTTGGATGTCGCCAGAGCGAACGCGACCTTGCCGGCGGATCAGACTCTCGCGACCTGCGGCGGCGCACTGCCGCTCTGTGCACTGACCACATCGGTCGTAAAGCACACTTCCTCCATTCCCTTACAATACTATTCCTTCACAGCCGGGTGACAGACCACACCAACGAGCCCGGCACGCCCCCGTCCTCGCTGACCCCCTCCCAGCGCGAGTGTCCCTCCTTCAAGACCGCCTCCACCCTCACCGTCCCCCGCTCAAACACCTCCCCGTCCCACAGCGCCTCCCAGCTCTCCGGGTCATGGCACCACATCGGCTCCGTCCGCCACAAGCCCCGCGCGACCTCGCCCCTCAGGCCCTTCTTCGACCGCCCGCCGTGCGAGCCGAAGATGACCGAGCCCGGCTCGGGCGAGAGCAGGCCTGCGAGCGCGCGCGCGAGGGCGGCCTGCTGCGCCTCGTTGAAGAGGTGGAAGAACGAGGACGCGTGGATCGCGGAGACGTGCCCCAGCAGCGGGGTTAGGGTCGTCAGCGCCTTGAGGGCGGGCGCGGGCGTCGAGGGGAGCGCGTAGAACGGTGCGCTGGGCTGGAGGAAGGCGGGGGAGAAGGCGTCGCCGGCGAGGAAGGGGACCGGGAACGTCTCGGGGCTGTCGTTGAACAGCTTGTGGCCGAGCTCCCAGAACGCTGTTCAAGGTGAGTATGGTCTGTGGTGAGATTGGCATGTTATGCAGGGGGACCCTACCAGCATAGAGGTCCGAGCCGATGGCGTTCTCCATGGGGAATCCGTCCGCGACGGCCTTGCGGATGTCATTGCCGACTGCCTCGGCGAGGAGAGTTCGTCAAGCAGGCGGTCTGCCCGTGTAAGATCTGGAGCACGCACAGCAGCACCCGATGTCCAGGAAGACCGCGCCCTCACGCTCACGCCCCAGCTTCAGCAGCTGTCCATACGCGGGAAGGCGGGAGATCTTCAGCCTAGAATCCGCCGTCAGCGACAGCGCATACACCGCACGCTCAGGGAGGCCCGTACTTCAGGAAACTGAAATTCTGGACGCATCTGTACTTGTGCACCTGAGGACCTCGTCAGCCACTCTCCGTGCCATGCGCATACACACCGCTGAGACGCGCGACTCACCGCGAACGCGTCCGTCTGGACCTGCAGGATATGTCCCTTCAACTGCTCCTCGTCCTGAATTCCAGTGCGTTGCTTGAGGAACGCGCGTGCCTCCTCGTCTAGCGCGCCGTACGTCTTCTCGAGTGTGTCCCGGGATTCGTCGCTGCTCGCCATGGTCAGTCCGTTCAATCGAAGTCCGGTCTAGCGATGCGTTGATCTGTTTTGTGGGATGGCCCTGGGTCTACTGCATGGACCAATTGTATTAGGAGGGACGGCATTTGGACGGCATGTCGCGGCATCTACATGGGCGGGTACAAGCCGATGTACGCTGAATCAGGCTAGTATGACGATGCCGATTGACGGGATGGGCGAACGCGCAAGTGATGGCCAACCAGGCGCTGCTGTGCTATTTATAACCAGGGTCTACGAGCTAGGTCAGTTGGGGAAACAAGGAAACAGTTCCTGGGTCTCTGGGTAACGCGACACACCGTGTACCTGTCCCAATCAATCTCCTCTCATTCTTCGGCCGGCTTAAGCACACAAGCGAAGACTTGAACCAAAAAATGTCATTCGAAAAGCCAGGTCGTTGAGTGTGTAGAGTACAGTGGACGTCGGTCAGTGGCTATGGATACAGATGGACTGCAAATAATGTTAGAGCTACACCAGAGCGTCAAGCTGTGAAAGGCCCGCTATCGTCGTGCAACGAGCGATGGGGAACGCGAGTGAAAGGCGTCGTCACGTTTGAGAGTTCGTGAGTCGAGCGTCGAGCTCTTCATTCGACCGTGAAGCTAGCGATGCGTTGCGGTCAGTACTCACGTTCCGCAATGCAAGACATCAACGACACTCACTAGATCATATCATCGAGCGCACCATGTTGCGCAACCGCGACGAGCACCGGCTGGTGGTTCGCCGCCGCATTGATGCTCGCCATCCTGTACGTGCCCTTCGGCAGCCCCCCATTCACCGTCGCCGTCAACTGGCCATTCTCCGCAACCGCGTTCAAGCCCGAGAAGAACGCGAACTTCGTGGGGTCCGTCGGGTCCGTCTGGTTCATGCCCTGGATCTCCTCGATTACGACGTGGCTGTGGCCCATGATCAGCCCGGTCGAGGCGTTGAGCTGCTGCGGCGCGGCGAAGTAGTTCGTCGCGGGGTTGACGAACCAGCCCGTCTCGAGGTTCCTGACCGCGAGGACGACGGTGAAGTTCGCGTTCGCGGGGACGCGCCCGAGGTTCGCCGGGCTGACGAACTTCGCGGACGGCATCGCGGTCGTCGCGGCGATCGCGCCCATCGGCGCGGCGTTGCACGAGCCCGCCTTCACCTGCGTCCCGTTCGTGAGCGGCAGGCCCAGCGTCGCGCAGTAGTTGATGAAGTTGTTCGCGGACGTCAGCGAGGCGACTTCGCCGGCCTCCGGGGAGGCGGCGTTCGTGCCGTCGTCCGAGAACCCGGTGTTGACGAGCGAGTCGAGGAGGGTGAGCGAGGACTGGGACGCGGTGTCGTTGCCGCTGCTCGACGCGGTGCTGCTAGGTGCAGACGCAGACGCGCTCGTCGCGCTTGCGGCACCTCCAGACGATGCTGACGCCACCACGGAGGAGATCCCGGTTGCGGTCGCCACACCAGACGAGACCGCGGAGGATGTCGAGTTCGACGCGCCAGTGGCAGCGATGCGCTGCTGGAGGTCGTCCTGCGTCGTGCAGGTGATGCTCGTGCCCGCCGAGTTGACGAGCGGGAGCGCGGCGCAGCTATGGGGTGCTGTGAGTTTGCGACACAGGTTACAGTGGTTGTGGCACTACGTACATCTCGCCGGACCCGCACGACTGGAGCACGTACGAGCCCGAGACGCACTGCGCGAACTTCTGCTCGACGCACGCGTCCGTGCCTGTCTCGCACGACGAGTTGGCGGTCAGCGTCGCGAACTGCGCGCTACAGAGCATGGCCACGTTGTCAGACCTCGCACAGAGAGTGGGACGTATAGCGGAGACTCACTTCTGCGCAATGGCCTGCTGACCATTCTGCAATGCGAAGCCGCTGTCCCGAGGGAAAAGGCGGCGGGGCAGCGCCAGCGCGGCGGTGGCGAGCGACAAAGCCAACACAGCAGAGACCTTCATGTCTGTCAAAGTATAGTGGGGTTCGGTTCGGGAGTTGCGACGTGTGGGATGTGCAGTCGGGGCGTTGCTTGTGCGATGTGTAGTAGGTCAGTCGGTCGTGAACGTGTGACACCAGGTCAAGAGTCTAAGCAAGAGCGGGAGCGACCAGCACCGCAGACGTGAGCAAGAGCCGAGAAGCGAGCGAGTGACAGAGAGAGCGGAGGACAAGACCTGGAAGGCTTGGATGGGGACCCACTTCGCGGCCCACAGGTCTTTATACATCCCTGGTGTTGTTCTCGCCCCGGGCCCGGCATACTCATGCCGCTGTTTGCGACCAAGCGGGATTGTGGGAGGACGTCAGTAGAACAATGGCTTCATGGTATTTGGCAAGCTTGCGGCAACGGGCCGAGCGCGGAATCAGGCAGCTATTGTCCAGAATGGGCGCTTGTGGCAATGGACAATGCGTAGTGCTATTTTCGGAACAAATACTGTTTCTATTTTGGGGCGGCAGATCTAATCGGGTTTCCGGCTCCTTGAGTCCTACGAGACAAGCCTTTGCCTCCGTTTGCCCAACGTTTGCCCAGCATCATCCGGCGTGGTTGGACACTGCTCTATTCTTATGACTGCATTTCGTCTACGCGGTCTACTGTAAAGGAGCTCACATGCCCTTCACATATCTACTTAGTATCCCCTCTTGTAGTCTACTTGGTTCCAAACCTGCTGGCCCTCCCGCAACCTGCGCAAGTTCTCGGCGAAAATATGTATGCTCCTCTCCAAGTACTGTGACGGCGTGATCCTCAGCCACTGGCGACTCCGAGAAAAGCCCAACCACGACGCACCATAGTCGTCCGTCCACTCAGGTGCGGCGTTATAAGGACGTCTTTCCTGCCGAAGAGTGGGTGCCCGTCTGCAAGCGGCTCTCCCTCGACAACGTCGAGCGCGGCACCCGCGAGCTTCTTCTCGTCCAGGGCTTCCAGCAATGCGTCCCTGTCCAGCCAATGTCATTCCGCTCGCGTGCACACACGCGGGTCGTGGAACGTACGTGTCAACCGCATCGCCCCTCCCGATGTTCACGATGATCGCATGAGAAGGCAGGTACCCTATTGTCGCGGAGGACAATATATGGTGCGTTGCGCCTGTCGAGGGTAGCGCCAAAAGGAGGACATCGCACTTGGACAGGAACTCCTTGAACGCCTCCTCATCCTTCGTCGAATACCACGCCTCGGGGATATTCCCGTCCGGGTCGCCCATGCCGTCCTCGACGTAGCCAGTCTGCGGCTTCTGTTGTCCGTCGCTCGTGGCCGCGAGCACCTTGGCGCCGAAGGCTGCTGAGAGGCGCGCGCATTCCCGGCCAATCTGGAGGTGGGTGTGATGAATTACGGCAGAAGGGGGAAACGTCGACCACGTACGTGTCCGTATCCTAGCACGCCCACCGTCTTCCCCTTGAGTTCTTGGACGAACAACTGCCCACCGAACTCGGTATCCTTCCCCCAGCGTTTGTCGACCTGCCAGCATGTGCAAATGTGAGTATGAAGCTTGCAAGTGTTGTAGTAAGGTTAGGGTTTGATGGATGAGGGTGGGGACGAGCGGGATCTCAGGAAGAACAGCGAGGTGCCGGTACAGACTCGTGAAAGGGCACGTACCTGTGCGACGAGGATCTGTTCTTGCAGATGGTGGAACAGCGCGAGCGTCGTCATGATGAAGTGCTACGATGGCAGACCTCCAGCTTCAGTGCTCCCGCTTCCAACAACAACCGCCGACGTACCTGCGAGATCGGCGCCATATGAATCCCCGCAACCGTGGCCATGACCACTTTCTCCGCCCGCTCTTCGTGCCACATCTTCCCGCGGACGACGCTGTCCGCCCCCGCGCTGTCAAGCTGCACGAACTTGAGGCTCGGGACCTGCGCCCAGCTCTCGAGCCCTGTTGGGAACCCATATATCACGTCTGCCTTGCGGTACGCTTCCTTCGTGTCGCGTCCTTAGCCCCACCGCGCGCAGATTCGCTCAAATGCAGACTACTCACATCGGGGACAGAGCCGGGCGTGCGCGCCGAGGGTATATGCGTGATGTTCTTTGAGTGCTCCGCTAGGAGCGCGCGGTGCGCGTCGGGGAGGGGGACGTTCAGGACGAGGATGTGCTCGAACAGCGCGTTTGACGACATGGTCGCGGTCGATAACGCGCCATTGGGGGGCGCATTGTTGCTCTGCGGCCGCCAGGCACCTGCTAGATTGCGTAAGCGCCCGGTCTGCGCGCAACGATCGATCGACTCGGGGGAGGAGGGACCGGATGGCGGCTCACCTGAAAGGGACTGGATGGTCGAACTGACGGTATGTAGGATCGAGGACATTGCTGGAGGCTGTGGACGAGCAGGAGAAGGCTGGACGTGGATGGTGGGACAATGGGTTGCGGGTTACACACGGTGTTGTCTCGGGGGAAATGCAATTGCATGCCGTGAGGCGGCGAGGATAAGCTCGAGGCTCGGATGGCCGTCTTCCGCGCAATACATAGCCAGAAACCGTTGAATGTCGATTGCCGCCGTGTGACGAGGATAGCGGTGGACTTCAAGCTTTAACGTCCGAAACTTGCGATGCTTCCGAGACCATGTTTCTCTTGCAGCTCGGACCTCGATCTTGAGCACGTATGATTGGGCTGCGCTCTAGCTTCGATCTGACCGGACTCTGGCAGGTATCAATACAAGTGTTACCATTGGAAGATATGCGCATAGGGCTCTATTGCCCGCGAAGGGCTCAAGGCGGACATCACCAATTCCAGAAGTTGCGCAGCGAACCTTGCGAAGGCAAAAGGTATGAATAGTGCATCACGGCACCCCTCTCAAGCGGGTGTCCGGCTTCTCAACTAGAGTGTTCGTCACCACTTTAATCATGAGCATTGTGGTGGGCAGGGAGTTGAAGACATGGTGCACAGATGGACACTGCTTTGATAATGATGTGTCCATGTTCCGTCAACGTTGAGCCCCCGAGAGCATGCGCATGTACTCTAGCACGCGCCTAGTATCCCCTTTTGAAGTCCACTTTGTTCCAGATCTCCTCGCCCTGCCGCAATCGCCTCAAGTTCTCTACGCAAATCTGTATGCTCCTTTCAAAGTACTGCAGTGACAACGACTTTAGCTAGTGGTCGCTCTGCTCGGAAGCTGAACCATGACATACCATGGATGTCCGCCCACTCACGTGCGGCGTTATCAGGACGTTGTTCCTGCCGAAGAGAGGATGGCCATCCGGAAGTGGCTCTTCCTCGACGACGTCAAGGGCGGCGCCTGCGAGTCTCTTCTCATCCAAAGCTCGCAGCAGAGCGTTCCTGTGTACGTGACATCAATCCGCATCCCAGACATAGCACACAGCCTGAGTATCATGGACGCACGTGTCAATCGTGTCTCCTCTCCCAAGATTAACGACAATAGCATGCGAGGGCAGGTAGCCAATCGTCGTCGCCGAGAGCAAATGGCGCGTCGTGCCCGTGGACGGCAGCGCGAGCACGAGTACGTCACACCTGGACAGGAAGTCCCTGAATGAAGTGTCGTCCTTCGTCGAGAACCACGCCTCGGGGATGCTCCCGTCCGGGTCACCCATGCCGTGCCCGACGTAGCCCCCCTGGGGCTTCTTTCGCCCGTCGCTCGTGGCTGCCAGGACCCTTGCGCCAAACGCTGCCGAGAGGCGCGCGCATTCGCGCCCGATCTGCGAAGGATAGAGGGGTGGGTTACAGGCGGGGCGCACAACGATATCAATGGACCACGTACGTGCCCGTATCCCAGCACACCGACAGCCTTGCCCTTGAGTTCCTGGATGAATGCCCGCCCGCCGAACTCATCGTCCTTTCCCCAGCGTTTGTCGACCTGTCAACGCAGGTGTATGAACATGCAGATGTCAAGTGTCAGGATAAGGTTAGGGTTTGGCGCGCGGGAGAGAAGGAATGGGATTCCCTGCCATAGGGATGGACGCGGCTGCGGAAGACTCGATAGAGGAATGCCGATGGTAGCTTCGAATGCGTACGTACCTGGGCGACAATTATATGTTCCTGAAGGCGATGGAACAGCGCGAGCGTCGTCAGGATGAAATGCTGCAGCCGGAATTTAGCACCCCTACTTTAGATAGCAACGTAGGTGCACTGCACCTGCGAGATCGGCGCCATGTGTATACCAGATGTCGTGGCCATCGCCACCTTCTGTGCCTGTTCTTCGTGCCACATCGTCCCGCGGACGACGTTGTCCGCCCCCGCGAGGTCGAGCTGGACGAACTTTAGGTTCGGGACTTGCGCCCAGTTCTCGAGCCCACCGGGGAATCCATAGATCACGTCCACCTTGCGGTAGACATCCTGCGCGTTGCCTTGTCAGTCCTGCCCAGCCAAAAATTCATCATGGTCCTAAAGCAGTGCACTCACATCGGGGACAGACCCTGGCGTGCGTGCCGAGGGTATGTACGTGATGCTCTTGACGTGCTTCTCGAGGAGCGCACGGTGCGTGTCGGGGAAAGGAACATTCAGAACGAGGATGTGCTCGAACCGCGTTTCCTCAGACAATGTCGAGGCCATGGCTGGTGACGATATTTCGCCGTCGCTCTATGACTGCCAAGCACCTTTTAAGTAGACGGTGAAAGCGCACGGGGTCTATCCGTAGGTGTGGTCTTCCCTGATGGACCTTCGAGAAGGCATTTTTGGCAGAGGAAGGGCTATATTTGAGGGTGTGAAGCGCGCGGTCAACGCATAAGCTGTCAAGCTCAAGCGCGATGAAAGACACCGGTTCAGGCCATGCTCACCTAAGAGGATTCAAATGGAGAATGAGACGGGCTTCAGGATGGAGGACATTATTGCTGGAGGTAGTGGAAAATAAGACCGCTGGACGTGGATTATGGCAGGACTTATGTGGACGCGAGGCTGGTACGCGGAGGGACAGAGTCGTCTCCAAAAAAAACTCAAGAAACAACTTTCGTGAGCGACATGACACCCTGATCGGATGGCCGGTGTTCGTGCAAGGGCTTTGACACTGTATCTCTTGGCTGTGGGTCGATAGTCATGAATGAATACGATAAGCACCACTGATCAGAGGCATAGATTAGGAACTCAATCGTGAAGAAGAGTTACACGCGCACGATGACTCGAAGGCCGCGCCAAAATGACTGCGGGCAGCGATGCGAGGGCATTAGAGCGACTCTGCCAAGGCCAGACACCACGGCCCCGCGACTTTGCAAACCGCGATTCGGGTAGTCCCTGTATGCTTCTGCCCATGAATACCGCTTGAAAGTTGAATGCCGATTTGTCACCGTGTGGAAGCGCGTCCTCCGAACGATACCGGTGTGAACGGACATCGAGGGTGTTGTCTAGACACGAGCTGAGAGCGGCGCCATCGGGAAGTAGTGGTATTCCCAGCCTCAGGGAAGAGTAGCGGTATCTTGCCGCAGTAATCAGGACCGCTGATGTCGAGGAACCACTCAGCAGTTATTTACGACTCTAGCGATGGAAGACGCGACTTTAGCATCTTCGGGTAGCGTGTCCGAGACTCTGAGTCTGACAAGTTGGCCACGCTCGAAACTGAATTGCGTTCTCTATCCAAAGTTGACAGTTCGGAAGTTCAGGCGTCGACACGACAACTGACTAGGCAGTACTTGCATAGAGGCGGAGGGCAACAGCGATGAGGAGGAGGCAGTCGGTCGGTGCAGTCTGACGACCGAAGACCGGGACGCCCACGGCGTGACAACATCACGAGACCTGTGACACATCGTGTCTCTGTCTCCTCGGAGTCCTCCGTCTCCGTGTTCTGATTCAAGTTGTCGCCCACTGGCAGCTCTTGCAATCGCTCGCATATGAACACTTTCGATTCCGAAACACCAGCCAGCTGATGCCCTCCCTGACTCGACAAAAGAACAAACACTAGTATGATACGAAAGAGGCTCGTCGGAGGCTGCCACATGCACGACACCGCAGGGAATCCTGCCAGAGCCCTTGGCTGAGTATATCAAGGCGACGAGATGAGCGGGGCTTTCTGGCACCATTCTCCTTTCTCCAGCTCCGTGACCAAGAAATGCGCGAACCCAGCCCTGGCGAGCGTTGTCTTGGTCTTCCCATCGCCGACATATCCTGCCACGACTTCCGTAGTGTCGTTGTCCGTCAGGATCGGCACCCTCACGATCGTCCACTGCAGATCCGCCCCCTCCGTCCTGATCACTTCGCCCACGGCGACCACGTCCTTGTACGCGTTACGCGCGAAGAGGGCGACCCCGCTCACGAGAGCGGCGAAGACGATGCTGAACCGGTCGTGCTCGTCCTTCATGCTCGCCGTGCCCAGCGCGATGAGGCGGCTGACGCCCTGCTCCTTCATCACGGCGATAACGAGGCTGTATGCGTGCGCGAGGGGAGTATCGCTGGGGTGGAAGGGGCCCGATTTAGTCGAGGGCCCGAGCGCTGAGAGTACAGCATCGACTCCGCGCATGGCTTCGGTGAGTTTCTCGCGGTCGGTGAGCTGTCCTTCGACTACGGTTACGGCTGGATGCGTAGCAATCGCGTCTGGGAACTTTCCAGGCGAGCGAGCATAGAGGACCAGGGTATGGGCGGCTGTCAGCGCCTCTTCGATCGTCTTGATGCCGGCAGGACCGGTCCCGCCGAGGATGAGCAGGTGCATCGCACTGGATTCGCCGTGGATGTGGGTGTATATGCCGCGTAGGATACTGTGTGGCGAGTGTTATGTACTGTCACAATGTTGGGATGGCGCAGGATGGTGAGCAGATGATTAAAGTTAGGATATTCGGCCTGTGCAGCTGACCCCCATCTAGATCTGCTAGGCACGCTTCGTCCCCAAATTGAAACAGGCGTCCGACATGCAAGGTTGTCATTCGCGCTTGAGCTTGGATTACATTATGCATAAGCCACAGGCCCATCAAGCATATCCTGAACGGAATTGCATATCTAAGTTCGTGCTCGTTTCGTCCTTATCATGTCGCCCTTGATCTTGGTTATTGAGATTCACTCCTCTCCTATCCGCTCGGAACATCCACGTCTCAAAATGTCGTCAATGTCAATGGAAGCTCGAGCGCGTCAATGCTCCTCAGTTTGGCACTTGGTTTGCTGCAAGTCGAAGCCGAGATTGTCTATTTACAGTGCCGCAGTTTTCTTCTGAGTGGCCATTTTTTTCGACTCTCGACTTCTGACGCATGATGTCCCAGCCCACCCGAGCACAGACGACAGCGACCGATGTCAACGACAAGTCCGTCGCGGGGGTCAACTATCTCAGCAAAGTCCCAGATGCGATGATAGAAGTGAAACCCGTCGCTCCAGCGAATACAGAGGAACCCGTGGTGACTCGCAAGGTGCGCGCATCAGCTACTTCACCTCCTCGCGACGTACAAACAGACTAATTCATGCAGGAACTTTGGAGCTACTACCGTGCGTTCATCTCTGCGTTTGGGTATCTCCATCAGCATCTAATCCAAAAAACAGTGTATTATAACGCAGCAAACGTGAGCAGATTCAGGTTTATGCGCTGAATTGCGACTGAAGGTACTCTCAGGGAGTCGGGCCTTTGAGTATGTACGCTCGTTATGTCGGACTAAAATACTGACCATGCCTGATCATATATTACATAGTCTACTTCTTGATTCTTTTCCAGAGCTTGGCCACTTCCGCCGGCTGGGACCCTTCTCAAGGCCCTGGATCCACATGCACAAACTCTGGGCAATGTGTTCTACCTTGGGGCAGCGGCACCAAGTCCGTCAGCTCCATTGTGCTCGTCGCAAATGGCATCAGTTTCGCGGTACGCTAACAAAACGTCCTGGGTTGTGATGGGATTGGGTTTGACCCGTTGTAGATCATGACAGTTCTTTTCACAACAATCGGTTCAGCGGCCGACTACGGCACCTTTGGACGTTGGTTGTTGTTCGTCGTCACCCTGTTCTTTTGGGGTTCCCAGTTCGCCGGTATGGCCCTTACGAGTACGTCTTTCGCCCCTCTCCTTGGAGCCATCGCAGTAATCGCGCGGCGCTCTGTAGAACCCTCACGCTGGAAGGTTGCGATGATCATCTACATAATCACCTTCGTTTCGTACGGTGCGACTCTTGTGTTTTATGCTGCTGTGTTTCCGCGGCTGGCGCGCAACACCCCGCATGCTCGCCGCCTGCGAGACAAGTTAGAGAAACAGGAGATTTCCAGAGAAGAATACGAACTAGAAGAGAGCTTAGAGAAGAATCGGATCAGCAACATTAGCACGGTGCGTGACATTTTATTATTCGACCTGTGCGTGCTGACGGAAGATGTAGTGGCACAGCTTCGTTGGATTCCTCCTTGTCCTGTGTCTGGACTTAGCGATTTTGTTACCGCTCGCGACCAATACTCTGGTGAACAACTATACGGTAGTTCTGTAGGCATTCGCTAATCGTACTCGCCACTGCACCTGTGCTCATCTCACTTGACGCAGGACGAACATGTACTCAGTAATCCTCGGCATATGGTGGTGTGAATACTCCGCTTACGCTTATACTGAGGTTTCGGATTAACCGATTTCAGTCGTCTTTCAACAGCCCCGCCCCGGACCTCCGCTTCCCAAAGGCGAGCACTACCTGACGGTTGGCTGGAAGCAAGTACGTTACGCTGTCAAGTTCCCCAGTAATAGCTACCATTGACCGGTCTTATTCGCTTTAGATCTGGATCGTCCTGAAGCAATGGAGGAAGCTGCCACACACCTTCATGTACCTCTTCGCCTTCTTCCTGCTCTCTGATGTAAGTTTGCCCTTTCATGTCGCCGTCCTTCTAGGTCATTATTGCATTATAGGGCATGAACACCACAAGCACGCTCGTCATCATCTGTCAGAATGATCAAGTCCAATTTTCATTCCTGCAGAGCACGTATCTGAGCCTCGCGCAAGGTTTCGCTGCTACTGTCAGGTACGCACGCTCGACAAGTACGCGTAGCTGCATAGACTCACATGACCTCTTGCCAGTATACTCGGGTTTTGGTGGATCCAGAAGTACTGGAAGATCTCAACGAAGAAGATGGTGGGTTATGGGTCCCATGCCAAGATGCAGAATTGATGGCGCATTTCATAGTTCGCAGTCACGAATGTCTTCACCGTCCTAATCCCATTGTGGGGTATGATCGGCCTGTGGACAACGAAGTTTGGTTTCCGCCAAACTTGGGAGTTCTGGTAGACATGCACGCCTTTACCTCAGACACCGATCATTCACTAGTTTTCTACAGGGCGTACAACGTAGTCTTCGGTCTGTTCCAAGGTCCATACTACTCCTACGCGCAAACCATGATGGCGGAGCTCGCGCCGCCTGGCTTCGACAACATGGTATGTCATTTCTAGGTTGATTATCAGCGTACAGGCCTTGACTCTGTCCTTGACAAGTTCTTCGGATTGTTCGGGCTTTCGAACCGCGCGTCATCATTGATCGGGCCGAACGTCATCCAAGCCATCATCAACGAGACGCAGAACAACTGGAAGGGCTTCCCATTCCTTTTCGCTCTGTGCTCCGCGGCATGTCTTGTCATCTGGTTCGGTACGCCTTGCATTGTATCTCCCTTACGATGCTGCATGAGCTCACGTTTGCGATAGGTGTAGATGTGGAAAAGGGTCGCCGGGACGCTGTCGCGTGGGCGGAACAGAGTCTAACATACGTCACAGAGACGAGCACATATGTCGAAGACTCTGTCGCGGACTCAAGGGATTCTGGGGAGAAAGCATGAGGGGGGTATTCATTGCGAGGTTCTGATAAAGCGGACATTTCATGAAACTACCACTCCACATGATGCTAGCCAGTGTGATGTTATGTGCCGTGCGTCTGGGACATCCCCATGTCGCTATCGGACGTATGATGCAAGAGTCGAGCAAGGTGATCGCTGTCAGCTGGACGTACTATCTGTTCCTGGAGACGGCGAGACAGCGCAAACGTCGTCAAGATGGGTTATCAAATCTCAGATCTCAGTACTGCCTATTCGCCCGGCAACACAGACGTAAGTATGTACCTAGGATTCGCTAGGAAATCAAGGCCGTATATATAGCGACGGAGATCGTAGTCATAACTACCTTGAGCTCTGCCCGCTCTTCGTTCCACATCGTCTCGCCGACAGCGTTGTCCTGGCTTGCGAGTTCGGACTGGACACGTTTGAGGTCCGGGGTCTGTTAAGCCCACTGGATACCCGTAGTCATTTGACATTCGCATTGCGGGACACATCCTGGGCGCCGCATCAGAGTCAGTCTTGGTGAAAATCCAGATTAGCGCACTCACGTCGGGGGACTCGGACAGGTCGGGCGTTGCGTGCGCACCGAAGGCTTATATAGTATTACTGTACATAGCACGTACTAAATGCTCTCGATGCGCTTTTACAGGAGTGCACGGTGCGTTAGTCTCCGTTGCATACCATAATAGCCGGAAAGCGGCTATTATGACGGTGCGTATCGTGAAGTGGAGGAGGAGGAGGAGGAGGGGGGTCCATTTAGCCAGTACTCGAGGACACAGCAAAAGGCCACACCCGGGCCGTGACGGTACTGCAACAGGGACGGGTCAGCTTCCAAGCGCCCTCGGCCCGGCCGGTTTGACGCTGGAGGCACGCGAGATTATTGATTCTGACTCCTGACACCCCGACGCGGCCGTTTTTAGAGAAATATGTTTGTGTTCTCTGACACTGAATGATACCCAATCAAACAAGGACTCGTCCTCGCACGGTTCTCGCAGGTGAGTTGCGTCGGGACATGCTATGCAACTCCTTCGTACACCAGGCCTTCTAGCACACAACCTGCACCCGACGCGCTGTTGCATGCCCATCACCACATGACAGCGCCGCTCGTGACGGTTGAAACATTGACTGAACACATCGCCCACGGTGAGCACTTCCACCGCCACTTCTCACTCGGGCGCACTCGTCCCATCGCCCCGATCGGCCAACGATCGCCCCTGCGCAAGAGCCCGCCCCCGCCCCCAGCCTCGACAACTACAAGCCAAAAAAAAGTGGGTCGAGGCCGTCCGCGCTGGGGGCATCACCGTCCCGATCGTGCCTGGCATTGCGCCGATCCAGACGTGGAACGGGTTCATCAAGAGCACGAGCCTGTCGCAGCTGCTGCCTGCCGTGGAGAAGGTAAAGCTCGCACTGTCTTTGTCGTTACGCATAGGGCTCATACACGTATTCCGTAGTTTCTTACTTCGGACAGGCGTAACGAGACCATCCGACCAATCTTCTGGGCGAACCGCACGAAGTCCTACTTATCACGCACCGAGAACTGGGACGAGTACCCGAACGGTCGATTTGGCGACTCTCGCAGTCCAGCGTACGGTGGGCTCGACCGCTACAGTATCTGGATCAAGCAGTCGGTGCGTCGCGCTAAGCCCTAACTCGCTCTCTGAGTGCGACTGACACAACCTTCTATGCACAGAAAGAAGACGCGATCAAGCTCTGTGACCACCCGACGCCTGTCTGGGCAACCTCTTCCGCAAGTTCTGTGTGGGCCAGTGGTCAGACCAGGTGCCGTCGTCCGAGACAAGCGTGGTCGGGCCCGTCGAATGGGTACATGTACCAGAAGGTATGTTGCCCCGTGGATTTAGATGTGCACCCATTTACGGTTGTTGACAAGGATTGTCACAGGTGTAACTGGAGTTCTTCGTGTCGCCGGAGCTGCTGGACGCGCTCCTGCCACACATCGAGTGCGCGTGAACATCACGTACTATGTCATCAACAAGCGTGGCGACCTGCGGACGAACACGCACTCCGAAATCGGAGGTCACCTGTGTCCGCGACAGCGTCCACCTCAACTACCAGCACCATCTGCAGCCCCGCAGGTGCTTGCTGACGGTGACGCAGCTCGCCTGACACCGCGTCCAAACGCGACCTTCCAGGGCCGGAGCATGAGCGAAGGCAGCTCATCGCCTACCCTCTGAGAATCCGGAGCGCGAGCGGACATGCTGAAGCGGAATGGGCAGACGAGCCGGAAGGAGAGGGAGCGGACATCGGTAGCCAATATTGTACCTAGAGTAGCTCGTGCAATACCACATTCAATCGCATTTATTTTAGGCTAGACGACCGTTTCTAGTACTCTTGAGGATGCATATTCAATTCAGTACGCGTGGATTGATAAATTCATAAACAGCTGTGAACACGGGTGTAGATGTGCCCACTGCCGCCGGATGCACTCGGGTATTGTCGAGCCTGCAATATTCTGCGAGGCGTTACTTTGATATGGGGTATGGTCGTTGTTCGAGCAAGACTAGAGGCCAATGTGGCCGCCACAAGGCTGTGGCGCTCACGAGCGCTTGTGTCGTGGAGCAGGTTTTGGCGCAAGTGAAGATCAGGGTGAAGTCAGTAAGGTGTGGGACAAGTACTATGAGGCTCTACACGTCTAATGAAGCCCATATAACCGAAAAAATCCTGACTTGGAGTCGATGTATGGCCATTTCGTGAGCAAGACTTGCTGTGGCTGCGAGACGCTCGCAAGCGCTTGCAGAGCGGAGTGGGGTTTGCTGTGAGTAAAGGTGAGGGGAAAGTTAGTAAGATGTGGCACATTTAATATTAGACTCTGAATGAATATATGAGTCTATCCAGCCAATAAAATACTGACTGGGAGCTGGTGTATAGCCAATTCTTCAGCAAGAGTTCAAGCTGTGGCTGCGAGACGCTCGCGAGCGCTTGCGGGGCTGGCAGAGTTCACTGCAAGTAAAGGTGAGGGGGAAGTCAATAAGATATGGGACATGTAGTATGAGAATCTGAATGTATAACTAAGTCCATCCAGCTGAAGAAATCCTGACTTGGGGCTAGTGTACAGCCAATTCCTCAACAAGAGTTGCTGTGGCTGACGCTCGCGAGCGCTTGCGGGGCAGCCTGGCGGGGTTCGCTGCGAGTAAAGGTGAGGGGGAAGTCAGTAAGATATGGGACATGTAGTATGAGGGTCTGAATGTATAACTGAGTCCATCCAGCTGAAAAGATCTTGACTTGGAGCCCGGCATATGGCCAATTCCTGAGCAATAGTTGCTGTGGCTGCAAGTAAAGGCGAGGGTAAGGTGTGGAACATCTGGTATATTGCTCCTCATGTCCAGAACAGTACTGTCAGATATAGACATCTTAACCAGCCGGTGACATAGGGCCATTACTTCAATACTAGGACTTGCCTCAAGGCTATCGAACGGCTCAGCCGCACTGATTGATCTCACATTGCCTTTTTGGGTGCGGCCACAGCGCACGTGCTGTCCAGCCAAACTTGTACGTGCCCTTGCCAACTGCTCTTCCTGTCCAACTAGCTGCCTATACTAAAGCTGCCTATTCTCAAATATCTAGTATCTATGACTAGTATCCTCTAATCTACACTCTCTGATTCGGCAAAACATCAATGGCTCTCTATTCGTCGCAACAGGCTACCCGCTGCCAACGCCAAAATTGCCCCAATAAAAATGTCCAGAATCAAGGCCAGCTTCGTTTGTTGCGCTCGGCCTACCAGGGCATGGGAGCGAAGATGCTGTGCCAAACGTGCTATGATTATTATGTGCGCAAGGGCGCGCGGGAGGGCATTCGTACGTCATAGTTTGCCTACAGTACCGTCTCACTACCTGTCTAATATCAGTCTGTATCCAAAAGCGGTTGATGGCTTTCAGAGCGTCCCAAGCGTCCCGAGCGATGCTGGAAACGGTGCCTCTCGTTTTCATATTTCAAAGGATATTGCTGCTGCGCAGCGCGGAGGTATGTGTCTTGTTGTTCATGAACTCGTGACGCTCAATGGTCTGTGTCACAGAGGCTGCCCATGTTGTTGCCATTGGCCAAGGAGGGCGTAGCTCCAATGCTATGCTCCCTCCACCCGTTCCGGCTGGACGGGCCGGCCAGTTCAAGCCGGCTGTCCATGTCCCTGGCGGAGAGGTCTTCAACATGCTGCGTGACGCCGTTGCTATTAGCCGGGAAAGGAAGGGTACGAAACTCGGTTATCAATCTGTTCACCAATACTATCACCGCATCCGCGAGATGCTTCAACGCAACGCGCGAGACAGCAAGCTGGTCGGGCCGTCGGATGTGGTCGTGGTGAAGGCATCTATGGTGACGCTCGAGGAAGGCAAAAAAAGGCCGATACAAGTTGGGGTATGTCGCTTCGTCCATAATATTCTATGTTGCATATGCTGATTGCTGTTCAATGACACTAGACTGTCCAGGAGTCTATTGGCGACGTCCCTGTGCATATTGGTGCCAGGGCTCTCAAGGATCTGGTTTTCACAACGCTTTACAGCGTGTATGGAGAGTGGTCCCATGAAGCGTTGCTCACCTACGATGAATGCACACTTCGCAACAAGGACCGCGTCCCGATCCTTCCGCTCGGTGAAGGCGAAGATGACCGTGACGCACTTCCCCTAGCTGCCTCATTGGCACAGAAGGACAATGCCCGAATGGCAAAACCAAGAGTGGCGAAGGTCAACAACCTGAAGCCCATCGAGGTTGTTTTGGAAATCCCGTGGGGCACGTACACCAAAGCTCGGTCACATAAGCGTCATCGGGAGGCAGGTACAGTCAGTACATTCAATTTTCTGAGCTTGGCAGTATTTGAGTCAGCATTCACATGTGTCCGTATCTAGGAGCCCGAGAACGACGACATCCCAGACGATGCTGGTTCCATGTTGATGGTACGTACATCAAAGATCGAGGTATGTAGACGTTATGTACCGTTGCTGTTGTATTGCTAACATGTAGCCTAGCATCTTATGCCACGTCACTGGCGTAGTAGTGATGCTGCACTGGACTCGGCCAATGTCCACAACGAAGAAGCCGGTGTATCATATGCCACGACAGCGCCGGTCAGCAAGTCACCGATCATGCAAGAGAACAGTGATCGTAGCTACTATGATCGTCCAAGTCACCTCGCCGAGCGCAGTGTGGCACGATCACTGGTTAGTAGCTCATCGGGAAAGAAAAGGGGGAAAGAGGTAGCTGATGACACGGGCAGCTCAGAGGTGCGTACATCTCATTATGGATATGATTTGCATAGCTGGAATCATTCACGCTCCTATTTGTTCTCAGATATCATGGAAACGCAACAAGATGGACTTACATTCACCTCCATCTGCCCTTTCTGCTGATGCAATAGAGCGTGCTCTTCGTGGCCAACAAGGGCCATCGCGACCAGCTGCAATGGCATTGTGTACGCCTACATTTCATTCATCTGTGCAGACTGGACTTGCGTGATAACAGAGAGACGTTCTATGTGCAGTGTATTCTGTGAACATCGCTGTTTCTTTCCGCGTGTATCCAAACAAGACGTTTGCAGCTCTGGTTCGGGAGGGTGCGTGTTGTACTACGGCCTTTTCAGGGTGTTTTGCTGACACATAATTCCAGCCGGTGACTCCTCCTCCTGGAATTCACAACAACCGCCGATTGCTGGCACCGTATTCTATAGCCCAGCAAGTGCACCACAGCTAGGGGCGTTCAAAGCAGCATTTTTCGGTCAGACCAGCCCAGCGCTGCCAGATTTCCCATCATCAGGCAGCGTCGTCCTCAAGCAGATTTATATCAGACGGGATGACACGGAGCTTCGTGCCAGTGCTGCGAAGGTGCGCATTGACTTTGCGCCAAGTGGCCAACAAATCGTGGAGCTAGGACGGGAGATCTTATGTCTGCAGTGGGCATCTGCGCTTATGAACATTGTCTACGAGTTTCTCGCAGGCTCTGCTAGGCAGCCGCCGTTTCCCATTCCGGTGATGCGTTTTGTTCGCGTGGCCTTAGCGATTGAGGACAAGGAATCAATAGAGCGCAAAGTGTTCATGGTGGAAGAACGCATTGATCCACGGGAACACGGGGTGTGGCGTAAGTACATCAATAATAACTCCCCGACGCCCTTGCTGTCGACCTCGTGTACGCCGGCACTGCAGCACATCGCAGACTTCCTCGTCTTCTGTCAGCATGTTCAGTATATCAAGACTAGTGGTCTAGCATTTGTCTCCGATTTCCAAGGTATGAATAACGCCTCAGTTTAGAATTATTGAGAAATTCACACAGATATGTCTGCGCAGGTGGTACTACGTTGCTGTCAGATCCACAGATTATCACAGCACCGTGCGTCCATTTGCATCTTCTCTCTTCTCTACTACCTAACTCTATGCCTACAGGCAAGTCGGGGACGTGTTTGCAGGTGGAAACATCACGTCTGCATACACCAACTTCGTCGCAGAGCATGACTGCTCGAAGTTCTGCAAGTTCTTTTCCTTGGAGGAAGTTGGTATCCAGAGCACGCGACGTTCAAATGGTCTGGATACGCAAGCATCTTCGCGGGCGACTAATAGAAAGCCAGCTTCATTGGTAGGTGGTGTTCGGACACACCGGGAGGTGAGTGTCATGCTGAATCTGAGCGTGTGTGGACATAGTTCTGATTGATGCCTAGGCATTGCAGACCGCTGTTCCGTCTATCCAAGGCGTAGGGAATGGAGAACCAGAGCCGCTGTTTCAACCCACTCGAGTTGCTACTGGGTTACGCACAGAGCAGACCTCAGCCTCAGGGTCCAACGCCGTTCCAGAGCACGGCATTCTTCCTGGCGGTGCAATAGTGCATGAGGACGGAAGGGAATGATGGGCCCAACGCTGTTGCTATGTAATGTGATTATTTACATACAGACGTGCAGCTCGCACATTGATGTTTAGACAAGAACAAACAGTTGAAATTGGGGTGGTCTAGCAAACAGTACATGATGAGAACACCTCAGAAAAACCCAGCATCTTCTCCATCGTCTTCTTCATCTGTGAACCACCCAACAGCACTACCCTGAGCGTCAGGGTTCAAGTTCTCCGCGTCAGCATTCTCTGGCCCACTGAAGTGTTGGCCATTATCTTGAAGGTTCAGCAAGCCTGGCATGAGCATGATGGGCTCAGCATTATGCGGCTGACGGCTGTCTAACACGCTGGACAGAAGGAGGGCTTGTTCCTCAGGGTTCTGACGCTCTGGTGCTCGCATATACTCGAGTACCTGGAGGTAAATAGCCCAGAACGTCTCCATGGAGATTGCAGGCCGACCCAAGGCTTCAATGGCTTCCTCCAGCTTGCCTGCGATGTACGGTGGAACGCACTCGAAAACTGGATGATCAGGAGGTGCCCACAGTTCCTCGACCTCATCTACGAGGTCTGCTGGTACAGGAATCTGAGTAGCTCATTTGTGAGCTGAACTGCGAAGGTTAAGACCGAAGTTGTCCCAACCTTGAAGTCAACCACGTTGAATGCAGCCGGGTTCTGGGCTATCATTGTTGGTATTCCCTGCGGGAGAACCTTGTGTTTGCTTGCACGTCTCGGCGTCGAGTTGAAGTGTAGTGCCCACGCATCAAGCTCTGCTTGAAGCCAAGGGATTGCCAGCCAGCGAAATACGAGGCTAAACAGGATGAATCAACAGCAGTGGAGGATCGGTAACGCATGCATACTCACGTCTCAAGCTCATTTGCAGGATTATACCACCCGTTATCAATACCGTACTGAAGTTTGGCCTCAAAGCCAGGTTTCCATGAGCGATTGAGGACCGACCACATGATCTCTGGCTTGATGTTCATGTGGCCGCGCATCCAACGGTGTTGTAAGGTGTCTGCAAGTGTAGGATCAAGAGTATGGCGCATGTACGTCTGGGCATTTGCGATGCCAAAGTTCTCGCTGCCTGGATCGCTCTGAGTGACAAGGGGCACAGCTATGATGGATACACTGTCAGAGATGGCTCCGTGAAGTGTACATTCACTTACCGCCAATGCTACGCACAGCTTCCAGATAGTAGCTTGTGATGAGACGAGGATTTGAATTATTCCACCATATTTTCAGCCACTTGATCTCGCCGGCGACCGGCTCAATGCAAAGGTGGAGAAAAAGACCAAAGCGTGCCCATTTATCATGCTGGTCAAACGCCCAAACATCATTCACTCCAGCAGCCCAGAACTGATGGCGTTTAAACTTGCGATGCTTGCGTGCTTGGACGGCATTAGGCTCAAATTCCTTGAGCCACTTGCCCACCATTGACCTAACATGCGAATATGTGAGTGCATCTAGGCCCATCACTAGCAAGACGTACTCTGAAACTCGTATGTTGTACGTGATGCGCAGGGTGCTCGTCATCTGTCGGGCTCCATAGGTAGGGTACCGGGCTTTGAGAGCACGGCAGTACGGGTCTATTGATACAGCAGTATGGTTCTGCTGGCGAGTTTTGGGCAAGTTCCACTGGGCTCGTAGACGTTTGACCGTTGTATTGCTGATAATTGATCAGATATAGAGTTAGTTCGCAAGGTGGACGTTGGCCGTAAGCCTCATGAACGCACCTAAGGCCGTACACCTCAGTGTTGAAGTGCTGCTGGCAGCTCTCGGCGATCTTACTGTCCGACAGACCTAGAGTGTAGTAGTAGGTCACATGCCCACGTATGATATCCGCTGGAGCTGTGAAGCACCAAACGGTGAAGCTTAGACGGTAGCCATGCAACGGTGACAGAATAAATGAGTACACACGGCATGGCTTGTGTTGATTACGACGCTTCACTGGAGTCACTTCCTCCACAATCGGTCCGTCTTGTCTATTCAACGCATCTGAACCGTCGTGTTGAGTTTCAGCACCGATGTCTTCAAAATCCTCTTGCATTGCTGCACAGGGCTGGAATAAACGCAGCGTCTGCAAATGGCATCACCTCAACTCTAGAACTGATCATATTGATGCCAAAAAACTTACTTGCCGGTGTTATAATGGTCGGGTGAAGATGCGAAAGGGAACGCGTTGTTCACTCGATCAAATTGAGTACTAGCAGACTCAGCCCAGTGCCGGTGAGTCTGTGTGCGCCGCTCTATAAGCGCCCATCTCAACGTACCTCCCACACTCCAGGGCAGCCCAATATGCCTTGAGACCCACGCTGGACACCGAGAACTTGCTGTTGACGCGGCAAGGGATGGAGATGGTCGTCGTTGTGTCTGACCAAGATGAACGTGCCCAACGACTGGAACTGTCCATTGAGCCCCTAACCCCGTGCGCCCTAACCCCGGCAGTTGTCCACTCTCTGCACGCGCCACCGACCTGCTCTGCACTTGACCTCTGCACTCAATGACCCTCGCCTACGCAGCCTCAAAACGGATCCGCGGCGCCGCATGCCAGATGACAACGCGACAGAAGAGTACTCAGGCTACTCTCAGCGGCGCGCGCCGTGTCTCACTCAGACTCGGAGCGCGCTCTCTCGCCAACATCTTGCTTGACCTGTGCATTCTCCGCGCTTCAAGTTGTTCATCCGCCTACGACTCTCTACGACCCATCATCATCACCAGCAACGGCCCGTCATCAGCACCAGCGACGACGCCCGCCAGTCACACTCAAACGCGCCGGGTGTGCATCACCCGCCGTCGCCCCGCAGCGAGCAAACCATATCGCACGTCTTCGTGCCATCACCACCGGCTCTTCCTTGTATGCCAGTGTGCCGCACGCTATTGACTCTGATGCTGCCGACCGAGCTCTTTGCGCGCGCGAGCCGTCCGTCTCGCGAATGCCGTTGTCAAGCCCAGTAACCGTCTCGTCATCGTCTTGTCACCTCACTCATCTTTCCCCTTAAACGCTTGCTTCTTCACGACAGATTTCACCCATCCCCCACGGCACCGCTCGACACCGCGTGCGAAACCAAGCTGGCCAGCTCCGCTATTTCCCGGAACGACATTCGCATGCAAGGAGCCGGACACAACACACACTCTGGGCCCGCTCGGAGGACAGATGTTGGTGCGTTTCCTGATTGGATAGCCGTTCTTACTCACTCACTGACCGGGCGTACTGTGTTGCAGGCTCTTCGTCGGCGCGTGTGCCTCGCACCAACATACATGTAGCCCATGAGCTCGCGGAAGTGCTCAGGGCTAAGGAGGCTAAGAGGGACGATGGGAATGGTGATTTGCGCAGGGGTCTCCGGCGACGGCGTGAGAGAGCAGGGTGGAGATGAAGACGAGAGTGACGGGAGGTGAGCGTACTAGTTGATGTCCCCACACGCACTCGTGGGCGACGAGCGTAGCGATGATGTTGCACTCGCCCTCAGCAATGTCCTTCTTGCAGACGGCGAGCATGTGCGAGGGGAGGTCGGCGGAGCCGTCGCTGACGTCGACGGTGATGTTGTCGGGGATGGAAACAGGAAGAGGAGGAGGGACTTTGACGTGCTCGAGGACGGCAAGCAAGAAAGAAGACATAAATAGTAAGTAACCAGAGGCCATCACAGAAGTGTTAAACGCACCTCTGCCCGTTCGCAGCTACCTCGTCCTCGTCCTCGTTCAATGGAACATGAAGAGTGCCTTCTCGATCGGCACGCGCTTGGGGTGGGCGAGCCGCCTCGGGATCGCGATGGAGATCTTGGGCTCGACGTCGTGCTCCGGCGCCGTCCTCACACTGTCCGTCACCGTCGACCCCATCGCCGGGCAGCCTTGTGCCTCCGTCTGCCAATGACACCGCTGGCCCATTAGGAGAAGCCGCGCGAACGTTCAACGCACCGTCTGTCTCCTCAAAGTGAACGACCTGCTCCAGGACGTACACGTACACGTCCGTGCAGGTCGCCGCTGGAAGGGTCGCCTTGCGAGGACTGGCTGTGAAGGCGGGTTTGGGAAGGCGGGTTTGGATCGATGGGGAATGTGCTTGCCGAGCAATTGAAGGGTGTGGAGGTACAACTAGGCGATGCAGCCGTATCCGTCCCCACACAGGTGGACTTCGCACAATATTCAATGTATGTACTATGCTACTGAACTACACCCCATTGCTATCTTGGCATCTGCATGAAGGCGGCGTCGCTTCACCCCGTTCTCCCCAGGAGGAACAATCTCTTGGAGTGCCTGATCCTCGGGTGCACCCTCAGACTTGCGCTTTGTACCAAGCTTTGGCTGCCAACCACCCGGCCCGCTTGTACGCTTGGACACGACCTTGCGTACCCCAGGTTTGTGTCGACCGTCCTTCTTCTTCTGCTCACTTGCAAGCTGTCGTTGCCGGAAGTGTTCTGGAAGAACGGGGCTATTCTGGCATACAACTAACCTACAGATATAACGTCAATGAGGGAGGATGGCTCCGAGTAAATGGGCCTCCGACATACATGCAATTCTTCTTTCCTTTAGGACCTCCACGAGTAATGCGACGACCAAGTCCGCAATATTCCAATGGGCCCACAGCGACGTCGCGTCCCTTGACTACATTGATGAATGTATTCGCGTCGCGTTCAGCATTGGGTGCCAAGTCGAAGGTTCGGTCACAAGTGACAGCCCATGACTTGGATGTACCACCCAAAGACCTCCTATGTTGTATGAAATGCGTGAGCTCCATCGTTGCACGCTAAATACAGATTACTGAACGACCACATACCATGACTCAAAGGGTACCAGTGATAGCGGAAACACAGACGTAATGCTCCACAGAGCTTTTTGCGAACTTATGTTGTAACACCTGTACAGCATCGTGTCGATCTTGCACTCGCGGAGCTGCCGAGACGACAAAAAGAGAGAATCTGAATAAACTTCGAGGTCGAGGTGCGTACACGTATCCAGAAGCCCTGAATAGCTTCTCATCAGCTCTGACCGGCAAAAGCGAATGCTATAAGCGTACCAAGTTTCTGATACATAGCAGTGAGTGGGTCAGTCTTCTCCTCCGTATTCCCCAGCCCCAAACGTGTCCAGAATTCACGTCCAAAAACAAGATGACCGAGCGATTCGGTCTCCCTGATCAGCGCGGCCTGAACGTAGGTCGGCTCAAAGACATCGTACAGCTGGATTTCCGGCCCACGGATTCCTGCCACTGGTACATTCTCAAGACTCTCCGCCCCATCAGCAATCTGAGTGTATTCAGCAAGGATAGACTGATATGTAACACGTATCAGTACATGTATATGCATTTACAAACATGCATACCTCGTATGTTACTTGCAACTGCTTCATCCGCGCGGAAACTCTCACATGCTGCTTTCCGTGGACATGCAGGCGGTACGAATACTGGATACGCTGGTCTTCTGTCGGCGCAAGAACATAGCCTATGAAAGCATCCTTCATGAACGCTCTAAAAGATGCATGCAAGTCAGCTGATACGTTGAACATTGTGAAGCACCACACCCACGGTATCTCAGTATGTGCCTCGTGCGTAAATACCCAGAACGCAGCACAAAAACGGGCCAAACGCGACGGGGAAGCGAACAACTCGCCCACTGTGAGGAAGACTGACAAGCCTAGGTGGGAAATATTGTCAGACAATCACACACAACACACTTGGACCGCTCACCAGCTCTGAAAAAGACCTCGACTACCGAATACGTGCCTAGGCCGCCGCAAAGTCCTCCCATATCCTCTCGAAGGTACGTAGTGGCCAGAGCAGTGTGCTCAGCAAACCCACCCTTGTGCACCTGCACTAGACAATCTGCCAACATGTTAAGGAATCCATGGTAGTCGTCATGGATGTCGTGGTGTTGAACCGGCAGTGTCCCTTCCGGACGGACGACCCAATGCGGCTAATAGCGATGTTAGAATGTACATACTAAACACGACAAGCCTCACTAACAGTCCACAGCTGATCAAGAGTGAGAAACGCGACAATGAACTCTCCAAAGTCAAGGCCTATACCAACACGGAACCCTCGGGCCTGGCATCATGGTTGCACCTTGTATGAGTCCCATATACACAGCCAATGAAGTCGCAGGGAACACATACATTATCTACACAGCTAACCGCTGCGATCTCCTGGTCCCATTGTACGCGCGTATAGACTTGCGCCATACAGTGCGTCAGAAGCTGTATCTAAGAAAGTAATTGAGTTGCAGTGACATCGCATGGAGAGCAACGGCGCACGATTCTCACCTGGAATGCAAGCTGACCTAAATCAAGAACAAGCGTGCGAGGCGTACGCTGAACATCGCAGAGGCACAGTCCCTCCAGAGACGGACGAGCACGGCCACCAATATGAGGCCATATTGGCTGCTGTGCGGACTTCGAACCGCGTTTGACTTTGGAGTTTGGCCCAAGCTTGTAAACAAAGCCTCGTTTGCCGGGGCAATCCTTCTTCAAACGGTCTTGTTCCTTCTTTGTCGCATCTGCCCATATTGCTTGCAGTTGGAGCGTCGACTCGGAGGTTGTCTCGACAGCGTCGAACCAGCGGCGAACAGTATGGTGACAAGCAAAGACCTCGGTGTATTCGGGCATTCCAGCGAGCAAGGTGACGCAAAGCAACACAGAGAGATGGACTGGGCTATCTAGCGAGTGCACACGACAAGGGTTCGAAACGTCACGTCTTGCAGTAAACGCGAACAAACGCGACGCGACGCGTCGCGCCTCCGGTCGTGTCTCGTCACGTGCACCGCGAGGACCGCAATACAGCAAGAGGTCGGGCGGGATCCTGTGCGAGTGAGCCACGAAAGTCAGAATTTTAGTACATATACAGCAACTAGTAGTATACAAGTACCTATTTCTCGATAGATTAGAGCTTACGAACTTCCGCCTCGACCACAATATGGGGTCGAGCAGGCGATGGTCGCAGGCGCCCAAGGTAAACTCAGGCGCCGAAGTGGCAAAGCGCGCATCGAGAGGCCGCCTCTCATCCGCATCCGTCCTCAGAAACTCAAAGCATCTCACCTCTTGACTCCTAGCCTGCTGGCCTCGCCGCGCCCGCATCAGACCCTCCTGTGCCGCAGCAGTTTCAGTTTCGGAACTGGGTTGAGAAGGGCGGGACGTTCGCGCCTGAGAAGGGTGCGTAGGATCACTCGTTGCGTCAGGAATGCCTCACCGATGTACGTTAGATAGGTCGCTATCACCTCTATGTGTCCTACGCATGCCGTGAGTCGCACTACTCGTATCACCTTACGCATGCTAACCTGTTCTGCTATTATCATGGGCAACGCGCACTCTGATCATGCGCAAACTAAAGGAGCTCGAAGACTTCATCGACGTCAGCGTCATCTGCCCGCATATAGGCGAGCGCGGCTGGCCCTTCGTGAGCGTCGACGTGTTCCCGGGCGCGAACGCGGACCCGCTGCGCGGCGCGCAGCACGTCAAGGACCTCTACCTCCGCGCGGCGCCGGACTATGAGGGCCGCTTCACGGTCCCCATCCTCTGGGACAAGCAGCAGAACAAGTCGCCATCGTGCGCTTCGACCCAATCTACGTCGGCCACTTCAAGTGCAACATCCGTACGATCTGTGGCGGCTACCCCGCCATCCATCGCTGGTTCCGCAAGCTACTATGTGCCCCGCCCGTACGCCACGCGGAGACCACCGACAACGTGTCGCCGCTCAGGCTCTCGACACCGTCTTCATTCCATCCGCCGTGTATGGCACCTGCGGAGGAGGAGGCGGGCCGCGGGCGGCTCATGATGCTCTTCCGAGTCATCCCGTGCGCGTTCGCAGCCCTCGCTGGATGGTGGTACGTCCGGAGGCAGACACGAGGGTACGTTCACTATGTGAGGCGCTCCGTGGCTTCTGCTGATCCTAGTATGCAGAGCCATTCGTCTACCTGACAGAGACACAGGCCCAAGATACGTGTCGTCGACACGCTCGCATCAATGCCCTACTTCATCGTGGCAGCATTGGGAGCGACACGTCGGAGACGATGGTAGAAAATTTTGATGCCACGACAAGCATGCGCACGCGCAGTGCGTACCGGTTGGTGCCTATCAACAAGGATGCGCGGATCCTGAGATTCGAGGATGAGGAGTAGGATAGGGGAGGTATATCGGTTAGCTATGTTGTCTCTTGATGTATGTACAGTGTAGTCTACTACCTTGCTTTCGCTGTACATCGACACTCATCTATGTATCATATTTATTTCACCTCAGCGCACCATGTTGTTGGCCATAGCCATTCGAAACCTGGCCTATACATACATAGTAATGTTTAACCTTATCGGGATCGTCTGAGTGGCGGGTGCGTTGTGGACAAGGGTGACATGAGTCCTACATACGGCGGTGGCGCGCCGAGGGGCCGCCGAGGGCGCTTGGAAGCTGACCCGTCCCTGTTGCAGTATGACGGCGCCCCGGCCCGGGCCCGCTAGCACTCAGTACAACGCGACGGCATCAAAACGACTCTGCGACGTCCGCTACATTTGGCCTAACTGCCGCCGCCCAACTCTTCTGATACTATGTACTAGTCTCCGTTGCCGACCATAAAAGAACGACAAGCGCTTTTATGACTATGTACATACTTAGTCTTCTGCTACGACCTTATGCCAATTCGTCAGCAACGGCACCCTGGCGATCATCCATGCACTGCAGCTCTCCTCCGCATCCTCTGTCCTGACTATGTACTTCGAGCGACCATGGCGACTACCTCGACGTCCCTGTACGCGTTGGGCGCGAAGATAGCGGTCCCGCCGACGTGAGCGGCGAAGACGATGCTGACGTGCTTCACAACGGTAATGAGAAGACCCTTGTGGGTGCGCGAGAGGGGTTCTCAGAGCTCAGTCACGGTATCGCCTAAGCAAGTGTAAGGGCCTGGAGAGGGCCCCATGGCCACTCTGGCGGCTGGCCCGAGTGCTGGGAGCACGACATCGACTCCGCGCGTTGCTTCGGTGAGTTCTTCGCAATCGGTGAGCTGCCCTCAAGCTTCGACCGCCAATGTGGGTAGTAATTATGCCTGCATTCTTTCCAGACGAGCCCAGAAGACAGGGTACGGGCGGCTGCTAGCCTCAGGCTCTTGAAATTTCCACAACCTTGCTATCGATATTTAGGACCGGCGGCCCCGCTGAGGGCGAACGGGCATAACACCCTGGATGTGGACGTAAATACGAGTAGAATATTGTACGGTGAACTGGAAACCAAGAGGGGTCTAACAGTATGGCGAACAGTGCTGGATGGTGAGTGAATGGTTCGAGTTGCGGCTCGTGGCTGACGCCCATCCAATAGGCATGCACCGTTCCGAACAGGCGGGACAGACGGAACTGGAGCTTTTAGCCCAGTATGTACTTACGAATCATAGGACCAGCAAACAAATGGAAGTGAATTGCTACTTCGTACTGATGTCGCCGCCTATCTCGTTACTGATATCCGCTCGGAACATCGACGTCTCGAGGGCTGTAATACCTTTCAGATTTGGCTCTTCGCATATCGCAAGGCACAGCCGAAGTTTTCTATTTACACTGCTGCGATTCTCTATTGAGGGGCCCACTTCCTTTGACTTTCGACTCCTAACACACAATGTCACGAGCACAGGTAGCAGCGACGGATGTGCAAGACGCGGACACAGTGTTGGTCGACAATATCAACAAGGTTTCGGACATAATGGTGGACGCAAAGCCGGTTGCTTCAGCGAACACAGAGGAACCCGTGGTGACTCGGAGGGTACGTGCATCGTTCACTTTACCCCCTTCGAATGGACAACCGCTGATTGATTCATACAGGAGCTTTGGAGTTACTACCGTGCGTTCATTCATGCGTTTGTGCATATTCACCAACGTCTAATCCAAGAACAGTGTACTGCAACGCAGCAACAAACGTGAGTGGATTCTAGTCCAAGCACTGGGTCGTCGCTAAAAATATGCCCAGGGAGTCGGACCTTTGAGTATGTATGCTCATAGCGTCGAAATTTAGGATCGATCACTGCTAATCATATCGCTCAGTCTACTACTTGATTCTCTTCCAGGGCTTCGCCACTTCCGCCGGCTGGGACCCTTCTCAAGGCCCTGGGTCTACATGCGCAAACTCTGGGCAATGTGTCCTTCCTTGGGGTAGTGGCACCAAGTCCGTCAGCTCCATTGTGCTCGTCGCAAATGGCATCAGTTTTGCGGTACGCTATCAACAGATCAAGGATGTGATAAGATTGGGTCTAACTTGCTGTAGATCATGACTGTCCTATTCACGTCAATCGGCCCAATAGCCGACTACGGCACAGTTGGACGCTGGCTGCTGCTCGTTGTCACCATTATCTTTTGGGGTTCCCAGTTCGCCAGCATGGCTCTTACGAGTATGTCTTTCGCGCTTCTCTTTGCAATCGTACGCAGTAATCGCGTGGCGCTTCGTAGAACCCTCACGCTGGGAGGCTGTGATGGTCCTTTACATAGTTTCCTACGTTTCGTACGGCGCGATTCTCGTTTTCGCAGCAGCTGTGTTCCCGCGGCTGGTGCGCAACACTCCACATGCTCGCCGCGTGCGAGAGAAGTTAGACAACCAGGAGATCACCGGGGAGCAAAGCGAGCTTGAAGAAAGCCTAGAGAAGAATCGGATCAGCAATATTAGCGTGGTACGTGACATTATGTTATTGTATCTATGTGTGCTAAGGGAAGATGCAGTGGCACAGCTTCGTTGGAACCATCCCTATGCTATGCCTGGACTTGGCGATTTTGTTACCACTCGCAAATAACGTTCTGGTCGATAGCTACACGATAGTTCTGTAGGTGCTCACTGATCGTGATCGCTATGGCACTTGCACTCATCTTATGTCTATGCAGCACGAACGTGTACTCAGTGCTCCTCGGCGTATGGTGGTGTGAGTGTTCCGCCTACATTGATACTGTGCCTTTTGATTGATCAATTTTAGTCATCTTCCAACAGCCCCGCCCCGGACCTCCGCTTCCTAAAGGCGAGCACTACCTGACTATTGGCTGGAAGCAGGTCAGTCACGTTGTCTTTCCCAGTAATGGCTGCAATTGACAGGCCGGTTTGCTATAGATCTGGATCGTCCTGAAGCAATGGAGGAAGCTGCCATATACCTTCGTCTATCTCTTCGCCTTCTTCCTGCTCTCCGATGTAAGTTTGCCTTTTCACGTTGCCGTCCTTCTGAGGTACTATTGCACTACAGGGAATGAACACCACTGGCACGCTCGTCACTATCTGTCAAAACGATCAAGTCCAGTTCTCGTTTTTGCAGAGCACGTATCTTACCCTTGCGCAAGCCGTCGCAGCCACTGCCGGGTAAGCTTAACAACGACGTGTAACTGCGTAGCCTCACATCTGTTTCCAGCATACTCGGTTTCTGGTGGATTCAAAAATACTGGAAGATTTCTACGAAGAAGATGGTGAGTTATTGGTCCAATGCCAAGATGCGTACAGCACTCAGACAATATCCATGGTATATGCCATAGTTTGCGGTCACGAACGTCTTCACCGTCCTAATCCCATTGTGGGGTATGATCGGCCTGTGGACAACGAATTTTGGTTTCCGCCAAACTTGGGAGTTCTGGTAGACATGCAGGCCTTTACTTCAGACGCCGATCACTCACTAACATTCTACAGGGCGTACAATGTGGTCTTCGGTCTGTTTCAAGGCCCATACTACTCCTACGCGCAAACCATGATGGCAGAACTCGCGCCGCCTGGCTTCGACAACATGGTATGTCTTCCCTAGATTGATTTCCACCGCACAGGCCGTGACCTGCCTGTCCTTGACAAGTTCTTCGGATTGTTTGGGCTGTCGAACCGCGCGTCGTCATTGATCGGGCCGAATGTCATCCAAGCCATCATCAATGAGACGCAGAACAACTGGAAGGGCTTCCCGTTCCTCTTCGCTTTGTGCGCCGCTGCATGTTTGGTCATCTGGCTTGGTACGCCTTACATTGCGTTTCTTTACGACGCTAAATGGGCTAATGTCTACGATAGGTGTAGATGTGGTGAAGGGTCGCCGAGACGCTGTCGCGTGGGCGGAGCAGAATCGGTCAGATGCGGCGACGAGCACATACGTTGAGGGCGTATTGTCGGACTCAAGCCTGGACTCCGGGGAGAAACAATGAGGGGGCTAGACATTGCGAGCGTCTGATAAGAGCTGTAGGAATGAACAGCCATGACTTCGCGCGATGTTGGAGAGAATATGCGTGCGTTGCAAGTGGGAAATTCCCGTGTCATTATCGGACGCTCAATGCAAGACATCGAACAAGGTAATTTGCTATCAGTCGGGCTTAGAGGGCTTGTCTGTGGGCCCGGGGGTAACTGTCAGGATGTGCGCCGAATGGCGTACTGAAGTAGCCTAGGGAGGCTCATACTCACACGGATCTGTTCGCTGTGGGTTGTGTGTGGGGCGTCAGGTATTGCTGGAACGCGAAACGGTTGCAATTGGTGTGAGTAGGTGAGTGGATGATGATCCAAGCCGTTGAGATGTTTGGGTTGTGACTGACGCTCGTGCAGAAGAGCCTCGTCCCCAGGTAGGCTACGAGACGCGAACCCTGGACAACATCGCTGTTGCTCGACGTTGTTGAGCGTAACGCCCAGTACGGAAGAACCACAGGATCATCAATCTCGTTCTGAATATTCAAGTCTATTTGCGCATGTCGTCCTCTATCCAGCTCAGGTATTTCATATTCACTCCTTCTATGCTTGGAGCATCCATGCCTTGATAATTTGTCTATCGTGACAGGAGAGTTCCAGCCTTCAGTGCTTCTCAGATAGTGAGACCGTGGATATAACAAGGCGGACCTGGCTTATCATCTCCACACGACTGCTGCGCCTTGTTGAGGTGAACATCTCTCAACTCTCGCGTCTCTCAGCGCAGGATGTCCCAGCCCAAGCGAACACAGGCAATTGACGCTGCCCAGGACGTGGACACAGTTGAGGTGAACGACCTCGACAAAGGCATAGATGCGGTTGAGGTGCCAGTCATCGCTTCGACGAGTGCATCGGAGCCTCTGGTGACTCGTAGGGTGCGTACTACTTCATTTACTGTGCTTCTCTTTGATAAGAGATATCCATTCATGCAGGAACTTTGGAGCTACTACCGTAAGTTCGTTTCACAATGTTCATGCATATCTAATCCCACCACATAGTGTACTATAACGGAGACAATGTGAGCCGATTCTATTCACGTGCTGAGTAGCTGTTCCTAAGATGAGAGCCAGGGGGTCGGGCCTACCAGTATGTATGCTCACAATATTGGGGTACGGCATCGACCATGGCTGAGTGGCATACTACATAGACTACTCCTTGACTCTCTTCCTGAGCCTGGCAACTTCCGCTGGTTGGGACCCGTCTCAAGGCCCTGGATCCACATGTACAAATTCTGAGCAATGTGTTCTGGCTTGGGGTAGCGGCACCAAGTCTGTCAGCTCCATCGTGCTCATTGCAAATGGTATCAGTTTTGCAGTAAGTTCCGTTTAGATACTCGACTGCGATGCAATCGAATCTGACTCGCTGTAGATCATGACTGTCCTGTTAACGACAATTGGGTCAGCAGCCGACTACGGCACCTTTGGACGTTGGTTGCTGCTCGTCGTCACCGTGATTTGTTGGGCTTCCCAATTCGCCAGTATGGCCCTCACAAGTATGTATTTCGCGTTTCTCCTCGCATCTGTGCGCAACAGACATCATGCTTCCTAGAACCCTCACGTTGGGAAGTCGCGATGGTCGTCTACATCATTTCCTATGTTTCGTATGGTGCGACCCTCGTCTTCTATGTTGCTGTGTTCCCGCGATTGGCGCGCAATACCCCACATGCTCGCCACCTGCGCGACAGACTAGAGAACCAGGAGATCTCCAGAGAGGAGTATGAGCTTGAAGAGAGCCTAGAGAGAAACCACGTCAGCAACATCAGCACGGTGCGTGACATTATGCTACTTTGCTTATGTGCGCTGACGCAAGAAGTAGTGGCATAGTAATGTCGGGTACATCTTCGTCCTATGTCTAAACTTGGCGGTCTTGCTGCCGCTCGCAAACAATGTCTTGGTCGACAACTACACCATAGTTCTGTGGGTGCCCAAGCGCTCACATATTGCGCTCGCCGTTGCACGTGTACCAATCTCACCTCAATCTATGATAGGACAAACATGTATTGGGTGATCCTCGGTATATGGTGGTGTGAATGGCCTACTTACAGCGATGTGTTGCTCCCTTGTTGACCGGTTTCAGTCATCCTCCAACAGCGTCGACCTGGACCTCCGCTTCCCCAGGGAGAGCATTACCTAACTATCGGCTGGAAGCAGGTCCGTCGAATTGTCTTTCCCAACCGGTGTCTTATTGATGCGGCGGCTTCACATTAGATCTGGATGGTTCTGAAGCAGTGGAAGAAGCTGCCATTCACCTTCGTCTACCTCTTCGCTTTCTTCCTGCTCTCTGATGTAAGTCCATGTATCCACGTTACTACACTGCACGCACCCACTAATGATTGTATCGTAGGGCCTGAACACTACCGGCACACTTGTGTCTATCTGTCAGAATGACCAATTCGAGTTTTCCTTTCTCCAGAGCACGTACCTTGGCCTCGCACAAGCTTTCACTTCCACTGCAAGGTACATTTAACGGCCATGCATAGCCTCATGGACTCACTGCCATAATTTCTCAAGTACAATTGGCGCTTGGTGGATCCAAAAGTACTGGAAGATTTCGACGAAGAAGATGGTAAGTAGCAGGATCTCGATACAAGACGCGTACAACATCCGCTCAGTGCTCAAAATACACTTCACAGTTTGCATTCACAAACGTGTTCACGGTCCTGATACCTGTGTGGGGCATGATCGGACTGTGGACAACGAAATTTGGTTTCCACCAAGTTTGGGAGTACTGGTATACAGGCATACCTTCGTTGAAGACGAAAATCGCTCATGTCTTTACTATAGGGCGTACAATGTAGTCTCCGGTCTGACCCAAGCACCGTACTACTCTTACTCGCAGACCATGATGGCAGAACTCGCGCCGCCCGGCTTCGACAACATGGTATGTCTGTTTCGGCTGTACACACACCAACGGGAACTCGAGTAACTCTGTCCAGTTTTTCGCATTGTTCGGCCTATCCAACCGTGCATCGTCGATGATTGGACCGAACGTGATCCAAGCTATCATCGGCGACACGCAGAACAACTGGAAAGGCTTCCCGTTCCTGGTCGCTCTATGCTCTGCGGCTAGTCTTGTCATCTGGTTCGGTGCGCTTCGCATCCTTCATTCGCGTGGTGTCATATATGCTCACTACTATGCACTAGGTGTGGATGTGGAGAAGGGTCGTCGAGATGCTGTCGCGTGGGCGGAGCAGAATCGGCCAAATGCAGCGACAAGCATGCATGGCGAGGGCGTATTACCAGCCTCGCGCGACTCTGTGAAGAAATCATAAGATCGCGAACAACATCCTGGCGGTTGTGACAAAAGCTGTGGGTAGAGAACTTTGCATGGTACTAGATTGATGCTAGACGAAATGAGATTGCGCACGCTACTCAAAGGACATCCCACTTGTCACACCGGAAGCACGACACAAGCAGTCGAACGAAGTAAGTGCTAAGTACTAGAGGGCTTGATTTAGGACACGAAACGGTGCCTCAAAGAGAATTAGTCCTTCTCCAACAATCACTACGGGAGTTGACAGCGGGTCACCAACGTCCGTGGGACCGTGTGTCACGGTGGTGCTTTGACGGGATAAAACGAACCCTCGAGGACCGAATTCGTCTTCCTCCGAAATGGCATTGGTTGCCGCTGAAATGTGCTTCGAAAGTTTCTCTGCTGTGCTACTGATAATTACTTTTCTCAGGGTAACGTTCGGAGCCAACTCCTTCGCCGGATCGAACCTGTACTATGCTGCAAGCCTATATCAAACTGGAGTGAGTGCCACTATCTCAGGACATGACATCCGGGTCGTTGGTGTAGCGCCTTCGAGAGCTGAGTCGAATGTTCTTCCTCAGGGGTCTAAACCGCCCGGGTGGCTACAAGAACACTACTGCTCAGGAAGCTTTCGATGCCTGTCTAGCACACGTCCTCAATCACGTCCACACTACCCTCGGTCAACCTTGGAAGGACCTCAATGATTACATATTTGGTCTCGAAGCCGAAACCGAGGTTAGGATAGGCAACGTGAGTACCACTGAGTTTTTAAGGCATGCCAGTAAGCTGAATAGTGCATCCGGCTTCAACAGGGCCAAACCTTCATTGAAGACCACCAACAATGGTAGGTGCTTGTTGAATTACAACGACTCGTGACACGATTGGTCTTGAGATCATACCTCGTACAGGCAATGCGACCGCGCTAGCACAATCAAAACGGAGCTCAATGGCAACACTGGGGTATGTTCTGCGCTATATCCGCATGTGTTCATTCGTCCGACATATTCCCCGCAGCGGTTCTACCTGTCAGATAGTCGTGCTCACTGGTGGCGAATCGTGGATGATGTCTGAATTCGTGCAGCCCGACTTTCTCACATGTCCTGCCCTGGACGTCATCTCTATCCATACCTACGCCGTCACGGACTACTACACGTCGTCCATTGAGAGCTACGTCCAGCAGGTGCTCCATGCACGGAAGAAACTGATCATGGAGGAATGGTAAGTCCCGCTTCCCCGCAAGTTCCCTCTCCCACGTCCGCATCTGCGTGCGATGGAAGCCCAACCTGCTAACTGCGAGCGGTACCATCATTAGGGGTGCTTGCTATTGTAACACGTCGAATAATGACTGTTCGTACGGCGGCGCCCTTCCCACCGCCACACGCAAGATCAACGTTCAGTGACAGCCTGAGTGTGCAGCCAATAAGTATCACGGCTGCCGGCCTACCCTGGCTCTACTTACGCGGAGGTCATCCCAAACGCAAATCCAATGTGAGTCTATGTACGCCTCGTGCCAAAGTCAGGAGCTGAGAAGAGACAGTTTGTCCGCCCGCAGTGGGACGGTGACTATGAAATCGGGGCTGTGGATGACCCTTCGTGGAGCACTCTGCAGCAGGCTGCTCGAGACGCACTCAGCGCCCCCGCGGCGTTCGACTTCTCGGCTTATCTATTGTAAATACTCGGGGATATTCAAACATTGCGAATTCATTCCGTGGGCTATGGCAACATATTCTCACTTCCGCCCCACAATCTCGCGCTGCAACATCTACGTCGTGCATAATGCGTTGCGAGGCACCTTCCGTGGTACGTCTCCTGTACATGTGAGCCTGTCAGAGGCTGCCCGGAGGCTATTTGCTTATCTCGTGCGCGTGCCATCTTCCCGCTTACCTCGCCTTCGACCCCTGTTTACTGAGTATTCCAAAAGTGCTCTGACCCCAGAAGCCTCACGCGTGGTGGAAGCTTGCGGGACTAGTGGTGGTATCGTGTGCCGTGGTATTGATTGCGTGATACAAACGTGTATGCGTGCTAAAGTGCTACAGCCAATCCGGACAGCGAGAGCTACATCGTACTGTACAGTATCGGAAAGGGCCAACACGAGCCTCTGATTAGCCCGTGCGGGTGTGATGGGTACGAGCCAAAGGTAAATCGAGCCGCGCGATAGACAAACGGGGCATGAGGTCGTGAGACGTAGTATGGCTAGTGGTATCTGGAAATCACGAAGAGCTCGTCTCTGTGGTGTAGACGTGGACTGAAGCCACGTCCCAGTATGCGTTGGAAAAGCCCCCCGGGTTCGCGTTGACGTAGTCTGCAGCAGGCATTAGTAGGAGCTTGCATGAACTTGGCAAGATGACTTCACCGACGCAGGTGCCCGAGCAGCCAGCGCTGCTGTAGACGGAGCTCTGACCAGCCCAATCTCCGCCTGTGATAATGATCAGTACAACGTGCATGTCATCCAATAGCATCAGGAGGCTTACAGAGCGTGATGTCGAAAATGATGTTGTTGGAGCTGAAGACTGAGGAGAGGTCGCAGCTTGTGTTCGGGAAATACGCAGCAGGCGTGCCCTAGAATACAGGAATGTCTCTAGTAAGTGATTATGTCGCACTAGCGCCGACGCGGCGGCATTTAAGCGAGGCGACATACCCAGTTATCAGTGTTCACTGTGCTGGCCCCGCTAGAAACGTCCGAGGGAACGCTGCCGTCGGTACGGGACCAGAACCAGACCTTGACCTCCGATGACGTGCGCTCCATGGTATACCAGCCTCCGCCAGCAGAGTTGAAGTCCGGACCGAAGCTGTTCGTCGTGGGGTTCTGAACGCCGCATCCGGAGTTTCCGTCGGTGTTCACATCGCAGTCGTTAGACTGGGGCGTTCTATGAATTGGTGAGATCATAAACATTGGTCTACCTGGGGTGATATGCTTACCCGCTCTCGTCCCGAGACGAGGGCATCGAGCAGGTGCTGCCTACGTGCAAAGATACCAAGTTCGGAGAGACGGAGTTGACACCTTCGATCCTAGTATATCACGGCGGATCAGTGTGCGATCGGCCCGCGAGGGAAGCACAACTCACTTATCAAGTGAACAGAGGGCATGAGAACATTCAGCGGGTGGAACTTAGGTCTACATACTCGGAGTCACACTCACGATGTCGACTTCACCACCTGCGGGCCAGTTGCCGTCGTTCGTTTCCCAGAATGCCGGCCAGGTAGCACAACCCTCGGGCATATGCCGCACATCGATGCTATCGGAAAGTCAGCGTAAGTACAAGCGAGCAGAGGCTAACACCGGAGCTTACACGACAACGTGGTAGTCGTACGCAGTGTTGCTCTTGATGCGCACGCTGTTCCTCCCACCGTCACTGCTCGACAGCACCGTAGTATCGTCGACGCGCATGATCAGCGTATCAGATGATACATAGGTCAAGTTGTCGTTCAGCGCTGTGGTCTGGTCGACATAGGTTCTAGTGTGCATGAATCGGCGTCAGCACCTATCCCATCGTGACATCGCATGAAACAATGCAGAGGCGCCAGGCGCGTTGGCGGCGTAGTGGCGCGCTAGCAAGCAAGCAAGCAAACTTACACTCTGCCTCCCGTAGGGTCGGCTTCGGCTTCGAACGACCAGGAGTTCAGAAAGTCTTGTCCAACGTACGTGTCGCCGATGGTCCACGTCCCCCCGAGAGTCTCGAGTGCCAGCGCTGAGATAACAAAGACGGAGAGTGTGAACTGCATGGTTGAACCGATGAGAGGGACTTAGAGCGAAGCCGAACAAGAGTCTGGCCATCGCTGGACTGCAGAGAGCCCTTTATATCATGAACGCAACGAGGCCGCATGAGGTTGCGACCGGCCGAATGACATTGTCACAAGGGTCCGCGATCTGACATGCAAGCTTCGGGTGCATATGGACAGCAGTGTGCGCGCGACCATCTGCGATTGCCATGTTAGTACACTAGCGTCAGTGTCCCGGGCCTCCGGGAGAGAGTCCGTCCACCTCATCTCACAGCGCCGCCCGTCCCATGAGATTCAAGACACGCAGGGCGCGTCCGGGGGCACCCATGACCATTCCCAGTTGCATTACCTCGGACGTCGAAGCGACATCCCCGTCCAATCCTAGCCCCGAGTGAAAAGTGCCTCCCGTCACGCCGCCCTTCGTTTGCATTCTGTTCAGATGTTGCACGCGGTGCTCACCTATCATATGCGGAAGTGTACTAAGTCCTTTCTAGGAGGAAGTGATCAAGCGACCAATGGCAATCGAGGACAAATTCCGCGGCGTCTTGAAAGACACAGCGTTGTAACGATCGATCAGGCTGCGATGTTGCCCGGGATGCATGCGCGGCGAGGCGTACAGTTACGGACGGACGTCGCATGAGGACGTGGAGTGTTGGGTACATGAGTCCTGCATGTGACAGCATTTTGAGAAACGTTCCGAGGACACTCGACGGAGAGTAGAAAGATGACAGTACCTGCGACGGAACCCATGATGACCGCTGAGCTTCCTCCCGTTACTTCTCCGGGAGCCCGATGAAGAGCGCATCCACACGTGAAAGGCGATAACGCCGAACGGGGCAAATCAAGACTTGCGTTGCAGATCTAACTACCAGGGAGGAGGCGCGTAGTAACTCAAATCAGCATCAGTTACTTAGTTACCGTCCACTGCGATCAGGTGGGCTAGACCCTCGGTCCATGCCGGGGCGCATGGCGAACAGACTCGCCAGGTGCATTCCACAGACGGTGACAGCTGGTGACAGATGCGACCGAGGTGCAATTTGCACACTATTGAAGCCCTTGTCGTCCAGACTACGCGCTTCAAAGTAATGTGCCTCAGCTATAACTTCGGCCCGATCGTATTTGTCTGCCACTACCACCAAACGTGCGATGACGACATGACTTCTGAATCTCATGTTCAGTCGTGCAGCGGGGAAGGTTGAGTTCATTCGACTCACCTGACGAAAACATTGCATGAGAAGCCATCGTAATGCAGTATGTACCAGCGATACGCGCTGACAGCCTCCATCATGCGGTCTGCGGTCCAAATCGGCTGTTTCGTCCTGACTTCACGAACAACAGTGCAGATTTGGGCAGGCACTGCTGACTATTGCTGTCGGGTTCACGGGATGCATCGCATGGCTGTAGTAATGCTCAAGTCATCATGTTCAAATGGACTTGTGTGCAGCAGCCGGCTGGCATTGGGCCGAACGATGGCGTATGGAACACATCCATGTTTAGTGAGGGATGCAGTGAGAACCTTGTGCGAGCGTACCTTAGCATACTGCACGTCCACGATAGTCGTTCCCTCTAGAAGCGCAGTTCATAGTATCTGCGCTGCCGGTACGCGGGCCCAGTCTCCCAGCAACCGAGCTTCCTCTTCCACAGCACGGATCGCATCGACGACCTCTTCCCCCGCACTCATGTCCAGTTTCATCATGTCCCGCTCAAATAGGCTTCCGAACCTCTTCACAAGCCCGTCTATCTCCCCAACTACGGAGACACTGCTCAGGTCCACAATGGCGGAGGCGTCGGCGATGCATCCCGCCTTCACGTCCGCCAGCCCGCACGCGATGATTTGGTCGAACCATCCCCGAGGTTCCCGGGTGACGTTCATGGCGAACCCGTGCGTCGTCAGTCTATGCCTCACCTGCACACCAATGCTGGCGATCTTGGTCTGTGCATCCAGGAATACACCGGTGTGCTCGCTTGGCGCGTGCTGCATTCCGTGGGCCTCCGCAAGATGCATCTCGATCGTTTTTTGCATTTTGCAGATATATTCGCGTATGCCAAGGGGCGGGGTCGAGCGTCCGAGATCGAGTAGCGGATATCCGACGATCTGTCCGGGGCCGTGGTAGGTGGTCTGACCGCCGCGTTTGGTCGCCACGAAGTCCGCGCCAATGTGCGTTAACCGGGCGGCTTCAGCTTCGACTTCTGGCGATGTGAGCAGCTGCCTCCGCCCCGCGGTGTAGACGGGGCGGTGTTGGAGCAGAAGTAGGTAGTCCTGGTGCTGGCCGGAGCGCCGGCGTAGAAGCTGGATCTGGTGTATTCGTTCCTGAAGAGCCAAGGTGCGCGCATATGGAAGAGGCAGCTGAAAGTAGTGGTATAGAATCGGCGGAAGCGACATGAGCCCCTAGATTCAGCAGGAGATTATGTGGGACGCGCCCGGGACGTAAAGAGCGTACGGAGAGTCCAACGACTTGCGATGATTCGGAGCGACGTAGGTCGTCAGCGAGCTGGTCGTGTCCAAGTCGCGTCGGAGCCCGTGAGTCACCCTTATTAATTTCGAGATGTAAGTACTAAGTAACACTCCTACTTACTGGATAATGTAAGCCCCAGAAAGGGATGTCTGCCTCTGGCACTTGATTACGGTTCGTGCCAAGTCCGTGCAGGCGCCCATAGGAGACCGTCTCATGATTGCTGCTCGTTCCTTCCGCCGAGTCCCAGACTCCCAAGCAAGAGCAACATGACCAGCTGCACGTTAACCCCCATCTGTCCTGCGTTTGCCCTGATCAGCTCCTTGCATCCTACGGACCAGAGAGTAACGCCGCCTTTCTGCCTAAGTTATGTCACCGAAGGAAAGACGTAGCTTCATTATTGGTGCGGGTTGTACCGCATTCATCAAAGTGAGTCTGCGGTCACTCCAAGGTTCCGGAGAAATCTGACGATATTTTGCGCGCAGCCCAGAGGAACGAGGTCCACTGAGGACGTGTGTACCTCGTAAACTGATCTGACACTACGCCAATGAACATTGAATACTCGCAGATGGGATTGGAAGCCGCTACCAAGGCTCTCCTCGATGCGGGTCAGATAACTCGAGCACCCTATTTCTGCAGGGCCCAGGACCACCTAACATATTTTGGCAGGTATCACATATGACGCAGTAGAGACAGCGTTCGTGGGGTACTGCTACGGAGACTCTACGTCCGGTCAGGTAAGTCGTCTGTACGCGCGCGTGTGAAGTTTCCCAACTGACCTTCATGCCGTCAGCGATCCCTCTACAACTTGGGCCTGACCGGCATCCCTATCACGAACGTGAACAACAATTGTTCGACGGGAAGCACCGCCCTGTATCATGCGAACAACATGGTGGCTTCTGGCTTGGTGGAGTGTGCCCTCGCGCTGGGCTTCGAACGTATGGCCCCAGGCAGCCTTGGGACGCATTTCCCCGACCGCCCGTCTCCTATTCAGACATTCAGTGATGCAACGGCGGAAGCGGAGCACAGCCTGAGCAGCGGTGTCAATCACGGGCCGAATGCACCCAGGATGTTCGCTAACGCCGCACAGGAATACATGGACAAGCACGGTGCAAGTATGACGCACCTCGCGCAAATAGGTTCATAGCTCGTGTTTCTGCTGTGGTATCTGGCTGACCCTAGAGTCAGCTGCCAAGAACCATAAGCACTCCGTCCACAACCCATACTCGCAGTTCCGCAATGGGTGGAGTGTCGAGCAAGTGCTCGCAGCGCCGAAGATCAACAAACAGTTGACTAAGTTCATGTGCAGCCCGACTTCGGTGCTTCAGCTATATCCTCGAGCCATACACACTACTAACCACAGACCAGGATGGCGCCGCCTGCTGCATCGTCGCATCCGAGGACTTCGTACATGAGCATGGCCTCGAGAACCAAGCAATCGAGATCGTAGCCCAGGCCCTCTGTACCGACGAGCCGTCAGCATTCGAGAGCAAGAGCGCAATGGAGATCGTTGGCTATGGCATGACGAGGAATTGTGCAGACAAGGTCTTCAAGAAGGCGGGCTTCGGAGAGGGCGAAGGCAGGGACCAAGTCGGCGTTGTCGAGTTGCACGATTGCTTCGCTGCGAACGAGGTCTGTGATTTTGCAATCGGAACGGCGTCAATCGACTGAATGTTCGGCCCATAGCTTGTGACGTATGAGGCATTGGGGTTGTGCGGCCATGGTGAAGCGCACAAGATGGTCGAAAAGGGCGACAATACGGTGGGCGCAAAGGAGTTCGCGTCTACTGCGTAGCACTGAAACTGTTCCTGAAGTATGGCGGAAAGTACGTCGTGAACCCCAGCGGCGGTCTTGAGGCAAAAGGTCATCCCTTGGGCGCAACCGGTCTCGGCATGCACTTCTACATCGCTAGTACGCCAGCTTGCTCCACTATCACAAGTTTATCATCGCTGACTCTCGTGGCAACAGTGCAACTTCGAGACTGTACGTCTGCAGGCTGGTCGTTGCAATCTGAACAACTAACTCTCCTTGTCTGTCTCAGGGGCTGGACCGATGCAGGCGCCTGGGCTCCTCGACATCGCCGACCGCAGGGGTAAATACGGCCTCGTCCACAACATCGGCATCGGCGGCGCAGTCGTCTGCAGCCTCCTTCGCCGCCCGGAGTTCTACCGCGCCGAAGGCGAAGATGGGCGATCGAGGTACGTACCTGAGTGCTTCGAGCGCGCAGATCCTGACAGACGGACTACGGAATGTAGACTGGGCTACAATCATGCACACGAATGCAGGCCTATCACGAAGGCTGATGTCGACAAGGTCAAGTCTGTCAAGTTCTCGCCATATATCTTTGAGCGGGCGAGGCTTTAGCGGATTCGCGTCGCTATGAGCAATTTTGCGCTTTCACCTGTCAATCGTTGTGTATTCTTGACGCCTTGGGTCCCGGAGAATGCTGTCGATGATCCCGATCGAGGAGGCGCCTGGATGATAGTATCATACAGCGTGCTTAACGTTACAACGTCCGGACGTAGCAGTCATGTCAGCTTGTACTATGAAATGCTCGTAGGTCCATGCCAGAGTGTCTGTTCGGAATAATGTCGTGTCATCGAGTAGCTTAGGGTAACCACACGCTACTTTCCTGCTTGTTTCTTCTTGACTGGGATCCCCACGCCATGTCATCCTCGTCTAGCATCTCTGCCTGCTCATACTGTCAATACTCGAGGTGACCCCACGATATTGATCAACTTACGCGACCTCCACTGCTACTAGATGATGACGAGGCTGAGGATGTTTTCGATGTGATCCGAGACGCAGCATCCATCGAGAATGGCTGGATCATTTGTGAGCCGCATCCTTTTGCTATTACGCTATGTGACTGACGAGCTGTACATGATGTTGTGTCGTGCTAGTCGTCTTGAAGGCGTGTCTCGAAGGGTCCACCGGCTTTTCAGTAGATCGCTGCGCCATGCATTCAGCGCTTCAGCACGCATTTATGTTGCAACAACCGTCATCACATACCTTGCTCGAGAAGTGGATGGTAAGCTTCGTGAGCGACATAATTCGTCTCAGACCGTGGCAATTTCAAAGGCGTCAGTGCCGCAGTCAACTCTGTGAGTAGATGGGAATTTCGGTTCGACCGTCTCCCCGCAACGACGCTGAGTTATATAATGGCAGATCGGTGGCGGCGTCCCTAAATCCTTCAGTCGAATGACAGAATGATTCCGGAACACAACCGGCTCGTTGTTCGCTGCGCAGCAGGCCAAGTAAAGGACAAGCCCCAATGCAGGCTACTATGCTCCGTCTGAGTGGTGTCATGCAGTATCGTTGACACTTGACTGCACAGACAGCGCCGCAGGCCACTCAAGGCCACTCAGCGAGGACCAGCGTGGATGCTTTCTCTCACGAGGGACTGCTCGAGAAGCCCCCTGACCCAAGCTGGACAGCGGCCCGTGTCTAAGGATAGAATGCGCCCGACTGCCTCGGGACGGGAATGCAACGCTCGTGGCTCGGAAGGCTCATGTCGACCATTTTCTGCGAGCGAAAGAGACCCGATATGGCATGTGAGAGACAAACGCCCGTCGCGTCATTCGAAATCCTCCGAACCTGTTTTTGCGAAGACGGCTACTGCCATGAAGGCAAGTAATGGCATTGCCCAGCCTTATTCGTAGCTTTATCCTATCGTCTAGTCCTGTTCGCGAGAAAGGCCAGAACTCATCTCTGTTATTGATACGTTGTTTGAGCGTACATGTGCAAACCATCATGCGGGCGTAAGCAGACCCTATGTCTGGTGCCGGACACATCAATGCCTCGGGGAACGGCCTGGTATGAACTCGGGAGCCTCCATCGTGTCCACCTACGTCCGACTTTCAGCTATTCTTGTAGGGGATCAATCAAAGGCTAAAGGACATACACATGTTCCTCCTCCACTTGCCGCCCAGACCTGGACGTCACAATCAATGGTTTCGTGCACAAAGACTCATTGCGAATGCCAGCTTAAACTGAGCCTCCCCATACAAGTGTCGAAGAGCTGCGGGAGCTGACGGAGGGAGAGGAGTGAGCTTGACGCCGTTCGCCCCGTGCGTTCCGGAGACCCGCATTGAAGAGATAGTGTCGTACCACGGCCGAGCGGATGCTCTGCGACCTAGTCAGATAATTTGAGCCAGCACACTAGACCGCCGTCGAGCAAGTACGCTGGTCGGAGAACTTGAGGGTGGACAGCTCGACGGGCGTCGTCGTCGAACCGCTGGAATACGCTCCAGAGTCAGACAGGAAGCCCGACGATTCTGATACGACAGCTCGGCGGTCGAGAGTGCGAAGTTCGAGCATGAATCGAGTGGTTAGGATCGACGATATTCTGTTTGAACATGATAAGCACTATAAGGATGAGCAAGCCAAGGTCGTGGATGTACACTCACGGTCCTGTAAATGTAGCCGTGTAATAGGCATTCACCTGGGATATTATCTCACTGTCAAAGGAGAATATGCATAACGGACTACGCACTGTCTGTGTGCCGAGGGATGTCTCAACGATAATTTGTACGACATTGAGTATGAGCAGTGATCTGGGACGATGTTTTGAGTCAGAATCTCTCACACGACAAAACGTATCTTGATCCATACATGAAGTATATCGTCCCTGGGCATATCATGCTTAACACTACGAGAGAGTGCAAGACAGCCTGAGTACACACCTTGTTGTAGGATCAACTTGATGAACCTTGCTTTGCGCTCTCTCGCATCGGAAACAACGCCGGCGAAATACCAGGTGCAGCAGAGAACCACTAAGTCGGAGAATATGGCGCAAGTCCGGACAGCAAAGATTACTAGACAAGACAAACAGTCAGCTCCCATCGAGAGGTAATACAAGACTGATCACATCTGCAACGTCATAAATGAGCACGGAACCATGCATGGTGTCTGTTATGATCACGCACCGGGTATTCAAGTCATCGGAGAATAACGTTGCTTTCGTACAGATCGGAATACGACCCACAAACGCGACGTAGGCTCTTGATGATCGAATATCGGCAAACTTTATAGCATACCTATTGAGTCTTCCTTCTCCTTTCGGGATCATTGGCACGTACCAGCTGAACCGGGATGGCGACCACTGCCCCCGTTAAGGTTATCACTGCTGGCCACCAGCTTCGATGGCTGATAGCATAGACGCGAAGAGCCGAGAACCCTGAATGACTCGTCAATCATCAGCGAACGAGTGATTGAGATAGGAATTGCTCGTACATGCAATAACGAAGATAAGGATAATGGACAATGCGTATTGCAAGTCGTATAACCACTCGCAGCTGCGCGTGTCGTCAGGACCTGTGAGTTTACACGTACGAATCGGCTGCATGATGACTACCTCTGCAAACAGTGAAGGACGTGAGATCGCAGCTTGAGTTTGCCACAAACCACTTACCATAGCGTTCGTCCAGTCAAATACGGACAATACACCCAACGCAGCAGAAACAAGGAGAATGTAACGGTTCACGAGGAACAAGATAGTGACGTTAGTAAACTCCCACTTCCACATATAGTGGATCTCTGATTCCAAAAGCGCCAAGTGCTCGTAGATTATCAAGACTGAAGAGAACATTGTCATGTGTCACTCCAATGCCTCGTTCGTAGCTTGACAGGGATGGTACTTACGGCTGGCGGCGAGTTGACTGTATGCCTGAGCATTGCTGTCGTCTGCAGTGGTCAGCAGGCGATACCCGTAAGTACTGGATGCTTGAAAACCGTTACGTACGTCTGGTCCAAGAATGGGATCAGGTCCGCGGATACTGGTGGGGCGTCCCTCGTAGACAGCATTTCGGCGGGCGGGGGCAGGCGCTATACGTCGACCGGGCGGGAGCCAAGAGCCAAATCCTTGCGTGGCAGGTACTTATGCAGACAGAGTTGAGACAGAGACAAGGTTTGTTCGCTTTGAGTCGTCGCCGGCGGCATCTTCTCCGGCGTACAGGCTAGTACAGTGTGATGATCGTCGGTAGCTGACACGGGTGGAATGAACGCTCAGCAGGGATTCCGTAAACCTTGGTGGACTCGCCAAATCAGATGTACGTTCCCCAGTCCGTACGAGACAGAAACTTACAGTCGATTGCAGAAATCATGGCACTCGCGGATTTTTTTCGACGCGCGCAATGACGCGCGTGAATCTTCCGACCCAAAGTTCCGAGCTACCTTACCAGTGTCTCTAGCTATGATAATGCAGCATAACTTTGCTTCTCTGTTCTGGAAATGACAATAACACTACCAGATAAGTCCCTGGTCATCATAGCAGTGAGGTTTAATGGAGAAAAATACGGCAATGCGTAGAACTGGGTTCTGTTACGCGGTCTATCCAATTGAGGTAATAATGCACGTGCTTGTTCTGTGCTCGACACGCCAGACTTCTTATTGCACATTCAGCTCATGGATCCTCCTTTTTTATGTCATAGACCTATTCCAAGACACATAGAGTAACATGTGGTAGTGTAAATTGCTGTAGTTTTGGTAGAATACATGAGAGATTCGTCATTCGACGACTCGGAAGATGGGCCGGAAGATGCGTGGGAACTTCAGTCGGAAGGTTCACGCGCGTGTCGAAAAATTCTGTGAGTGCCAACATATTCGCAATCGACTGTAAACTGTCCTGCTCCGAAGAAGCCTAACAGTGAGGACGCCACTGTTTGCGGCTCATCGTCATTATGGCCCATCGTCAAGACAACCTTCAACACTCACTCCCAGTGGCATCTTGGACATCTTGCCACTCTCGTAGCTATACACCCTGGCAGGTGGTATCCATGCGCGCATGTCGGGAAGCTTCGGTGGCACCGACGACTTCACCGACGACTCCACCGATGACTTCATCGACGACTTTGCTGACACCGGTCGGATCTTCGAATTCATCTAGTACTACTGCTACTGCTGCCCCCGAGACGGCGCCGACGATGGCAAAAACGACGTGGACACCCAAGTGCGCAACAGGATGGCTGAATGTCGCCGTGCTGCCGATCAGCTTATGACTTGTGCGTGCACCGATGCGTGCACCAAGACATGCACCGATACACGTGACAGCCGCAGCCCTTTTGAATCTGCTGTACACCGTAGCGTCATCACTTGCTCCTTATCTTCTTAATCCTCTGAATACACTCACCACCATCCACATTTCGAGCGTGTGGTAGTGTTTTTTTTGTAAGACATTGCCACACGAAGTGCATCGCTGCGACTCCTCAGAGGACACCATCGCGCGGTTGGTTGTGTAGGCTGTTGTATGAGTTATGTCCTTGAGCCTGATGGAGCCGTGCCAGCGTGCAAACTGAACTGGTATATATATACGACAGATCCTGCACGTGCTAGTCAACGTACATACACGTTCCTTTCCCAAGATTCACGCGGTCCTACTGTTACTAGTGGTGTCCGTCCACCGAGACTTCTATGCTGTGTACATCATGCATTTAGTCGCCTCGAGGCACGCAGCTTCATTTCGTCGAACCTGGTAAGGTTAAGTTCAACGCCTTTCAATTTCATGTCCGCTGATCTAGGCCTGCAGCCCGCGTTCGCTTCTGACTTATCAGAGCATCTCGATTTTGCCTTCGTGGCCGTCGCAGCGACTTTATTTGCCACAACGAGTCACTTGGTCAAACTCAAGAGTCTGAGCCTGAGCCTGAGGGAGCACCGTAGCCCATTCGTAACGACGCTCTGCGGTAGTGTTGCCGATGTCCGAGCACTTGGATGCTACCGCTATTTCAGCCCTGCGACAAGTACAAGTGAAAGTCTCCATCTAGTGATGCAACGCTCACCTATTACTGGACTCGCAGTCATTGATAGTCTTCAGGGCCTCGTGAACAACTCGGATCGCGGGTGCCAGCGTAGCTGCAACGGGCACACGTCTCGAAGCTTCGCGATAACCCTTGCGGTTTGCAATGCCGTTCTGCTACTATATGCGGAACATTGATCATGACCATGGAACTCATCGCTCGAACGGTAGGGAAAGCAAGGCATGGCACCCACCTTTTCAGTCCATGATCCTTATCGCGTCAGATCTCCGACTCCCTGGAGCAAGTGTTGGGATGAACACGTCCGTAGAGAAGGCTTTCCACGCTCAGCATCTGGAACCCCACCGTCCTTCCAGGGTCTTCGAACCTACTACACTCACCCATCATCATCACATGCAGGGCAGATGATAAAAAGACGCTGACAGTCGGACGTCACCCCAGCCGGGCCTGTTCGTCGCCTGACCCGGCAGCCGGCTAAAGTCGGGACACGACACCGCAGACACACTAGGCCGCGGTCATCGTACGAGCTAGCCAGTTCATGAGCTCGCACAGACTTGAAGCACCCGTCTCTCACTGCCTAAATACCGGATGACTTCCTCATCTCATAACGAGAAGAGAGCAAAGCCATTCGATGTTCCGGCAACAAAGCATCCGATATCTCTCCCACGCATCCTCCACGCCTCTATTGCAGCTCGCCTTGAATGAATCCCAGCCATATCCCAAGCACTGCCGCGGCCACTGCAATGGCAGCCGCGCCCACATATCCTACCCTAGTAGGCAGAGCGGCGGCTGCCCATCGCGACAGCTTGTGCTCCCGCAAACCAGCTTCCAGCGCGTACGTTGCCAATTCTGGCCTGTATACGCGCCGCGGTACTGCCTACAAGGATGTGATGAAGTCAATAGTACGCATGAATCCAGTGTAAGCGTTAGTAGTGAGGGGCTACTGACCAGCGACTGGCCCTGCTGAGCTGAAACCGAGGAACCATAGAACGAGGCGGAGGCCGGCCAGAAGAGCGGCGATGATGCAGAATAGAACGAGGCGGAGGCCGGCCAGAAAGGGAGCGGCGATGATGCAGATTACAACCTTGCCGACTAAGAATAGCCAGTGCATCTTCGAGTCGTAGAGATAGGAGGGTGTGAATCCGTCTGAGTGCGTCCGAGTCGTTGCTGCGTCGAGACGATATGAGCAGAGCCTGATGTGAATGGCTTTGGGGAACGCTCAATTTTTAGCGCAAGGGTTGTCAGATCAAATAAGGCAGTGTACACGACGCCCTGTCGACTTCGTGGGAGGCTGCTCGCGTTCAAACCGGCAGGCGGCGCTTGCATCGAACCTTATACCATCAAACTTAACCTTATGAACGCTCCTACGCGAGGTCTACGTACCTCGACGTTAATGAGCCTCCCTGCGAAGCTTCATGGCTACCAAAACATGAATCCGCACCTACAAGCAGAGCTTGCTTTGCATGAGGACCCGTTGCCAGTGATGTCTAGTACGAATACGGTCCGATTCAGCCTTCTCGACGCGGGGGCACCGCTCGCGGAGGAGGCGGTTTCGCAAAGCGACCTCTATGCAACTGTTCTGAATTTTTTCAGCACTAATTATTCCATGCCGATAGCTGAGGTGTGGACTTACACGCATATCGTGCGTTGGGTACCGTCTGAAACGGCCGTAACACGGTCGCGCTCTGTGTGGTGGGGTCACAGAGAGATACCGCGACTGTTACGACACTCTGATTTAGCCAAAATTGGATTGCTCTGCGCAGGAATCCCAGTACCGATACCAGACAGGCCAGTTGTCAAATTGTTTTTGCTCGACGCCACCGGAGACATGTCCTGGGGTACCACATTGCCGGTGACAGTACGCGCAAGATTGACAAGCCATTTGATCGTGATCGTGGCCATGCGAGGGCTCTTCGGCGAGGCAGATTGTCGACATGTGCACTTGTTGCATAGGACCAGCCTATCGCGCAGCTTGTGCGTGCATGGCTCCTTCCTGGAGGACTTGAAAGACCACCGTCTATGCACGACCATATGCATCACTACGTGAGCGCCTATTATCGCCTAGCCCCAGAAGTGAATACGGCGGGATGGAGTCAGCGAACAGCAAGTACTTACTTACGCATCTTGCCCACAACGCACCAGAATTTGAAAGCCATCGGGCGTGCGGATGACCTGAAGTAACCTGAAATACCCTCGAGACTCGATTCAGCGTTCTATGCGGTGAGACATGTAGACGAGCATTCCCGGGTCTCCATTGCACTCGAAAGCGTGCAATTCGACCAATCACATGAACCGGACATGCAATGGCAGGTCCTTAGCAGAGCAAAGCCAGATTTGTGCGCAGTGAATGAGCGGTTCGTGCCGCATCTGCTGAGATGGAACGCAATCTCAACGCAACAACATCAAATCGGCACGCCGCCCACTGTGCGAGGCACCCGGAGCGCATATTGATATTGTACCGCCTCCGTGATGAAGGCGATAGGGGCTTGACTTAAGTTACTGAGTATTTTGATGGCGGCGTGTTCTCTGCAAGCGCAGTAAACTGCAGCGAAACTACGTAGAGGATCCAACGGGAATCACCATGTGGTATTGAATTGGTTTGAAGACCTATAGCGGCAGGAAGCAGCGATGGTAAGAAGGATAATGGCATGATAGCGCTCTCGCATGGTACTCAAAGACTCACGAAAAGCCTCACTGACGGTAATGTTGTGATACCAGGCTGTTTCCTCTCGTCGAGTGTGTTGCTCACTGGCTTCTGATGTCTGCAGAAGCTCGAGAACTTCGGGCGCCCCATGCTACATTGGCCGTTGGCCCGTCGTATAAAGTAGAATACTAGTAGTAAGTGTCAGAAGATGATGCATACATAGAGACCGATCGGAGCGAAGGACATCTCACCTGTATTCGACTCAATGCCCATGAGTGTCATCTGGATATGCTGAAAAGCCGAACGCTCGCAGGTTGGGGCGTCAAGTCAGTATTACGAACGTCATGATGTCTGGTATTGGCGCGTAAGGCCACCACGGTGTTCAAAGTTTGGCCTCAATATCAGCGCGAGCGTGGCTCCAGGCTTGAGAATGGCTAGTCGGCAACCATTGGCACCGGCCAATCGTATGCCATGAATCTCAAGAGGTTGCATCTCAGTGAACTAGTGCGAGAGGGTATACCTGATCTATGCCTGAGGGAATCTACAGTCCGATACTACACAAGGGTCAATACAACCGGACTTAGTGAACGCAAATTTACGGAATAAGTCAAGGAACAAAAGGAGCGACAATATATAGGTTGACTCGCCAAGCATGTCGCCGTGTCCATTACCACGCGCCGGGACGCAGTCCCTCACAGTCCGAACCGGTTTTGCAGCTTTTCTCTGGCCTGCGACGGATATGCCGCCACACGTTCGTTCGGGGTCGCCGCCCTAGGACCCATAGGGGCTGTCATCGAAGGATGGCGATTCGGCGCCAGAGGAACAGTTTGAGTCGTCCTCACGCTGCTTTGGGGCGAAGGTACATCAGACGACGACTGCAAGTCGCTTTCGCTGGGCAAAAGCATAGTCCCCAGCACTACACCGGGATGCCGATTGGGTATCAGCGGTAGCGCCCGTGGCGACGGCATACTCGAGCTCTCCGTGAGCACGGGAGAGTTCTGGGACCAGAACTTCGGTATGTGGGTGTCTAGCGGCCGATTTGGGATTGAATTCGTGCTAGCAGAACTAGTACTGCCCTCGCGTGTCAAGACGATGGGTCTGCTCGACAGAGATGATGCATCGCTGGATCCCGATTGAGTCGGCATGTCAGGTCGAAGACTCGGCGATACTCGTGTAGAGTCACTAGTGCGCTGTGTAACAGCCTCGAAGGAGGGTCGCAAGAGAGATGAGACGTTCAAACGTTCACCAACGATGACCTCTGCGTTGTCCGCAGAGAAGTCTGAGGTCGTCGAAGACGCACTCATTATGCGATCACTGTCGGGTTGCACGAGCGGTCGGGGGAGGGGCCTGATGAAGCGCGGGCTGACTGCATCCTCGTGCACAGTAGTGAGGCGCGACATCAAGTGCAGGGGAAGAGGTGGCAGCTTCCGTAGTCGTTCCCCCTCTTGACGAGGAATCGTCAAACGGGGTAATGGGTCGCTGCTTTCCGGCGGTGGGACAGGGTTTGGAAGAACCTGCTCCTCTCGAGGGTGGGACTTGGTCTGGGGTTGGTCTTCATGTGTACCGTGCGCGACGTCCACGGCGACGACCGGAGAAACGACTAGGGCGTCCGGCGGTGGCGGACTGTGACCAAACGTAGCATCCACAGTGTCTGGTTCAAGGGGAGCAGTCGCCTGTTGAGAGTCTGCGCCTATTGAATGCTCAGGGCTACTCGGACGCAGGACATCGCCCGATGGTGCAACGTCGTCTTCCGGAGGCGCAGAGACGACCGTGGTCTCGGCCGATACCGGTGGTTTGGCATCCTCGGGTTCCGTAAGAGGGGCCTCAGAGGCTTGATCTCGAGATTCGGTATATTCACTAGGAAGTTGAAGGGGAGCGCTTGCAGGCACAGCGCTACTGCCGTAGGGGTTGCTGCCCACCAACTCTGCAGTGGTGACAACTTGCAGGGTAGCTGCGAGTAGCGGGATATTCGGGCTATTCGGGAGTGAGATCGGGCTATCGACAACCCCCCTCCTGGTATCCACCATCGGTACAGGCTCCAGCGCGGCGATAACAGCCGTCGGCGAAGTGGTACTCGGATTACTCGCAGGCGACGTACTGCTCGTATGCACAGTACCAGGACTCTGCGACGCGGTGTCGCTCGACTTGCCCGTGTCCGAGCGCAGCGAGAAGTTCGTCATGTCCGGCAGCGGGGTCATGTCCACGTACACGTTCCCGAGGAGCCGATCGCAGATCCTGCCCGTCATCGGCATCGTGTTGATCGTCTTCACGCTGTCCGCGCGCGCAGGCAGGTCGGGCGAGCTCATGTTGTCCATCCAGAACCCGCTCGGCGCCATGCTCGTCGGCGTGCTCGGCGTGGTCCGGTCGCTCGCGATCATGCCGCTGCTGCTGCGCTGGCCCGTACTCGGCGTCGCCGTGCTATTCGCGGTCGAGAACCGTTTCGCAGATGGCTGCCGTAGGTTGGACGACCCATCCGATCGCGAGGCGATCTCGGACTTCGGTCGCCTGCCTCTCCTGATTGGGGGAGTAATAGGCTGCGGGAAGGCGGTGGGTGGGGTCGACTGATGCCCGTTGGGGGGAGTGAACCGACGGGAAGTGACAGGCCATTTCTTCTGCATGCCGCCAGGTGCTGACCCCTTCGGAGGAAGGGGCGGGGGCGTATCGGCCGTCGAAGGGTGGGACGGATTCTCTGCGACCACATCACCGACGCGCTGAGGTATCGTAACGACGAGCTGGGGAGCGGCAGAATGGAGGCCGTGCCGAGCTAATGTGGGGCCGCTTGCGTCGCTCTGGGTTGTGGTCGCTTGTGAGGCTGCAGGCGGCGGGACGGCTATACGGGGGACTGATTCTACGACAGCTCTGTTGTCTTCAATGGTCGTAGGAACCGAGTTCTCGTTGACACTCGCAGTCGATCCCGTGCTGACCATAGTGGGTGGTGGAGCTTGAAGCCGTGATCCGTGCTCCTGACTCAACAGCCCCTTCCTCAAGCTAGACGTTGACCGCTGGTTTCGCGGCCCACGATCGTCCCAGACATTTTGAGCCAAGTCGACGGGTGCTCGAGTAATGTTGGCCCGTCCTGACCCTCGCTTGCACAGGAAGCGGTCTACTGGAGGTCCGTACCCCTTATAGGGGCGCTTTCTGAGGTAGTAGACAACAGCGCCGAGTGCGAGTAGGACCGCGATGCCCACCACGACGACAGCAATGACAATGGCCCGCGTCTGACTCGACTTCTGACTACCTGGTGTAGTGTCTGTTGACAGATCCACACGAGCACTACATATGCGAACTGATTGTGAGAAGGCGGCACAGACTGAAGAAGAGGAGACGCACGTATACGTAATGTAATCCAGAATCGCCAGTGATTCTCCTTGGGTGTTCGCCCCGCTCACGAGAGTGAAGGTATGTGTTCCCCAGGGGAGTGAGTCATTCGCATACACCAGGACATCGTAGGAGATGGACGCGGACTCGGAGGTGTCTGTCCCTTGCTGGTATGTGCCCTCAGTCTCGCCATCGATCATGAAAGTCAGGTCTGTGCTCTTGTTGCTGTTAATAATACAATAGACATAGAAGCCCGATCCTGTTTTCCTGGTGAGATCCGCGAATGTGTCGTCGGTCAAGAGACTCACCAGTGAAGGATATTTCCGCGCTGGAAACTCCGGGTCCAGTGGCATGCCAAGTTCCGTCGTAGGCATATTCAGCGCTGGGGCAGGCAGTGCCCATATCAGCCTCTGTGCAGTTCGCCTCGTCACTCCAGGAGCCCTCGGGTGAGTAGTAGGCAAAATATGCTCCCGTAGCCACATCCCCGTTCGTGTCGTCAACGGTGACATTGGCCAGGAACCATGCCGATACGTACGCGGCATACCAGGAAACGAAGAATAACGCGCGTACCACTAGCATAGGGCCGCGCAACGAAGCCAGCACGACCGCTAGCCTAACCGGAGGGGCCTAGGTGACAGAGGGCAACGACAGAGTGAACGAGAGGGGGCGAAGACCAGAGTGGCATCGGTGAGAGCGAGGACGAGCGAGTATAGGATGTCATCAGGCATCGCCGTCAATAGATGTGATGCGCGGAGACGATGGGCCGGACTGCCATGTCCCGACATGACCAAATCCCCGTAGTCAGTGTGCGTCCTGAGACCCGCCCGAGGGAACGGTAGGCCACTATGCGTGGGTACGAGAACAGTGAGAAGACGCACGAATCTGTCGGTTGCAAACGTTTGGCCATTGGGGTGTTGAGATATCTATATCAAGCAGTGCTGACCAGACGCTATCAGGGTTTGAGAGTGTGGACGCGGTGCATCCGACAGCACGTTCACAGACATATTCCCTCTCGCGCGTAGCACGAGGTATGTACTGGGAGTGGTTCGTCTTCCGGCGGTGTTCCGATGCAGCCTTAGGAATCATACCAATAGGAGGGATATGTTACTCGGCTCAAACAGGCGGAGCAAGGCACCGCATTGTCGACCCAGTGGTGGATGAAGCGTGACCGGTAGGCATCGGTCAACTGTCATTGTCAATGGACATCGCATCCCAATATGCCAACTCATCTATCTTGCGGGGCATCGAAGTACTTGAAGCAGCTGCACGCATGACAGCTCGTGGTTGAGGTGACACTCGCGACTCGATGCCCGTCCTTCGCGCATCTACTTGAAGCTGTACGAGCGGTTCCCCAATCTTACAGCCGCATTAACACTGCGTACAGCCCGAAGGTACGACCTATCGTCACATCTGATGAGAAGAGTTCATGCGTGAGATCTTACTTTGTCAACAGGTTCCTCACAAGGCAAGGGACTTACGTTCGCGCACGTTCGATTTTGATATCAGGGATTAGAGCGGGTCCAGTACAAAGGGCGGTATCACAGAACACAGCTCGGATATCCGCATCATACAATGCTGCTCGCTGAAGAATTGATACGGAGACATCGGAAGTATAGTGCTGGTAGAGCAGGACGAAGTTGATCATCATGGCCCGTCACTGCCAGCTGTGGCGCAGAGTGCGCACCGTCTCGGTCTCCCAAGTCTCCAAAGTCCCGGACGCAGACAGGGACAGGTCCATGCCCAATCTGACCTAGCGCGAGACCTGCAGTGACATCACCCTCCGCGCCCGCCACCCAGCTGCCCTCGCGCGCCCCCACTCGCCTACGTCATGGCCCACCACGACCAACTACTTCAACGCGACTCGCTTGCACGTCCTCAACTCACACTTTCCCATCTCTTTTTGCACCCACACATTACCTTGCATTCCTAACGACCCACGAACAACCACCACGATGTCCATGCTCCGCAACGCGCTCGCATCCACCACCCCCGCCGTCCGCGCCGGCACGCGCGCGTTCCGCGTCTCGCCCGCCGCGAGCAAATCGGCGACCGAGAAGGTGAAGGAGGTTGCAAGTGACGTACGTCTGTTGAGCTGTCTGGGCACATCCGAGATGACTGACCTTACTCGCATAGGTCAACATCAAGGTCGGGCGAACGCTTGCATCTGCGATCGAGAAGGGCGAGGAAGCAACAGAAGCCACGAAAGAGACATTGGGTATGTGGGATACATTGATTGACGCGATTACTCATTGACTTCGCGCTCAGCCCCCGCCGCGCAGAAGGCAAAGGAGGTGACGGGCCAGGCAAGCCAGAAGGCAAGCCAGGCGACGGGTCAGGCAAGCCAAAAGGCCAGCCAGGCAACGGGGCAGGCAAGCCAGAAGGCCAACCAGGTGAACAGACTCCGTTCCTCGTGCTCTGCGCCGTACTTACCCCCTGAAGACCTCAGCAGGCGTGAAGGAAGGCGCACGAGACTTCAAAGAGGACGTCAAGAAGGAGGCACGCAAGTAAACAAACCTCGTTGCCTCTTCCGCACCGGTATTCACCATGGGACCAACGCACGGTACCTCCTGTAGCATATTCGCATTGTACTTGAATGCATTAACTCATCTTCATGACGATCATTACACCATTCGGCGACTGCTGCTAACTGTAGGGTAGGGGTATTCGCCACGACCCTGGGAACAAAACGAAGGAGAATGAATATGGAGAATATAAGTATGACAGCCATCCGCACGAGAGTCTGTAGGCTCAATGTTGACGAGGCGAGAATTTTAGGAGGCAACCGTCCTGAGGGAAGAGGGTCGCGATGATCCTGCCGACAGGGTCAGCTCATGTTTATTCCATCAGATTGAAGGTACTCACTGGACCTTCTCGCTCTTCTCAGTGCGGACGTGCTCAAAGTCCATGAGCACTGCAGCATCTGCGAGGACGATAGCAATGTTCATCACGGCGTACTCAATGCCAATGCACTTGTGCGGGCCGCTCCCGAAGACGAGGTAGTTCCTTGGGTTCTGGTTCGCGCTGCCGTTGGGGTCGAGCCAGCGCTCGGGCAGGAACTCATCGGGCTCGGAGAATACCTCGGGATCGTGAAGCGAGTTGTAGAACGACGGGATGACCATGCTGTTCGCCGGGACGGTGTAGTCGTTCGAGATTGGGAACGCCTTCAGCGTCTTGTACGGCACCATCGTCACGGGCGGCTTCACGCGCAAGCTCTCCTTCACGACCGCGCGGAGGTACGGCATGTTGTCCATCATCTCAAGCGTGATCGGCTTCTCGTAGTTGCCTGCGCGCACGCTCTCCTGCTCCTCGCGCACCTTTGCGAGCACCTCCGGGTGGTCCGCTAGGTGCTGGAAGCCGTAGATCAGGCCACTGCTCATGGCGTCCTGGCTCGCGAACAGGAAGGAGAAGACCACCATCGCCATCTCGAGGTCGCTGAAGTCGCGGCGGCCCTTGTACTCTGGATCCGCGAGGTCAAGCACCCACTGGTCGAGCATGCACTGTGCGTCGCCGCCGGCCGCCATCGCCTTCTTGCTCTCCGCGGCTGCGTGCTCGAGCCAGCGCAGCGCGACCTTGCGGGCCTGGATCGCGCGGTAGACCTTGGTGCCGGGGATTGCGAGCGGGAAGTTGACGAGCTCGAGCGCGACGGTGATCATCCAGTACTTGTCTGCGATCTCCTTCGCGGCGTGGTCGGGGATGTGCGGGCCGCAGAAGACGCGGAGCGAGGTCTCCATGTTGAGGTCGCGCGCGCGCATCATGATCGGCTTCGGCGAGGGATCCTCAGCGGCGTCCGCGAGCCATTGCTTGAAGTACTTGCGCGTGATCGCGTCCTGGATACCCACGTACACGCTGAAGAAGGCGGGGTCAGTCAAGGCTAGCTGGCAGCTTCGATTGCGGGTATGACGTACCCGAGAGCCTTGCGCGTGAATAGGCCATTCAGCACCCTCCGATACTCGACGTGGACCTTTCCGGTAAGGAAGACCCTGTAGGAAAGCAATATGCAAATGAGATGGCGGTCTTATCGCTGTATCGCTGCCGCGTACCAGTTATCTGGCCGCAAGATCTGCTTCGCGGAGTGGACAAGGCAGGGCTCGGCATGGTTGGGCGAGTTGAGGATCTTGCGCGAAAATTCGTTGGTCGAGGCCATGACAATGAAGCTATGCGAATTAAGCTTTAGGCGTTGCGGCACGAATCACCGATGGTGAGCTTACATGTTGAAGACACTGAGAGCGCTCAGCGCGCCAGAGTCCCATTGCTTCATATAGCCCTCCATGGTGGGCTTCATGGAGTCCGCGAACTTGCCGATGAGGGGTATTGTCCATTTGTCGCCGGGAAGATGACGCTTCTTGTAACGGTAAACGGACTGTTCGAGGGCAAGCACGGCCAGGACGATGGCGACGGTCGTGTAGAACCATGTGACGGTCTCGGACGAGGCGAGGAAGGGGACGGTGGGGACGCGGTGGGATGGGCCGCCAGTGTAGGACGGCATGGCCGCCTTCATCGACTCGTGGTCCTTGAGCAACGCCATGGCTGGGATCGTCGTCGTCGGTCGTGAACAGGACAGGGATGACCACAGAAGGCAGACGACGTCTCTACCCGGTTTTGCGCAACAACCTACGTTCGCCGGCAGTCTCGAAAGGTAGAAATGTTCGATGCGCGCCCTCCCATTGGCTGCCCAAAAATCATTCGATTTGGGAAATATCGGCCACTTTCCCAGCGCTCCCCGGCCCAGTCCGGCCTCGTCGCCGACTCGCCGTATATGGTTGGCGAGACGTCCGAGGTTCGTTTGCCGCGCGCCTCGGGCATCTGCGGGCCAGGCCGCTTACGTAAGCTTCGCTCGCACAGTGTCCCTCGCTCGTGTCGGACTGCCCAACACACTCTTGGTGCATTTGAACCGATTTATATGGACCTTACAGATGTTTTCAGTAGGTTTCCCGGTCTGTGTGGGATAAGGACGCGTAATAATGGTCATTTTGGGAAGACATGCTGTAAGCGCCCGTGATAATGAGCACATCAGTGATCTTATCTGAGTTCGCTGCCTAAATGGGTAGATGTAGCTGGAGATCACCTGCTCGTCCGAGAAATCAATAACATTCAAGCACAAAACTTGTCCAGCCCGATGCACATTAGCATAACCAAGGAATGTCAGTGAGGCACATACTACTCAGATACTAGCATCGCAACCTGACATAGTAATCTGTCCGAAGACCGCCCGTTTAGGTAGCCATGTCAGATTAGATCACTGATATGCCCGTTATCACCGGCGCTTATGTTGTCCGTGCGCAGAAATGGCGGTTTTGCGGACAGTGCATCTCAGAACTCGATCTCGACACCCGGAAAAGCCAGTAAAGCACGGTATGGTATTCTTCAGCATCCTGAGTTGTGTCCGTTATTGAAAAAGCAGCCAAATACTAGCGAGACACTGTCTGCGAGGTCAGTTTACGTAAGCGGCCTGGCCCGCAGATGCCCGAGGCGCGCGGCAAACGAACCTCGGACGTCCCGTCAACCATAGCCGTAAGCCCCGTCGCGCCTCGTCGCGCCTCCCGCCATCCGTCGGCAGGCGGTCGTCCCCGGCCCACCGCCAACGAACCATATAGGCGAATAAACAATAAAATACGGCAATTCTGTGCTACGACATTCGAAATATTGGCTACTTGCTATGACCAACAAGCGAAGTCATCAAGGGCTGTGCGTCGGTCTCCGGTGTGCGGTAAGCTCCATGACGAGATATCCGGGGTATGCGGACAAAGACTGCAACCGTTGCTGACATCACTTGCAAAATCTGCCACTTCAAGTTCCCCTTCGGCATGGGAGTGTTGCAGTAAAAATACGGAACGTTCATTGACGATGGGGACAGACGTGTGAGTAGTCGAGGAGTGCAACCAGCTCGTGTGAGAGTCGAAGCATCCGCAACGTCCTCATTGTGTGATACGGTCGTCGTGCATGACTATTAATATCGCTGCCTGCCGCATCGTTTCATCCACAACGCCGGAGATGACTTGGGAGATGCGGGACTGAGCCACCTCGAACTCGGATAACAGGCCTCTGCAATGCCAACAGGTGGTCAAGGCAACATAAGTATGCCTATCGGCACTGCAGGCACTAGTACTGTGGTACGTCAGAAGGTGTGCTGCGGCATGGATCCCAGCAACACAAGGGTAACAGTGCTCAAGCTTCAAGCGCTCAGGCCCGACCCTCGTACGAGGCTGGCATCTATTCGGGCCCTCGATTCCCTGTACAGTGTACGTACCAAGCACTGGATGCTGGTGATCACAGGTAATGATGGTCTGGCTTCCCGCACCAGAGATAGTTTGCAGCGGTCTGATTGCCACCTGCTATTGCTACTGAGCGGTGTAGTGAGCACGCAAGATAATGATGAGATGAGCAACAACATACCATCTACCATGCTAGGTCCAACGAGTGCTAATGAACGTTCGCCCGAAGCGCAGCTGGCTGTTACTGTTGTACAATCAATAGTAGCAGGGACACGAAGCGATGACGCACCCGACGCACTACGACCAACGCTACTGGCACAGTGGTCCGACAGTCGACCATCTGCTGTCACTGCGACACTCAGGCGGCACCCCAAGCCCCGTGGTCAAACTTCAAGGTTCTCATCACATTATGCATGGCATGCAGGACGAAGACAGTAGTGAATAATACACGATGTAAGGTCAATTGTCCTGCAAGACCAGGTAGCGGGAGACTGGTGCAAGGAAGTGTCGGGTATCAAGCAATCTGGGTATAAACGTTTACAAATCGATAACCGCAGCCGCCTTCATTGTCTCGACAACGCAGATGCTGAGCCTCGTGCAGACTCTGTGATGTTCTGGGTAGACGGCCGCTGAGCTACATCAAGCTCACGATCAAAGCCGACAGTCCAAGCAACACTCACCCTCTTGGGTGTTTTCGTATGAGGACCAGGGTGACACTTGTCGATCGGACTTTCTAGTTCAATCGGCTGCAAGCGAACGCAAGCGAAAAAACATCAGTCAAGCGGAAGAGTGGCAATGTCATTGTGCACTAACCAAATTGATGACGTGCTCAACCAACGTACTAGGGTAAACAATGGACGTTGCCATCGCCCTCGGACGGGTTGGACTATTTTGTACAGCATTTGCAGGAGGTGGTGGGGCATCGTCATGCATCTAGGTGCGATACATGTATAAGAGATTGGGGCTTGATGTACTTGGGCTGCTGTTGACAGCTTACCTTTGACTTCCGAGAAAAGGGCTTCAACAGGGATGCGCCGCGCATGATCCTAATGGATGGTGAAGGGCGTAGTCGCACAATGCGCGCTGAAGTGGAATACGAGGATTGACCGAACGCACGACTAGAGCTTATATGCCCTGTAGGACGTCCCTGAGCCAACTCACCAATCTGACGGAGCCTACCGTCATCCGCGACGCATTATGAACTCAGAATACCCGGTGATGCGAGTGTCTGAAGACACCTGCCTGGAGCGTTCGTCAGCACTCCGTGCCTTGAACTCAGCGAAGATCTGCCAATATTCGATGCATCCAATAGGCGATCTAGTCCCACTACTCACCCAAACGTGATGTTGTATTGGTGGATCTGCTTCACAACCTGTCGGAGCCTGCGCGCTTCTCGACCGTACCTGCCGTAAAGACATCTCTCCGATGTGGGTCACCGATCACTCGGCGGCCGCCTCGAAGTTCCCGCTGCATTCTGGCCATGGCCAGCCTAAGGGTTCGCGGGAGCAAGCTCGTTGCTCCGCGGCCTTGTCTCAAAGGCGTAACGTACACACCTCTTGGAGAGACACGACCTGGGCGAACCTTGGCCCACCCGAAGCGGGAGGCCGACAACACCAGCTGCTAATAATACCGAGCCGCAAAGACCGACCGACATTGAGTCGTGCACGATCATGTGCGTCGCACAACAACACGATTGGTCAGGAATAAATGCAGCTGTACGTACCGACAAACCATGTTCCCTGAACGACGCACCTGAAGAGGCAAAATGACGGCGCTTGGATGCAGGGCATTGGTCAGTCCATGTCGTGATGCTGACTGGTGCCGAGCAGCGCGAGTGGTATACTTGCTTCAGGTGACGAGCAAAGATCAGCGACAGAACGGCACCTGCATAAGCAGAAGCACTACGCATTGTTCCTAAGGCTTCTCCATCCAACGGCCGTTCGAGGGAGAAGGCACTAGTGTTCGTGCCTTGGACATGAAGTCTAAACAATCGCGCACAGAAACATCCTGTACAACAAAGGTCTACAGTCTCGGGAGAAATCTGCCTGAATCTGTCCGGCTACACGTCAGTCGCGATTCGTTCGTAAAGCTTGACTTGTCATTCGCCAAGGCACTCACAACGAGGTTGCAGCGATGTAGGCTCCCTTAACCATCACGATCTATCCCAGGTCCACCCTTCCGCCGCCCATTCTGGCATCTTGGTCTCAAACGAGCCCAAGCTAGTGGTATACCGCAAGGCATGCAAGAAGATGTACAAGCGCTCCGGTGTAGGGTCAGGATGCAGCGGCATGTAGCATTCTGGGCAATAAGACCCTGCGTCGGCCTCTGCAAGCGCTTCCGCAGTCGGCGTGGGTGCCGAGTCCGACAGAGAGGGTAGCGGCGCGGACGAATCTGGCAGCGGAGAGATCACTGGCGACGGCGGTGGCTTGCGGAAAGACTCGAGCTTCGCAAGCGCTTCCTCCACCGTCAGCTGGGGCGGCTGCTCCTCAGCTTGAGTGGTTTCACTGTCAGCAGCATCAGCGCCGTCATCCTTACTCCTCGCCGCATCCGCGCTGTCCTCCTGAGGGGTAGGCGTCTGCGTCTGCCCGCCTCTTTTTCGCCTGTTCTGCGGCGGCAGGGGCACGTTGACACCGTATGGTGATAGAGCTCCCTTGGCACGGAAGACGACGTCTCGCCAGCGACCCCAGTCTTCGTCTTCGTCCTGCAGAAGCACAGCGAGCGTGACAAGAGAAGCGTGGATGAGTAAAAGAATGCCCAAGATGCTGAGCAGGAGGAATGCTACCTTCATGTTGCGAAGCCGCGTGATGATCCCAACTAACTCAGCGGACAGCGGGACGGGCGAAGCCATGCCGATATCGTGACCGGTTTCGCGAGGCAGGGGCTTAGAAACAGCGGTCGGTGCATCGGTGCTTCCGCTGATGCCGTGACCGGTTTCTTGCTCAGCAATGACATCCGAGTTGACAGATGAGGAAGAGTTGTCTCGCTGGGCAACATCGGTGGGCTTCTTGGACAAGATCTCCGGGTTGTCGGCGATAGACAAGCCTGATTCCTTGGGAGGTGCAGGGGCTGCACGTTCCTCGCTCGGAGTCCAGTCTACTCCTCCGTTGCCTAGTCGCTCGCCCTGCAGATATCAGTAAACTGTACTGCACTTCTCCGTGAAAGCGACGTACCCATATCCTCGTCTCTGAGTAGACGGGATCATTTGCTATAGGATATCCAAGGTACTGGAGGTGTACCCGTATTTGATGAGCTGAAACATACATTAGTTTCCGGTGTGATTGGCAAGCAGTTGAACACGAACAACGACCCGTCAACGGACGACCTAAAGGCGACGTGAGTAAGTAGAAGAAATCGCAACGGCGTACTACTCACAGCGCACAACGCTTGTATCGGTATCCGCATCGTAATGAAGTCGTTTGAAGATCGTCTTTGCGGGCTGATCACGACCATTGCATGAATACAAGCATCTCATCGGGGGACAACGCTATCCTACCCTGCCTTCGGGATGAACTACATTCAGTCCCATTTGCCTATCAATCGTGAGTAGTGGCTGCTCGCAAGTGACCTCGTCTCTGCATTAGAGATCAGTCAGAACATAGCGAGAATTTGTGAGTAGTATTTACTCTGGAAACTGCCCCCTGCAGCGCGCAACATATTCCTTCTGAACTGTGCCGTCCATGAACTCCTGGGTGAGAGTGGTTGCAAGCGTCGCATTCAAAGGAATAATCATCATCCCGGAAGTGAGTCTATCCAATCTGTTGATCGCTAGAGACAATGAGCCGAGACAAATTCCACAGGGGACGTCAATCTGTACATACTGTAGACTTTTTTAAAGCCGAAGTCATTCTTCAAGATCTCAACGAGGCTATTCCGAAAATAGCGTCCAGCCGCATGAACGGGCTAGACAGAAGGTTAGGGTCAGTGTGATCACAGGAGATTACCAGGAGCCTTACAATTGAACCGGGTTTGTCGATGACAATAAAGCCGCGTTCCTTATCATGATGTACGATGCGGACAGGTGTCGAAGTGACCGGAGGTTCATGCCGGTGCACAACGTTCCTTAACGTGCGGTCAGTGCGCTCGACTTCTGGGCACATGGTCTGGAACGTACTCTACGCGGTCTCCGTTCCTAAGGATTGTCCAAGGTTTCGCTGGTTTACCGTTGATCGTAGTGACACCTGTTTCAATGGCGTATTTCTGACCTTGGCAGACGTTACAGCTCAATTGGATGGCAGCACGAGACGTTGACGTACGTAGAATTCCACGGACCGACTACGAAACTCGGTTGATACGACCTCCAGTAACTCTCGACCAAGCCAACGACCCTTCGTCATGGTGGTGTATGGGTACCAGTACGGTGGTATTTTCTTCAAACCCGGTCTTTCTGTCCGATGTGGGGTCGTCGGGCTGGTGGTGAAATCTGGTGTATTGGATGCCATTGTCGACAACAAGAAGCGGGAGAGGAAGTGCCGGAAGACCTCGTCGCCCGAAAGCGGGATGAGAGGGTAGTGTACCCTTGAGGGTCGGGCGGACCGGTTTTGCTTGGTATGTGATGCCAGTACGAGGAAACGGTGTATACCAGGAGGGGCCGGGATCTTCTTCAAGTGTTTCAGAAGAGATAGCCTACGTGCGCACAGTACTTGCAGTGGTGAAAAGGAAGCTTGCAGTATCGTGGTCACGGTGTAGGGCGAGCCCGAACGTAGCACTGAAGAATTGACTCTAGAGGTATTTGAGAGGTATGCACTCGATCATTGGTTTCCTTCTTCGGAAGGAAAATCCTACTGAACGCCACGTTAAGCGCCCTGGCGCACAACCGAATATGTTGAATATGTTGAAAACTCATCACGTATCAAAACCCTTCTTCACTGTTTTGTCATTCTCTCAAGGGCAGGACCATAGAAATCAATTGCGTTACGTGCGACACATAAGGAAATCTGCATGAGCCAACAACTTTTCCCACTCGAATTCCGCTGGCGTCTCGTGGAATGCACGTAGCAGCTTCGTCCGTTCGTTCTCGTTACTCGGCCACAAATAGAACTTTTGGATGACGACACTAAGCATGTGAGCGTCTTCCTGGCTCAGCATGTAACGCCCATCACTGGCACCTGCAGGGGCACCTGTGGAAGAAGGCGTGATCTCGCCTCGCATGAGGACAACGCCGTGGGATTGGGCCAAGTCAGTATATTGCGTGATTACAAGGTATGGCGTGGCAAAGGTCTGACGGAGCTTGTACTCTTGCAGGGGCGTAAAGAGGACCGTGCTCGTCTGGGGATTGGCCGAGGGCTTGGGAGGCGCGAAGGGATCGAGCTTGGCCGATGGCTCCGGTGGCGAACCGTGAAATCCCCATTCCATGAAATAGAGCTCGTACGCGGACTTGTCCTCAGTGGGCTCCTCCGTCTCGGGCTTTGGTCGTCGTAAGGGCACGACAAATTTGGGGTACTTCGTGGCGACGTCAAGCATCCTGTTGTATGCTGCGACCGGTATGGAGGCAGACACGAAGCCGCGACCCGTCCCTCCGGAGCGCGAAGAATGATACGCATTCCATAGATGTGAGATGGCCTCTGAGTTGACCGGCCCCTTCCAGAGCCTGTCCAGCCTGATGATGCTGTCCAGAGGCTGCAAGGTGCAGATCACATGTTACAGGTGTTGTCGTGGTGCACGCAAGCAAGGCTTACCTTGATGGGAGAGCTATCTCTACGACCGGGAGAAGGGCTAGTCGATGATGACGCCACAGACGGTGAAGTACCTGCAGCGCCAGCAGGTTTCGACCCCTGCTGCTGGGCCTCGAGAGCCAATTTCTGCTTCCGCTTCTCCTTCTCTTGTTCCCTCAGCTCTAGCAGGAGAGCATCTACTGTTTTACCTTGTCTACAGCACGATGAGCAAAAATATACAATACCTGCGTCACACAGACTTACTCTTCAGCGCGCTTCTGCAGCTTCTCCGCATATTTCGTTCCGTAGTCCGCACTACGCGTGGCTTCGCTGGAGAGCTGCCGCAGGAGAGGCGAAGTCCGCCGGACGTTGCATCGCTGGAGAGGTCGCCTGACAGCGGATGCAGAGAGGGCGGCGCGACATGAAGACAACATGGCGGCGGCAGAGCGGAAGCGCAGAGGATCTCCGGCAGCGTGAAGGACCGTTAGGCGACCACGTGACAGCGTGCAGGGATACGGCCGAAGCGGCGGGCGTTGGTGACTTCAGAATCAACGCTACCAACCTCCTCCATCCTCAGTGCGGTCTTCTCTGCTGGCCAGCGGGCAGCAGCTCGCTCGGTCCTCTAAACTCGGCATACGTCGCCAGAATGGCATCCTCGAGCAGAGCGCAAGAAAAGAAACGCGAACGGCCACCGCCGGTGGATACCACCTCCACCTCGTCCTCGACCACCAGTAAGCTCGACGTGGTATCCAGAGCAATCATGGCTCCGTTCACACATAGGAAGCATGATTCGACCAAGGTGCTCGCAGACCGTACGTGTCTATCTCCCCTCTCCTTGTTCGTACGCGTGCAGACGACCCTGTCCTGCAGTGGCCCCCGTCATCATGACGCCTCGCATTATCAACGCTGCGACCGTGTCCGGGAAGCCACGCGCATCCGTCGGTGGGTCGAGTAGACGCATGGACTTTGCGACGCTCGGTCGTGCACCCATGCAGCTCACGCTCGGCAGGCGGCGGATCACATCGCGCGACCTGCAGGTTGTCGAGGCAGCGGAGGAGCTCCTGAGCGAAGAGGTCCCGGAGCCGGATGGCGTCGCGCAGAATGTTAGTCTACTGCGTGGCTTCAACGCGACAATACCCAGCGCAGACAAGAGTCGGGCGCGGCGGAGACAAACACGCAATGTGGATACTCCACGGCTGGGCCTAAAGCGGCTAGGGATGGGCGCGCGAGGCATGTTGGGTGATGAGGAGGACCATGAGGGAGAAAGCGTGGCCAGTGAGGAGGACATGGTGATGATCGGCAACACGGTGGGCCGCGGTCGTAAAAGTAAAGCAAAGCGGAGAGGTAGAGAGAGCTTAAGTGCGGGGAAGACCTTCGGGAAGGAGGAGCTAGTGCGGCAGACGCAGGAGATCGAGCGAGACAAGGAGAACATTCACGTCCGGAGAGTGAGTGGTAGGCCCTCGCTCTCCTCACTATATTGCTGAGCCTTGCACCGGTAGGCTCTCATGAACAACGAGATTGCGGAGATCACCCACAAGATCGAGACACTTGACGCGATGCGGGCCAAGCTGGAGCAGGACCTGCTGAAGCTGCAAGAAGACGAGCTCGAGCTCGATGATGAACGTGAGTATCATTGCTGTAATCTGCCTTTGTATGCTCAAGCTTTCGTAGTCGAAGGGGTGAGAGAGCGACTGGAACTTGAGACGAGTCGCACCCGAGGAGCCCATGCAGACCATGCCATTCAGAGTTCGCGTAGGCGGAAAGGTACGAGAGACTCCCGAATTCCTGCTTTTGAGCTCAACTCAAGGACGCTTTGTAGGACCCACATTCCTGCCTTCGGAACACGATGAACTGCCACCAGGGGTCGCATTCATGGTATGTCCTATGCGTTGTATCTAAATATACTCATCTCACGTCATTGCAGACGCTCGAGAGCCACACAACACCCATCACTGCGCTTGACTTCTCGGAGCCGTACGGTACGCTGGTGACCGCGTCGCAGGAGGACTCACAGCCGCGTGTCTGGGACCTACTCACAGGCGAGGAGATCGGGCGGCTGCGCGGACACCAAGGCACAGTGAAGTGCATGCAGGTGGAGGAGCAGGTCTGTGTGACAGGCAGCGAGGACGGTACGGTACGGCTATGGGACCTTCGGCGCGTCGACGAGGACGAGGACTGGGAGGGCGAGACCTTCAGCCTAAGCGACGTCGCAGAAGAGGACGAGAGCCACGACGGCGGCGAGTCGCACACGAACGGCATCCGGTCCGCTTCGAGCCAGCCGTCGAGCGTGGCGGAGCGCGAGGGCCCGTGCGTCCGGCTGCTGGAGGGCCATACCAAGACCGTGTCTGCACTGTACTTCGAGGACGAGTGCCTCGTCACTGGCGCGTCCGACAAGACGATGCGCCAGTGGGACCTGAACACGGGGCAGTGCGTCATGACCATGGACATCCTCTGGGCGATCTCGCACCCACCGGCGTCTGCGCCAGGGAGTGCGCTTCCGAACCACTTGTTCACTGGGGCGGCGGCTGCGGCGGGTTCGTTCGCTGTGCCGATGCCCCCGTATGCGGATGGCAGCTGGGATATGTATCAGGACTTCGTTGGTGCAGTGCAGTTCTGGGGGTATGCACTTGTGAGCGGGAGCGGTGACGGCGCCGTGCGGATGTGGGACAGTAAGTGGACCTACTCATGAATAATGAACGGTGCCGACTAACGCTACCTGGCGTAGTGCGGACTGGCCAGCCTCATCGTACGCTGCTTGGTCACACAGCCCCCGTTTCGTGTCTCCAGTTCGACGAGCTGCATGTAGTCAGCGGTAGCTTGGACAAGTCCATTCGCGTAAGCTGCACCCTTAGACCTTGCTCGCGCTGTGATTGACACCACCACGCAGATCTGGGATTTACGCACCGGCGGTATCTTCGAGACGCTCAAGTACGACCATGCCGTCACCGCGCTACAGTTCGACACGCGCAAGATCGTCGCTGCTACGGGCGAGAACGGCGTCAAGGTGTGCACTCCGCTCCCGCTCCCTACACATCCTCTGACTGATTCGCAACGTAGATCTACAACCGCACGAGCATGCAACACTCGTCGCTCCTGACGAATGGGCACACAAAACCAGTCGAGCGGCTGCGCTACATGGACAGGTACCTCGTCTCCGGCGCGCGCGACAGCACCGTGAAAGTCTGGGCTCTATGATACACGCTGGCTGTGAATATCTTTATGATAATGCGGGCGGACTGTCCGCTGCGATGGCCACTACAACGTAGATTCGTGACATGCATTACGGACTCCCAGATTTAATTGCTTTATCAAGTGTAGCATACATACAACACATTTCTCGGTCGTTATGCAATTGCAATAGAACGCGATGGTGTTTAGGTTTGCTACAGACATGCTGGGGTAGACGCATGGTAACAAGGCGAATTGCTGAGCGAGGACAGCTGTCGCCGTAGTCTTAGAAGGTGCCCCTTGCTCCATGCAGGGCAAATACGTAGTAGAACGGCGACTGTGACAAGCGGCCAACTGGATGCAATCTTCCACCGCACGTACTATCAAGCATCATTATATCAGCAGACTTGCTACATACATACATGACCGCGCAATGGGTTCGTGCACTTCATTCAAGACATGACATTCTTCTACACTGTCCGTACTCAGCTCATGACGTTTTCGCAGGCTCGGCCTCCTCCAATGGCGGCGGGCCATCGTCGTCAGAGTCGTCCGACTCAGCGGCTGCGCCGGACGGGCCCTCGCCGAGGTCACCAAGGTCTGCGCCGCCACCCATGCTCTTCATCATCTAGAGAAGCGCGAATGTCAACACGGGCTCGTAAAACGTGTTGTCGACGACATACCTGCTCAAAGTCCATGCCGCCCATGCCACCCATGCCACCCATGCCGCCCATTCCAGGCATACCAGGCATACCACCCATGCCGCCCATGCCAGGCATACCACCCATACCGCCCATGCCACCCATGCCAGGCATACCACCCATACCGCCCATGTCGGGTTCCTCTTCCACGGCAGGCGCCTCGCCATCCTGCTCATCTTCGTCTACCCACTTGCTGAAGTCGGTCTTGACGAACGGCATCTTGACCTTCACCTTCGAGAGGCGCGGCCAGAACTCTGCCTTTTTCTCCTTCTTGCGGAGGACGACCGCGAGGTGGCGGCTCGTGAGCGTTTTTGAGGATTCCTGGGCGATGTGCGGGTGAGCACGGGGATCGTGGTGGATCGTGGTAGAGAGCGTACTTCGGGGACAACCTCGGCGAAGAGATCGAGCTTGAACTCGTAGTCTCTCTCCTCAATGCCCTTCGACGCACTGAAAAACGAAAGTTAGTGACGTTCCGAGATGAGGGTTTTCCTCAGGACATACTTTCCGGCCTTGGCCTTGAAAGATATTGAAGTTGGTGTGAGGTCGTACTGGAGAGTATCCGGCTGGACGTCCGAGAGGTTCACGGTGAGGTAGAGGACATTCTGGAGACGCGTCGGGACGCGTCGATGGCCGATCGCGCCGGTCAGTCACTAGGCCGCAAATGAGCAGTGATGAAACTGACCTTCGTCTCGTCCGTCTCGGAACTGCGTTGCGCCCATAGTACTTCAGGATGAACGGCCATTTTGTCGTCGAGGATGGTGTGGCTGTCTGCAAATGGAGGAGGCTAATAAACGCACGTACGCGGGGATGGAAAGATCCCGAAGTCTCGAGAACGCGTCTGCACTCTCCCGGCGCCTACTTTCGTCCGCGCAGCGGGAGCGTCACGTGCTGCATGGTCTTCAGGGCAGGCACAGCGCGTCTTCGCAGTGCCATGCGATACGTACTGACTGTAGTCATGATCGGACAGCGGTGTTGGTGTCGCCACCGTCGCTGCTCATACAGTTCTCTTGTGCCTTGCAGGTCCTGACTGCAGACGATATGCGGTGCGCACTTGGCTTTGCTCCGTGTGATCTGGCACGGTACTGACCGGCAAGCCCAGGTGTACACGCTGGTATCTACCGCTTGTGCTATTACCATTCCCTGTCGCGCCACCATATTTCCTCTGGCTCTTCATCTTCTCTTTAACCCTCCATGCACGACCATGGTGAGTCGCACTTCGTCGACTCTTGTGCATGGTCTGATCGTGGCGGGCCGCACCACCAGCTTCTACTGCATCGTGCTGCTCTCCGCGCTCTTCATGTCCTCATGCTACTGGCCGCCCGTTCCGCTCGAGAGCAAGCTAGCCGTCCCCTGGTCAAGTAACACAGCTACCTACGCGGAGGTGCTCGCCACGCTCATCCCGGATCTCCCGGAAGACCTGAAGCCAGTGGACGTGCCCATGCTCGATCGCTGCTGGTGTGACTTCTCCAACAATGGCTTCTTCGACTACTTCAACGTTACGGACTGGGAGAGGCAGAGTATCCTTCGATTGAAGGATAGGCTGGAGGCTCAGATTAGGGCGAGGGAGGCGGAGAAGCCGGCGGAGCCGGAGCCAGAGCCGGTGGAGGAGCCTACAGAGGCAGACGAGTCCCCCAGCGAAGAGACACCAAGCAACTCGACCGAGACGACCGACGACAACTCACGATCCAAGCTCTCTGGGCTCTGGAACAAAGTACCCTCCTGGCCTTTCTCTCGCAAACCATCGCCCACGTCGACGAGCGAGCCAACCCCCGGGGAGACCATCTTTATCAGAGCGACGCCGACGCAGAGATGGCCCTGGTCTAGGGTTGACGACTACACGCCACGCGTGCGGAGAATAATCCCTGACATCCCGAAGCGCATGCCACCATTCAATCCTGAGCCTATGCAACCCCGCCGCCGCCGGAAGGAATTCGACTTGCGCCCGTACGGCCTCTCCCTGATCCTCGATTTCAGCTGGGAGAAGAGCGATACATGATGCTCAACTCAGGGACTTCCTTGTCGGCTGGGCGTCGGGGCATCGACCTGTGCGTGTGCATTGTAGGAATAATAGGCACGAAAAGTATTGTATCTGTATAATGCATGCTGCAGACGGTGGGGTTGGTCGGATGAGCCGTGGGCGAAATGCGCACACGGCTCTTGCGACCTTCCTCTCTGTCCTGCTCAGAGCCTCTCGTTCATCCACCCTTCATTGATTCATCATCAGTTCCCAATACTTGTGGAATGTACCACATATGCAGGTCTCATATGCAGCAACTCCACCAAGCTCGATCCAGGCACTGGGTCAGGGTCCGACCACGCAGACGTCACGATGCCCTGACATTCCCGTGCCCGATTTTGACGACGGTGTCTTCGACAGTATTATGATATCGTACAAGCTATGCTAGCGCATCAGACGCAGGTGGAGTTGACGATAAAATATGCAGTGGCCATTCACCACTATATCACGAAACTTCCCCGTAAGCTTAGATTCCAACCCAACAGGAATGCGACTCGGGTATTTCAACGAAATCGGATCCAAGTACAAGCACGATTCTATCGCCCAGCGCAATACATGGGCATAGGGTCAGCTATCCGTATCGGCCGTTTCAACTTCGCCGCACGCGCAGACGAGCTTCCAGGCAGATCCACCCTAGGCAGCGGCAGGAGACTTGGCACGAAGGGAGCCGACGACCCGATCGTCTGCGGGCACGGAGGGGCGTCCCTCCAATAGTCCTCGTCGTCGCTGTCGTCGTGCGGTGTGATGGGCCTGTCGAGCTCGCTGGGAACCAGATCCCTGGCGGGGTTGATGCGAACGCGCACATCTGAGCTGCTGCTGGGCCAGAACAGCGGCTGTGTGGTGGGTACGAAGGACAGGCGGCGACCTGCCGGCGGCGGTGGTGGCGGGAGAACGGTTGGGGGGCTCCTTGTCAGTGTGAGGCGTTCTGGGGGTTGACTGGCCGTGATTTGAAGTGCACGGGCACGCATTTGTGCGCGGTTGCGCTCGTATTCCTCCTCTTCGTCTGTGGGGATCTCGTTGCCATCATGGTCGAGCCGTGCTGCAAGAAATGTGAGAAGGAATAGAACATCGATTAGAGGAGCACGCACCCCATCCCCGCCTGCGACGTCGCGAGCTACTTGCATTCGACGAAGCAGCTTCTCCTCTTCCAGAAGGGGGCAGAACAGTCCTCTGTGCTCCTCTCTCCCGCCGCGCCCTTCCTCCTGAGAAGACAGCCATCGTCTCCGAGAAGGGATATGTATTGGTATTCTGAGATGCGCCATCCCTGGTCGTCGGCCAAACAGACCTCCCTGTCCGCCTCGTTTCCGCCTCGCGCGCGGGCGGTGTCCGGCTGGGCATGAGCCAGCTGAACGGGTCGTCATCCTCGATATCATTGGAGCTCGAGGCAGAGTCACGCGCCGTGAGGGCACGCAACGTCTCGAAGCTCGAGCCGGGTCCAGAGACAGAGTTGAGGGTCTCCAGCGCGTCCGAAAGGCGAGCCTCCATGGCCAGAATCTCGGTGTTGAGGGGGCTGTCGCTGGTGACAACCGGCCATCGCGTAGCCGCCGCCTCGTCGCGCGCACTGACCGAAGCGTCCTGGCTCGCTGACATTCTTGCAAGAAGACGCACTTGTCTCTCACGCTGTTGTTCCAATTCCGCGTCTAGCTGGGCGATCCGTTCCCTGAAGCTGGGAGGCACGTCCGGGTCGCTTCCTCTTCGTTGAATAGAACCGAGTTGAGGAGGACCGAAGTGGTCAGCAAGGGATCTAGGCCTGTCCGTAGTGGTGGTAGACGTCGAGATGTGTGTGTTTGGTAGGAACGTTGGACTCGGAGTGAACCACGAAGACGACATCGGACTTGGGAAGTCTATGGGGTCGGTTCTCTCAGCTGACCTTTGACCCGCTGTTGGCGTGGGTGCTTCGGAGTGCGTTGGTACACCTAATGCACGGGCTTCTTGCATGAGGTTGTTGATACTCGTGTTCTGCTGGCTGATCCAGTGGGCATCTCGCTCTCCCACATTCGGCACCGAGGATTCCAGCCGGCGGATACGCTCCAAGATTGCAGGCATGTCGCGCGTCTCGCGTCGGATGTCATCCATGATGTCGTTGAACGATGTACTTGGCCGCGAGCCACTGGATTGTCCAGCTGCAGCGCGGGCAGCTACACGTCTGCCTAGTGTGGTCGAGGAGTCCGTGGAACTGCTGCCCTCTCTTGGCGAGCGAAGATGGGTCTCGAGCAGCGGTCGGCGAGGTACAGGGCGTGACTGACCCGTCGAGGATTCAGGGCGTGGCTGGCTCGTAACTCGACCGAACTCAGGGCGGGGGCCGAAGCGGAGAGGAGCCGTGCTGGTCTGAGTAGACGTGCGGCGAGCCTGAGGTTGTATCTGCGGAGGCGTGTAGCCACTTGCACCTGTGGTACGCGGGCCCGCTGCATCGACTGCTGCACGTCCCTCGCGTAAGGTCGCGAGCTCACTTTCTTGCCTCTGCCCGTCCAGCTCGGCGCGCAAATCCTCATTGAGAGCCATCGTCTCGGATATAGTGCGACGGCGCTCCGGCTCAGAGTCGGATAGAACGATGGCGTTGTGGTCGGGGCCCATGGATGTGTCCGCGGTCTGCGTACCTTCTACACTAGTAGATGAGCCATTTCGCCTGGCGGCGATGTGGTCCCGCAGGATGCGGATACTAGAGAAGGTCTCTTCCAATGCCGAGGTCGCACGTAGAAGGCTTGCCTGCGAGTCGGCCAAGTTCCGGTAGGCGGCCGCGGAGAGAATATCATCTTCGTTTATGTTGGCAGGGCGCGAATCGTTGTTGCGAGTTGTAGACAAGGTGGTCGTTGTGGCTGAGTCCTCGGAGGTGGTCGTGGTATTTGGGCGTGAGAGACGGGAACTCGCAGGACCACGCTGATAGAGGCAGTCATGGGAAGGTGGAGATGCAAAGCAGTGGCATTAGAATCACTTCGAGAGCAACCATGGTTACTCATCTAACCGTTGGTGAGGGCTCCGGACGGTGCGCCGACATGGCGGGTGCTTCTCTTGCAAAGGAATGTGTCCTTGGGGTTCGATCACTGCAACGCCTGACGTGCAACTCTTGTTGTAACCAGAATGAATGCGAAGACAAGAGAACGGTTGTGAAACGGGGAGTGCTATGCAATGAGTAATTGACAAAGAGTGCTGATGATGCACGGTTGAGAAAGTTGTCCGAGTTGGAGACGGTAGTGGCCTGTGGCCAAGTGAGTGACCGTTTTACTATTAGCGGGTTTGCCGGTGGCGGGTGTATCCAATGACGATCATTTAAACTCAAAACTTGTTGACGAAGTCCAACACCTTGCCTGTGCACATTCACGCCTGTTCACTAGTTGCACACTAACGTCCCCAAAAATGAATTGAATGGCACAATGGCATGCGGACAGGAGAGTGCCTCATTCACTCTCGTTATCGCTTTCGTCCTCGCTGTACTCCTCTTCTGCCTCATCGTCTATAAACCCGTTCAACTTCGGACCGTCGTCCTCTTCATCATCCTCGTCATCCTCATCCTCTTCGTCCTCATCTTCACCCTCGTCCTCGTCCGACTCTTCGTCCTCTTCATCTTCGTCCTCATCGTCTCCGCCTAGCTCAATGTCCTCCACGCTTCCGCCGTCATCGCCACTCTCGACTTCGACGTCCATATGCTCGTCCGGTTGCTCCTCCTCGGCTTCACTCTCACCCTCTACGTACTTCTTAGCAGGTCGTCTCCGCCGGTGCTTTCCCGCTCGTTTAGGCCCTGGAAGTTCCGTGGGGCCAGCTGATGACCGCATCTCAATTTGTGAGATGACCATGTCTAACCGCCCATTCAACGCCAGGAGGCTCTCGTGCAGTGTGAGCCGCATGCTCAAGGTAGCATGCAGCCCGGACAAACGAGCTACCAAGTCCGGCATCTGCAGCGGGCCAGTGTGAGGGTGGGGACGAGACTAGCAGTGTATGGCTTACCGTCATCAGGTGCCCGCTGTGTGCTGCTAGAACTGCCTTGATCCACTTGATCATAGCTGTCCCTCTCTGCGAGCTCGCGCCACCGCCTCTGCCCTTCATAGTTGCTCCCCTGCTCCCGCGCCCTAACCGCTCCACACACGCGGTGATCAACGGTACCGCGAGCTGAGGCGGGAGCCTCCGCACAGTGTTCCGTATGAGCGTCGGCTCTGAGTGTGCAAGACATGTTTCGAGGAGGCGGGCGTCCGACGAATGCAACGCCTGGATGAGAGTCCGGGTCAGCGACGCGGCGGGAACCGCCCCGTTTGCCGCGTCGCGTTTCCGCTGTTTTGTTGACTGCGCCCCGCTCCCTGATGCGGGCGAGTCGTCTTCGTCGCTGGACTCGGATGACCGCCCCGCGCCGTCTGCGCCGCTCACGGCTGTGAGTCGCTGACCGAGGCTAAGCTCGGCGAGGTCAACGTCGAGTTCGCCGTCCATGTTCCGCCCTTCGACGTCGTCCATGGATGCATCCTGACCGAGTTCAGTACCCGTGCGGACGGCGAGAGATGCGGACTCGTTGTAACGTTTGGTTGAGGGACCCTACAAGGTTGTGGTGAACTATTATTGAGCATACCGACAGGGCCCATGCGTAACCTGTAACTCACTGGATCAGGTCCGAGCTCGTCCGTTCCTGCAGGTGCAGCGTCCTCGTCCGCAACATCCTCATCGGAGTCCTCTGGGTCGTTCGCTTTTGACTGCCGCGAGCAACTCAGCATGCGAGCGCATTTCTGATTCGAGCGCTATGTACTCACTGCGAGTTCGTATACTGGCTGCACGCCTTTTGGTAGTTTTGCTACCGCAGGCTGTGAAATGCTAGATGTTGCTGCAGGTCGGCTCCGCGGTGGTTTGGTACGAGGTTTCTTGGCTTTTGGGGGTGCAGAGGACATCTTTTTTTGCGGAGACCACGAAGGTAGAATCTAAGGAGAGCAATATGCTGAAATGACCTAAGTAGGGGTTGATCAGGCTGCTAGCTGCCTCTGGTGCGTAGCTGCAGAGGACGAGTGAGAGTTCACAGAAAAATCTCGGGCGCGGCCCGCCATTGGTCGAGGCGCGCTCAAATCACGTGCAGAATTATACCGCGTCGAATGGAGGCGCTCGACGCTCGTTCATTCACAGCAACACGACTTGCGCACGCACTTTGACCTCTCGAGGTGGACTATTATCACGTCTCTATTCCGTCGTATTTCTTCTTGACAGACTCCTCTGTTTCGTATGTGCTGATATAGGCTTGGAATGAATAGTCTATGCTCTTGCTCTGGGCTCACCCCAAGCGAAGTGCTTCACCACGGCCCGCGGCTCACTGCTTCGGACTCGGTCCCCAGTCCTCAGTGCCATGACAAGCCCTCCAAAGCGTCGACCATTCAATACGGGTTGACCAAGGCATGGTCATCATGATGCCGAGGTGCGCGCGGACGAACGCTATGCTCATTATTACATTAGACCAATCCTTGCTGGTGAAGGCTATTGGCGTGGCGCGACCCTCAAAAAGGATGTGCTTACGAATGTCAAGTCGATGTGGTCTGAGCTGGTCTCATCGCGCTTTGGCCCAACCGGGGTCAGGGCTTCATTGTGGTTCGTGGTTGACGTTGCTTCCCGAGCGCGTTAGAGAATGAATGCCGAGGATATCTTCGCTTTGTGTTTGTTGGGATGTCATCTAATGGTTGGCCAGGATCTTCTTCGTGGCTCGGAGTCGCCATTTCTTGAACACGACCATATTATCCATTAGTGTCACTGTTAGAAGACAATCTCTTCGTCAAGATTTTGTCTACTACATAGAATCTTGAGTGCATCCCCCTCCAAGAAAGTTGTCGCCAGAGTCTGCCTGCGAGAGGCTAGCTTATTTTCGTACTGTACTACCTTTGGTGTGGGCCACAGCAAGGTTACCTGGTAACCATAGTTCGACTCAGAGACCTGTGCAATGCATCAGTGCGGATATATTCTGACATAATTACTGATGGGGTCCGCTCTTCCCGCTTTGTGTGAGCTACATCTTGCCGCTGGGACAGCTGGACATTGCGGTGCGGACTCGGGCCCCGACGGGCAACGCGTCCAATCGAAGGGCCAATTATATTCAAGACCTTGTGGCAAGTCCCTGATTGATATCCACCTGAGGAATACAGCGAGTAATCTCGTGTACAGAATATGAATATTCTGATAGCCCAAGATGTGTCAGACTGCCAGCTGGACCGGTCGTGCTCAGTCGTGCTCCGTACATCGACCAGCAGACAAAGCGAGACGGCACACGTTTGACTCTCGCGCTTCGTCTTGCCTAAAATGGAATGCACGTGGCTGTGGCGCAGCGTTCAATCGAGTTGTGCGGCGCGCGAACTTGACGAGGCTCGTCCCGCTTGACTCCTGCCCGTACCGTCCCCATAAAACCCACCCGACGTCCTTTCTGACCACCCTTACGCTACCCCGAATTTGTGGCACTGTACAGACCCACTACCTCTCAGAACACGTCGCAACCACACGTCTGCTCCTGATCAACCATGAACTACGTTCAGGTAAGCTGTGCGATGTTTGTCGGTCACGACTTCTGCTGACGGTGTGCACAGCTTGAGAAACTAGGTGGGTTTCGATGTTTTGCAGCTGTATAGGACCGTTTCCTGAAGATCTTTGTCATCAGGCGAGGGCACATACGCTACGGTATTCAAGGTGAGTGGTGGCGGATGCCCTTCGAATACAGCAGACGCTCAGACGTGCACAGGGGAGATCGCGGACAACAAACGAGATTGTCGCACTCAAGGAGATTCACCTCGATGCAGAGGAGGGCACGCCATCCACGGCGATTCGGGAGATCTCGCTCATGAAGGAGCTGAAGCACGTCAACATCGTCCGGTTGTACGACGTGATCCACACCGAGACGAAGCTCATCCTCATCTTCGAGTACTGCGAGCGCGACCTCAAGCGGTACATGGATGTCCACGGCGACCATGGTGCACTCGACCCCATTACTGTCCGGAGTTTCATGTATCAGCTGCTGAAGGGTACCGCATTCTGCCACGAGAACCGGGTTTTGCACCGGGATCTGAAGCCGCAGAACCTGCTCATCAACAGGAAGGGAGAACTGAAGTTGGGTGATTTCGGCTTGGCAAGGGCGTTCGGTGTGCCGGTGAACACATTCTCAAATGAGGTGCGCCCCGCCGAGTACTATGCAGATGGCTGTAGGTTCACATTTGACCCCAGGTCGTGACATTATGGTATCGTGCTCCTGATGTCCTCATGGGCTCACGAACATACAATACCTCGATCGACGTCTGGTCCTGCGGTTGCATTTTCGCCGAGATGATCTCTGGCGTGCCATTGTTCCGCGGCAGGGACAACCAAGATCAGCTCCTGCATATCATGCGTATCATTGGTACTCCCGATGATCGTGTTCTCCGTAAAATCACGAGTGAAGGGGTACGTGAACACATCCTCCTTCTTGACTGCATATACACATACGGCGATTGTCGTTCAGCAAACGGAGAGTACAAATCCACCCAAGCAATACCCGCGGTACCCCAAAATCCCCTTCTCGCAAGTTCTTCCGAAGGCATCACCACAAGGTACGTCTGACCCGGTGATCTCGATCGAGCATGAAGCAGTCGCTCACTTCTGTATCGCCAGCCATCGACCTTCTTGAACGACTTTTGCAATTTGATCCGTCAAAGCGTATCACAGCCGCCGACGCTCTCTCACATCCCTACTTCACCGGCTCCGTGCCCCTGGGTCTCCCCACACCCGCACCCGGGTCCATGGCGCCGCCCGCATACAACTACCCACACCCGCACGCGCACCAGCAACAGCAGATCTCGCAACAGCAGCAGCAGCAGGCGCACGCCCAAGCTCAAGCTCAGGCGCAAGCGCAGGCTCAGGCGGCATACCTGCAGGCGCAGGCAGGGATGGGGCATGTGCCAGGCGCGATCTCGTCCGGGCAGCCGGCGGCGACGTACGCGGCTCAGCGCGACCACCAGCTGTACCAACAGCAGCAGCAGCATGCGCAGGCTCAGGCTATGATGGCACAGCAGGCGCACCTGCAGGCGGGCCAGCCCCAGTACGGTATGCAGTACCCGCAGCAGTACGCCGCTGGACCCGTGCAGTGAGCCGCCCGCTGCTGTCTAGAGTCTCGGACTTCTGCGTATCAGTGGTTCTGGACAGTTTCCTTCTCTGTTCGCCGTGACCTCCCTATGGTCGCTCGCATCTGTTCACTTGTGTCTGAGTCGTCCTCGCCGTTCGCCGCCGCATGCGACGGGTTTCAGCTTATGTATGCCGTCCCGTACTGTACAATGATCGGATTTCTTAGACGTCATCGGCAATGTACACTATAGCACGATGTTTATGTTAGGGCTAGCCAGCGTTCTTACTGTACATTAGAGCCAGCATTAATTGTACAGTTCCGAGGTAGCTGTCCATACGCGTGTGGTAGCGAAGACGGGTGAGGTACATGTTGCCCAACCACCAAGACCGCTCATCCGCTTACTTGTCCTAACGCTTCAACGACAACTCCGCCTCAACTCGTTCGTAACTTCAGCAGGTGGAAGCAATCAGGTAAGATCTATCGTCGTAGTCATTCCATGATTGGTACTGATGAGATCTCCGGAAACATAAACACGATTCATACGCGCCAATGAAACCAAGAAACTGAGCGAGGCCTTCAACTGAAACTATGCGATGTCGGCTCCATTGGTCAGATTGTCAACCTCATGGATGCTGCACGATGAGGAGGTGGTCCTCTTCGTAGGTTCGTAAGAGACGTCTCGCCTTCCTCTGCCAGTGGCTGGCCGACCGTGGGCGTAGAGATGTCGACGTTGAGGAGGTGACCGTTTTATAAGTGGCCAGCTTGCAGCACGACCGTCTCCCCGACGCCGACATCTTCGTACCCAGGGCTGGTCGTGGCCCGCCGATGCTGAATCAAGGTCAGTTACGACTGGTCATACTTATTGAGTAGGAGCGAAGGAGACATGAGTGGCGGTTGCTTGCGGTTGTGGGCGAGGGCGTGGAGATATCACCGTCCAGGAGCTGACCATGTTGCGAGTGGTCAGCGCAGCGTGGTAGGCCCCTGGACTAGGCATCTCTTCCCTCAGTTGGCCTACTATAGGTCGAGGACGGTTGTCAGCGAAGCAAGCAAGAGTATACATATCCTTACCTCTCGCCGGACTCTCGCCGGACGCGTGCGACTCTGACAACGGACATGAATGACGGTTCAGTCCTGCAGGTCGAGAAACGAAGGGGAATTACCCACAATTTGCTCGCCTACTCACATCTCCCCAGATGCCAAGCATAAATAGGCGATTGCGCTACAACTGGCCAGCTTGCAGCGCCGCTGCCGCTTCATCCTCAGCACCCTCCGTCGCCCCGGTTTCGCAGCGATTTAGAACTAGAGTTGAAAGAGAACCACGGAAACGGTCAGTTCCGTAATTCACGAGTGAATCATGGAGGGAACTCATCTTTTCCTCTATACTGCGCCTCGACCGGCGACAGGAAATGTAGAGACGTCGGCGCCCAAGAATCGAACGTGCTGCGACTGGCCAGTCCGCAACACACCCGGCTCCTGGAGTCTGACTTCCTTACACTCCAAGCCGATCGACCTATGAACGCAAAAAGTCAGCGGAAGATGAGAAGGATACGTAGCACTCACGGTTTCGCCCGACGAGCAACGCGAATCCTGCACTGTGAGCGGTCAGTGCTTGAAACTGGTTCACGAAGGTTGAGCTTACTTACTTTTTGTTAGCTGTATCCCGCCCATGCAGATGCCGGGGAAGAACAAGACTGCGCTGCAACTGGCCAGTTTACAACGCAGTCGCCAGTCCTTCCTCGGCACCTGCGACAGGAATGCACTCACCTGTCGCGTCACAGATCCGGAGTGCATGGGCCTGTAACAGAGTACGCAGAAGTCAGTTCCAATTCGTGTTCACAGTAAGTTGGAGCACTCATCTTTCCCTCGCATTCCTCCCGGCTCCGAATGTAATGTGGAACCCTAACCCTAGGCAGTCAGTCGCAGTCGAGGTTGGGTGAAGCGAAGCCACTGACCTCTTCCTGGTTCCTTCAGCCGACCACCTCTGCAGATGCCGAAAACGGAGAGACAACTGCGTTGCATCTGGCCAGACTACAACGCAAAAGCACCGCCATCCTCGACACCTGCCGGCGTCGGCTGTCCACCTGCGAAAGCCTACACTATCAGGAAAAATGGAGCAGAAGGGGATTCAGAAGAAACGCCCGATATTACCTCGTGCGTACCGTTGAAACTCGAACTACTTATCGCGGGTCGGATTGTCTTGAAATGCTGACGGAGGCTGTTAAGCAATTGTTGAGGTCTGTAGATGGGCGCGATCAAAGTTAAGATGAAACAGCAGAGCGCAGCCCGAATTCAACTCCGCGTCTTGAGGGGTCGAGAACTTCAAGGAGACCTAGAACGAGCATGTGGGGAAGTCAGTGGCATATTCCCACTCGCTGGCAGCATAAATACTCACCTCCCGCTGCGCGTCTTCACCCCCTTCGGGGGCATTGGAAGGTCGACCGGCGAATGATACACAGATACACGAGTAGACGGGAGGATCGCATATGCTGGCCAGTCATATCGTCCAACACGTCGACCTGCGCGCACCCATGCACCGTTCGGCGGCCGACCTTCCTCGCTCTGCGGCCTGAAAGACAAGGGAGAAAGAAGTCAGTCACTGCCGAAGGAGAGTCGAAGAGAAGTTACTCATCTTCTGTCGTTATGATTCGGCTCTCTCGTGTTACTGACGATGATTTACAGGGAATTGTTCAAGTCTAGTAATAAAGTCTAGTAATGATGATCAGTACACAGACAAGGACGAGACGGAACATAAGAGCTAGCCCCAATTCAACGCCGTGCCTTGATGATCTGAGGACCCAAGCGACCTAACAAGGAGTATGTGGGGTTGTCAGTGGTCCATTCCCAGTCACCGACAGAATAAAGAACTTACCTCCCACTGCGCGTCTTCACCCCCTTTCGGGGGCATTGGAAGGTCGACCGGGGAATGATACGCAGATACACGAGTAGACGGGAGGATCGCATATGCTGGCCAGTCATATCGTCCAACACGTCGACCTGCGCGCACCCATGCACCCTCCGGCGGCCGACCTTCCTCGCTTTGAAGCCTGAAGACAAGATAGAGAGGAGTTAGCCACCGCCGAACGAGAGTAGAAGGGAAGCTACTCATCTTCTGTCGTTATGGTTCGGTTCACTTGTGTGACTGACGAGGGTTGATAGGCGATTTTTGATGTCTAGTAGTGATTATCAGCAGCCAGACAAAGACAAAACGGAACATAGAGCTGAACCAAAGTCAACGCCGCGTCTTGATGATTCGAGGACCCAACTGGCGACCGAGCAAGAAGTATGTGGGGTAGTCAGTGGCCCATTCCCAGTCACAGACAGTATGAAGAACTTACCTCCCACTGCGCGTCTTCACCCCCTTTCGGGGGCATTGGAAGGTCGACCGGCGAACAATACACAGATGCACGAGTAGACGGGAGGATCGAATATGCTGGCCAGTCACATCGTCCAACACGTCGACCTGCGCACCCATGCACCTTCCGGCGGCCGACCTTCCTCGCTTTGCAGCCTGAAGACAAGATACTAGCAAGGAGTTAGCCACTGTCGAACGAGAGTAGAAGGGAAGCGACTTATCATTTCAAGGCAAATATTGACGTTCGTCCGCTGAAAAGGTCAATGGTATGTACAGCGCGAGAGAGGAAGAGAAATCCGCAGAGTCCAGAACGGAGGCCATCCAGGTCATGACTCCTGAACGACACCCCGCCAGACCCGTTGGCTATACTTGACCATTGCCCGCGGTCCCGGTCCCGGTCTTCGGTCTTGAGCAGCGCACCGTCCCATATATTCAAGAACATGTATCTGAAACATTAACATGAAAAGATCAGTGTAGACGGAGACTATGCGGTCGCTGTTTTTCTGATTTAGTCTTTTCAACTTTTTTCTTCTTTTTAACCACTTTTATAGAGCCCGAACAAAGGAAATCGAAACCAGAGCGCGACGGAAGACTCGTAAGTCTCCGCGCGCCCGATGCCAGGACAGAATGCGTTCTCAGAGGCTTCTATGACCCATCGGGGCCTAGGATTCCCGATGAGTACACTCCACTCCCCAGTCCCGCACCCCATCCTGGCTTTTCTGACTGGCGACCACCACCCGTGCATCGCACAGCCCAGCGGCTCCTTTCAGTCTCGACCAACAGTCAGATTCGGAAACCACCTGAAGATGTCAAACGCCCGCGTTTGCTACCTCCGAGGCCCTGCACAACTGCTGGAGTCCTCGACTGCCCCGTCCGCCCATTGATAAAGAACGCCGCACGAACGTCGCACCCGCCCACCTATGAGTCGGCAGTCCCGCGGCGTACGACGCTCCAATAACCAAACACGACGTCAAGCCCGGAATCAGAGACCCCGATACTTGATCGCCGCGTTCCGCTGCGCCTCTTTGAGAGGCACGAGCGGAATCGACACGCCATGCGCGGGAACATAGGAACGAATTCCCAGCCCAAACTCGACGACATTCGGGCCTCTCGCGTCCTCGTAGAGACCACGGTACCTGATCTCCGGGTTCGCCTGCGCCTGCTTGAGAGGCACTAGCATCATGTTGGAACCCGGGGTGGGGATGCGAGAGAACATGATGTTGCTGAGAGGGTGGATAATAGAAGGCATAATAGGAGAGAGGTGAAGGGGGTAGCGGGTAGTACACTGAGGTGGTAGTGCAGGAAAAAGAAGCGAGGAGGAGCTGCTTGCTTCCGGCCCGCATTTTAAAGCGAGGCTTGAGATTATGACCGCTCTGTAGCATGCAGTCTTGTCCATAATCCGTGGTCAGTATACATATGTCAGCCGCGGCCACATGCCAGAGGATACTACCGGATTCAAGCGAATCTTGGCCGGACTGTTCACCTTTCGCCGGAGGGTAAGACCATGAGAAAATGAACCAATAGATGTGCTGTGAATTACTGGGACATAGCGTACAAGGAAAAAACCACAGAACAAGAACCTGAACGGAAGACCAGATCATCTCGCGATGTACGTCATCCAATTGGGAGAACGTGAGACCCTCAATATAGATATCAGTCGCTGGGTACGGAGTCCGTGGCTTTTGTCCTGCGCTTTGCTGCTCTAGGGAAATGCCTAGACGTCGTAGCCAACTAGTAACGTGCGTGGTTAACAGTCATTGGTCACACATTGGCGCAAATCAATTACCTTGCGCTTTCCACCCCGCTTGCTTGATTCATCTTTCACCTCGTCTTCTGACAGAGGAGTGAGGTCGCTCGCGCCGTCGCTCCCATCGTGTTTACGTGTGCTTCGAGTCCGAGAGCCCGAACCCGAACCTGGCGCCGTGTGTGCAAGGTGCTGAAGCTCGGCGACGTAGGCAGATGTTCGCCCCCCGACTGTGACCCATTTGATAGTCGCGGGACTGCCGTCTGGCTACAGCATGTCAACGCCATGATCGAATGCCCAAACGCAAGCCTCACCAATTTCAGCTCGTGTATTTTGTTCTTCTTCCCCTTCCCCTACGTTCGACGTGACGATCAGGACAATTCAAAGGGCTTGATAGGAGAGAACGTCACGAACCCAGCGGTGCTTGAACAGCCAGTTGTCAGGAAACTTAGAGTCATCCGCGTTTGCCTCCACCGCAACGCGACAGACCTCCGATATTTCGGCGTACAACGCCTTCAGCTGATCGTCATTCAGGGCAGAGCCGCGTTCCTCTGGATGTACACGAGCGTGATAGAGAATCTCGTCTGCAACATTCATCAGCGACCTGTGATCTTCGTCCGATGACCGCGTCATAGTTTCGTTGTGTCTGACCTGCAACCCAGTTTCCGACGCCTGCGCTGAACGATTGGTCCAGTAGAAGGGCTTTGATAGGACAGCCTCGCTTAAGGACCGCTTGTTTGAACCAATCTAGCCCAGGCATAGACAAGATAGGATCGAAGCCGAGGGTGGAGATGGGTGGTTCTGTAAGAGGGTTTGCGCACAGTCGGATTCGCCCAAGACGTCTAGCGTCCAAGAAGGCCAAGTGTGTTATATTGCCTGTTTCAGAGTCTTCGATGTGAAGGATGAACTAAGATGCAGCTTCATTCAATATACGTGCTACTGTTATCCGCACCAGCCGAAAACATACCTTCACGAACCGCGGCGGCCAATCCGCGGACGCTGTCCTTGGTGTTTCCCTGTAGTACTTTGCCAATTGGCCCTTCACCTTTCGACACCGATTCAGCGAATCCACACAATCAAACAGCTTCAAGATCAAGGAATGTACCTGCAGCATACCAGTCATACCGAAGTGCAGCACCGGCATTTTACCTTCGCCATCCAGTTGCAAGTAGAACACCTTGCCTACGCGCTGCATATGATGTCACGGTCGCCAAGCGCATCAGAGTATGCACATACCATATCTACCGACATTGGTGACGCGGCGATCTTTGATAGTTTGAGCCTACTGGCTAGTAAGTTGCGTACCGTGCCATGACGTATAGCACGAGTTCCGTACAAATTCCACGTGGCTGGTACCGGAGTAGACTATGTTGTCTTCTATTGTTTCTACATCGACGATCCTATTGCCGAGTGCAACATCTCGAACGAGCTTGGCTGCACGCTCGACCTCTGTGAAAAAAAGATTGAGATGCTCTCCTAGTACCCATGGATGCGTCTCAATGGTCCTATGACAGCTGCAGAAACAGCCTGCTTTGGCGTAATGGTATCCATTTACTCACCTGGAAGCTCCGGCATGACGTTCTCGGAGATGGCAGACCTTTGTGAAAAGGCCTAGACGACCCTACGCGCACATCTAGCAAGAGCCGTCGTCGTTTCCAAAGATCGCGCGAGGTAGTTCCCCGGATGAGCGTAAGTTGAATGCTCGTACCGGCGTCTGTCACTCACGGTACCAAGTCCAAACCAAGTCACTTACTACCAGCCAAGTGGCATGACCGTGACTCGTGGCGTCGATGCCCAGAAAAGGCATGCGTGTAGATCGTTTTTGCGGGACCGCGGCATGGCCAACCGTATGACTATGCTGACTACAGTATAAAGAACCGCGGTGTTGTAGCACCCCCTCCTTGATTGTCCCTAGGTACATCTCATAACTGGTCCGCTGCTCCATGTAAATAGGTTCAAAGTCGGAGCACAGGGCCGTGGGAACCATGGCCGAACTTAAAGGAGCACCAGCAAACTGTCGTCCCCTAGATGAACGCGCGCGGCCGTGGGGACTCAAATGGAGGTCTTCTGTGTGGTTTATAACAGCCGGTGATTATAATTTACTCCCTGCGAGTTATTCGTGTTTTGACTCTTGCGCATAGTTGTTGGTCTGGGTAGGTCTATACATCGCTCGTCTTCACCTAGGAGACTCTCATCACTCAATCTCAGGGGTAGCGAGTGACCTACTCGTGTATTCGTTGATTGTACCCATCATTCCATTCCAACTGGAAGATCTTGGGTACACGGGAGTATCAGGTCTTGTTGGATGGTTGCTCTTTGCATACGTAAGCTCGTAGTGACTCCTCGAAGTACCTCTCCCGCGACTGACGCCGTCCTGACTCAGTCCGCCGGGATTGTCATCTGTACGTGCTCATTTATCTGTGCTGTCGTCAAGTGCAAGAACTCACCCTGGAATAATCATAGTCACACCCCCTATCGCACATCTGTCCGAAAAGTACAATAATCGCCAAGTACCATTATTGACCGGATTGGTATCCCTCATAGGAGCGGAGATCATGTTTATGTTGGCACCAGCCTACTGGCTCATGGTCGTTGCTCGCCTATTACAAGGCTTGAGCTCAACGGTCGTCTGGGTCGCTGGACTTGCGCTACTGTACGTTCAGTGCAGTTTCGCATCCACCCGTGCCCAAAGCCTGACGTCATTCCAGGTGTGACACTGTACCAGAAAGTTCTGTTGGGAGTGAGTCAAGTCAAACGTCACATTCATAGCTCATTCTCATACCACATCCTCACAGGACAACTTGGCATCGCCATGAGTGGCTTGTCTATTGGGTAAGGGCTCGCAACCACGCCTCATTCTTCTTCCTACTGATTTTCAGACCCCAGCTTCCTCGTCGGTCCGCCGGTATCAGGAGCGTTGTACGACAGGTTCGGGTTCCATGCCCCCTTCATATTCGGCATCATCGCCACGGCCATCGACCTGGTCGGACGTCTCCTCATCATCGAGCGCAAACACGCCATTCTGTGGGGTATTGATCCAGCTGCGCCTCGAAAGGCGGACTCAGAAGCGGTGGAAACAGAACCGAAGAAACGCCCTGAGCAAGACGCTATATCGGCCGCCCCAGAGAAAAATACAGAGAAAACAGCCCGAGAGTTGACCGAGCCTGCGGAGACACAAAGTCCGGTCGCCGTCAATGGCACTCAATCCGAGCAGGCGGACACTGCAGGTAATCCATCCGACTACGCGACGCCAGGACCCAAAGTCCACCTCTCTCTGCTTGCTGTCATGGGCAAGCTCATGAAATCCGTAAGAGCCGATGCCGTGTTCGCTTGCACGTTGTTATACGCGTATGCTATCCCCATTGCCCTTAGCCGACAGAATCACTGAATCGATCCGGTTTTCGGTACTCAGATGGATCCTAGGCAGCCAAGAACCCGCACTTCCGCTTCATCTACAAGGCGTGTGGAATTTCAATCCCTCAAAGGTTGGGCTGGTGTACATCGCAGCGGTGGTACCGACGTTGTTCTGTACGTGACGCTGTCCGAGATCCACCGTAGGCCGATAACAACTCATCCTCTGTCGTGCAGCGTCTACCATCACAGGTTACTTTGTCGACAAACTGGGGACCGGACCGATCACAGTCGTATCCCTAGCCTTCTCGCTGCCTTGGATCCTGGTACTCATCGTACAATCGTCGCTTCCCTTGTTCATCGTCGTCTTCGCACTAGCCAGTGAGTTGCACAGTACATGTTGCAATAGCCCTGTACTCATTGTTGCCTCCAGACTTCGGTGTATCCGGGACAGTATCACCATTGACGGCCGAGCTAGCTTCGGTGACACGACAGTTGGATGGAGTCGGCTGTACGCATCTCATTGCGCCTACACTTTTCGAGTCACTGAACAGCAGCCCGCAGATGCACACGTATATGGCGCGTTCAATATCGCATATGGCATCGGCTCCGCAGGTAAGTGTCCTAACACTGCTGAACCTACATCGATCCTAACGTAAACAGTCGGCCCTATCATCGGTGGTCAAGTGAGTCTCATTGCTGTCATTTCGAGAATGCCGCTGACGACATACATGCCTCCAGTTATACGACCATCTCACGCGAGGCTGGATGGCGATCTGCCTGTTCGGTGCCGGGTCTGCACTCGTTGCAATGATCCTAGCCATAACATCTTTCGGCGAAGTCAGTTTTCTGGCACGCATCCGAAAACGCATGAACCGCCACACTCGGGCTGCGCACACGACCGAGGCCTAGAGGCCAGCGGGCTTACAGCGCATGTCAGAGACTTCGACGACCAGTCAATCACCACTCCAGCTGTACGACAATAAATGCATGTTTCAGCTAGAATAATCTCGATGCATGATACAATGAAAACGTAGAGTACAGATTGCATGGGAATACGGTAGCTTGTGTAGTAGATAAAGATAAATGGATGGCTACATGTCAGGGTATCTTTAGTATGTGGTGTATATCACGGTACAGTCGTAGAGGTGATGTCGGACATTGCGAGGGTACACTGAATGTATGCGGAGCAATACAAATGCGTTCGATGGCGACGTGCAGGATAGCGGTGAATGGAAAGTAGTCCGATGAGTGGTAATGTTCATGTCGGTGACGTCGATGGTCCTGAATCTTCTAATTCCGGTTTCGCTCGGTGCTCTCCATAACTTGTCAATAGGGTCAAGAGATCTCCTACATCACTCGTGAGTCGAGAGCACGTCAAGGGTCGTCGTGAGCTTACCTCTCTTCATCGGTTTGGTGAAGAACCCGTTCATGCCAGAGCTGAGACACAGCTGCTTGGTTGACTCTTGTGCGTCTGCGCTAAGGGCAATGACTACCGCATTTTCAGTATTCCTGAGTCAGCAGACGCAAGTCGACGACATACTTGGGAGCTGTTTCGGAACCTTTCGCTTGTTCTCAGTGACGCGAAGCCGCTTACAGGCCTCAACGCCGTCACATATAGGCATATCTACGACATCGTGAGATAAGAGTGAGCGCAGACACCAATTACTTACGGTGATCGAAGAGAGCGACACTGAAATAACCGGGCTCGTGCTTCTCCCACTCTAATCCCAGGTCATGAGTAAGCCTGAACCCAAGGCGCCGTGTCGAGACGTACCGGTGATGGCCTCTTCGCCATTTGACGTGGCCACTACATTCAGGTGGTACCGCTTCAGTTGTGTCACGAGCAACTTCTGCGCCACGGGGTTGTCTGCAATGTCATGAGCACACGACAGTGTATGGTTCGGGAATCGACTCACCTTCGGCGATGAGCACGTTGCCATACAAAGTCTGTCGCGCAAGTGCTTCCTCCTCCCGTAGTGCAGACTCATTCATCACCGGCACTAGGGGAGGCTGAAGAGGAAGATTCTTGAGACTAGCCAGAGTCTGCAGTAGCCGCGCTTGACGAGGTGGCTTGGTGACACGAATGATGCCTGTTGCCCCATCGCCACCAGGTCTGAGAATCGGATGGTCCGCAAGATTATCCGTCGTCGGGGTGAAGAGGTGTACAATCTTTGTCTCCTGCAATGATGGCAAGGTCGACGCCCGTAAGACTCGAGTGAGGTCATCAACGCGAGTTTCCAACTGATCATCCAAAATGACGAAGTCCACAGGGTCTTGGGGTTGGGCATTGGATATGTATGCCTCTGCTTCCTGCGTTGATGAGACGGTCGAGACAGTGAATCCCTTCAACATAGTGCACAGGAGAGCCTGAGTTGCGCTGGATGCAGAACTGAGCAGAACACGCAGCGGACGGTCGCTTAATAGCTGCTTTTGAAGGCGTGAAACCTCAGCCAAGGCCTGTAGCAATGTCAGTGGAAGGACACGCAGCCGTAGGTGGAGAAGCAGACCTGTTGCGATTCCTCGGTTTCATGTATCCTGACGGGCAGGGTGAACCAGAACACAGAACCAACGCTCAGCTCCGATTGGACACCGATGGCGCCACCCATAAGCTTGACTAGCTGCCGTGAGATGGACAAGCCTAGCCCAGTGCCTCCAAATCGTCTGGTTGACGAGTTGTCTGCTTGTTGGAATGGCACAAATAAGAGATCAACGTCGCTGAAAGACGGTGAGCTGTCGTACAATGACGTTTGCGCAAATCCTCACCTTGAGCTCAAGCCGATGCCTGTGTCCCTGTCAAATATATGTCAGCGTCCACCGACGATTGGGATGGGCATACATACTGTATCACGAATTTCAGGTTGACCTCCCCCTTGACCGCTGGGACACTGTCATCAACAGAGCAAATGACACGAACGGATCCTTTCGCTGTGAATTTGACAGCATTGCCGATCAGGTTCATGAGAACTACCAATGCGAGGTCAACATTGAGTAATCAGGCTAGTCATGTTCACTGACCTTGACGAATGCGAGCGTAATCCGCCTCGACCCCTATGGCGGAGGTCAGTGAATGTTAAATCAAGACGTCGTGCATAGCGTACAAGGAGGAACATCGGGCTCGATGTTGTACGACAGGTCTAGCTTCTTCGCCGCCATTGGAAGGAGCAACTCCAAACAGTCCTTGACTGGCTGTCAGCGCGGAACTGGAGAGACTAGTGTATACGCACAGCTACCATACTCTCGACCGCGAAGCCGGAATATTCCAACTTGAGTGCTAACGCCGCTGCTTGAATCTTGCACGTAGACACCATATATCACGACCCACCTGAGGCCTCGAGTTTGCTATAGTCCAGAATGGAGTCAATAATCTAGGGCACGGCTATCAGACGTGCGAACTACAGGACAAGGGGATGCATGCAGACCTTCAACAGCAACTCGCAAGACTGTTTTGCGGTTTGTACTGACAACACATCAGTAAACAACCGCTGTGAATATTCCGTGATACATACCGATCTCCCTCTGACCTGGTGTTAGCTCTGTACCGCTCAGAATGTCGAGTAAGCCGTAGAAAGAGCTAGAGCAACCGTTTAATATTCATACTGCAGCAGATCGTTGCGAGTAGACGCGTACCTGAAAGGAGTGCGCAGCTCGTGGCTCATGGAAGCCAGGAAATTGCTCTTGATCTATCGATAGATGAGTTTTGTGTGGTAGTATGTCAAGATTGGAGGAAGTGAGTTGACCTTTGTGGCTTTAAGCGCATCCTCCCGACTCTTCCTGGCAGCCTCTAGAGCATCTCTTTGTGCCGCGATCATCTTCAAGTTCTCGCGCGTACCGGCTTGCACCGAGCGGAATAGCAGTGCATTTGAGATACCTATACTGGCTTGTTGGCACAGCAGCGTCAAAAGTGTGACCGTGTTCGGAGAGAATGCGTATTTTGAGGCCAGATAGACCGCTCCGAATGTCTGCCCACGATTGCTGAATATAGGCAGGCATATGACCGAACGATACGGGCTTTGTTGAGACTCAGATGAGAAGCGCGGTTCGGTGGAGACGTCTTCGTAATACACTCGCTCCTTGGTGTTGAGAGCTATATTCGTAGTTCAAACTTCCGTACATCCTGGGACCGCGAATGCACACTTACCATGTTGAATGATGACCTTGCGGAGGGGATCAGCGATCTCGCGCACAGATAATGACTCCCTATGTTGTGTTTGTCAGCATGCACTGACGAGCCCTTCTGTCGACTTACTCATGGACTTGACATGGTTCTGGGGGTGTCATACTGGTCGCAACAGTGTAGTCCCCCGCTTCCCTTGCGATTACTACGCAGGTGTATTGGCTACCAGAGTTCTCTGCACAGCCAATCAAAAACAACACATTATACGTATCATGTCAAAGCTTACCGGTAGCAATCTCTGTGAGTCGCTGAAGGGCCATGGGTAGGTTGATATCACTCGAGATGTCTTTGCTCCATTTCAGGATCGATGCTAGATCAGAAGCGTTCATAGACGAGAGATCGTCCTCCTCGAAGTGGTCCATTTTCCTCTCGTAAGTGCTTGGAGAAGTGTCGGACGTCATGATAGCACTGTCAGTCTGGACAGCTACATCGGAGGTGAAAGCATGCCGCTTGAGGGCATACTGAGTCCGGCTATCCACACACGACGACAGATAGTTACTGAATGAATTGTCATGACATGACATGATCATTGAGTCGAGGATTACTCACACTATCCCGCGGGCACCCCACTGTGCTTGACGAGCAATGCCTCGTCGCTGAAGCTCGCCGCCCAAGCCTTCAACGCCGGCACGCACGAAATGGCTTCCTTGCTGTTGAACGCACAATGAGGCTCATTCAAATGAATAAACATGTATAGGATACTCGCGAGAAACATGGCCCAGCCACTCTCGAGCAACCAGTCGTTGTTAACGGCAAGTCTAAGACCGTATCAGCACTTGCGCAATCAATGCTGTTGCTAGTTAACTTACTTGACCGCGACGTCATACAGCTTGAAGGCATCGGGACTGTTGATTAACGATGCCATTTCCGCGTCCTGTCGATGCATCAATTATGCGCCGTACAAAGTCATGATACAATAACTTACAATGAGGGCTATCCATGCACTGGTGTTGACAGGGCTTGGCGACAACCACCTACGGAGACTAAGTGAGCAATACATCATGCCGAGTCTAGGACCTCAGTCGTACTTTCTGATATATGACTGATCAAGCTCGATCTGCTTCAAATACTTGGTACGAGTCTCCGAATCTAGGTCACCACCTCGAATGCATTGAATCATAGCCATGGCATGGAAAAATAGGGAATAACGAGTGTGTCTGTGACTGTGGACGGCGTGAGCACCCTCTTATAAATGGAAACGCTCAACCTACTTTGGGTGTTTGTCACGCATATCGTAGACGTAGAAACCCAGTGCAGCAGCTTCGTTGGCAAAGCCCAGGCAGAAGAGCCCCACGACCTACAGTCCGTGAGTATATGGTAGTGGTACAATGGCACAACGATGTACCTTGTATGCCTGATACCTAACATAGGTTGATGCCTCAATCACTGGTCGGGCGGAAAGAGGCACTACCACCTACCAGCTCAAGGCCACATCAGGCGTACCACATGCTTCCGAAGCACGGGCAAAGTATTCGCTTTCGTTGAACGTTTCGGTGTCAAACGCAGCGGCTGGAGACTCAGCGTACGTATAACCGCCGATGGCACGAATACAGTTCAAAACCCCTATTAAGACTGAGTGAATGGTCTTTCATGGGTGAATTGTGGCATCGTTCTACCTTGTGCGAGGATAGACATGTCACCACTTGGTGCCCATTGCGAGACGTCGCCAAGGCACTAAAAATATGCGTCGTCAGTCATGTGTAGAAAACGCCGCAGGACGGGAACTACCTCTTCCGCCCTGACCACTAATTCGCTGACTGAACAACAGTCAGTTAGCACCTCCTCGCAGTTAAAATATTACGTACCATGTTCACATATCCAAAGCTTCGTCTGGGTGAGATGAATGCTCGCCAAGCTTGTATATATCCTATTCTACGATGAGACATGACATGACGCTGTTAGTCGTCTTGTGTGCTCACTTGTCACCAGCGCTCTGGCCATACTTCAAAGCTTCTTCCAGACGCGTGAGGTTGGCTCGAATATGCACGTTGTCAAACCCCGACACCATGGACGCGAACAGCACCAGTGCACGACTAGCCTCCACGTCAATACTACTGTCGAGGAAGGAATACGTGCGCCAAGACGTACCACTTCTCATAGCTGGTTCCGTATTGATCTGCAATACGCAGGGCTAGTTTCCCCAAGTCAGCGGAGAATCGATACAGTTCTCTCCGCTCAGCAGCCGCTGTTCTTTCATAAATTACTGTAGGAGGATCGCAAGGGAACCGACGAACCTCCAAGGGCCCAGAAGAACCCGAGAGCAGTCCCTGAGCACATGCCCGATCTGGACGGCACTTCAGTGAGCAGCTCATTTAGTAACAGCACAGGACTTGCCGCAAAGCCAGTTGAACGGTCTACAGAACATTGAGCAAGCAGACCAGAAGTGACAAAAAGCTGGCGTGCCTTACCGTAAGGCCGATGATGTCGGCAAATCCCTCGCCAGAGCTCCAGTATGCATTATGACCTGCGGCATGATGAGTGCGTTCCGCTCACAGTCTGAAGCCGGAGAGTCTTACCGGCGTCATTCAGCAACGCAATGGCTAGGTCCGTCCTAGAATCTCTCGCGCGAGGTATAGCGAGGATGTCGTCGAAACCAACAGCAAGAATCTCGTTCTTGACCTGCTCGAACATCTGATCCGCTTCTCGACGAGTTGGCGCGGAATTGACGTCCACACCCAGAAAGTGGAGACCCTGCAACGTGTCGGATAATGCAGCCTTGTAGTTTCCGCGCATCCAGTGATTTTTCGAGCGAATGCGTAGCATGCGGACTTTGCTCTCGAGGTCCTCAACGCGGTCCAAGCACTCGGTGATGAGATAGTCCGATGTAGCGAAGTCGCCTGTGATAGCGGTCAGCGTTTGCCTTGAGAAAGGCTCAAAAGTGTACCTTTCCATGTGTACAGCCTATGCAAACAGACAGCTCAGCAAAGGAGACACATATTATGTAATGATGACGGACTCAGCAAGCTTCAAGCTCAGCGAGGTGGTCCGGTCAAGATCGGATGCCCAGGACGTAGCATCCAAGAGCGATTGGGCATTGATGTATGATTGCAAGGCCAACTGGTATGACTTGTTTTAGCAACGATTGCGCGTTGAGGTAGACCCTCCTTACCTCATGAGCACCACGAGCCGTAGCAGAGTCGCCGGCATCAATGGACAACTGGAGGAGCTCATCGCGCTTCGCGTGCTCTCGCAGAAGGGGCAAACACCTATGTCCGATGTGAGCCAAGCCCCTAGAAGGAAAGATGCGAACGTGCCTCTTCGCGTGTTCTGTGATACGATGAACGTCAGGCGTAGACTCGTGCAACATCATGAGAATAATCTAAAGTCAAGAAGGTGAAAAATCCTTCCATGTGGGGAGTTAAGGCTTGACGTACTCTGAACGACATCTTTGAGATGACTTCTGCAGGCAGCAGTTCCGCCTCAGCTTGAGTGGCCTGTCGATATCGGTCGTGCGAGAAACTGCACATATCCCGCGCCCGCTGCACGAGCCACCCCTCCGCAATCGCCATCTGCAATCCTCGCATTGACCCACGACCGCTAGGACCCAACTGACCCTCGTTCAGACTCGAGACCCTCGATACGGCCTTCGAGACGTTCCACATATCTTCCTGTTCCTCATCGCTTCCGCTGCTCCCGCTCGAGTCTTCCCAGTCCATGAGCAACGCGACCTCTGCTACCTTGAACGTCGGGCCAAAGAACGAAGCCCATGTAAGGAACTTCTTGGCGTCCTCGGGCAGCTCCCGGAAATGGTTCCGTAAGAACGTCAAGTCGCTGGGATCTGCGATCATCTTGTTGCCGTGCAGATTCGGCTCGATCGCAGAGATGTCATATTCCCAGTGGTTCTTCTCCCAAACGAACGTGATCTGCACAATGTATGTTAGTACCAATCGATCGCTACACAAATGATGTAGCATACATGATGCTGTCGCTGCAAAGTCATCAGGATGTTCCGCGCAGAGAAGGCATTGCCAAGCGAAGCGGCGTGTACGAGCCTCGACAGGTTGGCGCAATCATCCTTCGGCCTGTGCAGGGTGCGTGAAACCATGTTTGCTATTGAGCTATAGCTGAGTGGTTCGAGATTTATCCATGTCGTCGACTTGCTCGTGAACGTCGCTCGGATCCTCTCTACGGCCTCGCTGCAATGACGTATGCATGAGTGTCATGCCGTATGACAATCTATGCGAACTCACGGTTGGTCTGACCGAGCTGTGGCGAACACAAGCTGTACATAGGTGAACTTTAAGTCGTCGTCGGCTAACGTAACTCAAACTCACAATGCGCGTCCGCGAATTCACCAGCGCGTTGATTAGATCAAGTGACGATTCGCTCGCGTCATGCAAGTCGTCTAAGAACAGCGCGAACAGTCGCGTCTCCGCGAGCACCGAAAACACGCTCTGAAACAAGCTCTGAAACCTCGCACGGAGCTCGTGCGCCTCCAGCGGCTCCGGCGGTGTCTCGATTGTGATGTCGAACAAGCTAAGGATGTCCCGCAGCTCCGGCGCGCCCTCGTACAGCAGGGGCACGTTCCGGAGCTGCGGGCCCAGCTGCTTCTTGAGCGAAGTCACGAAGCTGTGAAGATCCGTGTGGAACACAATTAGCTGGCGCAAGACGGACGACAGGCACGCGAGCTATGAAGTCATAGCCGTCAGCGGGCTCTACGCGGAGACTCGAGCGGTGCTGGCTTACCAGGGACGCGAACGGCGCGGCCTCTACGTCAGAGAACTTTGCTTGGCCCCAGAGGCCATGCGCTGCGGAGCGACGCGGTCGTCAGCAAACCACGCTCCGTACTGCAACCACGCATATGACTTACATCTCCAGCGAGCTTGGTGCGCGAGCACCAACGAACTCTTCCCGGCGCTAAAAGACCTTCAGCGGCGCGGTCTTCGTGGATACTCATGGGGTCACTCACCCTGGCGGACCGAGAATGATGACGGCATGGGTACGCGCTCGACCGGACGACGGGGCGAGCGCCACCCTCCTCAAGCCATCGCTGGCAGTCACACCGCCAGTGCTTATGCTCATTGGCGTGCCCGACGTGTCCGACGCCCTGATTGACCCGACCTTCGGGCTGTTCGGGTCGCTTGCGGACATCGGCGTGGGCGAGCCCTCGCTCCGGGACGAGCGCGAGTCGCTACGGTCCTCCGTTAGCACACTCGTCGTGCCGCCGCTGTCGCTTCCGACGAGGATCGCGTTCCGCGAGGCGCCGATATAGCGCGAGTACGAGGTCGATGTGTGCCGGATGATGTTCCGGATCGTCTCAAGCTCCTTCTCCCGACCGAACTGTGGGGGTGGCGTGAGTCAGGGTGGACCCGACTGCATGGCAGGACAAACGTACCAGAGGGCTCGGGATAGTGAATTCCTAACATTCATCGCGTAAGTATACAGATGGTATGCAGGGTCGTCATACAGAGCACCGGACTCACCATGTACCTGTCGTCGGTAGCTATGTCGAAGTATGGAATTAGCTGGAATGGCGTGGTTCAGCTCCCGATCTCACGCAGGCAGAAAACCAATCTACCTCCATTGACTGGTCCGAGACGACCATTACGGCACGGAGGAGCAATCGCTGGCACTGCAGTAGGTCTGCCTTGAGGCCATAAGCGCTCTGGTAACGCATGTCCGGATTTTTCGAGAGCAACTACTCAATGTTCATGATCAGCCTCGACGAAACAAAGATACGGGGCTAAACGAACCTTGTCAATTATGAGTGCCAATACCTGCGGGATATCCCTGCGAACTTCGTGGACCGGCATCGGTCTCTTTTGAACGACGGCATGCAAGAGCTCCAGGGGGCCGCCCTCAAATGGCATCGTGCCACGACCTACCAGCAGTGTCCAAAACATTATACCTAATGAGTAGAGATCTGTCCTGTGGTCCTCATTGAGGGCTTCCATGCTACCGGTCTGCTCCGGGGCTACGCAGCAGTAGGCGGTAAGAGCTTGTCGGCGTATGTGGAGTAGTGACATACCGAGATAGCACAGCGCTTCCTTTACTTTCAACTTCTTTGCCTCTTCGAACGCGTCGGCGCTGAGCACGAACGCAGAAGGGACACCGAACTGCTCTAACGAGACAGCACGGTTCCCAAAGTGCACCATCCGGACCAAGCCGCTGTGTGCATTGAGGTGGAACGCGTTCGCACGGACTTTGCGCGCGGTCAGACGAAAGTCAGATATCATCGGCTCGGGGTACTCACCTTCACGGTGTATCAGTCCATTCCTTGACGGGCTTTGTGAGGACGTGGACATGAGCCAAGCTGGGATGACATACCTGTGCATCATTTCTAAGCAGTGCGTAGCTTGTATAGCAAACCTTTGGGAGAGTCAGTCAGTGATACCAGGCCGTACGGAGTGAGGACGCACTCTAAGAACGATGCCAAATCCATGATCTCGATTGCCTCCATCTCCTCGACAGTATATGGCTCCTCCATGCCCATCATGAGTATGTCTGTGTGCGAGGGCGGCGGACGCGTCCGCGATATATCTCCTAGAAGCAGATCGTTGACCTTATGTGAGGGAAAGTACCGTCCCAGGATATTGAGGCCAGGGTGACTCAAGAGCAGCACGACACAGTCACCATTGCTCCGAGGGATGGAGAAGAAGTCGATCAGCCGGAGAGTGGTGCTGGACGACTCCGGGGTTGTCGCCATTCGTTCCAGGCTGTGTGAGACACGCGCGTCAGGATCGCGGAGGCCTGGAGAGACGGGGGGACTCACATATGCACTTCCCGCTCGAGACACAATGATGCGTTCGAGTGCGCGGGTACGATCTTCGCGAGCACACTCGAGCCGTCCTTCAAGCTCGTGCCCTCCGCGAGCACGGTCATGCTGCCCGTGTCCTCCCATGGTACGGCCTGTTTATCGCTGTCAACCGAGGGTAGTCTGAGCAGGAGCGGATTAGCACGCGCCTTCTCGAAGGTATATCCTGGTATGGACAGAATATTGTCGCGAAGATAGAGTGTCGGGAGTGCTGGCTGCGCGTATTTCCTCCGCATACTGGCGGAAGGGTTATGCACACCCGGGCGGATGGTAGCGACTGCGAGACCTGTGTGCAAGGGGACGGTGCTCGGCGACAAATTGCAGCTTATCCTAGATTGGCTGCAGGGTGGGCGGGGCGACGGTGGCCAGGCCCATGCCGTTGTCACATCGTCTCCCAGGTCCCTTGACTCGTCACACGCGTTACCGTTGACGTCATGCTTCCCAGTGCGTCCCTCGCAGCATTCCCCGCGGGCCACGGCGGAGCACGTCGGATCTCGTACTTCCCACCTGCGTGTCCCGAAGTCCGCTACTCCGCGACAATCCTCGAGCTCACGATGTCACACTGACGAACGTCAGCGAACAACCTCAGAAAGCCACTGCACCCACTGACTCCAAGCTTACTCCTTCCGTGGATCTCACTGCAGTCAGGCAGCGTATGCGCATTATATAAGTTACCTCAGATGAGGCTTGACAGGTAACCATTGAGCGGGAGAAGGAACAATATAGGTACACTAGAGACACTGCAACAACAAGGACACAACATCGAGAGCGGGAGATTAAGACGTCACTGTACAGGTGGTTAGCGTGATGCGCCAACGCGTCGAACAGCAACCACTCACTATAGCTAGCAGGGTCAATGTGGTCGGGTAGCTCAGGGACTGCCACCTCGAAGCGCGACTGGATCGCAGCCATCACCTGCTGGTCGCTCTCCGACGAGACGTAGGTGATGGCAAGACCCTTTGTACCGAAACGTCCAGCACGGCTGCCCGACGGAGTTAGCTCGGACGTCTATAACGCAAGCGGGAAGGCTAAACGTACCCGACACGGTGGAGATAGCTGTCTGCATCCGGCGGGCAGTCGTAGTTGATGACGATGTTGACACGCTCGACATCGATACCACGACCGAAGATATCAGTCGCAACGAGAATACGCTTCTCGAAGGCCTTGAAGGCTGTGTATCGGTTGATACTGCACGTGCATAAGCTGTTTGCCCAGACAACGGACCTAAGAAACCGAACTCACCGCTCCTCCTGAGCCAGTCCAGAGTGGATGCTGATGCTGGGGAAGTTGCACGAAACGAGCAATTTGTCCAACCCAATTGCCCGAGCAACTGACTTGACGAAGATGACGACCTGTACGACGCTTAAGCTTCTAGCCGACGTATAATTCACGCTGAACGAACCTGGTTGAACTCCAAAGTGTCCAATAGCTCGTTCAGCTTCCTGTTCTTGCCCACTTCCTCCAGCTTCACGTAGTGCTGCTGAAGACCGTGCAGTGTGAGCTTGGTCTCGTCGTCCACGAAGATCTCAAGGGGCTAGGACGACAAATCTATCAGCATAGGGCAGGTAGAGAGTTCGCTGGCCACTCACGTTCGCCATGAACTTCTTGCACGTCACCCGGATCTCCTTCGCCAAGGTCGCGCTGAACATCATGACTTGCTTGTGGTGTGGTGTCGCCCGGAAGATTTCTTGCACATCGCGCCGCATGTCTAATGGATGATGTTGTAATAGGTAAGAATGTTTGTCACCACCACAACACACAAGAGAGAGGAATGATGAAGGCCGGCGTGCTTCTATCCTTGACGCGGGTGGGCGAAACGTGCTATGTCTTCGAGGACATACGCCACTCCCAAGCGAGTCGGATTTGTCCACAATGTTCATCAACCGCAACCTCCCTATGTCGAAGTCATCCCCAACGGATACCATCCACTCCTAAAGTCCGCTTCCGAATTCGATCGAAGGCAAGATGCCCACCAGGGCGGTGGGCGCAGACGAGCGGTAATCGTTTGAACGTTGCGACAATCCACATGGCCGGTCGACGCGGCGGAAATCAAAGGTGCAGGCCGAAATCGCATGACTAACCGAGCTGTTCCAGCATTTTATCGCACTCGTCGAGAATGAAGTGCTTGACTTTCGACGCATCCAAGACTTTGTCCCTCGTGAGCGCGTTAAGACGACCGGGTGTGGCGACGACAATGTGCGGGCATTTGCTTTTGTCGCGGAGCAGCTCTGCGTCCTTGACGACTGGCGTACCGCCGTAGAAGGTGCTGACGCGAACGTCGGGCATGTACTTGGCGAAGCGAGTGTACTCGTTCTTGATCTGGAACGCGAGCTCGCGCGTGTGGCAGAGAACGAGGACGGACACCTCGCCGTTGACGGGCTCCAGCTGTTGGAGGGTCGCCAGTACGAAAACTGCCGTTTTTCCATGTCCAGACTTCGCCTGGCACAGGACGTCCATCCCAAGCACCGCCTGCGGGATACATTCTTGCTGCACTGGAAACAAAGTCAGCAAACCCCTTCTACAACCCTCCAACGACTGTGCTCACCTTCGGAAGGATGTTCGAAACCAAGGTCACTGATGGCGCGAAGCAATTCAGGCTTCAACAGGAAGTCCCTGAGAGCCGCAAGGCGACACGTAAGGCACAAAGATCGCAGTCAAGTACGGTAAAACACACCTGAAGCCAGTAGCATGGATTCCTGAGAAGTTTTTCTTGTCATCTTTGCCCTCGCCATCGACAGAGGGGTGACCAGCCGTGACAGCCACACCGTTGGCTGCCGATGGCGCAGGGGCGCCGTTCGTGACCACGTCGTGCTCATCCTCGTAGTCGATCAGTTCCTCGTTCTCGTTGTCGTGGGAGCTCATGGTCGCAGGTAGGGTAGAGGGGGAGGGAAGCAAGTAAGAGGAGAGGGGAAGTAGGGACAAAGGGCAAGGGGCGGTGGTGGCGGTGGGAGAGAAAAAGGGCGCGCTCGACGCGTCCTGCCGAATCGAACACGGGTGGCCACGCCACCGGGATCTCCCGACAGGCCATGGCCCTCCCGATCTGGAAGTGGCAAGGCCTCGACGCGACCGGTGGCCCGTACTCGACAAGCTCACGGTGTGGGTTGCCCACTTCGCTGCAGCCACCGCTTCTCATGGTACACTAGACGTTCAAGTACCAAACATCTGTAGCAAGTGATAAGGCTACGAACTCGGCGAGATTTGCCTCTGCCATCAGGCTTAGTACGGTGCCGCTTGCACATCCATCGTCGAGCTTTGAGAATGGCATTGCAGATCAACATACGAGCAGTAGAGTCATTACATTACGTCATGAAGCAATCGATACGAGACCGTCGTCGGGAACATACCGAACCCTACCAGAACTACTATGGAACAAGAATCCGATGGACGAATGCAACAACTCCCTATGCAGCCTCCGGAAGTAACAAAAACGAGAGAAGAGAGAAGAGACGAGCGTCGAGTGCGCAGCGTAGGTACCAAATGCATAATACGAAATAGGGGAGACTCTAGAAATGCAGGGGACAATGTGTCTCCCCGCCAGTGTCCGCACAGGAGTGCACACAAAACTCTACCAGCCCCACCGCGCGCCTCAACACACCGTCCTCCGTCAGACATCTCACCATCCACATGTATCACCAGCGCTCAGGACGTACGTCGCCCTGGTCGCGGGGGGGCGAGTGGACCTCAGTGACCAGTCGAGGAACCGGAGAACGCCTCCCGCACGCTCTTCCTAAGCTCCTCATGTTCACGCCCGACACTGCCCTCGTGCTCACGCAGCGACGCCGCCTGCATTTGGGACGCTGCAGCACTGGGTGTCATCGCGCCGTCGCTGTCTGCCTCCGTGATGTCCAGAATCCGGCGAGCAAGGACTTGGATCTCGCCCTGTCCCTCGCCCGTCTCCGTATCCTGGTAAGAGTGGCTAGCGGAGTGGTGAGAGTGGGGGGTGCCACCGATGGACGAGGTCGGTGTCGACGTCCGCGTCTCAGCGAGCTGCCGGATGTTGGGGATGAGGAGGTTCGAGGTCCGGATGTTACTAACGAGCTGTGGGTCTGTGGAAACGTTAGTGGTTGACCATCACTCGGTGGACAGTTCACTCACCACCAGACTCCAGTAGCTGCACGATAGTCCACACAGCGATGTGTTGGAAAGTGGCATCCGGGCTAGTCAAGAAGCGGTACAGGTAGCGGTGCATACCACCATCAGGCTTCTCCCACACGTCGTTGAATGCCGAGTAGTCATCTGTGGTAGTCCGTCCATCTGGGTTAACCACGTCAGCGGATGGCTGAGATCAGATGCATGTGTGGTCGCACTGACCCTTTGAAGACAAATTACCAAGAGCCGCCGCACTGTTCCCTTGCACCTCAGAGCTAGGCGAGTTCGTCAGAGGGATGAGCACCTCGCAAATGCCCATCTCGAGGAGCTGGCCCTTGAGTTCGTCTGCGAAACGTCAGACGTTGGCACTAAGTACGGAGAATCGGACATACCGCTCAAAGCAAGGACAGCGATGCATGCAGTCATCTCGCTCTGTACGTTCATGGGCACCTCGAGAACCAGCTCTTTGATGCTCTGAACCGCGCCCGCCTTGACGATCGCCTGTTTGTTCTTCTCCGAGCTGGCTGCTAGATTACGCAACGTCGAGATCGCATGGCACTGGACCTCTTCGTTGTCCTTGAACGAGAGGAGGTTGATCAGCGGTTGCAAGAAGCCAGACTCGATGATCGGTGACTCGTTCTGCGGGTGTATGGAGACATTTCGCACGCATGCAGCAGACGAAAGGATAAGCGGAAGGTACGTTGACTGCAGCAACCGGAGGAGGTGCTGTAGGCCATCCGCCTTCACGATCTCCAATTGGTACTTTTCTTTAGAGACGTCAGTCGAGAACCACAATGGGAAGCTGATCTACTCACCGTCGCTCGCGAGATTTCGCAAGGCGAGTGCAGCCTGGCACTGTACCTTCAAACTTGGGCTATCCATCAACTGTACCAAGCTTGCTACCAGCTTGGGCTCACTCTGGGCGAGCTTCTTGCGGTTGACGGCTATCCAAATGTGAGCGTTAGCTATTGGAGGATCATATAAACCTACCATCGACCGCAATGTTGCTCAACGCCGTCGTGCAATAGTACTGTACGTCCGTATCAGGAGAGTTGAGCAGGCTGACAAGCACCGGTATCGCCCCTGCGTTCACGAGTTGCTGGCGATTCTCGTCTGAGGTAAATGAGATTAATATACGGAACATGTCCCAGACGTAGCAGCAGCACATACCAGAGTGCGTCATGTTGAGCAGCGCGCCTGTCGCGTTTCGCTGCACACGCATGTCCTTCGACCGGGCGAGACGAGTAAGAGGAACGAGGGCACCCGACTTCGCGATCTTCGTCTTGTTATCGTCTGCGTAATCATCACTAGTCAGATATCGCAATGGTGCAGTGCATATGGGTAGATGTGAGTAGCTCAAACTTGTGTCACTCTTGTTGAGAAAGAGCACAGTATGGTATCAACATTTGTGGTGCATGCACTGAGTGCACGCATGTATGGAGCTCTTCACTCGGCTATGACGAAGTTCTCCCGGCATTCGAATGTCTCATTGTCATAGCGCAAGTCAAGAGGAACGTAGTCTTATCACGTACGCCGCTGAAAGCCGCGATACACGTGTAGCAACTAGAAGATAGGAAGTCTGTCACCGGTATCGATCCTTCTCAGTAGAGGATGCGCCATTTCGGGAAGGCCGACGACACCATGCGAAGGCGGGGAACTCCGTGTCGACAGCAGCGTAGCGACGACGAGTCTTTTCAAGTATCCGTCTAGAACAGATGAATAGGAACGTACCGTGTGTCGCAAGGTTGGTCACACAACCAACGGCGTTACATTGCACCTCGACGTTGGGACTCAGCATTTGTCGGATGAGGGGTTCCAAGCCGCCCAACTTGACGATAAGCAACTTGTTATCAGCTAGACGCTCCATGAGATCAACACGTTACTTGAGATGCGGCGGGAAGAATACACACTGTTTACGGCCAGGTTGCCTAGTGCTGCGCTCGCCGCCCGTTGAACTTCGGTGTCATGACTGCCCAGGAGGAAGAGAATGGGATCAAGGGTATCCCGGCCGACAGGGCGAACCTCCTTTTCCGTGATCTCCGCAAATGCAAGAGCAGCACTTCGTTGTAGATCGACGTTGTCAGAGAACGAAAGAGTGGTGAGCGCGGAGAGGGGTGAGCCGGAAAAGAAGTTGGTAGTCGTTCGGTCTGCAGCAGTGTACAGTATCAGCAACTTTTCCGGTCACAGTTGTGGGTCGTTCATACTCTCAAGATATTGGAGAAGATCCGCGACCGCCTCCCGCTCGTTCTCAAGCAGGAGAGGTTCATACGACTGAGACCTCCGGGAGTGGACTGAAGGGCATGTTAGACGTTTGCGATTTTCGGGCAGATGCGGCATAACGCATCACTCACAGCACGACTCGCAGCAGCTCGCGACGACGCCCATTGTCGCAAGGAAAGAGAGGCTGGAGGAGGTGTGTCGGAGGGGCGGTGGTGATAGAAGACTGCAACGAGCCCGGACGCAACTTTGGGCGTAGTTGACGCCACGTGCACGGGCGCTTCGCACTGAGATCACCGCGCGACCGACCTGCGACCGACCTTGTGTGGACCTTGCTTGCGCTCCGTCTTGCTAGGCTCCCTTCACTGCAATTTGCCTTCGAATTGAACAACTTGCTCACTTGTACCCTTGGAACTGTACTGTGACTCTGACGGATTGCGGCTGTTGAAACCTCGGGCAAGGTGTGTGGATGCTGCCAGCCCGTTGCCGCATCTCGCGCGTGAAGTTCCTCCCAGCTGTCCGCCACAATCATACGCTCTTCCTTCTGCCACTACGCGGTCGCCCGACGAGAAGGAATCGGCCGGAAAAAATGGCGGTCAAACTCACCGAGATAGAGGACAGACTATGTACTCTGCTAGACGAATGCACAACCCACATCAAGGAGGTAGAAGGACTGCAGACCTCGTGTCGAATCGCCGGGGGATGGGTCCGAGACAAGGTTGCTTTGGTAGCACTTCATGCTTTCTATAGCTGACAACGATTTTGTCACGACATAGCTGCTGGGTCTAGACAGCAACGACATCGACGTTGCTCTCAGCGATATGATGGGTGTCACATTTGCCACTCATTTCGTCAACTATTGTACGAACGTGAAGAACGTGGAGGCGAAGGAAGTGACAAAGATTGAGAGCAATCCGGAGCAATCGAAGCATCTCGAGACGGCTAGGACGACTGTGCTTGGTCAAGAGCTGGACTTCGTGAATCTTCGAAGCGAAGAGTATACGGAGGACAGCCGGATACCAACCAGCGTAGTGCGTCTGTCAACTAGTCTGTGGAGACGCGCCCGCTCACTGTTTTCAAGATATTTGGGACGCCCTTACAGGATGCATTGCGAAGGGACATCACCATCAATGCGCTATTTTATAACGTGCACACAAGGGCTGTCGAAGATCATACTGGCAAGGTGTGTATCCTAGGTGCCTGTGCGTTGATCCGCAGACCAAGCCTAATGAAGTAGGGTATCAAAGACCTCCAACGCGGCATGATTAGGACGCCTTTGGACGCCTTGGAGACATTCAGAGACGACCCTCTAAGGGTCCTCCGTGCTATACGGTTCGCTGCTCGATATTGCTTCGAGATTGATCGATTTCTACAAGATGCTGCCCGTAAGCCTGAGATTCGGGTGCGCAGAAATTTACTTGCATGCAGTGATCCGACTTATCGAAAAAACATGCCCCCGCTTCAGGAAGCATTAGCATCCAAGATCAGCAAGGAACGGATAGGCATAGAAGTGGACAAGATGCTCCGATGTGAGCTATGGGCTTATACGCCTCAAACAGCTAGCTAATAGCAGAGTTCCAGCGCGTGACCCAGTCCGAGCACTGTCGTTGATCTACGATTTCAAGCTCTACTCGACCGTCTTTCAGCTTCCAGAATCTGTGGCCACAACGCTCTCTGACTCCCCAACGCCTCCGATCATGGGCCTCGGTGCCGCCACAATCCTCATGGTCTTGTTACTACCCAGTCGAACAGGAACCTTGATCCCTGTGCATAAAACCCTTACAGACCTAGGGAAGATTACATACGTACGCGCTCGGCTATACCTCGCTTGTGCGCTCACTCCGTATCGAGGCATTACCTACACCAATGCCAAGGGTAAGCGACAACCTGCGTGTGATCTCATCATTCGAGAGAGCTTGAGGTTGGGCTCTCAGAACCATTACCTGGATGGTGTCCCAGCACTCTACAATGCTTGGTCAGTCGTCAGTCCCGCGGTCGCCGACCTAGCACAAGGGGAATCTCCGGACGACAAGTTGAAGATAGGTAAGCTAACCACCCTGGATGGCATGTCATCGTGGAAGTCTGACATTTGGTGTGGCAGGGATGTTCTTGCGCCAACAGGTCGTCCACCGTCCAGCTGTAATATATTGGCATACATCACTGCTGTTCTCCCTCGTGCAAGATCTCATGGCTTACTGGGATCCCCAGACAAAACTCCTTGACGGTACGGCGTTGATGATCAGCATAATTCAGGGAACAGCGAACTCACGAAGCCATCAGAGACAGCGGCTTCGGAACGGATAGCTCTTTACAATGCATTGGTCACGAAGATCGAGAACCACGGACTGCCCGCCGTGGTCGACGACAAGCCCCTGCTCAAGGTATGAAGTTCTTATACAGCGTGGGTTTTGAGAGCTCACCACGTCATTTGAACGCAGGGCGGGGAGATCGCCGCGGCGCTCAACACGCAGACGGGTCCATGGATGCGCGATGCACTGACCCGTGTGGTGGAATGGCAATTGATACACCCGGAGGGCACCAAGGCGGAGTGCGTTGAATGGGTGAAAGCGGAGCATGCGGCAGGCAACATCGACATATCCCCACTCGCCCAGCCCAAGCGACCCACGCAGCCAGATGAGGAGCAAGGTGCCGTCAAGAAGCCGAAGCTCACATAGGACTCACGCTCTGCGACCTTAAGGTTCGCACTCACTGGTGCATGTATGGTGTATCGATAGTACTGATATAATGTGAAGCACAGGCTGCGGCCGATGCTGGTAGATACAGAGGAGTGGTGCTATGTAACACTAGATGATACAAACGAGAAGTAAGATAACGGTAGAGCGAAGCGAGATGCGAACAGCGAACAGCGAGGTGAGACAGCGAATGGGTCAGAAGCCGGGAGTGTCACGGCGAAAGCAGATGGTGTATCAGAGGTTCGTCTATGCGGGAGTAACAGTGGGAAGATAGCGGCTAGTGAGCAGATACAAGCCATTCGCTGAAGTCGAATTCGTCTTCAGCCTTCACATCATCGGCTTGTGAGCATGAGCCGATGTTCAGCATCGAAGGTTTGGGGCCGACGAGCGCCGACGAGCGATCGGGGTTGAACATGGGAGAAATGGAGAACGCGTCGTCGACGGCCTCCCCAAAGGGATCGTCAGGGTACGCACAGAGGGTGACGGGGATCATGAGACCCTGGGATGGGGATTGAACGTAGGTTTGCCCGTTTGCACCGACAGACAAGTCCAAGACGGCAGGAGACTTGTCGGGCCAATGCCTGTCCGAGGCGACCTCATCGCCGACCTCATCGCCGACCGAGCTCCCTGTGGAGCTCTCGCGGTCGAAGGGTTTCTTCTCGTCGGCGTTCTACGAATCGTTGTCAGCATATGAACGATCGTATGCATGAATTGACTGGACGTACAATGTTAGGAGGAGGAGGGAGGAGATACGAGGGGTGAACAGCTTCCGGTACATCAGGCTCCTGAGGCACTGGTTCAGGCGAGAACGACAACTCGGGTGTCGAAGGCTCCATCTTGATCAAGCCATCCTCTGGGAGCGCTGCAGGCGAAGGGCTGCGTGTGTCGGGCGAGGCCTCGCGCTGAACGACGCGAGTCTTCCTAGCTTGAATCGCACGCGCGCGAGGGCGTCGCGACGCTAGCTCATACATCATCTCCTTCCGGTCGTAGCTCTTCATTCGCTTCTCAAGCTCCTCGCCCTCGTAGCCATCACCTAGGAGGCCCGCCACAACGTTGCAGCGAGCCCAGTCGCGGTCTCCGCCCTTGGCGCCCTTCCGGCGCGGGAGCTTCTCCTTCTTGAAGACGGGCGAGTACTTGTAATCGGGGTAGAGCTCGGCGTGCTGCCGCTTTGCAGCCTCAGCCAGGAGTCGAAACGGGGTGCGCTCAGACTCGGAGAGTTCGTTCCACCTTTTGCCTGCTATGCGACTGATCATGCGGTGGTCGCGCTCGACAGAGCTCTTGATCTTCTCCTTCGCCCAGAGTTCAGAGCGGAAGAGCATGAAGGCATTGGGCGGCCGCGGGATGTGGCCGACACCCCGCTTGCGGGAGTGCGACGAGCGGCGCACGAAGTCGAAGCCAACCTCGGGGCAGGCAAACTTGGGCAACAAAGCGCCCGGCAGCGGAGGGTCTTTGCAGGTTGGACACACCTCTGGAGCCTGCGACGCTGGCTCGCGCGGACCGCCCGTCTGCAGATCATGTTGATCGAACTCATCGGGGTCTTCGAACACTGCAGTCCAATAAAAGCAGGTGAGTAAGAACGAACGTAGTGTGGACCCACATAGGCAAACAGTGGGTAAATAGCAATGAAGGACGTACCCGGGTCGCGCGGCGGCTTGTTCGACAAACGACGGGACCTCCGGACGGCGCGCAATGCGGGCATCGTAGCAGCGAGTGGGTAGGTGAGTTGTTGAGGATGCTATGGGCCTCTTCGAGGGACTCGACGACGGGAGGCCTCCAATTCCGGCGGGACTTGCATCTCGTCCTCGAGCCCTTCCCTTATGTATGATCCAGAATGGTAGCGCAAGAACTCGTTCATGGCAGAGCGGAGCGAAGGGACTGTCCCTATACCGGCCTCATGGCGACCTCGAGGACGACATTATCTGCGGTCCCCGAGCTTAATTATCGAGATCTGGTGCGAACTGACTTTAAACCTCGGTGGCTGCTTTCGCTTTGAATTGTCTACCGTTCAGGGTCATATTACCAGGCCGTCATTGCGTCTGCTGAGGTGCTGGTCCATATGTGCTCTCATCCCCACAAACTCAGGCGATTTCATCCGCAAAGTGAGTCGCGATATAAATGAATCTTTCTTGACATACGTATCCGCGCTACGGCTTTTGCGCTACGAGTGCCTGTTCTACAGCCACCGTCGGACTCTGGCTGAGGCGTATCATTGGTCAGGTGCTTGTGCCACTCGTGAAGAGCTGTGTGACTATCGGTCCCCCGACCGTGAATATCGCTTGTCACTCATGCCAGCGGTAGCTATGACAGTTCCCCTGCTTTACTCAGGGATGAGACACATGGCGATATACATTAGCGGTGCGTCGCGCTCGTAATTCGTATTTTCCTTACACAATTCCATTGCTCACTGAAGCAGAGTCAGCCTAGAGTCAGCGCATTCGCGTCGGGACGCCTTGACCACTTCTAGAAGCTACGAACCGCTCCAGCGATCGTTCATACTGCGGTGCAGTCTTCCTTCATTTCTGCAATTCGTACACCCTGGGACAATGAGACTCTCAAAGCCTGATTGTACGCCCAGAATGGCTATACACGATGCATCCGGCCACGAGACAGGCGTCTTTGTGCTCGTGCCGCTGTCTGCTTTCCGCCGAGGACGCGCTGATCGGGGATGTGCCACTGGACCACGCAGTGGCACACTACTCTATCTGGTTACCGCATTCTGATCTCATGGCGCGGGTCTGAAGAAGCTCCCTACATCCGCGACTTCTCATCCGACGTTTAATGATTCGCACTTGACCATAGGGACGAGTGGCACATATGAAAACATGACGTCGGAATGTCCGGTATGTACACTCAGGACTATGCACGGCTCCGCTATGCATCTGTCCCCTCGCTGTGGGAACCTTCCTCTACTACTGACTCCTGTTTTCTCTGCCCATCCTTCTCTTTTCGTCGTTTGGAGCCCGCAATCATATCCCTGACATCGTTATCGATTCATGCGTTGACTCGCTACACGGTCTGTGGAGACTCACCTCTTCTTGATAGCATCATTCCGCCCGATCCTACTTGCATTGTTCACTGCTTCAGCGCGTTTCACCTTGCCCATCTGGCGTCGCTTCATTTTCGAGGGCTTTGGCAGCTTCATGATCCATTCAGGCACCGGCGAACCGGACTGCAGCAGGACGTTCCCAATACTGGAGGGCATGTTAGCATTCCGGGAGGCGCGTTCGGCAGATATGTCACGGGACAACGTAGGGATGATACCAGGAACACTTACGTTTTGAGGAACGGCGCGTCTTCGTTAGTGAAATATGTTATCGCCTTGCCCTCCCTGCCAGCACGACCCGTGCGACCTAGGTACGTGGACGTATCAGCGACACGCAGCTCACTCAGGTAGACTAGGAAGTATCGTGGGCGCCGTTCGCTCACCGATTCGATGCACGTAGCTCTGTACGCTCTGCGGGAAGTCATAATTGATGACTTCTCTGACGCCCTTGAAGTCCATGCCTCGCGCCATGACTTCCGTGCTAACCATGACCCAGCTTTCCCCACGCCGCATGCGAGCGACGGCATCTTCCCGCTCCTTGTGAGTCATGCCGGCATGCAGGCAGTCGACATTGGGCACTCCATTAAGCACCAGCTCCTCCGCTAGAGACGTCGCGCGCGGCTGTGTCGACACGAACACGAGGAGCGGCGGATTGTATGGCTGTGACAGATACTGAAGAAGGGTAGGCAATTTCGACGGATCATCCGCCACGTAGGTGAGCGACTGCGCGATGAGCGGCAGAGGCGTGTCCCTGGTTGGCTGTCAGTTCTCGCTGCATTGTCCTACGGAGCGGTGACTCACTTCAGCCCTACCACGACACGTATCGGATCTCGCAGCATGCTCATGGCGACTCTCTCTGCGCCTGCCGGGAGCGTCGCACTGAATACGGCCTTCTGGACCTCTGGGTGCGTACATGCTGCAATGACTTCTTGAACTTGTGACAGGAACTCTGCGTCCAGCATACGGTCCGCTTCGTCCAAAATCACGTGTCGAACACTGGGGCTGTCAGATAGAACTCGCAGAAGCACCATAGGCTACTCACTTATGAAGTTCCAGACTTCCCGCCTGGAGAGCCGAGACCAGTCGCAGAGGGGAGCTAATGATGATGTCTGCCATCGAGCCGCTTTGAGAACACCGCAGATCGTTCTCGCCGTGTGGACCTACCAACTTTGTCTCGGACGCTTTTGTCCGCCAGGGTGCTGGCCGTCGCCTTACTGAAGAGCACGATCCTCCACTTCCGACCCTGAGCGAGCTTGAGACATTCGTTATGGATTTGGTGCGCCAACTCACGCGTTGGGGCGAGGATGATAGCGCGGACGCCCGTCCCCACGTCGGCCTTCGTCCGAGAAATAGGCGAGCCCAGGAGGGACATGACAGGGAGCAGGTACGATAGCGTTTTACCGGTACCGGTCGGAGAGATGGCAGCAACATCCCGGGACTGACACGTAATTGTCAGACAATGCAAGTAGGATGGTAGGGCAGCACACGTACTTCCATGAGTATCGGGATGCCATGGGACTGTACGCCAGTAGGACGTTTATATCCGCTCTGCGTGAGGTTCGCGAGCAAGTAAGGTGGTGTCTGGTATCTCTCCTGCATTTGCTGAAAAGACTCTATGTGGTCGGGTACATTGGAGCCCTTCGCAGTGACACGGTGGCGAGGCATAGGTGGGTCGTCTTCGTCGGATTGCTCTGCCTCCTCCGCATCCCCGTCATTCAGCTTGCGCTTCTTCCGTCGATCAGACGGCTCTCCATTCGCATTTCCCCCCTCTTCCCCATCTGCCTTTAATGAGCGCTTGGATGAGCCCCCCTGAGCGTATTTGAAGAAGTCTAACTCCGCAGGTAGGTCGCCGTCGGCAGGTCGTGCGACAGCCTTGCCCTTGTCTTGCTTTGTTTTCTGCAAGGACGTAAGTGCCCACGCAAGGAAGCACGCTGGCTGTCATACATACGTCAAAGAGCTGGACATCTTCCTTGAACCGCTTCTTGTCAAACTTCGCACCTCCACGAGAAAGAAGCTGGAACGCCTCCATTATTGCACAATGCTACTCGCCGGTCGTCTTGGGTGTGGACACTGTCGTCTGATCTGCTTGGACGGATCCACGTAGCAAGCACCAAAGAGAACGCGAAGAGATGATCCAAGCCAAGAGGTCAACGCTTTCTCGAAAGTATCTAGCCGAAGTCAGAGTACAGGAGGTTGCAGCCCGCGCGATCGGGAGTCGAGGTTTTCCACGAATGGGCACCATCACGTGACAGACGCGTCGATTTACATTCTTACACGTCCGACCTGCGTCCGACACTCATAATAAGTACTAGGACAAAGCTGCCATGTGCGACTAAGCTCTCTCTGCTTGTGATGGTTGAACAAAAATATACGTGCTAGTAGCTGAAATAAATAAGATACATAGTGCAAGGATATATGTGTTCCAAGCATGATCCATGCCAGTCTCTATGATGCTACTGGTGAAGACAACGCGGACGAAAGCGCGAGAACGTATCATAGTCTAGATATATCATTCAGCGGGAAATAGGTTCCGCCAGCCATTCTTCAGTTGCTGTAGGTTTCGCGGCAAACCGGTCAGTTCCGCGTAAGCTCTCCTCAGAAGTCGAGACATACCTCTAAGAAGACGAACATGAAGATCGTGTTGGGCCCCAGACGGATGAAGGCAGGTGTCCAACCCTTGAAGAGGAACCTTGGACCCTCGTCACGCAATGATGTCTTCAGGACTTCAATCGGGTTGGATTTGCCCGACTGCAGGCTGTCAACGCAACGGACGGCAATTGGAAAGGAGACACACACCGCCGACATTAGTCGTGACCTCATCACATCAGCAGGCGAGCAGACAGCTAGATGGGGTCTGAGTATCAAAGTGAATTTTCGAGTAGAAGCATGGCGTACTGGTAGCCACGGTGCCGGCAAGTGTACTAGCGACCATGTGCAGGCCCAGGTTGTCCCGGAATTGGTAGTTCACGACGGGTAGCTGATGTCGTAGGAACCATGACTTGAAGAAATCATATCTGCGGATGTGGAGTAGAAGCACCAACCAGCTACGTCGCAGCCCTCGATACTCACGACCACACTTGCGAACCGTTCATCAGTACCGCTCGGACCTACACAAGTCACCTTCAGCGCCTGGGCACATCGCAAGTGCTGGTCAGCGTACCGTGTTAGTCCCGAGTCCTCTGAACAGCCCCCTAACGCCTTCACTCCGAACAAGTTGCACAAGACCGGTGAGAGCATTTGAGTAGTTGTACCGCTTCTCTGGTGGTCGAATAGAGTCGCTGGTCATCCGCACCAGCAGAATATCTTCCCGATACAGACTGAATACAAATTCGATGTGAGACGCCGGCGCGCGTACCTGCCGGGTTCCCTGCCACACCGCCGAGTCCACCCGCCGCCATCGCTGCCAGCAGCAGCTTTCCCGAGGACGGCGGACCGTCGTTGGACAAGCGCGACTTCATCTCCTCGTAGCTGCCCAACCGGACGAGGGAGTACGACATCTGCCGAAGCAAGGAAGCCGTGAGCCCCGTGTAGAGGCTTCGGAATCCTTGTTCGGCAACCGTCATGCGGAGAACAGAGCCAGTCGAAGGTCGCTTCTGGCCAGGGACCGATGGGATGGTCTGCATCCTCCTGGAGCCGCATAACGGGCGCGAGATCATTGAGAGGCAGGGCGGAGTACTGAAGATGCGATACTCACACTTTGGTGAGATCCAGCGGGTGCGTACATGACGCTGCCACTATGGAGGCGTCTGTCGGCGACTACATGGTGGTAAGGAATAGACTGAGTACGTACTGGAGCCCGCGACCCCTAGCGACCCAGTTCTCTATTCAGTTCGCGTCCTCGTGATGTCATGCGGAGACTCACCGCCCAACCTGGAAGGTCACAGATGTCAGCAACTCAAGCAGCCCCTGAACGACGGCGCACGTACCAGAAGGGATACGTCTGTTTCTTCGTCATGGTCGTGTGGAGAGCGGCGGGATACCGTGTACCATTTAACTTAAACGGGCGGCGGTGGAGGATGCCCGGGAGAGCGAGGTTTTCGTGCTTGCCGCGTAGGCGCCCATGTATTCTGTCTAGTAACGGACCGGAGTCGCGTTCCTCCCACGGTTCTCGGCCGACCAGTGGCGGAACTCCGTTCATATATCCGTACTTACTTACTTCTTACAACGTAGCTCTTGCCCGTCGCACAAGTATCTCGACGACTCGATGTTCATTCCTCAGGGCGAAAACTACTCCTGTTTCTCTGCTACAACAGCGCATCCAGCAAACAGACATAGGGCGGGGTGCCAGTCATAGTATTGAGCGTTCGCCGTTCCTGCGAGCTCCACGCAACGGACTGGAGTGCGCACGCCGCATAACTGCCGTCGATGGTTCGGCATGTGCGTGTAAGTAGATATAGAGGCTCTCAGGCGATATGGGCAAGTTGACTCATCCGTATCAAGCAGACTCAACGGTCAACGTGACTAGTGGGCTGCCGCATCTGCAATATAATCAATACTGACATGTCAGATTAATTCGTCTTCCTATGCTTACTCACGTCCCAGACTACGGTGGCCGACTCAAAGCACCGGTGCACCTTTGCTTATCGTATATGAGTACCGATGCTGGCGTGTGCGACGTGTTGCTCTGCGGTCAGGTTATGGGCGGTAAGTATCAAGTTTCTAATCACCACGGCAGGCCGATTGCTCCGGACGTACAGTGAGCAGATCAGGAATATCAGCCGGGAACGAATGCTCGACGCTTCATATCGCTTGCTGGACAATGCACGCAGAACCCCGATGACCAGATGTAGTCGCCTGTGGCAGCCGCTGCTCGCCCGGCCCCCATTTATGCGATCTCCGTGAGTCGGATTGTCTCCCAGTCTTCGCAGCTGTTCCTCAGAACCGAACATTTGCAGCCCCTTCTCAAAGTCTCACCGCGATTGCGTAGACTAGGAAATCATAGACAGTACAGAGCTTCCGCGCGCCGGGAGTTTGACAAGTTGATCGAGGCTAGACTCGATACCAGTTACGGAAGGGTGCACGTGCTCGCCTTGAGAGGGCGGAGATTGAAAAGGCGAGCAGTCACCCTACCGACTGGGCCAACTGGGCGCGCGCTTAGGGGGGTCCCGCATTTGGTACCCCGTGTGAATCGAGACTTAGAGAAATCGCGCGACGCGCACTCAGAGGAGCGAGACGATCGCTTGGTGAATGCGGCGGGCCACTCTGGGACGGTCTAGCACGGCGCAGTCTCGTTCTTGAACACTAATCATAATTCATATCTACGTCATCCTCGTTATCCAACGAGAAAAATTCCTGCGGCTGCAGCCATTCCGCGACCAGCTCATCCTCCGAATCATCGCTTTCCAGTGCGGTTTCGTCTGTGGCCTGCACCTCTGCAGGGACATCTGTGCCGCTATCACCCACAGATCGTGATGCAGAGGCCGTCAAATCCTGAACAGGGCCATCTGCCACTGGCCCTTCGCTTCGCGGCGCCATGGTCGCAGTCGTGGCGGCCGGGGTCGCACCGACCAGTGGTATCGTGCGGCGGCGGCGGTCTTTAAGCAATTGGAACGTCTTGTTGTACTCGGTAAGCGGTCCCGCAAGCTGTGTTAAGCCTGCAGAAACAATGTTAGGAACACTTCCCTTGTCTCCCTCAATGACTCGGCCGGGCTGTATCTCGTACACGCGGGCCTCCGCCAACGAGGACCGAAGTGCTTCAATATCTCGAGCAATATTAGGTGCGGCGTGCTTTGTCCCTTGTCTCGAGCCCAGAGCATCATTCATGTTGGTTACCAGGTGACGGAGAACGTTGATGCATGGTGAGATCATCTCGAGCCAGTCCCAGGATGCGCCGCTGCCCTGCGCACTATATATTGTCTGTACATAAGTTGTGAGCATCCACTCCACCGGTCCGTCTGCAGTCAGTGCACGAGCTAACCTTTGTCCACAGGTTGTTATGTTCCTGTAGTAGATCTACAGGTAACCAGTGGTTTGCCTTGCCGGTAGTGTTGACGAGCCAATTCTTCATGATTATCTCCCTGTTTGAACGTACTATACTGTCAATAATGGGTCTTCGTAAGCAAATAGTCATTATGACGTACTTCAATGGCTTCGGCCATACATGAGTAAGGTTGTGTATGAGGAACAGCAGCTCCTGTGCGTACTTGGTTCGCCCACTGCCTCGGTAGCTCAACGCCAAGACCTTCAAAACGATGACGAGCCGGCCAGAGTCACCGGCCTTGATTGAATCATTCATCTCGCGCAGAACGAGCGCATCGCGGAGGAAGAGACATGCGTTCTCATACACCATGTCTCCCTGCGTCAGCTTTGGCATTGGCTCGCCTGGGTCATCAAGAGAATTGTGAAGTACTTCGCGTGCGCGTGCGCTGCGCAGCGTCGACACGGCGGCTGGATTGACGAACCGATCCATAATCTGTTGTACGTGTTGCTTCAGGTCGCCAAGAGTAACCGCATATGAGTATTCCTCAAGGTCCTCGCACCCAGAGACAAGCTCTAAGCAATGGATGATGCGGCCGTATAGCGAATGGAATATGAGATCACGTCCAATACGGTACGGCGGGCGATTGCTGAGGATGAAAGGCTTACGGTCCAAGACCGTGTTGTGCCAGACGAGGGAGGCCGGATCATGAAGACCTAGGCTAGGGCTTCCCCAGTGTGTCTCGAGCAATCCGTGAGCGGCGGCCATCTGGTAATGGAAGAAGCCAGGGGCGAAAGCAGTGAAGAGATATGAATTGGAGAAGGAATCATGGCCGGCGCGATTGTTGATGACAGATCGCACCCGAGCGACGGATAGCTGGTCACCAAAGACAACCTTAACGGTTTCCGTGAAAGCCGGCGAGCTGAGGTCATGTCCCAGCTCAGTGAACATAGCCTGTAAGACCTCTGCATTGCCCTTCACTGTCGCCTCTTCGATGTTCATTGCACGAAGCGGGTACACGTCTGTCTTGTGGAGAGCAATGCGGTCGGGCGTCTTTGGTTGCAGGTGGTCGACCTCCTCGCAGAAGCGCGTGAACCCGTCTCCACCATGCGAGACAATGACGCGGAGCAGCGCGTGTTCGAGAAATGAGTCGAGCTGGTCAGTTTCAGCAGGGGTAAGGAGAACGTCTTCACGGGAGAGTGGTGGCGCGTTGGTAAATGCGTTCAAGAAGTCGACGGTCTTCATGTCTGCCGGTGGTGCCTGGAATAGAGGGAAAACGGTGGCGCACGTCCCGCTCTCAACAGAGCTCTTGTGACCCATCGTCTGCTCGGGAGCATTGAGAATCCAGTTGATATTGTCATAGACATGTCCAAGTTCATGAATGCGGACCTGCGCTCGCGCGCTAGAGCGACAAGCTTCTGATAAACGCCGGAGGAGACCTGCGCGTCGTTCAGAGAGTGGTATTGGCACACTACTGCCTCCTTCATCGGGCTCGTTTTCATCTATCCCACTCAACGCATCGTCGAATGACTGCTCCCCTGGGGCCTCGCGAGGGTGGTTCACTTCAGGGATGCGGTCCGGTACGTTGTCTGCGTTTGGTACCTCGTCCGCGTTTGATACCTCGTCCGCGTTCGGTACATCGTCCGTGTTCTGACACTGCACATTGGCCGGCGCAGCCGGCTCTGGGCCACCTGGCACAACGTCGTCAACACCTTCAAGGTCGCCAGGGTCGGTAGAAGCATCGGGATGATCGCGGGTGGTGGAAGAGGTTCCGGCAATGCTGGTATAGCTACTGCAGATACCTATGTGCGATAGGACACTGATTGTCTGGCGCTGTGCGCCAGACGCATACAGATACAGGCCTACAACGTGCTTGGCGTAGCTATTATTCTGGCTTCGCTCGCCCAGGAGGGACATCAATGCGGCACCGACACGCTGAAGGCATGTCTGTCATTAACAGTGTGACACAATTGGGACGAATAGATTGGGACAGACCTGGTCATTGCGTTGCTCGGACTTTGCGGTAAGCGTCTTCATCTGCCGAGTCGTCATTGAGAACTCCCGAAGCATTGCAGCCATCGTCGGGCAGAGGGCGCGCAGGCGATCGTATAGTCCCATCAAGCTGAAGTTCAGCGCAAACGCCTCGTCAACCACCTTCTTGCGTGATTGAAGTAGGCCGTCTCGCGTTGCTTGGTGACCCTCGTGAGCAACGTGCCGTTTCACGTACTCGAGGATCCACTCATGAATCGCACTGCGTGCAGTTGGACTGTTCTGCGACGATGTCCAATGGCTCAAGACCGCTTCGACTCGCCCGGGGATCCCAAACATGCCCTCAAACCGCGCATCACCGTTCTTCGAGCTGGGGTCGGAGACATAGAGGACAAGATCTCCCCAGTTGAGATCCTGCCTTCGTAGGAAGGTGAGTACCGATGCAAGCCGGTCTTCCCGCGACACACAGATCCGATTGAAATCGAAGTCGTCCGCGCCATCAGGATCGCCGCCAATCACCATGGTATTTGGACCCACATCTGCATGGATGCTCCCTCCGAGCACAGTCGAGCGGTATGCGGCGTTAGCTGCTCTTTGTTTGCGCTGGTCTTGAAGTGTTCGCTTACGTTGTTTTTGGCCTTTCGAACGAGCGATCCTCTGGCGTGTAGCTGGACTTCCACGGATAGGAGTTGAACGGATTGGACCACTGCTGCTCAAAGCGTGAACATCGGGGAGATGGCGGTGAGTGCTTGGAGGTGTCTGTGGCTGACCACTGGGTAGACGGAACGGAAACACAGGAGCTTGCGGCTCGGGCAGGACTCCAATGTCCCAGTGTTCAGGAGTCCTCGCAGCGGCGTCATGATGGTCAGCCGTGGAACCGTGGCCGATGGAAGGCGGGGCGGACGGGACTAAAGGTGAGTCAACCAGGGTAGACTCATGGGTTCGGTGAAGCGGTGAACTTGAAGCTAGAGGCGATGATGGGGGTAGGGGTGACATTGAGATGAGGTCCTGGAGTGCGAGAGGTAGATGATCAATTGGAGGGTCAGACATTTGTCCTGAGAGTTGTGAGAATGGAGGAGCAATGTATATCGATGTCGTAGTGAGTGGCAAATAAAGAGGTCGATTTCGGCACTGTGGCAACAGTCTGCGCGTCTCGACTACAAAGCTACGACCATCGCCAACGGCCCTACAGCTCATTAACTCTCCTCTTTCATCACTCTTCCGCTACAGACCATGCTCCCTCGGCACAAAGATGCAAAACGACATGGCTGGGCTCAGAAGCGTAGGGACAAGGCTGTCAAAGGACGGCAACGTCGGCCCCTAACAGAAGACGACGTGAGCAAATTGTCAGTGCTCATGGAAAACAGTTACCATTGGAAACCGCGCACTTTCCAAGTCGAAGGTGTTCGTGCGCAGCTCGAGGGAGTCGACACCATCATACAGGCCCCGACAGGATCAGGGAAGACAGCCATAGCCGCGGGTGTACACCTCTGGCCTGACGGGCAACCCAAGGTCACTATAATGGTGTCGCCGCTTCTCGCCCTCGAAGATGAGATGGTATGTAGAATCTCTGACACCTAGAGCAACTCTGATGTCACTGAATGTTGGACAGGTGACGACGTTCAAGGACCAATTTGGTCTCAATGCCATAGCTGTCAGCAGTCAACACGGATCTTGCTCGCCAGCTGTCGTAAAGGTGAGCATTTTGGCCGTGTAAATGGAGTAGTATCAACTCACCTCAGGACTCAGGACATTCTCGCTCTGAAGTATCAGATCATTCTTGCTTCACCCGAGATGTTGCAGTCGCGTACCTTCATCAACCGTATCCTTCGCAACTCGAAGTTCACGCGCAACATTATCTCACTCGTCGTAGATGAAGCGCACTGCGTCTCACATTGGGGCGCTGATTTTCGAAAGAAGTATGCGTCACTGGGTGTCATCCGTGCATTCTTGCCACGCGGAACACCTGTCATCGCTGTCACCGCAACCCTTACGGGACGTGTCCGCAGGGATATTCAGAGTAAACTCCACTTCCCAAAACGTGGCAGCCGCTTCATCAACATGGGCAATGACCGCTCGAACGTTTCCCTTGTTGTCCGCGCCGCTGAACATCCATTAAACACCTATCGGGACCTCGAATTTGTCGTCCCGCAGTCAGCCAAACAAGCCAGCGACATCCCTAAAACATGGATCTACGTGGACAACATCAATACGGGCACCGAGATCATCGATTACCTCGTCAAGGAGGTCCGGAGCCGTACGACCGCCAATCCCGACACGACCTTGTCAGCAGATTGTATCCGGCCTTTCAATGCAACACTCTCACCTGAATATCGCACTGCTGCGATGGCCGCGTTCCGGGAGGGTTCTATCCGTATCATGGTATGCACTGAGGCAGCAGGCATGGTGAGTCAACATCCATCGATGCGAAACACATCTCTTACAGCGAAAGCAACAGGGTTGTGACATTGCCGATATTGACGTGGTCGTGCAGTGGAAGCTCCCGGGAACGTTCTCGAATTTTGTCCAACGCGCAGGCCGCGCCGCCAGAGGGCGAGGGCGACAAGGGCTCGCCGTCCTGATCGTTGAGCGCACCGCCTACACCGTGGATCTATCAGCTTTGCAGAGCACTGACGAGTCAAACACTGGTACTCACGGAAAGGGCAACACCTCGGCGACAGTACGCGGGCGCAAGCGCAAAACTGCCCCGCAAGTCAAAGCCGGCAAGGACTACGCGGAATTGCATGGCGTGAATCGGGGTGGCTCGTCTGGGAAGGATGCACCACCGCAAGGCACGCAGCCTCCGCTGGATCCCGAGTCTCTTGACGAAGGGCTGCACACGTTCGTGCAGAGTACCCACTGCCGACGGCGTGTCTGGGCCGAGGTCTTTGAGAGTCCTTACAAATGTCAGTATTGCTTTTGTAGCCCAGTCCGTCAATTCACTTACTTAACCGAGTCCAGCCGCTTCTGGTCCATGCTGCGACATATGCGACTCGACCCTGTTCAATCGCACACGTCCGAGTGCCGCGACGAAGGCTCCCAAGGCTGCGAGAATCCCCCGAGGCGTGCCCGATGTCAAGACGGAGCTTAGTTTGTACGAGTGGCGAGACGACATCTTCATCCGCGACCATGCGAAGGCGCAGTACGATTCGACGGCCATCTTGGATGATGCGACCATCGAACGGCTGGCATCCGCAGGCTGTCTGCCGCGCAACACCCTCACGGCAATTCTTAAGTCGACCTGGATCTGGTGGGACCGGTATGGGGCGGAGTTAACATCTCACATGGAATCGCTTGACGTTGTGTTCACCCCCCCGCCGAAGAAGGCCAAGGCAGGGCAAACAACAATGTCGCTCTCCTCCGCCTCAGCGACGGTGCCGTTAGCCACGCCATCAACGCGCGCAGGAAACACGCAAGCGGACGACTCCTCCACCCGCGCAACCGAGTCGCAGCCTATCGCAAGTGGCTCGACATCTGCGCCCGCATTGACGAAGAAGCGTGCTTCCGGCGCCGACCTCGACGCACCATACACCGACACCACGCATACGAGCAGTAGCAGCATTCCACCGCGACCAACTAAGCGGCGGCGTAAGGCAACCGTGCCGACCGCGTCGACCGCATCGGAAGTCGTAGCACCACTGCCAGTGCTTGCTGACCCGCAAACGACCTCCGTCTCCCATACGCCACCTCATCACTCGCTCGCATCCAATCATCATAACGCACCTGCAGGTCCTGCATGCAGCTCCGCCACGTCGATCACCCGCCGCGAGGTCTCCGTTCAGCTTGACCACGCCGCTCAAGCGGCGGTACAACGCGTGGGCCACTCGGAAGGTCATCTTGCAGGAGCCTCGGGCAATGATGGTGACAGGGCAGGCTCTAATACGTACGATGCCTTCTGGGGCTCTTTCAAATGGATGTCCGCGCGGTCAGATCACTCCCCGAGGTCTGGCGAGGGTACATAGACGGCTCCGAGCAGGCTTGTAGCAGTGGGTGCGACTCGGATTGTACACTGTATCAGTAGTACATATTTGCTTGTAAATACTCCTGTTCTTGACCTGATGTATAGTGAGACACTGCAGAGGGACAGATAATATAGATACGCACCAGAGAATAAGCCCAGAGCGAAGCCCTCGCTAAGTACCGAAGGCCGCCCTTGCGCTCCCAAGGACGACGCGCGCGATTTCTCTAAGTCTTGATTCACACGGGGTACCATATCCGGGACCCCCCTAAGCGCGCGACCAGTTGTACCAGCCGTTCTTCGAACGCTCATCGGAGTTCGAAACGGCTGGTCACGAGCCTAGATCGAGGCCATCCGCGGACGTTCCCGAAGACACGATCGGCGATCGCGTGTGCCATCACGTGGGCGGCGCGCGTCGCAGGCACCCAGCACGCGCGTCGGTGGCTCTCTGACCACCAGCTCTCCACCCGCCAGGAGGCTAGCCGTGCAGTGCTGCGATGGAGTCTCTCCGAAGCCATGCCTCGGACGCGCCTCACCTGCCCTTGTCCTTTCCGCTCACCTCCATCCCGCATCGCTTTGTCGTCAAAGCACTGTGACTGCGCCGGCCCTGCTTTGTTCGGACCCGACCCAGCACTTGCTTATTTAACGACTCCACATCTCGGCCGGGACTTGCAGCCTGTTTCTCTCTCCACGACCAGCTGAGTTTGTTTTTCCTCTTCGACCTCGACGGTTATCATCCACTCCTTCATTTTCTCTCTCTCTCTCGCCGCCATGATTGTTCGCTTCCCTCTTCTGCTCTTCCTTCTCGCCAATGTCGCGCCTTTGGACGCCAGCCTGCTATCTCGAGGCTCTGAGTCGGTCGTACGCGCGGCCACCCGTGCTCAGCAGCGGGGCGTGGGCCTCGTTCGTGATGTGCGACTTGCATATTCGAGCATGCTCATTGGACGGTCCGACGACTCGGCCTCGCAGCAGCCATATTGCGTAAACGTTGCGTCCAATGGATCATCACTTACCGGAGGAGGCGATTCTGGAGGAGGGAGCGGAGGCGGCTCAGTGGTCGGGTCTGGGACGGTGCGTCCCTCGGGAACGTCGTCTGCAGTTCCCGCCGCTAGTAGCAGTGCAGCTTTGTCTTCTCCGTGGAAGCTCAAGCAGAGCTACGTGAGTTTTAGTAACTTTACTACTGCATGATATCATCAGTCCTGACCTACAGTAACTCGTGATGTAGGAGGGAAGCTCCTTCTTCAATGGATGGTCGTTCTTCACTAATACTGATCCGACTGGTGGAACGGTTGACTATTTGGATGGATCCGCTGCGGTGGGTAACCTTCTCCATCCCGTCACCCTTGTGTTCTAATGACTCAAACAGCAATCCGCGAACCTGACTGGCGTCAACAGCGCCGGGAACGCCTACATGCGGGTCGACACCACGCCCGTCGTTTCTGGCGCGCGCAAGAGCGTGCGGATCACGACTGACTTCACCTACACGCAGGCACTCATCGTCCTTGACGCGGTGCACATACCCACTGGGTGCGGGACGTGGCCCGCGTTCTGGTCGAACGGCCCGAACTGGCCCGCTGGCGGGGAGATCGACATCGTCGAGGGTGTGAACACGTACACGAACGACCAGGTCACGCTCCATACGAACACCGGGTGTTCGCTGCCCTCGACGGACGCGAGTACGCTGGGGATCTCGGGGACGCTGGTTAGTAGCCAGGACTGCTCGGTGTCGGGCACTGGGGATACCGGATGTGGCGTGCGATCTACTGCGACGAACTCGTTCGGACCTGGGTTCAATTCGATGGGTGGCGGTGTCTATACGAGTACGTTTAACTTCATTTTCTGAATGTGCACACATGCTGACTACGATTGATCATTTATAGTGGGGTGGGACGATAGCGGCATTACTGTCCACTTCTTCCCTCGCAGCTCCATCCCGAGCGACATCACCTCAGGCGCACCCAACCCATCGGCATGGGGAACGCCCATCGCCAGCTTCCCCTCTTCCTCATGCAACACGACGGAGTTCTTCTACGACCACTCGGCTATCTTTGATACGACGCTCTGGTAAGTCTGTCACTCGTGCGCTTGAGATGAATGTCGCTGACACTCCCTTGCAGTGGCGCTTGGGCCGGAGATGGTTGGGCCTCCACCGGTATACCTGGGCAGGAGACCAGCTGCGCTTCGATGACCAATACAGCGACGTGCGCAGACTACGTCCTGAATAATGGTGCGGCGTTCAATGAAGCATGTGAGTGAGCTCTCGCCCTTGGTCGTATTGTCGCGTACTAAGGTATTGCTTTGTAGACTGGGAAGTTAAGAGTGTCAATATCTACCAGAAAAGCTGAAGAGTTCCCCTTGTAATGCTGCGACGTACATCTTCTCCCAATCTCACCTTCTTGTGGACATGTATCCTACGACGTTATTGTATCCCTAGCTGTTCCACCATGTAGACTGAATTGCTGAAGTCATTTTAACACTGCGCTTTCTGAGTCTCAACGTATCGCTGGAGGACCGAGGTTATCTCGAGTCAGCAAAGAGGCATGCACGACGCGAGGCAGACGCACTGAGGCCCGATGAAGATCTGGTCGTAGGGTGCGGGGGATCGAGATGGACGCGTGCACGTGCTGGGAGGACGCGTCGTGTCACGGTCAAGTCACGGTTGTGTTCGTGTTGTCCAAGTCAATCTGCCTCCGCCTGCGATCTGCTTCCGCTCGCCACTACAGGCACCCCGCCAGGTGCCATACACCCCACCCTGGACCCATAAACCACCCCATATCAGGCCTACTTTCTCTATTACTTATCACCCGGCTCACCATTGTTCGCCAAAAGCGGCTACCGTTGGCCCATTGTGCCGCGCGCGAGCCCGCCTGCCATGGCTGAGTTTCAAAATAGCCGACCGCTGCACAAAGCGGCCGCGCTGCGCGTCGACTTTGACGTCTCACTCGTCGACTGTGAGGTGGAGAGAATACGCGCGATGAAGATAGAGGACGAGGTCGTGCCAGATAGCGAAGAGGAGCGGCTCCAGTGAGTCCATTCGCTTGCCAGTTCCCGCATTTCAAGTTGCCATATACTGAACCACCGAATGTCGGACTTAGGCGTTCCAAAGCGAAGAGACGCGGACTTGCTGATGGGCAGAGAGTAGACGTGATTGAATTGGCTTCTGATGAAGAGGAAGAGGAGTACATGTGGGTCCATGTTACTCCTTGCCACTGAGTGTCTCACACGTTCCTGTAGCCCTGTTCGTCGGCACGGTGCTGGCAAGACCCCTCGTGCTCGTCGCGTTGTACAGAGCACTGACTGTGAGAGCTCTGAGAATGAGCCTGGAGATGGCGCAAAGTCTGCTTCTCAGACGCAGCTGCCACAACGCACTATCGCTCCCCGAACTCCGGGGAAGAGCACGGGTCCAGTCATCGACCTGACTCTCAGTTCTTCGGAGAGTGATGGCGAGGACATTGTACCAGCGAAGGGCAAGGCGTCGAAAACGCAGGCCTCACGACCAACATCGCGAAACGCTACGTCCCACGGGCTCCTCTCGTCGCAGGACGGCGAGAATAAGTCCACCATTCCCTTGTTTGCTGACGGAGACTCAGATGACGATGACCCAATGAGCGTGGACGACGGCTCAGTTTTAATATTGTGAGATCATTCCCTCCATTCGCCATTACAGTGGCTCAGTTGTCTGGCCAGCAACGAACCACGGAGTGCGCGCAAGCCACTTCGCACGACAAACCTCACTTACCCTTCTCGCAACCCGCCCTCGAGCTCGGCACCCTCCACGCCCAGACGCCGCATCGTGTCTATCCACTCAACTGACTCGGAGGAGTCAGACACCGACGCAAAGTCGGAGGCCAGCGCGCGCTCAGCGAAGCCGGCTCCTAAGCCGAAAAAGACAAAAGCGACCAAGGCACCAAAGCTGAGCCAGAGGGCTTTGGAGGCGGCAGAGCTACAGCGGCGAACGACGTATGCGAGGACGTTCTTCGAGGAGATGAACAGGGAGATATTCGGCTGTGGTTTGCCGAGCAAGACCGAATTGAAGTGGAACAAGAGAATGACGTCGACCGCCGGCAAGGCATCGTGGCACAAGTCAGTGGATCCTACTCAGTTTGAGTGGGCATAAGCTAATAGGCGACGGTGCCCACATTAGAACCAGGGACGGCGCGCAAACCACTCAGATCGAGTTGGCTGTCAAGATCCTCACTGACGATGGTCTGCATCGCATCTACCAGGTCATGTCTGAAGCACTGAGATTATCTTGTACACAGAACGCATCCGGAATACGCTTTCGCATGAGATGTGCCACCTCGCCAGTTGGGTCATCAGTGACGCTCCTTCAGAGACCCACGGTGACATCTTCCATGGATGGTGGGTAGCTGCGGACGTCGAGCTGTACGGGTTGGGTGAGATTGAATGATGTTCGCAGGGCGAGGAAAGTAATGCGTGCTCGTCCTGACATCGAAGTGACGGTACGAGAATAACTATATAGTGCCCAGGTCTGTCTGCTAATGGGATTGCCTTGAGCGCAGACGAAGCACAACTACGAGATTGACTACAAGTACGAATGGAGTAAGCAGCACCCCTCATGAATGTGTTGCGTTGTGGCACTCACCGATCCGCTCGCTTGATATGCGCATAGAGTGCCAAGAATGTGACAAGATGTAAGTATGGCCCTATTGGTTGACGCAGGGCGATACGAAAGTTCACATCTGACTTCTTCAGCTATGGTCGTCATAGCAAGTCGATCAACCCCGACGAGTGTGGTAGGTCCTCGCCGACTAAATACTCCTCTTCATATGTTCACGGCTGGGCATGTCAAGTATGCGGCGCATGCAAGGTCGGGAAACTCATCCCAATGTTCCCTACAACACCACGTGTACCGAAGACACCTCGAAGGAAAGCCGGCAGCGCTATGGCTTCTGTTAAGGGTCGCGGTGCGTGTAATTCGCAGAGACATTGACTGTGCTCAATCTTTGCTTACTGGGCGCGTAGACTCGCCTCTGACGATATCATCTCCCATCGTCATTCAAGACGACGAGGTAGAAATGACCGTCAAGGTCCATATTACCCAGGAGACACCAACTCGCACATGGGCGAAGACAACGAAAACACAGGCTGTCCCAGGGGCATTCCCTCTTGATGATGACGAGGACGACGGAGAAGACGACGTGCAGCTGCTCACGTGTGTCTTGGGAGGTCTCACGATTTGATTTGGGGTATTTGAGGAAACGGATTCTGGATGGAAGATACATATCTTGTGTGCTGAATCTTGTCTATATGATCTATCTACTGCGTAGGAAAGGATGGTCAACTGTGTATTCGAATCTGTAGAGTCGTGGACTAGTACTGTGTACACCACTTCATATCTTTTCACATAATGCTTTGACCAGCGATGTCATATCTTGATCCTTCCTCTCATTGATGTCCGAATGGGGATCGGCACTGAGTACTTACTACTGAGCGAGTATCCCTGAGGGTGCAACAAGCTCTGAAGGATGATGCATGATGAGTTTAGGCACTCAGACTAGCAGTCGGAGGGGTTGGTAAAGGGAGCAAAACAAAAGAAGCTAGCCCACCGCGAGGGTCGAACTCGCAGCCTTCAGATTGCGGAAGTACGCATGTCACCACGCCGTAAGAGTCTGACGCTCTATCCGATTGAGCTAGGCGGGCGACAACGAAAACGACGGCGTTTGCAAAATGACTCGTCGCTGTGCAGTACATCTGCAGGCGCCCGGCGTTGAGTCGCATTCGGTCGGCTTCTGCCGCACTTTCGGCAGATGCCGTGATCTTTCGCAAACCTTATTCAGCGAGCCACTGTATAGCACAACACACCCTTCGTCGTCGCCACCAACGGCAAGCCGTACCGCAACACCAGCCCAGGTGAGTGAACTGCTGCCCGTGCCGTATACACCCTTTCCGACGCCTCTCGCACCTGCCGCAGTGCATCTCGCCAGCACCCTCAAGCCCTCGCCAAAATGACCCACGACGCCGTTTGGTTCTCTCGTCCCCGCAAGTACGGCAAGGGCGCCCGTCAGTGGTGAGCTCTACATAACCTTCAACGGCGCGAAATTGGGAAGCTGAGTCTTGTCGCGTCAAGCCGCCACTGCGCGCACCAGGCTGGTCTCATCCGCAAGTACGGCCTTGACCTCTGCCGTCAGTGCTTCCGCGAGAAGGCCGCCGCCATCGGGTTCGAGAAGGTATGTGCTCTTGTACTCTGAGAGTGGTCTGCGCGTGCTGATCACGGTTGGTTTGCCTAGACCCGGTGAACTATGATGTAGCCCTCATCTCGTCCTCTGTCCGTCGCATTGCATTCTCTCCCGGTTTTCTCCCGTCGCACTACCAAAACCGCGCACCCCTTGTATGCACCGCTATGATATGCTGAGCAGGACCCTTTCCCCATGCCTCTGGAAGTGTCATTGTGTGCGAATGGGCGTTGCCCAGGTTCCCAACCCGCCTAGCGCCCTCAGCAGTGCACTGGCATGCAGAAAACACAGTATGGCTTGCATTCCGTGCAGTGCGATACTACAACTTAGTCATGTCTATATGATTAAATGGCGACCGTGAATCCTCCATGAATACAACCTCTAGAGCAACCTATCCAAGACTTCCAGAACCAAGCAACATAAGATACAGCATAGTACAGTGTCAGTGGTCGTGTGTGTCGTCAAGATATCCCTTCGTGATGGAGAGAGAGCAAGATTATGAGCTTTCCTGGTAGATCTTCACACTCTTGACCTCCCAGTCTATGAAACATCTGTCAGTAAGCTTGAAGTTACGACAGAGACGAACACTTACAGGCATTAGCAAAGCCATCGCCGTGACCCGCGACGTATTCGGCACAAGTCGACACGCCGGTCGTAGCAGCACAACTCTGCTCCTGACCGGGGACACCCGACTGCCCCCAGGCATTACCCGCCCATTGGCCGCTACACAAGAATATGAGACGATTGCACCTCGGAACAATATGTCCTATACTTACCAGAGTGTGGTATCGAAGATCGCCTGGTGGTCGTAGAAGTACTTGGACATGGTGCAGTCTGTGCTCGGCCAGAACGACAAGGGCGTTCCCCAGTTGGACGAGTTCGGAGCACCGCTCGAGATGTCCGACGGGATCGACGAACGCTGGAAGAACCAGACTTTGATACCTTCATCGGTCCATTGCACTAGAATACATTTCAGTACACGACCATCTCGCCGTTAAACCGCAATACGCACTGGTGTACACCCCTCCGCCGATGGAGTTGAAGCCCGCACCGAAGGAGTTGGTGTTGCTCGACTGTACGCCACAGCCAGAGTCGTCCGACTCCGCGGCAGCGCAGTTGGTGCCACCGACGATGGTGCCGCTGATGCCCAACGTACTGCTGTCCCCAGACGGGAGATTGCAGCCGGACGAGGTGTGAATAGACGCCTGATTGATGGTCAGGCTGTTCACACCCTCGACGATGTCAATCTCGCCACCGTTCGGCCAGTTGGGGCCTGCGACGGGATGTTGGGATCGCGGATACTAAGCAGAATCTAAAGCGACGCACCGTCAGACCAAAAGGCTGGCCAGGTGCCACAGCCAGTAGGAATATGTACGGCATCGAGGATGACGAGACCGCCGGTGAACGTGTAGTCTGTGGTAATACGGACGCTCTGGCGGTTGCCCGACACGGTCTGTGTCGTGTCGACGCGCATGTACGCATTTCCTGCGCTGTTGATGCCCGTCAAGTTGGCGGACGACTGCTGATACATGAGTGTGGCATCCTTTCGCAGCGTTAACACGGGGACTCACAGCAGTGCCCGAGTCGACGTATTGGACGGTTCCGTCAGTTGGATCGGACGCCGTGAAGAACGTCCAACCACTAAAGAAGGAATTGCCCTCCTACCCAGAGGTCAGCTGAACGCCACAAGGTAATAATCGGCGCACGCACATAGCTCTGCTGCAATTTCCACGGCGATGACGACGACGCCGCACTCGAGCTGCTGGCAGCAGATGCAGACGCTGAAGCGGTTCCCGATGCCTTCGCAGATGCACTGCCGCTACCAGAGCCGCCTGACGACCCAGACCCAGACGACCCGCCGCCACTCTCCGTGAGCCCATCGCCCGTAACACAGTACACACTCTGCGAGCTACTGTCCTGAGACACCAAGATCGGAGAGAATGCGCGTCGCAAGTCGCGAGCGAGATTGGAGCTGCGCTTCACCGCATGTCGGTGCGCAGAGTCGATGCTGCGGAGGATGTGCTCGGAGCCGCGGGCGAAGATATTGGCCTCGGAAGGGCCTGCGCTGGCGAGCAGGAAGAGGATGAGGGGGACACGGAGGTACATGGTGGTTGCGGCTAGAGATTGCAACAGGGAGAGAACCTCGCGACGGCGAGAGTGAAAACTGCCGACTAGGCTCAGCCTGGTGGCGACAGTGAGAGAGAAAGATGGTTCGGTAAAAGGACCGGAGGGGCGACTCGATCGCAGAGAGCGGGGGCGAGCACGAATCACGTAGGTCCGAGCTTATCAGCGTCGAGGACGAGAGAAGGAGAGGGCTTTCCGCGGTGTGGTGGAGGAACCGGCGAGGCAGAGGGCCAATCAGCGCAGCATGCGGGCAGGCGGCACCACAAACACGAGGCCATTGTCCCCTCGGTTTGTCCTCCATGATGTGCGTTACTGTGCTGTACACCTGCTTGTCTCGACGGCTGTGCGATGCCAACAGAGTCGACTGCGTTTGTGGCGATGGCTGAGGCTGAGGTGCCCGACGCGATAAGTGTTCGCGGTCCTCTGCCTGGTGGCGTGTCCCACGAAGGAAGCACATCCGCGTCTACGACCACTGCGGGTGGCCTGTTCCACAGATACCGGTACTGCCATCTAGTCCAGCGAAGTCTCTCTTTGCAAAGGGATAGCATTGGAGCGGAGGCGGTGGCAGTATATGGCTACTGTGATAAAACCTGCGACCCGGAGGCATAAGCAAGGTTCCTGAAGCTCGGGAACCCCGGAGATGAACTGGAAATGGGCGTCACTCTGCTCGAACGCAGCGGTGAGTGTATCTTCGCAGAGACTACCTCTGTGCATGTCTGTGGCAATCATACCCGGGTTCGTTGCGGATGACCAGCGCGAGAAAGTAGCTGAAGTGGTGGCCATTCCAATGTTAATAGGTACAGTACTATCGCGGCGACACATCGACAGTTATGTGACACTGACAGTGGCCTCCGACGGCCTCCGCCCGAATGCGATAGCCTGCAATATTGATTGACGATCTTCTGGGACTTCTACGTGGTCATCCTCACTTGGGCGTAGACATGATTGTCAACGGGCCCATTGGGCCGCCCAAGGCACTCATTCAAACGTTTGTTGACGCTCCGACGATCGGTCTTGTTCGACATCGGAACCGGAGGAGCGAGCTTGCGCTGTATTTCGCTGCATTTATCGGAGGCTCGGGGACGGGTTGGACGAGACCTGTCAATGTCAACGCTGCGCCTGATGGGCGTGTCCTCCTTATGACCGATTCCTCCCTGAGGACTCCTGACGCCTCTTGGCCTGTCACGGTGGGCACGGTATTCGACATGCCTTGTTGTCGCGGTTCAGGAACGGGCATCACTTCGCCGATGCAGGACATGTGTGGTATGTCGGCCTATAAAGGCCACAGCTGATTCCGGGGGGACACCCCGACAACTCTACTACATACTCTGTCATCACGCAGGATGCATACCCTCTCATTTGCTACTCTTGCCGTATTCGCCGCAATTGCAGCGGCTCAGACGTCTTGCCCGTCAGCGATGCCGATATCGCTTTGCTGCATTACACTGGAGCCTTTCAGCGACAATGCCTACGTCTGGGAGAACGTATGTGGGGTCACCGTCCCCGACACTACTATCTTGACTGCATCCGGATGTGCAGCCGGTACATCGCTATGGTGAGTCTAGCCTCGCCGCTGCGTCAGTCTACATTCCCCTGACCTTCGCCTCAGCGGTTCTCAACAATACGAGGATATGTATGCCGCATGCTGCCAGGAATATCTCAGTAGGTTTGTCGAGTCAGATCATTGATTGGTGTTGATCAGCTCTGCTGCCTAGACTGTCCGACTGAGGACGGCGCGGTTGCATACAACTGCACTGGAACCTTCCTGGAGTGACCTTTCGCTGGTTCATGCTCATTACACGTGGAAACAGCTGCGAGTACGGTATTATCTAAATGTCGAAATCCATGTATCTCAGCTTTCATGCGCTTCCGTTCCATTGAGTATGTCTTACGAATACATGAGCCGTTGTAATGTTCAACGCTCACTCATTGTCGTGCATCACTTGTAGTGCGTTTCGATGACTAAGTCCTCCTAGTCGTTGTCCTGCTGAACGTAAGGTGTACATAATTATTCTGTGAGAATCAGAAGTGAGATCGTGTCTGGTCATCGAAATATCCGCGACTGCACTTTGAACCTGCTGGCGCCATACGTTATATACAGTCAACTTTTCGTGCACTGTGATGCAAGGATTCTTGAATAAGACCTCGTTCTGAGTCTATCACATACATATGTCTCAGCCCGTCTTTCTCCTTCCCTGCGGCCAACCCTCGCTGAACCACGTCAGCTGCCAAAACGGGATTCACACGGGCCGACGTGTTCACAGTGGCGCCCGGGTAGCGCGTAGGGAAACCGAGCGTGTCGCGCGCGTACCGACCACTCACATTCCTGTCGTTTCTACCATGTCTGCTCATCCTGACGGCTCGACTCAACACACCCGACGGCGGCAGGCGCACCAAGATGCATCTGCAGAGAAAAAGCTACGGCCCGACGCTCTCGCGACCTCGCTAGAGAGCATCTCAGTGCGGCCTCGAACACCGAAGACCACGCGGAGTCGCCAGTGGGGCGAAGACGGGTCCATGGACGAGGTTGAGCTAAGCTTGCTGGATAAGGGCGAACTGCCGCAGGATGGGACCGGCGCGAAGGATGTGAAGCGGCCCATGTCTACGCGGGATAGACGGTCAATTACCCTACTCATTGTATTATGTGAGTGGGCTGTGCGCGCATGTCGGTGGTATGGTGCTGAACGTATGTCTTGAAGATTTAATCCAAGGGTTTCCTGTAAGTGCAAGCATCTGGGAGGGCCCTGGACACGGCTAACGCTCTACATGCACATGAAGCTGGGCCTTGCACTAGGTGAGTTTAGCAGTAAGTCGCGCCGACTTGTATTGACCTCGAAACACAGGATCCCTGCCATTCCTTCTTAGAGAACACCTGTCATACTCGCAGCTCGCCACCTTCTCTCTTGCAAGTTATCCTTATTCCTTGAAGCTATTCTGGTCGCCTATTGTCGATGCAGTATTTACTCCCAAACTCGGTCGGCGGAAATCCTGGATTATTCCCATGCAGCTTCTCGTTGGCTCCATCATGACGATATTGTCGTTCACCGCCGATGAGATGATGGAAAAAGTCAGTATGCATTGGTGACCACGCACGAGGTTGATCTGAGAAGATTCGTTGCAGCCAGCAGAATACATTAACGTACTGACAGCGGCATTTACCACACTTGTGTTCTTGTCTGCCACCCAGGGTTTGTGTCCTCCGCTTATTTGCTTCGAAACCGTGACTGACGGTTGGTTGCAGATATTGCGGTAGACGGTAAGACCTAACACAGGCAATCCACAAAACCATAACCTAACCGGGACCCAACAGGATGGGCACTTACGCTCCTGTCCGAAGACAACCTGTCATACGCATCCACTTGCCAAACTATAGGCCTGAACACAGGCTACCTTCTATCCTACACGGTGTTCCTGGCGCTGAACAGCACGGCGTTTGCGTACGTGCTCGATGTGTTCTCCTTCTGCGTGAGGTTGCAACAATTTCTACGCAAACAGGGCAAAATGGGGCATACCACGCCTCGAATTGAGCACATATCTGCTCTTCTGCAGTATGGTATCATTCGGCACGACGGTGTGGTTGTTCTTTGAGAAAGAAGTATGTCATCCACCCCAATGCGTGGTGAGCTGTGCATTGACCCTTCGAAGGACGAAGATGACGATGTCGACATGAGCATCAAGTCCGTCTATAAGACAATGTGGACCATCTGCAGCCTAAAACGTTCGTACGCATCGAGCCTCGCACTCGAATTGTCGCATTGACGCGCCTGACTATCGTAGATGTTCAAACACTGCTCACCGTGCATCTCTTCGCCAAGATAGCATTTCAAGCTCACGACGCCGTCACGTCACTCAAGATGGTCGAGAAGGGCCTTGGGCGTGAGGACATGGCAATTGCTGTCCTAATCGACTTCCCATTTTCGATTTTGGGTGGCTTGTTAGCGGGACACTGGTCCCGAGGCGACAAGCCGCTCGATGCTTGGATCAACTCCTACTGGCCGCGCCTGGCTCTCACACTCGCTTCAACCTTGACGGTGTACTACTTCCCGACACCACCAATCTCCACTGCGTTCTTCGTTCTCATCATTGTCGAGACTGTCGCTGCCTCATTCGCCTCGTGAGTTTGCTTAGTATGAAGTCACAGAGCCAGCGATTCTGATGCTCTTTCGAAGCACGATTCAATTCGGTGGTATGGCGGCATTCCATACGCGAGTCTCTGACCCAGTCGTCGGTGGTACCTACATGACAGTGAGCATTCTCGCTGTTGGCCGCCCCCCATGGCGTTAATTTCTTATTCAGCTGTTTGCCACCTTCTCCAACCTCGGCGGAACGTGGCCTAGATACTTCGTCTTGAAGGGAGTGGACTTCTTCAGTGTCGCTAGCTGTCAAATCGGAGGCGATATTGTAGTCCAAGGTCGGTCCCTCGATCTCAATAGCGTGCTGCTCGTGGCTCACGAATGCTATGATAGCCACCGAGTGTGTTTCTGATCACGGGAAGGCCGCATGCGCACAGCTGGGTGGTGAATGTGTGACGGAACAAGACGGATACTACACCGTATCTGCGATCTGTTTGGGTTTGGGTTTGTTGTCTGTGGTATTCTATATGATCCCTACTGCTCGGAAACTACAAGGTATGCATCGTCATATTGTGCGCTATCCCATCCTGACGATTCTGTTTCAGCTATTCCTCCCAGCAGATGGCGCGTCTTCTCCTCATGAGGCAATAATTCACAGTAGTTGGGGAGAGGAATATACTGTACTTATTTTGATACGGAGTGAAGGGCGGACACATTCTTTGACTCTGCAGGGAGCGGGCATTGTATCCACATGTAAAGGCTTGTAAAGGTGACCACAGTAGTTCAGCAGCGGTTACCATGACTAGTTCGAGGACAAAGAGGTTGTTGTGTGGCTCAGTGGCTGAGGCCGATGGCGCCGGCCCTGAGGTTGGTCACGCCGTCCGCGAGCGCGGGAGGCCACACCAAACCACACTTTGTGATTTTTCACATTACACTCGCACTGCATCGCTGCCTGCTAAGCTCGCAATTGCCCACCACACTGTGCGGTCTCGCCTTCAGACTCTGAGCTCCTGCCGTCAAAATGACTACAACTACGATGCACTTCGGTCCAGAATGGATGCGCACGAAGGGCCCTGCTCGCCCTGCTCCCGAGCCACTCCTCACACCCGCTGTACCTCCTGGGACGTCTACATACTCTGCGCTGGTATCGCCTACGCTAAACCCACCTCCTGAACGCCGAGATGTCTCCAACCCGTTTCGCTACTCCAAAGAGGAGATGCTTCGCATTTACAAGGAAGGAGGCGGTCGAGGTGGCCTGGGCTTGGAGGTGGAACGGTGGGACGGTATTGTGCGCGAGGTGGGGTGCGAGCCGGTTGGTTTGAAGGAGATGAGCGAGTCCGAGAAGAAGGTGCGGGCATGCGTTCACCGTATGAATGGCAATGACAAACGCTACGCAGCTCTTCGCGGGTTCGCTTAACTCTGAAATTCGTCGCCGTCAATCGACGGATGTCCTTTCGCCGCTGACCACCACACTTGGAGAAAGACCCAAGCTGGGCCACGCTGCGACAGCCGGCAGCCCGATGCGCGAACGAATGGGCGGCTTGATGGGCCGCAGGCGTGACAGTACAGGTGATTGAAGATCGGTCAACGTGTATGGGCAGTTCGATTCATACCTGACTTTGCAGACCAACAACCACTCGGCATCCCTCGGAAACTTTCACTGTCGTCCATTCAGGGGGGTGCGTTGGCGTCTTCTCGTGATGCGGCTCTACCTTCACCGAGGACACGCATCGGTGGTACGCCAGGATTCGAAGGGGTCCTAGGCGAGTCGTGGTCTTCTCGGAGACGGGGTGATAGTCTGTCGAAACCTGGCGCGGATACTATCGCTCGAAGGGACCGTGAGCCCACCGATCCAGACAAGGACATCAAGGGTTTGGACATCAAGGAGGAGGAGGAGGACATGGCTCTGAACGCGGATGGGTCGGCGCAACCCGGCGCTAAGGAGACACCGCCGGTAGCCCCAGCTACAAACGGCATTGGCAAGGCTGCTCCCCCAGAGAACGCCAGCAACAGTAGTAACGGTATGGCGGGCCTGGGTTTGGGTAGCCATGAACGGGGCTTAGGTTCCGACGCTCCCCGTTCTGAGCAACCTGATGCTGCACCGTTGTCTCAGCCTCCCGGCTTAAATGATCTCTTGAGCGTCGAGTGGTCATATCTCGATCCTCAAGGCAATGTACAAGGCAAGACGCCATAACTATGGTGGCATGCAATAGCTCTGACCAATTTTTCCACCCTAGGTCCCTTTAGCGCAGACATCATGCAGCGTTGGCACAATGAAGGCTACTTTACACTCGAATTGATGATGAAGCGCACTCATCTAGATACGGCGTGGACGTCCGTTGGTGAGATGGCACGTCGTGCAGGGGCTAATCCCATATTCCTTACGCCGGGCGTAACATCGTCTGCTCCGCCTGGCTTAACGCGACGTCCGGACACCCTTACGGAGGGACCCAATGTGGACCGGAGCTCCGTTCTGCAACCCGTCCCAACTGTGTCGAGGCGTAGTTCCACGCTGGAGACATACCTGCCCAATGGTTCCAGTGCTTCTGCCTCGCCGCCGTCATCCTTCGGAGGCAGCAGGTATCTCAACGGCTCTCCTGACCCTGGTAGTCTCGATGGGCGTGCAAGCACCAGCTTATATGGAGAACCCACCGTCGGACCCCGTCTGGCGACGTTGGCCTCAATGCCGTCCATACCAAGTCAGCGACGACAAACATTTAATGACCCCTTTGACTCGTCAGCGGGAATCCGATCATCGTTCTCCCATACAGGCGTAGGCAGGGGACTGGACACCCAGGGCCTCAATGGTCAGTAGTGTTTGTCTTGCATTGGTCACGGACGCTCATTGCCTCGTACGCCTAGGTATGAACGGCTTTGGCGCAGGCGCTAGTGGTCAATTCGGTCAATATGCCCCGGGTTTCGACGGCCTCAACGCGGACGTGGGAGCAACAGGATTGGGTGTATACGGACACAACCATGGTCTAACTGGGCTGCGTGGTGCTCAAGACCCGTCTTTGGGAACCCTTGATCAGAGCTCCATGCAAGACCTTGGCATCCCGGCCACACCGTCACGCGTCGTTCACCGCGATATGTACGGTAAGGCTCCTGAAGACATGCGATCTTCACCATTCGGCATTCCCCCACTGAACGCCAACGATGTCCCCTACTCTCCCAGTGTGCAGTCTGCATCACAGGTACAGTCGATGCCGTACTCGTCCTCGCAAGACAACAGATCGCTGCCTTCTCATACGCACACACCCATACTCGAACGCCCATCCGTTGCTCCTGTAGCTTCATTCGGTTCGAACCAACATCTCCATGGTGCATTCGTCTCGTCGCCTGTACACTCTGCCGCACTGTCCCAATGGCCCCCGCAGCCCTCTCCTGTCACACGTCGCCCCGGACCTTTCGACCCAGACTATCCTACCACCAGCAACACTGTTATAACGGGAATGACCACTATGTCGCCCATGCCCTACGCTCGTTCAGTACAGAACATTCCCTCTAATGACCAGTCTCCATGGGGCCCCGCGGTCCAGCAAAACCGTCCAGTGAACGGATGGGGTGCGAGCAGCTTGACGACAGAGAATCTCGGCCAACACAATCAATACCAGCAAGAGGCCCCCAACCAGACGACGCATGCTTCGGTTGATGTTGCTCATGGTGTCACGGCTACCGCAGCTGCACCTGCACCGGTCAAAACGACTGTGGTCGAGCCCGCTGCTTCTGCTGTCCCACCTTCGCCCGCTGAGCCTCCGCGGTCACAGAAGACCCGACCTAAGTCTACAACGACACAGACTATCGCGCCTTCTCCCACCGTCCCGAAGGCGGCAGCTGCACCTCTTGCGCCAATCAAGCCCCCATCGCCGTTACCAGCTCCTGCAGCTGCTCCTGCTGTTGAGTCCAAAGCGCCTTGGGCCAAGGAAGACGAGACGAAGAAAGCCAAGCCGTCTGGCGCGCCTCTGGGTCTGCGCGAGATCCAAGAAGCAGAGATGAAGAAGCTGGAGGCACGCAAGGCTGCCGAGCGCGAACGCGAGCGTGCCGCTCGTAACGCTACTGGAGGTACCTCGCAATCAGAGGACTTCCAGCCGTTCACGACGTCATGGGGCCTTCCGACATCGCAGGCTGGTGTAGCGCGCTCTGCGGCTACTCCCAAGGAGTCTGCTGCTTCGACTGTACCCTCTGCGACCACTCCTGCGACACCTGTATGGACGAATGCCGCTAAGCCGGTGTCCAAGAAGACGATGAAGGAGATACAGGAAGAGGAAGAGAAGCGCAAGAAGCTGGCGTTGAAAGAGAAGGAGACCGTTGCCGCAGCGGCAAAGAGGGCTTACGCAGACACAACCACCAAGGTAAGCCTCAGTGGCGTATATTCTGCTGCTGTTCGCTCACATCTTCGTTACAGCCCACTGCGCCCGCAGTCCAGACGATGGGCGGAGCATGGACTACTGTTGGGTCTGGTGGCAAGATGGCAGCAGGTGCTACGCCTGTACCGGTCCGGCCGACGGTCACGACGACTGCTTCAGCGAAGGTTGTTCCAGGTGCCTCTTCTCCCGCAGTCGCCAGCGCCAGCGCCGTCCGGGCCACGGCCACGCCAGCAGCAGCCCCATCTCCTCGGCCTGCGACAGCCACCAAGGCATCCTCGAAGGTTGACGAATTCCCCACGCCACCTTCGCAGGAGTTCATGAAGTGGATAGCCGAGTCGCTGAAGGGGCTCAACAACAGCGTCAACTGTGCGTTGTCCTCGTTTACTTTTCGCGTTGTACAGATACTGATGCGCGTTGCAGTCGAGGAGATCACGTCTATGTTGTTGACGATCCCCTTGGATCCTGACCCGGACACGGTCGAGCTCATCTCTGACCTGATCTACGTCAACAGCACCACAATGGACGGCCGTCGCTTTGCGTCAGAATTCGTGAGCAGACGCAAGGTGGATGCAGCATCGCGCGCAAAGAACGGCACACCCGCAGGTTCATCCGGGAAGGGCGTGTCCATCGCCGACGTGGTCAAGGCGCAGCCCAAGCCGACGCAGCAGTCGGAGTGGGGCGGGTTCAAGGTTGTGAACAAGAAAAAGAAGGGGGGCCGTGCGTAGGAGGCGTTAAGAGGCTACGAGGACATGATGTGTACAGTATGTGCTGTGTACTCCGCCTGTCGTAATGCTGCGAGCTGTAATGTTGTCTCTCGTTGATGCCCGTACCGTATCGTAGAACCCTTGGATAGCGCTAGTGACTAATGAGATCGATTCCACTCACTCTTGCCTACCTCCGAAGCAAGCGACGTCGATAATGAATATGTGTGCAAAAGCTATGATACAATGCGACTGACAGCAAATATCCGACATTCAGGATGCAGTACCTTCTTTGTTTTCACCTCCTAATGAATCCATGTTGAACAAATTCTCCACCTCCGACATGCTCATTGTCGTCGGCTCCTCATTATGTCCACCGAACATATCGTCGCCAAAGTTCGATAGATCAATTGAGTTCAAGTCGAACTGCGCCTCGTTCTGCTGACCCGATGGACCCGCGGGATGATGCTGGGAAGTGTCGAAGGACGCAAGGAGTGAGCCAGGGGAAGGCACCTTCATAGGGCCCGACATTGACGGCTGTGGCCGACTCGCGTCGCCATGCTCGGAAGCCCGGCCAAAGGACGCTAGGATATCACCCATGTCACCCGAAGCGTTCCCGGCATTTAGTGCGTCAGAGAAGAAGTCCTCTTCTTGCTTGGGTTTCACGTCGGGGACCATGCTTGCGGAACCACCGCCTGTCGACTGCACTCCGGGTTGGTTGAACATCTGCTGGTTCCCATCGCGCGCGGCCGCATCGGCAGCGGCGTTGAACAGCTCAATGTCCATGTCTAGGTCGAGCTCGATCGGCTTGTCCGCGGACGTCCCCGCGGTGGGATCGAGCGAAGCGACGGCTGCACTGGCGGCCTGGGACATATCCATGTCTGCGTCTACAGTCAAGTCTACGTCCACAGGCCTGTTCGCTGCTTCCGTGAGCGCAGCCATGACGAGCTCCTGCGGGATCGTCCGGTGCGAAGACTTCGGTGCGAGGGTGACAGGGGACGACAGCCCGCTCGGGATGCCGGACAGGAGCTCGTCGGGGTTGATGCGCATGCTGACACCGGAGAGGTCGAGCTTGTGCTGGAAGCTCGGGCGCTGCAGGGACGAGAGCGAGACGGTCGACTGGCGGCGTGCGGGAGTTGGGAGAGGCTTCGGGCCTGTGCCTTCAGGTGACGACTCAAGGGGCTGGCCGGTAAAAGGATTGGATAGTGTGGGTGATGTCGGGGATACCATTGGTGAAGAGGATGATGTCGAGGCCTCGGCTGCTGCTGCTTTGGCCGCTGCCGCGGCGGCAGCTTCAGCTTCAGTTTTGAGACGCTGCTCCTCCCTGTGGATGTCGCGCTGTAGAACGGCTATTGCACGTTGCTACAAGTCGTCAGCTGGATGACAAGGTCAAGATAGGTGAGACTCGCCAGTTGGGACTCGATTGCGTCGCATAGTTGATCGTACTTCTCAACCTCGCGTCCTAGGGAGGCGGTGAGGGAGCGGGGTGGCCGTGATGCATACTGTTGTATGCCCCTGAGATTATGACAGACTCAGTCTCTCAAACTCGTCAAACGGACTTGAATGCGCACAGTTTCTTAGCATCTGCGTAAAACCCGTAGATCTGTCCCGTCTTCACTGTAGCACTCTGAAGGGAGTTAGGGCGCGTCCTGCGGCGGGAAGAGTATGTCGCTTACTCTCAGGCAGTTTGAGAGGGCTTCAACCTCTGGTTCCAAGATGCCCTTTGGTGGAACAGGAACTGGTGGGGGTGGCATAGATGTACTCTGCGATGCCTTTGAACCACTTGTGGCTGCAGAGTCGCGTCCGGAGACAGAGGCCTTTCGAGGTGCCTTGGGTGCCATGTTGGACTGTTACAAGGCTTCTGTGTGCTTAGCACTGATATATTTGTTTGCGAGAATCGACAGTGCCGGGGGGAGAAGAGAAGGGAGGCAGTAGACGCGATCGAGGCTGGAGTGATGGTGGCCAACAGCGCGGAACGCTGTTTCCCGTGAACGCCACCGCTGCGCCGGTCCGCTGCCTCGAAGTCCCACCGCTCTGTCTAAGTCTTACTTCCTCGTCTGCTCTGTGTTCTCTAGCTCACCAGAACGCCTAACGCCGACAGAGCTGACCGTCGTTGCTGCCGTGTCGAACACAGCGCCTCAAACTTCACGTATGCGAGAAGGCGGCGCCTTTACACGCGCGAAACACCACCACCGTCATTCCGTCTCTGACAGCAACGCTCACCAGCCATAGTCGCTCGACACTATGCACGATGCTATAGAGGCATCTGGAAAACGCGTCGGTCCAGAGATCGAGAGTACACCAGTCGTGCAAAATCCAGTTAAGTCGTGCATGTCCTTGTGATTCTGCGTCGTGCACTGACTCTGATGGCACGCCTGCAGCGTCGCGTTCGGCACATTACTGCTGTTCAAGTTCGCAATCTAACACCGTTCCCTGTCCGCGATGCATTCGCGTCGGCATTGAAGCTACCATCTGAGCAGTCGCAATTCACACCTCAAGGCCATTTCACCGACGACCTGGACGTGGTCGTGGGCCGCAAGCATGCTAGGAGGTTGTCGTCATCATCTAGCATTCATGGTTCTGGGACACGGCATGATCAGGAGAACGTGCAGCGTGACGGCTTCGAGCGCGCGGGCGAGAGTGGTGCGCGCAGGAGGACTCTGTCGAAGGCAAGCACTTCCGGTGGCTCGACCTCTGGAGCATCAGCAGCTCCGAGTATAGCACGGCGTTCATCCTCCGGAGTTGTGCCTACTGTGCGTCCGCCTCATCGCCAGCGGACGATATCCGCTACATCTGCGTTCACCTCGGACAGCGGCAGGTCGCGTTCTATGGATTGGCGGGATTCGTATGCGTCCAGTTCGAGATTACCCGAATTCTTGCAAGATACCTCTCAGCGCGGCCTAGAGAAGGTCCTGCAAAGCCGGCTGGTCGCAACATTCCTCACCATCACACTGCCTCCTGAACCGCCGTGCAGCGCCTCAGGTTTCAATGGTAGTAGCAAAGGTGAGGCAACAACGAAGGCAACCGCGTCTCCCCGACCTCCCACTCCCGATCACATGCGGTCCTCTAGTCGGGAGCGAGCCGCAGGGCTTGCGCAGAAAGTCGTCGAGGCTTCAACGAAACCGACCGCGGTCAGGCGAACCTCTACAGCAAGTACCTCCGCGAAGAAGCCACCATCTAGACCTTCGACCCCGTCGAAGCTCAATCCCGCGACACCTGCTGTCAAGTCTGGTCAACCTAGCTCGCACGTTAGAAATACGTCATCCTTGTCGAATGGCAGGATACCCAAGGCATCGACTTCGCCGAAGACGCCTACATCACCCTCTGCGCACAGACAGCGCCCGTCTATACCCTCTTCCTTGTCTCCTTCACCGTCCCTATCCAAGTCCGAATTCCCTGCCACACCTCCCGCTACGCCGCCCCCACTGGCCTCTCCTCAGATCTCGTCAGATGATTCACCGCCAGTGCCGGACTACATCTCGCTGAGTCACAGACCCTCTACGAACCCGACTTTCCAGATGGATGCGCACTCGAAGGGCGAGTTTGCCCCGGGTACAGACCTGAGCGGGTCGAAACTGCGTGTTGAGATGTGGGGTAGGGTCCAGCGCGGACTCGGATGGGCGTCCATGCGCGAAGGAGATGCGAAGGGCAAGGGAAAAGAGACGCACCGCGCTGAGGAGGACGGCTGGGAGTGGAGGGTGCTCGAGAGCTGGGACGTGGACCTCATGGACCTTGTGCCACTGACTGACGACGTGCGTGTAGAGTGCCTGTCTCGCTGTGATTGTCGTCTGACCTCAGGATCGCCAGCTCGCTGCGCATCCGTCGCATCTGCATTCGAATGCGCTCCTCATTACGCTGTCGCCCCCAGGACAGACGTTCTACCTCCCACCTCCGCCTTCGACACGCCCGTCCGAACCCGCGTTTCCAAGTACTCAATCATCTGGCTATAGCTCAGAGCCCGAGTCAGAGGCCAGGAAAGTCAGGACTGCAGGAGACATCATCTTGCCCAGTCAACCTGCAGGACCGGAAGTTGAAGCATCAACGAAGCGTTCTGCTCTTCCACAGCTCGGTGAGAAGGTAGAGCTCGGGTCGCTCAAGAGAAGGGGAAGACGTGTCACGGCGTCGTGGCCGGACTTGCTGCAGTACGATCAGCCTCTTCTACTCTCGTTACTTCATCTCACGTTCGCCAGATTGATCCATGTGCATGCATGCATAGAGGACACACGGCAATCCCTGTCAACAGTTGTACAAGAGATCAATCAAGTTGTTACTGAACCTGCCTCAATATTAGTGAGTGCTCCGTCTTCGCCATCATGCAGGCGCGATCCGCCACCTTCGCACGGTGGTGGATGACCGCTCGTCTGTTTCTCGCTCGGTACATGTCGGTCTGAAGCTTATTGACTGAAAGCGTCGCGAAGTGTCGGAACGCGAGGCGTGGACCGGGCAGCTACAGTCAGAGACGGACGTTCTGCATTCTGAGTCTGAGGATAGTGAGTCGTTCATTCCGCAGGCGCGTTGCTCGCTTTTGGCTGATTAGCTTGATCCAGTAAGGGAGCGTATACAAGCACGTCGTGAAGACCTCCGCAAGCGGAAAGAGACCCTCGCTGCGGCGCGCGAGTCTCATGAAAGCTATTCGCAGTTAGAGTTTGACCTAGAACAGGAGATGTTGGACGAACGGTGAGTCGGCCTGGCGACCACCTTAGGTCGCGGCTTACGCTCGGTGATGCAGGCAACGTCTCGATTCCCTCCGAAGAGAGATTGGACCGTTACGCAGCGATGTCATCAATACCCTCGCCTTCATTTTCCCGATTGAGCTCGTCTCGCCGCCCGACCTCCTCTTCACCGTCCTCGATGTTCCACTCCCGATACCGATCGGCGCCACTGACCCTTCTCCGCCTCTCTCACTTCCCTCGCATAAGGAAGTGACAGAAGAGACGGTCGCTACGGCGCTTGGGTACGCAGCCCAGGTCGTGCATTTGCTCGCCGCGTACACGGGTAAGCACCTTGTGTATCCGGTAACAAACATCGGGAGCAGGAGCCTCATCAAGGATAGTATCTCTGCGATGGTGGGGCCGAGATCGTGAGTCTTGTAGACCTTGCCGCGCCTTTGGCAGATTCTCACCAATCTTTCCATGGTCCCCTAGATTCCCGCTGTTCACCAAGGGCGTGGAGACTTACAGATTCGAGTACGGCGTGTATCTGCTGAACAAGGACATTGAATTGGTGCGCCTAGCCTTGACCTTTCTTGCGATGGGGCTGACTGTGTACGCCCAGCTCATGTCAGAGCGCAATCTGCGTGCGCTCGATATGCGGCATACACTTCCTAATCTGAAGAATCTCCTGCTCACGCTTACTGGCGCCGAAGCAGGACCGCGTCCGTGAGTACCGGTGCCGAGGATGTGATATACGTGCCAGTTCCTGATCTTACGGCACTTCTTCCCAGCTCGCAGCGCTATTCCGTCGCGTCATCCTCTGCATCGCTGTCCTCGTTGCGCTCGCCGATCCTCACCGCATCGTCGTTGCCTACTCCGGATGCCAGTACAAACTCAGCAATGATGTCGAGTAATGCCGGACAGAAGCCGTCTGCACCACCGGACGGCCTGCCCACTGTCGCTGTCACTTCGCCCGTCGCTGAGAGCGAGTCGCCGCCTCGGAGCGGGTCGACCACGCCGACACGGTCTGTGGCGGACGCTGCCGCGCCGCGCAAGTCGCGGGCGTTCCTGGACCTCACGCCGCTCACTGGGTTCGGCTTCCTCCGTGGACGGTACGCGAGCAGTTCACGATCAGCCTCGGGCTCGCAGGACGGCCCGTCGAGCGAGTCTGGCAATGATGGTGAGTCTGCCCAGGCGGCGTCTGATGGCACTGACGCCGCTGTCGAGTCGGCCGCCGGGGATGACGAGGATGATCGACGGACGATCCGCGGGAGACGTGATACCATCGTGGCGGGTGGAGAGGCCAAGGCTGATGTAAATCCTGCTGGTAATGGCCATGCTGTACCAGGCCAGAACGGTGCAGCTGAGAAGACTGGCAATGGCGTGGACCGCCGGGACACACCGGTGTTGGTTGATGGGACGAGTTGACATGTTTCTGGTGGGATGTTGTATGCCTATGCTTTGGAGGGTATTTGCAGTACAGTGTGAGGTATACTAGTCTGTGTGGTTCGTTATATTCGCTCATCTATCAACTCCCTGGGCTCGAATGCGTCTCGTGCAGATATGTGTTGTTCGCAGAAGATTTGAGGACGCGTCTTAAAGACTTGCGGCAGACCTGCTACCGTCCGACGTTGAATTCGGGACCCTGACTTCTCTGAATAAATGGATCCGAGGGTGGGTGTCAGTGGTGTCGGCGATCCGTTCGAGCCACCGCGCCTCGGGGATCATCAGGCCCTGTGTTCAATCAGACTCGCTTCCATCTCACCCGACGCCACAAAGTCTTTAGCTAAAAACCTTGAAGGTAATCACGCACGTAAGCTGAGCGATATTGTCTCCCGCGGCGCATCCACACGAATACATGCGTACAAAACCGGCCTGTAAGCTCGAGGCGTATTTTAGCGGACGGCGGACTGCCGCTGCGAACAGGCACCCATCAACGTCCAACGCGCGTCTTCCGGGACGTATGGGAGAGGCGGGACCCCGGACGCGTCGAGGCGCACGCCAAGTCGCGTGTGTCGCTGCTGCGCCGCGATTCTGCTTCTTGAGAACGAGCTGGACGGCGTGAAAGGGCGGGCCCGTCTCGCATCAGGATTCGGCGTGCCATGGCGACAGCAGATGCAAGGGCGGGAATGGACAGATGCGGACGCTCGTCGCGTCGCGCAGAGTCGCACGGCAGACTCGTGGATATGCGCCAGCCGACGCGATCTTCCGTGCAGAAGACGGCCATGCGAGACGCAAGACGTCCACCTATCAACGGGTGCAGTGCCCGTACCGACTCCTGTGTGAAGTGCGTGCGGCGGGCTCGACGACCTCCCGCAGCTGCGCGGGATTTGCTTCCGCGGCGTCGCGCCCCACAGCGAGCGGGCAAGTTATGCATTTTGATGAGGCGGGCGGTGGGTGCTGTCGGCAAGGGTGAAGAGGTCGACGGTCGGGCTGGAAGCGGGCTACAAATAATAGCCTGGTGTGAAGGCGAACAGGGTTTCAAGGGGGCTCGCGTGGCAATGGCCGAGAATGGCAGTCGGAGAATCAAAAATGAGGGTGTCCCCAGGCGTTAGCATTTATTAGCGTTCGCCTGTCTCTCCTCAATCCGGCCGTGTACTAGCTAATATCCCAGTCGCTGCTCTCACCATCTTGCTCAAAACTGCCCGAGGTCTGCTCATCGTCGCTCACAGCGCGCTCGCCGTCGCTCACGTCCTTCGCAGTGCCCAGCCGAATTGTACCATCAATCCTCTAGACGGGCGTAAAACCAGCTGGCAGGTCCGTCCCCTGTCGCATCACTTGCTCCCTCTGGCCTTTCATTCCTAGCCAACGCCGCCTTTCTCGCAGAAATACCATTGTGCAATAGCCTCCATTCGCTCACTATCCTACCCGTACTTGCTCAATCTGTTCTCTGTCGTGCCTTCACCGCATCAAAAGTATCCGCCTTGTCTCGTTCACCACTATGAGTACTACTTTGCAATCGCCTACATCCCCTGCCGACAATCGTCAGTCCCCGGACGACAGGAAACAGACTCCTCCCGCTTTCCTTGACCTCGCTGACTCGGTGAGTCTCCTATTTTGGTAGCACTATTCCCCAATTGCGTTCTGATGGCTGCGCTGCGTGCAGGCCTCGCGTCATGGCAGTAATATACCGGACATGGTGCGTGTTGGCGGAAGAGTGGCATAGAGTCGAGAATCTCGGAAGTGCTGATCGCTGTCTTCCGCAGCGCTACGTCAAGCGTATTGAGCACGAAAGGCAACGCGCGTTGCAACGCAAAATGTTCGAGGACCAAATGCGTGCTCTCGAGCAGCAGCAAGCCCGCGAGCTGCTTAGCATTCCTCTGGAAGCCGGTCTGGCCGTATCCGCGCCGACGACGCCCCCACGCGTGAATGCCACCCTCAACGACGAGATGTTGTCTGGTCTCGGCGCTGGCTACGCGCATGCTTCCGTCGACGCGGAGAGCCTCTCTAAGGCTGTTGGCTTTGCTTCTGACAAGCGCAAGTCGGTGACGTATGCGCCGTCTGTCAACCACTCCCCGGAGATGCCTTCGAGCAACATGCACCAGAGCTTCGCTCGCCCTGGTGGCGCTAAGAGCATGCCTGCTAGCCGCCGCACCTCGGCCAGCGAGCACGATGAGGAGCTTGCGGGTCATCTGCAAGGGCTTACCCTAGCTGGCGAGAGTGCGGAGCGCGAGCGCATGCCCACTTCGTCGGGCGCGATCCCGCAGTCGATCTTGCGTGCCACCAGTGGCTTCGCCCAGACGAACGGACAACAGTACGGCAACATTTACAACGCTGGTATGATGCTCGATGAGCAGTTGGATAAGGAGATGCACAGTGAGTCAACTTGCATTATTCGCAGACTTCTGCATTGTCTGATTTTCGTCAGATGCCATGCGCAACCTGCCGACCTCGGATCAGGACAAGTTCGCAAGGAAGGTGAGTCGTGCCGGTATTCATTTTGGCGTCAGTCATTCATGATGCACGTTCGCTAGCTTTCTGCGTCTTCCGCTGCGCTGGATCTGGCGCCACTCTCCCAGACGCCTCCGCGTAACTCAGTTCTCGGCCATCTGAACGGCAACGGGCGTGCCCCAGAGGCTTACGGACGTCGTACCGTCACCAACCCGACTATGAGCCTTTCTCCAGCACTCGGCGACATGTCAGGCGCGAAGGGGACTGTCTCTGGCAGTGCGACTCCGCTCATGCAGCAGGTCTCGCAGGGTCTCTCACAGGGCCTTTCTTCTCGCCGCGGATCCCCACTGAGTCTCACGGATGGATTGTCCATTACGACTGCACGCTCGGTGCCTGCCACTCCCCTTCCGGGTGGACCTCAGTCCGCTTCGCTGATGGGCAAGGCACCTGGCACGCCGCTCTCTGGCGAGGGCCCTGGTATGAACGGCATGCTGGGCGGACAGCACTCTCCGCAGACCGAACTTACTCCGTCGCTTCAGAGGATGCCCTCATCTGGCGGGTATGATGCGAACGCAGTGAACTTTAACTCGATGCAGTCGGACGACCACCTTCAGGTTCGTCCTGATTTTATCTTTGCCTAGTTCGTGAGGTTGATGAAATTGCCAGGAATATGGAGTCGAGTCTGTTTACGGGCTCAACGGGAACGGCATTGAGAATGGTCGTTTCAACTCGTACAGCACTGGTTCGACGGCGCTGTACCATCACAACGGCTCGAGGTACGGTCTGGGCATGAACGGCAGAGCAAATGGTGCAGACAGCAAGATGGGTGGGCTGCATGGACCCAAACACAAGCGTGGCGACGTTGACCGCGAGTGTGAGTTGTCTCAGTTGTGTTTGATGCGGAGGTTTTGACTCACCATTGCGTCAGTCAACCGCTTCGCAGGCACACGTCTGGAGGATCTGCAGGGCGAGATTCCTACGCTCTGCAAGGATCAACATGGGTGCCGCTACTTGCAGAAGAAGCTCGAGGAGGGTGTGCCTGAGCATCGGGATATGATCTTCCGCGAGACCTTCGGCCACTTCGCGGATCTCATGACCGGTAAGCTTCTCTGCACTTCACGTACGTAGGCCTATTGACGAAGATATCACAGACCCATTCGGCAACTACTTGTGCCAGAAGCTGCTGGAGTACGCGACGGACGAGCAGCGCAATGTGATCTGCGAGTCTGTAGCGCAGGACTTGGTCAACATCTCGCTGAACATGCACGGCACGCGTGCGGTGCAGAAGATGATCGACTTCCTGTCCACCCGCAGACAGGCAAGTCGCGTTTCAGTCCTCCTCACTAATATCACTTACGAGACGAGGCAGACTGACCTCAAATATAACGCTCAGATCCACGCTATCATTATGGCTTTGAGCCTGCACGTCGTCGTCCTCATCAAGGACCTCAACGGGAACCATGTCATCCAGAAGTGCCTCAACAAGCTTGCGCCGGAAGACAACCAGGTCAGTGCCTTGCGTGAAGTGCGTCGTCAATATCATTGATTTATCCGTGTCTAATATTCGTAGTTCATCTACAATGCTGTTGCGGCGAACTGTGTCGAGGTCGCTACCCATCGCCATGGATGCTGCGTCTTGCAACGATGCGTGGATCATGCATCAGACCAGCAACGCGTGCAGTTGGTCAACGAGATCACATATAACGCGCTTACCTTGGTCCAGGACCCGTACGGTAACTACGTTAGTAGCTCGCTTGGCCACATTACGCGGTTGCCTTTACTGATGCTCGTGCTATCCCAGGTCGTGCAATACATCCTCGACCTGAACGACAACCGCTTCAGCGATGCGGTTATCCGCCAGTTCACGGGCAATGTATGTGCGCTGTCCGTGCAGAAGTTCAGTTCAAACGTTATCGAGAAGGTACAGCGGATTCAGTTCTGGCTATTCAATGGACTGTATTGACGCTGTCATCCGCAGTGCATTCGGGTTGCTGAACACAATACCCGGAAGATGCTGATTGGGGAGCTGCTCAACCGCACGCGGCTAGAGAAGCTTCTGCGTGACTCTTATGGCAACTACTGTGTCCAGGTTCGTCGTTGCCTGCTTCGTGTTGGCCGGACTCCCGTTGAACGTCATCGCAGACTGCTCTTGACTATGCAGAGCCTAGTCAGCGGGCGCTGCTCGTGGAGGGCATCCGGCCTGTCTTGCCATTAATCAGGAACACGCCATACGGGAAGCGCATCCAGAACAAGCTGCAGCGAGAGCACGTGGACGGCTTCGGCGGTGGCGGCTACCACCACAGCAGTCCCCTTGGCCTGTCTTCGCCGAGCATGCTTGGTGGACACGGTGGTCGCCACATGTCGCACCAGCTGCACTCTCCAGGAGCGTTGGCGGATGCGTACACCGTGCCAAACGGCCTTTACGGCGGACCTGGTCTCCAGCAGGGTCACCTGCACGCTTCGCAGTTGCATGGTCTGCAGCCCACGAACATCGACAGCTACGTGATGCAAGGCTCGAACAACCACAGTCCTGGGTTGACGCCGCCGCACTCGCACGCCTCTGGCTTCTCGTCCTACGGGGGTGTCAGCTCGTACCCTGTCGGCGTTGCGGATCCTTACCAGCGCTCGTACGGGTACGGTATGTAAAGTGTTCGCTGCGGCGGCTCGACGCACTCTCGGCGAACATATGGACGAATTGACATTCATTTCGTCGCATCGCACCCTAATCATCGCATCTCCCGCCCCTAGGCGGCTTTATACCTATGCACCCCGTCTATGCCTTCCCGCGCGTCGCGTCGACATGCACCTTCATCAAGCATACTACACTCGTTTAGTTGGGCTTCATTATTACATCGGGCACTCACGTATACTACCACCATCCCGCATTTGTATTTTGCAGCACCCATGCATAACATCACGTCGCTCTTCTCGCTGTCCGCTTATTTGGCGCTCTGTCCCCACCGTCCTCGTTCCATCCATCGGCATATACAGAGACCCTTTCTTGCGTACCTCGCCCCCTCCTATACACATAACCCATCTTTGTACTGCGTACTCTCTTCTTCGCACCGTGTACAGCGTACCCGCTTTCGTCCCGCCTCCCCACCCTCGTAATTTGTCTTATTGTAAGTATATCAGTCCAGGCACTTGTCTGTCATCCTGTAGTTATTCTGCAATCGTACAGTCGTTGGTTGGGTCTTTGTGCATTTTTGGGCGTGACGCGTGAAGTCGCCGTTCGAGCTGACCAGGGCTATCGACGTTGGACGCTGAATAGACTTTGTGATCTAGGACTGCGGACCGCGATTATTGGGAGCGAGCGAGCTCTCGTTCGGACGACGATTGGTTCAATGTGGTGATTTTCATTTTGGTCTCGGAGACGATGTCGCGCATGAAGATGTCCATCCGCTGACGATCCCGTGTATATATACCGCATGGGTCCGAGAAGGGCGGTCCTTATCTTGGTCTTGTACCGTCTGTCAGAAGACCTCTGCCCTCAAATGCTTCCATGACACTAGAGGTAACGAGGGTGCGTTTGCCATCTACTAGTACTAGGCACCAATGACGATGTAAAGGAGAACATTGAGGTGTAGAGCAGTGCTATTTCTCGTCATTCCTTGCACCGCTTCGACGATGCTGCCGGCGGCGTTGTGTGTGGCCTGGCGAAACAGGACTGACGCGGTCACGCAATGCGCGTAGACGCCGGGGGGATGGGAGTGCCAAGAGTGACATCGAAGTGGGTGGTGGAGGATGCCGATGATCGAGTGCCTGGTCCCGTCAACGGCCTCCTCGTTCCGTTGGAGCGAGTCGTCGTCTCTCCCTCGGCCCCTGCTGTCCTCCTCCCCCCATCCCCGCTGCGAACTCTCCGTCGTTTCTTGTCTGCTTGGGATAATAACGCTATATATTGCCAGCACCTTGCCTAGTTACGACCCCACGCTACCCGCAGAGCACAAGCTTAAAGCTACTGCTCCGGGTTTTCGATTCCGACGCGGCACAGCCTCCCTCTCGCGCACGCTGCACTGTACCACAGAGCGCTGGACAGCAGCGTCTGAGGCTCTGACAGACCCACCTCCCGCTCGTTCACCGCGCGTCGCGCTGGACCGACCGCACTCCGTCTCACACCATGCCTTCGTTGCTACCGGACGGGCTGCTTCCGCAGCCGCCGTCGTTCCAGAAGAAGAAACACTATGAGATCCACAAGGTGCTCGGGGAGGGGACGTTTGGAAAGGTCATGGTGCGTCGTACTGCCTTGTCGCCCAAGGTCTCATCCCTCACGCTATCATTGTGCCCGCTCTTTGGTCGCACTTGTGCAGCGCGCGTCATGGCACGTCCCTCCCGACGAGATTCATGTCGCCCAATACGGCGCGGCCGCCGCGAATTCCTCTCCGACCCTCCCCTCTCCCACTCCCAGCACTCACTCCTCGCACTCCACCACGACCAATGGCTCGCCCCTCAGCTCTCCTACCAACGGTAGCACGTCGCCCTCGGGCACAGGCACACGCCCGACGCCGTCGCGCAAGAGCACCGCATCGAGCATCAAGTCCTCTTATCTGAGTGCGCGCGGCCAGTCGTCGTCCGCGGCGAGCACGATGACGGTCGAGGTTGCGCTGAAGGTCATCCCAAAGAAGAAGGTGAAGGGCAATGAGAGCAGCGTGTGGAGCGAGATGGAGGTTCTCAAGGGCTTGAGTCACCCGAATATAGTGAGTCCTGATATTCCTGTATTCCCCTGCGTTGCGCATCGCATGGCTTCGTTCTCCTGTGCAAGCCGTGCCCTGGACACACTCGCCAGCCGCCCATAATCTCCTTCGAGGCTTCGCCATGCGTCTATCACATGACGTCACTCTTGTAGACGCCTGCCCGTCTTCCTCCTTGCGCGCGATCGAATCTGGCATTTGATTTCTGTATTTGTCTGCTCATAGGCTGTGGCGCTGACGCTCTGCTTCTTACAGGTCAAGTTCTATGAATGGTTCGAATCGAGGACCAAGTACTACCTCTCCTTCGAGCTCGCTGTCGGCGGTGAGCTCTTCGAGCGCATCACGCAGAGGGGTAAGTTCACAGAGAACGATGCCGTCGCCGTATTGAAGTGCGTATATCCCGTTCACAATCTGTTGAGGTGCTCTCGTTTGAGTAGTACTGGAGCAAGTATCGTAGATTTCAATTCAGTTTTCGTGTTACTCTTTTACGGCAGTGCCTCATCATACCTCGCGCTGCCACGCAAACGAACGTGAGAACTGATACGGACGCTCCCCAGATCCATCCTCTCGGGCGTCAAGTACCTGCACGACCACGACATCGTCCACCGAGATCTAAAGTACGCCGCGTCTCGTGCGCATGCCATCTCCGCGCCCGACTGATCGCGCGCATCTATTTATAGGCCCGAGAACATCCTCTATCGCACCAAGGACCCGCATTCGGACATCGTGATCGTCGATTTTGGCATGTGAGTGCTTCGTTACTGGGCGTCGGCGTGGGGGATGGTCGTGCTAATGTAGTTGGCCGCAGTGCGAAGCACTTGGACCAGCCGGGCGAGCAGCTCACGTCGCTTGCGGGCAGCTTCGGGTATGTCGCGCCCGAGGTGCTCAACAAGATGGGCCATGGCAAGGCCGTAGATATGTGGTCCACAGGGTACGTCGCCGTCACCCGTCACTGTCCACGCGTGTCCTGATGCGTGGATGAACGTAGGATCATTACCTACGTGCTGCTGTGCGGCTATTCGCCGTTCCGCTCGGACGACACTGCGGAGCTCATCCGCGAGACGACTGCTGCGCGGGTGGAATTCCATGAACGGTATTGGAGCAATGTGTCAGAAGAAGGTGAGGAGCACGACAGATTCAACTCGATAATTCCCATAAGCATGCTCAAAAATTATCCTTGTTACAGCGAAAGACTTCATTAGAGTACTCCTGAACCCCGACCCCCATAAGCGGCCAACGGCAGAGGAGGCACTTAAGCACAAGGTAGTCATCTCGTTCTTGCATCCCGCTCAGCACTGACTGGACATCGCTGCAGTGGCTTACATCACGCGCATCGAACGAGCACGACCTCTCCGGCCTCCGCGAGTCCTTCAACCCCCGCGCACGGTGGAAGGCCGCGATCAACGGGACGATCGCCCTGCAGCGCCTCGGCACGCGCTCGAGCATGGGCTCTGGCGGGTGGCGCACGAAGAGCCGGAGCAGCACGCTGCTCGACAGCGACGACGAGGACGTCGCTGAGAGCCCCGCGAAGAGCAGTGGGAACCACCTCGAGCTTCCCGAGGAGAACGAGCACGTTGTGGTCACCCCGCCGGCTAACGCAGACAGGCCGCCGGCGGTCGTGGAAGCGAGGGCGTGCGAGGGCGCACCGAGCCCGCCGCCCGCGCGGTCGACGCCCGAGAAAGCGAAGGAGCCGAAGGTCATCGGCCGCGCGGAGGTGCCGCAAGCGGGGCATACGCTCCGGCACGAGCAGGACGAGGGCGCGCGCGAGCCGCTGGAGGCGCAGGTCCCGCAGGAGGTGCACGAGCACGCGGAGGTGCGGCGGTCGACGGACAGCGTGGGCACGCGGCGGTCGCTCGAGGACGAGGAGCTCGCGATGCCGGGCAGCTTCTATGGCTCGGCTGGGAGCAGGGCGCAGAGGCATAGGAGCGGGAGCCAGAGGAGCCACCGGAGTCATGGGAGTCACCATGGGCATCACCATCATCATCATCATCCGGATGGCTTGTTGGCGGGCTTCCTTAGGAAGATGCACCTGGGATGAGGTGTTGGGGCGGTGCTGGGATGGAAGTTGTTGGTGTGATGATGGTGAGCGAGGCGTGATATAGCGGTTGGACTGATGATATACCATTGACAGTTAGGGTGGGCGGGCAGGTGTAGCTCTAACTTATCCATGTTTGCGTTTGATCGCGATGCCCAACGCTTCTTACGCCAGGCCGGTGGGAACTGCACTACTACGGACCTACTTCTGACTTTTGACAAGTAGGTTATTCCATACCTTATATATACACTGACCGTTCGCTCTGATGCTGGTAGTCCTCGTCTCGGTGGTATCATGAGCAAATACTCCCTCCGGCGAACGCTGCCCACACTACGGGGTAATCGACTTCTTGAACGACTTCTGCTAGCATTATGGAATTGCGGCGCCGCTGGCCATGTCCATTACAGCCAGTCTGGCTTCTGTTCTCTTGTCGTCTGCTTCCTTCCATGGACCTCGGATAGAGGCCTGATCGTTGAAGATAGCTCCAGAACTTTGATTGGTGAGGCAAGTGCTCTAGTGACAATATGCTAGTCGGCCACAGCGCTTACTTGACGTTATCCACCATCTCAGAGTTCGAACTACCTCCCGACTTCTGACATCTCTGGAAGTTCGGAAGTCGCGACTATGGGGCATAACTTCGGCATAACAATGCTTACAGTATCATAGCGATACTCTCCATCCTCTCCGGGTGTCCACGCATGTTCGTCAGATGGAACCTGAGCTCTCGCACGATAAACCCGGTTACTCTCTCAGGTGACCAGGTCACTAACTATCAGGGGATGCACTGCATACAGGATGAAGGTTTCACGATATAGTCATGGTGAGCTGGATGCAATGGCCAAAACCGTGACACAACCTGAGTCCTCGACAGTTGGCATGGGTGTAGTACGAAACCTCATACGTCCTGCATGCATAGGTCTACATAGTCTTCTTGCTGCTACTCATGCCATCTTACTATGCGTATGGGCATTCCGACTCGAACATTCGATCGTCATGTCCCCCGGACGGGCGGAATCTATGCCGACCTACATATCACTCGTGTCGCAAGCCATCATCATCGTACGCCGATTTCGCCTCCCCAGACTGCTGCTGACGCCAAGCTCACCGACAGCCTTACACAGCACTACTCGTCTTACTCACGCAATATCTTGCGCTGCGCAGACTGTTCTCAGGAAGACACACTCTAACGTTTGTCCTGGATGTATCAACCGCATGGACGGGACTGGGTGCCGCGCTCGTGATTGTTTGGAGACAGGTGTCATCTCGCGCCAATATGTTCGCAACATTCACAGTAGCCGTTTACCTCATATGCATCTCCGCTTTGCACGTCACTACACCCTCGTTGCTCTCCGTGCAATCGTTTAATCAGACCGATGCCATCACAGTTCCGGTGGCTGTCGGTATGCCTATACTCAATGCCTCGTGAGTTATCGCTTGGGTTTCTATCTTATGTCTTCGTTGAGAATCACCCAGGGCACCTGTATGGTCTGATTCAGTCATAGACTTGTGGTCTCAGGCGGCATCGATCCTCGAGTACAATGTCATTGGCACGCAGTATCTACCGACCACAGGACTGGCCAACAACACAATCTACGATTTCAACCCTCCCGGGAGTAACCTAGTCGAAGTTACTGTGAACGCGACCACCGCAAACGTTACCTGTGGCTGTATCCCGAATGCAAGCCTCACGATGTTCGAAATCCAAAGTGCGAACGTTTCAGGCGCCTGGGTGAATGCGGCGTACGGTCGTTATCAGTTCAGCTTCGCGGTTGAAACATGGCGTACGTCGCGCAAGCTCCTTATGGGTCATCATATCATGTGCTAATTGGACTCAACACCGCCGTGGGCTAATAGCAGTTTGGTCTTCGCTAATCCATTTATCCGTGGTCGACTATGACCCAACGCAGCTAGGAAACACATCAGTCTCTATACCTTTGGTGCGTGATATCATGATTCAATTGTGATTATATAATCTGAACAAGGCTGTGGGTCAGGGACGAAGCGCATTGTTCTTGACAACACTGAATGTGACCGACGGCGAAGGCCGGGCAGTGTCGCCTGTCCAAGGCAGGTGCTGTCATATGCGCTTGGTTTCGATATTTGCCTGAACATCCATTTAGGGGAAGGAAATTTGAACGTACAGCTTCTAGGATGCACCTTGAGCTGGACCAAGGGTGCTGTCGTGTTAGACGGTGCTACAAGACAACCAGCGGATCCTATTGTACAGAGCGGTGATCATGAAACATCATGCCCCCTATGGGAGCCTCTCCTGGCAACTGGCCCGGCGCAAGTTGATACGCAACCTGATATCGAGTCTGATTCGGTGTGTTTGCTATCAGTATGCTATCTTCTACAACGGTATTGAATGCAAGCAGTGGGCTTCTATGTTGAGCAACGCCGATGAAACGACCAATAATCCTTTATGGAACTACAATCAATCCCTGCAAGGCGTACCGCTGGCAGTCAGCGGAATCCAGCTGACATATTCATATGGTGATTTGACACCCCTGTGAGTCGTCGTGGACCATGGTCATCAAAACACTCATCAGCCTACAGATACCTAGGAGAGATTCTCGGTATTCCAGAGCTCAGTGGGACACAAGCAGTGAGTTTGATTGCATTCGAGGAGGCCTTGAGTAAGTCATATTTTCATCGTTAGTTTGCGCTCTGGACGTAATGCTTCTGGCTGGCAGGCAAAATGACGGCTCTGTCATACTGGTCAGGTACGTCGCCCAAAATGTAACCGGATTGATAGAGAGACTATCAAGCTCACGCTAAGATCACGTCTCCTAGCTGCCCATCTCGTTGACATCGAAACCCAAGAGGGCGTTTTGGCCGTCGCCTCTGGAACTGCTCGAGGTTCCATGGCCATGTTTCGCCTCAACGTGAGTGATGTTGTGTCGAGCTTGTACGTCTGCGCACCACCTGACGCATCTACTGCTCCTTCGTCTCCATTAGTTCAATACACCACAGGTCCGCGTTCACTCAGTACTAGTGTTGCCTCTGACCGTCAAATTCACACTTCGTCTAGATCATCGTTGGACTCGCGGCTTCCGCTGCGATGTTGATCATCGCGATGCTTTTAGCCCTCAGTGCCGCGAAGGATTTTCCGCTTGTCGATGACTTCAGCCCTATGCATCTGATGTGGCTCGTCATAACGAACCCATCGCTCCATCAACGCATATCGGAGGTAGAGACACCGTCCACGGATCGTCTGCGGGAGGCAGGCATGATCGACCTCGGATCCTGCACTCGTTCCGAGACCTCGCTTGCACGGATGGAATACGAGAAGTTGGAGCGGGAGGATAGCAGCACGCTAGATATTGCTGAGTAACGTCTTGTAGGGCATCAGACCTGCGAGTAGTAAGTTACGAACAACGGGACGGGTCATGTCTGATTCATGATGTATGAATGACCGATGAAACTCACTGTTGGATTTGGCTCTCAGAGTCAGGACTCAGGTAAGAGGCCGGGATATGCCGTCAGGTTCTACAAGCATCACCAGGCGGCCCGGCGTCACGCTAGCGCTCTTCCGACAACCTTGCTGCTCTGTGCGCCCTGACATCCCCAATAATTCTATATCTTTACACTGGAGCTAGCGGAGGCTTATACATAGCTATGACCAGCGTGAACACGATGCTTATTGATCCACCTATGCTCAATTCATCTTGCTTGTGGGCATCGGACATCGAACAGCTCCGCGATCTGTACGCTTGTTCTCACACAGGCGCGGTCACCACTCGCACCGCGACGCTACATGGGTTCAAGGAGAATGAATCCAATGCTGTGAGCCGTGTCTCCTCATGTCCACTACGGCTCGTATATATCTGCTCATGTGTACATTCAATGGCGCTATCGGCGACGGAATGATCAGGTTGTCTTCACCGCGGACAGGCTCTCGACGCTGAACTCGTACGGTTACTCCCCATACCCGCTCTCGCAATACTTAGACTGGGTCCGTGAACTGTTGAACACGCCGGAGACACATGCGAAGCCGATCATCCTGAGTATCACCGCGTCCAAGGCGGAAGACCTCGCGCAGATGGTCCGGGACATCCAGAACTTGCGCGCAGACTTACGGAGCAAGTCCTCCGCCATTTCTACTTACGACCTAGCGAACTACGTCGCCATCGAGCTCAACACCTCCTGCCCGAACATCCCCTCTGCGCCGCCGCCGTCCTACTACCTCCCCGCGCTCCGACCACACCTCGACGTGCTTGTAGCAGCCACGCGTGCGGATCCGTCACTAACCATCGGTCTGAAGCTCCCGCCCTATCCCGACGTCACGCGCATACGCGATGTCGTCTACTGTCTCGCCGAGTACACCATCGATGAGCCTGACGCGGAGGGCGCGCGGAGCCCGTTCGCGTTCCTGACGTGTACGAACACGCTCGGCGGGAGCGTGGTCTTCGCAGGCGAGATCGACCTATCGTCCGCCCCGCCGTCTCTGGGCTCTGATCCCGCGCCGACGGCGTTCGCGCTCCCGACTGCGCTGGGTGGGCTGGGTGGCGAGCGGTTGCATGCACTCGCTCTCGGGACGGTGCTGGGGTTCTCGCGTGCGCTGGCGGCGCACCCGAGTCCGGCGGTACGCGCGATCAAGGTTATCGGAGTGGGCGGTGTGAAGGACCGTGCGTCGGCGGATAGGATGCGGGCGGCGGGAGCCTGCGCAGTGGCATGCGCCACTGGGCTAGGGCGGGAGGGTGTGAAGGTGTTCGAGAAGATCGCGCTGGGCGAGTGAATGATGAGTGAGGGCGATGTGGCAAGTCGCTGTCGTGCCAGATGAGTGTCGCGTTCGTTTGTACTGGCTCACTATGCTGCGTGACTAACGCTGAGGGAAGTCGTGCCAAGATATATTGTGCACCTACGTTCGAGTCCTGTATATTAGTCTCAATAGGTGTGTGACTCATCGTCACTTCAGTTTCGTTCCGTTTTCTGACATGCATGGTTTCACAGAACTGCCGATCAAGTCAAATTTGGTATTGTCAAAGTCAAAATCTATTGTTACAAGTTGTGTACGTATCGAAGACGCAGAAATCTATACAAGATGAGAGATGAACAGATATGTACACCCGCGAACTGGATCGCGGCTCACTGAGACCCTTAGCCACAGCGAGCAATAAGCGCAACTGATAGCAATATGAACTGAGAACGAAGATAGAAGGAGAAACCCAGCAACCCGGATCACCCCATATAGCCCCTCATCACGCCGCCGTCCATCAGCGTCTCATACAGCCCCAGGCCCTCGAACTCCTTTGCCATACCGTACACCCACGGGTTGCTCGGCTTCGAGAACATCAACGGATCCAGCGCGTCGACGTAGATGTCCTGGGCGTGGTTCAGCTGCGGGGCCTCGAACACAGGCGCCGTCGCCAAAGGACTGTGCTGATCGAAAGGGGATAGGTGCGCGGGCTGGGACGCGATGGCGGGCTGCGGGAGGAACGGCGAAGGGTGGTACTGAGGGGGAGTCACGGGGGCCGACGACGAGGGTGAGGGCGCGGAGGGCGTGGAAGAGGTGGACGGCGCGGTGGATGAGCTCGCGTCGAATGGGCTCGGGTGCGATGGGTACCACGACCAGTCAGTGTCTATGCCGGGTGCGTCCGCAAGGAGACTGGAGAAGGACCAGGACATGGGCTCGAGCTTGTGCGCGGGGATAGGCAGGGGAGAGGTGAAGCTCGGGGGAGAAGGCGTGGATGGGAGGAAGAGAGCCTCGGTGTCCTTGGGGCTTGGGCTGGACGGGTAGGACTTGAAGGGCGCGGAAGGGGTGCTCTGAGGAGGGATAGGATGTCAGAACATCCACCAAGTCGCGATACAGTGAGGAAACACTTACGGGTGGCTCAACCTTGGCTGACTTGTCCTCCGGAGAGAAGATCAAGCACGAGGACAAGGCCTCGATCGATCGCTTGGTCGGGGTCGGCGGCGCGAAGCAGGACTTCTTCACAGGTGACCACTCCGCGTGCGTCGGGATGCCGATGCGTGGCCCGGGGAGGCGGGGCGTAGAGGGTTGAGGAGCGGAGACCACGGACGCGTCGAAGCTCTCGCAAAGCGTGGCGTCGAAGATGCTTGTGGAGTAGTTCTTCGAGACGGGGATGCCGAGCTCGCTCGCGCCCTGGCTGACCTGGTCGGCCTCGCGCATGCTCGCGTCGATGCGCTTCGCTTCGCGCTCGAGTTCAGGGATGCCCCGGCCCTCTGCGATGAGCTTGCCGAGGCGGCGGCAGCGCTCCTTGTCCTTGGGCCCGTTGCGCTTGACGTTGCGCTTGCGCGGCTTGTCGGTGCGTATGACGGGGCTGAATCTGTAGTTCGGGTACTTGCGCGCGTGCTCCTCCTTCATGTCGGCGGCGCGCCGGTACCAGACGTCCTTGTTGGTCGCGCTGAGCTCGGACCAGGTCGTGGAGATGATCTGAGAGAAGAGGCGCTGGTCGTGCTCGATGGAACCCTCCTTGAGCTCCTGGAAGAGCGCCTTGCGGAAGAGGATGAACGCGTTCGGAGGTCGCGGGATGTAGTCAGGGCCCTTGCGTCGGCGAGAGGCGGCGGAGGTCGCGTTGGGGGAGCTGGTGGTCGCGGTGATGTCGAGGTCTTCGGGGGAGGGCATGTCGGAGGGAGACCACGGGCGCGGGATGGAGGCTTTGCCGCGGGTGCGGGCGGGGAGGGAGGCGGTGGAGGTCTTGCCGCGTACAGCAGGCATCGTAGGGGAGCGACGTGTATCTGTGTGGAATGCAATGCATGTTAGAGCGAGCACACAAAGAGGGCAGGGGCGGACGCACGCGAAGTGTTGCGGGAGAGTGGGGAAAGCGCGACAAGACGGGGGGTCGAGGGGGAGCGGAGGCGGGGAGGCCGGCTTTATAGACTGGGCGTGTTCTGTCGGAATGCGAGGCATGGCGGGTCTTTGTGCGAGTGCAGAGAGCATGGCTGGCTGAGCGGAGGCCTGATCCAGTGCGTCGGTGCGCCTCTGGCGGTGTAGCGCCCATAACCCCGTCGGATATTCACCATGCTGCACGTTCTCTTCACCCCGATCCATCTTAGGCCCTCTTCTCGCCTTCGCGCCCGGCCCATCAGCTTCCCCTGCTCGGCACGCGAGCGGCACGCCCCTCCCCCGCGCGTGCGATTGGTTCCGCGAGAGTTGCCCAAAACGCACGCGTGGGAGTTTCGCCATGGGGCCATTGACCTCTGTCCGCATCCGGCTGACAATGGCCCCCGCCCTCCATTCTCACCCGTCTGCACTCGCCGGCACACCGTCCCGCGGCCGCACTCTGTGGGTGCATCGATGGGTGCGGCTGGTGACGCGTGGAGGTCCTGGTGCACCCGACGTCGTCCTGAGGGCCACTCCGTTGCCACTCCGAGTTACTTGGGCGCTCCGGATCCGAGCTTCGTTATCAGGGATCGCCGTTGGATCGCCGTCACGCATTAGACCGTCCCCGCCTCGCGTCTCGTCGACTTGTGCATTTGATCCTGAGGTCAGTGAAGAACACACTGAAGTACATATGTGACTCGCCGTTTCCTTGTTGGCGTATGCAGGATTGCCATACGAGTGACGGAACCAAAAACCGCGAGCAATGTATGCCTGCTGCTGCATTGTCATGGCTTGTGACCGGAGCGGAAGCATTTCGTCTCGATGAAGGTGGGAATATGAGGAGGCATCTATACACCGCCTATTTGAGATGCATTCACGAGTGGCGACAGCCTCTCTGACGTCACGACAATGCATTGCCCTTCTTTGCTGTGGGCGCAGCTGCACTGTCCCCTCATCTCGTGGTATATTTGGCCTATAGCCTACGCTGCGCTACCATGCAGAGTGCATCCTGTCAATCCGCGGCATCGTCTGTACGACCCATCGAGCATGGCACGCTGGCACGCGTCGCGTTACTTGCTAACAATGTCACATGACCGCGTCTGGGGGCGCGCATGCTGTGATCATATCATATCGTAAGTAGACTTGCCGTAGACCGTGACTCTGAGTCTGACATCGGCAACGTTCTGCTTGTTGGCATTACGAGGTTTCTACTTCTCACAACGCGGCCAATATCCATCAGTATGTTGCGCATTCCGATCTACTGAGTTCGGAGTACTCACGTTGTCCCATGTCCCCAAAGCCCGTGTCCGGCCCGGCGGGTGCGATGCTGGAGCAGAAGCATGTTCACCGCCGCGATTCTCACTGCGACTGGTTGTCTTCCGAACACAGCCAAAGTTGTGGAAGGCTACAGTACTGAAAACGACCACAGCAATCATGTTGGTGAGATGCTATACACGGCATCGTGACGCGCTCATGACTGTTCTCATCTAGCCTCTGGGCACTCGAAACACAGCTCCAAAACGAACGGCCGTCCATGTGCGAGGTGGTCCATCGAAGTCGCTGGTTCGTTTCGATCATCGCGCTGCTGATCGAGATTCGCAACGTGGCTGGGTGGCTTTTGAATGTAGTTGACGCCGCGGAAGCAAAGTTACAGGTCTCGAAAACGACAGTTAGCAGCAATGGTGACATGGTCAACCTCGCGCCGTAACAATGTACGCGTTTGTGACGTATCTCGCCCAGATACCAGCCGCACATTGACCCTTGCGTGATCCCATATCACTTCTCGCTGCTCGCACTGACAGGTAAGCACACTGGCAGTAGACCGAACTCAACCGTATCGATTCGATACGCATATAGCCAGATATCTGCTCATCGTAATGCCCGCGGGTATTTGCTACGAGGCGGTATCATTCAAGCATAGACTGTACAGCAGTCAACATCTGTATATTCCCGCTGTTCCCGAATAACATCCGCAAACGGTCGTCTCGCCTTGAACACCCGTCGCCTGCAGACAGGGACGCAACGGCCTGAGCTGCATAAAAGCCCAATCAATCGCGACACATTCTCCATCGCTCCTTGCATCCGCTCCATCACTCACCCACACCCTTCACACTCTTCCACACCACTCCTACCTTCGCCATGTCATCCAACACGTTCACCTGGCCCGCCCTCGTCTCCCTCTCGGCCAAGAAGACGGGAATGAGGGTAGGCCGCGCGCGTAAGCAGCCTGTTCTCTCGCACATCGGCAGTCCCGAGGCCGCCTCGCTCGAGTGCCCTGCGTTTATGTATACGCAGGGCCAGATGATGCGTCTTGTGCCTCTGACAGAGGCGCAGCGCGATGAGGCGATTCGGTGCCGTGGGCTCTGAGTTGCGGTTATCGATGGTCCTGTTGATGTCGTACGCCGTGGAACTGCTGGTCAGTACGCGGTGGGTGCGATGTCCACGTGGGACCATGGGGATAGTCGTGGGCTGTGCGATGCACGGGCGGTGGTCGCCAGTCAGAAAAGCCAGGATGGGGTGCGGGACTGGGGAGTGGAGTGTACTCGTCGGGAATCCTAGGCCCCGATGGGTCGCAGAAGCCCCCGAGAACGCATTCTGTCCTGGCATCGGGCGCGCGGAGACTTACGAGTCTTCCGTCGCGCTCTGGTTTCGATTTCCTTTGTTCGGGCTCTATAAAAGTGGTTAAAAAGAAGAAAAAAGTTGAAAAGACTAAATCAGAAAAACAGCGACCGCATAGTCTCCGTCTACACTGATCTTTCCATGTTAATGTTTCAGATACATGTTCTTGAGTATATGGGACGGTGCGCTGCTCAAGACCGAAGACCGGGACCGGGACCGCGGGCAATGGTCAAGTATAGCCAACGGGTCTGGCGGGGTGTCGTTCGGGAGTCATGACCTGGATGGCCTCTGTTCTGGACCCTGCGGATTTCCCTTCCTTTCATGCATTGTATATGCCATTGACCTTTTCAGCGGATGGAATTCAGTATTTGCCTTGAAATGATAAGTCGCTTCCCTTCTACTCTCTTCCGACGGCAGCTAACTCCTCGATATCTTGTCTTCAGGCTGCAAAGCGAGGAAGGTCGGCCGCCGGAGAGTGCATGGGTGCGCAGGTCGACGTGTTGGACGATATGACTGGCCAGCATATGCGGTCCATCCGTCTACTCGTGCGTCTGTGTATCATTCGCCGGTCGACCTTCCAATGCCCCCGAAAGGGGGTGAAGACGCGCAGTGGGAGGTAAGTTATTTTATCCTGCCGGTGACTGGGAATGGGCCACTGACAACCCCACATACTCCTTGCTAGGTCGCCTTGGGTCCTCGAATCATCAAGACGCGGCAGCGACTTCGGTTTAGCCCTTATGTTCCGTTTCGTCTTTGTCTGGTTACTGATCATCACTACTAGACTTGAAAAATCACCTATCAACCCTCGTCAGTAACACAAGAGAACCGAACCATAATAACAGAAGATGAGTAGCTTTTCTTCGACTCTCCGAGTCATTCGGCAGTGGCTGACTTTTTTCTCCCTTCTCTTTCAGGCTGCAACGCGAGGAAGGTCGGTCGCCGGACGGTGCATGGGTGCGCAGGTCGACGTGTTGGACGATGTGACTGGCCAGCGCATGCGATCCTCCCGTTTCCTCGTGTATCTGTGTATCGTTCCCCGGTCGACCTTCCAATGCCCCCGGAGGGGGTGAAGACGCGCAGCGGGAGGTGAGTATTTATGCTGCCAGCGAGTGGGAATATGCCACTGACTTCCTCACATGCTCTTTCTAGGTCGCCTTGAAGCTCTCGACTTCTCAAGACGCGGAGTTGGATTCGGGCTGCGCTCTGCCAGTGCTGTTTCATCTTAACTTTGATCGCGCCCTGACCTCCATCTACAGACCTTAACAGTCGCTCAACAGCCTCCGTCAGCGTTTCAAGACAATCCGACCGGCGATAAGTAGTTTGAGTTTCAACGTTACGCACGAGGTAATACCGGACGTTTCTTCTGAATCCCCTTCTGCTCCATTTTCCCTGATAGTGTAGGCTTTCGCAGGTGGTCAGCCGGCGCCGGCAGGTGCCGAGGATGGCGGTGCTTTTGCGTTGTAGTCTGGCCAGATGCAACGCAGCTGTCTCTCCGTTTTCGGCATCTGCAGAGGTGGTCGGCTGAAGGAGCCAGGAAGAGGTCAGTACCTTTGCGCACGGGAAGGCCTCGGCCAAAAGGACTCACTGTTAGCTATTAGGGTCTCAAAAGGAGGTGTAGTCGGTAAAGTGGAAAGAAAAGATAAGTGCTCCGCCTAAGTGCCCTCGTCGGACGTTACCGACCATTCTGTAGACAGACCATGTGATTGGCGCAACCCCAGCAGGGTAACCTTCTGACCTTTCCTTGGTTTCTTACTTACCTTCGCTTCTACTGACCATACCTTCTACTAGGTGATCTTCGCGGCGGACGACGGTCGGGAGCCACGGCAGGTGCCGAGTGCGGACAGGGATTTGTGCTGTAGTCTGGCCAGATGCAGCACGCTTGCCTCTCCGTCTTCGGCATTCGCAGGGCTGTGAGCCGAAGCGAGCTAGTAAAAGGTCAGTGGCTTCGCTTCACCCAACCTCGGCTGGAACTGACTGCCTAGGGTTAGGGTCCCATATTACATTCGGAACCGGGAGGAATGCGAGGGAAAGATGAGTGCTTCAACTTACTGTGAATACCAATTGGAACTGACTTCTGCATATTCTGTCACAGGCTCATTCGCTCCGGATCTGTGACCAACAGGTGAGTGCTTTGATTCCTGCCGCAGGTGCCGAGGAGGGACTGGCGGCTGTGTTGTAAACTGGCCAGTTGCAGCGCAGTCGCTTGTTCTTCCCCGGCATCTGCATGGACGGGATACAGCTAACAAAAAGTAAGTAAGCTCAAGTCTTCGTGAACCAGTTTCAAGCACTGACCGCTCAAAGTGCAGGGTTCGCGTAGTCGTCAAGCGGAACTTGAACCGTGAGTGCTACGTATCCTTCTCATCGTGCGCTGACTTTACGCGTTCGTAGGTAGATCGGCTTGGAGCAGTGTGGGGAAGTCGGAGCCCAGGAGCTGGCCGTGTTGCGGACTGGCCAGTCGCAGCACGTTCGATTCTTGGGCGATAACGTCTCTACATTTCCTATCGGTCGAGGCGCAGCAAAAAGGAAAAGATGAGTATGCGGTTCTGATACAGTCATAAGACGCTGTACTGACTGTTGTCGTGTTCCCCTCTAGGTTCGTGCACTCGGTGCTGTCGAATTCAAGTGCCTCGATGTCTTCTGTCCTGGTTGATGGGCTCACGTCAGTGACGTTCTTCCTTTGCGAGCAGTTTCGGCATTGACGTTACGGCGATATGGTAGGTGCATTCACACTAGTCTCCCGCTTCCGTTGTGACTTGAATTTTAGATCATGGAGGGCGTCGAAGGGTAAGCCAGTGCCGAGGATAAGAGGGCGGCGGCGCTGCAGGCTGGCCAGTTGCAGCGCAATCGCCTTTCCATCCTCGGTTTCCTGGGCAGCCGCGGCGAGAGAGGGTGAGCAGCAATGTAAGTGAATGCCGACTATCGGGACTACACTGTCACTGACCATCCGGTTCGAGGGTAGTCACTAACGCATCGACTGAGCGTCCGAAAAGGTAAGAACAAATATTATCTCTTCGGCCTCGCCGACTGCTGACCTCAATCACTGTAGGTGAGCGCGTTCGGTCGATTCAGGGTGTAGAGATATCTAGTCCAGGAGCCTATCACGCTGCGACCTGGCCACTCGTAGCTTGGCCGTTTCCTGGCTTAGACTTCTCCGCACCCTCACCAGCGATCTGGCCAAAGAGAAACAAGTTAGATAAATGGCAAGTGTTAAGACATCACCGTCGTAGCTAAGCATGCGATGGCTTGCCAGTCAACCACGGTGAGTAGCTCGACCGTTATGCCTCTTTGTACGGGAGTCTCTGGTGCGGCGGGCGGGAAGAGGCATCGAGGACGAGGAGACGGGATGCGACTGTGTCAGGAACTGGCCACTCGCTGCAACCGCGTCTCGTTCAAGTTGTCTATTCCGTGGAGGCTGACAGCGGGGCACCCGGGCGGCAGCACATGAGTGATTTAGGATTAGACTCTGAAGTTTCTCAGCAAACTCACTATGATTCCGGGCTGCCCAGCTTTGACGCGGTCAGCTTCCTTATTTTCTGTGAGTCTTTCCCCCGGTAAATGGTGAATATACTTGGGTGGACACAGTGGCTTCGAGGTGACAGCGGTTCTGGGGCTGAGGGGCGACGCGGATACTTAGGTCAGGAGACCACATACATAACATACTTACGACCGACCGCCGTCCTCGTCTCTCCTCTCTGCGAATTTGGACAAGGCAGAACCCTGTAGCTCTCGTCTTGCGTCAATATATAGCGTCTTTGGTCGTCAGTATGGAGCAGATGGAAGATTGGAATCGAGATTTATGCTATAACCTTTGTTGTGCGCCCAGCGATTTCGTGGCGCTGAGCCGGGGACAATACCTGCGGTCAACTGAGAGCACTAGTCCCTCCGAATGCGATTGCATACTGCGGCGTACGCGCTACCATACATACTCGCTCGAGCGACGTTGAGGCGGCATAACTACCAGGCCTGGACACGGTACTCACCAACTTCGGGCGTGCACAGCCCGAGTCATCGGAGACCACCAGCAGTGCTCCCAGTACTCCCTTCACAACGTTCACCAAGGGCAGAGAACAAACTTGGCCACCAGCCATCCAGCACGCCCGGGCACCGCAACCTCCCGTGGGCCTCCTAGTTGTCGCGGTCGAACTTATCGCTCTCGTGATGTCACCGGGATATACGAGCCCGTGGGGCGCCTGCGCGCTCATGTCTTGAGCGCCTCCTCGCGGTCGATAACCGACTTCTCGAGCTTGATGAGGATCGTGGTGCGGTTGGGCAGCTGGTCCGTCGGTGTGTTATGTGCGGTCACGCGGGCGGGCTGTGAACGTAGGTTCAAGTTTGAATGGACATTCATGATGCGGTTAGCCGTGAATAAGGAGACGAGGCGGGGACTCACGAAGCCCAGGCCGTCGAGGACGGCCTCGACGATGCCGGCAGTGAAGGAGGAGCAGCTCAGCTGGCTCATGTCGCGCGGGACGGAGATGTTGCGTGTGATCGGCGGGTCGTTGTCGATGATCATGTCTGCGTACGCGTCCGCGATGTGAGTATGGTGCAGCGTCTCCAGGGGCGTACGCACACTCGTCGGCGTTCTCGACGCTCTTCTCGATGGCGTCGGCGGGCTTGCCGAAGACGGCGCGCCAGACCTGGGTGTGGATGCTCATGAGCGCGGGGAGGAAGCGGATCTCGCGCTTCGGGGCTTTGGCGGCGGCCTCGTTGCGCCACGACATGAGCTCGAGGACGCGCATGCCCACCCGGTAGCCGAGCGTGTTCAGCCTAGTGCGGGCTGGTCAGGGCGGCCGGGCTACGTCGAGCCGCGGAAGAGACGCACCTCCGCTCGAGGTCGTTGATGCCGTTGACGCGCTTCTGGGTGTACTGCACCATCTCGGAGAAGAGGAAGGCGAACGCGCTCGCGCTGACCTCGGCGGCGCGGGTCTTGTTGAGCGGGCGGTCGTAGATGGTCTGGCGGGGCGGGGCGGGCTTGGAGGCGGGGGCGGTGGTGTTGATGGAGGGCGCGGAGGGGAGGGAGAAGCGGGTGGAGGATGCGGCGGGGGACAGGTGCTCGCTGCTCTGGGCGGCGGAGGCAGAGAGGACGGAGAAGCGGGGGTGCGGCGCGGCGTGCATGGCGAGTCGCGTACACTGGCAGAGGAGACGAGGAGGTGGGCAGCCAGTGGGCGGCGGGATGGCGGGCCGGGGACGGCGGGATGCCGGCGGGAGACTCTGGAGGCGGAGACCGATGCGCGTGGAGACCATCTGACCAACCCCTGCAGTGCGACGACGCCTGCAGTGCGCCCACAGCGAGGACCACCCAGTCTTCCCCGACGTCGACGGGCTATCTCTCATCTGCTGGCCAGCGCAGCGCTGAGGCTGGGTGCTGGGACTCCGGCGCCGGAAGCATAATCGCATCGGCTTGGCAGCGATTGCTCAGCAGTGACATTCCAAGTCGTGCCCGACTAAATACCACTTCGCACCATGGACCACGCACACTCCTCCTCGTCCTCTCACCACCTCCAGGCCTCGACCAGTCGCGGTCCCACTCCTATTTCCCCCATCCATCACCCGCATACTAATACCCCGCTCTCGCGCCTTGCCATCCCCTACTCTACCTCCCTACCCTCGCTGCGCAGACAGGCTCACTCCCCTGCCCCAGGGGCAGACGACCAACACATGGCTGGCAGCCTCGCCGTCGCGTCTCCCACCCGAGGCGCGTCGCCTGCCGATCTTCAGAACCATCTGTACCAGTCATTCTTGACGCGCAAGACGGCAGACGTCGCATTGCGCATCCGGGGATCATGGCACGCGATCTACAGACTGCACAGGGTTGTGCTCATCCAGGCTGTGAGTACGAGTGTGATGTGTCTTACGCGCTCGGTATTGACGTATGACATCGTGTCAAGGGGTACTTCCAGTCCCTCTTCACGGCTGGCTTCGCAGAGAGCAAGTCCAAGCTCTGGGGGAGACACTCCGAGCTGGACGTCATCGAGATTGTCCTCGACGACCCGAACATTACGCGTGCAGGTGAGTCTCACGTCATGATTCTTGTCTCATCTGCGGGCCTGTTACGGGTGATTGTCGGTCGTGGGTGGGTATGTTCCCTCGACGCGCGGACCTCCGTGACGCGCCCGGGCGCGAATCTCCGGGCTCACTTGCTTCATAGAGGGACAGCCGTGTATCTATGGGTCCCTTTGAACTGCGCGCACCAGAATGGGAATGACTGTAGTGAAAGCCATTGCGGACAACTCGGTCTCTAGTCACGAAATAACGATAAACGAACTCTAAGCGGACGCCAGACATGCTTTCAGACAGCGTTATGCGACATGCTGTCGCCGTGCGCAGGCGTCAGCGACTGGTGTGTACGGAGGTGAATTACATGGTGCCGGCCGTGTGTCTGCCTGTGGACTGCTGCTTGTTGACTATGTAGCTCATCTCTGTACATGTCATGTAGTCTATGACGTCCAGCAATACATCTGTCTTCCGTGTCCGCGTCAGCGTCGAGAGAGAAACCATTCAAAGCTGTACTGCTCATCAATTGTGATGTCATTTCCGCGGACACATTTGCTAACGCTTTGCGCGCTTCTCTCTGCAGCGTTCGAGTAAGTGTTGCCAACGATCTGTTCTGAGCCTCCGCTTACCTGGATGCTGGCAGAGTATGCATTGCCCGATTATACGGCGGCGGCCCCCCACTCCACCTCTCGCCCGACCTCATACCCAACCCCTCCCAACCGCTCACCCCCGCCTTCACCCTTTCCTCCAACCCACCATCCTCATCCTCACCATCCCCGACCCCCGCGAACCACCAGCCCGCCACCCCGCGCTTCCTTCTCTCCCTGGTGGCGACCGCATCCTTCCTCGGCATGCCCGCCGCGGTCGCGCACGCGCTCCAACTCGTCCTCGCGAGCGTCGGCCCGCACACCGCCGTGCGCTACCTGAACTTCGCGATCGGGAAGGGCATCGGCGCGCCGGACGACCCGGGTGCGGGGACGGGCGGGGGCGGGGACGGGGCGGCGGTGGGGCTCGAGAGCGTCGCGGAGGTCGTCGTCGACGAGGAGGACGAGCCACCCTCGCCGTCCAAGCCAGGCCCAGGAGAGACTCAGACAGCGCTGGAGCAGCGCGAGAAGGACACGGAGACGATCACCGCCAAGCTCTCCGCGCTCTCCACCGCGCACGCCGGGGCCGAGGTCGAGGTCGAGACGCCCCTGCCCTCGCCGTCGATCAAGAAGGAAGCGCCGTCGTCGCCCCGCTCGGACACGTCCTCCATGGACGTGGACCTCGGCACGCGCGCGTCGTCCGCCGCGCCGACGGCCGAGCCCGCGGCGCGCCTCGAGCCGCATTATTACTATGGCACGGTGAACGACAAGGTCGGCGAGGCTGCGGCGTGCTGGCTCGCGAGGTGGGGCGCGGACGTGCTGGCGTGCGAGGTGGAGGTGCTTGGCGGGAGCAGAGGGGAGAGGGAAATGGAGAGGGAGCCGGTGGTGAGGTGGCAGGCTGCTGGTGAGGAGGGCAGGGAGAAGGGGAGGAAGCGGGGATTGACGGCGCCGTCGCGGTTCGCGCCGCCAGAGGGCGTTGGGAAGGGGAAGGAGCGCGCGGGTGCTGGGATGTCGGTGGAGGGCGGCGCGGAGGAGGCGGGCGTGGAACGTGCGGTACCCGTGGTGTGGCGGCGTGGAGGCTTGAGTGCGCGGTGGGCGCGCGGGTTGCTGTCGAGCGACGCGTTGTTCGTCAAGGGAGAGAGGGAACGATATGATATGGCAAAGGCGGTGGTGGAGATGAGGAGGGGCGTGCCGCCGGAGGAAAGAGAGGAGGTGGAGGAGGAAGAGATGGAGTGGGAGGAGCTGTTCCGCACGGGGATTTACTACGAGAACATGGTGCGTTGTCCGTGCTTGGGTTATGCTCGGTCGCTCATAGTGTTGCAGAGCCTCGACGACATGATGGCAATCTCGAAGGACGTATCCCCGAGTACGGGTCAGTCATACGTGCCCCTCTCCGTGCTGCAATCCGCACACTGGAACCAAGACGTCCTTCGACATCGTATCACGTCACGTCCACGCGGCGGAGGCTCGTCACCATCATCCCCGCCCCTCTCACCGTCCGCGCGCGACAAGGAGCTCGGGCTCGGCGTGTCCGGCGCCGGCCTACAGAAGGAAACGGAGGGGGGCGCGTGGTACCCCGTGCCCGGCGACTCGTCAGTGCGGATCGGGGACAGCACCGGCGTAGAGGGTGCCAATACGGAGCAGCAACTGCTCGAGCTCGTCTCCCCGCCGACTCTCGACAAGGGCAAGAAATCTACGCGAACGTGCGAGGAGAACTTCTTCGGCCTGCAGCAGCAGCGTTTCTCGGCGGCGGCGGCGTCCGCACTCGGCGACGGCCAGAGCAGGTACACGCCACACCCGCCGTTCAGGTTCGGCGTCGAGTTCTGGGACGTGGACACGCTGAAGGAGAAGAGCCGCTTGCATAGTCACACGGTGTGGTATGCGGGGAGCCTGTACAACGTGTACGTGCAGGTCGTGCGCAAGAAGGGCGTGCAGCTGGGTGTGTACCTCCACAGGCAGAGCTCGGTGGACCCGCTGCCGCCGTGCTCTGCGCCTGCGATACCTGCTCCGACGAGCTCCACTGTAGGGAGGACACCAGCCCAATTGGCTGCGCATTCGGGACGACCGGCAAGCTCGAGCGTGAGTGGCAGCGTCGTCTCGTCGCCGAGGCCGAACTCGATGCACTCTTCGGTGCAGGGCTACTCGTCATCTGGCTTGCCGATCCTCCCCCTGTCACGAAGCACCACGCCCGTGTCGACGCCCGCCTCTCCTGGTCTCGCGTCGTCACTCCCCTCGAGCAGTAGCAGCAGCACCCTCGCGTCTGCGCCTGCGCAGCCACTCACGCTCCCCGCTACGGCTCACGCCTCGGCGCCCCAGCAGCCGTACCGGGACCCGCGCCCAGCGGTGAGCGCGTACTTCGCCATCGCGTGTGCGAGTGCGACGGGCGCGAGCCTGACGAAGTTCACGAGCGCGCCGGACGTCTTCAGCATAAGCCAGAGCTGGGGCTGGAAGAGCAGCAGCCTGCGGACGGACGAGTACCTCGAGGTCGGCAGGGATGGGATGCCGCGGAGCGCGGCGAGCACGCCTGCGCGGAAGGAGGTGAGCTTGCGGGCGACTGTTGTGCTCGGTGTGGTGTAGTCGGTGTGGTGTTTGGTTGATTATCTGTAGGTTCGACGCTGATGGAGGAAGAATATATATACGTATGCTACCACGATGAAACAGTACTACTTGCTTTACTATCCCCTCTTATTCCCTACTGCTTTCGTGCTTTGCCGTACTACGTACCATACACATCGTGTCTTTGTACTTCCGTTCCAGCGTATATTGTACTTAGCCCGAACTACATAATCCAACCGCCGGAGTGATCGGTTTCCTCGCACTGATCGAGCGCTGGCGCCTCGCTGCAGGGGGGGAGGCGCGAGAAAGTCTTTGCTTCCGTGGCAGAGTTTCGACCACCGTCTGCACAGCCCGCCTCGCTGCCTGCTCGCTTCCAACCAGCTGCTCGCACCGCTCCCATGCCGACAGCGACGACGAAGCAAGACTCGGCGGGCGAGGCCCCGCCCCCGCCGCCGCTGCCCAACCCGTCCACGGGCAGCGCGAACCCTGCCGCCTCTCTACCTGCGTTATGGGGCTACCTGCAGCCCGCGCTCGACCACATGGTCCGTTCGCCGACGAACAGCCCGTGCAAGGCCCCCGCGATCGAGGTCAGCTACCATATGGGCGTGCACACCGCCGTCTACAACTACTTCACCTCTCAGTCTGAGCAGGCGGCGCCCTCGCCCGGCCCCGGTGTTGGGGCCGGTCTCCGTATCCCCGCGCACGACAAGGGCAAGGCGAGTGGGACGGATCTGTATGACCAGCTCGATCGCTACTACGCAGACGCTGCGCGCGAGGTCTTCCTTGGTGCGCCCACAGACGACAGTTCGCTCGTGCACTACCTCGTCCCATGCTTCAACCGCTACTCCGCCGGCGCGCAGGCCGTCAGCCGCCTGCTCAACTACGTTAACCGCCACTACGTCAAGCGCGCCGTGGACGAGGACCGCGGGTGGCTTCGCCTCGCGGACGTGCTCGATGCCGTCGCGCGCACGATCCAGGAGGATGACACGCGCGAGAAGATTCAGCGACGCCTACGCGAACGGCGCACGGAGGAGCTGAAGAAGTTTGGATACGTTGAGGGTGCGTTGCCTGCGGAGGTTGCGAAGGTCGAGGAGTACGCGGAGGCGGCGAGTCCGCCTGACCGCGTTGTCCACCTCTCTGCCGTTGCCTACCGCCGCTTCCGTATCGAGGTCCTTGACCCGCTGCTCGCGGTGCCCAAAGTAAAGGGGAAGGGGAAGAAGAAAAAGCCGCCACAAAATGGCGACAAACCGCCCATGCCGAAGGGTCGTCTCGCCCGGTCGGTCAAGGAGCTACTGGAGACGGAGGGAGGAGACGAGGAGGAGAGACGAAGACTCGCGGGCGGCCTAGCTATCGCTTTGAGAACGTGCGGAATCAAAGTTGACCACCCACTTCGTAAGAAGCTCGACAAATTCATTCCTCCGCCCGAGCCTACTACTGCGACATAGCGTCGTGCCCACTCCCTGGAATCTGATGTGTCTGCCTCTGACTCTGTCGCAGTCGTGTCCCGCTGTCTTGTATGTTCCGGATGTTGATGTTGTGTCATAATCATTGGCTGTCTGTTGTTTGTGATATAGTGTTACTGTGAGTCAGAGAGCGTTGGCACACTCCAACAGACATGAAGGCTCCACGATTGCCATGAGTGATACATTATATAAAGACAAGAGTACACATCTTCAAACCTATACTGTGACCCACCCCCTACATTTCTCCGTGCCACATTTGCACGGCTTTGCGCCCTTGGGGATTCTTGACTTGCCCTTCGACTTATTGTAACTGTATGTGGCTGTGTCCTTCGGGTTGTAGTCAATAGTCAGCTCAGTACGAGCTGGTACCTGCTTTGTCGTGACGAATGCGAGGTATGGTTGATTCAGTTCTGCTACAGTGTCCCATATTACTGGGTACACCTTCATGTTTGGCTCACATGAATGGCTGTGGAGTTGGTTCAGTGAGAGGTGTGTAGACATTTGGAGATGACTCATTACTTGATGAATCTGGACCAATTGCCTGTAATGAGTGTCTTCAGTAGCTATCACTTGGCATCCTAACAATGAATGATTGCATACCATGATGGAAGGAATCTACAGAGTATTGTTGCATGTTGCTGGTGTCATCTTCCATTTCATGGGCATCAAGGTCAAAGATGTATGACCTGTGCTCTTCTGACAGGCCTTCAGCATCTCTGCGGTGTCTATAACCTACAGTGTCAGATTCACAATACTGTATGAAGCCACAATACCATACATCAGATTCCTATACAGCACAAAGCCATAAGCTTGAATGTTACAATCTGGTTACTGAGGCAAATACATACCCTGTATAGATCCCAAGGACCTTGCCCACTGGGAGCTGTACTGTTGCACATACACCCCAGCCATGGTCACCAGTATGGAAGACCTCCATTGGGACATCCCTTGGCCTTTGTGCAACACGGTTCTGACAAGTATCAGGGCAATTGCAAAGCTGAACTGTATTAGACTGATGTAGGAATGAAAGAGATTGAAAACATACACTGTTGCATTCAACAACCTCAACACCAGGAGAAAGGTTGAACTTGAAGATATGCTGCAAATGGTGAATGATCAGTCATGTACATAAGATGAGGAAGAGAATGGCAAATACATACCTCACTATTGTAAGCATATTGCCTTTCACCAGCTTCATTGACCATATCAGAACCAGCTTGGCAATCACAACTCTGAATCCTCTTGCAACCCTGGTGGCATTCACAACCAACAAGGAATGCAGTGGGATCTGGATGGTCAACACCCTCAGCCCTGGACAATACAAAAGCTCAAAACTATACATAAATTGCATTGAGTTGAAACATACCTCACATAGTGGTTCTCACAGTACTCAAAATCCTCTAGACCTGGTGGGATCTGTTCATCTGGGCTTGAGATAATGTCCAGAGCAGCAGCCCCAGCAAGTCTTATTGCCTGGTTCCACTTGGTCTGTAGCTCTCTGCACAGGTTCCTCTGGACCTCCTGTATCTCAGGGCTGGCTGACCTAGCTACATGGAATCTCAACAACAAAACTACAGCTACACCATGGACATGGAAAAACTCACCACTTTCACCATCATGCTGGTCATCATCACTGTCCCCCTCAGTGATATGAACAATCTCCTCCCAGTTGCCATAGTACTCCCTAGAGCCTCTGCGCCTGGACTCAATGGCCTTCTCCACATATGCATTCTGGACTTCATGTGTGATGTCATCGTGCCAGGGCTGGTCAGGTTCAAGCCCAATCTTCAAGTCCAAGCTCTCCTTAGCTTCTACTGCACGTTCATCAGCACGCTCCCTGTCCCAGAAGCGCTCTTCATCCTTCATGTCCACACTTGACCTTTGCCAGGTTGTATTGGTGCCCATGGCATCATTACGTTGCCAGTTTTTCCATTTCACCTAATGGGACAATGGATCCATCAGATAACACTGTTACACAACCTACTATTCACATACCTCATAGCTAAGAACAGAAATCAGACCGTGTAAGTATATAAGCAGTGATGGGACACACCTCTTCATCCAATATGAGTCCGTTGCCTCACCCACTATACCAACGTACTCCCACTCTCGAGCCTCCGACTCCCAGTCTTCCGGTGGTGGTGGTGACAGCTCTGTGTCCCACTCTTGTCGGAGATGCCCAGTTTGAGGCATGCTTGGAGGTTTGAAAGACGGCAAAGCCCAGACAGAGAACAGTGAGCTCAGGGCTGTTGGTGCACGAAGGAAAACGTCGGGCGACGGGCGCGCGTGTCGCATCGAGTCGCTGGATGATCGCGAGCAAATCACGTGATCGAGAGGCAGCGCAAGCCAACGCCGCGCACGACGGCTCGGATGAGATTCAGCATCCATCGCCCCGTCCAGAACCCGCCGGCACTCCTCACGAATACATCAGTTCTCTACGTTGCATCGGCAGACTTTACCGGAGACTTCGTGAAGCACTCGGAGACCCTCTTGAGGGAGACATCAAGCTGCAGCCCACTGGCATAGGCCGATTGAACGCCTCTATTCTGGAAGGCGGCAGCGTACAGACGAATCGGCGATGCCCAGGCTCCTGACGCTACGCTACCATGGGTGACAGGTGCGGGTCGGTGCGAAGTTCAACATGCTGAAACAAGGGTATGTGCATCATGATGGGCGTCCCGGATGCTTGCGCTGACCGCGACCAGGTCTCGGAATGTTCAGTGAGGTTCAGCGGCATCCTAGCTTGACACAGCTCCTCGGTTGCCGCCTTGGCCGTGACTTCGTGTTTCTCGGTCGCCGCCTGTCGCCGCCTTATCCGTGCTTTCCTTTGACATAAAAGGGAGCCCTTCTCACCGACATGCTGCTTCGTTTGGCCACCGGTGCGGTACCACAGTCGTGTATGCTGCGCTCGCCCCTACACCCTACCCACTGAAGAATGTACTCCCTGGACCTCGTAGCAACCTTACATCCGCGGATGAAGCAAGACGTGTATTCGATGAAGTTTGTGTTCGCGAGGTTACATGCAGTATTCCGCCCATAGCTCATTCGGTTGATCTCATAGTGCGGAGGCGGTCAGTGACAATGAGGCTGCATTTCTTTCCGCTATTGACGAGCGCATAGCTACAGCCTGTGGATGATATACCCGCCTCCTGCGTCGCACTGATTCGTCAGCCTCATGGGAGCATTTGCACTATGAACCGGCTACCGCCGGAGCTGCTCGGCCACATCTTCAAACATGTCCTCGCAACGCCCCACGTACAAGAAACACCTACGAGAGACGCGTTCACGGCCTTTCAGATATGGAGACCCACGATTCTTGACACGACGAGCTCGCTCGTTCTGTCGCACGTCTGTCGGTATTGGCGCGAGGTCTGTTTGCAGTCACCCACGATGTGGTCCCACGCGGTCGACTCGCAATCAATCCCGCGAGACGTTCTCCTCGAGCTATCGCGGGGACTTCCTTTGAAGATTCTGACGATATCCCCAGAGTCCCGCTGGCTGCCAGCGCTCTCGGAGCAGAGCAAGCGCATCCAGGAGTTGCACTGGATACAGGTCGACATAGATCACAGCCGTTCCTGCCTCAGCTTCCCTGCTCCTTCCCTGCTCACCGTGACACTCACCGGGCCGCGCGCTCCTACGAGCTACCAGACGTTGGACTCACCGCTCGAAGACAACTTCCCCGTTCTCTTCAGCGACCAAACACCGTCTCTCGCGCACCTCTCGCTCTCGAGCCTCCCCTGGCTTCCGCGCAACCGCTTCGACAACCTCACCTGCCTCTACATTGACAGCTGCCACGGGCACAACCTACTCTTCCGCCTCCTGAGCCTGCTTGGCGGGTGTCCGCGCCTCGAAAATCTTATTATCTCTGCACTTCCTGATTTCGCGTCCGCGCACTCGATCAACGGTACCGTCACCCTCGGTGCACTGCGCACGCTCGTTCTGAAGCAGCTCGGTGCAGACGACATCGCGCTGCTCCTCAGGTATCTCGCGCTGCCCACGTCGACCGCGGTGCGCCTTACGGACATCTTCCCCTGCGCTGCGTCCCTTCCGGAGGCTCTCGCGGTGCTGCCGCCCGCAGGAGCGGCGACAAAGCTTGCGATCGATCTAACCGCGGCGGAGCCTTGCGTTTACGCTGTGGGCGATCAATCGGGCGTGCGCGTCGACGAGTATACGTCGTGGTTCCATTACGAGTTCTGGCTGGCGACCGCGTCCATGCTTGTGTCCCGTGCGCAGATCAAGGAGCTCTGGTTGAGAGCCAGCGCGCCCATCGACGGGAAGCACGGCGCGGCGTTGCACAACCTGATCAAAGCCCTCCCTGAGCTAGAGCTCCTCGTCGTCGACGAGTCAGTTGTCCAACTCTTGGGTAATATGCGGGGTAGCGTCGCGTTCCCGACATGCCCAAGCCTGGCGTCCGTGCACGTACACTGCGAGGGTCGCGCCGAGGCACGCGCGATCGTGGATGCCCTGCTTGCCAACCGTACCCAGATTGGGTGCAAGCGTGTGGTCGTGTACTGCATGCCGGATTTCACATTCGTACGTGAGGATTGGGCGGAGCTAGAGGCGTGCTTCCGTTCCTTGGAGTACCAGCGGTGCAGAAATACCCCGGAGATGGCGATGCCGGAGGTGTGCTGCGCTCCCGGCCATATGCTTTGGCCGTCCTGGCGGGGACGCGAATAAGACGAGACACAGATAACAAAATAGATGTTCGATGATGCGTGAAAGAAATCGGCGCAGGGAAGAGCAGTACGTACGGGTGTCAATTTAGCAGCGTGTTCCAATAGCACCGTAGAGTATAAACCGGGAATGCATAAACCGTCTTCATGGCGTGACCTCGGCCTACTATTCGAAGATTTTCAATTGTACGTTGTGGGATAACGCACGAGACGCGACACGACTGTAAATGACAAGAGAGTGGATGTCGATCACTTATCCTTCACCTGCTCCTCCAGCCAATTCCACAGCTTCTCGCCCAGCGCATCATCGTACGCTTCGCGCCTGCACTGTCCCATTCTTGCCCAAGGGATCAGATACTTGAAATCGGAATGAGCTCGCACTATCCCGGGTAGCCGACAGCGATAGACACGTACCTTGCCGTTGTAATCGAGCGTCTCCGGCATGGTGCCAGCCCAGAGTTGAGTGAGCGCGCCGTACGGGGCGTCATAGAGGACGAGGTTCTGCGAGCCAGTCAGCCTGACTATGTGAAATGGACGTCTGAACTGGAGCATACCATGACTTTACGGAGGACGGTAGGGGCGTAGCGCTGTAGTTCGGTCTTGATATTGCCTAGTACGTACAGAATTAGCCTCCACCATTGGCGTGAGGTGATCATATCCCACATACCAGGGTTACAAGAAGTAGATACGATGCCTTGGTCCGCGTACCGCTTCGCGAACTCGCGCGCGACGACAACGTTACCCTATCGCATACGCTCTCAGTCATGCGTTCCGACATGACACGGTCACACGCACGAATTTGCTCTGGGAGTACAGCGTGTTCGTCATCATACTCCGTCGCGCCGGGCTGTCCTTGATCGCGTCGAAGTTGAGCGTGTAGCCGTATGCCGCACCCGAGGAAGTGGTGACGATGCGCGCGTGGTGGTCGGGAGACGTTTCCTTGCCCGCGACGAGTGCTGGGATGAGGAGCTTCGTGAAGAAGAAATGACCTGAGCAGCTCATGTCAGCACGGCCGGGACAGGTTGGTGTGATATGCAAAAGTAACTCGCCGACGACATTCGTGCCAAATTGTAGGTCGTAGCCGTCTGCGGTGAGCAGCTCACGCGGAGGCCACATGACACCCCTACAAGCCGAGTTCACGATCGTATGAGCGGGCAAGCATATAGGGACATACGCGTTATTGAAGAGAACGTGCAGTTCCTTCTCCTTGCTACCGTGTTCGTTGATATTTGGATGGGCTCGCAGCGTCCGAGCATAGCGCACCTCATGAACTCCTCAGCGGCTCTCCGCACAGATGCAAGGCTGCTCAGGTCGAGCTCGAGGAATATAGCTTCCTTGCCTGTCTGTTGCACGAGCTCCTTGATCGCAGCGTCTACCTTTTCCTTGCTTCTGGACGCCATGTAGACCTTTGCGTTGTGCTCGAGCAGCGCCTAAGGTGAATGAGCTCAACTCACGGGCTGAGACTCGGGGCCAAGAGACGTACCTTGATCGTTTCCTTCCCAATGCCCACATTTCCGCCTGGGCCATGCCTTTGTCAAGTGATAGCATACACGACGTGCATGGATATACAGACCTGTGACGATCACGACGCGCCCCGTCAAGTCCGGCATCTGTGCCGGGGCGAAAGTCGACTTCGGCGGGAAGGCCTGCGAGAGAACTGCGAGCTGGTTGCCCATCCTTGCAAACACCGATAGTGAGGACGATGAACGGTGCAAGAGGACGATGTCGTGGTTATGGGATCTTCACGGATGGCCGCGCTGCGCGACGTTGGGCGTGCGAACAGGGCATGGCGACGGAGGTAGTCTTCTCAGCGAATCTATTCCAGGTAGGTCAGACTCAATGTGGTAAGTATGGCTATCCGTGGAAACGGGTCTCTTGAGAAGGAGAGTGGGGCTCACCTGGGGCTCGAACAACTACTGGCTCAGACTTGGCTCGGGCGTGCTCTGTCCGGGCCGTAGTACACACGGTACAGTCCAAGTAAAGTGTGCGCACAGTCACACAGTCCCACCGTATGTACATACGCGTGTGGCCATGAGTCGGAGTCGGTCGTCACCGGACTTCAATTTCACGATCAAATTCATTCTGCTTCCGATGCAATTCAGTTTCACATGGACTCAGACAAAACCAACTTGAAGGTGCACCAAATTCGAGCGTATGACTGGGCGACAGGCACATTGGTCTTCACGAATGGTCTAGGAAGTGCTTGAGCATGCTGAGACATGTCGAGATGCTTCACCTATAAAGCACGGTGAGTCACAGCCTCAGCGCCCCCGTCCAATTTGTCTGACGAATATGATGATATCTGCTCTGCCAGCGGTGCAAACACGACTGTGATGATTCCGGGGGCCTAGGGCGCAGCGGGTCTTGCTGTTGCTACAGGCAGCCCTTGAATTAACGTCGGCGGGGCCTGTCTAGTACATACGCACACTAGTACTACTCTGGCTATTACGCCGGAGTCACCGTGAGCTCGACCCTTGATCAAGGTACCACGCGGCCATGTGTACGATTGGTGTACGATTGTTTTTGACTTCTAGTGCCCAAGACCAGCGCCGCGTCGAATCAGGATGGAACTCGAAACGGTTCATTCCGGGTTTGCTACTGCCTAAATACGCCTGCTTTCCCCATGCTCAGTCTCCGACTTCCCGCGTTCTAGGGTTCACTCGCTCTTACTATTAGGGGACATGGGTTCATCGCACTCAAGGAGTATAGTGTCCGACCCAGAGAGGTTTGCAAGTCGTATCCCGCATGAGCCGGGTGGAATTCCCCAATGGCGTCAATACGACTACATCATCGTTGGTGGCGGTAGGTTGTTTCGCAATGGCAATTTTCATTCAATAGGCATTGACTGAATAACGCTATAGGCACTGCAGGATGTGTCCTTGCCTCTCGGCTCTCTGAGGATCCATTGAACACTGTCCTGCTCATCGAGGCGGGTAAGAGGTACGTGAGGGACCCGGTAACAAGCTTGCTGTATTATGAATGGGTTGCTACTACAGCCATGAAGGCGACTTACTAAGTCGTATTCCGCTTGCGTACACCAAGATGTTCCGGACGTCGGTCGACTGGAGCTATGAAACGACGTACGCGATATAGTCGCTCATTTTAAGGCCTGGGATTGTGGCGCTTACAAATCTTTCAGCCCGCAGAAAACCATGTATGACCGACGGATATGTTGGCATCGAGGCAAGTTGTTAGGCGGGTCAAGGTAAGCATGGATCTGTGATATCGAATGTACGTGCGTTGTTGACGATCGATAGCTCTCTGAACTCTATGATTTACCATCGTTGTTCACCCGAAGGTACGTTTGTGAGTCCTTCATATTGGTGTTACTCGATTATGCATATGATGCGCCGAATAGACTTTGACGAGTGGGAAAAACTCGGAGCGAAAGGATGGAGCTATGCCGCTATTCGTCCGTAAGAATGTTGATCATCCCACACTAAGGTCTTAGACTTGCTGACTGCGGCCTCGTTAGGTACTTCGACAAGGCCGAGCGGTACTGTCCTAGCTCGCAGTATCCTGAAGTCAAACGAGATGAGCATGGCTCGAGTGGTCCCTGGGCTATAACGCATAATGTTCAAGCTGCTGTAGGAATTCGGATATCCTCATAACTCCTCTTTCACATATTGACAACTCTGCAGCAGATTACTGACGCCGCCATCGAGACTTGCAAGGCAATGGGTTTGCCCTACAATCCGTGAGTTTCTGGCGTCATCTGTTGTGTCTCCTCAATTGTGATGGATGGAATAGGGACATGAATTCGCCGCGAGGAACAATGGGAGTCGGGCCATTCGTTGGGCACATCGACAAGAAGGGTAAACGTAAGTTTACACTATACATCTTACGCTTATCACGGGCATCACTGACCCACCATTAGGGAGCTCCTCTGCAACAGCATATCTCACACAGGCAGTGCTGGCGAGGCCAAACTTGACTATTGCTGTTGAAACCATGGTTGAAAAGATCATCTTCGCTCATGCACCTGATGTTGAGCCTCGCGCGGTCGCCGTCGAAGTGTCGAAAGGCCGTGGCTCGCCGCGATACCGTGCCGACGCTACCCGCGAGATCATTCTGTGCGGCGGGGCGATTGCCAGTCCACAACTCCTGCTCCTGTCCGGTATCGGGCCTGAAGATGAACTACAACAACTCGACATCCCTGTTGTACAGGATCTACCTTTCGTCGGAAAGGATTTCACTGATGTCTGTGGTCTCCCGGTGGTTTATCTCAAGGTGCTAACGGCTATTGATTGCCATAGCATATTGCATCTGGCCCGCTGTGTTTCCGTGCTAAACCGGCGGCCACTTGGGATCATTACACCAGTCGTGTTCCTGGGGCATTAGCCTTGCTTAGATGGTTTCTCACTGGAGGAGGACCACTCGCGGCCCTTGGAAGTCCGTCCGGGGCGTTCTTGCGCTCGGATGATCCTAGGTATGACTTGTCGTTCATTGTGAGACTGTTGACTTCTGATGTCGTCCCATAGGATCGCAGTGCGATCAGAGTTGGCGGAAAGTCGTGCGACCAAAAATATGACTTCCGGACCCGGTGCCCCGGACCTGGAGCTCGTTTGGGCCCCAGTCTGCTTCTCGGTGGATAACGGAATTGTCGTACCGGTCCCGGGGGCATCTGGTATAACAATGGTCCGTACAGCGCTTGCAAGCGTCTCGACCTTACTGACATCGTGCAAGGGGGCGGTATGCCTCAAACCTGAGAGCACCGGCCATATTACCTTGTCATCCAAGAGCATCTGGGACACGCCCGTCGTTGAGGCTAAGTGAGTAGACAACCTTGTGGCACGTAGCAATTCAGGGAATAACTGGGTCTACGCAGCTATTTTCAATCAGCAAGCGACATGAACGTCGTACTTCGCGGGACGAGGTTCCTCCTCCAAATCGCTCGGACTGAACCTTTGGCTTCTCTACTCGAGATTACCAATCCGGTAGATCAAAGTGACGCCTTTTGGCCAGGACACGCTGACCCGGACAAGGCTAGTTATGCTCCCCTTTGGTCACGTTTGTAGTACTGAGTCACTGCATCATCATAGGTTACCGACAACGAGTTGAGGGCATGGATACGTCGCAACGCTGAACCAACCTTCCACGCGGTGAGAACGCACTTCCGGTTTGCGTGCATTCAGACGCTTCATGTGTCTCCTCAGGTATCTACAGCAAGGATTGGACGAGACCGAGAGACCAGCGTGGTCGACCCCGAGCTTCGGGTCCATGGGATCCGCTGCCTGAGGGTCGTAGACGCGTCGGTATTTCCTTCTCAAGTATCCGGTCATCCGGTTGCCGTTGTCATTGCCATTGCTGAGAAAGCAGCAGATCTCATCAAGTCAAGCGCACGCTAGGTCCAGTTTACCAGTGGGTGATGCGTCAGGATGCTCGTTTGTGGACCGTCATGCGACCTCATGTACTCTGATACGGCTTGCCCTCTGTGTATGAGGTCAAGAATTTGCCTCGCACAGTGCATTACTAACGTGTGCTGCTCCTGAGCGAGAGCACTTCAAGCATTCCGTGGCTGGGGCTGTTATGTGTATTATCCTACAAAGGCCCCCATGCATCGCGGATGGCTGCTTGAACGAAGAACACCAGCGACTGGGTGGCCAATGTGACCCAATCTACATAAGTGCGATCTCACGATACCTCTGGCAATGTCTAGTAGGCTTCTAGATCGACGCGGGCCGTCCTCGTCATAAACCGAGTTACTTGTGGACTGACGCAGACGACTCGGGGCAACGGTGATGCGGCCTCCATGATCGTGCCAGTTCACGCTGGGCGCGCGGAGGGGAATGTCAGGCGGGCCCGGAATAGTAAGGCGTTAACGATACTCACAGGAGCGCGAAACGTACTACTCGCGCAGGTCGTGACAAGTACTGGTATCCGACAGCGGTTTCTTGTTAGTTCCTTTCAAGAGCAGGGTCCAGCTGGACCTGCTAGTGGAAGGTGCGTGCCGTTTACGACATCCTCGGGTGCAAATTCACACGACGTCGGCACTTACAGGCTTCGCCGAAGAACCAGTTCACATCGCCCGGAATGTTCAGAATTCATTACATACCGCGACAACGGTACGTACTATCGGCATGACCAAGGACGTACGCGTTGCTCCCAACTTGTCGACACGCCACTCGAATCATTTGACTCTATCATCACTGGCACGGTGGCAGTTGCGGTATCTCAGCTTGCACCCTTGTCTCGGTGGCGATAGTAGGTGGACGCCGGGCGCTGCTATGAGCCTGGAAGTGGGTTCCATACCGGGTGCCAACATGCGGCGTACGTGGATATTGGAGCGATTAGTAACTTTGTGAGGTTCATATCACCGTCGTATGGCCTTCTTGAAGTCCTTCCGTGCTGATATTCATCTCCGAAAGGAACCCAGTGATAATATGACTGCCGCTTCAATGCACGACATCTGGCGTCTCAAGTTGACAGAATATGATACTTACAGCTAAGTCCATATCGTTAGGCCCCATCCTCTGAAAACAAACACAAGCGGTGTTTGACGGGGCGCAGATCGCGATCAAATCGCTCACCGAGAGCGAATCGGACACCACTGTCACACCAGCGCGGCAGGTGGCGCAGCCCGATCGGCGTGCATACGGACCATCTCGAGCCTCGGGAGGAGCTAATATCAATGGCCGACACACTCCACCTCTATTCACGTTTTCCCAGCGGGGCCTAACGATATGTACATTGTATTCTGCCTCCTTTCACGTATGGACTCAGTTGTAATGTTCTGCGCAATGCTAGCGCTGGTCCTGGCAGGGCGACGAACCGTCCCGAGATCGAGCATCCGGGACTAGGCGCAAACCTGTGCTCCCTACGCCGATTGTAAGTAGCACTGACGAGTCCAAGGTACTTTTAGAAGTTTTTTTCTGCTCAGTTAGTCTCATGGCAACTGACTACAGGCAGTACTCTGGAAGCAGGACCGCTGAAGAGCTCAGATATATGGAAGTGTTCTTCGAGCGTAACGCCGCGCCCTGAGGCCTTGAGGCCTGGGTTTGAAGACCGCTTCAGATCAACTTCGAGGGTCCGGGCTCGGAAGCATCGATATCAAGTCTATGTAAGGGGAGAAACTGCTAAATTTGGCTCCTCCCATATCTACATCTCGTACTCTGCATGCTCGACGCGACGGTTCATTGCGGTTTGGCTCTGCGGCTATGTTTGCTATCTGGCTGATGCTGGTAACGTTACAGTATACTAGATGGTGTCAATCAAGATGGGAACGTGTCTCAGTTACCTCCACGATCTCAGGGTGCACGCCTGTCACCCAAAGTGCCTTCTTAGTCCGGATAATACCCACTTTGTTCCATGCATCCGATTTCCTCTGCACACGACGGACGATCATACTAATAGTGCCCTCCACATAGTGACGGGACGATGGCCGCTATGTCACTCACAGTGATAGGTCTAGTGGTGCTCATCATCTCTGCTTGGGCACTGTCCTCGAAGGCGGGTCCGAAACATCCACCGCTCTTCCCTGGTCCGAAGGCCTTGCCGCTGGTAGGAAATGTGTTGCCGTCTAGTAAGCGCCTTTGGCTTACGATGGCAGCGTACAGCGAGCAGTTTGGTGTGTACTGTTCAGACGCGTCAACGCTCCGCTTACGTCCCTATGACAGGACCCATTTATTCACTACGCATTCTGGGAAGCAGTATGCTGGTGTTGAACTCTGCCAGCGAAGCTCGGGACCTCATCGAAGGCAAATCGAGCCTGTACGCCCCTCGCCCTCCACCAAAGATGGTCGAGCTGTAAGTATCAGCTCGAGAGGAATTACATCGTTCAATTCATATGTATCCTGGTCAGTGCCGGTATGGACCGCGGTGTTCTCTTCGAGAGCAACCCCGTCCGTATGCGCAAATCCAGGAAGCTGCTTCACATGGTTCTTCAACCGCGGGAGCTTAGATTGTTCGATCCAACTCTCGTCGAGAAGAACAACCGCTTCTTGCACAACCTACTCCATAGCCCACATAAGTTCCTGGAGCATATCAGGAAGTGCGTCTGGCGGCTCCAAATCATTAACGGCTCCGAGAGCTGACGTGCTGTATGCAGGCTCCCAGCTGGGGTCACTCTAGCTTTGTCGCATGGCTATGAAGTACAAGAGGAAGACGACCCATACGTCGCGATGGCGGACGTTACCGTGCAGAACTTTGCCAAGGCCAGCGATCCGGCAGCTTTCCTGGTCCACTGGCTCCCTATCCGTGAGCATCCATATATTTTGTCTACTCACAGTGAGCCTTCATGCCTCCTCGTAGTCGCCAAACTGCCTACATTTCTTCCGGGTATGCAGTTCAAGAGGCTTGCGCTGAGCTGGAGGCAACAATATACGGCCCTGGCGGAGAGAGGACATGAGCACGTAGAGTCAAACATCGTGCGCAAAGTCTGGTACTTAGCGTCGAGACCGGACTGAACTCGCTTGAAGGCTTCGGGGACAGCTAGGCCGTCGCTGACATCCCTGGCCCTCGCATCGGAGTTGAAGGACGAACGGGACATTATCATGTTCACAGCCACGCAAGTGTACACAGGCGAGCAGCTTTATTGGTCTGTTCTGCCGGACGTCGCTGACGCAGAACGGCAACCCAGGGGGAGCAGATACGGTGAGTTCAGTGATCTTCGTCATCTTTCAGCTAAAAACCCTGTCTACTCTCGACAGAGCACCGCGACTCTTTCCTCATTCTTCCTCATGATGATGAAGCATCCCGACGTTCAACGGCGCGCGCAGCAAGAGATCGACCAAGTCATAGGCGACGAACGCCTGCCTGTCTACGGTGACCGACCACAATTGCCGTACATCGAGTCTCTTTTGAAAGAGCTCCTGCGCTGTTGTCCACCAATTCCGGCAGGTACGTTCACCCAGTCTTGCACCTGCCGCTCCGCGCTTAGTCGTGCAGTTACGAGGGCCCCAGCGCAAGACGACGTGCACAAGGGGTACTACATCCCGAAGGGTACTGTCGTCGTGGTGAACTTTTGGTGACTTCCTTCTCGTTCCGGGTCGTACGGACACTTCTCAACGTTGCACTAGGGCTATGCTGCATGACAAAACGCGGTACGACGAGCCGGACCAGTTCAGACCCGACCGTTGGCTCTCGCGGGATGCGGATGTGAACACGGATCCTTTCGAGGTCATCTTCGGGTTTGGTCGTCGGTACGTTGACTGTAGCCGTGAGTAGTGCCAGCGCATTCACACATAGCGCACAGTACGTGCCCCGGCCGCCACCTCGCCGAATCGTTGCTGTTCACCGCCATAGCGACCACGTTGGCGGCATTCGACATTGCTGTACCACGCGATGAACAGGGCAACCTGGTAGAGCCGACCGGGGAGTACAGTGATGGCGGTATCATGTTAGTCTATTATCATGCCTGTTGAGATTTGTGCTCATTGCGATAATCAGCTGGCCGCTTCCCTTCAAGTGCGACATCCGAGCACGTTCGGAGCGGGCAAAGGAATTGATACTAAACAGCGTGGTTCAGGCTTGAAGTTGAGTCCGTTGGTTGTGAATCTCCTGGTGGCCAAGCGATGTCAGTGTCATCGTTACAGGCATGGCACCAAGTAAATCGTGGATACATAGATGTTGCAGCCATTTGAGTTCGAATATTCGTGCGCGATCGTCGTTGTTATTACACCTCATGGATAAGCGTTTCGTAGCACTTGTCGAGCAAGTAACTTAGCAAGTAGGTCATTGGAACGATTATACACACTGCAATTGTACGTTGGCACATGGCAGAGTACACGACGTGGCGAACGCATCGAGTCAGCGCCGGACAGCGATACATATTCGCCATCCATACCAGAGCTTGCTAGGCTTGCTGATCGTATTAAAAGCTCTTCTGATTGTCAATGTAGACCAAGGCGCGGTGCTCGTGAGCGAGTTGACATCCTATGAAGTGAGAAGCAGACATGCCTTATCGCACAGTGGGAAGTGAATCTTCCACATAGTCCGGAGCTCTTCGACTCGTACAAAGAGTATGCCGCGGGTGTACCAGGGCATGAACAGCCTGCGGGCCCAGTCCGCCATCGCCTTGACCGCCTGCTGATTGTGCGACGGTATATAGTCCTTGTGACTAGCCTGGAACAACATCAACGCCAGGTGGACGCGAACGGGCCGGCTGAAGCGAGGGTGCTCAAGCAGCGGCTCATGGAAGGACTTGAGCGTGTCCTCATCTGGCAGGGAAGCCTTAAGCTCGGCTATCTCGGCCTGGCCCGTTCTGAACTCGAGGTCCATCGCGAGAGGAAGCACGAGTGTGAGGAGGACGAGCTGGTTGCTGGATATGCTCGACAGGATGTGGCGAATCTCGTCGCAGCTCGTCCGCCATGTGTCAGAGCGCAGGGTGTTGAACGTCACCGTTAGAACGCGTAGGTTGGGCGCGTTCGATAATGAGCACCGGTCGTCTGTCAGAATACTTAGCGTGCGTCAGCTTGTGCGAGTAGGACCTTACCAGGATCACAGCGGAAGGACAGGAGCTCTAGGTGCGGCCGAGGATCACTTAGAATACGAGCGATGCCCCTTGTCCCAGAGACAGGTGGGCATGGATCGCGGGAGTTGCACACAAATAACGCCATTCGCTTCTCCAGCTTCGACGTGTTTGACCCGGCTTTACTCCAAGGCTCGTACGTTAATTCTTGAAGGCGACCAGCGACATCTGCGGCAAACAACCAATCTAGGAGCAACTCGCAGATCCATTCGTACGTGTTTCTGACTTCCACGCGCCTCAACGCGTGTTCGACGCCGCTCTTGTGCATGCGCCTCGCTGCATTCGCCACGCGGGGGGCGAAAAAGGCAGTGCGAGGCTCCTTAGGTCCTCCGCAGTCGACGTCCTCTAGAGTAAGATGACAGAGGAGAGGAAATGCCGAGATGACATGGAGGAAGTCGCTGACACAACGCAGCTTGCAATCAGCCAGGGTCAACGTGGAGATACGCGTGAATCTTGGCAGCAGTGCAATGAAACTAGTAGCGTAGGACTGTGGGAGACAGTTGACGAGGCGCAGCTCGATGAGTGTAGGCATGCACTTGTGAAAAGCATGCGGCACGACATGTCCAAATGATAGCGGCTCCGATGTTGGTCCATCGCGTAGTTCCACCTCGAGACGCGAAGTCCAATTGAGGTGCTCTTTGACGCGAGTGTTGTGCAAAGCCTGCCGAGCGAGAAGGTCGAAGGTGCATCTGGTCTGGAGAGAGATGTTTCGATAGAGGCACCTGATGCTATGCGTGTGCCAGGATCGACAGACGAGTGCGCAAGTGTAGAGATCTCCGTGTGCCGGCACGCAGTCAATTATGTTGTCAGTGATGTCTTCTGTAATCCGGTTCGTGAGGGGCATGGGAAGAGGCAGGAGAAGTTTGTTCTGTTGTTCTCGCAGCCGGTCTAGCGTTCGAGAAGGAGACCAAAACAAGTCAGAACAGCTGGCGTAGTCGCTGTGAAATCTACAAGGAAGAAGTGCATCACGGCCGTCGCTGTCCTGGGATGTTTTCGAGCGTTCCATGACTTCCGCAATATTCGGCGGCGTACAGGACGAGAGTGTCGGCCTGTTCGCTCTACCAACATGCGTCGGCGCTGAAAAGACATAAGATGCAGTGGACCGTCAGGCCTTCAGGCTTGGGAGGACGTACCCGAGCCCTGGTCTTCACACTGTTCGAGACTCATACCTGCATAAGATCCTGCGAAGCAGAACGAGGTCTCAAGGAGGTCGCTGGTGCCCTTACAATGTACTTACCACCTGCCAGCCTTATCCCTCATGCCACCGCTGACGCCGACTCATCGATCTTCGCACTGTCACGGTGCAGCAAATAGTGGGACATACAGTCGAGCGCCGGTTGCAAGAGGAAGCCAGCCTAAGTCTTGAGACTTATAGAAGCATATAATTAGCACATACATATGAAGCTGCAGCTATGGGTGAAAAATCTGCGGGAAGGAGGCTGAAGGAGGTGAGGCTCGAGGCGGGGTTGCCATGTCCAGAACTTGAAGCTTGAAGCGCCGCTTGAGCGCCGCGCTGGCGCCGCGGACTGCAAGTTTTACGTAATGCGCAACGCAATCAAATTCGCATTCAAATGGATCGGCGGCTGATCTGACCTCGAGCGAAACCGTTCGGCGTTCACTGCCAGCGTTCAGACCAAGGTCAGGCTATTCACTGCCAGCCGTCCGCGTCCTCCAGCACCTCCCGCTGTCGACTGAGCTTGGATTCAATACTGCTCTTGTGCTCTGTTACGTCTATACGCACGCAATGTCAACCGTATACGAGAGCCTTCTGCCGAAGCTTGTCGCGATCCTCGAGGTGACGCAACAGGCTGCAGACAGTCCACCCACACAGCAGGTCAAGCAAGCGTTGGTCCATGTGGTATGTGATTTGCAGTGTGGCATTGAGTATGTGATCGATAATGCAATGTTGGTCGTAAGACAAATGACTTCAAGGAGACTCTCAGACAGGCGAAGGACATGGCCAGCACGCTCCCTGGAGGCGAACTCTCGGTGGAGGAGCAAGGTGAAGTCATTGCGATGCTCGAGAAGTTGAAGGAGAGGAAACAGTGCGTCTGATGTCTGACTGACTGGCGGCACATATTGACATCGCGGTGCACCTCAGACAACAGCTCGCCAAGTTCTCCGCAGACGTTGATGCCATCACCAAGGCCACGACACAGATGAGGATGGAGGTTGACTCCACTGCATCGACCCCTGCTGTGTGAGGATATGGTCTTTGTGGCCTCGTCCGAGGTTCACGGGCGACTAGAGGTCATGCTCCATCGACGAAGCAGTCAAGATCATAACCGTTTCGTCAGCCGCAAGCTCACTTTCCGCCCCTCTTTCAACCCTCTTCCCGAAACATAGGCTGCGCTGTACCCACCAGGGCTGGTCCTTCGCCGTCCACTACTTCCCAGCATGCGCAGGCGTATTCCCGTTGTGCCTTTCCTAGGCCCACTTCCTCTGCTTCTGACCTTGGCTTACCGGGTGCAAGCTGGTGGCGTCACTTGGGTTAGTCCCTCCGCAGGGGTTACGTACAAGTCCGGCGACACTATTGTCGGACAATGGACTGCAGATGGATCGTTTTCCTCGCCTTCGTTCAGCTTGTGTACCTCCGGGTCCGACAACAGCAATACACCTTCCGCAAATTGTGGAAGTGCTGTGTGGCCAATCATCGAGAAGAATGGTGATGCTAGTCTGATCCACCTGTACGTCTAAACCATGTTCATCTCTGTTCACGGGAACCTATGTGTGTTGCTTCATGTTTAGGTCTCTTCCGACCACCACCTCTGCTGGGACCTACTATCTTCAAATGCTTGACCCGGACTCGGGCGGGAGTGCTAGCTCTCCGACATTCTCGCTGAACTGTACGTCATGCATCTGTCGCATCTGACCCTCACTCAGACTTGTCTTTCAGCGGGATCTCTGGTTCCCGTATCTTCTGCCCGCTTTCCTGTCGACGTTCCTGCGACCGTCGTTCCCCAGTCCGCGCCGCACCAGTCCTCCGTGTCATCGTCAATCCAGCCTCTTCCGGACTACAATGATGTTTCCAGACCAACTCCAACAGCTGCCTATGCTGTCCCGCTCTCATTGGTGGGCGTCGTACTTGTCGTTGCAGGCGCGCTCGGAGTGCATCACAGGCGCAAACTACGGCAGGAGCTCTCACAGGGGCCTAGGAAGCCAGGCAGACCTTCCTGCGCCCGAGCCTCGGGCAGTTATACCCGCTTCCCTGAACGGCGCCCCAGAGGATACGAAAGCAGTGTTGGGTCGCGAGCGTCCACACCGACTGCCAGCGTGGCTGAGTCGTATAACGGCTCGAAGCATTACGAAGACGACAAGCGTACCGTGGAGGATGAGCGGAGGTCGCTTTACTCCGTCGCTTCGCTCAAGAGGCAGCCTGTCGTGCGACGCATGACGCGGGAGCCGTTCCATCGCGAGTCACAACCGACAAGCGGTACCTATGGACGCAGACGGGCGGGAAGGATGGCTGCGGGGGCGTTCCGGGCTGGGGTGTCGCCTATACCTCCCACGCTCTCGAGGTTCTCCTCTGCAAGGTCAGACGCGAGCACTATTAGGAGGGAGAAGGCCAAGGCGAGATTGGAACGATCCGATCAGGACGTGGACGATGGTTTGGATGCTGTTGTGAATCGTTATTTCCATCCGTCACCGGTGCCGCCACCGCTCTCGCCTCGCCTGTCGCCGCCGGGCAGACTGCATACCCGACGCAGCGCAGTGGAGTATGCTGGGCTAGGATATGACAAGCCCTTACCGAAGTGTCCAAGGCAGCTGTATGATGAGGTTGCGCGTCGTGTGTCGGGGCAGGAGTTCACGCGTAGGAGAACCTCGGGACGTCGGTGAAGGCTTGTGGTACACTCATATCATTGATGTTATTACGATTTTCTTGATCAGCTACCCTTTTTGTCTCCGTTCTCTGTGAACCTCATATTAATGCACCCATAACTTTCCTACTCATGGAAGAATTCACTCAGGGGACCGGGTCAATACAAATCATTTGGTGCGCAACTTTACCTCTAATTGTGTATGGCTGAATCGCATGGCAGGCTCTAACTCCCTTTTATGCGCCACGCATGCCTTCTGTGCAATGATGAGCCGACTCACGAAACAAACAAGGCAGTCCTAACACAGCACAGGAGTGACTGTCTACGGAGTGCCTTGTTGCGCTCAACGTGGCAAACCCTCATCGCGTTCTCCGCAGTTTGAAGGCTCGTACTCGTCAATGCTAATGATTGGGCTCAAGTATGATACTGGGACCACCAGAGGCATGGCTACGGTACTAAACGAGCCATGGGCATCATACAAGCACCTGTGCCGGAACGGTGAGTGCATCGTCCAGATTAGGCAGGTGAAGTTGAACATGGGTGATGTCAGCCCGCCGGGGAGGTTGACATCGGCCAGTGTGCGGTCAGCCCCCCCTCCTCGCATAAAACACCTCCCTTACGGTCGCCCTCTCCTTCACCTCTTACCACCATCGTCCGAGCCACCATGGCCTTCGACACGTTGGCACTCCATCTCACCTCGAGTATCCTACTATCGTACACCGTCGTGCAAAGACCTAGTGCTCCCCGGAAGCTTCTCATGGCGCTCATCATCGTCCACGTTCTCCGCATGGCCGTCGAGCTTATGCCCGTCCTGGCGCTCCTCACTGACGTGTTTGGGGCATTGGTGAACTTCCTCGGCCGTCCTCCTTGCGTCCTGATCCTCGCCATGGCCGCCCTCGTCCCTCGCGAATGTTCCCACTGTCGCAAGTGCGCCATCCGCATCCCAGCCTCAAGGTTCACGAAGGCTGCCCTGGGGGTCGACTACGACTGCCTTGTCACCGGCATCAGTGCTCTGTCGTCTGCGGTTTTCGACAAGCTACCCGTCTGGCCTAGCTTCGACGCCTTCGCCTTCAGTCGACCGTGCCTACTTCCCCTTCCTGCCATTTCTACGTCGCTCAGCATGTCCAAGGACATCGGTTCTGCGCTCATCGATCTCGTCTCATCTCCCACCATCACCGTCATGGATCTCGCGTTGGTGCCTTTCAAGGGAGCGGTCACATCCGCCTTGGTTGCTGCAGAGTCGCTCGTGTCCGTTGCATCTAGCATGGTTGAAGATCTAGCGTTGGTGCCATCCAAGGGAGCAATGACCTCTTCCTTGGTCGCTATGGAGTCGCTCGTCTCCATCGCCTCTAGCGTCGCCCAAGATCTTGCACTGGTCCCCTCCAAGAGCACGGGCACCTCTATGTTGGTCGCTGCAGAGTCCTTCGTTTCTCTGGCATCAGTTGTCGTCGGAGAACTAGCACTAGTTCCATACAAGGTCGCGGTCTCCTCCACCTTCGCTGCTACACCATCTCTCGCGTCCGTGGCATCTGGGGTCGTCGAAGGACTAGCGTTAATTCCCTTCAAGGGAGTGGCTGATACCACCTTTTCTGCCGCACATTCTCTGGCACATCTGGCTCTTGGGACGATCGAGGACGTTACCGGGCTCTGGGAACCTGAGCTGCTCGATATCTGGTCCACCACCACTACGCAATGGATCGACACCCAGGATGGTCTCTGGCTGTTCATCCAGCACATGCACGTCCCGAAGTTGTCTTGGAACATCGGCGACGTTCCCATCATCGGTTCCTGGGCGGAGACTAACTGCGTGCGCCTCAACGCAGTTGAAGTCGGCTATGACTCGCAAGACATCTTGTGCAGTATGTTGTCCGTGTTGTGTGATCATCTTACGCTTCTGACCTTTTCGTAGTGCTTTGCGAGATAATCGGCTACCCGGGATATTATCAAGCCGTCCCGTTGGACGCCTTCCCTGACATATTCAATGACACCGCTCTCCCCACACATTGGCTCACGAACTTTGCTCACCATTTGTGGTCTACCTCCTCTGGTCGCGTATCCGTTCCGACCGTCGTCAAGGCCTCGGACCCTCGCCTTGGCCTGGTCCTCGGTCGCCGACCCATCACCGCTCAGTTCCTCGCGCGTCTGCACCGATACGTATCTGAGCGAGTTGAAGAGTCGAAGACCCCCCGAGCGAACGACGTAGCCTCGTTGTTCCCTACAGTCAAGCTTCCATCCGGAAACAAGTCAAGAGTAGCCCTTCCGCTCGCGATGTCCAAGCTCATTGACATCTGCGCGAGCGACGCCGGGCTCATTGTGACCTCGGTCGATGTCCCATCCGGTACATCCAGCGACGCGCCCCTTGCCAACGTGATCGTCAAGCTGCCAAGTGCTAACGCAATTGAAGTACAAGAGCAGCAACGCAAGGAGTGCCGCGGGTGCCCGGGCCCTCGAGAGAAGCATGAGAGCGAAGTTGACGTGACCCCTGCGGTCACTGATGGTAAGTCGTGATGTCTATGCCCGTCTCAGCGCCGCTGAACACCAGATCTATAGACAAGGAAAACACCCCAGTCTCTGCTGCGGGCTCGGACGATGACGCCAAGAAGAGTCGTCGCCCAACGCGGATGACCTCGGCTGGTATGCGCATGGTCAACAGGGCTGTCTTGAACGCACTCTACCACAACCGCCGTCGATGATCCACGACGGATTAACCTCGATTTCGAGTCCGCATGCCACCGATCAGCATGCGATGCTCAGGCCGCCTTCCGTCCAAGCCAATTTACCGACAGTCATCTATCACGATCTCCAATACCCACCGCATACTACTGTGCAAGGGAATGCAGTGCTCAATTTCAGCACATACTTGGCACCATCTATCCACGTCCACCTCTTGCAACGAATATATGACAAGCACGACTAGCGCACAACAGCAACTATCCGACGTTCATCGAGTGCATAGCCAAAGCTTCGACTGACCTCGTGCAGAGGCCAGTGGGAGCCTTGACAGTGTACTCGCACATCTGCATCAACTAGCAAGCCATGTATTTGTTGCCCCATGTACTATTAGTATTTATCGCGAACGACAGTATGCACGATGCCACGTACAACTATTCCGCAGGGCCCTGGATTGTCCGAGTCATTGAGATTGAAGCTGTCAAGGCAGGTCCAGCGTCGCTGGCGTCTATGGGCCACATGGGCTCACGCGAGCTTGAAGTGGAGCGGCCCGACTATCCGCGGGCCGCCATCGACACCGACGCAGACCACATACATACTCGGCAGAGCTGTTGAGAGCTGTCTTCCCACTTTGCATTCACGCGGGCTCCGCAACTGAAGGTGACTTGATTCGAACGATGGACCGACAAGCCGTGGAGCTGGGAGACCACATCTTGGATAGGCTACGCGCGTGAGCCACAAGCCCACTTCTCGTATCCGGACACACCTCATCCGAGCGCGGCACAGCACGCCCTCCACGGAGCGCATACTCATAGGACTGGCAGGCGTACCTGCCTCCGGGAAGTCCACCCTCACGCAGCTAGTTATCGGCCATGTCAACCTGATGTTCCGGCGCGAGCACGCTTCGGGCTCCGTGGACGATCGCGACATCGCGGTGCTGATCGGCCTGGACGGATGGCACCTCTCGCGCGCGCAGCTCGACGCGATGCCGGACCCGAAGCTCGCAAGGGATCGCCGCGGGGCGCACTGGACGTTCGACGGAGAGTCGTACGTAAACTTCGTGCGTGCACTCCGCAAATCGCACGCAGACCCAACGTCTACGGATGGCGAGGAGGATGTGGTCTATGCGCCTTCATTCGACCATGCCGTGAAGGACCCTACGCCACGCACAGTCGCTGTGCACCCTCATCACCGCGTTGTCTTGATTGAGGGCCTGTATTGCTTCTTGGGTATTCCTCCATGGCGAGAAGCGGGGGAGATGCTGGACGAGCGGTGGTGGCTGGAGGTGAGCGAAGAGGAGGCGGAGCGGAGGCTTGTTGCGAGACACGTGCGGAGTGGGGTCGCGAAGGATCTCGAGGAGGCCATATGGAGGTCAAGGGAGAATGACGCACCGAGTGAGTTTATACATCGAAGCGTACGTTCAAGGATGTGCATGCTGACGTCCTGCAAGACGGCAGGTTCGTCAAAAAGAATATGCTGGAGCCGACACGAACCATTCAGAGTGTGGAAGATCTTGTATGCACGAGCGCATGAAAACATTGGCCCAGCCGATTTCGATATAGAGTACAGACAGATAGCGCACATTGACAAGGGCGAGGCCTAGGTCAGACGACATCAAGATGCAGTTTCCATCTTGAGGCAGAACCACACACCGTCCCAGTGTGCGAGCGTTCACGCGTCACGTACAACACCGATGATCTTGGGTGTGACACGGGTAAGGGATAGAGTACAAGCGGCAACAGCGGCCAGGTATACACGGCAGGGTGATATCGATACAAGAAAATACACGTTGGGAAGCGCGATGTCATCTAGCAGCGTTGTCGTCACGATTCGCCTTGCGTTCGGCAGTGACTACAACAAGGTCAGCGGAGACAATATATCATATGTACCAGCAGAACATACCCCATGGTCTTCGATCCATTGGACATTGTTGTTTGGACGCAGACGTCGCGATCCACTGCAGTAAGCAATGCATATGGAAGACATGGCTGCATTCTCCCCAGACTGCCGGCGGCTGAGTCAGCGGTTCGAGGGAAGTGACGATATGACACACTCAGCGGACAGTCATCACCAGGCATCTTGCATGATGGACAACATCCTTCGTATGGAACGCGACAGATACCGCACACATCGCCCTCGCCGTCATCGTCCATGTCGGAGTGACCCGTGTCCCATCGCCACTGCGCAATTCCGTGCCAATTCTTGACGTGCACCTTCATGGTTCAGAAGACAGCAAGATACGGGGCAGCAAGGCGGTTCAGCGAATACGATGCAGTCCGCAAGTGCTCTGCCCGTGCTGAGTGCCAGTGACCGAGGACGAGCCTAGAGGAGTGTTTGGCTTTGTGTACGCGTCACCGCGTTCGAATCCAAGGCGCGTCAATCACGTGGCTGCGATAGACGCGTTCACATTGCCACGCGCAGTCTAATAACTGTCTAATCCTGGCCCGATGCCGTCAATATTGTGGCTGAACAGGCACTGCCTGTGTCCCTGGCCCGTCCCTGGCAGACGCAGCCCTGCTTGCCTTGTTCGCCTCCATCACGCACCGGTCTTGCTGCACATCTGTTTCTTGGATATCTGCGTGCATAATTCTAGCGATGGCCCTCTCCTCGGCCGACGCCCACGGCCGGATGCTCAAGCGAGCAGACCCCTCGACCATACAGAACAAATTCATGGTCGGATATCAGGGTTGGTTCACCTGTCCTGGCGATGGCCCGCCCCTGGATCCTCACCATCATGGCTGGCTGCATTGGTTCAACTTTCCCATCCCTGACGGAGGCCGCCCTAACACTGACCTCTGGCCTGATCTGTCCGAGTACTCCCCGTCCGAGCTGTATCCTGCGCCTGGCGTCAAGTACCCCTCGGGCGAACAAGCCTTTCTTTTCTCATCGCGAAATGCGAAGACAGTCAACCGTCACTTCCACTGGATGGCCCAGCATGGCGTAGACGGTGCTTTCCTACAGCGCTTTGCGGGTCAGACGGACCTCGAAGCAGGAAATGAGGCGATTAGGAATCAACGCGACGAGGTCGGTGATCGCGTCAGAGAAGCTGCGGAGAAGGAGGGCCGAGTCTTCGCCATCATGCAGGTGTCTTGCGATTTGTGCATCCACCGTGGAACCTAATACGACTATAGGTATGATGTCTCCGGCGTTCCTCCTGAGCGCATACAACGGGTCATTGAGCATGACTGGATGCACCTCATGCACGACAAGGGTATCCTCGATAGCCCAAACTACCTTCGCGAGAAAGGCAAGGCAGTCGTGACATTCTGGGGTTTCGGCTTTGCAGATTCACGCCATGACCCTCACGTTGTCCGAGCTATCACCAAGTTCGTTCGAGAGAACACGCCGGGTGGCGCATATATCATGGCGGGTACCCCAGCGCATTGGCGGACGTCAGTGAGTGATGCGGATCCCAACCCCGACTTCGTGAATGTTTGGCTCGAAGAATTCGATGCCATATCGCCGTGGACAATTGGGCGATATCACAACGAGGAATCAGCCGATTGGTTTGAGAAGGAGAAGATTGCTGGTGATGTGAAGCTCATCAATGAGCGGAACGAGCGTAGGGAGCAGACTCAGGTCGGGCGCAAGGTCGACTACATCCCTGTAGTATTTCCTGGTGGTTCTGTACGTATCTGGTTTGAACATTCTTATTCAGAACAAGATGACTGACGTGCAGTTGCGGACCACAACAGGGCCATAATCTTTCCGAGGGCAAGTGGGGATGGAATGACGCCCCACGTCAGGGTGGTCGTTTCTTGTGGAGGCAATTGTACAACGTTCGTCGTCACGGCGTTCGCATCGTCTACGGAGCTATGTGGGACGAGTAAGTCCCGGACCCTCGTGTACAGCAAGATGCGCTTACCCTGTTATCAGATACGATGAGGGGACTGCGTACCTTCCCGTTGTGTCCCACAAGAACCAACTACCTGTCCTTGATACGCACAGATTCATGGCGCTTGATGAAGACGGATATGACTTGCCGCCGGACTGGTGAGTCAAGAACCTCTCCTTCGGTGCGCTTGTTGTCATTGACAAACTACATCCAGGTATATGCGGATATGTGATTTCGCTGCTGAGAGCCTGCGAGGCGAACGGATCATCCACGACACTTTCCCTCACAAGGAACTGCAGGATTACTGGTCGACGCACCCTCGGTTTGAGGACAAGCGCGAGGATCCGGTTGCTTCTGGTAGCGGCAGTCATTTCCAACCTGGCTTTGATCCGGACAAGCCGGACAATGGCGACGATCTTCCCCCGCCGCCGCCCTACTCACTAGAAGATGACTTCGTTGCTGCTAGCACTTCGTCGTTATCCGCTCAGCCTTCTGTCACTCGTCATACGAGCGCGGGTCCGCCACTACCGTCAAAATCGACCAGACCACATGATGTGCCTGGCGACCCTTCTCTGACGAGGGCGGCATCTGTAGGGTCATCTTCGACCTCGACGACCACATCGGGAGTAGGAGGTCCACCTGTCAACACAAGCTCTCGACCGCCTCCCGTGCCACCTCCTGTGCCTAGTGATGCGAACCGCCCGGTCTCTGCTGCCTCCATCGATGCGCTCGCGGACCAGTTCGGCAGACAGTCCTCGATTCACGGGTCTCATGCTCCTCGTCCAGCACCGCCTCCCATGCATCCAACGCATGCACCGGCGCCACATCCGTACGGACCTCCTCCGTCCTCGCCTTCTGCATATGCGCAGTCTTGGGCGTCCCCTAGCCCGCCACCGCCTGCAGGATGGTCGCAGGCTCCATGGCCTCCGCCGCAGTGGGGTGCAGGACCTCCGCAACCGCACGGCCCGCCCAGTCCATGGGCGTATCCCGGCGAGGCGTACCGTAACCAACATGCGTATGGCTATGGGCAGCCTCCAGGTCCAGGCTACGGCATGCCGAACGCGCCCCCGCCCCCCCTCAGACCTCGTCCGAGTGTTTCTTCGCATTCGTCCGGAAAGCCCTCGGTATCGGTAGAAGGTAGTGACTTTCCTGTCCCTTACGGGCCACCGTCACCATACGAAACCGAGGGAGGCTCATCATTCGGTCCTGCTCACGCTTCCTTCCCAGTTCCCGACGCTAGCCTGCCGCAGGGCTTCGCACAGCCCCAGGCTCACGCACCCTACGGTGGTTATTCACAGGGACCAGGTGAGTGGTCTTCCTCAGGTTGCCGCCGACGGAGCTTAGTGTATCTTTGACTGATCTTCTCTGCGCGTCTTGTCTAGGATATCACCCTGGTTATGCCGCAGGCCATTCTCGTGAGCAGTTCCCGTGTCTTCGTCGGTGCATTGAGGGACGCTGACCATCAACGTGTGTCGGTCGGATTTAGCACCTCCACATTTCCCATCGCCCCCGCCTGGCTCACCTGGGCAGCCTGCGTTGGCTTATGGTGGGCCGCCTCCACATCCGGCGCCACCGGGCTCATATCCGTATGCGGGCGGCTCGTCGTCATCCACGCGGCCCTCTCTATCTTCGGACCCTATCGCGTATGCGAAGACCAAATTGAATGAAACGCCTCTGCAGAACCTTGCGCAAGGTCAGTGGATCGATTGAACTTCCTGTGGATTCCTGTCACTGACGATGATCGTGTTCTTTATGCATATACGTCCGTGCCGGCAGCCGGGTCGAAGTTATGGAACAAGTATGCGCGGTGACGAACTTCAATGTCCCGGTTCATATTCTGTAGACAATGTCCCGTGTATCGATGACTCCTGTAGCGCTAGTACCCAATATCCCCCAATTCTTCATGCAGCGAGCGAGCACTGTACCCATGCCCGATATACTCTGGGATTCAAGAAGAAACGCAATCTATTGCATGGGGATGGAAGCTATGATGAATAACAAATACGAAGTACGAAGAACTAGTCAAACGGTCGAACCTCGGGCAGGTATGTGAGTATGCAAAGATCAATACAATGGCGTCACTGATAAATTCAACCCGTATAAGATATACTCTTGGCAACAATAACAACACAGATGGTCGTGAGGCGTGATAAAGGCAATAGAAGTTACTGGAGACAAGCTGATAAATACTGGCCGGCTGTCAGCGCCTGCAAACTCGGTGCTGCAACGTTTTCAGTACAAGCAGTACCGACGAGGGGTTGTTGACTCACCCATAGATATCGCGTGTATGCGACGCCTCGCCGAATGCTAAAATATCAACAGCCTGCCACTGCTGGCCGCACTGCCACCGGTATCCATCAACCCAGGGCCAGGTAGTCTCCCCATCCAACCGCGAGGGTGGTACGGCGTGTCGTGGGTATCCAGGCTGTACGAGTCGCGTTCCTCGAGGACCTTCCCGTTCGAGTCTACAAACGGTCGCACAGGTGGGAGCGGGATGGGCGTCGCTTTGTTGTTGGGCGTGAGGTTGTAGAGCTTCAGTGAGTCCGGCACCCAGCGCGTTGGGGACTTCTTCCGCCGAGGACGCCTCTCCTTCCGAGATAACTCGGCAGCCTGGTCCTCCGCGCTGCCTTCCATCGGTTGAACGGCTTTGCGCTTGCGACCTCGTGCTTGCTCAGCGGGTGCGTCTGGAGTCCGGAGAGCAGCAGCGGTGGTGGAAACGGTGGTGGGAGCGGTGGAGGGGCCCGCCTCGGGAGCAATTTCAGTCGCCGCTGCTACTTCGGCGTACGCAGTGCCTCCCGCTGAGGGCCCCGGCGCCTCAGCTGGCGCGGATGCTCCCTGGTTCACGGGTCGCTGCGCGCATTTCTTGGCGTGCCTATTCAGGTTGGAGAGCACACCGAAACGGCGACCACATGTGTCACATGCGTAAGCTAAGGCGCGAGTCGTCGGTCGCCCGTTAGCTTCCAAGGGAGCAAAACATAAGCCACGGAAGTGTCCCACCTTTGTGGCCGGTATGGACGAGGAGATGCTGTGCGCGGAGCACGTTCTTAAGCGACTGGTGACGCGAACAAGACCAATTGTATCTCACCTTCCGTAATGTTGATGGCCTTGGAATGATGACAAAATCATTAGGAGCGAATCATGTTTGAGATTCGTATAAATCTACCTGTCGAAGCTTTTATGGCACATCCAGCATGGATGCATCTTCTTCTCATTGCTCTTCGACCTTTCGGTCGGCTGCTCCTGAGTCGGAGGCGTGGCGGGGCATTCTTCCACTACTTCGTGCTCTCTGGGTATGCGGAGTTCTTCGATAGAGGGAGGACGACTATGGGATTGCGTAGCAGGCGGGTTGGAGGGTTGTACTCGGTGTTGTTCGATGGCCATCGTGGGGTAAGCTACTTCTCCTCCCGCTCTTGCAGCCCGACTTTTATGTGTCGACGTCGCCGCCGCATTGTGAGAGGGCGGTGTTTGGAGAGGACCTGGTGGAAAAGTCGTGACCGAACGAGTATACGGATGGCTGACCGCGTAGTACATCGATCCGGTGGCGTCGCTGCAGGCGGTAGGGTCGCTGAGTTGAAGCGTCGGAGTCGCATGTGCGCCCAAGGGAGATCCTAGTGAGAAGAACAGAGGCGTTCCGTAAGCATTCCAGGAATGGTATTGGCCATCTTGTAGAGGCTGTGGCGCTGCCATCCAGGGGGGCCAGTGCGGCGCTGGATTGTGAGACTGCATCCTTGTGGTCTCCGACCGCAGGACGAGAGACTCGCGATCGCACGCGGACCTGGCGATATATATAAGAGTGGAGCATCAAGCATTGCACGACGTACGTACCGCGCCGGTCTTGCGAATGCCACCGCCCAGAAGCCAGCCGCAAGGGACGTTCCTGCCTTCTAGCCACAGGATTCGATCGTGCGACGAATGCTGCCCACCTGAACACCTCGAAGCTCGGTCTTCCTCTGCTGGCATGTTCATATCAGATTGCGAATGCCCGCGATCGGCTCCCACACACTTTCGGCGCCTCGCCTTGTCAAGGTTCGTCGACGGGGCCATGCGTCCCGTCCCGGCTCCGCCGCACACGCATGTCTCCCATCCGGAAAGCTCACCACTCTGCACTTGCAGCTGGCGACATGCCTCAAACGTCAAAATCCACGAGTAGTGATGAGACGTACGAGGGATCCGCCGTGGCGCGCTCCTGGTATGGGAGTCGCGGGCTTGAGGTGCGCGCTATGCTGGGGCCGTGCAGGCCACTAATGGTGCCTTGCCCCATGCCGCATTCCGTCTTATTTCCGGTGGTCGCATGTATAAGCGTCTCTAAAGACGTCTCCCGCAGGCGGTTGGGGCGCCTTCGATAGCGCACTAACCAGACACGCTGATCCATCGACAGAACCTTCGAACTGAAGAGAACCAGACAGGTGTGAGCACTGTATCGCACGCATAGCGGATAGGGCTCACCAACACCGACGAGGAACGTGCTATGGGCTGCGTCCGGCAGTCGGTGACCCTGACTCGGTCCCTCACGGCTTCCTACATCTCGGAACTCCAAGGAGATCTGACCCGGTCTTGCAAGTTGTCAACGCACCGGCTACTATACGTCGTGCATGAGGTGCACTCTATCAATGCCATCGCACCAGCGAGGCCCATCACCCCAGTTGCGTGCCGCTACACACTGCCGCGGTGCCCCAAGCAACGCGGACATGATTGTCTAACATCCTCCGGCTCCATGGATCGGCGTGTTGAACAGACCATTGTCGATACCTGTGAACAAGATGTGCCGTCCTGTTGAACAAAGCCTTTAGTTGTTCGCATATGCGAGTAGAGGCATGATTGATTGCGTTTACTGTGAGCCGAAGTAGCGGCGGTGCTTCCATTGACATGGCAAGGCAACTAGGACATCAAAGTGAGTGCCCGGCTAGACGTTATGTGAGCTCTTCTTCTAAGAGCATTTAGCATGGCATACTCGGAGCTCGGTTTGATACCCATGCGGGACTTAGGTGAGATCACCACCATGGTAAGACATACTATTGAGCTGCGGCGTGAATTCGGCCGCACTAGACAGTCACTTCCCAGCGTATTCATCACGCTCAGCGTCCGACGCTGACTACAGGCCCGTGCTAATGATTTTGAGGAGTCACGGTCGTGGAAAGGGGGAGACTCGGACTCGGAATTGAGTTGATGACACAAGGCACGTACCTGCGGGCTGTTAACCAACTGTACAGCTATCAACAGAGGCCGTTACCCCAAGCATGTGTAGCCTTCATGTGTTCGTGACGGTGCTAAAGAGCAGAAGGTAAACACTGGCAGAAGGCAGGTGCATGCATGAGTATTAACGACATCGCCTGCCGAATTTGGCATCTGGTATTGTCACGTGATGCCTCTTTGCAGCCGCGTTCTTGCCGCGGCGCGTCTTCGGCGCGCTCTTCACCACCTTGCCTTGCCACATCCAGACGCCTACTTCCTTGCATACCTCGAATCTAATCTTCCTTATACCCCACAATGCCCTTTCCTGGAACGCAGAAAAATGAAGTCGAACAAATCATCAAGGCACTTTTGAATGCGACAGGTCCTCGCAACAAGCGACGACTAGCGGACATGTTTATGGACCTACCGGACAGGACGGCTTGGGCTGAATACTATGCGGTGCGTGCTATAGAGCGTGTCTTCCTTATGTGCATGCTTACGGGTCTAAGCGCTCTAGATCATTCCGCAACCCCGCTGTCTCAGTGGCATTCAGAGCAACTTGGCAAAGAACAAGTATAAGGATCCGCTAGACGTCTTCACTGACCTCGATCTCGTCTTCCTGAACGCCCTGTACTACAACGAAGACGGGAGCCAAATCGCACATGACGCTGCTACACTGAAGGTATGCTCAATTGCTATTCGTACTGTGTATGAGCTCACACGTGCGGACCCTCAGGCTCTGCTAGAGACAGAATGGAAACGACGATCAGTTCTCCCAACACCCCGCGCGTCTCCGCCCGCTTCTTCAGCACAGAAGACACATGCAAGAGCAGCAGCAGCAGCATCTAAAACTGCTCAGCAACCAGCCGCGACCAAGGCCACAACGCGACCTACGCCAGCTACCCGGCCACAAACAGCCGTAGTCGCGCCTGCTCCGTCCGCTCCAACTGCTTCAGTTGCCAAGAGCCCTGAACGGCACTCCTCACCTGAAATGGATGTCGATATTGGCGGGACGCCTGAACCGGAGGGCCCCTCTCACGGTGAGAGTAGGGACGCAGAGGCCGATGATATAGTGAGGCAATTAGAGAAGGGCCTACCAAGATGGGAGGGCTTCGGAGAATTGGGATGGATGAACGAAGTGGATCCTGTGAGCTTCTCAATTACAGGATGTTGCTGTTGTGTGCTCACGCCGCGGCAGAACCGTCATGTCGAAATCGTACAAGCCGTATCTGGTTATCAGGATGCTAGGTGAGCGCATTCATTACATGTTATCATGAATGACTGCGAACAGTGCGTTGCAAGTGGTTTCCGCCTTGCTGCAAGCATGGAGGCAATTCCGGAGGAAGTTGCAGGGTTGCCTTTCAATGTATGTGTTTCTCTTCTGCATGTCGGCTCTTCACTCATTTCGCACCAGTTCCCGCTGTCCCTCTCGTTGATTGAGGTGAGTAAAGACCCTATAGTTCCGCACGTGCGTGTACAAACGATTTCGATGACAGAGTAGAGCACGAAACAAACAATATGCATTCTCAAAGGCATTTGACGAAGAGATGTCACAACTTTTCGTGATGGGTCGGCGCACGTATGAGCCCGGTACCGAGGAGTACGGACACATCCTCATCCTTCAAGTAAGTGCCCATGCGGTGTGCTTACCATCAGGTTCTGACCCCGTCACGGCAGAGGCTGTATCATGCGCTCACGTCCTCAAATCCGCCACCGGGTCCTCCATTTACTACGACGACCAACTTCGCGTCTGTGCGTGCAGGCCCTGGTACAGCGAAGCCCCTGCACGCAAACGCCGAATCAGAGGGCATTCTCGGCGTGACGACGTACCGTGTCTCCACCAAAGACAGAGAATTCATCAATGAGGTGCACTTCAAGGGATGGACTGTTCGGCTGGCGGACTGGCTGCACATGAGCAACCCGGATGATCCCAGCAGACCTATCGTTGGACAAGTTTTCCGGTGCTTCGCCTGGGATGCTGCGTACGTGGAGCTCATATCTGCCAGTGCCCAGTCGTACTGACATACATCGTAGTAGCGGCAGGAAGGGTCAACCGGGTGTGACGGTGGCCTGGTACCATCGGCCCGAACAGGTAGATAACGACCTTCACCCTTATTAGACAGCGTGCTTACGACTAGCTGCTAGACCTTTCACCCGGCGCGCCGCCAATTTTGGGAGAATGAGGTGTTCAAAACCAGTACGTACCGCTGTATGTGATCGATGGAACGCATGGCTGACGCGTGTTTAGGCCATTTCGCCGACCACCCGCTCGAGGATATCATCGAGAAGATCGCCGTGCAATTCACGGCGCGCCACATACGAGGCCGACCACGGCCCCCTTACTGGTACTTGGGCTGGCCGCTTTACGTCTGCGATTCGCGGTACAACGACCGCGAACGCATCTTCGTCAAGATCAAGAACTGGAACTCATGCGTGCCAGAGGAAGTGCGGAAGAGCACGGAGTTCATGCCCATCTATCCATTTGAGAAGAGCGTCTTCCCTCGGAGGTTCAGCAGTCCATTCCTCACCGGACGGGTCAAAGGCCCGGGGGGCATTGCCGAGGCCACAGAGAAGGGGGACGGCGATAAGATCGAAGGCGGTGGCACCGGTAGGAAGCGTTCGAAGCGAAACCCCGGTGCGACGTCGACCCCAAGTCGCACTGAGCAGACGGATCGAGCGGGTCCTAGCAAGGGGCTGTATGTTGGAGCCCCTGCTGCTCAGGCTGGTGCCTCGACGTCGACGTATCAGTACCCGCAGAACGCACAGAATCCACGTGCCCCGTCCACCCAGCAGGCGACCGACAGGTCGATTCTTACATCGGCTGGGCTCACCGCTCTCGGCAGTAATGTGTCGACAGAAAAGCTACCTCCAGAAACAGGCGAGTGCATGCGCTATAACAACACCAGGCGGGCATTGACTAATACTGTTTTAACAGTGAAACACTTTGACCGTGATCCTGACACAAACGAGGTGCTATGGTTCGCCTCGCCCCCTGTCGACAGAGCTCGCTCCCGACCGCCTCAGCATAGTCTAGCATATCTGCATTTTCTGGCCAAGAAGCGCAAGAAAACACACGACGATGACCGGGCCATGGATGTGGACGAGGTCCCGAATGGGCCATCTCATAAAAGGCTAAGAATACAGCCGACAGTAACAGAGACCCTAGGACCGCTGTTGGTCGAGCTGACAGCTGAGCTTGGCTCCCCTGTTGCCAGCTAGCAGCCTTAATATTATTGCCTCGAGTAGTAATCTTCACTATCCTTCACTTTTATGCATGGTATCTGTACATACTGTATCCGATTAATCTGTATAGCTAACTCTGTATCCATGTCTCTTCGTGGTCGAGCCATACTTGGAACCACACCTGCGTCTCCCTCCATACTTATCATTTCACAAGAGTCTACTGTTTCGGGCACCATCAGATCGTAATCTGGCGGATGCCTCGACGAAACAGGCAAGACCTTCCGTTTGCAACAAGGACAAATAGCGTGCCGGTGGCTGTTACGCCTTGCGTAAGTCATGCACCAGGGGACGCACACCGCTCCTCCTACCATCGCGCGCGATCTATCACAGAGCTTCTCGCATACACGACTGCACGAACATGGAGCTGGGAACGAACATGGCCGCTAAGCTTGAGCCCTTTTTGATTATGTCCAAGGGCGCGAAGGGCGCGGCTGCCGCTAAGCTCGTCCAGGACGCCACTTCCGCACATGGTGTCTTTGTGTTTGCTGAGCTCCTTGAGCAGAAAAACATCCAAGAGGTACGTTGCGCAGAGGTTGATTGTGAGATCATGGATAAACGAAATCTGCATTCTATTCGTGTCTCTAGCTAGCAACCCATGAACAGCACTCGCAGAGCTACTCGTTACTGCAACTCTTCGCATACAAGACGTACCAGGATTATCTTCGTTGAGTAAAGAGATGGGTACTTGATGAGCATCAGCTAATGGGACCGCGCAGAACACAAGGATGCGTTGCCCGGTCTCAATCAAGCTCAAATTACGAAGCTCAAGCATCTCTCGTTGGTATCTTTGGCGATGGAGAGCCGGGTATGTTCGAATGGGGACAGTACCCTATCAGCTCGCTGACGGTGGTAACAAACCAGAAATTACCCTATTCGCAGCTGCTAGAACAGCTGGAGATGCCCACCATCCGTGAGCTCGAGGACCTCATCATCGACGCCATGTACCTCGAGATCATCAGTGGCAAGCTCGATCAGAAGGAGCAGCAGTTTGACGTCGAGTACACGGTCGGTCGGGATATAGAGCCGGGGAAGATAGAAGCGTTGCTAGCCTCACTCAAGAACTGGTACGTACTCCTCTCCGGGTCGGCAGGCCAGTTTCCTATATCCCACCCTACAGGGCCGACACCACGTCCGCTGTCCTAGCCACTTTGGACGAGAAGCTTGCTGTGCTTACGGCGGAGGCCGCGCAGACGAAGTCGAAGCAAGAAGCCTACGACCACAAGTACCAGACGACGCTCAAGGAGGTGCTCGACAAGCAGAAGGAGGCTAAGGCGAAGCAGAGGGCCGCAGCCTACCCCGGCCAGACAGGCCTCACTGCGGCGGGTATCGCGGAGAGGGACCGACAACGCGAGCGTGAGAGGCTTGAGAGGGAGGAGCAGGAGCGGCGACACAGGGAGAAGGAGCAGGGAAAGGGTAACAATGAAGACTACGAGGACGATGGCAAGGGGGACAGCATGGATGTGGACGAGCCCGCTGATACCGGGAAGGGAAAGAAGAAGTGAGTCTTCTGAGAATGATCTGCTAATGCTCATGTCCTCATGTGTATCCGCGACTTTCCCATTGCAGGGCACCGCCGTCCGACGCAACTCAGAGGCAGCAAAGGAAACGCAACAGGCCGTGAACCGCTTTGGAGTGGCGCTAATGGCCTCCTTCATGCTCTGCGCACCTTCGTATGAATTGTGCTTGTTGTCAGGGTCGTGTCACCGCTTTGTACGTCTGCCTCGTGTTCGTTTGTATACTATCAGGATGTAGTCGTTTCGCCGATCCTACGTGGAGATCCGCGTCCGTCGTCCCTCTGCCAAAGACATCGATACATGTCAGGGAATCTGCGTACACATGGGAAGCTGTGCTAGACGCTGTCTTTAATGCCAACTGCGGCGTGTCTGAGCAGGGTCCCTACCGTCCCAGGCGAGTTGTGATGATATCAGGAATGAGGGCGGCTGGCCTCCACCTGCCAAGCCTTCCCCCCGCGTACCATACAGTGCATCTATCGAGCACGTTATGACACGCCACTGGCCATCCTGTCAAGCAGCCTCTCCCTGAGCTGAATGAGCTTCAGTTGTTCGTCCCGCGCCCTGCGCAGTTCATGCCGCGCGAGCTCGATGCTCTGAAAAAGGGGGTCGAACATCAGCGCTGGACATCAGCTTTGTGTACGACACCGCGAACTGACCGGAGGAAGACCCTGGAACGCGGCGACTTTCGCTCGTTTCTCAGCAAGTGTCTTGTCCTTGACTTTGATCTGCTTGTGAATGGTTGCAAGCTCTGTCACGGTGACCGACGACTCTGATGGTAATATCCTCTGAGAACCGGGGTAAGCATAGGCTGCGAATGCTCGGCGCAGTGAAAGGATACCTTGAGGGCCTCCTCCTCGGCTTGGTATTCTTTGATCTTGGCTGTGAGGGCGGCTCTTCGTCGCTCCAAGACAGACACACTAGCGTGTGGTTCGGGTTCGGCTGTGATAGTTTTCTTCCAGCTATGGACATGGTGTGTATGTACCTTGAGCGTATACGGGCAAGCCGTACGCAACTCACTGTTTTATTAGATCTTCCTCGTAGCACAGAGAGGCTAGATGTGCAACGAGCTCTTGTTCTGTTTGCCCCAGATGAAGCGATGATCGTCGGGCAGCCAACTCGTCCATTGTAAGTCTCTGGATTGCGGCCGAGTAGCTTGCTCTGGTCAATCACAACTGCACCATCGCTCTACAGGAGCACAGCGGCACACCTAGAGAACGAGATGTCGTCAACTCCAAGTAACTCCGCGATGTCTGTCAGGAGATCCAAGTATTGGTGTGCCTCATCGGATAACGTGAAGCTCTCCGGGTTGACTACGAGATGTTTGGCTGTGGTGCGCATGTCATAGTACTGGAGTGTTTCAAGCATGTGAGGTCCTCACCTTTCTCGTGGTAGTATTGTAGTTCCCTCGCATGGCCCGAGCCGTCCATGGCAACGTCGAGCATCTTGGGCAGAGGGCACTATTACTACAGAGACTTCATTGAGGCTTTCTATGAGAGTGATTTTTGGTATAACATCTGCTCACGTACCACGTACCTCGTACTTCAGCGTCGGGTGCTGGCTACTAGTACCAGATGGGCGAAAGCAAGCCTGAAGCGCGTCACGGTGTGCGACGCGTCGGAACAATGCACGTGACCGAGATGATCTCCAGATCGAGGAACGCGCGGGGCGCTCGGCATTCGGTCGAGGCTACTGTACGCCCACCCACCGACGTCGGTCGCAGACCTCTCCTCAACGAGCGAACAAGGCTCTCTCTCTTGCCTCGCTGTCAGACTCACAAAATAGTTCCCTCCACCACAGGCGATCCGCACCAGCTGGCTCTGTCTCGTCGCCCACGTACTCAGCGCATTGTACTATTTGTGTGAGTGTGAACTCGACAGCGCTGGCGCATCCGGAGATTCACACCGGTCCTCCTTTGTCTCCAGTGCTTGTATTCTCCACCGCTGTAGTCGTATGAAACAGTCATGACAGAAACGCTCAACGTAGACGAAGCCATCCGCGTCGTAGTCGCGCCTTCGCAGGCCTCCTACTTCGCCGGCGAACCTTTCTCAGTGACAGTCACTTTCACCAACACCCGTACACCCGATGCGGTCACTCCTCGCTCTGCGTCCCATACACACAAACGCAGTGCCCACTCCATTAGCTCAGTCCCCCTGGCGCGTCCTCCGACCTCCCCTGGTATGCTCCGGACCGCTCTACCAGCAGTGCCCACACGCAATACGGAGTCCAACGTGGCGTTGACCAGGAAAGGCCTCATAGGCAAGGGTCGCACGGTCCACGGACTGGGTGTCACACCGGGCGTCGTGGCAGTACCAGGCAGGAAACCACTAGTAAAGTCGCTGTCAATATCAATCACCTCGCATGAGCTAGAGGGCGACTCTGGCAAGGGGAAGTCGCCCCTCAATCCCTTCCGGACAAATGGCATTCGCGCCGCATGTAAGTTCGCAATTGTATATTACATCGTCTGCTCAACATGCATTAGCTCCGTCTTCACCCCGCATACCGTCGCCGCTTGCGCGGTCGACATCGTTCCCTATTGCACCCTCTCATCCACATGCGCGCAAGCAGTCAGTACTGGATGGTCAGATTCAGGTTCAGGATGTCAAGCCTGCCCCCAGTCCCTCGCCACTGTCTCCCTCTAGCAACCCATCGACGTCTTCTCATTCCCTGTCTCTCGACCCTATAGCAGAGAGCGGCAGCTCTCCAACCACGCAGCCCGCGACTCCCGCGTTCACTTCGCCCATTTTGGAAAGCATTCCTCCCACTATCCGCTCCCAAATTCCCTCGACCTCAGGTGTGACCGGTTTCGCCGCAAGTCGACCGCCACAACGGCGGCCACCACAGCTGGGGCACGGGCCGCCTCCCACCATCAATGTCCAGCCTCCTCGATCCGCATATTCCTCCTCTTTCCCCACAGCAAACACTGAACTTATCTTATATTCTTATGCACAGCTCGTCGGGACGCTCTCGCTGACGCCTGCGCCGGGGGCAGTCGTGTCGCCCGAGCAAGCCCGCAACCTCAACCACGTCCGGTCCAGTCTGCTTAAGCGGCAGGTGGTGGGGGGCGGGAGCATGGACATGACGCCGCTGCTCAGCCCACAGTCGTTCCCGCCAGGACAGCATCCGTCGACGAGCAGACCGCGGCACGGGCGAAGCACGTCCGTGTCGTCCTCCATCTTTTCCCTCCTCGCGCCTACACCTGCACCACAGACACCAGTATGGAAGCCGTCACACCGGACGCATGCACCATCCATGTTCTCTCTGTTCTCCTCCGGGCAGCCTACGCCTACGCCCTCAAGTGGGATAGGCTTAGGGCTCGGGCTAGGACCGGGCGGGAACTTGGGGGGCGACGAGGATGTCGACCCAGAGACGCCGCTCCCGACGTTCGAGGTCCAGCCCTCCATGCTCGCGGTCGACCTCAGCCTCGCCCCGGGCGAGTCTCGAAGCTGTGCGTGAGTTCTCTGTGCCCGGGACGTCTTCGAGGGTGCGGCTGACCGCTGGCGGCGCAGATACGTATAGCTTGGGGCTTCCCGAGAACCTCCCGCCGACGTTCAAGGGGCGGACACTCAAGCTGTCGTACCAGTTCATACTGGGCGTGTGTAGGGCGGGCTCGAGCGACCCGACGAATCGTTCCGGGGCGACGAGTGCGAATAGCAGCAGTAGGGTGATGAAGGTGCCGATACGGCTGTATTGCCATGTCGCTGGTGAGCGAACCGCGTACATACACTGTGGCCGCATGACATTGCTTACACGAGACGCAGTTGGTAGACCCCCGAAGCCCTACGACTTGCTTTGGCCGGTATCGTACTGGAAATCAAAGGGGCCCCAGAGCACTGCGAAGGTCATTGAGGAGCCGAAGCAGCTATCCAAGAAGCCCGAGTCGTCTTCTGCAGGTAATGCTTACGTCTGCGACTGTATGATTGTATGAGTGGCGTTGACGATACTCCCACAGCACCCCTCCGGAGAGACTCCAGAGGCGGCAGCCTCGAAGAGCTACAAGACTATGCAACGCATCTCCTCTCCTCTCTCTCGGATCCAGATTCACGTGTGAAGCTCCCTCTGGAGGCGATTGAACTCGAGCGGGACCGCGAGCGCGAGGAGGCCGGTGGACTCTCAGGCTGCAGGCAGGCGGTAGAGATCATCACGCGGAACCCCAGGAAGGGTAAGCCTCTAGCCACAATTCTTGCGCAGTGGTCAGCCGTGTATTGAGTTGTTCCCGATGACCTGCCCATAGCATCCTATGACGTGAATAAGGACGGAGTGAAGGTTGCAGTGTTGACATTCACGAAGTCTGCATACCGCCTAGGGGAGACGGTGCTGGGAGTCGTGGAGCTCAACGAACGCCCGAGCCGTGCTCGCGTGCTGAAGGTTAGTGCATCATTTTTGTCAGCTCAAGCGTTCAGAACCCTGACTAGTCGCGTCACTGCTAGCTCTCCGCGATGCTCGAGGCGCACGAGTCGCTGCCGGGCTCGCTGTGTCCCGCGACGACATCGCGGCAGATGCGGCGCGTGCACGCCGAGCACCACTCTTCATTCCTGCCGTCCACACTGCGGACGACATTCTCGCTCGACATACCGCCGGACGCGAGCCCCGCGTTCCAGGTCGACGTGGGTGCGGACCAGGGCGGCGGGCGCCCCGGCGGCCTCGAGTGGAAAGTCCGGCTGTGTCTGCTGGTGGCGGTCGCGTCTCCGACGGCGCGTGTGGGTGCGGACGGCGCCCGGCTGCGACATCTGGTGCGCGACGGACCGGGCGGACAATGGGGCGCGTCGTGGAAGGCTGCGTCGACAATTGCACCGATGGAGCGGCCGGATCTTCGTGCAGCGCAGGCGGGCGCCGCGGCGCAGAGCCCAGTCACGCCTGGCACGGCCGCGTCGTGGCTATCTTACTTCACCGCACCGCTAATGGGCCCGGCGTCGACGTTCCACGACGGGGATGAGGACGCGAGCGACGAGGGAGGCACGGTGATCGGGGACAGTGAGGAGGAGTGGCGGGAGGTGAAGGCGGAGATGGTCGAGTGCGAGGTACCGATCAGGGTGTGGCCGGGGAACACCGCGTTCAAGGCTACGGAGGTTGTGTTCGATGTTTGACTAGTGTGGACTCTCATTCTCATTCGCTTGTGCAATGCTCGGTGGACGGAGTCTGTGCAGTGGTGGGTCGTGCGAGCAGACTCGGCGAGATGCGCCGCGGCAGGCCGACGTCTCGGAGACTTTGGTGAAAACTCTGATGCTGGTGGACCTAGCCAGTGTGCACTGCCCTTTTCTGATATCCCCGTCGCGGGCACTGGGGAAGGCGGTCAGCAGCACGGGCGTGTGAGGGTGCTAGACGAGCGTGTGCGTGGGCGTCGTGGCAGGGCAGCGGCGGTGGACGGACAACTGACCAGGCTGCTGCATTGAGATGATGGGCCGTGGGTGGCAGCCACTGGCCGCCACCTGGACGCGCGAGCCTTGTGACCGGCCGCCTGCCCAATCGGGCAGAGGGGCGCCTGCGCAGGCCGCGACTGCTGACCCGACTCAGCTGCGACCCGCCGCTCGCCATGCTCTCCTGACATTCCTATATCCCGCCCATCCCATAGACCCTGTAGCCCTCTCGACAGCCCCGACATTCCTGTAGCGCATAGCCATCACGTAGACGCGCCACCAACACCTCGTCTAGACTCTGCGTACAGGGCCGTATAGACCGCCGCGTCCCGTCGCAGCTTAGAGCAAACTTTTCACGACCCCGCCACCAGCGCGACATACGCAGCCCGTTAGTGAGTCCCCACAAGCCATATATACACCGCGCAAGCACGACTGACTCATTTCCCAACGCACAGACGACCCCGGCAGGTTACCCCTGTGCTTCTCGCGACTGAAGAGCCTTTGGTGTGCAGCCCACTGCATACAGTCTCCATCATCCTTCCTTTCGCAAGCCCGGTGACTCCTTAGTTTGGGCACCAGCTTCCACGGTTCGGCAATTCAGCCATGGCATCCGCACAGGGCAATCACCAGCAGCATAGCTCAGACGACGCAGATCGCAAGAACCGCTTCCTGTCTGACCATGGCACGGACACCCCTAACAGCCTCCGCGAGCGCGCAGCTAGTCAGCCGCCAAGAAGTACTAGTCAAGGGTTCACGTCTTCCCCTATGCAGCCGACGAGGAACCCCTCTGGGACCATCTGGCCTCGTCTCTCCGGTCTCAATCCTAACAGCATCAATGGTGCCCTTCCATCCTCAGTTCCCACGCGAAGCGTATCGTTCTCTTCCTCTCCTCCCAGCCACGCCTTCTCCTCTGTCATGCGTGACTCTCGCTTTGCCTCCACCTTCGAGGACGACGAGTTTGAGGCCATGTCCGATATCCAGGACTACGACACGTACGACCCGTACATCGATGACCCATACCGCCGCGCATCCATGTCGACCACGCGCGGGCGCACATACGCGGCGGATCTGACACGGAGCAGGTCGCAGTCGCTCGCGACAGCGCGCCCGGGCGCATTGGGCGGCGGCATGTCACCCCATGGTCCGTCCAGTCTTTGGAGCCATAACTCGTTCAGCGGTGCTAAAGACATTCCTGGATCGCGGTACGCCGACCTCAAACCCCCAGGGAGCAGTCGCTACGGGTCGCTAGGCGCACTGGGCAGGTCATCATCGAGCGGCTACGGCTCTATCACGGACCCGTCGAACATGAGTCCTTTCCGCCGAGACGTGGGCCAGATCCTCCTGGACGATGGCTCCGCCTTTCGAGAGCTGTACGCTATGCACCCACCGCGCGACGAGAACGGCGGCGGCGGGAGCGGGACTACCAGCCGACGTCATAGTGTGAGCGTGGTCCAGCCGCGAAGGCCGACTATTGTTGGATTCAATGCACCAGGTGGAGACACGGAGGAGATGTCCCGCCCCGGGGCTTTCCACTCTGCTTCCTTCGCAGGCGGTGGAGGCCTGTTGCTCACGGACGACGATCTCGCTAGCGATCTAAATATGCTCAACCTTCGCGACGAACCTCGTACGCCCTCGTCGATGCAGCCTCCCAGCCAGCCGTCGTCGCTCCCCATCTATGCGCCCCTCTCCCGCAGCCCGCCCTCTGCAGACCGCCTCTCGCCGTACCAGCCGCTGCACCTCAACATCCCCGGCAACTCGTATGCGTCGCGTCAGTCCATGGGCTCGCCGAGCGAGAGCGGACTCTCGGGCGGCAGCCCTAGCCGTGGCCACATCGACAGCATCGGTAGGGACAGCGGTTACGCTAGCCTCTCAGGCGAGACGACCCGTCAGACGCAGGGCCTAGCACGATTCATCCCCGGCCAAGGCATCCAAAACATCCCCGAGCAGAGCATGCTGCAGACGCCCATCTCGCCCGTCGGCGTCCGCGGGCACTACGCCGTGGCCCCGCAGATCCAGCGGCGCGCGTCCGACGCCGCGGCGCCGGGGAAGACGCTGAGCGAGCTCGGCAGGGGCGTGCCGCTGCACTCCGTGCCGACGTCGTGGCCGCTGTACATCGTCGAGTTCAAGGCGGGGCGCACGGATCTGTTCTACAGCACGGACCATGCGCCCGACATCCGCGTCGGAGACCTCGTGATCGTCGAGGCGGACCGCGGGAAGGACCTGGGCAAGGTCATCAACGACACCATAACGCTCGCGGAGGTGGAGGCGTTCCAGAAGCAGCAGAAGCTGATGAACTACGCCGACGTGCATGGTGTCCCCACGAGCCCCACTGCGACGGGGCCGCCTGCGGGTAAGGAAATCAACCCGAAGAGGATATATGGCAAGGCGCAGCCGCAGGATACGCAGTAAGTGTGGGCCGTCGCGTGTAGTAGCGGGCTGGTGCTGAGCTGTTGTTTAGACCGCTTGCGACGAAAATGCAGGATGAGATCAAGGCGCTGGAGCTGTGCAGGAACAAAGTGCGCCAGAGGAAGCTGCCGATGGAGGTGGTCGACGCAGAATACCAGTGGTATGCTTGTCTCGTCTTCCCGGCTGTCAGAATCGTTTTTGACGCGCGTATAGGGATCGCCGGAAGCTGACGTTCTACTTCATCGCTGAGAAGAGGATCGACTTCCGTGAACTTGTTCGGGAGTTGTTCCGGTACGTATCCGGACTTTGTCCCTACTGTCCCCGCTAAACGCACACTCGCAGATTGTACAAAACGAGGATCTGGATGGCCTCGCTCGGCGGTCCTGGAGGTTACGAACAGTGAAAGAGGACGCCGAACAACCGCCCGTCACGACAACATGTACGACTACAAGAATCCATGCTCCACCCAGTAAACCTATAGGCCGGCATCTAGATATGCATATATCGTATTGGGTTATACCTCCGCTCGCTGTCCAGTGTACACCCCGTTACCCGCTCCGCTGCGTCACCTGCTGTCGTCTCGTACGCTTACGCTTACCACACTCCATTCAGACATGCCTGGACTCGCTGCTTCGTGCTCCAAGTTATTCGGTACCCTGGTCTCCCTTTCTCGTGTCTTGTACAACAGTATTCTATTACGGTCTGGCTTTTCGTACATAGCGGTGGACACTGCAGAGACGTGCGGGCGGACCTGACCTGGAGTCCTACGGGCTGCCTGCGAGTCGACAAAGCAAATGATGTATTTGTAGTGTACAATGAATAACCGAGATCCTTGCCATACTTGCAGTAGTATCCGCTCAAACAGTGAAGAAGACTGACCTGCGGTGAAAGTGTCCCTGCAGGGTCTGTCGAAACATGATCCACCGTGGCATAGGAACGGGGATACCTCAGTATAGGCCGGTACCGGACAGAAGCTTGCTTTTCGGGCGGGAGTACCCTTTGTACGTGGCCTCAACTTGACCACCGCTCTGATTACGCTCGTTACATCGCCAGCTACTGTACATATTACCTACGTGCGACATCCCTCAATTGTAGCCTACATACACTCGCTCTAGCGTCGGCAACGGGCACATGCTAAGCCTGACTCTGATAGCACGGACTCGCACCCTGCTCGCACCTACTACGTACTGCTAGAGCTGTCTCTACATAGGGCTCGGCCCTCGTGGACAACGAAGGTACTCGAAAAAAATGAAAAAGGAAGCTTGCTCCGTTTATGACAAGACTCGAGTGTGTTTACGGAAGCTGTGGATCTGATGCCTGAGCAGTTCGAATCCTCAACATATTTCCGCAAGTTTTGTCTACGTTCATACAGTTATGTCAATGACTACTAGCTAAGACTCCTGAGTCTTGTGTTCGTCATCGGGACACAGTGACAAAGGGCACACCTCTTGTCAACTCAGCAGTTAACTTGGCTTAGGATGGGGAGGATAGATTGAAATCCATGAACTTGAAGAAGGACCATTCTTCAAAACCTGTACTCATGCATAGAGCAGGCAACTCCATCCGAGGGTCGACCGCGCAATGCTTGTAGACCACGGTGTTGAGGTTCGACTCTAGACGAGTCGCGTCGTCAGGCTCGGGATCAGGTTCGAAGTGCTCGCCCCGGGGATGATATGCGATGACTACATCCACAGATGATAGCTGTGCTACTGACAGCACTTCCAGGACGGACCACGCGGTCTCATCACAATAGATGATGACTTGTAGGGTCCTGAGACGACAGCATGGAAATCCATGCCATTCGGCGGGGCAGTAGGACGGCGTGAGGGCTTCGGCTACTGGACGAATGCAGTTGTCGCGTACGATGAGCAGTTCAAGGGCTGACAGCTCGCGCAACAGTCGGCGCAGATGCAATGGATCGGGAGTGTCCGGGCGGGCTGGGTTCCAAACCAGCCCTATCCAAAACTCTCGAATTTGCTGAGTCGGGATGAAGTCCGAGATCTTGAGTGGGGATGTAATTCCTCCGTCACAGGCCGGGTCGGGCGTCAAGTACAATTGGAGTCCGGTGCGCGAGTCAACTGCAGTCAGCACTGCTTCGTCTTTCGAGTCGGAGAGGATGCTCAGTCTTGTCAACCCGTTCACCATGAGGAGATCGAGGAGCTTGATCGAGAGTATGTACGGCCAATGCGTGTAACAAGATATCCTAATTGCGACTTGAGGACTGAGCACAACGCACGACAGGATCCAGTTGATGGCCGACGCCGACAGATTGTCGAAGACCACTCTGCGCGAGCGATCGAGGTGAGCCAAATCCAACGTATTCATAAACGGCAGTTGCCTCGCTTCATCTTCGTCCCAATCTTCTTCCGAAAAATCCTCCAGATAGATGTCCTCGAGAAGGGTACTGTAACGCAGGATATGTTTTAAGCCAAGGAGTATGGTGGGCGTGAAGCAGGTGCGGATGTGGAGCGACGTGAGACATGGGAACCGGTCGGAAGGTATGTAGTCCAATTTGTCGAGCGATAGGACACGGAGTCGCGGTGCCTCTCCTTGGAAGACGGTGAGTGGTTCGCCGCTCATGATCAGAAGGCCATTGCGTGATTCACCCCAACCTCTGAGCGTCAGGACTTCGAGGTTTGGGACAGGGAACGTGGCGTGGTTCCTTCCAGATTCCGTAGAGGTCACGTCCCAGTGCAATTCCCGGAAGCGATGGGAGTCGGATAACATGAGGGTCTTCATGAAATCACTTGGGGTACCTATCAACCGTATACCCAAGGCGGCGGAGACCGAGCGCTCGAAGAACATATGTTGTGTTCCTGGGGATGAGTCATCGATGCGATTCCACAGCGTAGGCATGCTGAGGGCAATTTCGCGCCAAAAGCGACAGACGTGTGTCACTTTGACAACACTCCCTCTCCGCAAGATACCGCTGTCGAAAACACCGCGGACATTTGTGTGTGTGTATTCTATGATGGGCGTATGACGAAAGATTGTGGAAAGGATTTCCGTAGGCAGCGTGTTGATGGGACATCGCGCATTTCTGACGCGGCGAATAGAGGCTCTGAGAGACGTCAAAGAAGCGTCTATGTCTTCTAACTGTGTCGATAGACATGAGCAAATTGTGTGCGGGACGTTGACATGACCTTACTGTCACTTGGCTGTTCGGCGTGCTCAGCAACGTTAACGTTGCTGCAGTACCTTGAATGTCAAGACGCGTACCTCATAGACCAGACCTCTTGTTCTATCCTATCCACGACGACGTCGACCAATTGTTGAGTCGTATATTCCGCGAAATGCCCTATTGAAACCATCGCTTGAACCTTTCTCTTCATCAACGTTGTTGTAAGTGGGCATTGTTATCGATGTCATTGGGGAGGGTCGGGACGTACTGGCTGTCGGCGCGTTTCGCTCGACTCAAGTTGAGGTTTCAAGACAAAAGGAAGACTGCTCTGGACACGAAGGATGGAGGATTCAAGAGGAAAAAATGTCTATCGCCTTATGTGGACGTCGTGTAAAGCACCAGTGGTAGCGATCAGTTTATCACTGACGATGTCTGCGCGGCCAGTGTCAGTTGACGGTGACCTCAATCACCAGTACTTGTGAAAGCTGGCCGGCGCCAGAGTTCTCAGAGGCCACGACACGGTCACCTGATCAATTGCGGGACGCGACGCGGCGGCCGTCCCCGGCGAGCAGTGAGCACAAAGATGTTCATTGCTCCCTCCGTTGTCAGTCAAACGAATACCCTGCAATGATGGTTCCTCACCGCACTGACATGAAGCCTGAGCATGATGCCAGGTCTCGTCCTTAGTACTGTCCCTGAGATGTCACAGGTACACAAAAAAAGCTTGCAGCGCGCAACTTCTTCATACGGCCTTCTCGGCTCAAGACTACGCACTACCGGGTCTACAATTGAACGTACACATGTACACCGTGCGTACGACACAGACCGACTGCCACTAAGATATAGGTACTAAGCTACGACTATTAGACAGCGACACAAGGTATACAGCTGACAACTTGAAACGAGGGTGGGGGTACTCCGCCAGAGGAGTCCGGACTACACTAATGCCTACAATTACACACAAGGACTGAACAACTGAAGAGAACGTGCGGGCTCGGATAACAGGAGGATCGCGAGGTAACGATTATGCGAGGTATGGATGCCAGTGCTTGCATGGAGGAGAGGGAACGACAGGGAGCCAAGCGGCTCGGATTCGGGCTTGCAGTGTTAAGAATAATGAACTTGAAGTACCTTGAAAGAACGACGGGTTCGCCTCGCAAGAGAGAGGTCGAGAGGTGGAGCGATGCCGAGGCGATTCAAGACAAAGTGCGGGGTAGCGAGTAGCGCGTTCAGACGCTGTTTCGTGTCGATTCGACGCTCGACCGCGCGCTGAAGAACATGCTGGATTCAGTGCTAGATCCCGAGGTCCCCGTGGTGTGCCTATCCCAGTCGCGTTCGGCAAGCCCGACGGTGAGTGTCAGGTCAAGTTCCTCGAGCGGCCCCTTCTGCTCGATAGAAGGCGCGTCGACGCTGAGGAACGATTGCGCTGGGGATGTGGGACGGGGAGTAAGGGCATCGTCCTCCGTATCGAAGGCTCGGTGCTGTGAATTCCATCAGCATCCTCCAGAACATCGAGTGCGAGTTGACCTTACCTCTTCAGCCAGTCCGCGCTTCTCTCGCGACAACGCCGGGATCGGCAGGCGCTCCAAGTCCTCGCCAGACAACACGAACGAATCCTCGAACGCCTCCTCATCATGACGGTGCGCCTCGTCCTTCAGAACGACACCGGAGTACACGCCCGAATCATCCGCCGACTCGCTACCAACAGAGGTGTCCATTTCGTCATCGAGCTTCGCTTCCAGATGCCCCTTCGGCGACCCGTCGCTGATCCCACGTACGAGAGGGAAAGGCGAAGAGGGGCGGTGGGCTCGGGGAGACGGCTCGGACGCAGAAGTCCGCACTGACGCCTGGCGCTTCGTCGTCACATCCAGGACGGACGCCGCGCAGTGCGCATACCGAGCGTGTGCGGATGGCGGGGACGTCGGGAGAGACGCGCGGGTCGTTGACCGACGCACCGTTGGCTGATCTGCCTTAGGTGACGCGCATACATCGAGGGTGGCACGCTTGCTGGGACTACGCGATGCGTTTCCGGGAGCGACCGCGATGTCGGCATTGGCGACGGGCAACGGCGAGCCGAAGACGAACGTCGCATCCACATCCACGTCCTTGAGGCCTTGGTGCTCCGCGGACTCGGTGAACGAGGAGCGCGACGAGATCGACTCAGTCGACATCGAGAACCTCGAGACGAGATTGGCTCGGGTTCGCGCGGCTGGTCCGGCGAGCAGAGGCGACTGCGGGGCGTCCTCCCCTCTGGCCGGGTAAATCAAGCACGAGGACGGGAACTCGTATATCGGGGACTTCGGAGACGGCGACTCCATCATGAACGCCGGGAGTCGTCTCCGAACCCGTCTAAGAGAGCCGCTACCGCGAACCCTGGAGTACACTTCGGGTGAGTCTCCCACATCATCGGGGCTGGTGTCCTTGAAGTCCCAGCCCTGCTGCGCGCTCCGCGCCTTTCTCGCCCTCCTGTCGTCCTGTCGGGAGCCTCTGCGCGAGCCGTACTTGGCAACAGGCGAGACGGGCCTCGGCGTAACGTCCGTGCTGAACCTCGCAATCGCCACGTCGGCTTTCGCGAAGGGGTCCGGCTCTGGGGTTAATACACGCCCGATCTTCGACGCGTCCTCTTCGAATGTGTCATGTCCATTCTCGGACTGCGTGCAGACACGGGCTGCGCTTGAGCTCGGGAACGCAAAGCCACCAGTGGGCGTCACAGGCGACCATGTGCGCGTCGAGTCCGTCGAAGGCGAAGAGTCAGCGGTAGCTGTGGTGATGGCGAGACTCAGCTTGGAGCGCGCTCGCAGCTTGGCCTTGCTCTGGAACATGGATGCGATCCGCTCGCTGAGGCTCGACGTCGACCCCGAGGATGCCTGGGACGACAAGGGCATTGTTAGAACCTTGCATCATATTGCTTGACCACGAAAGGAAATCGAACAACATGCACAAGCACGACAAACGCATGCCTGCAGCCGATGAAGCCGGTATGGACCATTTCAACCGACTATATGCGCGCCAGGCAATCAACCCGGAGACGACGAGAGGCAATGAGCCTTGTTGTACAACAGGAATGCATGCATGCCTTTGCTTATGACAATGGCATCAGGGATCTGGCCTATCGGTGTTCCGAGGTAAGATTCCAAGTGCCATGATGCGGTTCATAAGATGATTTGGCAGCCGGTCATCAGAAGATCGCAACGATGCGGAGAGTAGGTCAATCCACCGGATATCCAGCAACGCAATGCATTATTGCCCGGTATGCGATGCGTCGGAAGAGGATAGGGGCAGAGACTCACCGTCGTGCTAGTAGTGCATGTGCTCGTCGCACTGCCCCTCCTCTCGAAGACATATGCAGGGACCTCCAGCTCCCCATCTTCATCCACTCCTGTCTCCGGGCTGCAGCTGGTAAAGGAGACACATGGCAGCGGCGGAACAGGTGGCGGATCCCTCGGCGACATGAACAACTCCTCCGAGTCGAGCATAGTCCAGTCTAGGGCGACTCGCGGTTGCGCTCCTGCGGTGGCGCCATTTGCTTCCGCCCCACGTCCACCCTTAGGCTTCTTCCCACGGAACAGGCTCGTCGACGCGCTCTTCGCCTTGCGCAGAGGGGGTAGGCGCGTATGTATGCGCGACTGCCCCTGGGCATTGAGCGGTGCAACGGGCGTCGAGGGGCGGCTATAGGCGGGTGGCTGCGGGTTCCGCTGGGCGTATCCTGTCGTGTCGAGGAACGAAGGCAAGTTCTGGGTATCGGGCGCGGCAGGAGCGCTTGGCGGCTGGGACGGACTCGTAGACGACGCGCCAGGTTCGCGCTTTGTTAATTTCAAAAATGAGATCGGACCGGTGAGGCTCTTGGACCGCGATCGTGAGCGAGAGAGGGCGAGGTCCGGGAAGGGTGAACCTGTGCGCGGAGTGGGGATGGGAGTGGGCGGACGGGACAGGAATGAGTATGAAGACATCGTCGCGGTGGACTGCAGAGTGCGCTGGGAGCAGATGCTGGGACGTGCAGAATGAGCTGCTGCATCCGACGGCGGGGCGAGATGGGTATTTGCCGGACGGAGAGCAGCAGAGGCACGCGAGCGGACGCGTCGCAGGACGCTGAATGCGGAGCGCGACTTGGGCGACTGTTCTGACGGCATCGGTGGCTTCGCGCTGGAACGCCGGGCCTTACGGGGAGAGCCCGCAAAGTGGCCGTCGTCCGTGTCGGCGTCGAAACAGCTGATGGCGGGAGAGGGGAGCACACCCGACGCGTGGAGGGGCGCGCCAGGATGAGGGGGGCGCGAAGAAGAGGGGGCTTGGGGCACGAGGTTGAAGGCGGATGACACGAGGTCGGAGAACTCCTGAATTGAGAAGGGCGCCGGACGTTCGCGGGGGGAGGAAAGTTCTCTGGAAAGGGAAATCGAAGCCATGGGTTAAAGGACAGACTAGGTTAAAGACGGTGGGGGTACGGATTAGAGAGATGGTGGTGGTGCAAGAGAAGGAGGGTCTGGTGGCGGCCGTCGCGCGACGACGGGTTGTTAAGAGGCGACGATGGGCAGGGTGCAGCGGGCGCTGGGAACGGACGTGGCGCCCGGATTTCTTATGATGAGGGGCGAGCGCCGACAAATGGCAGACACTCCCTCGCGCCGGCACGCCCCACCGACAGTGCGCCTGGAGACGGCCCATATCTGTCCACATTGGCCTTCAGCCACAGCGCATCCCACGTCAACCCAATCTACAGCACCTGCCATTCTGGGCTGTGGCGCCCCTGCTTCCGGAAGCCGTCTTGCGACACGGGTGGCGGCATCAGTCCACATCTACGCCCGCGCTGTCGTCCTCTGTCACCGTAAGCGCAATTCGGGGGAGCGTGCGCCGCATCCGGAACACCCGCGATCGCTGCCTCTCTGACGCTGCTGCGAAGTGTGCTCTGCGCCGGACATCCAGATGCCCGAACATCTTCCAGCGGATTTCGGCGATCGAGCCTCCACCCTCGTACTGTGCGCCATCAACAGAACCGTCGGCCGCATTCTAGCCGCACTCTCCGTACAGAAGCCCCGCCTCGCCATACGTCCCCGCCAACGAGACGCTCCAAGAAGCGGCTAGCCGTCAATCATATGTAATGTATCGTCAGACTCCAATATACACCCCATGAGACGACCTTCTCACCGGTGATTAGGTCCTCATATCCTTCGGGCTGGCACTCCGTTCCTTGCGCTGTTTCAGGGCACCGCGCATTCTTGGCTATTCATTGGTTAGTGTTGCGGCACCTGGGTCGACAAGTACTGTCAAGTCGTCGATTGAGGGCACAGGCGGCAGTGTCCACCCCTGACAGCTACATTGCCACACGAATATCAGTCTCAGTACAGAGCACCCCTGGCATCTTTCCTAGTATGACTGATGCACGCGCTCACGACCACCATACATCTTCCAGGCTGGTTTACCCTGTCGTCCGTACACTTCGACTCGGGCTTCACAGAGATCTCTTCTCGCGCTTCTGATGTTCGCCATTATTCGCAGATTGAGGGATGCGATACGTCATCCGTCGATCTGCCAAACACATCCAATAGTCAGCGACGCCCACCAGGACGATTTGTAAAGAATACGTACTCTGTCAGTGGGCGTCGCACACGGTTGCGCCAAGCAGTGCCTTCGGCCTCGCGGTGTTTGAAGGAGTCGGTGGCACGGCTTGGGACAACTTGAACTCGGGAGCTCAAAGACAACCGAGCAACAATGCTCGGAACTGGACGCCGAACCTATTACAGAACCCGATCAGCATGGCGTTATGCCGTAAGTAACCCGAGTCGAATGCACAGCCAACGCACCTTGAATAGCCATTCTCTCCCATATCGTTACGTACCGAAATAGCTTTCCAGCGATCACTGAACGTGGGCGAGGAGAACTTTTGCGAACATCCGACGCATCTTCCTTTGCTGGGATAAAGGACCTTCTTTCACGGATCACAACAGCGGCTGAGAGCAATAACACACGGAAGACCGCGGTTCCCGCGATCCAACGCGTCACTCCTAGAGGAGACGAACATCCCGATGCGAATAATACTATACAGTATCTAGTATACACCTGCTATATCATTAACCACTTGTTCACCATATCGGACCGAACATACCTAGAGCGAGAGACAAAATGCACAGGCAATAGAACACGATCATGAAGACATGCGGGCTGGGACCATCGAAGTCAGCGAACCTCATCAATACATGGTCACGTGCCCCACTAAAGTTCACCCGCCACCGTCTTTGACGGCGCGCAGGAAACTGGTGCGGATGGCACACTGAACAACTCACCCTTTGCTTTGACCGCACACAAAAACGAGGCGAGCGTGTCGACCTCCTTCACCGCATGCTCTCTGAAATGCCTCTGTGCGACCTGCGCGAGCATGCCATGCACCTCGTGCACGTCCGCCAGGACGGGCACCACCGGCTCCACCCCGTTATCCTCGACGAGCCGCGCACTCCGCCTCCGGGCGGGGACCTCGCGTCTCGGACGGTTCGCAGGCGTGATGGGAAGCGAGGGCGCGGGCGAGGCCGTGGACGCGTGCCGCCGGGCCTTCGGGGGGCGGAGAAGCGCCGAGGGCGGCGGCGGGTCGACTGGGCTCAGCGGCGAGGGCTCGACGTCGGGGACGAGGTCGTACTGCACAAGATACTCGAATACCGCCTCCGACGGCAGCGTAGAGAAGTCGATCTGCGCGCGGACACGGCGGGGGAGCCGTCAGAGGAGAGGAAGGCGCTTGGGATCGGACACACGCACCAGGTTGATTTTGCCCTCGCCGTTTGTCTGGTCCTTCTTTCCCCCGCCCATCCCTGAGCTCCCGCTAGCACCGTTCCCTGCACCGCTCGCGGAGGCCGCGTTGGAAGAGGCGTCGACGCGCTTCCGCTTCGCCCGCGGCTCGCCGTCCGCCCGCTCTGTGGCCGTCCGTTTCGCCCCCGCAGCGGACGCGGACGGTGGCGCATGATATGCTGCATCGTCTGCGTTAAGCTTCTTTCGGGACAGTTGTGGTCGTGAGCGGGCTGTCGAGGTTGACGCGTTGGGAGCACCCCCATAGGCAAAGGGACCTGCGCCGCCCTGGACTGCAGTCATCGGTGGTGCCATATTGCTGAGTTGAAGTGATGGTTGTTTCTTGTAAGAGCAGAGAGATATCGACCGACTGAGGGGGGTCCCGGGTGAGTGAGTGAGGAGCACGATGCCACACGACGGTGGGAGACGATGCACGGCAAGAACTTGCACTGCAGCGCCAGACTCGCAGAGGCGGGTGCAGTCAAATCTGAGATCGGGAAGCGCGTTGTGGCGCGTCCGGCGACGCGTCTGGGCGCTAACTATACTGTACAGTTTCTAATTCCTCTGATTTATGTTCACAATCGCAGCGACTCGTGTATCAAGCCTAATTACCCAAGACGCCATTCTCCAGACGATCCCTCCACATGCTTCCCATACCAACTCCACTTGTATCGATGTCGCTCCGACCTATCTTCCTTTGCACGGCAACGCTCGGAACGACTGAGAAGGCCTTCAGTTTGCCGCTAAGAATGAGCCACGAGATTGCTTGGTCGAGGGCTCTCGAGTACGCGAAGGGCGTGTGTCGCAGGTACAAGAGCAACCGACGTGCGCCGGTGCGCGTCAGAGCGTATGCGTGTGTGCATTTCGGCGCGAAGGAAGGGTGGAGAGTCGTCCGAGACACGGTGAAGTCGAGTTGATCAGCGTTGACATCTTGAATGGCAGGATAGTAGCTCTCGTTCGACCAGCAATGTCCTTAGGCAGCTATGGCATGAGCGTGCTTTGAGTACCTCAGAGTCAGTTGACACATACCCAGGAATACGATGTCCCATTGTGCGGGCAACAGGGGCCAGACTTGGCGTAGCCTCGCGTGGATATCATGCTCCATGTCAACGTCGTCCTCCAGTATCAGTGATACATCCTCCGCGTGCTCGCGAGGCTCCCTGAAGGCAGCCTTCTCCGTGGTGTGGCCGTCCGCGACCTTCCGTATGATCTCTAGATGCGAATACCAGCATGATACCTTCGCGGGTGTAAGCAGCATGTAGCCGGGTAGACCAAGTTCGAAAGGCGGGCCAGTGACGTAGTCCTTGCTTGCACAGGTGAGGGGCGGCAGCGATGGCAGTGGGTCGTGTTGAACCTCAGCATCAGAGGAGGCGACGAGTAGCTGAGGGTAACCAGCAGATGCAGCGCTATCGTCCAGGTCCGATTCAGTCAACAAGGCAGTGCCACTGTTGTCTACCCCGTTGGACGGAGGGCGAAGAGACCAGTAGTCCGAGTCCGACAAGCCGAGAGGAGATGCGGAGAGTGCGAGCGTATCGACCGATGTCGCGTTGGGCCACTCGAAGGTATCGTCAAGGAGTCCCGTAACAACACCTTCCTCCACTCTCGCGCGCCGATCGCGGATATGTGCATAGATATTGCGAGTCGTGTCGGCCTCGGAGTCTATGGCATTGATGTAGGTCCACTGTAAGCCGAGGGTCTGTCTGAGGCGCTCCATGGACATCCGACGGTCCATCCGATGTGGAAGTGACAAGACGTAGATGTTCGACGCAATCCCAAGAGTTTCTTCGCCGAAGGTGAAGTTCGCAGTATATGCAGTGGAGGGATCGATTTGGGACTGCTTTGCGTGCGAGTCGCCGGTGTGAGTGAGAGGTATGCCCAGTTTACGGTCCCCTTGAATGGCAGGTGCAATCATGTCCTGGAGAAGTACAGATGCGCTTAGCCCAAAGCTGAGTGGACCAGGTCCGAAGAAAGTCCAGATGGAGAGCAAAGACGCTACGACGGCACCACAGAGCATGACAATACGGTGTCTAGTAAGCGGCGACATCGCAGATTCGCAGACGGTGCCAAAGCTTGCAGCCGACAAACACAAAGAAAGAGTATACAGTAGCCGATGTCCAAGTTGGGGACAAGTTGGCGGTTCGAACTTCGCCTGGTGCCGTTAACGGTTACGCGTCGCGTCGCTCACGTGGTTCGGTCGGACACGATCGCGCGTGCCACTGATCGCATATCGCCGATCCGGCGTGGTACGAATTCACTCCAACTAAAGTTCACAATGTACGGCTAATGTAAGCTTGTCTCATAACCACCGTGACTGACACACAGAGTCTTAGCTGCGCGCATTGCGTCGCACATCCGCCATGAACCAGGCTCAATTTGAGCCCATCCTCAGGAAGCTTTCGCGAGATCCGAAATCAGTGAGTATGCGCGACTCATTCGTCCTATGTGTCTTCAGTCTTACTTCCGTTCTATTACGTCTGCGTTCATCTCACGCGGTATGTAGGTTCTTGCTGCTGCTCGCAGGCGTGCATCTGCAGAAAGCGTCGTCATTGCAAACAGCTGGGAACCGCAGCAGGGCTTCATAACCGCCGACGATGCTCTTGATCTCTTCCTCTCTTACCTGCAAGAGAGAGACGTCCCTGAAAACACGAACCCAAGGACAATTTTCTGCGACGCGGCCAACTTTGCTTTCACCGGCTTCTTGGGAATCAGCAGGCTCGGACTAGTCCTCGATGAGCCTGGACGGCTAAAGCGCGTCGCTGACGCTTGGAACGCGATCTTCAAGTGGACTGTCTTCATCTTCTCGACGAGGATTGAGGGGGTTTCAAAGAACGACATACGGAGGAAGAGCACTATCGATGTACTCTCCGCCGCATGGTACGCTCTGTGCTCCAAGGATCCGATCCGAGGCTTGATGATTGCTACGCCCATGACCATTGAGATCGCTACGAAGCTGTGGCTTGAAGAAGACGACGGGCCACCTACTCACTTGAACGCACCAGCCGGTACATGCTGCCTTAGCTCCCTATTGAAGATGGCGAAGAAGGAGCAGTTGGACAGGGTTTTGAAGATGGCCGGGGGCAAGGCCGACGAGATCGCGAAGCTCTCGCTCGCTCGTGTCAAGACGGTTCTGAAAGCGCGCCCCATCGATGGGACGCACTTAACGATGCACCTCGACTTCATCAACGCGCTGTCGCGCGATGCGAGTCATCCGTTACGACATGCCCTCCTCGGCGCGAACGTCATCTGGATCGTCACGAACGCTCTCACCACCATCTCCATACAAGTGAATCTGTCTCGCGACCTCTCGTTCCTCGATGCGATGGTATCTGCGTTCGGGTACATAGCAAATTGCCTTGACTCGACGGATGGCTTCACATGGGTCTCGCAATCCATCGGAGCGGGCTTGCTGACGTCCTTCGTCGATTGCAGCCCGCACTTCTCGAAGCTCGATCCCGAAGACTTTGATATGATCCTCACCATCGTCAATAACATTCTCCCTCGGTACACTGTGTATCGCTCTGTCCTGGAAGCTATGAATGGGCCGATGCTCAAGATCGACAAAGGACCGCAGAGGGACAGAGTACTGAACAGCGTTGTGAAGGACGCGTGGCGGACCTTCTTCGCCTCGAGTTGTGACAGGATGACGCTACTCCACCAGGCTGAGGTTTGGAAAGGGAAGAATATCACCTGCGACAATGTCAAGGTAAGTCTAAGACTAGACGTATGCGCTTCCTGGGGTTGCTGATATGTTTGCCAGTGTCAAAAAGTTGGTACGAGAGAAGAGGTCCGAAGATGTTCGGCATGTCTCACTACGTTCTATTGTTCGAAGGTATGATCGTACGTCTCATCCTCAAGACATCTTCATTGAACAAGCACGTAGGAATGTCAAGCTATTGCTTGGAAAGAGGGGGACCACAAGAACACCTGCAAGTTGAAGCAGCGAGAGAGGACCGGTGCGTCCCTCTTGATAGGTGCTCTTGGATTTAGCACTGACTGCCCCCAAGAGGGGAAAGCGACCGGTATTCTGAAACGCGACTTGGCCTTCTTCCACAACATCTCCATATATGACGCACGCAAGAACATCTCTAAGCTCAGCCGCCAAGCAGACAAAGAGTATCCTGGAAAAATCAAATCGCACTTGGTAGTATGCATCGACTACTGTGTTGTGCCTACAACCTACAATCTTAAGCCTATCGAAGGATACGACACAGGCCCGCACTCGGGTTCTACGAACGCGCAGGCGCGGAACGAGTCGATGATCGAGAAGGTCAAGGATAACCCGGGGAAGTACACCCTGATCGAGGCGCGTGTCGCCAATGGGCAGGGTATGCAGTGCATCCTGACGCTCGCGACCGGGAAGTTCTGGGAGTGGGACCCGAAGGAGGAACAGCGACAGAAGCTTATCGACGCGCAGTTCATCCTGCGTTCGTTTGTTTCTCGAGCCGAGGAGCGCCACGGCGTTCCGAACTCCGAGAGGGCGCCGATATTGACCGACCCCATACAAACGGACTTCCCTGACGATATGCTCATGGCGCTCCAGGAACTGTCGGACAACGAATACGAGGACGATGATGAATTTGATTAGTGGATTTGATGGTGAGTATTGCGATGACGCTCTATAGAACGAAAATTCATTTCTGCCTTATCCAGACTTCATGCAGGCGTTGTTCCTATTCCACATGGGTCGGCGGACGTCGCGCCGACCGTGACGAGTAGAGGTCTACATCTGACCCTTGCGAGATTTGGGGCTTTGTAGCACTATGCGTTCTGAGCCTTTACCTACACAATGTCATACCGTGGTGGTTAGAGTGCCCACGAGAGATGATGGATAGTAATGTTGTGGCATCGGAATATTGTTGAGGTTAACGCTCGTCAGCGGCGTTTTGCTCAGATCGTTATCTCGATCACATGATGGGCTAATTTCTTCGGCGCCCATGAAACTGAGCGCCTTCAATTGTGCGTGAAGCTCCCGAATCCTGAGGCTACCATTTGGCCGGTGGACTCTCTTCTACTACTCCCAATCACTGGTCGACTTTCTCTCTCCCTGATCGTCTATATGGCAAAGCATCCACGCAAAAAGCAGAGGACAGCCAAGGCCTCTGGGGATGCTCCCGGCCCTGCCAATGTACAACCACTTGGGTCTAAGGTATCACTTCTAGACGATTCGAGTAAAGATGATGAGGAGCGAAGGCTGGAGAGCATGCTGTTTGGCACGGCTTATGACCCCTCGTCAAGTAAAGGCAAGGGGGTCTTGGTGGTTTCGGACGAAGACGATGAGGATGTCGACCAGAGAGGCGAGAAGGAGCTGCAAAACATGTTGGACACAGACGTGCGCCCTTCCACGTAACGCGCTTATCCAGCTATGCTTACGGATGTTACAGCTTTTCTTCGTAGACGACGCGGTAGGTCAACGGCCAGACCTCGACGTCCAGTCGGAACCAGACGCGGAACAATCGAACGACGAAGACGAGGATGCTTGGACGGGTGAAGAGGCAACACGGAGTACGCATGAGAATCGGTCTGAAAAGGAGGGCGACGACGAGTCGCAGAGCGACGATGAAGAGAGTGAAGCAGAAGCACCTACTGCCTCGAAAAGGAAAGGTCCTGCATGGACAGACCCAGACGACCCTTCACTGCAAGTCTCCCTGGCTGGTGAAAAACGGAGACGGAAGCTTCGTGATGCTGCTACGGAGGACGTGGTTGGAGGGCGAGACTACGAGCGACGTTTGCGACGGCAGTTCGAGAAGATCAATCCCACACCGGAGTGGGCAGCCGCTGCACGCAAGAAGCTTCGTCCTACGAAGGCAAAACGGAGAAGACCGTCTACTTCCTCTGCGTCGGAGACGGATGAGGACGAGGCGCTCCCGGATGTCCTAGCGGATGCGAAGGGCGTTCTGCAGCAGGGACGGAAGGCCAATGCGATTCCTCAAGGCATACTCTCTATCGAGCGCCTGCGCGACGCAAATTTGGCTGCGAAGTCTGAGGGCGAGGTCAAGGCAGTTCAGTTCCATCCATCTCCTGAAGTGCCTGTCCTCCTAGTCGCGAGCGCCGATCGACGGCTCAGATTATTCAACGTGCGTTGACCCTATTTCTCACCACCGCTACCGTTCCATAACGAGGCTTATAGATAAACGGACACACAAATCCACATCTTCAAACTGTCCATATACCGGAACTCCCTGTGACAACAGCTATGTTCCACCCTGGCGGCACGTCCATACTTCTTACAGGACCGCGCCCGTTCTACTACACGTACGACCTCATGTCCGGTACAACATTACGCTCGCCCCGCGGTCTTTGGGGCACGACCTTCGCGAACACGAATCCAGCTGCCCAGGACGCGAGCATGGAGATCTGCGCGTTCGAGCCTTCAGGAGAGGTGTTGGCCGTCGCGGGCCGCGGCGGTCAGATACACCTGGTGGACTGGCAAGCAGGTCAGGGTCAAGTCGTCGGTAACGTCAAGATGAACAGTGCAGTAAAGAGCCTCTGGTGGGCCACCGATGGTAGCGGGCAGCTGATGACCTTGGGGGAGGACTCCGAAGTATATGTCTGGGATGTGGGCGAACGGAAATGCGTCAAACGCTGGAAAGACGATGGTGGCTTTGGCAGTCGGCTTATGCAAGGTGACAATGCTGGGAGGTACCTTGCAACTGGGTACGTGATACAGGTCGGGGCATTAAGCAGACGTGCTGACAATAACCAGTTCTCGGACAGGTATCGTCAACGTGTATGGTTCCGAAGGGGTCTCACCTCTTGGATCGAATAACCCGAAGCCCTTGAAGACGCTTGGGAATCTCACGACCGCCATTACGTCTCTGCGCTTCAATCATAACTCCCAGTTGCTCGCGATCGCCAGCAACACCAAGAAGGATCAAATGCGCATGGTATGCGTTGAATTGTACCCCACTATCGTCCGCATTGCTGAACCCTCCCCAACTCGTAGATCCATTTACCAACGCTGACGGCGTTCTCGAATTGGCCAACCTCGAGTACCCCATTGGGTCACGTTACGAGCGTAGACTTCTCGGCGCGGAGCGAGTATGTTGCCATTGGGAACAACCGTGGTCGCGTTCTCTTGTACCAGCTCAAAGATTTCAGCGCACAATGACACTGATAGCGGATGCTTGGGATATATGGTCTTGCGCGCGCGTGGTAGACAAGACGTCGGTTTGTCGCATCATGGACCTTTGGGCAGCCGCAGTTGAAACGAACCTGTCGGTGGAATGATTGGTGTCGTTATGAGACACTGCCGCTGAACACTTACATTGTGGTAGGTTGAGGATCTCGGGAACTACGGCAGCTTGGTATCCTAGCCTGACGAGAGCGCCTCGAAGGATGCCTGCGGACATTGCGACGTACTGGGGGGCGCTTTCAGTCTCTCTACATGTCCTGTCGTGTCCGTCTCACCAATCTTGCCTTCCTCATGGCATCTGCCCGTCCTCGCCAGCTGGACAGCCGTGTGATAGGTCGGAAAGCGTTGTCTTGTAATACGTATACACCCTAGAATATCGTCGTCAAGTAATGCACTCAATCTGACATGGAGCACACGTACGCGATGATTCGTACGCAGATTGTCGACCTGCTTGTCCCAAACTGCGACCCATAGATCTTTGCATACGAACTTCACTGCGTCAAGAGTATCTGCGAACATCCCTCGGTCGTGACATAGCCTGCGTGCACGAACATTTCTCAAATGCGATTCACATAGCCTATTCTGAGACGTACCTCTCGGCGACATTTGCTCCAACATGCATGCCGATAGCTTCCAGACGCGATCTCACGGCCTCCTCCTCGTCATCTAAAGCGGCTTTCCCGCCAGAAGCCTTTGAGGTAATGCTGCCCACGGAGTCCCTCTGAGTATCCTTGAGCGTTGGGGGAACGTGTGAGGGTGCGGGCATGAGGCCAGCATCTATCATGTCTTGTTCAAGCTTCTTCGCTCGTGCCGCAGCGACCGCAGAGGATGCGCGCAATGTGCTGACCATCTCGATGAGGAAGTAGTCCATCGCGGCAGCGTCTATTTGTCGAGTGGGAGGATCTGCGAGACCCGCAAGTCCCGGAATGGACGAGCTTGATGCTATCGTTGCCAGGGGGTTTTGTACTGATGCTCTGGACATAGCTGTGGAGGAGTTTGGACAGACGCGGTGGATGGGTGGGAGATGGTCGGGGGCGCTGTGGCACTGGCACCAACACTGGCGAGGTGCAGCCACTGGCGCTTCGCCTTCAGACCCCGACCTCGACGTCTGACGACCTCTCTTACCTGCTCTCGTTGTAATCTCGGTGCCTCGAACCCGGGGCGGATGAAAGTCACGACCTTATAGCTGCCTACGACTCGCCGACAATGTCCGGCCTATCCTCCTTGTTTCCCGCCAGACTGCTGAGCTCGATGCATACGCATCCTCGCGACAGGACGTCTGATCCTCTGGCTCGCCTCCGCTTCGCTCTCGAGACGATGCCTGGCTCACGGAAATACGTCTTTACGCCTGCGACGCGTGCTGAGATCCTCTCTGAACTCTATGACGCGTTCTGGGGCCCCCATGCACATCTCTTTCTACCGACCACGCTCTCGAGTCTCCCCCCGCATTCAACTCTTAACGAAGTCCAGTCTGCCGCCGGCCTGAATAAGGAACAGCCAATCATCCCAGGAAGACCCTGTGGCTACATATTCAAGAAAGGAGAGGCATGCTTTCGATGCAAGTGAGTGCTTAGTAAGGGTGTTGTGGATGCGCACTCGTTTGACCACCGCGAACGCGCTGCAGGAACTGTGCCCTCGATGATAGCTGTGTCCTCTGTTCACGGTGCTTCGAAGCGACCGACCATACAGATCACAACGTCAGCTTCTTCATTGCCCAACAATCCGGCGGGTGCTGCGATTGCGGTGACGTCGAAGCTTGGCGTGCACCCATCAACTGTCCACACCATCCCCCAAAGGACGAGACGACCGAATATCTTAGCGCGTTTGCTCTGAGGACACTTCAAGCTACTCCTCGCGCTGCCGCAAGGGTAATGATAGGCCAGGACGTCCCGCCCGTTCGCGACTTTCCCTTCCGCGTCCCTATCCCGCCAGATCTGAGGGATACAATGGCGAGGACCGTCGCATATGCCCTCGATTTCATTATCGACACCTTGGACTACTCTCCGGATGACGCCAACCCTCCTGCGAGTGAGGAGGAGCTCCGTGCACAGCCTTCAGGTGATCCTATGCTCAGGGATCAGTTCAGCGTAGTCATCTGGAACGACGACAAACACTCGTTCGAGGAGATCGTCCAACTGCTGCGCGATATGACGAACCGCACGAGGGACGAGGCCAAGGCGATTGCAGACCGAATCGACGACCAGGGACGCGAAGTGGTAGAAATGCACATCAACTCGACGCGCCTCTTGGAGATGGCGCAGTCGTTCGCTCATATCGATCTGGGCGTAACCGTTCGTCGAGCGTATGACACGTTCCGAGAACAGATTGCAATGGTCGTTATCGAATGGCTACTCGACCTCACTCGCAGTCGGCTGCGATCGGACACGCTGATCCTGAGGGAGGTGGTCGCTGCAGAACTGCTTGCGCCCAGGAAGAACTACTCTTTGATTTCCGCTCATGACGCCTCGAAGTCCCTCGCCGAGATTCATGACCCTTGCCGCATTGATTGGTTGTTCCTGTATCATACCAGGCTATGGAAGAAGCCGCGCCTCAATCTAAAGGAAGTCTATGCGTCTCTTCTCAGCTTAAGCCACGAGCACAAGCTAGCAGTCGGTAGGTCGTGTGAGCTTCAATTCCTGCTCTTCACCTAAGCTATTCCTTGTTCTAGCGTCCCATTTCGCTAGTGTATACCATCGTATCATCGACGCCTATCTACTCTTCGACCGCGAGGCAGAGACATCAATCAAGTACTTCGCTTTGCAGCTCTTCACGGTGCCATCGGTCGCATTGTATATCGTCCGCCAACATAACATCGTCTCCCGCCTATTACACCTCATTACCGCTTTCTTCACCAATCAGATACGGGACAAGCGCATCGTCTACCCTGCCAGCCCCAACGCCGAAGTCGACGTCGACACGTTTCCCTTCAAATCGAAGCGCTTCATGCCTGTGTTCAGCGACCTGCGCTACCTCTGCCATAACGAGCCCGTACAACAGCTCATTGCCCACAACCGAGAGTTCATCGCACATTTCGCGAAGGTATGCCAGATCTTCATGTGCGTGAACCCGAACAAGCGGGCATCGGCGAACCACGTCGAGTACGAGGCGGACGCTTGGATCAGCGTGTTCAACGTCACGCTCTCACTGTCCAGGGTGATTAAAGTCTACGGGGAGGCCTTCTCTCGGGCCACTGTATCGGAACTGGTCGCGGCGATCACGACGGTCATGCACCACATCCTCGTCACCACGGCCGTAGCGGACGAACACCGAGACATCACCAGATTCCCTCCGGTGCTCTTCCACGACGTGACATTCGCGGATACGACGTACAGGGTCGTCGATTTTGACGTCATGGAGGGCTGGGTAAGCTTCCATCACTCCTTGCAGTGGTTGCTTGCCGAGCTCTTCAAACATGTCGACATCCTGAGCGAAGACTCTCTGCGAGAAATCGGGCTAAAGGATTTGCGAGACGTTTGCCTTCGCAGCGCGAGCGAGCAGGCGATCCTCACAATCATCGACTATCCTTTGCGAGGCAAGTACTTCATTTCATTACTTGATGCAATAAATCCTGACCGCCCACTTTAGTTCTGGTCATGATTGCACAGATCCGTACGGGGCTCTGGGTCCGCAACGGCTTTGCCATCCGAGGGCAGCTCATGCATTACCGCGACTTCATGTTGCGACAGCTATGCTACGACCAGGACCTCTTCATTCTGCAAACGGCTTTGGTGATCCTCGGTCCGAATCTGGTCCTCATCAGCATACTCGACCGATTCCAGCTCTTGGGCTATTTCTCGGGAGCCACCTATCACCCTGTATACGAAACTGCCAATCTCCCCGGCATGGTTGAAGAGATGCTCTACATCATCATCACGATCCTCACAGAGAACGCCAGCGCTACCAAGATGTCTATCCAGAATGCTATTCGGCGCGAAGTCATACACGCACTTGCCGTTGGCCCGTGCACCTTCACCGATCTGAGCAAACGCCTGTCCGAGCGCATGGTGGAAGACGTCTCTTTCGAACGTGTCGTTCGCCAGGTCTCGAACTTCAAACCTCCGGAGTCAATGACAGACTCCGGCACGTACGAATTGAAGGACGAGGTTTTCGAGGAAGTCAACCCGTTCTTCTACCATTATACCCGGAACAAGCGCGAAGACGTGGAAACCGTCTTGCGGAACCGGCTCAAGAGGAAGACTGGCGTCGAGAACCCGGTCCTGACTCCTAGACCCCTCGACTTCGGTACCGGACCCTTCTCAGCAATCCCGTCGATCTTCGAGTCCGAGGTCTTATTGCAGACCATCTTCTATGGCATATACAACATCATCTTGATCACCGACGCAGAAGGGACAACTCCTCCATCTTCCGAGGCTATCCTAGACCAGCTCGTGCATTTGATCATGGTGGCAATCACTGAGAGGCCCAAGGTCTTTAGTGGCATCGCCGTGCGGAAGGTCTTCGAGGACGAGCAGTCATTACTCGATGTTTTGTGCACCTTCGAGCATCATGACAAGTTCAAGCCCTACCATGCCCGCGCAAGTTGGATCCTGGACTGCTTGGAGAGCCACGAGCGAGAATCCGTGCGCCTTCGTAGGCGTCTGGTGGAGGATCGCCCCGACGCGAATGCTGATTCAGCCAATGCGAAGAAAAAAGCGGCGAAGGCTAGGCAAGAGGCCATCATGCGACAGATGAAGGCTCAGCAAGCAAGCTTTGCTAACAACTTTGAAGACCTCGATGACGATGAGGACGAAGATATGGGTGAGACACCCGAGGCGCCGGTCTCGTATGGAACATGTATCGTCTGCCAAGAGGAGCTCAACGCCACGAAGGCGTTCGGTTCCCTCGCGTTCTTGCAGCCGAGTCGGTTCTTACGACGTCATCCGGACGGGCATCATGTTTACACCAATGAAGCCGTACTCTGCCCGGACTCTCTCGATCGTGTTTCGCCCAGCGATGCAAACCTCGTATTCCCGCCACCTGCCTCTGACATGAGGAACTCGAAGAACCGCGCTCACAGCTTCGATGCTTTCCCCTCTCAATATACACGGTTCGGTCTACACTCGTCAATCTGCACGCATATGATGCATCTGGAGTGCTTCACCGTCTATAGTGGTTCAATCAGGCAACGACACCGAGCGCAGGCGACCAGGAATCATCCGGAAAGCATACCGAGGAAGGAGTATATCTGCCCTTTGTGCAAGAGTCTCGGAAACGTCATTCTCCCCGTCGCCAACGCGCCGCTCAGCACTGAGCTCAATGGTCTGCCTTTCACGGAGTGGACCAGAGCGGCTGGAATCAGCATCCTGAAATCAAAAGCGGATCCAGTGTTGGAGGGGCTGCAGTTCCGCAATGGTTCCGGAGAGTTCGTGTTCTGGGCTGCTCAGGATCCCGCGTACCAATCCTTTCAGCGCTCTCCGGATCAGAAGGACCCCATGGAGGTGCACAAAATGGTCGATACCATCATGGTCGTGGCGAGGAACGTCTCTCAGCAAAGCCGACATCTACGGGACCGCCCGGAACCAGAGCCGGGCGACCGCGGAGCGGGGGTCTACCTTCCAGAGGACTTGGTTGGGTATACCATTGCGTCGATGGAGGTCGCCCAACGAGGCTCAGGAACTCCGGGCCGCATGGTACCAGATGCCATTCCAGAGGCGCAGATGCGCATGATACGAGGTCTCGTAACGTGTCTCACCAAGCTCGTTGCGCTGAACTTCAGGAATAGACCTGACGAGGGCCGGGATTCCATGCGCCACGCCATCATGAAGCGGCTACTACCAGAATGGAGTCGTGGGTCACTTACATCGTTCACGTATCCCTTGCTCCTCCGCGACCCGTTCACCATTCTGGTGGAGACGGCGGCCGTCGCCCCAGACATGCTCCGGCAAGTCCTCATCCTCGCATACTACGCCTGCCTCGCGCGGACCGTCATCGGCCTGGTCTACATCCTCAACAAGACGCGCAGTTACCACGTCACCGCGGTTCCCCGGCGCCGGCATACGGACCTCTTCGGCGACGTCCGCATGTTCTTCATGTCGGTGGTCAGGCATTCGCCAGTGTTCGAGCAGGCTGGAGACCTGGTCTGTCAAGCGTTTGGCGAAGCACGCATAGAGAAGCTGCTCTACATGTTCACGCTCCCGTTCCTCCGCAGAGCAGCTATCCTGTGCCGCGCCATGCTACCCTCGGCATTCCCCACGCCTGAGGCCACGGAGGACATCTCCGAGTACAAACGACTGCTGACGATGCTGGACATCCCTCCGCTGTCCGATCTGCCCAACCAAGACACTCTGCAGACCGCACTGTCGGTGTGGTGTCAACACTACGGGACATCACACGCTGCTTCGCAGCTGAACTGCGGAGTCGTTCTGGACTACCCGGTCGTCTACCGCCTTGCGAAACTTCCAATGGTGCTCGACCATCTGTACTTCGACCAGGACAAAATTATGATGTGCCAGCGCTGCAAGACGGTCCCGCTCGACGCGGCGATTTGTCTCATATGTGGCGCGACATGTTGCCTGCAGAGCCACTGCTGCGTCGATTACGAGAATGGGGCCCGGGGAGAATGCAACATGCATACGCGAGAGTAAGTGATCCTTTTCATGGTGAGCGGACCAGACACTCACACATGCACAGATGCGCGGGGCCCATTGGGGTTTATTTCCTCGTCAAGCGATGTTCCTTGCTGTATATCTACGCGAACAACGGGGCGTTCGCACAGTCGCCGTACCTAGATATGCACGGCGAGGTCGATGTATCCATGAGGTCCGTCTAGTTCCCTTACCACTATACATGCATTCTGACACCCGTACAGGCGAGGCAGAAGGCAGTACCTGCATCACGCGAGGTGGGAAGAAGTCAGGAAGGTGTGGCTGAACCACGGGGTGCCCACCCTGGTCGCTAGACGTCTGGAAAGCACTGTAGACTGCGGGGGCTGGGAAACACTGTGAATGTATGTATTGACGATCGCACCCATAGACTGTCGCCGCAAGGGAGCACTGCATTTGTACTGTGTAGCATGTAGCATGTATTGTATGGAATTATTGTAGCTAATCGTGGCTCCCTCCCTTTGACTGCCAGTTACGCCTTCGCGCATTCGCGTGCCTTGCAGAGGCGCTCCACTACCCTCTCACGACCAAGCACGGCCATGATCGGCACGACACCAGGGCCCGCCTACAAGGGATTGTTAGCTCTTGCAAGTCTCGATCCGCTCTATTACGTTGGCTCACCTCTGATGCAGTCAACGCGTGGCGGAGGATTGGCAGGTACTGCTTCGCGTTGAGACCCGATCCACGTAACTGGTCGTGCACGAGAGTAGACAGGCTTGATTCGCTCCAGTTCTTGTCCGCGTCCGAGAGGCCGGTGCTGAGGTCAAACAACACCTTGTCGTAGATTTTAGGCGAGAAAGTCCTGCGCACACGCTGCGCCTCGTCTTTCGAGTAGTCGGGGTCTACAAACAGGTACGATCCCTGCTTCGGCAGGTCAGTCAGACAAACGAGACGGCTCTGAAGTTCCGGGAGAACACATTAGCGGATATAGCGAAGATATGACCTCAGCACGTACTTGCATAACACTGATGGCGCGCTTGATGTATTCCACCGACGTATGCGGACTGGAAGGCCAGACGAGTCAGCTGAGATGCCATGTTATCCGTAGTTGCATACCTGTGGGGATATGTCTCCTTGACAAGGGTGTGTACACTTTCAGCCAGCTTGGTCAAGTCATCAGGATTTGTTATCCTCTGCATGAGATGGTGCTTGTTGAGGTACTCGAGCTTGACCTGGTCGAGCACCGATTGCCGTTGTGTGAGTTGCACAAGATCAAACTACGTACCCAGCGTGAGGAGACTAAGCGCATGATTCAGCTGGTGAGCGGCACATACCTCGCGGACCATTTCGTCCTTTGTCATCACCGCGGTGCTGTCCGGAGGTTGCTTCTTGGGCGAAGAACTAGCCTCGGATGCAGAGTCACGCGCTGCCCCCCATCCCGCCAGGGCGAGCCAGTTCAGGATAGCGGCGGGTTCCCATCCGCGTCGCTTGAAGCGTTTCCCTTTTCAGCCAGCTGGCAAATCGTGCATTGGAGATGCCTACCTTGTAGTCCATGACCTGGACGTCACCGTTTCGCTTTGACATCTTCGAGCCGTCGGGGTTCAGTAAGAGCGGGAGATGAGCGAACTGCGGTGGCTTGAGCCCAAGGCATGCATAGAGGTCTAGATGCAATGGCCAGGACGCAATCCATTCCTGGGTTACTCATCAGCTCTAGCTGTGCGAGTAGGGCATGTGCTGCTCACCTCGCCCCGGAGAACATGCGTGATGCCCATCTCGTGGTCGTCCGCCACGGATGCAAGGTGGTACGTGGGGAACAAATCCGACTTCAGCAGGACGGGATCGGTTGGTAGAGACGCGTGTGACTCTCGGAGGTGCTTGAAGATCAAATCAGAGGGGCTGGGGCGTTTTGGCAGTCGGCCATCCTGTGGTTACGGCTTGAGTGGTGATAGTATGCAGGAAGAGGTATGTGCATTACGTTCAGACGGATGACGGACTTCTCCCCCGCACGCACGCGCCTGGCGACCTCCTCTTCTGTGAGATTCAGGCAAGTCTTGTCGTAGGTAATGTTCGAGCCGGAGAGCGCCAGCTTTTCTCGCTTCGCTGCCAGGTCGTCTAGAGAGCAGAAGCAGCGATATGCATGACCGGACTGTTTAGGGTTAGAATAAGGCAGAACACCAGGATCAGCCGGACAGTGCTGCTCACCTCGAGTAATTTGTGGGCATATTGATGGTAGAGGTCCAGGCGTTCAGACTGTTTGGAGAAATGAGGATGTTTCAACATGCAGTTCGTGGTTTCTTACTTGGTAGTATGGAGCATGCGGCCCTCCCTTTCCCGGACCTGCGTTTTGTCGTGAAACACAGTGTCAATACTTCTACAACGCGACTCACCGTAGTCATACTCTAGTCCCGCCCAGTCCAGCACTTCACGGATTCCGTCGACTGCGCCTGGTACGGCGCGTGTCTGTATGACGGTCGAATGAAGATGTGTTAGACCCGAATGCCTTCCTGAAACACGGAGCCCACTGACCGCGTCTGTATCCTCAATTCGGAGGATCCACCGTCCGCCTAGTTTCCGAGCGTAGAGGTAGTTGTATAGAGCAGTTCGGAGGCCACCGAGGTGAAGACCACCCGTCGGTGACGGGGCGAAACGTAGCAAGACCATGGACAGACGACCTTGAATACACCGTCGACCACTCAAATTGAATCAAACTATTGAAGGCACCTGCTCCGCTCGCTTGCAGGCCGTAGCGGGACGGGCCGGGGACGAGCGTCTGCCAGCGCTTCGGGCCTTCCACTAACCTTCCACTTGCCACATTGCACCCTACCCCGAGATTTCCTTGTGTCGACCAGCATCTATTTCAGATGTATACCCTACACGCTAGGGGCGTGGTCGTACAGCGCGCGATTGCCATGCTTCAAGTTGCTGAAGAGGGGATCGCGACCGTTCAATGTTCAGGTACTCAGGTACTCGCGATCGGTACCTTCGTGTCTATGCCGGGAATGGCTTGCCAATAACCATTACCAAGTGGGTACGTACCGAGAGTCATTGCATTTGCTACGAGCTTGTGATGGAATAGCTGGCGAAAATCTTGCTGCGCGCTTCGATGCTGTCTCTCGCCGAACCCCGTGTTAATATTCTGTCCTACAAAGCTGACCTGATGTACGTCTGTCCCGCCGGGACTAGGTAATTGCGGACTAAAGCGTTGCCTATTGACTGCGAGTGACACATGATGAACAAGTAGACCAATGCCTACCAGGGTATTTGACCGAGCTATGAGCTTGCCGTCAAGGGGGACAGTCAGTCCAAGTTGCGTCACAGTCAAATGCACTGGTCGAAGCTACCAACTCCGCTGACCGTTATTGGTACTAGTGCGATGATCATGCGCGATGCAGGTGTGAACTGTCCATGTAGACAGTGGTATGGTGTCCACTCTACAGCGGGGAACGACGTTGCGTTTATGCAACCAGTATCGTGCGCTCACAGGCCGCATTGGGGAGTATCTGTCCAAAAGCAATGCAGGAAGTTTGTTACATATGCTGATCAGTGGCCTGTGGTGCTATCCACCCGTTTTACTGAAGCGGTTCTTACAGCGCTGCAACAGACACTCTTCCATTATTCCCCAGGTTCTTGCATCTACATGTACAACCCACGAACAAAATCCGCGGCGCGCCACCGCCCGTTCCATCATAGCTAATAGTAACTGTATCTCTTCCAGCTGCTGCATTCTATTGATGACAATTTCTCGCGCTCTAGGTCCCATCCTTACGGTTCGCAGACACTGCCCGTCTCAAGGTGCGGAAATGAATTCAATTGGTAGAAGGCGCCTGTACTCGGGGCCCGGGCGTCGTGGATCGTTGTCGTACCAGGCAGTGCTGATCGTTCACTAGCGTCCCTTTCCACGGCCTGAGCCCCTTCAATACATAGAAGTGACTTATACCGTGTGTCATTCGCGCTCGATGATAGCGAGTATCACCGAGGGTGCCTTCGATGGCATCTCACGGTCACAGCAGGCGGATCTCGGCCAAACGGTGGATTGTTACCTCACCGACAGTTAATACGTTGGGTGTCTGTGGAAAAGCGGCGAGGTGACGGTGACGGGCCAGTGGCACTCAGTGAGTTTGACTGTACATAACACTAGACTGGCATACTTATTTACGGTGCAGCCCAGCGGTATGACGGCCAGATGGGCGGACTGTCGACGCGTAAACGGTTGCATGGTCATTCTGGGAATCAATACCGGTAGTACCGAGCCATCACGATGTGAGCACGACTTTTCCTTGTCTGCATGGTCCACTGTCCAGCCACGCTGCGACTGATTCAGAACGCCTTCCTCGATCAACCCAACGCTGTATTCACGATGAATATCCTTGTCGTCCATGATATGCTGTACCAGATGTCCCACAGAGCACTGCACATCGAGTCGCCGTCCCCTCTCTCAACTCTCGTGCGTATGTGAGGGCTTCGGCAGGCTGTATGGGAATGCCCGGCCTCTTTGTCTCGCAGCAGGCGTGCATAGTCCTCGCAGTCACGCGCGTTCCTCTTGCCGCAGTCTGTCTTCTCTGCGTCAAGGAAGTCGCCTAGGGACAACTGTTATTCAATGGAAGTACTGCATCGTCGCGACTTGCGACAGCATCGCAATGCCCTTAGTCTCGGCTCAGCGACGTGCACGTAGTTCAGAGGAACTGAATCGCAACGACGTCCGTCTGGTCCTCCGCGTGCAATACACAAACGAAGTGCATACCACCAGATGTGATGACTCCAAGGCGTCCCACTCAATCACCGAAATTCTTGGCTACACAACGTTGAACTGCCGAAATGTAAACCATGATGCATCTGAAGGAATTCCACCACAACTGCCGCGATAGAAACCCGAGACACCCTGCAAGCCACAACGATCAGCAAGGCGGCATACATCTCGACTTGCAGGCCTGACTTGCATGCACTGAATACTCGCCAGTCCATAACGGTTCTCCGCCATCTAAGCCTTGCCATCCTTCCCAAGTCGCGCCATGCTCTAGCCGCAGTCCAAGTCAGTGATAGGGACCGGATTGAACACGAGCAGGTCCGAGTCTGTACCAACCCGCAACTGTCCCAGGCCTCGCCTCGCACACAGGGCACTTCACGCTACTTCGCCCCAGACTCGGGGTAGATGTGCGCACGTTTCTTGGTACCGGAAGAAGACGTGCAGTTGTTACAAACGTAAGGCTGAGGAGTCGGCATTATCGTGGTCTGCTGTATTTTGCAGAAAATACAGATCTGGGTGGGCATGACTTCCGTTGGAGGTATAGAAGTGCGAGTGTCGATACGACTTGGTTAGGTAGTGCTTGCCAGTGATGAGGAACAGAGCTCCGTCGTCGCACCGTTAACGTTCTTATGCTCGAGCGCTCCGTGGTGCCGACTCAGGCTGTTCCACATTTACTCAAAGTTCAACGTCACAGCCTGCGGGCAACCATACGTAACAAGGGCACTAAATGTATATTAGCTCCGGACGTGTGAGTGGGCTTATAGAGTACCACACAGGAAGATGGACTAGATGAGACGTAGTATTCAAATTTAAGGGCGCGGGGGTGATGTGCCAATCCTTTTAGGTATCTTCGATGACCACAGCGGGGGCATGATGGGCAAGTAGACCCTGGAATAGATGCGGCGCATGATGGGATAAGTAGGACCCATCGAGCGAAGTTCCGCCACATTGACCCTTGGAGTAAGTACGTGGCTTGGTGGAAAGAGAGTTCGACGTTCGTGCAGCATTCGAAAAAGACCACTCGTGACCAGCGGTCACCATCCAGGGTAGCAGCGGATGACGGCGGCTTGACATGTGTGTTCACCATGGAAGTTGCCAGAGATGCGGCTAGTGATTCGTATTCGGGAATATTTCCTGCCTCTATGTAGTAGTATATTCCAAGCCCTACCTGGGTACTACTCGAAAGGCGGGGCCCAGTTCCCAAGTGCCAGTGTCGACTTGAAGAGTACCCTGTACCGGCGTCAGGCCGGTGTTCCATTCATCAATAGCACTCCTAGGGGCTCACTGTAACGGTGCGTGTTCGGTGGCAACTGAGATCCTCTCGTACGGACTCTCAGAACGAGTATCGATAGCATCAGAACAGAGACATTATTCACATTCTTTGAAGGGTCACCGTGCAGCCTGCCGCCGCCGCCGCCCCAGCGCGATGTGCGCGCGTGAGTACAGCATGCAGCATCGTTCATAGCAACAATTACACAACTGCCAAACCTAGACAGTAGTACAAGAGTGTGTGATAAGCCAACCGCCCGAGAAATTTCCCCCGTGAGTGCGAACCCTGACGTTACACGAGACTTGCTGCGCATTTTCGACAGTTTTAAATCCCTGTCACCCGTCAGCGGCCACAGAGAAACGACTACGTCGACTGTCGAGGGGTGCCCAAAGAGTGCAAGCGCTCCACCGAAGAAACAAGACAGAGACTTCGATGCTACGCGAACGCATGCAGGTTTGGCCAGAGCCGCGTCTCGACTTGGAGATGAGTCGGATTCGGAGCATCGGTTTCTCCGAGGTAAATTCAGAGCATTACTGACCTTTTCCGCGGAATTCAGTGGTGTTCCATGAAAACCCCAGGGTCTTGCCCGAATCTCCATGAACAGTATGCATTGACGGCCCCTCCCGTATGGAAGAGGAGTCAGCACCCTGTTCCGAAATCGATCAAAGCGATATAAATCGTCCAGCTTAGATTCAGCCACTCAGGTATCCATGTTCCTAGTGTTGAGATCTCTTTCGAGTCTGGCCTGCATTGACGGTGCGTCATAGCAACCCTGGCCTATTTGCTTGTGGCGCTGACTGCTCTCGAATCCCATCTTTATGCCTGGAGAAGTATTGTTTACCTTAAAAAAACTACCAATGGCCTGTCTTGTGGCGCAGCGTGGATAAGGTTCACATGATGACCATGTTCATCGTATGCGCCTGTGTCTGGTCGAGGGGACATCTCATTGCCTAGAGCCGCAGAGGTCACATTCCGCTCTCGCGCAGGCACCATGTCCTCTTTTCATTGGTCGAGCTCTCAGCAGATGCACCGTGGCGGTCGTAATCCAATGCTGCGTCCGACCGATCCGTGATGCGATGATTCAAGTGACCAAGACCTTTTATTCGTCGTCCAACAAAATCAGCTCCGCTGGCTGTCACCGTACGCAAGTCTCATCCGCCTTATGCATAGCTTCGTCGCGAATAGTGGAGAATCAGAAGACATGGTAACTGCATCGCGCTCAGCCTTCAGGACACGCACCGGAATCAGCCAGCGCTGAGCAGTCGCATCCTGAAGCATGTCGGTTCGTGGTCATTACGAGCCACCTGTCGTGCAGGGCATCGCGCTGATACATTCGGATGTAACCGACTCAAGCTCTTGCGGAATCCCAGGTTTCCCCGACCAACCCGCCTTCCATTACTTACCTCCTGGGTTCTTGCATCTCTCCCGCGCAAAGAAGATCCGAATTACTTGTGCTGCCTGCTATGTACCTGCTAAGATCTCTCGCGCCTAGATCCCGTACTTGCGACTCCTAGAGTCTGTCGGGCCCTGAGTACGGGCCCGGGACAAAGCCAAGATGCAGATGCGGCTGGCGCACTGTTACTCGGGGCCCGGACATTATGCATTCATGGTTCGCGGTACCAGGCAATGCCGACATTCCTAGGGTTTCGCCCATCGCCTCCTCGCTGTCGCCCATGTCCGAATGGACCCTCACAGCCGATCACACTGCTGTACATTATTCGTCACCCACAATGTGGCCGAGGGTGTTTTCGGCGATATCCTGAAAGGCACGGTTTGCCGATTGCCTCTCACGGTGGTGATTGCGTTCAACTGGCGAAGCGGGTCTAATAGTCTCGACTGACAACGAAATATTCAGGCATGCAGGCCAACGTCCGACTTGTCAACATTCTCGCCGAATAATCAAACAGTTTCGGTCGACCGGAAGAAGTTGACCATCACAGCAACCTGCCCACCGCGTCGATAGTTGGAAGCTATCTGACCCCCAGATCAGTACAGCCCAGGCGCTCCCAACGAGCATTGCAATTAACGTACTTACGGCCCTTCCGTTACTGTACCACCGCGCCGAAGCGACCCTCAGGCTTAGAGTTGGCCCACGATCAGCCCACGATACTTACTCCATCGTGTCGACTCTCTACGCTGTGATTTGCTGATCGTCGCCGCTGTACATCGTGTGGTGTAGGTCTGTTTACCGGTGATGTAGAGCTTCGATGGGCTCGCCAAGTCGGGAGTACAGACATGCGCAGCAATACGTGTCAATTACGCGCAATGCAACAAAGGCAGCCATGGAACAAGGAATAGTAATTTAAGGCTAGGTCCACAACCGTGAGCATCAGCAGGCAGACAACATGACGGCGGACCATGGAGCGCCAGTTGACAAATGTTAACGTTACTAATTCGTAAGTCAAGCCGAGGAAGAATAGGACGCATAACGTTCTAACAGACGCGTGTACGTCTCCGAAATCTTCAATTTTCGATAACGAATGAGAAGCTTTGCAGATATAAATCAGTCGCTCACCTTGCCTGCTCGAGTACCCCCGTCAGGCACGAAGCGACAGATGGTGGTGGAGGCCTCGAACCATCTCTTGGCTTCGTCTAGCAATGACGCACTATTAAAGCAGTGAGTAGTTGCGCGTAGATTCAATGTCAGAAGGTCACGCGCTGTAGGCACTCAATTCCTGTATTGTATGTGGTTCCAAGCAACCACTGCCGCTCGTCAATCGGATATGCCTCGTGTAATGTAAGGCATCAGATGACTATACAGCAGCGACCAAAGGAGAAGATACCTGTGTGTCGCGGTCCGTGTGGTCTTCAAGAACGTGGACAGCTTGTTCGACATATCCAATGGCTTTGGTCCTGTCCTCGGAAGTATTGCGGGAGAGAAGCATCGTACATATAGCGCGTAGCCACCGCGAAAACTTATTGATCGATAGGGAGCCGCGATCGAGGCTTGCGTGAAGGATAGCCTATCACAGGTCGGTCAGTAGACGGCGCGCCGCCATGAACATCTCCGCACCTCCAATGCAGTGAAGAGTACTGCATGGCATTGCGTGAGTACGCTAGTACGATACGGGCCAATGTTAGACCCACCATTCACCGGACAACCCTTCTCTACCCACTATTTGACGATTGAATACCTAGATGGTGCTGGGAAAGCCGAAGTGACTCACGAGGATGTCCGTCATAGCTTCGAACGTGTTAATTGCACCTTGGTCGAGTTGGAGAGTTTCCTGGCCAATCCCCAAGTCCGGCATTTCAAAGCGAGCCTAGGCAGGCACGACACTTACATTAATGACCTGTAGAAGTTTTTCCCAATCTCTCATATGACAAAGTATCTCCACCTCGAAGACGAGGAGGACATGCACGTAAGATTGCGAGCGAGATATGTCTTCGGCGTCTTCTAATTTCGCGGAGTCTGTCACGGCGCATATCCGCTTCCGGCAAGAGGCGATGTCTTGGAGAACAGATCGTAGACACCCCTCGCGGCTCTTGACAAAACAGAATACCTCGTCAGTCGAGAAGATAAGGCTGCTGTGCTGAACTACCTCGATATCATGCCCACCGGATAGCTGTTTCCGAAGGGCGAAAACTGCACGCGCTTCGGTCATTCGAGGCATCTGACGTGACCGACCATCGTACCTCTCCCCGCCACCGTGGCAAAAGAGGCGTCAATGATATGAAGGTAGATCTCCACATCGGTTTCAGTGAGCGAGGCGTCCCGATAGGCTTCTAGCAGCTGCACGAGGCGGTGATAGTCAGGGCAGAGTGGAAATGAATACAGCGAACACCTGACCTGTCTCGCAATGTCAAATATGTCGGACACACTGGACTCGGAATGCTCCCACTCGGAACATCCTTGGATCGCGCAATTATAAGCGGCGCGCCAAAGCCACGAGATATCTCGCGCAACCAGTGCGAGGTTGGCAGATTCTTCCAGCTTCTTGATAAGTAGTATGGCTGTGCCTAGCTTGGGGACAAAGACGGAAGCCGAGATCCACTGAACTCACATACCTGTTCGGAAATGCCCAATAAGTACCTGTACTAAGGATTCTCTGAATAATTTAGTGGGTCAGTACGTGAATAGTTACACGGCCAGCTTCGCGAGCCGCACCGATTCGCGCCGGGCTCTCCCATGAGCTTCAAGATAAGCCTAATTATGCACCGCGCCAACGTGAGAGCCTCAGTGTCACTGCTCGGGTTGCCACTTGTTCCCATAGTTTCTAATAGAGCTTCCAGCACGGAGAGTAACAGATTCTTCATGTCCGATTCGTTGGCAAGCTGTGTGGCCAGCATCAAGGTCTTGCGGTCGAACCCACTTGCGGTGACCATTGCTCGGACAAGCCCGATCGCTACAACGCAGTACGTGAGAGTTGTTGTGATGAGCTTTTATGAAACTTACCTTCGTCTTCAAAGCCTGATCATCGAAATGTTGGTCAGTCACCCATGAAAGTCTGGAGTATTCGTATTACCTTGGCGTACAGCTATCAATAGTTTCACGTAATATGTCGCAGCCTCCTGGGCGGAGCAACGGCGGATAGTCGCAGCTGCTTGGGCAAGATCGCCTTGTTGTATGTAACAAAGCGCTGCCTTGCGAAGGCATTTGCCGTCACTGAGTCTGGCAACTGAAGTTAGGGCCTTGTGTGTGCCGGCTAGATACCAGTCGGCAGCCTCTGCCCAACGTTTGTTTTGGTATAATCGATCGCCAAATTGCCAGAGCAGCTGGAGATGCATCACGGTGAGTTCCGCTATGCTTGAGCGAACGTTATCAGACCTACGGTCAGACAAGCGGTCGCTGAAATCTTCGACAACTCAAACCGGGCATCTGTCAGTGCTGAAAAAGGGATTAAGTTCGGTCTGAATGACACGCCTACGCAGCATACATTTGAAAGCAGCGGAGATGGCTTGCATGGATTGGGCGTGGTCCGTATCCTTGGAGCAGTGAAACAGCAAGGATAACAGTATACGATCCAATAGACCTTCACGAGGACTGCCTTCGGTGTCCAGTACACGTTGGAGACAACGTTGATGCGTTGCCACAATGAGGGCCCTACAGATTGAGATTAGCGCGCCCAGAGTTCTTATGTTCAGTAGGCTGTGAATACCACTGACCGTTCCTCGCCTAGACCTCGCAGCTCCTGCAGAATACTCCATTGTGAAGTCTAGCATGAGAGGGGCCTAGTACGAGCGGGTTGGAGAGAACTCACTCCGTGATGGTGTTATCGGAGAGGGACATGTGATCAATTATGGACTGAAATGCTGGACGTATCTGTCAGCATATGCCGTCCGAATACAGCATAACGATAAGAGTCACCCTCAAGCAGCAGGACATGGCCGGCCTTTCGTTTCTTGAGCACGGCTATCCTCATCCATCGAAGCTGTTGATATTCTGTAGACGTCTTGACGAATAACACCCAGTTAAATTAGCCAATAGGGACGTCACTGAAGTTGTCAGCGTACGCACATGCTCAGAAGAGTCGATTGAAGAGATCAATTCGTTCAAGGAAGCTTCGGCGCGGACCAGATTCTCCGGCTCCTCGGACGAAGACAGAAAATACGCTCGCGCTAGTTAGTCAGCGGTCAGGTCGAGCGATGCAAATGTCGAGAAGACACGTGGCGAGTGCGCACCCAGACTTCGGAGGATGGCCCTCTGTCGGATGCAGGGTCGCATGCCGTGTCAAATCCAGCACGGTACAGGAGTAGAGTTGGACATGACAAACCTTCAAATGCCGCGTTGAGACGTTGTCTCCGCCTTCCAGTGGCTCCGAGAGGGCGAAGGCCTTCTGTAGCCATTTCACAGCATCATGCCCGCGCGCCCCGCGAACGGCAGGATTGCTCTCTTGTGATCCTGCTTTCAGAACCGTTTTCCCTATCTCTAGTACCTTGGCAACAAGCAGTTCCCTCTAGGGTGTAGCTGTTCAGTCAAAGGCGGACGTTGAATACAGACGTGTCTCACGTCGCGTGGCAGCAGAGAATTCAGCTGGTCGCTATCTGCGGGAAGCACCACGTGAGGTACCGGTGGTTATACAACATAGAAGATACACACCGGAGATCCTCGACAGCATAAAATCTGCGATGCCGTCATTACCTTCCCTCCACGCCTGAAACGTTACATGTACGCATTGAAAGGCACCATAACGGGTAATCTCACTGTAAGTACTCACAGCTTCCATCCGACTGGCATAATACAACAGAACCACACGCGCTCGAGCTTGTCCTTGGGAGTGCTCGAGATCCTCGGCCTTCTTGAGGGCCTCCTCGTACTGCGGTGGCTTGAACTTTGATACAGATATTAGCGGAGAAAGCTATACCTTGGCCGCGCTTCCCAGTACGCTACCGGCATGATCATGATTCCCAGACGCTGTTCAAGTGGGGAAACCGCGTTGCGTTAGCAAGACGTTATCATTTGAGACGCGTGTGCGTCATGTGCTTACCTGAGAGGCTTGCACCAGCTTTACTGGCAAGATGCAGAACGTGGATCAGGGCTGGCCGTAATCTTAGCGTCTGCTCGGTCTGTCATAGACGGTGCATAGTTACTTTCAGCAGTCGGATTCTGCTCCAGTCCTGCTTCCACGAGGCGAAAACCGGCCAATCTTGCTACATCGCCATTCGGAGCATGTCGCGTGACATGATGGTTCAATATGGAGCACTTACCGGCGGCGGTGATCTGTCCGGCATGGTCATCCCGTGTCGGTGGTATCGAGGTAGCTACATTCCAGAGCCATACTCCTGTACATGATAGATGAGGGATGGAGGGCGGATGTACCACGATGCACGGCCTTCTAGACAATTCATTCGCGTACCTTCGCGATCCAAGGTATCAGCGATTGAGATCCATTCCTTGTTCGAGCGCGGGCGTCGCTTTGTAAATGATTCCGCAAGCGAAGACAAGTGAAGGAGCTCGGAGTGTATAGTCGACCACCCGTGTTGTTTCTCGGAGGGATCGATCAGCTTGGGTTTGATGGTGATGAGCAGCCCTACGGGAAGCAGATAGGTCCGTTACAGGTCCGAAGTGAGCTCAACAGACCGCATATAGCCTGCCTTTGATCGTCTCGAAGGTTTCCGCGAGACCGGATGGTAGTTTCCTTTTGTTCGCGGACATGCTGGCGCGTGCAGGTGGTGGGGCAAAGCAAGTCCGGGCGTGAGTCCGCGGTCAAGTGCTACGCGCGCGAGGAGACGCGTCCCGTCACAAATGTGACGCGCGCGTAGACATCACGTGGGAGGAGGTCGGGTACAGTGTCACCGATACTAGTGTCACTTGAGTGTCACTATCATTCGTACTGACACGCGTCTGCAAGTTGAGGACTTCCAAAGGTCTTCCGCCGGGAGTCTGAGTCAGTGGTGGACTTGGTTCCTTCGTCTGTACGGCGCCCCATGTCGCACATGGACTCCGCCAATACGTCAGGCTTGCCCGCCGATGCGGTAGAGAGATGCACCAAGGTGAAGACTTCTAGCCACTTTGCACGCTGCGCGCAGTATTTCTCACAGCGAGATGGAGTGCTTCAGGAAGCCAGGAAAGACGGCATCTTTGCTGGTTTCTCTGCAGGTCTAGTAGGCGGTGAGTGCCCATATCCGGTCGTCGTTCTTTCGTGTCATGGGTCTCATGCCCGCGTTGACGACCTCGCGTGCTCTAGCTATACTCGGGTCGAAGGTGTTCAGGCTCAATAGGAACACAACCATAGTTTGCGGCGTTCGTGCGTTGACGATCTCTCACACTCTTGCGAAGATTGGAAGATGCTGACCCTTTGAATCCGATACAGTGACGGGGGCGCTCTCCGGCTGGCAGTTCACCCAGGGCTTCAGGACTTCCAAACTTGCTAGTCTGCGCGCCGAGCTCGCATTGCGGAAACAATCAGAGCTCGGTGTTACCACCACGAGTCCTCAAAAGAATGAAAAGAGTAGTTGATGGATGGAGCGACCAAAGGGGCATCGGTCAAAATCTTTCAATTACTGTAAGATACATCCCCACTCCGACCCTCGGTCTTGACGTGCAAGATCCTGGCGCATTGCCAACTCGGTAAGCTACGAGTCATGATCCGGCGCACATGTTTATGACAGTAGTGGGGACGTTCCGCTGGGTGTCTAGCCTGCCATGACGAACTGCTATGCGGTAACTTTGATACGCTGCACGGTGTCTGATGAACCATGGCGGATGCCGGCACCCCGGGCTGGAGCTGTGGGTTGTTCAGCATGCCGTGAACATTTGAAGACGCTGGCATATGCGCTTCCTCGTCAATCCGCTGGGCGTCCCGCGCTTTGAGCGGCGAACTGGCTGAGACCCAAACGCGAGTGACTGTATGGGCCCGGCTTATATGACACCACAGTGATCGTCGGAAAGATGGAAGCCGTACTCATCGCGCTATATTCACTGACTGCTGCGCTGTAGTTCACGAGTTGTCAAGTCGAGCCGCTCCCGGCTGGTCCTGTAACCACATTTGACCACGGTCGTGAGATGCTGGTAAGATTCCTTCTACGGTGCGTGTGCGGTACTGCTGTGTGGTCGCCTAGGGAAGGGGATCTACTAACACGAAGATCTATGGCACGACCTGGCCGCATCAATTGGGTACAATTGTATCAACGAAGCGACGCACAGTGTCTCCATTCCTCCCTGCACACCGAGTGGTCTACCCGTCTCGGACTCGGAGTGATAAGAGACGTCCTCCATCCGGTCTCCCTGCGCCTCCGGGTGGCAGCGGCCACGTATGTATTGGCAACCACGTACGCGTAATTGAAAGGGGTTGTGCGCGGCTTGGGAGGCCATGGCCAGATGGATTTGCATTCTCCCGACGGGCTCGCCGCTGGCAGGGTCGTGTGGAAGGTGAGCGTACGGTATTTGGGAGCACACGTTGACGTCAGCCCAATCTCGGCCGGGGTGCATCTGCCCCTGGATCAGGTCCTCCAGCACGCCGCAATTATATGATTCGGATGCCGTGGCGGGCTACTCCGACTCCGAGCCTACGCCGTCACTCAATGAGATTTTACCCATACTGCGGCGCCCTGATCCATCTATTGTCGTATGCGCTATAGCTTTTGTTATCCCATCAGAACGCGGATAAGCACCGATTTGAACCATTCAAACGCGAGACTAGGGTCACGAAGCCCGTGTTAGACGCGTCTTCTGACTGCTCCGTTCGTGTGGCAGCCTCCGGCGCCCAACAACCACTATGCCTACTTGATACATACATCGGCGTACCCGACAGGGAAACATATACAGGTGATTTCAATGCTGCGACTATCTGATGAGGATGATGTATTTCTACGTTGACGTGTGCTGAAGGGATAGTCCGAACTGTGTGTGCAGGGTATGATGGATGGAGAATGCAGATGTGGATGCGGATGTACGTGAACGTGAACGCTATAATCATAACAGCGTAACAGAAACCGTGGCAATGCGGCAGACGTGGTCCCAAAGTACGACAACAAGAATGTACAAGGCGCAGAATGGCTGTGCAAATTAGAGTGATTACACCAAGACGGAGTTCATTATAACCGCCGACCCCGCGCGGCGTAATAGTAAGGCGAGGGGGCCGGGGCAGACGTAGCATAGAACTGGTACCCTGGCGGCCCAGCATTTGCGAAAGTTGCAGAAGGAACGAGATCCTGCGCGGGCCGCTCGCTTCCGTGTGGCGACGCGGAATGGCAGTGAGACACGACTGCGCATTCTCGAGGCCAATCCCGTGCGAGTTCGGACAGAGGAGGTAACGTGTGACCGGTGCGAAGTGGCATGTGCATGTCGTAGGGGCTCGCAGAGGCGGATTGCACGACCATGGGCACCTGCGGTTGGATTTGTGGCACCGCGGGATGGGTCGGACGTGGCTGGTGATACCGAAGGCGACCTTTGCGTGAGATGGTGTCTTCCTCTTGAGCTGGCGAACAAGACAACGTGTAGAAGTACAATTGCTGCAATGTCGGAAGTCAGATGGTGAAACGCGCTAGTGTATCACAAATGACATACCTGAGGCGTCGCATACAGTCGCCGGTCATCACGACGATATGCTGACACGAGTGTTTGCGGTACTTCATTCTGACCAATGGTCGAAGCCCAAGGGGATGTGTTCGCTACGTCGACAGGCGATGCTCCGAGCGACAGCTTGGAGAAACCTTGCAGCGGCTCCAGCGGGGACGCCGAGCTCTCGCTCGAATGGCCACTTGAGTACTCGAGCTCGGGGATCTGCAGAGTGAGACCCATAGTCCGTCTCGGTATTTCGCTGGCCGGTGCAGCAGACACATAAGGCGAGTCGTCGCGAGCGAAGGCCTCGGATGCGGACCGTTTCGCGCCGGAAGGCAATGCGACAGGCTGAGCGGCACGGTAGCTGGTGTAGGCGGGATGAGGAGGCGGCGCATAGCCAGGTTGCAACCCAGCTGGACACCGACGCGGCGAAGACGAGCGTGCGCGATGTGACGGAGTCGCATGCGGTCGCGAAAGGCTCGAGGCAGAATGCCGAGGGTGTACCCGATGGAGTGAACGCGCAGGCCGCCGTGATCGACGCCAGTGCTGCAGCTCGCGCTCCTTCGCCATGACCAAGCCTTGCAAGAGGTTCAGCCACGACTCGTATGTCGACTTGTCGACGTAGAGCCCAAAGTCGATCCCCAGCAAGAACTCCTTCTCCATTTTGTTGATCTCGATCAAGTCAATGCCGGAGACTTCTGACCATGTCTTGTTCGTGTACGTGTTACTGCCCAAAGCGTGAGTCCCATACGCGCAGCAAACACAAGACTTGGCACTCACTCGTCTACGAACTTGTTCGCCATCATGAGTGCGGCGATCGCGACTCGGTACTCACTACCAGGGTGACCAGTGGTGAAGCGATTACGTGCTTTCATACGGTAGATGTAATGTAATGCGAGGACGATGACGGACTGACTGACTTGCGTGGTCTCGAGGACTTTCTGCATGAAGCGGACAAACGCAGGGGATACTGAGAATTGAAGCGACGCGGTCGCGGAATTAGTAGGAGGAATATAATGCGAGTGCTCCTGTGGAGCGGTACGATTCCGTTTTGAAGGGGAGGCAGACTGCGAGTAGCTCGAGAACCAGAGGTAGCAGATCATCTCGCAAGTCTTCTCTGCAATGAACTGCGACGGGCGGTCCGAGGATATTGTGAACCAGTCGAGCGCGGACGGTGGTGAAGGCAGGTACTCCGCGGTATGCGACGCGTCCGTGCGCGGTGCAGATGTAGGCACGTACGCTCGAGGCGATCGCAGTGTAGGCGATCCGTAGCTCTGCCACTGGTACGAATCATCCACTTGTGGCGGCGTGACTGGGGTTGGCTGAGCACTGGCACGGTAGTGCACGCGTGGTGGACGCGACGTACCTGGGGAAACGCGAGCCGACGCGTGATCGAAGTGGGAAATGGACGGCAGGACAGGCTTTGGTTGCGCCTGGGGAGGCAGGACGCGCCTGGCGAAGACATTGGAGAGCGGCGGGGTCAGGGGTGGCTCAGGCTTGGTGGCGCGCCAGTCGGCCCATGTCGACATGAGTTCTACGGGGAGCAGCGGCAAGGGAGCGTCCATTGGAAGTGAAGAGGGAGTGCGAGGGAGCGAGGGCGGCGGTGTATAAAGGGCCATGCAGAGGAGAGAAGGAGTCGAAAGCGGCGAGTGCAAAGGAGAGGAATATGTGCGCGTAGCGATGACATATTATAGTGCAGTTGTGCAGATCAGGCCGGGGTCGGTAGGGGAAAATAGTGGCCAGGTTGAAAATAACCGGAAAAGACAAACCGGGCAATTCTGTTGTGTCGCGAACGAGAAGCACATCATCCGCCGTCACCCGTCCTAACCGTCTTGCGCCCACATCCGCCGCCACACCCGGCCAGGGCCCGCGCCTCCCCGCCCTTTTCCACGCCTTTTCCCTTTTCTTTCGCACTCCGCCCCCTGACTCAGCACCGGCTCCTCGGCGCGGGGATTCCCCATAGCCTTGTCCCCGTCCCACGGCCCCTGCGCGGTCACGTTCTCTGATGGGACTGCCGCTTCGGGCAACTCGCAGCGTCGGCCTCGCGCATTGTGGCGGGCCATCAGATCGGAGTCCTCCCGAGATTGGCTTTTGTGCAAAGGAGGCCGGCGCGCAAAGGTAATATTCGGTGGCACCGGTGGCATCAACGCGGTTCGAGCACAAGCCCTCCTATCGTGCCACTCGCTTGCCTCTTCGTGATGCCTCTGCGAGTGGATCCGTCCCAGCGGTTTCTGCGCAGGCGTGTTGTTGTATTCATCTCGACCTCCGTCCACTGGTCCGCCGGCCGACATGTGCTCATTTCTGTGGCGTCCGCTTCGACCAGCTCGCCAGCAAGAACCAACACCGGGTATCCCGCGTCTCGAACCGATCTTGACGTGAATGCTTTCCGGGCCGTCACCGCTGCCCATAGGTGCGCAGATGCCGCAGAGCCCCTCTTCCAAGCAGACGGCGCATCGGCCACTGTCGTCCGCATCCGGGCGGCTCGCGAGCATGCGTGCATCCGTCGCGGGGCGCGGGTGAAGGATCTAAGCAGCGTTCTTAGTAGACTTGCCTTATGCGTGCCGAGAGCTGCCATATTGGGACAGGCGTGCTTACGGGGCCAGATCGGCCGTCAGGGACACATCCGGTACCGCCACTCCGTATTTGGCGGGGTTTGGCACTGCACACCCCTGCGTGTTCGGACACACTGGCCATTCATCCTGGCATGAGGACATGTCCTGAAGCGGCCAGCACGCTACGCAGGCGGTCTTACGCCCAAATGAGCAGCGGCTGCAGCCATCCGGAATCCGCCCGCCTGCGCCTTGTCTCCCTATCACCCGTTCTGATTCGCCTTTACGGAACCTGCGCGCTGGAAACAGGGGTCTCGCCGCCGCGTCGCCGTCTGCCTGACGTTGCAAGCTGTCGTTTGGCTGCCAGTGCATTTGCGCTGTGCCACTCGGCGCAGTCTGGGCTGAAGCGACCGCCCTAAACGAGTACGGCATGCACGGATAAGACATTCAGACTGCACAGTTTGAATCTCGCCTCGGACACGCCCATGCTGACGTCGTCTCGTCGCCAGGCCCTGTCTGCCGCATCCCGCTCCATCGCTCTACAGCTGACTCTTTCAGGAGCTATTGCTCCCCTCAGCATGCTACTGGGTTTCGGCAGAGCCTTCTCGCAGCTGTACCCTCCATTCCGTTCAGGTCGCACCGCCCAAGCAGGGTCGAGAGATCTTGCACCACACGTTAGTAGCAAAAGGTCAAATCAGTGGCACCAGCCAGCCCCAGGTCGTCACATCTCGGTCTGATTGTTCGGATCTCCCGTACTTACGGGCGTGTCTCGCACCTTATTGAGCCGCTCCCTGTTTTGGAAAGTTGACAAGTGATGTCCGCACACTGTTTGACGCATGCAGTTGCTTCCAACAGCCTGCGCCCGTTGATTTGCGGACATTTGCTGATGTTTGTCTGCATGCGAACAGCGATCTGTCGTAAGTCGTTCCGAGCTGCTGTGAACGCCGATGGGTTCATTGTTCCATACGCAACCGTGGAACTGAGAACCCAGCGCAGATACCCACTGGTGTCCGTACAGGATAGCCATACAGTCGATAGGGTGAGAACGAGTCCAATTACAAGATGCATCAATGACGTGGGCTCAGCGGCTCACGCAGCTCCGTCTGTTTGTGAAACCTTTTGGCTGAATGGGCCAGGACAAGGAGCTCGCGCCCTGGATTCCGAGGATCCTGGGTTTGCCGCGACGGTACAGCGGTCCTCTCTCGAAACCTGCGGCCCAAAGGAGTGGCCGTCGACGTGTCATCCATGCAACGCAGGTGCTCGTCTGAACAAGCCGGGCGCACGAGACGCGGATCCCACACACCACCAGTACTGGTGGCAATTTCAATAAGTGTGGCTGTAGCCGTAACCTGTAGGCGGTGGGAGGAAGATTTCCTCTGTGCAGAAACCGATTCGGAGAGCACAAAGAGCCCTGGGCAATATGCGCGGAATGTGCTTCTTGGACGTTTGATATAAGCAGTGCCTCGTGCTCTGGTGCTTCCGATGTATTTAGCCACCGCCCTAATATCGACGCCATTCATGTGCCGCGCGAACGATGCCAATGCCATCGTGCCATTCGTGGCCCTAACACAGAGTTCCTTGGAGTTCCTCGCAACCCATCGACGCGCGTCCATGGATGGACCCGTCATCACAGCGCGGATGTTGAGCAACCCCCTTGGTCGCGGAGGCCGCTTCCGACGGAGCATAGCCATAAGTTTCCGACTCGGTGCGCCGGGAATAGCCGCTCTTACGTTGAATGGGTGAATTGTCAATAGAACCTACATAGAACCTGAATGAACCTTACATTCTCGTCAGTACCACTGGTTTGGCTGATCAACACCCCGTCGCACCGGCTCGAGTCACACAAGTGCGTGTACTTGCCTATTGCAAGCGGTGAACAGCCGCGGAAGCTCAGTACACAGGGCACATTCGTGAGCGGCTATCCTTGTGATCGCGTCGTATTCACGTTCGTGTCTTGTTGAATCGCACGCGAGGTAGTTGATCGTACAGCAGAATCCTGATGGATGTCTAAACCGAGCGGGTGTCGCGAGAAATGTTATCTGACCTTGTGCGAACGCGGTGAATACAAACCACAGCCTATTTACATAATCTGACAGGGCGGTGAGTAGCGCTCCGGATTCTGAGCGGAGAGGGAATACACCTTGTTTGGCTTGCCTGAGTTAGCCTTGTCGGAAATCAACCTTTAGCACGCCTACCTTGTTTGGGAAATTACCATCGACTTCTCGGCCAGCCGAGCATTTGTCACATTGATCTTCAGGAGCAGGCTAGCGGTCAAGCGGATATAGGCACAGTACCATCACGGTTCACCCGCCTTCAGATCTAGCATGACAGAAAGCAACCATCGAGGTTAGAGCGACGACTGTCTGGGAGCAACCATGCACGCGATCAGTACGACTTCATTACGAGTACGAGATATGACACCCCGACCTTCTAACGAGTCCGGAAGGACGTTGAACCGCCTGAGCTGTGGCATGCTAGGGGCGCAACTACGTGATTGGAGAACAAAGACATATGTACCGGTGAGGCGAGGACAACAGTCGCCGCCCGGGCCACATGGTGGACGGCCACAGCGTCCGCTAGAACGCTCGGGGAAGGCCTTGTCCAAGCCTCGTCTGCGGACAGTGTCTGGTCACCACCGGATGTTGTCGATGGTGAAGATGTGATCGCAGAGATTCAGAGCCTGTACAATAGATGTACGATGCGTCTCAAGGCCGGTGCTAGAGACACCCTGATAGAGCCGAAGAAGTCGATCTGGTCGCGATCGTCAATAGCTATTGCACGCGAGCACCCCACTTACAGCTATACTCATATCGGTTGTTACCCACCAAGAGATGAACGGTTAGTCTCGCGGGATCTAGGCTAGTCTCGTCAGCATTGGGCGTCCAGTTGATCATCTTACCATGCGCGGATGTCCTTGACGGTTTCCTGCTGTCCGTGGATCGCCTTTTCTCGGGTGCCTATCGATATCATTAGTAGTGGTACTTTCGAGAGTCGAGACCAGTTCGATACGTCGTGATGCGACGCGACGAAGGACTCGGACATAGGTCCCTTGCTGAGAACATTCGAGTAGCAGGGCGGCCACCTCGGTACTACGGACCATACGCTGACGAAGTACTTGGCAAGTTCCGATGGAGAGGTGAATTGGAACGAAGCGCGTACTACTTAGTTGTGGCCGAAGCTGCCACGCGGAGGATGCGCAGGTGCGCAGCGCAGCGACTTGGAGTGCAGCTGTCCCTGGTCGTGCCAGTGGCCCAGATCGGGGCGAGGTGCAGCCGTCCAGATTGAACGTACAGAGCTCTTCCTGTCGCGCTCTCACCTGCAGCTCAGCTCTCGTGTCAAAGCCAAAGCAGTCCCACTCAGCATGCGAGGATTCGCCAGGAGGGTGCACGGTAGGTTCGACACAAACCCCTCACGTGTGAGGCCGTGTGGAGGGTCTTGGTATGAGACTAGGGTGCACGGTGCACTGCAGTGCGTTGTGCCTAGGATAGGACGTCACGCGCACGTGATAGTGACTTGTCACGCTTCCTCACCTCTCCCACCCGTCGTCGTCGTCGTCGCAGGACTCGAGATCGTCGTCGCCGCCCGGGCGCATCCAGTCGCTCACATCCTCAGAACCCTCCACAACGCCACCCCATTCTCCGTGAACCCATCTACTTCCGCTACGTCCGGAGCCTGGTTTCATCGACTGTGCAGTACTTGTCGTCCGCTCTCTTGTCTTCTCTCCTTCCTCCGCCTCCAACATGGGCGTACAATTCGGATCCTTCGACGAGATATGCCAAACAGCGGCACTCGTCATCTGTCCTCTAGTGGGTTCAGATCAAGGGATAGAACCAACATGCTACAGCCGTAACGTGGAGCTCTCAGGGACGCTCGTTTTCCAGCCTGGTACGTCTCTTGTCGTACTTGCTAATATAGAGGTGTCTCTACACCGACTATCCGGCACGTCCAGTACGAAGAACTAAAGGCCGTCTTTAGCTACTCTATGTATTCACGTCGCAGCAATCATCATGACCGCCATTATGATCTTCCACATCCGGAGCAAGTACACGGCAATTGGTGTGTTTCATTGTCAGTGCTTTTTGCGCATTCACTCACGATTCCGTACCAGGTCGGAAGGAAATTCTTCACTTCTTCTACCTTTATGCCATAGTCGAGTTGCTGGGGCTGTTCCTAGACTCGGGTATTATCCCAACGTCGAACGTCAGCTATCCTGTGAGTACTTCGTCTGTGAATATGATACATGTTGTGACCGTCTTGCGCATGTCCAGTGGTTTGCGGCCGTGTATACAGGCTTCGTCGCGGCGCTATACGTTGCCCTTCTCGTCAACGGTTTCGTCGGGTTCCAGTTCGCAGAGGATGGCACACCACTGTCGTTATGGGTAAGTCGTAATAGTTGGTACTTTATTTCCAACTGAGGTCACTGACCTTTGTACAGCTTCTCAGAGGTTGCATGCTCGTCGTCTTCGCCGTCTGCTTCTTCGTCGCCATCGCGACCTTCAAGAAGTTCGCTAGCTTCAACTACGCAAAGCCGATCGGCCTGTGGATCATCTACATCCTTTGGCCACTGATTTGCGTCATAGTATACACCATCTCGCAGCTCATGCTCGTCCTGCAGACGTTGGAGGATCGCTGGCCCATTGGCGACATCGTCTTCGGCGTCGCGTTCTTCACGATTGGGCAGGTCCTTCTGTTCGCGTTCAGCGTGACGATCTGCAACGCGATCAAGCACTACATCGACGGGCTGTTCTTCTTCACCCTCTGCATGCTCCTTAGCGTCATGATGGTCTACAAATACTGGGACAGCATCACGGTACGTACTCCGTCTTTGGGGCAATTCGATGGTATGGGTCTGATCTGATCTGGTACAGCGCGAGGATCTCGAGTTCTCTGTGGGCTCCAAGGCGACGGTATGGGAGGTCAAAGACCCTCTGCTCGCGAACGGAGATTATGACGACGATGTCAGCAACTACCACGGCGGCGGCGGCAACACTGCCAGCTTGATCGGTGGCGTCAGCGGCAAGCAGCTGTACGGGATGCAGGGCGGCCGTGGCTATCCGCCACCGCCAGAGAGATTCTGAGTGGGTCCGGACAGTCGTGTAGCCATTCGTTCGTAGGACGCTTTCGCATTCCATTACCTTAGCATACCGTGTATCCTGTTACTTTACCAGCATGGACGACTGAAATCATCAGCCGTAGGGAACATTTGCCGCGGTCCCGGAAGAGCAGTACTGGAGACAAAACATTGCCTGGGACTGTAAATTTATTATTCCGTGGACTATTCCAAGACTAATTCCAAGACAGCTGAGTCCGTACGCCGTCTTATACATCGCAAACTATGCACACAGGGCTAGTGTGGCTTGTTCCACAACGCATCACGCGGAGCACTTCACAAAGCATTCGGATGAACTGCTTGCATTTCAAGACTACATACAGTACATCCAATAGATCACTACAACCAAGGCAATCTCCTGCCAAAGCGAACCACCCATCCGTAGCCACAAACTCGAAACCTCAAAAGAGAGGAGGGGTTTTCCAAAAATTGCGGAAGGCCGAAGCCAACCGACGTGTTCGGATGTGTAATTTGCAATCAGCAAAAGACTGTGCCTCGGTATGGACCTCACTGGCGACAGTACGTGCCCGAGCACAAGAATGAGTTGTGCACACGCGCGGCGCCCTCTTATATACTGTGTGAGTTTAGGGCAGGCTAGAGCGTGGGAGTTGGCGCCTGTGTGCCTGCCCAACGCATTGAACTTGATGACTGGAAGCGGTCCTGGCTGCGGCACTGCCGGATATTCTCTATTGTACTCCAATTGTAATCTGCAGCTCGCCTGCGGAGGGAGGCTATGCACTGTTATGCCATACATGGATCACAACGAAGTGCTGAAGTGGGATGTCTGTCTAGATGCTCGGCGAGGTAGTCTACCGTTACGTCGCTAAAGACTGCGCTTTACCGTTTTACAGGAAATCGGCACTCCAACCCCATCTGCGCGACCCTCCGGATCTCTTCCTCAGAGAGACCGAGTCCTAGAGGCGGCGCCGCCATGAGCAAGGCGTACTCCCCTAAGAGAGAGTTCCGGAACGGTAGGATATCGTCCGTCTGCGGGTGTGACTCGGTCAGATTGCGTTTGCAGCTGCATGCGTGCTCGAGACACTCACGCAAATGGCGATAGGATGGTTGTGCCGGAGGTAATATCGGATATGGTGTACGTCGAGGTTGTCGACGGTCTTGCAGAGCAGATTGGACGAGAGGCAGATCTCTATGCAGCTATTGGAATTGCGCACAAGCTCTTTCGACGTCTCGTCGAGGAAGGTTGCGTGTCCTAATCGGTCCGGCTCGTAGGACAGAAGCTGTTGAATCTCCTCGGCTGGTGTCTCTGGAATCTGTGCAAGTTGAGCAGCGATCCGCATGTACAAGTAGCGCTGTTCGTACCTCCGCGATGTGTGTAGTTACACCTAAACCAGCGGTCTTGGCCTTCCTAAACTGAGCCTCGAAGTTAGCCACATTGCCCGCCTACGAAATTTCTCATGTCAGCGCGTCAACATGTGGTCTTCGTCGCTGCTGACCTTGACGTCCCCGCAGAGGTCCACACCGACCACTCTCCTTCCGGCATCCCTCAGCTTAATCGCACAGTCTACGCACTCGGAAGCGACCTCAGGTGTCATCCGTCTATCCATACTGATGATGAGTGCAGCCTGCTCCTCGCCAAAATTCTCGACCTCGTCCAATATGACTTCAAGGTATTGTAGACGGCTCATCGCAGGGGTCTCCCGAGGTGTCGATCGAAGCTCGAGATATGCTGCCTCGGGTGAACCGTCATCTGAGGGAGACAGGAATTGGTGCAGTACTGCGCGCGCCGCCTTAGCGAGAGATTGAGGAGTGGAAGTCAGGGTGTATATAGCTGGGAAGAGTCCGAAGAAATCGTGAATCTCCGTGAATACAACTCCCTGGCTGAGCCGGTCGATACCCGCGCGAACGGCCTCAGCGTTGGCGTCGTCATGGGATTGTTGATCCCGGAGGTAGTCTCCCGAGAGGTCCTGGAGCACCGAAAGCGGTATCGACCCATTGAGGTGAGCATGTAGCTCAGCCTTTGGGAGGCTGCGCAGGAACTCGATCTGCTTGGGGGTGAGGCTGGCAAGTGCTGCTGCCGCAAACCCCGCGATACCGTGACTGGACATGTCGCTAAAAACCGGGGAGTCAGTGCTTGCGCTCTTCAACAAGATGCGGCAAAGTCGACCTCGAGTCAAGCACTCGAGGAGTGATCGGGAGACGTGCAGGCGATCGAGTCGGATCTGTGTGGTCGAGGGTCATCAGCGAGAAAATGATCACATTCAGGCTGCATATTGGGTCGCTACCAAGTTTCAGGCCGGGAAACGGCGTTGTTGGGGGTAAGAGGTCTGTATTCGTCGGTGTGCGGGTGCAAGAGTAGCTCAAGAATGAGTAAGTAGGGCCTATGGGCGCCTCGCCGTCTGATCTTGATCGAACTCATATCGAGATTCGTGGACACGTGGATCCGCAACGCGCACCCACAGCGCTGGTGCCGTCGGTGGCTGTGGCTGCTCGCCATACTCTGCACCGGCAATGATCGGACCAGACATCCCCTCTCACCTACCCGCCTCCTCTTCTGCTCGTTCGACGACCTCTGAACGAGACTCAGAGGACAGCGAGACTCATGGCGCATCAGCAATAGGTCCTGCCATACCGACGCACTTGCTTGCGGGGCCCTCCGCTAGGTCTGATGGCGAGACCGAGGAGTACGGTCCCGTATCAGTAGGGCCTACGATACCTCCTGGTGCTGCCTTTCGGTCACAGCCGCTCAAACCTCAGCATCCACCGCAAGATGAAAGCGAAGAGGAAGATGACTACGTGCCTGCGCTACCTCCAGACATGCTGGCGTCGCGCGGAGCCGGACCTACTTCTGGAGCTAAGACGATTGAAAACAAGAGAGTAGTTGGTCCTGCGCTTCCACCGCATCTGGCTGGCCGGAAGACATTCTACGACGAAGACGAAGATGACGATGACTATGGTCCTGCACCGCTGCCTTCGGGCTTCGCTTCAAAGGAGAAGAGCGGCGTGGAAGAGTTCCTGGAAAGAGAGGAGAGAAGGAAGAAACAACTCGAGGTGAGCATCATTTCGTACTGTATAAGAGCACAGTTGGCGGGCTACTCTGAAAGCTCAGGCACAGTCGGCGTGTAGGACAACATTTGCACCGAGCGCAGTTACTTGTATGTCCATCTGTGCTTCGTCTGCTATTCTCGATAGCTGCGTACAGCTGGCTCAGTATATTTAAACCCATTCTGGTTTGAGCACGTCTCGCGTCGCTCGCCGATCTTGTGCTTCATAACACACCAACTTAATGATTCTGAGACCGACTGATTGTTGTGGCAATCTCACAGGAAGCGAGCAAGCCCAAGGCGTTGCAAAGAGAGGAATGGATGCTCGTCCCTCCGTCTCAGTCCGACCTCCTAGGCTGTGAGTGCCAGTCTCCTACAGCAGGCTTCCACTGACCCCCGCTACTCAGCAATCGACCCTATCCGGGTCAAGAGGCCGCGCAAATTCGCAGCGACTGCACAAACACCTCGCGATGCTGATGCCTCACTGTGGACCGAGACACCGGCCGAGCGACAGCAACGTATCGCAGACGAGGTCGCAGGCAAGCGGCGCCGTGCGACGGATGCCAGCGGGTCGAATCTGGATCCGGAAGAAGAGCGGGAACTAAGGAAGAAGAGGAGGTATGAAGAGGAAGTTAGGAGAGGCGTGGAGGAACATACGGTGGGTCTCTACTCCATTGTATGTGGACCATTGATCTCAAACGTGCCTCAGAGGAAAGTCCGTGGCGGAACGTTGCTCGATCAGCATGCCCGGACGACGGTCAGCAAGAACAAAGACGAGGAGGAGGGCCCTCCTGTCATTTGGGACCACAGCAGAGATATGGCGTTGTCTGGGAGACTCATGGACGACCGGTCGCGCGACAAGTTCGTTAAAGAGGCGAGGGGCTTGGGAGACAGGTTCGGGTCTGGGAAGAGCGGTGGTTTCTTGTAGATAGCCCAGTGTATACTCAGCACATACTCTGCTGTATCTGGTCTCGACGCACATCCAAGCAATAATGTACAGTATACATAGTAGTCTCAATACCCGCATGAGACTGCTGGAATTATCTTCATGCACACCGTACTGTCTCCGGGACCCCGGGCCGCCGATCCCGATCCCGCGTCATGTCCGGAGAGCTGAGCGAGCTGCCCTCACTTCGCTCTCGCCGACGACGACCGTCGCAGGCAGACTCATCCACGATGACGGACGTCTTCACGCTCCTGAGCCTCCCGAAGACCTCCAAGGCGTTCAACGCGCTCCCCGCAGTCGGGGCCAGCGAGCGAGAGGGGTCCGCGTCTCCTCTCCACAAGGTACCCCGTCTGGACCGCGACTCTGACTCTGCTTCTGCATCTAGGTCGCGCGCCGGGGCAGCGGATGCGGGTGGGCGTATTACGATCAAGATATCGGGGACGCCTAGTGCGTGTTTCAGTTGCTTGAGGTTGTGGTGGAGCAGCTGATCGGTGTTGCAGTCAAACCGCCGACTGTGACTGGCAGGCCTGGCGACAAGGACTTCGCCCTCGTCACCAGGAGCGTCCGCGCCCTCCTAGACAAGCAGAACAAAGATGGCTTACCCGTTGCCTATGAGTACATATACAGAGCGTGCCGCTCCGCCGTGGACGTGTACAACCGCGGCGAGGGCCTCTACGAGAACGTCAAGCTCGAGCTGGAGAAGTGTGTCGGCAGCCTGGCGAAGGAGCTCCTGCAGAACACGGCCGGGAAGGTCGAGTGGTTGCTGGATTTCAACGAGATTTGCGCTTGGTTCGACAAGCAAACAGTAGGATCTTGTGTGTCGTGCTCGGACGTCGGTCGCGTGCTGACCTCTAACGAAGGCTATCCTCCAATCGGTCCTCACGTACCTGGACAGAGTCTACCTTGTCCGGAAGAAGGACAGTCCTAGCATCAAGTAAGTTGCACTGGGCCTCTTACGCGTGTGCGTTCCCGCTCACTTCCCCCAGACGTCTGGTGTTCAATCTCTTCGCGGAACGCATATTTGAGAATTCCAGCATAGTGGAGCGCCTGCACGCGGGGATCAAGGCCTGGCTTGAGTGGGAACGCAAGGATAGGTAGCGATCGCTTTGTTCGTCGTCTCTGAGGGTGTTTCTTAACATTATCCACAGGACTGCACACAAACTACGCCAGCACATCCCCGCCCTCGTACGGCACCTCTCGAACCATCGCCAATACACCCCGATCTTCGAAGACTTCGTCCTCGACATCACGAAGACCTACTACGAAGCGGAATCCACAGAGCGCACCGAGGCTTTACGCGGTGACGCGCGCGATTTCCTCAAGCACTGCGAGGCACGGTGCAGAGAAGAAGACCAGCGTGCGAAGGCTGTCTTGCCGGAGTCGAGTTTGCATGAGATTTTGAAGACCACGGACAAGGCGCTCTTGACTGGCAGGCTGGACTGGCTTGCGAAGGATGGTGCGTTAGGTTTTGGCGTGTAGCTGCGTGATGGGATACTGACGTCCGGCAGCGCTGGGCCGACTCATGAACGACAAGGCTGCGCAGAAGCTGGGGATCATGTACCGGCTCTTCGCTCGTGTTGAAGGGCAGAAGGTGCTTTGTGCTGCGTTCAAGTTGCACGTTCAGGTGCGTCGTCGCGAAGGTACTGATGCACGCATGTGTCTGACTTGTCAAATAGAACACTGTCAAGGATATCGTGAAAAACCAGGAGCGCGACGAGGAGATGGTCCAGAGACTGCTCGACTTCAAGGCGTTCTGCGACAGGCTCTGCACCGAGGCCTTCGTGGACATCGTCAAGGAAGGTCCTCGCGACACGTCCAAGCCCGCCGCCGCCCCTGCCAAACGTGGCTCCTCGTCCACTTCCACCGAACCCATCACTATGAAGGTCCCGAACAAGGACTTCAGCTACGCGGTGATCGACGCGTTTGCGCTTGGGTTCAAGGCCCGCAGGAACAAGCCTGCGGAGATGATCGCGAAGTACCTCGACCGCGCTATGCGCAAGGGACAGAAGGGCAAGCGCGACGAGGAGTTCCAGGCGGAGCTCGACGCCGCGTTGGGGCTGTATAGGTTCACGGACGACAAGGATGTGTTCCGGACGTTCTACCACCGGGCGTTGGCGAAAAGGCTGCTGTTGGAGAGGAGCGCGAGTGATGATTTCGAGAAGGCGATGCTGAAGAGGTTGAAGGAGGGTGAGTGTCTGCGCGACTTGCGTCCCTGTTCTGTTCATTGACTGTCCGCAGAATATGACCCGGAGTTCAGCATGGGCGACCACATGTTCAACGATCTTGCGCTGTCGAGGGACCTCATGCGGGAATACAACGAGCAGCGTACGAGGCTTGGATACGGAGAAGCGATGCAGAAGCTCTCCGTTATGGTCCTGCAGCGGAGCTTCTGGCCGTTCGCCGCGAGAAAACACGACGTCGATTTACCACCGACGGTGAGTGTCCTGGTATTTCTCCGGTAACAACCTATGTGTCTGACCACTTTCGCAGATGCAAGATGAGCTCACCAAATACATGACGTTCTACAAGAGCAAGCACTCGGGTCGTAAGCTTGACTGGGACCACGCTCTCGGGACGGCGACGATCAAGGCGAGGTTCACGAACGGCGGCAAGGAACTGTCGGTCAGTTTGTACCAGGGCATTGTCTTGCTGCTTTTCAACGAGAGCACGGAGCTGTCGTTCAAGGAGATTCAAGAGCAGACGCGGATGGGTAAGCGTTCATCCAGGCTTCGTCTCCCGCGTTACGCAGGCCATTATTGCTCACGGACGGATGAAAGATGATGCTGAGCTGCGGCGGACCCTGCAGAGCCTTGCGCTTGGGAAGAAACGCGTGCTACGCAAGGCGCCCATGGGCAAGGAGGTCGACGACGACGATGTCTTCCATTTCAACGCGGACTTTACTGATCCGCGCTATCAAGTCCACATCAACTCCATTCAGGTGAAGGAGACGGTGCGTATACGTAAAGCACTCTGTGGTATGGGCGGCCGTCTCACCTATTCATATCCTCCTCAATGCTTGGCGTCACTCTGTGACACAGGCGGAGGAGAACAGGCGGACGCAGACGGCCATCGAGGGCGACCGGAAGCATGCGCTGGATGCTGCGATCGTGCGTGTGATGAAGGCGCGGAAGGAGCTGCACTACGAGCAGCTGAAGGCGGCGACGATCGACGCAGTGAAGGACCACTTCGTGCCCGAGGTAAGCGTTATCAAGCAGCGCATTGCGAGCTTGGTGGAGCAGGAGTACCTGCGGCGGGACGAGGACGACATGAATTTGTACATCTACGTCGCATAGGCTCACTTTGTCAAGTAGGCTATGGCCTTGTCGTTGAGACTTACACGGATTTGGTGTCCTGTGGCGGCGTTCGACCGTGTACTAATTGACAGAACGTACGACAGAAGCACTCTGTGATATGTAGCCTTGTACTTACCGGCGAGGGCACCGTTGCTGCTCGGGTTCGTCTGTGTCTTGACGATGCAGCAGGGTGGTCTGGAGGGAAGGAAGCAGTGTCGGAGCCGAGGGCAGGTGGTATTTGGTAGCCGGCGGGGGCTGGAAGGCGCTGGGCGGGACGGGGCATGTGTGCAGCAGGCGGCCGAGAAAGGAAAGGAAGGTGACCGCAACACTCTAGCTCGCTTCCCGGACACAAGCTCCTGTGACCAGCCCAAGACCAGCCCGGCCATCTGCACATATGGCTCCTCAACTGATCCACCCCGCCCTCCCCTTCTCTTTTTCTACGCCCCCTCTGTCCTCCCAGCCCCGCCTCCGCCATGTCCCTCTCCTCCCCCGAATCCCTAGCCTCGCCCGCCACCCCGCCCGCCCTGGCGGCGGCCCACGAAGTCTCAGTTATTGCCAGCGAGAGTGCCATCGAGGACAGCCCCGTATGTGTCGGCCAGCGCGTCCGCTTCGAGGCGGACTGCATCCTCATCCCAGACCCGAGCCCCGTCTCGCGCATGCCCCGCCTGGTGACCAAGTCGTACGCCGTCCCCCTCTGGCGCAAACGCAACCAGAGCCAGGAGCCGTCCGCCATCTCAGACTCGGAGACGGACGTGCGCGACGACGAACACGTCGTTTTCAAAGTCTCCGTTCCAAGGTGTGTGGCTGCGTAGAGTCTGTGCGCCGTGCATGGAACTTACGTCCCATGGACGCACAGTATCGCGATCAGGACGCGCTCTCCGTCGCGTTCTGAGTTCGTGCATCGACCCCTGGTTCCCTGCCTCGTACACCATCACCATCATCCGTCTTACCCGTCGGACTCGCCATCTACGTCTGTCTACACGCCGCGCAGACCTTTCCGCGCCGCATCTGTACCATCCTCACCTCGCCCGATCCCGAGCGCCCAGATCGTCACCATCCCGCTCCGCCCTTGCTGCCCGGACTGCGTTCACTCTATGGATGCATGCCTCCGCCAGGGCGCGCACTGGCAGGAGAAGTTCACGCGCGGTGCACTCCACCTCCAGAGGCGTGCATCCAGCTCGGACGCGAGGAGCGACTTCAGTGCACATCGCAGGCTCTACGACACTCTGCCTGGGTTCGACTCTGTCGTTGGTAGCTTGGCCGTGGACGAGGTGGACAAGATCGGTAAGGAGAGGGGTGCGCGCCGCCTGCCAGCGGTACCTTTGGCGGAGATGAACGTCGAAGAAGGTGTTGACGGTGGGCTGCTGCCTAGTCTGTCAAGAAACGCGTCTACATCAAGGTTGCCTGACACTATTGGACGGCGCCCCGCCAAGGCGCCGTTCCACGCGAAGGCGACCTCAGACTCGGAACGGCCGTTCTTCGAGTTGCCAGACTTCTCTCCGGTCGATGAAAAGTTCGCATCTTCCTTGGTCGCGCCAGGTCTCCGCGGTAGATCTGTGGAGGCGCTGGGATCCCCTGCGCTCACCTCTGTTCACGAACGACAAGAGCCGTCGATATACGCACGGTTTCGGACGGACGGACCTATCGCAAGGGGATTGTCTTCGAGTCCCGAGCCGCTGCCACAAAGCATACCGGAACCTATTCAGACGTCCCTCTCGCCTCAGCCGCCTTACGACGAAGTGTATCGTGGACCCTCGAGGAGCCAGCGTCGCCCGTCGCAAACTCAGCGACGGCCTCACCTCCATCTCCCTGCCCCGTCCTCGTTCTTGAAGGTCGGCGCTGAGATGCTGAGAGGCGTGACGATGAGTGCGGGGACGCCGTTGTCTGTGTAAGCATGAGGCTGTACCACGTCTGCCGTACGTTGGCCCTTCGGTGTTCCTCCGCGATGCCCGCCCTCCCCCATTCCTTCCTCGCATCTATCTATCATCGTCAAATTCTCGCATCTTCTGTACCATCATCATCAACAAGCAGGAACGGGTTTGAATAAGCTCAACGCATGGCTGCATTCTTCGTTTGACTGGCGTGTGTTCCCGAACGTCAACCGTGTGGAGGTTGTGCTGGCATTCTGCTGTTGCGGAGGTCTATGTTCGCGTGTCTGTGGGTGGAACCATCACTTTTTGTGTCAGATGACATGGGGTGCTGATCTGCTCGTGGTGTAGGTTCTCTTGATTGTTCGCAACTCACTCAGCATCACCTTCGCGTCGCTGGCATCTCATCTCATTTCTGTCGTGTCAAGTCTCTGGGGGGGAGGGGGATACTGTACTCTGGGTTGTCATCATTAGCATGGACTACGATGTATGTGCACAGTACTGGAGCATCCCAAACCTACATTCGCACAAACGACCACGGAAGCGACGGACCCACATGAACGAGTGGAATTACCCGAAGGGGCTCCTGCGTCCGCGCGTGTGAATGAAACTTGTGACGAGACCGAAGACGTCGCAGACGCGGACGCGGCCATCATAGCGAAGAGGCGATTTGCATTATTATATATTCGCGGCCTCCAACCTGGGGAGGCGGAGGCCGTTTTGGGACTGATCCTCCGCGAACCCATCGGTCCGGGCTTCCAGCGGGTGGCTGGTACGTCCAGACGACTCCAGAGGTACAGCGCAGCCGAAATACAAGCGACCCTTGTTGCGATATCGTGACTACGCAGCGCTGTTATTCTACAGGTGTACCACTAGTACCTAGTGTTCTGTGATTCAGGCGGCGTGAATACTTACAGCATAAGTACGGTGCGGAAGCAGAGCTGATGACGGTGGCGGTCGAGGCGGAGGCGGGTCAACGGAATGCGCGCTAAATGAAATCAGACAGTCCGCGGGCCCGATCCCCACGGGTGCGGTGCGGTACCTAATTTCCGCTGATTTTGCGAGGTTTCCAGCGGGGTGACAACCGGCAAAGCTCAAACGAGCGCGACCGCACACGCTCGCCCGGCAGATGATGATGCGGCCGCGGATGGATCATGGCACGCAGCGTGCAGGAACGGCGAGCGGGTGCGATGCGCGTCGGGCCCTCCCAAGTCTGGCTGGAGAGTTCGATAGTCAGGTTGGCAATACACAGGTTGCAGCGAATTTGTCTGACCAGGGTAGAGGCGGGTGAAGCAATTGGCCAGCGAGGAAGACGTGCCTGCGATGATGACGGGCAGAGCGTACTGGCGCAGCGTGCCCGACGGCCGGCGCTTGGGGAGCGGGTGCTCTGCGCGGGAGCCTGTCGAACAACGTCTCTTGTTTTCTCTCTTCTCTCTGCTCTTTGCCCCTGCCCTTCCCTCCTTGTTCCGTGCGTCCATCTCCCCTCCGTGTCGTGCGCGCTCACCCACACGACACGACCGCCCACCATCAGCCAGAGCGCCAGTTCTGAAGCAGGCGGTTGGCTTCGAACCGTCATCGGCCGCTCTCGTGTCTTTCCTTCTTCTCACAGCCCTCTCCCAGCGTGTCCTTTCCTTTAGCTTATTTCTCTTCATCCTGCACGCGCAGCCATGGGTGCCTGCATGTCCAGCGGTCCCGTAGATGTCTCCGAGGAGGACAAGAAGCGGCACAAAGAGGCTGAGAAGAGTCTCCGAGAGGCGCGTACCACCATGCTCGCGCAGTGCGCCCACCGTGTCACGGCAGCTGACCTCGATTACGTCTCTATAGGCCAAGGCACGGCTGTCCAAGCAGGTCAAGGTGAGCTCGATATGTCCTCGCGCCCGCGTCGCCGTCACCAATGTGCGCCCACCTAGGTGCTCCTGCTCGGCTCCGGAGACTCGGGCAAGTCGACCATCCTGAAGCAGATGCGGCTCATCCACCGCGTCCCCTTCTCGCCGCAGGAGGTCGAGTCGTACCGCCAGCTCGTCTTCAACAACCTCACACATGGCATGAAGTATGTCGTCGACGCCATGGAGGATATGGAGCTCTCGGTCCTCCCCGACAACGAGGACAACGTGCAGATGGTCATTGACGCGGCCGACCTCAAGGACGGCGAGCCATTCCCCACGGAGTACTACGAGCCTCTAAAGACGCTATGGGAGGACCCCAATATACAGAAAGCCTGGGAGCGCGGGAACGAGGCTGCGTTGCCGGACAAGTTGCGTCCACTCCCCTGCCTACTACTCGGGCTAGCTCACACTGATATGTTACATTTTAGTCTGGTGTACTATTTCAGCGACCTCGATCGACTGTTCGACCCTTCGTACACGCCGAATGAGCAGGACATCGTGCAGGCTCGTGCACGGACGATTGGCATCACGGAGACGATGTTCTCGCTCAAGGATCACGAGATGCTCATGGTTGACGTCGGCGGACAGAAGAGCGAGCGACGGAAGTGGATCCACTGCTTCCAAGATGTCACTAGCATTCTGTTCTTGGTCAGTCTCAGTGGATACGATCAATGTCTTGTAGAAGACAGGGACGCGGTAAGTGAATTCTAACCCCGCATATATCCACTGTCCGGGCTGTGCATACTGATTGACGACCGCAGAACCAAATGCAAGACGCCATGACAATCTGGGACTCAATTTGTCATTCGCAATGGTTCAAGAACACATCAATTGTGAGTTCATGAGTAGGCGTTAAGATCGGTTGGCCTAATGCAACGTGTCCTGCAGATCCTGTTCCTCAACAAGAACGATCTGTTCGAGAAGAAGGTCGTACACTCAGATATTCGGAGCTTCTTCCCCGTATGTCATTCAATTGATCTAATTGATCGTAATTGATCGTTCCCACTGCATAACACTGACTGATGTCACGCAGGACTACGACGGTCCATCCGGTGACGCGGCCTCAGGGCGAGAATACTTCAAGAAGCGATTCGCACGGCTAGCACAAAAAGCAAACCAAAAGGAGCGCGAGGTTTACATCCAGTGCGTCATTCAGTCCTTGATCCTTCTTTCCTTGGCGCCTTCTCGTTCTTGCCTTGCTGACTCTCAATCATATGAAAGCACGACGACCGCAACAGATACCGAAATGCTGAGAGTAGTCATGGCCGCAGTAGAAGGTGCGTGCTATTCTGTCATTACCTCCCTGGTTACTGACGTTCGTTTCCAGAGTGAGTGTTTCCTTCTGTTGTCGTCCCCGCAAATCCCCCTTTCGTGCGCTCTTCATTCCCGGCCAAAATGCTTAATGTCCTTCCATCCCCCCTGCATCACATCAGCATCATCCTTCGCCAAAGTCTGCAAACTGCGGCTCTCATCTAGTCTCTTCGCTTTCGCTGCATATTTATACATCCATCATATATCCCGAATCTCTTCATGCACTATGTTCGGTCGGTAGTATGCGCCACCGTCACCTATCCCTTACCGCCCGCTCCTAATGCGCGATTGCGCGGCCTTCAATTTCTTGGCCTCACACTGGATGCACGGAACGGCTCGCTTTCTGCTTTCGCACTGCTTGTGGTTATGTCTTGCTCTTTTCTTTTGGTAATCTCCATACCTATCTTTGGTCACCGTCAACTCATCGTCTCTCTCCTCTTTCTGCCGGATCCATGCACTGCAACACCCAAATCGGAACTCGATTGATTCGATCACACGCGTCTATTCTCGTGCGCTATCGAAAAACGACATTGCCAAACGCGCGGGAACTCGTCACCCTGGGCCCCTTGCGCGCGTTCACACCACCTTACAACCTCCGCCCCCGCCCCCGGGCTCCGTTCCGCCCACCCCGCCTCCAGCACAATCATCAGTAACAATGTGCGTTTTTCGGTTCACACGCCCATGCCTCCTGTCACACTCATGACATGCCCTTGTCCCTTTAGATCCGGGAAATCATGCTATGACAGCATCCGGGTTCGATCTGCGACATCGGGACCATACCCCAGTGTGGCGGCGCGCCGGAACCTGTTCCAAAGAGGAGGCACGCCAGCTCGGGGCGCACTTTATCCTACTACACACGGCACGACCTGGCGGACCGCCGCTCACTATGCACACAATTTCGTCATGTTCTGGTTGGGATGGATGCGTGGATGGGGCCGGACGCTCAGACCGCTTTTGGCTGTACGCTGCAATGTTTTCGCGCTCTGTGCCCGTCAGTTATTACTTACCGTTAACTTGCTTTCTGTCACACATCCTATATGCTATACCTGTACTCTTAATAGGGGCCCGGGTACTTTCGAGGTCCAGGAGAATCTATGCTCACCGTGCCATAATCTGTTATCCGTGCGTCGAAGACTCCTGCCCGACTGCAAGCGATGAGTGACGTCCCTTAGGTATCGTTCCCTGGTCATTGTATGCTGACGAGTCATAGGCATGCGGAACCAAAGGTGGAGACTTCTAGGGCATTCAGGAGGCAAGAAGAGATAAGCCAGTGAGCGGACGTTCTGACAGGGGGCACATACTTACCTCGTTTAGTCCGCTGCCGTTGGTCGATCCACGGATTGCGGAGGCTAGCTCGCCGCCGCCTTCAGTGCTCCGCGACGCGTCGGTAGTGCCTGCTCACCTTTCCAGACGAGTCACTATCCGTCCAGGCGGACAAGAGGCACAAACACCGCAGCTGTTGGTAAGTCTTGCTAGGCTCGCTGAGCGCTGACCTCTGCAAAATTTCGCCCGTAGACCGAACACAATGGCACTGATTGTCGCAAGCATGGATCTCGGGCCTTTGGCAACTTCGATTTGGCGAAAGGAAGGGAAGCTGTCGGCCTTCAAGCTTCAAGGGCTTAGGCGGAGCGCTGGAAGAGGCACACCCGGGTCAACTTCAGATTTCTTCGAGGCGATAAGGTTCTGCGCTTCAGACGGACGGAGTGCATCTATCGTTGCTGGGCGTATCGAGAGGACCATGAGGGAGGATGAAGTTCTGGGGAAGGGCGAAACGTTCTCATGGTGTTATTGACCCCTCTTATATAGGAGCTCCCAGACCAAGCCGGACAAACATGCCGAACATAGGAGCGTCCGCGATATTTGCGACTCCGCGGGGGTGCACCGTTGCACGGGAGAATCCGCCGCACCGTTCCAAATACGCTGAGTTTGGGTGATCCTCGTCTCAAACGCGCTTCAAGGATTGGAGGGCGGCGACGGCCCGCCTTGCGCTCCTACCCCGCACTGAGGCCTGCCGCCGATCGTGACTGGAAGCGGCTCACTGGACTTCTGCCCTTCAGGGACGTCTGCGGGTGGATTGAAACCCCGTACGCATCCCATCGGATAAAATGTCAACTGCCAGATCTTCGGATTCTATCCAGGCCCTCGCAAGCGATGCGAAGACCAGAAGCACACCTTGTGCAAAGATTCTGTTTGGCCCCGTTGAGCCAAAACCCTGCCAATCCTTGCCAACTGCGATCATGTTGCATGTGCAATCCAGATCAGAGCACTTAGTACCACCGTGCTCGGCGTGAGGATCTCCGGAGTCCTTGCGGAATCCTTGTGTGATTCCGAAATGATCCCAAATGCGTTACATGTGGCTACGAAGACATTGTACAACAAGTCAGCGAGTACGATCAGATACCCTGACCGCCAGTGACCTCGAGCGTGTGGCCGGAGACATAGGACGCGAGCGGAGACGCAAGGCTGAGTGGCAAGAAGCATCAATGTTTGATCGAGCTGACGAAAGGGTCATCAAAACACTCACAAGAGCATTGCGGCTGCGGCCTCGTCTGGTGTCGCTGCGCGTCCGAGGGGGATTGCCGACGTCCCAGAGGACGTGCCCTGCGCCTTCGGGATACCGAGGGCGACCTTCTTCCCCTCGATCTCGATGCTCGCGCCCTCCTCCTTCGCCTGGGTCAGCCTGTCATCGGTCCGGTCTCAGTTGAGCATGTTGCGCAGCGCTGATGGCGGGATGCACGTACCGCGTCTGGACGAAGCCAAATGCGATGGTGTTGGCGCGAACGCCGAACAGCCCCCATTCTTTGCAGATGGTCTTGGTCATCCCAATGACGCCCGATTTGGCAGCCGCATAGTTGATTTGACCGACACTGCCGTGCAGACCAGAGACAGAAGAGACGTTAACTATAGAACGGTTCTCGGTGTTGCCCTAGAGTTTCAGTCAGGTGAGAAAGACTTCTCAGGGTTCACCTGGTCACCGCGGAACTGACCTTGATACGCATGTAGGGAGCAGCGGCACGCACGAGCCTGAACGGCGCGCGAACGTGCACTTTGATGATGATGTCGAACGCATCGTCAGGCGTTGTGTGCAGCATGCGGTCATAGGTGAAGCCGGCGTTGTTCACGATGTGGTTGAGCTTGCCATATTTCCTGTGAACGCAAGGGAATGAGCGTGCGAGGTGCGCCAGGTGGGGAAGTCACACACTTGATGGTAGCGTCCAGGACCTTCTGCGGGAAGTCGTCCGCACCAACGTCCCCACCGACTGCAATGGCGTCCCCGCCTGCAGCCTTGATCTCGTCTACGACGACCTGCGCTTTCTTCTCGTCCAAGCTATGAATGTGACATCACGTGATTCGGTACAGAGGATGGGAGCATGTCGGCGACGCTTGTGAGAACTCGACAAGTCGAATGAATGTTTGGAACGCACTCGCTTACGACGACCTTCGCTCCCTCCTTCGCGAACAATAGCGCGGCACTGCGCCCGATACCCTAGAAGGAACTTTGGTCAAACAATCACGGCCACCCTATTCCTGTCGCAGACGTACTTGTGCTGCACCTGCATACGAGAGTACATTGTTAGCTCACCGGTCACAGACGTTTCGCCGACTTCAATGCGCCGATTGAATGTGTCGCGCAGCATGAAGGTGAACCCACCTGTGATGATCGCGACCTCGCCCGCGAGAAGACCCCGCCCGTACGTGTTCGTAAGGTGTCCAGAAACTTGCGCAAGACGGTCGGCCATTGTTCACGGTAGAAACGAGGACGCAGAGGATGGTGAGAGTAGGGTGGAAGGATGGGAAGCCCGTGTGCGCCGGGAGAGCTCAGCTGCCCGACATCTTGTCCGGGATGGGAAATCATGTGCGAACGCGCGGGCACGTCCGTGCACGCCGTCCGACCGAGCATCTCGCTCCTGTCTGCTTGAATCACACAACTCGCCCATTTGGCCTCATGATTATTTCCCGCCTTGAGGACGCTTCGACGCCGGTGCATTTGACCCCTGCCCCGCTTCACGCTCTCAGGGTATCAATCCAATAACCAATGGGTAAGACGGTAACATCGCCCGGCCGGAGGGTACCCTTGGGGGAGGCACGAGTGCAAACCCGGGTCATCACTTGACCATACTGGCCATCGTGCGCTCGTCTACGTACTCGGGCATCGGTGTGAGGAACATCGCTGACATTCTTCTCTTGGGAGGACCGCAGCTTGCGCGTGATTGTTGCCTACGTATGTACACATCGCACCTCGATTTCTAGGTCGCCGGACTGCAGGCATGATCCAAATATCAAATGCGCGCACACACAAGTATACAGCGGAATTGGCCCATTCGCCTAGTAGCGGGCGCGCCAGTGTAGTCTGCATTCCTTCGTCATTCTCGCAACCATCTACGTAGAAGACAGCAACTACAACGCAACGGCCAAGCGACCCATTGCTACTGCGCGCAACATGCATCAGCTCCCGGACGAGCCCACGTCGACCAGCAGTTATCGCGGCTGATGAAGACATATGGTAAACGGGCTCTTCATCACGCACCCTCGATGAACGTCGGTTGGTAGAATTTCCCCCACAACGGTTGGGGCTTGGAGAGTTGGAGGTCGCCATATTGCAGTGACGGGAGGTCCTGCAGGGTTGCTGACTCGGCGGACTTGCCCTATGTTGATGCGGAATCCTCCGCACAAGTATGCAGCGACTCCAAATGGCTTGGCCTTCATCCAGGTATTTCTGAGTCGTCAGGCAGGTCTACATCGTCCAGCATCGTGCGCAGAACGGTTGATACTTGTTCATATAGGCTTTCTGGACGCAGGAAGGAGATGCCATTCATTTGAGTCCGTCGGATGGAAGTACGGCATAGGGTACGTACTTGCTCGGGCGACGGCTCGCGCATACTCCGCATTCGCCTCTACTATCTCGTTCTCCAGTTCTTGGAGGCGATTAGCCTGGTACAGCAGCGCACATCAGGCGAAATTCGACTGCACGTAGCTGAGAGTGCGGTCTCACCTGCACCTCTTCGGGCTCCGGCTCTGGTAAGGATTGTATGAGATAGTCGACCTGTTTGGCTTTCACGACAAGGTCATTAACAAGCTCCCGCTTGTTGGCTATATCCAAGTTGAGAATCAGTACACGGTACATCACCAGCAGGACTCGGAGGCCACCTTCAAGGACCTCGGGCGGATCGAACTTGTCCGCCTTCCTCTGTTTTGTCACAGGTACATCCTGTCCAGCTTGCGCGAAGTTGGCGCGGGACGTGAGGTACGCGATGCTGTTCGACATGATTGTAAGGAGCTACCGAATACAGCACGACGATCCAGAGAACGAGTCAGGAGTTGCGCCACGAGCGAGGAAGCACACGCGAGACTGTGTGTCGCACCTGCTGGATCTCATCTTGCAGTTGTGTGATACGGTCCATATGAGTGAGTTCCTGCAGCATGACGCTGCTCTGGCAGATGGGAGGAGGAGAACGGGGCGAAGCTGAACATCGCGTCTGTGGCTGAACGCCATGAGGCCGGACAAGGCGGCACGTGCAGCGGCAGCGGCGGGGGATGCCGAGGGCGTACTGAACGCCGGTGGCGGCTCGATCGCTTCAGCAGCCCTTGTCTCTGCCCCGTCGGCTTCATAGACCAGCCCTCGTCCACCACATCTCGCTCACCTCCTCCTCCCCTTCCTTGCTCTATCTGCTAGCTCACCATGGGTAATGATGGAGGAAGTATCCCAGACCGCCGGGACCTGGTCAAGAACAAGGCAAAGGTAGATTTGCAAGCATCCCTGCTCTCCAAACAGGTTGCTGACTTCCGTGGTCCAGGCAGAGCAGCCTGACAAAGCCAATCAGACACGCGCGAGGTGGTTCTTTTGTGCACTGTCAAAGGTTCGTCTACATACCCTGTCACATCCCATTTCAGCGAGACTGACAACGACTGACAGCGTCCTCTCGAGGAACCGATCGCCTCCTGTCCATTAGGCAAGCTATACAATAAAGATGCAGTACTAGAGTATCTATTGGACAGGAATGCTTACGGGGACGGCGAAGAGATATGCGGGCATATAAAGTCACTGAAGGTGTGTCATGCGTATTCTCGTCCTACCTCACTCCCTAACCCTGTGTTAGGACCTCAAAGAGCTCAAGCTCACTCGGAACACGGGAAAGTCCTCCGTTTCTGACGGCACTCCAAACGGCGTGGACGGCACAGCCCGCGCGCCGTTCATGTGCCCTCTGAACTACAAGGAGATGAACGGCTCACAGCCCTTCGTCTGCATCTCGACGTGTGGCTGTGTCTTTTCTCTGTCCGGTCTGAAAGCAGTCAGCGGCGCTGCTTCTCCCGGAAACTCTGACGGCCAGCTGGACGCCGACGTGAAGGGCAAGGAGAAGGAGCAGAACGGAGATGGCAAGCAGCTAGACATGTGCCCTCAGTGTGGGGCAAAGTATGACCGTACAGCGGACGTGGTCATGCTCAACCCGCCACCAGCAGAGGAGGAGAAGATGCGGGAGGCAATGGAACGGCGGCGAGCGACGGAGCCGCAGAAGACGAAGGGGAAGAAGCGGAAAGCGAAGGCTCAGGCTGCGGAAGGCGCGAGCGACAAACCTGCGGAAAAGAAGAGGAAGCAGGGGTCGCCCATGCCCAGCACGAATCCGAGTATGGCTGCAGCGAGCAGAGCCGTCGTTCAGAGTCTGGCGGAGGAGGAGGCAAAGCGGAAGGCGACCATGAGTCAGGCGGTCAAGTCCCTCTATGGGCCGTCGACCACTGGCAAGGAGACCTTCATGACTATGGGCACGTTCACTAGGGTGAGTTAGGGCTGCTACTCTCTGTTGTCTGTACGCTGACATGCTCGTTGCCAGTATGCTTGATGTAGGGCTTCGCTTCGGACTTGTACACCATTGTATACTATACGCTCATTCCCACCGCTGTTGGAACGGATAACGTTAGTTGGTCCGAGAGTTCGAGGTGTGTGGGCGAGTGCCATTCGTGTCAGTGAAAGGTTACCAGCGCTCATGAGGATTACTGACCGCACATTTCATACCTCTAGTCTACAAGTCATAGCCTGTACCTAGGCGTCCTACGATACACGCTGTGTACTACACCGTCGGTTGGTCAATCGTTGCCCGTGACAATTTCCATCGCAGAGTTGGGTCTTGTGGCCACGCCAGTCCAGCCAGTCCAAGCAGTTGAGATGTGTCGTTCGCCATCAATTGGTTCTGCCAATGGCCGGCTCGCGAACTCGAGTGGATGTCAGGTTCGCAACGCAGCGGATCGATACCAGGGACGAGGGAGATGGCTCGGTCAGCTTGCGATGTGACTTGGAATTGAATCAACGACGTATGGTCGCTTTACACCCCGAAGCGAATCAGCTTTCGACACCTACGTGCACGTCCTATTATTGTTCAAGGTCATCCGCTGCAGTTGTGTTGACACTCAAGACTGCGTTTGAACGTTTCCGAGCTGCTTGGAGTCTTTCTGCCATCCGTGGACGCCGGAATATGTGTTACGTCCGAAGGCATGTCGTACTATGATCCTCCTGCTCCAAAGTCTCGCTCGGATGGACTGGCATCGTGCTGGCCACGATGGTGGCTCATGACTTCGGTGACGCCTTTGCCGACACTCACTCCCCCAGGACCTACAGAAGTTTTGAACGAATGGCAAGAACTGGATCTTATGATCCTGAGAAGTATGGGCGAGCGAAGGGTTTGATGGGCCATTTTTCCAGCAACGAGGGATTATTGGACTTAGCTGGGCATTCTGAATTCGCTGGACAAGCGATCGTCGCAGCCGGCGCGCGACGTCACCGCGCTGTGGCTGCAGCTGGGCGCCACCGGCTTTCGTGCATTCCACTGTGTAGTACTGCTGCACCGTCACACTCGCCTCCCCCATCCTAGTTCTACGATACATCAAAATTTCGGTCCAACACACAGGGCTGGGAGACGCATGCATTCATGCTCACAGCGCAGCGCATATTCCGTTTGCAGGCACAACCTCTGCGCCGTGCTCTAGGTTCTAACCTGACCAGCGCATCGTTCGCGCGCCCTCGGTATGCCGTACTATCCAGTACAACCCGGAAATGTCAACATAGGCTCTACTCCTCCGAGCCACCAAAATTCTCAGGAGAGGGGAAACAACAACGAAGTGACCGAGCACCTCTACATCGTGCGTAAACCTCAGCGTTCTACCAGGGTCGTAGCTGACGGACGACGGTCAGAAAGACTCGCAGACGCGTGGACACAGACCCCAACGAAGTGGTATCCTCTCCCCGTCGCTGTCGGTGCGCTCCTCCTCATCGTCCTACAATATCGCAGGACCCGGAGGAGCGAGAAGGAGGTGCATGTGGACGAGGACGGGCAAGGTGTCGTAAAATTGAAGGGCCCTTGGCAGGTAAGTGTTACTTCTCGGTGTTTCGCAGCCTGTGAAGCCGGATGCCGATATTGTAGCTCGTTTTCACAACTGAGTACTCATGCTGCTGTGCTGCTCCAGGTTCACGTCCTCGGTGCCCTCCCACTCAACAGCCTTTCCCGCGTCTGGGGCTTCCTTAACTCGCTCGAACTCCCCGTCTGGTTCCGTCCATTCGGCTTCAAGCTCTACTCCTGGACCTTCGGCTGCAACCTCGACGAAATCAACCCGCCCGACCTCACACAATATGCAAGTCTCGGCGAGTTCTTCTACAGGAAGCTCAAACCCGGCGCTCGGCCTGTAGCTGACACCGTCCTCGTACGCCGCTGTGCTCCTGTCCTGCGTAAACCCTGAGACTGACATCCCGCCGCGGCTGCGTGCAGGTGAGCCCCGCCGACGGACGCGTGCTGCACTACGGCGTGATCCGCGACGGGCGCGTCGAGCAAATCAAGGGCGCGACCTACTCTCTCGACGCCCTCCTCGGCGTCGAGCGCCCCGGCTTGCCTCCGCCCGCGAACGTCGAGTTCCATCCGCGCGACCAAGCGGAGGTGCTCGACCGCGACTTCGCCGACATCAACGGCATCCAGTACAGCCTGCACGACTTCCTCGGCACGCCGCGCCCACCCACGGCGGAAGGCGCGCCGCAGCAGGAGCAGAAGGAGCAGAAGCCGGTGCCGACGAAGCACGGCGAGCAGACGGACGCGTCGGTGAGCCCGGACGGGCCCCTCCAGGACGTCGTCGCGCACGAGGCGGGCGTCGCCGCGGAGATGGGCGTGCGCCCGTTCTTGGAGCGCGCGCAGGGCCGTCCCGCGGGGAGCGTGAAGCCGGAGCATGCGCTGTTCTTCACGGTGATATACCTCGCGCCCGGGGACTATCATCGGTTCCATAGCCCGACGGCGTGGGTCGTGGAGAAGAGGCGGCACTTCGTAGGTAAGCACACGGGAGACTCTGTGGGTGAGAGGGGCGAGGGGCTGACTGGCGTTGTTTAGGTGACCTGTTCTCGGTGTCACCGTGGATGGTGGACAAGCTGGCGGACGTGTTTGTGCTGAATGAGCGCGTGGCCCTGCTTGGCAGGTGGAAGTATGGGTTCTTCGGGATGGTCCCCGTCGGCGCGACGAATGTCGGCAGTATCAAAATCAACTTCGACCAGGTGAGGTCTATCGTCAAAATGATTAGAAACCAGCCAGTCAACACAGCTGACACTTTCACTCTTGGAGGCCCTCCGCACGAACGTCGCAACAAGACACCGCCCACCAGTAGGCACCTTCGAGGAGGCGGTCTACACATCCGCTTCTCCCGTCCTCCGCGGCCAACCTCTCTCGAAGGCGCAGGAGATGGGCGGCTTCTACTTAGGGAGCACGATCGTGCTCGTGTTCGAGGCGCCGCAGGACTTCGAGTTCACAGTAGAAGCGGGACAGAAAATCAAGATGGGGGAGAAGCTGGGCGACTTGCACTCCAATCTTACGGAGAAGCAGTAGATGTACTGTCAAATCTAATTCGCACCCGAATCATCTGCAGTTGTGGTGTGTGACTTGAGCACTGGCTGTGTGTATGCACAAGGAAGGAACATCGATAACACGACGATAATAAGTGGTATGAGTATGATACAGATACTGATGTAGCACGAGCGCAGTCCGTTGCACGATGACGATAGAGATATAGGAGCTCGCTCACTTGTGACCGCCCATCAGACACCTTTACACGACGATAGAGCTAAACAAACGAGCAGTCACTACTGCTCCGTCGTCCGGTCCGCGTTGCTCGGCGAACCGACAATGACGCTGCCGTACTGCGGTCCCCCGCCGTTGGCGGGCTTCGGGCTGACGACAAAGTCCCTCGCTATGGTGCCCTCCGGGAGGCGCTGTTCCGCGCCGTCCTGCGGGTCGTGCTCGACGACGTGCACGCCAGCGGCCGCCGCGATGAGCGGCGTGCGCTCGCCGGCGGTGGGGACGGTGGTCTGGCTGTTCGCTCGGCTGGTGCGGCCGCGGTTTTCGATGATTCTGTAGGGGAGGGGATGAGACTCGATTGACCTATAAAGGGAGGAATGAAATACTCACCCGCGCATCGCCTGTGCGTTGAACTGACGCCTGGCGCGGCGTTTGCTGTGGTTGTCCTCGTAGCGGTCAGTCTCGTCGATGATCTCTTCTGAGATGATTTCCTGGTGCACGGCTCATTAGCTGAGGCGACGTTGAAAGGTTAGTTGGCACTCACTTCGATGATATCTGTGGGAATGGTGGCGAACGGTGAGTAGATAGGTGAGTGGGCCAATTGTGCGGATGGGTAGGTGGGTCAGACGGACCTTCGAGGGTTACGACGCCAATGGCGCCGCCCTCCTTGCCTGGCATCGTGCTCAGTAACAGCAAGTGCGCACGGCCCGTCTGGCTGCAATGGCAAGATTATCAGTAGCAAGCGCACCGGCGAAACAGTGGAGACAGACAAGTAGTCAAGTGCCTGGAAGCAATTGATCGATGGGTTCGCCTCGGGCAGGATCGACAGCGGGAACTTCGAGACCGGGAGCGCTTCCTTGGGGTCATACACCGACAGCTGTCAAACTCTTTTTTGTCAGTACGACACCTACTGTGCGCGGTGGTGGAGGAGAACCTTCTTTATCAAAAGCAGCCCCACGAACGCTAGCGGATGGCCGGGAGTGTGCACCGGGATGCGCGAATACCCGCTCCGCAGTCTGGAGCATTGTGAATTCTTACTCTGTGCTGCTGTCAGGGGCACTTACATGAAATCGACCGTGTCGTGGTCGAGGATCCTGTCTGAGCTGATTGTCACAACGTCCTGCAAACGCTCAGTCCGTGAGTTACAGAGTAGGTGCGTGACATCTATCGCCTGACCTGCATCGGGGTCATGAGCTCCTCGACATGCTTGTTATTCAGCTCCAGCACCCCATTCAGGATGCTAATCTCGTCGTCCCGCAGAGGCTCTTCGCCCTGCCGATGGAACGCCAAGAACGACCTGGAGAAGATATAACCTTCAGCCACGCCGAGAGCGCTGCAGACACGGGGGCTCACTTAAGCTCTGCCTTCTTGTACGTGTGCGTGTCGTTGGCACCCAGGATCCAGTCGAGTAGCTTGGCAATCGGATAGGCCACGGGCGCTGCAGTTGCGCAGCTTAAGTACATGACTGGCAAGGTCCTCGTCCCTGACTTACCGAACAGGTACATCATGCCCAGAACGACGGGTGCGCAGGACGCTCCTATTGAAAGGCCGTAGCGCACGCTGGCTGCTTGTGGGATGATTCTAGACCAATCTCAGTGAAATTGAAAATGAGCACGAACAGCAATGTGACTTACTCTCTGCAGATACGACGGCACGAATGCGGGGAGTTAGAGGGGTCATGCAGCTCGAACGCGTTACATACCCGAATATTACTGTGGCATGCGGGAGAAGCGCAAGACCTGGTCAAGAGACTGGTCCGACAAGCATTCGAGGCGGTGCACACTCACCGATCATGGTAGTAGAGATGGCCACCGCAGCAAGACCGCCGCCGAGCTGGACGATGCAATTGAAGTCAAGCCAAGCAGCAGACCGGGAGCACTGCGAAGACTCACGGCACTGTCTAGAAAGATGGGCAAGGTCTCGTTGACGATCTAGGGTCCAAGTGAGAGGGGAATGTGCGGCTCGTGTGCAGCGGCACATACCACGTTACCGAGTAGGAGGACCTGGTAAGGTCAGCATGCGCCGGTGGAGCATTCAGTGCGAGACGTACCACAAGGACCCAGTGGCGACGATGAGTAAGTAGGCTTAGGACTGACAAAGAGTCAGCGAGACGCGGAGACGGTCAGACACAGCGAATACCTTTCTGCGCGTTCTTGCGCTCGACAGGGTCATCTGAGGACGCTGAGAGGACACGGAGGTGCAGCTCGTCGAGGCCCATGAGACCAAGAGTCAGTCTGAGCAGTGCCAGTGAGTTATCAGGAGGATGTATGGGGGTCTGTGTCGCCCACCCTGCAAAAACACCGCCGAGGAGAACGAGGCCGACGCTTCCGATCAGCTTGTACCAAAAGGCGGAGGACCCAGGTTGTTCGCCTTCCTCGTCGGTGGGAAGTTGAGTGGTGGGAGAAGCATGAGCGAGGGTGAAGGCAAGGGCGGCGAAGGAGAGGAGAGAATGGGACAGACGCATGGCCGCCTGGGATGAAGGTGGGTGGCTGAGATGGGAGACGCGCGGGAGTGACGACGCGCAGGTCACGTGTAGCGTGTCACGATCGCTGGGGAATAAATAATATTTGTGGCGGGCGGACAGGCTGGCAGTGAGGGTCGATGCTCGCTCGCTCTCTCCGCCGCGCTCATCTCCTCTCCCTCCCCGCTCGCCGTCGTGCATGTCCAGCTGCGATGGCCGCCGTCCGCTCATCCTCCACAGAACCCGTCCCCGACCGCCCCGAAAAGAGACCCCGTCTGGACAGTGCCGAGCCAGCCATGCACATAGCCGTGGAACCGTCCCCACCGCTTCCAGTTGACTCTGCCGCTGTAGAGGTCGACTCGGGGCCCGCGGACTATGCACGCAACCCTCCTCCCAACTCGCTCCACCCCGCTGCAGAGCCCGCTCAGCCGGAGCCTCAGCAGACAAACCGCCAGCCCTCCACCGCACTCTCAAAGCGAGCAAAAAGAAGAAGAGTGAGGAGCAGCAAGCGGCGCCTACAGGCTGAGCCATTCACCGGCGAATGGATCGTCGCCTACGAGGCTGGCAAGTTACTCGGCAAAGACGTCGTCGAGCAGGCGGTGGCAGAGTCCCGCGACTGGGACCCGCCGTTCGAGGATGTGCGCTCTTGCGTGCTGGAGCTCACTGTCTCCCGTCTGTCGTCTACTGGTATGTCTTGCACCCACCCGTCCGTCTTCAGAGCGGAAATCAATATCACCTCCAGGTGACTCCCTGTCCGTTGCACCCGCGCCCCATAGGCCATGGGTCATCATCACACCCCACGCCATGCCCGGCGAGAAGATCCGCGTCCGCGTCCACCAACATGCGCGCATGTATTCATACGCCGACCTCCTCGAGGTTATTGAGCCCAACCCGGAGTGGAGGGACATGTCCCGCGTGAAGTGTAAGTACTTCGGCAAGTGCGGCGGATGCCAGTTCCAGGTGTGTGCCATGTGTCGCGGTGTATCCTGGGTTGTTCAATTTGCAATGTAGATGCTCTCGTACGAGAAACAGCTCGAGCTAAAGCGCGAAGTCGTCGTCCGAGCATACGAGAGCTTCTCAAGTATGACGCTTCGTTGAATCTCACCGCAATCCGTAGTTAACGACTGGACCTTGGAACAGATCTTCCCTCATCTGCTGTGCCAAAAGTGTCACCCACCATCGGCTCACCCTTGCAGTACAACTACCGCACAAAACTCACTCCCCACTTCGAAGCACCCAAGTACTCCCAAGGCACAGTCCCTCCCATCGGTTTCAATATTGTTAAAACACGCAAAGTCATGGATATTGAGGTAAGGTCAGACGGCGCACGCGAGTTCCAGGTGTTGACGTGCCATGAAGGAATGCCCCATAGCGACAGAACCTATCAATGCGGCGTACAAGCCCCTGCGCGAACAGATCATTGAGTGAGCTGCGGTCTCATTGCCCGAGGAAGCATACTGACTACCGTCTGTGTAGCAACATCTACACGTATAAGAAGGGTGTCTCACTGTGCCTGCGTGATTCATTAGAGCTCACACCCCTTCCAAGCGGTAGTCCCAGTCCGGCTCGTAGACTATCACCCATGCTAGTCCCGCTTGTCGCGCAGCAGAGATCTCCCTCACCTCCACCGTTCCCCACCGCTCCACCCAATGAAAAGCACATCTGCACAACAGACCACAAGGCGACGGTGCGCGAACGCGTCGGCGACAAGATCTTCGAGTTCGGCGCGGGCTCCTTCTTCCAGAACAACAACTCCATCCTCGTCCCCCTCACCTCCTACGTCCGCTCCGCCATCTTCAACGGCCAAGCACCGATCGCCACCAACGCATCTGCCGCGCCGCCCTCGCCCCCACGCCGCGTCCCGACGCACCTCATCGACGCCTACTGCGGCAGCGGCCTCTTCGCGATCACGCTCGCGCAGCGCTTTTACAAGGTCGCCGGCATCGAGATCGCGGCCGAGTCGATCGCGGCTGCGACGCGCAACGCGGAGCTGAACCACCTCCGCCCCGAACAGTGCACGTTCCTCGAGGGCGACGCCGCGGACGTCTTCCGGACCGTCGCGGACTTTCCCCGCGAACGCACCGCGCTCATCATCGACCCCCCGCGCAAGGGCACCGACGACAAATTCATCAGCCAGATGATCGCGTTTGGCTGCGAGACCGTCGTGTATGTGAGCTGCAACGTGCATACGCAGGCGAGGGACGTCGGTATGATTATCAGGAAGAGCGAGCAGAACGGGGTGGGTCCGGACAAGCGGAAATACGTGCTGGAGTCTGTGAGGGGCTTTGACCTCTTCCCGCAAACGGCGCACGTCGAATCTGTAGCTGTGTTACGCCTTGCTTAATCGCATCCTACTTACTACAACAGACTCTAATGTTGGGTCTGGCTTACCGCCATCGCAGCTGGAATCCCAATCCCAGCGGCGTGACCCCAGACAGACACCAGTAATCTACAATTCAGCATCCTTCACTGTAACCCACATCGCGGCGAGAGCTCCTAGTGGTATATCAATTATACAGTCATGGTGTGCGTAAGCTAGGAAACAGCTGGTGGTATCTAACAGTAGTGTATGAGTGACATGCATATGCGGATGGATGCTGGGCGACCAGGGGGGAGAAAGGAATAAAAAGCAAAGGAATGACGCAGGGGCAGTACCTATACAATCACAAAAGTCACATCCTAGAATCGCCGCGGGACCCCCACCAAGCCTTCTATCGACTGGTGCTCGAGGTCGTTCCGCGCCTTCAAAATCGTCGCGTGCATCTCCTTCATCGCATTGCCCAACTTGACACCGAACCTACTGAGGATGTCCCGCTGCCATGCGTCGTACTTGGCGTTCACCCGTGCCTGCACCTGCTCGTAGTCGATGACGCATACGCCAAACGACTTCTGCGTGTCCGACGTGTCGAATGTCGATCGTGCCTTCTTGATCTCCGTTAGCAGTTGTTGCCAATTCGCGAGCGAGTCCCCGAGTCGCGAAAATACGTATTCGGTTTCGAGGTCCCAAAGCGATTGGAACTGTAGCCATTTGGCGACGTATTCCTTCAGTTGCTGAATCTTCTGCTCAATGAGCATGAATGGTCTGTCCAGAGTTGCATCGGTGAAGTGCGTCAACTGTTGAGAGGCTCGCATCAGAGGCACCGCACATGTACTCAATAGCACTCACCAGCGATGTATATGTCGATTCGGTTGTTGTATGACCCTGCATCTGCAGACCGATCTCATAGCGAGAGCTTAGAATTCTCCGCAGACGACACACGACGCCTGAGACCTCTGTGAGCAACAGTATACTTGTTTGAATGGCATGCCTAGTTACCCAGCCAGTCATGCAATTGCCGGATCCAATTCTGCCGTGCATGTTCGATAGGCGGATCCAGGAAGATGACCTGATTTTGAATCCGGATTTCGTGCACGATCGGCTTCAGGGTCAACGTTCCCTCGACAGGCTGACGCACGGCTCAGTAAAATGCGAAGTCAAACGTCAGGGACTGCTCACCTTCTCTTCTTTCACGCGTTTGTCCCCACGACGCTTGTTCGTGATGTCCCTCAATACCAGCGGTTCACGGCGCTCGGTCTCTTCGTTCCGATCGAATTCTGTGCACCAGAGTTGGATGGTCTGGACCAGGCGTTGCAGTAGAATGCCTTCAATGCGTTGGTCTAGCTCAGCCACCCACTGTTCCAGGTTTGCGTATCCCTCGAGGTTGAGTCGATCGATCTAACGAGGGAAATATCAGTATACAAGCTGATTTAAACCGTGGAGCATGCTTACCGCTGCTTGAATCTTGCCAAGGAGCTCAGTAAACGCTTCAGTCGTGTAGGGGCAGGTCGAGAGCTCTTCCACGGCTCGCGTGATGTCTCTGTACAGATCAATGACGTTGTTGGTCTTGTCCTGTGGTGACTGTCAGTACGACATACTGTGTCAAGGAAACAACTTTCCCACCTGCAAGACTGACACGACACTAGCAAACTCTCGGACAAACTGAAGATGTCGATTGTCTTGAGCCTCCCGACTCGAGACGTACCGTGCAGTGTCATATTGGTTGACAAAGTGGTCCCAGCGGATGTTCATGCCTGTACAAATCCTCAGCACGACCGTTCAGCACTCTTGATGCATACTCACCTCGTGTGACCATGCGCTGGGCTTCATTCCGGTACTCAGCAACGAGCCACTCAATGCCCTTGTTGTTCTCGACGAGGTCCAAAGTCTGTCCATACGTCCGAACCGTTTCCATGAGACTGACGGCATGAGGGTACACGCGTTTCGCATCCTTGGCCATGTTCGTGATCGCATGAGGCACCTGGAAGTTCTGCCAAAGCAGATTCCTCACTTCCTTGAAGAGCGTGATGATCTGCGGGTCGAAGTTCACCGCAAGCTGGAACCCGCCTCCACGTAACCGCACGATCTCGAACAACCGGCCGTTGACCCCCATGTCCCGTCGGTTGATGTCGTGCAGCCAGGCATCGTAGACGGGCCTGGTGTCCAGCTTCTTGCGGAATGCTGCGCTCTCCGACTGCAGTTTTTGACCTTCGGCGTAGAGCTCCCAGCCCTTGCCCAAGACGTCCTCCACACGCTTCATGTACGTCTGCAGTTGCCGATCAATTTGGCGAGCCCAGATGATGGCACCGGATATAGGCGGCAGGTCGCGCATCTGCGACATATGGTAGGCTTCTGAGAACCGATATTGCGTCTTGAACTGTGGGAGAGTGAGTCTTAAGCCGTCAACGGACGTGCAATTGGCTGACCTTGTCGTGCAACCGCTTGATATCCTCCTTCACGGAGTCGATCAGCTGCGTCTGGTACTCTTGAATGGCACCACGAATCTGAAGAACACGGTCAGCGAGCTCCTAGTCTAACCACTAAAATCTCCTACCTTTGGCCGCACGAACAAGGCGTTGAACTTGGAGAAGACACGAAACATCTCGTTGGCATTCCGCGCGGTCCCCAAGCGATCGCGCAGACGCGCAATGATTTGGTTCTCGACGCGCGCAACGCGCTCGTTGTATGCGTTCTCTGCTGCTACCCAGATCTCGCTTCCCTCTGTGTAAAGTTAGAGCTTCCGACCGCGATGTGAGTCAGCGTAAGGTTACGCACCGACAGAAACGTCGAGGACGTCAATCCGCTTCATGACCTCGTACGCATCCTTGACCTCCGCCTCCATGTCCACACCACCAATCTCCATACCGACCCCTCCTAGACCCTTCGTGGGGCCCGTCATGACGGCTAGCTGCTCGTGCTGCTTGCGCCAATCCCTGAGGTACCGGCAGCGGTCCTGCAGCTTCGCATGCGCAGGGACGACCTTGATCGGGATGAACCTCTCCATACGCTTCCGGGTGACTTCACGGGCGACGTTGGTGAACTCCTTGATGTTGTCGTCCCATGTCCGGAAGATCTCCATGGTCTGCGCGAGCAGACGCTCGAACGTCTCGTAGGGAGTGTAGAGCAGACGGTGGGAGGTGAGGACTCGGAGGAGCTGGTCGTTGAAATCACGAGAGATCGCTTCGACTAGAGGGAGTGCACGGCGAATAGGATAGGGGGACAGCTTCAGCTTGCGGTTGATGTGGCCGAAGATCAAGACGAGAGCCTCGTTGATCTTGTCGAGGTCAGTGGCAGACAACAGCTCGTTCAGCGGGAAATCTTTCATGAGCTGATTGTACTTGTGGACTGCAGGAAGTGAGGTTCTATGAGAGAGCAATAAATGCGACCCTGCTCACCAGTGTCCGTTGCATCCTTCAATCCTGTATCCGTCATGAAACTGACCGTTGCGTGGAACCGCTTGGCGTTGCGCAAACATTCCATCACTATGCTAACCTCCTCGCTGCGCAGTTGGTTCTCAATACCCTCGAGAGCTCGCTCCAGACTAAGCCAGAAGTTGATTTCCTGGGAGGCCGTACCGGACGAGACGTCTCGCGACAGCTTCGTCACAGTCTGGATAGACTTGATCCATTGGTTCACGTGCGAGTGAAGCGTGTTGAGGAACGTGCTGTCATTCAGAAGCTTTGACGGAATGTCAGAAATGCTCGGTCGCCGACCCTCCGCTCGGGCCTGCTCGACGGTCCTCTGGATGATGGGATGGATGACAAGGTGCGTTTCTGGTATCTCGACGTTCTGCTGTAGATGCAGCAGAGACAATTCCAGTTCCGCGAACTTCTTCTTGGTCATCGGGATACCTAGCTTGTCGTCAGCAACGGCGGCTGCGCATCTGCAGAGCACATACCCATCTTGGAGTCACCGCCGTCTTTCCCTCCATGTCGAGCACCAACAAAGGCCTCGAACCAAGGCTTGACCGCATAGCTGACGACGGAGTGCAAGCTCTCGTACGGCGTGTCTTCCCCACCGAAGAGGTTGAGAATGTGTAGCTGAGTTGCGAGAGGCGTTGTTGGGTCGAGTATGGGCCCCCGCTTCATGATAGCAATAGTCATAACATGGGTGGAGTCGTAAGTCATCTGCGCCGTTAGCTTGTATGTATATGTTGGCGGGGCATCCTCTGCGGGCAATCGTTATACGAACGGAGCGGCGAAGCAATGGGGAGGGCGCACCTTCAGCATCGTCCTTCTTCTTCACGACGTATATCACACCGCCTCCCTCGCCTACAAACCGGTGGATGCGCTCGTCGAACTCGTCATCGAAGAGCGACTCGAGTTCTTCTGGGGATGCGCCGATCATTGGCGGTAACAGGGCGAGTAGGTACGACCGGAAGATAGTGGGGTCAAACGTCGTGGATGCAGGTGCAGGACCGTCTGACAAGCCATCATGAAGGTTCCCATTCCCATTCCCGTTCCCATTGACGTGCGCGACGCCGTTGGGCGTCGAATAGGGCGGTATTGGAGACTCGATTGCGGCCATCGGCTGTGGCGGTTCCTTGGGTGCAAGGGACTCGTTGGATGAGCCGAGTGCAGATGATGGCCGGGACCTGGAAGACGAGCGACTGGACCACGATAGCACGCGAGGCAGCGGCTTGCGGTAACTCGAGAAATAGTGCTGGAGGGGAAACATGTCGGTCAGTGCCTCTCACACCACGGCTGGCAGCGCCTACCTGGGGTTAGTGTGAGAGCCACGCGCTGAGAGGATGGCACGCGCGTGTAGAGGTCTTCGGGTGGGTGAAGAGGGCGGGGGAGGGTGCTGGCGGAGAGCAGCTCGCTGCAGAAAGAGGCAGGTTGGTCGACGCGTAGCGCGAACACACCTGCACCGCCGGCGCTAATCCCAACAAGGCCTCTTTCGGCAACAGCGCGACCTCTTCTCTTCCTCCGTCTCCCACCATGCCTCGCAGACCAAAGGTGCCCCTCGGGCCCTCGCGCCTCTCAAAGGTCCTCGCCATGCTCAAGAAGGAGCCCCGCCCCCAGCTCGACACCATCAAGAGTCTCAAGCTCACGCTGGCGTTCCGAAATGACCACTTCGGGGCGAGGTACGTCGGGCCTCCGAACAGTGCTGTCCTGCTCTGACACTCGTGCGCTCTGTTCACTGCAGGCATTTCGTCAAGGAGGATTTGCGTCGGATACGCTATGTGAACCCAAGCATGGATATCCAAGTGAACAAGATTCCCAAGACTCCAGAAGAGCAATGGCCTCCGGAGATGCAGGTCGAGTTCCGTGAGTGTTACCTCTCCCGCCTCCGTCTATGCCTCATAACTGAAACTCAACTGTAGACAATGGAACAACACAATCAATCAACATGGACAAGAAGTGGTCCTCGGCCATCTTCCAGGAGCTCATGGACATGGCGGGTGGTACTCCTTGGCAGCGGTGGAAGAAGCAGAGGGCAGCGGCCGGTCTACCCGTCATCGACCCCCCTACCCCGAAGGCTCCCAAGCCGGCAAAATCCATCGAGGATCTCTTCCTTGACCCCAATCGGCCACAGACCGGTGCTGCCGCTGTCCTTCCATAGTATCCGACTTGTTCGCCCGTTTATGCTACAGAGTCATCGGTAATAGAGTCCATTGCATGCAAGGTCGGAGCTGCATTAATGTGATTCTACACTGACTGTGTGTCGTTGGAGTCGTGATACAGACATCATTTCAAGTCGCTATTAAAGCCGCGATCCATATGAACAATCCTATCCCGACCAGCAACCCTGCAATATCATCGAGGAATACACTACCAATCTTGAGGTACGCTAAGCCATTCGTGATGATGGATGGAAATGGAGGTGGAAGGTGCGGCAGCGCAAGGGCCAGCAGCATGGGCAGTTGAGGCGCATCCTGGATGGAGACGAATTCAACAGTTGAGTGGGCGGGATACAAGGAACAATACTTACCACTCTAGAGAATATACGCCACGAATGCAGAGCAAGTGTGAGTGCAGTGAATGCCCAGAAGAAAGGCTGAATGAGGTCTGCCTGAGTACAAGGACGCACAAAGACTACCGCCGACTTACCACTGGTTGTACTCCCCAACCATCGCTCGGACTCTTCCACCCTAGCTCTGCCCACCGCCTCCATACGTCATCAGACAGCAGACGATGTGTTCGGCTTTCGAAGGCCTCTGGCTCTCTCCAGAACACGAAGTACATGAGGAGCATCCATGCAGCGGTCAGGTGAACGAATGGCAAGAGTTTCTGTAGACGCGTCTTGGGTTTGGCAGCAGCGACTTTCTGCTGTGGTATGCCGGACATGCCAGGCATGCCACCAGGCTGCGACATGCTGGCCATCATGGCAGCTAGCGGGTCCTCTCCCGGAGCAGTAGAGGGCAAAGACGGGAATGAGCCACCAGCAGCGGCAGCGAAGGCTTCACGGAACTGTCTCATTTGTTCCTCTTGCGCGGGAGGCAACTGTGTGCCAGCGCGTGTGCCGGGGGCCTGTGGTTTCGGTGCAGGGCGGGGAGCAGCCGCTGTCGACGTTGGCGTGGGCCTTGGCATGCTGGTCTCTTCGCCGACGAATCTCTCTAGCGTAGGCCTATTCGTGGGCAGCGGTGCCAGCGGAGGGTCTGGGGGTGGCGTGGCGGATGTGAGACGCGTCGGGGCAGGCCAGCGATGTACACGTACCATCGTGCAGATACGCCGACGCGTCCTCTCCCCGCGCAGACGACGTGAGCCTCGCAAGGCGGTCGCCGCCGCGTGCGAGAATAGCTTTCCTGCGAGCTTCAGCCTTTGCAGCGGCGGAGGACATGGTGGTTTCGAGGAGTGGAGGGGATGCCCGCCACCGCCCTGCAACAGCCACAAACAGCGCCCGTCCTCGCGCATGGTTCGCGTGGACGGTCGCAGGTCCCCCATCTCTAACGTGTCCTTCATCTCCGCCTCCACCATGGGTTCGCGCCAGGACAAGGTCACGACAGAACGCAATGCAAAGACCCTGAGAGAACTCCTCAAGCGGCCAGAGAACAAGGTCTGCGCCGACTGCAAACGCAACGGTGCGTCGCGGTGAGATGTCGGACGCGAGCCCGTACTGACACCTCGCTGCCAGACCCGCGATGGGCCTCCTGGAACGTGTACGCGTTGTCTGACCGCCTCTTTCTGCTGTTCTGACCTATGCACATTGCAGCGGGGTCTTCTTGTGCATTCGTTGCTCGGGGATCCACCGATCCATGGGAACACATATCAGCAAGGTGAAGTCCGTGGATCTCGATGTCTGGACCCCAGAGCAGATGGCAGTACGTAACTTGGTTCCTCTTCCCTTCCGTGGCACTGAGAGAACCACCAAGTCTGTTCAAAAATGGGGTAATCGTCTCGCGAACTTGTACTGGGAAGCCCATCTCAAGCCAGGGCACATTCCGGCCGATCAGTAAGTGACCATCTACTCCGTGCTTCTTGGTAGTAAAGTCTCATGTGTGCTACAGTAAGATGGAGTCCTTCATACGCTCAAAGTACGAATCACGGCGATGGGCAATGGACGGGCCCCCGCCATCAGATCCCTCTACGCTTGATGGCCAGTCCTCTGGCGCCGCGACCACCACCGCGACGTCTGCTGCCCAACAACCATCGCGAACTGCAACCCCTGTCCATTCCAACGTGACGGCGCACTCCTCGAGGGCATCTATCACCAACCGGCAGCCCCAGCCACACCAGCTCTTGAGTACGAGCGTCGCCAACCGCGCACAGCAGAATGCACCAAAGACCGCGCTCCCCGCTCCGGTCGCGCCCCAGGCCCCGACACCACAGGCCCCACCCGCTGCACCGACAGTCTCTAATGATCTGTTCTCTCTGGACTTCCACGCGCCCGCAAGCGCGCCTCCGTCTACCTCCGCGAGCCCAGCACCCAGGAAGGACGTCAAGCAGGACATCCTCTCGCTCTTCTCCACGCCTGTCGCCGCACCTGCGGCGCCTGCTTCTGCAGCATTCGGACAGTTTGCTCAAGCCCCGGTGCAAGCAGGTTGGCCTGGCGCGGCGCAAGCACAAGCAGCTGTAACCAGCATGGTGGGCAACAACGGCGTTGGAATGTGGGGCGCGAACTCGGGGTGGAACCCTGCACAAGTAGCGCCCGCGCAGTCCAACCTTTGGGGGGCCCCAGCAGCTCAACCCGCTATCCCACAGCAGCATAGTTTGTTCACGACGAGCGATGTGTGGGGCTCGTCTGGGGGCACGGGCGCTGGTGCGTCAGGTGGGGATTTGTTTGGTTCTTCGCTGCCGGCGATGCAGAAGAAGGATGACGCGTTTGGCGATATCTGGGGCGGCTTCAAGTAGGATAGTGCTGCTATAGATTGTCCTGTGCACGCTGTGTTATGTCAGTCTCGCTATCACTGGGAAGATTTGGATTGCTCTTCATTTATTTGTGTAATGGTACAGTTAATGTGTGAGGTCGTCCGAACGACATGCCTTCAACCGCCGTGTTGTCGAGCTTATGCCAGACCAAGATCCTGCGCGACAAGGGCTCCATCAGCTATTCCTGCAATGCTACGAGCCATCCCGCACCTTTTCAATCAACCGTCTCGCAATGGGATGGTACGAATCCTTCTTCGCCGTGAAGTACTTCACGGCCAGCTCCCGGTCGACCTTGTAGACGTCCCTGAACACCGGGCGGCAGAACTTCATGCGCCCCTTCACGACGCCCGTGCCGTCCTCGCCCGTCACCCACTTCGCGGCCTCGGGTGCGAGCGCCTTGGCGGCGGACGACTGCGGGTCGAGGAAGGCGACCTCGTAGAAGCGCAGCCGGATCTCGGCGTTCGTCGTCGAGGAGAGCTTGTAGAGATTGCCCATGAACGTGATGTGTGTGCCCGGCAGGGCGGGGTAGGAGTGTAGGCGTTCGAGGAAGACGACTATGGGGATGTTGTGTCAGTGGGCGAACGGTTGTTTCAGGGAAGAGGGAGAGCGCACCGATCTGGTTCGAGCCGAATCCGTCGAGGTCGGACTCCGTGAAAGGCAGGCTCGACACGTCGCTGGTGTGTCGAGAGGCATCCCACTTCGTGGCGAGGGTGTATGCTTGTTCAGCCAGTGTCGTGTCGTACTGCATCTTGACGGGCAGCTCCGTGCCTTCGCCATATAGCCAGGCCTAATGCTTCTGTCAGAACACCAGTGTCGATATGCGAGGCGATGGTGACAATGGCTTACATCCCAGTCGATGCTGTCCAATGCCTTGACCTTGTCTTTGTTGTGCTTCTGGTAGTAAGCGTATAGATGTGACTTCCAGTCGGTGGTGGTGATGCTCTTGCCCAAGTATGTCGCCGCGTAGTCGTAGACGTAAGGGAGGAAGACATCCAGTCCGCCCAGTGTTTGCTCTAGAGATACGTCCGATCATCATTCCTGACAAGTAACCCGAAAACATACCAAGGTGCAGAATCAAGTTCGACCCCTTCTCGTACGGCACCTTGCTGTAGGCATCATCCGGGTCCTCGCCCTTTTCGAAGTCGATCACCAGACGCTGGTACTTGGGCTGGTCCTTGTACAGCTCGAGGTCGTCCTTCAGTGACTTGGCGCCGATGAGGTAGCTGAAGCCGCGCTCGGCGGGCCCGTGCAGGTACTCGAGGATCAGGCGCTCCATGTAGGTCGTCCAGCCTTCGTTCAGCCAGAAGTGGGTCGAGTGTGCTTGGCTGCATGAACGTGAGCAAGCGAGGCGATGGGAGGTTGGGTGGTGATTGTACGTACGTTACGCCGTTTCCGAACCATGAGTGGGAGAGCTCGTGGACTACGACGTCGACCTGCGAAGAAATGAGCCGACGTGTACTAGGAGCGGTGTTATCGCGGCAGACGTACTAGCGAGCGGTCACCGACGAGGAGCGCTGCAGAATTTTGAGTTGGTAACGAGGATATTGGGGAGGACGTAGGAGGTGGATCTCACTCGGTGTAAGGAACGTCAAACACGCATTCTCCTGTTGCCCGGAGCTTGATCAGCGGACTCTACGATGCACGGAGATCACTTACCATGCCACCGTACGGGAACGACGGGGGGAGAACGAGCACATCATATACACCAAACCTGTAAGGCGGCAAGACAGACTCTGCCTTCAGCATGAACCTTGTGCCCAGTGAGTCTGTCGTCACATTGAGCAAACACAAAGGGCTGCGACGCACTTGTTGATGGCTTCCCCAAACTCCCAGTACGCGGAGTCGATGAACTCGGGCTCGGCCCACACGCCCGTCTTCCACTGCTTGCCTTCGATGCTGGGGCACGCGCGGTAGCGGACGTTGCCGGCGGCGATGGCGATCAGGTAGGACGGAATCGGCACTGGCTGGGGATGGGGTAGAATATTAGTTGTTTTTTCTCATTTAGGGCGAGCTGCGTATCGCGTGCCTGCTTGTATGTGTAGGTCACTATGTCCTTGCCAATCTCCTTCCCGTCGTGTGCGGGCCCGTCGGAAGGCGGCGAGACGCGGATGGCGGAGAGGAGGACGGGGATTATGGAGGCTACGTTTGCGGAGTACGTCTTACTGTCTGTATCAGACCATGCGCCCTGTAGCAACACGAGGACTAGAACGCACGATTTTCACGGATGGCGTGTCCTGGAGCGGCGCGAGGCTCCGTGCGTAGATGGGCTGGCACTGGCTGAAGAGGTAGGGGAAGGTTTTGCCTTGTGTTTGCCTGGAGCACCGCTGGTGAACGTGGGTACAGGTTTGCGAAGGAAGAGATGTACTCTTTGTCTAGCCATTGGAGCGCCATGCAGTCCTTGGTCGTGCTGTAGTGGATGGTGCTCTTGACCTGTTCGCCTACCTTGAGGCCGGACGGCAAGGGCACATGGAGGGCTGCACCCATGACTGGGTGGCTAGGGTCCAGGGAGAACTACAGGGAGCAGACCAGTTGATGTAGGACAGAAGTATGATGACTGGAAGCCGGACTGACCGTAGTCTCCTTGTCCTCCACGAACGCCTTCTCGACGTTCAGAGCGAACGCATCTAGACTGAAGCGGCGGCGAATCAGCACGTTATGATGAGAACAGGGTATAGAAACATACACCACTTCGTTCACATTGTCCTCCCGCACGACCAGGGTGTGAGTTGCGGATCCGGAGATGACCTGCTTGGCCCAGTCAACGGTCCAGTCGAAGTGGACATGCTCGGAAGCGATCTTTGTGTAGTTCGCCTGCGTAGTGGGGTCAATGTCGACGGTCATCGCTGCCAGTCTGATGATGTCGCTGTCCGTTCAGGCGAGTTCGAGCGAGAGCCTTGCGAGACCTGGGAGCGGACGAGGAACGTTGAACTCTGGAAGATCGCACGGTGAACCAATCCGATCATGTGGCAGCGAGTCGATCGTCGCACAAATGCGGTAAACTGTCTTTGCCACATCCGAGTCCGAGTCCCCTCCATCAACCCGCATTCAGAACTCGCGCATATGCCAAGACTAGCGGAGAAGATAGGTGGGTGGTAGCCTCATGCCTCGACCACTGGCAGGAACCGCTACTAAAATTTCCCGCTCAGGCTCGCTGCTGTTTTGCCCGGACTGTGGCACGCTGCTCAACCTGCCGCAGGATGAGGACATGTATGTCAAGTGCGAGCAGTGCGGCCATGAAGAGCCGGCAAGCTGTGAGCTCAGCTCTTATTGCTCTGTACAATTGCCGTCGTCTGATTCGTGGGCAGCGTATGAGAACATTGAGATCGTGACGCGCTCGCATCCGGATGCGTTCCCGTCACCGCTGAGACAGAAAGGCAAGACGCAGACCAAGGTCCACGAGGCAAACGATGCGCTGCTGAAGGTTACAGAAAAGTGCCCCGAGTGTGGACACATGGAGGCCTTTTCACGGGAGATGCAGGTAGGGCGCCGGAGCACTCGTCGGAAGACAGCCATACTCAGTAGTATCATAGTTGCGCAGCGCAGACGAAGGGTCAACCATCTTTTATACCGTGAGTGCGAGAGAATACAGGTTCCTGGATGCTGTGCTGACGAACTTGCGGCGGACAGTGCGTGAAGTGTAAATACGGCTGGCGTGTCAACAACTGAGGAGCTCCGCTGGGCGAGAGGGCAGACGGGGATCATACCCAGGGCATCACAGAGCGTCCGCGCATCTACAGGTACACGCCGGCGGTGCAGAAGAGGGCGACGACGCCGACGCCGCCGAGGACGCTGGCGAGGGAGGCGACGGCTGCTTCGCGGATGGGGATCTTGTCTTTTGGTAGTCTAGGGTAGCGCAGAGTGTATGTATGAGCGCGCAGTGGATGCGTCATCAGGAACACAGACGTACGTGGAGAAGTAGAACGCCAGGGCGAAGGTGGCTGTGAGGAGGAGGAAGGCGAGGTAAGGGAGGAGGCCTGCTGGGACGGACGGGGAGAACGCGGGGAGGGCGGCGTGCCTCGCCTGTGGGAGCAGTCAGAATACAGACATACGAGGGCCGGAAAGACATACTGCGATGGCTTGGTGGTCGGACATGGCGTTGTGGGTGGCGGTGGCTGGGAGCGGGACTTAGGTGCGTGGCAGGCAAACACGCGTCATCAAAGGCATATCACCCCGCCGCACCCGCTCCTCTCCCTCCTCAGCCAGAACCACCACCCATCCCCCAAACCGTCCTCTGCGCAACACAAGGTACGTCCCCCGCCCGTCCTGCTCTGCCCCCTCTCACCTCTGTCGCCCTCTCCACCCATTTCCTGCCATCCGTGCGCCACGTCGACCGCGCCTCCCAGTCATGTCTGCCCAAAACCTGCAGCAACACCCCGCCGTTCGGACGGCCCAGGACAAGGCCAACTACTACCTGCACCAGCTGGACAAGGAGGTCAGTTGCCTTACTCGCTTCCCCGCTCGCCAGCGAGCGCCCTCTGACTTTTCGCCCGCACGCGACACGTAGCTCTCAAAATACTCGCTCTTCACCACCTTCGAGCAGCGCACCCAGGTCCCCAAGAGCTATGCCTTCATCGGCGCCGTCATCATCCTCGCCGTCTTCCACTCCATCAACGTGTCCGCCGCCCCCGTGTCGAACCTCATCGGCTGGGCGCTGCCCGCCTATCTCTCCGTCAAGGCGCTCGAGACGCCCGGTCACCAGGACGACATCCAGTGGTTGACCTACTGGGTCGTCTTTGGCTTCTTCAACTTCCTCGAGAGCTTTGCCCTCCGTGTCGTGCTCTACTACTTCCCGTGGTACTTTGCCACCAAGACGCTGTTCATCCTCTGGCTCCAGCTCCCTGCCTTCCGCGTATGTCTTCTTTCTTCCCACGTGTCACGCCCGTGACGTCAGGCTCACTCATGTTTTTCTCGACACAGGGCGCACAAGCTCTCTATGCCACCGTCGTCAAGCCCGTGTTTGTCAACGTCCACCACAAGACGGGCTCCACCGCGACGACAACGACCTCTGAGCCGGTCGCGGTCGGCTTGGAGTAGGCTGCTTCGGTCTCTCGTTTGGTTGTTCCCCTTCACATTCGCAACAATTCCGTAGACTGCTCGCTATATGTTTCCCTTGTTTGTCACATACAGGCTTCTGTGGGTGACGCGCTGTCGAGTTGCCGGGGTGAAGCTGTTGGGCTGCAGGACGTTCTAGCCGTGACTCGTATCATATGATGGTTGTGTATCTGACTGTTTACGAATATTCACGATGTCATGACCCACAACCTCCCCGCGATCTGGTTCCGGTACCGCACCCATGCCGGCGCTGCATGAAGAAGCTGGGCTGGTCGTGCGACCCTGCGGGCCCTGGACAAAGCCGGATGGTTATTTGGGTGAGACCAAGACGGCGCGCCCCGTGATCGACCGCGGCGCTGATGTCCGGGCGGCCTGAAAGGGCAAGGATGATCGATACCTTGTGGATGGTTTGTGAGGACAATATGGAGAGAAGGAGATAGAATTGAAGAAGGTATGCTCCCTGCGCTAGGCCCGAAACGGAGGGCGCGATGCAGACATGCTGGGATGGCACAGTCGGGCCCTGGCCGCCGCTGCAGCTCTCTCCCCACCCGTCGCGGCCGAGTCGTGGTCCCAGGCGGCGAGCGGTGGGCGCGGCTGTGCGTGCTGGCAGCCCGCAGACGAGGAGACGAGCGTCGAGGGTGTCGGGGCAGCACATGGATGGCTCGCGCGCCGGATAAGCCTGTGACCACGCACGGCGACTCGCCATCACCAAGGTTGACTGGCGCGCACTAGAGTCGCCTGCCGCCGTCTATCTTACATATAACACCCCCATGCGCCTCCCGGTCCCCGCCTCCACCTCTTCCTCCTCCCGCCCGCCCCCCGTCGCCTCTCGCGGCAGACATGTCCATGTCCGACCACTCTGAGAAGGATGCCGCCTCTGGCTCAGGCGCAGACTCCCTCGACGGCCCCATGCTCTACGAGCGGCCGACGGGCCTCAAGGGCCTCTACTACCACCCCGTAGTCCAGGTCTTCTTCCTCGGTTTCGTCTGCTTCATGGGCCCCGGTCTCTTCAACGCCCTCAACGGTCTCGGCGGCGGCGGCCAGGTCGACAGTACCACCAGCGCCAACTCCAACAGCGCCCTCTACGCGACCTTTGCCTTTACCGCTTTCTTTGCAGGGTGCGTACCCGACGCGCCTCGGTCGTCTCGCTTGCTGACCCGGCTTCGCCAGCTCGATCAACAACGTCCTCGGTCCTCGTCTCACGCTGCTTCTCGGGAGCAGCGGCTACGCCCTGTACATCGGCTCTTACCTGTGCGTACCCCCGCGCGTGCACTCGACGCGTCAGGCTTACCGTCGCGCAGTGCTATCAACATCCACCAGAATGCTGGCGGCTTTGTCATCGCCGCAGGCGCAGTCCTCGGTGTCTGCGCCGGATTGCTCTGGACAGCCCAAGGGTCGCTCATGTTGGCGTATCCGACCGAGGACCAGAAGGGTATGTTCATCGGCATCTTCTGGTCCGTGTTCAATTTGGGTGGTGTTGTGGGTGCATCAGTCTCTCTTGGTCAGAACTTTAATTCCCAGGTATGTCCTCTGACTGGCACGTAATTGGCCTTGACTGACGTGGGCGCGGTAGAGCAACGCCGGTTTGTGTCTCTCCATGTGTACCCTTACATCTGTACTGATACTTCTGAATTATCTTAGTCGGAAATGGCACCTATGTGAGTGCTCTGACAGGATTCTGCACTGTTCTCAGCCTGACCTTCCGCTAGATCGGGTTCCTGATCCTCACCCTCATCGGAGTGCTCATTCCGCTGCTCATGGCCAACCCCAACAAGATGATTCGCTCTGACGGCACACGCGTCATGACCCTCCGCCACCCGTCTTGGAAGACCGAGTTCTGGGGCCTCTGGGTGACCCTCCGCTCAGACCCCTTGGTAGTGATGCTCTTCCCCATGTTCTTTGCGTCCAACTGGTTCTACACATGGCGTGCGTCCCCCACGTAGGTATCGCTTCCCTCTCACTGACCAGCCCCACAGAGTTCAACGACTACAACCTCGCCCTGTTCACCATTCGCGCGCGTGCGCTGAACAACCTCGTCTACTGGATGGCCCAGATCGTTGGCTCCGTCAGCATCGGCTTCTTGCTCGACCAGAAGGGCCTTACGCGTCGCTTCCGTGCGTACATGGGCTGGACGGTCCTGTTCTGCATGGTCTTCGTCGTCCACATCTGGGCGTACTTCTATCAAAAGTCAGTACCGCAGTGCTCGTCGGATCCATCCAGTGATTGACACCCTTTGAAGGCACTACACCCGCGAGACGATCGCACAGGAGACCGCGGATGACACCAAGATCGACATCTACGACAAGCCATACGTCGGCCGCATCTGGCTGTACATCTTCTGCGGCATGCTCGACGCGATGTGGCAGACGACCGCTTACTGGATCATGGGTGCCATGTCCAACGATCCTGCGAAGCTGGCCAACCTGACTGGTTTCTGTGCGTAGGCTCACAATCTCTGTTTCTGACGCGTTGCTGATACCCGTGCGCAGACAAGTCGCTGCAGTCTGCAGGTGCTGCCGGCATCTGGCGCGCGGATGCCGTGGGCATTGCGTACATGAACATCTTCATCTCCACCTGGGCTCTGCTCGTTGGCGGTCTTATCTTCACTCTTCCCATGATCTACATGCGGGTGAAAGACCACACCGACCCGTCGGACGAGATCGACGGCATTCTGTACGTATCCCCGCATCGGCGATGAGGTCTCAAAATACTGATGATATCCACGCAGCGCCGAGATCGAGAGCCCTCCATCTCAACCCCAAATACCGACAGAGAAACCCGAGGATTCCGCCTGACCTCTTCGTCTTCCTTGTTATGACCCCGATACCACCCTCGCCGTCTCGTTGTAGCTCTCGTCGTAACGACACCCTACCCTCTTTTGTGTGTTGCGCATTATACATTCTGTTGTACCGTCACGGGCATCTGTAATGCTTGGATCTAGTAGATTATTCTGTACACGAATGCAGTGTTACAAGTGCTCTTTCAGGTTGCGATGCGTTGGGCTATAGTGGGAATCGTGCGATGGGTATATAGACGTCTTACGAAGTTACGACAGCGAGCTACGAGATGACAATTCCTTTCCATTCCAGATCACCAGATCAGAAGATGGTTGCCAGTGCACCGTGGTCATCGGTGCCCTCGACCGTGAATGCCTTCGTGTTTGGTCCGTTTTTCCCAAAGGTAAAGCCGACCCACACGCCCCGCGCGAAGGGCTCCTCCTTCTCCCTGACGCGATCAACGTTGCGCTGCTTCTCGCGCACTTCCGCGTACTTCGCCATGTCGTCAGCTGACGTGAAGTCGTCGTAGTAGCCGGTGTCGATTTCCGAGTCAAGCGCGGGCACGAACGGCGCTTTCACCGCGCGGAGGCTGTCCCATTGCATGCCATCGAAAAAGGGATGATCTGCCACCTGGGATAGCGTGGAGAACCGCACGCTCGCATGAGCAATGAGCCTGGCGCGTCACGGTTAGCCTGTACCCGGCGAAGAACGGAGAAGAGCGGACGCACTGCGTGACAGCGTCCCAGGCAGTGTCGGTGAGGTTGAAGATGAGGTCCTCCGGTTTGTCGTACTCTGGTCGGCGCAGAACTTTGGTCCAGTTCTTCAAGTTGGTCCATGTCTCTTCGGGAGTGCTGCCGCTGAACGGGGGGAAACCGGATAGGAACTCGAAGAGGATACAGCCCAGAGACCAGTAGTCTACTGAGAATGTATACGGTTTGCCCCGTAGCACCTCCGGGGCCATGTAATCTGGCGATCCGACGATCGAGTCGGCGTAACGGGGCTCTTGGTTACGAATGGATCGGTAGATAGAACGCCTCTCCATTGTCGATCTATGGATGATCTCGTTGTCTTTGACTTTGTCGAGCTAGGTCGATGGACGTGGTGAGGAGCGGCGCGAGGAAAACGGCATGTATGTAACACGTACCTTCACCTTGAGAGACTCGATACGCTGCGGGTTGAGTGCACCAGTGGCGAGACCAAAGTCGGTCAGCTTCACATGGCCTGTTCCGTCTACCAGAAAGTTCTGAAAAAGCATCGAATTAGCCACGCATGTTCGCTCGACTAGCACGTCATAGAGGAGCTCACTTCTGGTTTAAGGTCCCGATGGATATAGCCAAGTTTGTGCAACTCGTTGACGCCGGCGAACATCTCGCTGATGTAGAATCGCGCGTGCTCCTCTTTCAGAACACCGGAGTTGTTGAGCAGTGTCCTGAAATCTCCTCCCGGGACGTATTCCATGGCGAGATACACGAAAGAAGGATCCTGGAATGCATATAGCAGGCGCACCAGCCACGGTGTTTGTGTGGCAGTGAGGATATCTCTCTCTACGAGGACGTGGCGGACCTGCTTCGCCATCAGGGTCTGCGTCGAGCGGATGGCTAGCTACTTACCTCGTCCATCTTAAAGAGAGTCCGCTTCCGCATCTTCTTCAACGCGCACACCTCTCCCGAGTCCTGCTTCCTCGCCAAGAAGACCTCACCATAACCTCCCTGGCCGACTTGCGCGATGATGTGAAACTGCTCGACCTTCAACTTTGTCCGGCGTTTCCGCAAAACAACGCGTTCTCGACCGCGGTACGATTTGAATTCCTTGGCGTACTCAGCAGAGTTAAGCTTACGTGCGGCGGTATCCTCATCGAACTTGGCCCGTCGCTCCTTGCGAGCGGCCAAGTAACCGAGCATTTGAAAATAATAATCGAGGAAGTCTGCGATGATGGGAGTCAGAATTCAATGGACACATATTGGCCGACGACCGGGTCGAGCTAGGGTCCCTAGTGGACTGAAACCTTCGGTTTGGATGACGAAGCAACTCCTGGTGTACAAAGCGAGTGGCATGCAAGTTGACTTACAGAGTTGAGCTACAGTGGCTTTCCGCCTCACTTCAGGGCTTTCGATAAGTTCCCTCTCCCACAGCTGGAAGCCCTGCTTGACAGTTGCACCCGCTTTGGCCGTCTCCATTCGTATGTCAGGTTCGAGGCCTTTCGCTGTGGCCATATGGATGTCGTTTGCCGAGACCGTCAGCCCCCTAGCGGTGTTCATATGAATATCGGGAATCCCTCCATACATTACATCCCGTTGAGTTGGCTGGGCCATGGAGCATCGATCAACCAAAAGAAGGAGCGAGAGAGCGAGAAACTGGTGGTCGTGGCTTAGAGTTTAGAAGTGCGAACGCGCCGTGCGATCGAGACGAACGGTCACATGATTACTACTACTATCTACTATATCGGGCCGGGATCTCGGCCACCTTAGCACTCGACGAGCCCTCCCCACTGTACGTTCGCCGAATCGACCCCAACTCATGCATATGACGACATTCAAACATCTCAGGAACATGAGAAAAATATCACAAAAAAATTGGATTTGCTCAGTAGCAAACTGTGCATCGTTTCTGTGAGGAGGGTAAGGTGCCAGTGAGCCTGACCGACTAGGATGTCGGCCATGCCGTCAATATCAGCTCCATACATTGCTGTCACCCATCTTCACAGTCCAGAATCCTGTAGATATATTCAAATATTCATTTAACACTCTTTGTTGGGTGCTCGGCATAGGATTCGAGTGAGGTGCGTAGTTATAGACGAGGGGCCTGGGAGACTCAGCCACAGCTTACCGAAAACGAACATCATCCCATTGAATGATTTTTTCTGAGCCCTGATCTCAATGGGGTGGCTTCAAAATATGCACAGGCATGAAAAGGATGTATAGAAACATGCTACTATTTATTTCCACTCCATAGGAGCAGTCGTTGTAGAGAGAGTGCGATGACCGAGTACCACGGGTGGCCGAGATCCTGGCCCGATATAGTATAACATTATCTATCTATAAAATTATGGGACGGTGGTGTTGAAGTGGCGCACATAACTCACGTGGTTTTCACGTACACCCACGAGAAATGCACATGGAGCGCACATGGTGTCCACGTTTGCCGCATGGCCTCAGCCACCTACCAGCTGAGCGGGTCGGGCACTCTCTGTTCCCCGGCACCTGCGACCCCCGCCCAAGCTATCCCCAAGGCGGGATCACCGCGCGAAATGTAGGGAATGTAGGACAACTCAATACCGGGTAAACAGGCATCAGGACCGGGAAATGAGAGCTGTGAGTACTGAGGTGTTCCCGAGGCCTGCAAAGATGGGAGGGAAAACAGTAATGGGAGAGTGTCACATAAATACCAGGAAAATGGGCAATATCATAACCAGGAAAACAGGAAGACAAGAAATATTGCTGAATGTGTGCCACAGGCCGGGAAGCATTGAATTAAATGCAATCGCAAGACTGAACATATTGGGAGCACTGGGAAATCAGTACCGGGCAATAAGATATCTGAGTAGTACCAGGAAAATCATCAGGAAAAAGGAATTTCGGGCATAGCGGCCACCCTAGGTACGTAGCCAGGATAGGCGCTGTCCGTGTCATAGCCACAGGCGCGCACTATACAGTCGTCCATAGCGCATTGTAGATAAGTATAGGTAGTTGATAGTGACCCATAGGAATTCCTCATGGTAGATAGTGAACCATAGCGGCTGTATTTTGGTTTATGCCGTAGTAGTGTTGATATTGGTATCGAAAGAGATGATCATGATCATAGACTCTGTAGTCTGCCCACTCCTTCCTTGAACAACGCCACAAGCGGCGATATTGATCACTTTAGTGTGAGGATCCAAGTCACAGATAAATAGATTGGTCTTAATACAACAAACATGCGTGTTCTGAGTCACTAGTACTAGCTACAGAACATGTTTGAGTCTCTACCTTGCTCCAGCCTCGTCCAGGTATATGTTAGCTAATCATCCTCAACTTCATCCCAGAACTCTGCCACTCCCGGACCATGCGCCGCCCGTGTACTGCACTCACATACGCTCCTGCTCTGTCCAATCCTCCCGCACATGCTCGAGGCGATCCAAGAAGAAGACGGTGTTGCCGGGGTTAAAAATGATGCTGTAGAACAGGACGGACCCTGTCGGCTGGTGGTACGCGCGAGAGATCGGGAGCTTCCTACAGAAGCGCGGCGCATGGATCGCACATCTCGAGGAGCGCGTGGTGGGCAACTGGGCGGCGCTGAGTAGTGAGGGCGAGCAGGATAGCGATGTCGTGGCCACCGATACGGAGAGGAACGGCCTAGTGTCTCGCCTGGACGGCGTTGGCCGCGCCGGGTCTGCGGTTGAGCTGCACCGGTTGCGCTCAGGACCTCGTCACGGGCATAACTGATGAGGACCCGGACAATGTGGAGGGGCCTGCTCGCTAACGATCCACGTGCAGTGCCAACGGCGACGGCGCGTGTTGCGGGCAACGCGACACGGTAAGGGCTCGGCAGATGCGCGCGATGGGCGGACGTACGGAGAACGTCGGATCGACAGGGCGGAACATTGCGCAACGCGTTCCGGGAACGCCCCAGCGAAACGCCTCTGCGGAACGCTTGTCACGGCCTGTGACGACAAAGTGTACGGCGCGTTTAGCGCCACAACGCGACGCGTCCCTTTACGGTCAGGTTACGGTTGTCCTCAATAGGATGCACTTTGTCCTCACGACGCGTGTGTAGCTATATGATGACGGGATCGGTTTCGAAGATGGGATCCGCGGGTTGATTCGAGGGTACAGGACCAACAGTCGCGTTGGTACTTGATTCCTGTGAGGGTCTTGCCGTGGGCGAGGCTTGCGGCACTAAGGAGCTGGGCAGTGGGGCAGCAGCCACAGTTTGTGGCTGCTGCGGAACTGACGAGCTTCCTGCACGCAACGTCGTACAGAGAGCATGTAGCGAGCGTACATGAGCGTTCGCGTCAGCCGGCAGCGCTCCACCTTGGAGGATGAGCGCGAGGGTGGCGAGGTCAAGAGGTGTTGAGCCTGGTGAGCTCGCCATGATGTGCGGAGACAAGAGCGCACTCACCGAGATCTATATGCGGTTATGGTGTTCGAGTGGCAACGGACCGGCCACAAAGCGCGTCGCGTGCCGAAGGTTTGACGGGCATAGCTGGTCAAAGCGGGGACAGGGGCGCACGACGCGCCTGTGGCGCGCGTCGCGCAAGCGTAAACGGACAGTCACAGCCACTCACGCTGTGTGACGTTCCGCGTAACGTTCTGCGCGTTGCGCAACATTTCGCCCCGTGGATCCGACTTTCTGGATGTACGCGATGGGTGGACGCGGTGGCGTGATAGGGCAGGGTGGCGTGGCGCGCGGGCAAGCGTTGTGGTGGGCGAGCGTGGTAGGCGACAAAGCGTGGTGGGTCCGCACAACGCACGCGCTCCTGGACCATCCCACGGCGCAAGGGCACAAGGGCGAGGGGGTCAGTAGGCTACATCAATCGAACCCAAACATACACGAGTACTTACGACAAGCTCCACCCAAGAGGACGCACCTTGAAGCTTGAAGCTTGAGCGCTGAGCTCCTGGCCTTTCGAAAGCAAGCAAGCGCGGGTGGACAAGTGCGAAGGAGACAGCAGAGTCGCAGACGCCGGGGAGGGCTCGTGCCGGAAAATTCCGAGGCGGGCGCTAGTCTTGACTCAGCGTCGTGCGACGCGCGTTGTGACTTGTCGTCCTTTGTCTCCTCCTCCCAACGCCACCCAGCCCTCGGCCTCATCCTGGTGCTGTCGCACGTCACATCCGCCATGACTCCGCCAACGCATCGACAAGTCGAGCGCGCAACAGCTCATGCCCACTGTGCGAAGACAATGGGCATCGCCGGAAGACTGTCCGGTGAGTGCCACGTCAATTCCGTAGTATGTGTTTGCATATCAACACTGGACAATGAATAGACAAATGGCCTGGGCGTCCTGTCGCAATCGCTCAAATGCCTGCCGTTGCAGATGCCGACGCGTGAGCGCCTCGGAGCCCGTATGGTCCATTCGGCGCGCAGTGGAGTCACCCGCGCTCATCGTCCGCACACACCAACAACACCGTCGCCTCCCTTCGCGCACACCGTCGCCCACCATACCGATTCCTAACATACTCACTTCCGATGTGGAGGCCGATGCGCAGGAGATGTCCGAGGTGAAGCGGCCGACACGTGTGCGGGTGCACCGTGCATGCTAGTGCACCTATGTTAGGTTCGGTGCTCGTCCCTCTCTTGTTTCTTTCTCAAATTCACGGACACAACAGGCATGCAAGCTCAAGCGCAGTGCATACTAGTGCTAACGTGAGCATGAAGGGTCGAGGGCAAAGGTGAGCTTGCATTTCTGCATGCTTTCTACTGACTTCTGTTGGTAGTGCATACCTGTGGACATGGACCGACGCCCACCTGCTCTGCTTGCGCGCGGAACGCCCATTCTCTCTCTCGCCTGCTCGCACATCCACTCTATCTCGTCCGCTGCCGCGCCCTTGCGTGCCCATTGTTCCTCGCCCATTCTCCCTCGCGCACGCTCTCACTCGCGTGCCCTTCGCTTGCGTGCCCTTTCACGCAAATGCACATACTAGCCCTGCCAGTGCATACATACATGGCGGTAGGGCAACAGGTGGGGGACGGGCGAGACAGGGTATATGGACAGCATGGTAGGTGTGGGTGCGGGCGCGGTGAGTCGTGACAAGCACCGTGGCTCAGGCTGTTCTTAGTAGTATCATGTCTATACGAGTCTCAATATATCTCTCTGCAATTCTGTTGTGTCTTGCAGCACGAAGGAGTGTTTTGTACTGTCATATTGTCATGATTGCGAGTGCTAGTAGCAGGTACAATGGGTATACACTCAGCTACTGATTATACTTGCATATACCGCCCTATATAAGCCTATAAGTCTATTGTGCTATCATGCTAGTGTCTCTACAGTGTTCTATACCGTCCTATGTCGACCGGCAGTGGCGCTACAGATGGCTATGATCTTAGCTGGCAATCTATGGACGGCTATAAAATAGGGGGTTCGCAATGAGCCTATGCTGACTACACCTACTATATTGTCTAACATAGTGATTGATCTTTTTCCTGATGATGATGCAAGAATACTCTGGGAAATAGGGAATAAAATTGCCCTGATATACAAAAAGTCAAGGATATCACTGACAGTGTACCACAGGCGGGGAAGCATGAAGATTAACACACAGCATTGAATAGAACTATGCTGCCAGCCCGTGGCGAAGCCATTGGCTGGCAATGCCCAAGAATATAACCTTCATAGTAACACAAAGCACAGAATGAAAGAACTGCCGCCAGACCTGAGGTGAAGCCCAGGTCTGGCATTGCCTAAGCATGAATCTTAAAAGTAACATGAAGCACAGAATAAAGAAATTATCTGCCATGGGCTGGCAATGCCCAAGCATATAACCTTCAAAGTAACACAAAGCACAGAATGAAAGAACTGCCGCCAGACCTGAGGCAAAGCCCAGGTCTGGCATTGCATAAGCATGAAATCTTCAAAGTTACATGAAGCACAGAATGAAGAAATTGCCCTGTAAACCCGTGGTGAAGCCACAGGTTTGCGATGCTCATGCGCATATCCCCAGAAAGTCCGATCCACGGGGACATGTGTTCCCGGAACACGGAATGCGGAACATCATGTGCTGTGATGTTCAGTGATGTTCATAGGGGGCATGTGAGGAAACCGGGTTCGTTGACGTCGGCGTTGAGCGTGGTAGGCGTTAGCGGGCGTCGGCGAAGTCGGTAAACACGAGAGAAGCAAGCGAGAGCGGGCGGGTAGCGGATGAGTGGGCGAAGTCTCGTCTCGTTGCTTGGGCTTTCTGCCCGTCGTACGTACGGTATTTATACATGAGCGAGAATGGACCAAATCGAGTGAAGATACGAGTAACGTAAAACGTAAGCGAGATGAGTCATAGGGACAAAGGACGAGTGGCAAGCTGTGGCACAGACCGCCACTCGGGCTGGCACAGCTGCCACTCCGAGGACAGCCACGACCTAAAAGGGGAAGGAGTCTGGACCGAGTCGTGGATGAGTAAGTAAAGTGAGTGTAAACGAAACTGAAAAGAAAAAGATATGTATATTCGGACACAGGACGAGCGCTTGAGCGATCGTACTCAGCGCTTGTGCGATGTAGCCCGGCGCCTGCGGCGCCACCCTTACATTCGCCCTCCAAGACTTGTCCATGACAAGTCTTTGGGGGCGCCGGGTACATCTACATGCGCGACGCGTCCTCGTCGTCGAAGTCGTCGGCCATCAAGAGGTCGGGGTCGTTGAATTCCTCCGGTAAGACTTTGTTTTCGGCTTGGTCAACCTGTTCCTGACCGGTCACCTCCTGGGAGTTAGAACCACTCCCGGACGCCTGCGAAGCCTCTCCTGGGAACAAGGAGGTCAGTACCCCCTCGAGGAGTTCGTAAATGCTGACAGGCATACCCGCAGTACTCTCACGACGCTGCGCACGCGCGCGCTGGCGTCGGCGGCTGCGACGCTCTCGAGCGTTCTCAGAGCGTTCACCGCCCCCAGGCCCTTCGTTCTGACCACGACCAGGCGGCGCAAGGCGGCCGCGAAGACCTCCCCGTCCGCCACGACCACCTCCACGTCCACCACGACCACCTCGGCCTGCGGACTTGAAGCGGCCGCGTTCGTGGAACGGTGCCGGAGCGCTGTATTCCGCGCGCACGCGGTTCGAAGAGGTGAGTTGCAACAGCTGCTGTTGCATGCGAGATTGATTTTCCATGAAAGTGTTGAACGCGCGGTCGGTCATCGTGACACCGGTCGTAGGAGCGGTCGGGTTGCGGCCACCTTCGCCGGTCGTAGCGTTCGACTGCAGCGTACCCTCGGTGTTGTCGCGACGGTGCGCACGCTGCGCTTCAAGCACGCGAGAAGAATACTCTTCGGGCAACGGCGCGAAGTGCTGCGAGAGTCGGTAGACCTCGCGGTAGCCTTCTGGCGGATCACCTGGGTACGGCGCGGTGCCGTTCAAGAACGCCCGGAACTGGGCCGCATAACGGTCCCATCCGATACGGTCAGCGGCGGTGTACTGGCGCGGGTTAGAAGAGGCGGTCATCGTAGATGATCTATGACGCGGTAAGTCCTTCGTACAACCAGCGGCAGGTCGGTGCTTACGAGTGCTGGAGCACGGTTCACAGTGCGTAGGCGTGTGGGTGCAAGAAAGGCGGTGGTTCGAAGACCTCGGTAAGTCGTTCGGAATCGACTGTTGAGGGGGCACTCTGATCGCTTTGCTCTCCCTAAATAGGTCGTCCGAAAATCGTTGACAAGGCCTACATCCTTTGCGGTGCGACGTCTGTTGCCATTCTGGGTGCGGCGGTGCTTCCAGTGGCACCCTAGAAGTGTCGGTGAGTCGGACACATTTCATTTCGATACCATCTGCTGCACTAACAGTCTCGACATGTTTGGCAGGTGGATCGGTTAGCTGGCTGATGCTGACGATCCCCAGAGCTTCGCAGTACTCGGTCAGAGCTTGCAGATGCCGGACATCATGGTACGGTACCCATGTCTCATCCCCTGTTGACCATCTGACCAGAAATTCAGCGTTGGATCCGCGGCCGCTGTGCGAGACGATACGATCGACAACCCATTCACGCGGTTGCTCGCTGAATCCAGGTAATTGGTGGAACTGCCGCCCTGGAAAGCGTCGGTTGTCATTCGGGACGTGCGGGCGCAACAACGAGGCATGGAAAGCATCCGCAATGCCTCGCGCCTTTAATTCCGGCGACAAGTCCAGCTTATAGGTCGCTCCCGGCTCCACAACACGCGCGATGCGGAACGGGCCAAGGAACTTAGGTACGAGCTTCCGTGCACGTCCCGTTGGCAGTCTCAGATTCTTAGTTGATAAATAAACCAAGTCTCCCTGCTTGAACGGCGCAGGTCGGCGATGCTTGTTAGCATGCCACGTCTGCTGAACGCGTGCCGCAATGATTGCGTCGTGCGCGGCCATGATCGCTTCTCGCATGCGCTGCGCGAAGCGCTGTACACCTGGGTAAGTCGATTGATAGTCCCATACGAGCGTTCGAGGCATCTGACCATAATTCAGGTAGAACGGTGAGAATCCGGTCGTGTCCGAACGTGCCGTGTTCATCGCGAGCTCAACGGCAGGTAGGTGCGATGCCCAGTCCTTCTGATCCGGACTAACACATTGCCTTAGCATCTGGGTCATCATGCGGTTTGCACGTTCCGTCGCGCCGTCCGTTTGCGGATGATAAGCCGATGATAAGCGCAATTCAGTGTTCATGAGGCGATGCAGGTGAGTCCAGAAGGTGCTCGTGAACAGCGTATCTCTATCACTGATTATCCGTTCCGGTAGTCCATGAAGCTTGTACACATGCTCGAAGACGACCTCTGCGACTTGAACAGCGCCATACGTTTGACGCGTCGGTATCAGGTGGACCATCGAGGTAAGATGATCGATCACTACACATATCATGTCAAAGGAACCTGACAATGTTGTTGACTCCGGGAGTGGGCCGACGAAATCTATCCCAATCGATTGCCAAGGTCGGGAGGGTACTGGCAAGGTACGCAGCAATCCCATTGGCTGTTGATTGACTGATTTGCTCGTCGCGCAGACACCACATGTCCGACAGTACGAGGTCACATCGTCGACCATAGTCTTCCACCAGACTTCCTCACGCAGGTATAGGAGCGTCTTGCGCGCACCAAGGTGAGCAAGGACCGAGTGCGCATGCTTGATGATCACCTCACGAACTCGTCGTGTACCAACCAGGATGTCCGGGATGCACAGGATCTCAGTCTCCCTTCGGCAAAGGTAAACAAGACCGGACTTCACTGCAAAGTCCTTATACTCATCAGGCTTGAGTAGAATCTCGCGGAAGAACTTGTCCTCGGCATACCGACCCTCAAGCGTCCCAGGCATCGGCATACCAAGATCGCTTGAGATCAGCACACTCGTTGGAAACACTTCAGTTGGGAATGTTCGCCCGTGCGTAACATCCTCAACATCGCCTTCGATTGGTTCACTAATTTCGTCTGTCTCGACAGGTAGGAGTTCCTCCTCAGTAGGTTCAAGTTCTGGCTGTACCGGCGCAGAGTTCGGACCTTCCTCGACTGGTGAGTCTTCAGGTACAGTGCTCGTTCCTGGAGTACTACTCAAGCGTTCATGCGAGTCATAGTCCCAACGTGCGCGCGTCTTTCCGGCAAGACGTGAAGATTGCCTCGGCTCGAAGTCGATCACAGCCGCTGCCCCTGTGTATACCGGACGGAGGACACTTACCGCAGCATTCTGCAACATGACTCGGTGAGCATCATGACGTTGATGTTCTTGAGGAAGCTCTTGGCTGACAAATTCACTCGATGCGCGCTGAATTCCAAGCGGCTCGTCACTATAGATGCGCGATAGGGCGTCCGCCAAGACGTTTGTTTCACCAGGTATGTAATGAATGGTGAAATCGAACTCGTTCAGCATGTCCATCCAGCGATGCTGACGCGGTGACAAGTGCTTCTGACCCATTATGTATTCCAGGGCTTTGTGATCCGTGCAGATCCTGAACTTAGCACCATGCAACAGACCGCGGAAGCGTTTCAAGGACTCGACAATCGCAAGCAGTTCCTGCTCGTGCACAGGGTAGTTCTGTTGTGCTGAGTTGAACTTGCCGGACCAGAAGGTAACGACCTTGGATGTCCTTAGGTCATCACCTTGACTAATGTAACCACTAGCCCCAGTCAATGAAGCATCGGTAACGAGGTTGATAGACGGTGCGTCTGGTGCGTAATCCAATGCAACTCGTCGATTTTCACGCATCTTGCTAACAATATCCTTGACTTGTTCGAAAGCGCGCTGGTGCGTGTGCGTCCATCGCCAAGGGGTAGTAGCGCTGGCGAGTGGTGCGAGTACGCCCATTGGGATCCGGATCCCAGGACAGTCAGGTGCGAGAAATCCCACAGCTCCTAGGAAGCTACTCAGCAGGGACTTGTTCGTAGGAACCTTCCAGTTTGCCACTGAATCGACCTTATGCGGGTCCATAGCAATTCCCTTTCGGTCGATCACATGGCCGAGAATCTTCAAGTCCGATGCAAAGAAGCGCATTTTCAAAGGGCTCAAGTAGAACTTCTCACGTCTCAGGACTGAGAACACGGTACGTACGTGCTGCATGTGATCTTCGACCGTATCAGAGTAGATAACAATGTCGTCTAGATATACGTCCATGAAGACGCCGATGTATGGTGCGAAGATGTGATTCATTACCATTTGGTACGTTGCTCCACCATTGCAGTCTCCCTGCTGCATCACGAGGCTCTCCATCGTGCCATCAGGCGTTGTGAACAGTGTCCGCGGTACGTGCGCTTCATCGACTCTGATCTGCTCGTACGCATCCTTACCGTCAAGCATTGTCCAGTGCGTGTGCCGCACGACGTTCCGAAGGATGGTGTCAATATCAGGCAAAGGTGAGGCCATCTTCACAGTATTGGCATTATCTTCTCGCTTATCTACAACAGTGCGTATACCCGGCTGACCGTCCTTCCCCGGCTTGGACAAGATAAGCATCGGGGAGGCATTCCTTCCTGATGCGAAACACCATCGTCCACTATCAAGGTAAGCGTTCTTCTTTGCCTGCCAAATAGGCTTTAGCGCTTTGGGACACTTAGAAGGTCTCCACTTGTAGATTTTACCTTCATCTATCAACGGTATTGTGTGGTTGATGTCTCGGAAAGGAGGTAAGGCAGCGCGAGTAGGATTCTGACACAGATCTTCTGCTTCATGTCGCAACTGGGCACGCAATTCGTCAAGAGATGCCTCGAGTACATCAGCCGCTGCGGAGCGCACCTCGGTAGCTTCTTTGCCGATTATGGGCTGGGGACTAGGTGAGCCTACTGCTATTTGGGTCGGATTGAGACTGATTGCGATCTTGTGCTGGAATATGAACGGCGTGCCCAAGATCGCGTCATAGTTGTCGAGGTTCACGATGTCAAAACGTCGCGAGCACTTGATGTCTTGGTAGGCTAGTTCGACTGTGGTACTGAAGTTGATTTTCGAGCGTGATCCATGTACTGCAAGCTGTACAGGCAAAGGTTTTGCAAGAACCTCCTTCTTCAAGCCGAGCTGATCAACAAGTGTGGTTGACAGGAAATCTGCCATGCAGCCAGTATCAAGCAAAGCTCGAACCGGCTTGCCCTGGATCAAGACCTCGACAATCAGAGGCTTCGGAATTCGGCGTGCAAAGTCCTTTGTTCGCATGGAGGTATGTTCGACTGCAGGGACGGCGTCTGTTACGAAGGTATGATTACGTTTTGCCGAACCTTTCTTCGCTGATGCACAGTTCATTTTCGCGACTGCACCACAGAACACGCTGGACGGCGATTCCAGCAGTCGTTGACGTCGTCGCGCAGCTGCTGTGTCGGTAGTCGGCTCGTCCAAGGCGCCCTCCAGATCAACGTCCGGATCCACACGCTGCGCATGGTCGGTCAGGACATCAAATAGGACACGCTGCGCATCAAAATCCGCGCGCATTATGTCCTCATGCGTCACGCAAAACCGCACATCAATACTTCTAAGGTATACCACATAGGCTTCGGCCGGGCCATCCCATACTACTGATACGCCCTCCGGATCAATTCCCAGATCTTCCGGGAGGGCCGCACAGATACGAGAGTCAAGCCATCGACTGGCGATCGGTATTTCATCTTCCGAGAATGGCTCTGGGTATGCAGATACCCTCCCCTCTGGCCGTACATCCCGTTCGCGCACTGATCGTTGTACTAGGTCCAGAACACAGACGTCTGTCCGTCGCAAATCATCTCCGTGAATGAGAATGGGCCAATCCGGCTGCAACCAATCGGTGAGCTCGTATCGGTCTCCGAGCGGTATCACTGAAAACCGTTCATCCGGATCCATTCCAGCCTGTACGGCATCATGTGGGCCATGATATGAATGGAACAAGGACAAGATATATTCCGTGGTGTCCTCATGGTGAGCTCGAGGCCATGGTTCCGAAGACTCATTCGACTCAGTAGCCTGAAATCCGACTGATATAGCATTGACAGATATCTCGACTTCACGAGCAGTACGTGCGAGGCGGTCGATGTTTGCAA